TCCTCAACTCACTCCTTACTGATCCTATGTGGTATCCCCACACTTGATCCCTTCTTTATCACTTATCCTTTTTACCACTTGTGGCATCCCCACACTTGGTCTCCTCTACACCCTTATCTCCAACAAGCCTGAACCATCCTTCCACCAATCCTTCCATCTCAGAGAGCAGTTGGTATCCCTAGCTGGCCCCCTCTCACATTTTGGCTTAAAGTTTGTGCTGAACAATGCACAGCAGGGCTGTCTATTGCAGGCTGTTGCTGATCTTAAAAGTGCTGGTCTGAAGCCTAAGACCCCTCCTGTACATGGAGCCAACTTCCAATAGCAATGGTTTAGGGTGTAGCACAAGGTGTACTTTATATGCTACCTAAGGCTTATACTAGCCAAGGGCCTGCAGTGAAATTGCCCCTGCTGATACTGATAGTTGTGTATTGGCGCAGTTCCACATCTGGCAGATGAGGAACTGCAGGTGCACAGACCATGCACAGACCACCACCACCAACCTAGCATGCTGGGCACAAGAATACTTATAGAACCACCCATGCCCTTCAGGAAGGGTGTTCTTAGCATATTAGAATGGTCTTCAGGGACTTTGAGTAGTATTAAAGGCTTCTTTAGGATGCTGGGTCTATGCGCTGTTCTGCTGTGATTTTTTTTCCTCAAATAATGGTTTCAATGGAATTTAGAACTCTACTGCATATTTCATATCTCTAGTCTTCAGACTTGCTAGCATGGATAAGCATTGTTCCAGTACATGTGCCACTGCCAGAAAGCAAAACACTTAGCAAATAATATACCATTGTGGATTATACTTAGACTACAGTGGTTGCAGCATAGAGTAAGAAACAAGCTGCATATTAGGCCATTGCTACTAGGTAACCTCTACTAAGGTACACTAGTAAGGTCAGCTAGCAAGAGCTTGATACAGTTGGAATTCCTGCACCTGTATTGACACAGGTAAGAGAGGACTCCAATATGGGTCCAAATCTGCTACAAGGTGTATGGGAGCACTGGGATAGATAGAACTAGGAGTAAACCTCTATTCCTATAGGTCTTGTACAAAAGGATACTCAAAAACTATATATTATAACTATGTACACAGCTCTGCTTATATACCTAACAGCTCAATGTAGCTCAGGGGATACTGGTACGTAGTAAGGTAGGGATTGGATAAGAGTTGGATAGCAACCGGGCAAGTAGTATGAGGAAGAACGGTTGGTATGGTTCTTACAGAGGCCTTCCTGGACCCTTCTGTCACTTCTAACAGTATTATCCCATGTGCAGGTGGTGGTGTTGCACTCAGCAATCTGGGCTTGCAATTTATTTGTTTTTGGTTAGTGTGGTCCTGGCTGCAACAGATCCAACACCACTACCCCAAATCTTTATTACCTAATAGTGCCACAACTATACCAACTATAGCTTAGTGAATGGTACATTTTTACTTGCAAATCCAAGCTCTATCAATCTGGCCCAATAAAGTCCAAAAAAATTTCTTAACCCTAATTGGTATTCTGTCCCTCATGGGTGCTCATCTAGCAGGGTAGGGTTGTGTCCACTTGTTTTATCTCTTGGTATAGGGATGTCAGAGCTGATTTGCAGTCCTGTATTGATAGGTGTTGGGCATGGTGGGTCTCCAGGGAGGAGAGGCTCATAGGCAATGAACTCAGGGGGGCCTTGAGGCTGGTGGTTGCATAGGTACCGTTGATGACAAAGTTGCCTTGCTGCTTCTACTGCCTGACTGGCAGTAGCGTGTTTACAGGTTCTGCCCCGAGGCATTTTCTCTGGTTTGTGGTTGACTGTATGGCTGGTAGAGTTGAAGAATAGCTCAGCTCTTCTTGTCTGAAAATATTGCTGATTTAATCAGATATGGCTTAGTGCAGTGCTGATTGTTCCAAATCAGGTTAGCCTGCTTTTTCTCCATCATCAATCTCAAGAATTACGTGCACACTGCTAGAATTAGTGTACTAAAAGCTCTGTACCCTTCTCTTTGTAGTTTCAGATGTATTATAGACTTGTCTACTGTGATGCTAGCTATTAAACATCTCCGAGAGGTGTTTTGGTTAGATTGCTAATTAAATACCTTTTAGGTTAGTAGGTTCTACCAAAAGTACATTCCTAGTTGTAACCTAGACACTGCCCACAGTCAAGACATACAAGCTACTCAAGATGCCGGACATCTTGTACTAACTCAAACAATGCATTGACAGCCTCTGTGGCTGTCATTGAGTACAGGTGCAGGTGCAATGTGCAGTGTTGGTTAGATTGCTGATTAAATACCTTTTTGGTTAGTGCATTCCACCAAAAGCACATTCTCAGTTAGAACCCCACACACTGCCCACAATCAAGAAATATATGCTCCTCAAGATGCTACATGTCTTGTACTTACTCAAACAATGCATTGACAGCCTCTGTGGCTGTCATTGAGTACAGGTGCAGGTGCAATGTGCGGTGTTGGTTGGATTGCTGATTAAATATCCTTTGGGTTAGTGTGCATGGAGAACAAGCTTTACCTGATTGGGCTATTGACTACCAACCCATACACTTTAAACAACATTAACACCACAACCACAACACCTATTGACAATATAAGGGCAGATCTGAACTCCTGGAGCCTTGGTCTACAATATTAGATGAAAATATCCACAACTTTTTTCCTAACCCTGACCCCCATTTGCCCCTTCATCACTTGAAGCGGCTGCAGTTATCCTTGCCCCACAACTCGGTCGCTCCGTTTTCTTCGGCTTCCCTGCCCGAAGTATCATGCCTCCACTGTTGGTACGTCTCCACAGGGCTCACAGAGTATTGCCTATTCAGTAGATGCATACAATACGCTTGCATTGAGCATTACTAAAAGGATAACTATATTATCTGTCACGGTACAGCCATGTACCGTTGTTGATGAGGATCACGTGAGGGCTGTTAAGCCGAGGCTTTGCCAAGAAGACTCTTCCTCACGCACCGCACCACTGCAATGTAGCTCTTCGAGCTACGTCTTGTTATAGAACCTGCCTGCAAGGTCTCTGCCTGCCGTAGATAGCTATACTGAACCAACACGATACTCTGATAGCTGCTCCTCCCCTGCCCACCTGCAGTGTACTGTGCTGCACGGTACGAACCGACCCCGCCCCGTGACATTATCCCTCACTGACAGATAGTCAACATTAAGGCTCTTGTTCTGTGTGACCAAGACTTCTCGTATTCTGCTGCAAAAGGATAATAAAGCAAGAGGTTTTGGTGGTGTAAGGATTAGGGCTTTCTGGGTGAGGCTTAATGTTTGTACTCCGCATAGTCCCTCACCGCACGGAAACCTTTCTCAGGCTACAAACCAAGATACTGTGGGGACTTGTAATAGCCAAGTGAGTAGAAGATGGTATTATGCATAGCGTATCCTACCTTCAGACCCTACCTTCAAAACTAGATGTTGTTTTGTCGACTTTTGCTCCGTTCATTCATGACGGTCAAGATTGTTTTTCAGCAGCTTCCCCAAGCACGGAATCCCTCTGTCAACTGAATTGCCTTCGCACACCCTCCTAGCTAAACTAGGTCAATTGCTTGGACATGGACCCCTCTGGTGGCCAGACTTTCTACCAAGACCTCCGATTCAACATATAGGTGGTCTAGGTGTGCTTGTTCAAGACTTTTCTCATAGTCCGTCAGATCAATGCCGAGCGAAAGAAGCCGGGGATCCATGCGGAGCAATTCACCGGTGTGTTCATCCTTACAGACCCATATTGACTTCCTGACTTGATCGACCTCAACTTCGGCGTTCACATGGCGCATACCACGTGGAAGGGGTCCTAGGACGCTTTCGCCCCAGTTCGCTCCGTCCAGGCTGCATGGACCTACCAACCGGTATTGACCATCTCTGGAGTTGCAAGAAGGGCGTATGACCATTAAGGGACCGCATCCGAAGATGGCACAGATCTCATCACCCACCTGGGCGCACTCCTGTCCGACTCCTAAGCCGATGAGGCCCGAGTCTGTTTGTAGTAAAGTGCGACCTGTCAGCCCTCTCAGCAGAAATGAGGAAACCTCCCTTGTCGATGTCTCCAAAGGTTTTGTTTGAAGCTGGGACAGATAGTCCCGTAGGATTTTGAGAAGTGGAAATGGCCCATTTGAGTATGAAGCAGCATCAATTTCCTTGTATCTATCGCAGCAAAGTACCCGGGCATATGCATCTAGGACAGTGCCTCCAGCAGGGTAGGCACCATCCATAGACCTCTGTCCGCACACGAGCAGATTGTGGACATCCTCAAGAGAGCGTGTGGCGTGGACTTCAGTTACTTTCGTAACGAAGACACCTTGAACTCGCAGTGCTCCGAGATCAGCGATTTCCCAAGCTCTGGGGATCGGGATTATGTCCATAGATGCTCGATAGTAGCCCCAGGGCGAAAGGACCGTCTGGTCGGCATACGTCCAGTCCGGTACCCAGCTGGGCCCTGACCAGCCGGCGTGTAATCGGCAGTCTTCCAGAATACGCAGGTCGCGATCAGTATCCTCCCGCAGATAAGCCATGGCTGCATCCCGGTATGTTTCGATTACCGTTTTCGTGTAATCGGGCTTGATGACTTGCTTGATACTCTCATCTGCCAGCATGGAGCGAACGGCGTAAATGCGGTCCCTCTTGTCAAAGCATTCAGCTCCTGAAAACAAAAGTCGTACCCATGACAAGTATATGCTCGACTTTTGCTCTAGCACTGGATGAACGTGGGCTATGCGATTGTTCAGTCGATGTTTGATCGTGGGGTCATCGTCGGATGTGCCCTTCAGATAGATGGCCCCCCACGCATTCCGGAATATCGCCCAAGGCATGGCCATGGTTCCGCATTGCACGTGAGAGCGACTCAGATCTGCAAGCCCTATCTCTTGACGAATCCAGAGTCGATCGAACCAGTCGCGGCCAAAGAGGCTGGAGACGGCGAGTGAGTCTTTACCTCTACATTCCAGCGGTATACCCGCATCGGCCATCCTTTCGTCACACGCCTCGGCTGGAAGACGCGCCGATCCTGCCGACGGCTGTAGGGTCTCCAGCCCAATGTCGAAGTCCACCTGCGAGCCCCAGATGTTGAGAAGCTCCATTGCTCGGTCGCTCTCATCACAAGCAGGGCCAAGCCAGACAACTACGCCGGCAGCTTGTGAGTACAGCGTTCCCATGAGAGCCACTTGTGGGCCCTTCTGGACCACTTCTTCCTGATCAATGCAGATGGCGTCGATCCACATGTCTCGGGGGCTGTCATCACGACGTAGATGACGCAAAGCAGAAAGGAGGTTTGCCCGGGCAGGCAGCCACTGGTGCCAGCTTTGATCGGCACGTTCTTCCTGCGTATTGAGGCCGGAAGATAGAGATATCTCGGTACGAACGAAAATTAGACCGGAATCGACCGGTGGGCCCCATGTGTATGACATTGCTTCATAGGTTGGCAACTGGTCTTGAATGTCTGTTGGGTCGGCCGGGCGGATGTCATCAACCTGGAAATCCTCGATTCGCAAGCTCACGTGGATGTCGTCGTCGAAGTGACCGGGATAGATCCTGGCGATGCGAATGTGTTGGCCGCCATCTCCAGGCAAGGCTTCGTACCTGTACCGACTTAGTTCTAAAAGGGGCATGTCTGCGGTAAGGGAGAAATAGATAGTCAACCAAGACGTGCGTAACGTGTTTTATCACCGAGCCGCCCACAATCACTAAGCCGCCACCCCTCACCCACATCGCGGCTATTACAGACTATTACCACCGCACCAGCACTACACAGAAACATACTATAGCCTATAATACTATTTCAGAGCGTTGCTATTATTAGGATCTATCATTTCTGCAGTGCACGGAATAAGGGTCAGAGTATAGCAGTAAGCGCGATGACGTCATGATGCCAACTTAGTCAATCGCTTCCTAGTGTTGCTTATCAATGTGACTTCCTTCACTCCACTAAACGGCATTCTTCTTCCTCTTCATTTTGTTCGTCCCAATATCGCCCAAGCGATGGCGTCTGGCAGTCCCAGCAAGTGGTTGCTTTACCTTTCAGCCCGCTCGTGCATACAGCCTTTGACAGCCCTGGAGACGTCACAAACGCCAATACAATGCCGCCTGACAGGCGTGTGAGAAATGGTGGCTGTTGGACTTGCAAGCTTCGCCGCAAGAAATGTGATGAGAGTCGCCCAATATGCGGCGACTGCAACAGCCTCAAGATAGATTGCAAGTACGGATCAAAGCCTTCTTGGATGGATGGTGGGGATCGACAAAGGCAGAAAGCCTTCTCCCTCAAGGAAGAGATCAAGCGGAACGCGGCACAGAAGAGAGAGAAGGCGCAAGCCCTCAACAAACCGACCGCTCACGCTGTCGACCACCGCGTCAATGTCATGTCTGATTTCACCATCCCACGGAGCTCGTCCAACGGCCAGCCTACTGTTCTTTCAGATCGAAACGAACGAATATCGGTGTCTCATAGTCGCACAAGTAACAATGACGAACTTACGCTTATGGCTTCTCTACCTTGGGGTCACCAACAACACCATCGCTCGGATACACTAGAGCGAGCCTCTGCTAACGAGATGAACTTCATCATGAAGTATCTTGACTTTATCTTCCCGGCACTGTTCCCGCATTATCAATCGCACATTTTCGAGACTGGCCGTACTTGGCTGCTACAGTTGCTGAAGAAGAGCAAAATCGCTTATCATGCTATTCTTGGCTTATCGTGCTTTTATTTCACCTTGGCGCTTACCGATGCCGAGAGAGGTGCAGAACACATGAGTTGCAAAGAAATGCGGTGGGAAGAAGTGGATCAGGAAAGCAAGAGGTGTTTCGTAAGTCTGCGTTCTGATGTACAAGCACTAGATCTGAGCTCAAGAGGCACGCTCACTACGGCATTGGAAAAGACGACGCTTATGATCAGCATCACTCAGGTCATCATATTTGAGATGACGATGGGTAGCTTTGCTCCTTGGCAGACGCATCTTCCTGCTGCCCTCACCTTATTCGAGGAGGTTATGGCGAGCCCTGAAGCACGTTTGTCACATCGAGGTCAACCCCAATCAGAGTTCGCTTCCGTACTGCTGGGCATTGGAGACCCGCTATGGACCAACCCAAAACCCAGCAATCACATTTGGTCGCCAGATCAAGCTGGCTTTCGCTTTTGTGCCGGCTTGTTAATATTCATCGATGTTATGGCAAGCGTCACCATTCGAGACACGCCGCGACTTCTCAATTACCACACCCAAATCCTTGCTGAGATTGACGATGGAACACCTGTTGTTGGTGATGCTGGTGTCCAGCTCTCATGCATCGTTGGATGTCATAACTGGGTCATCCGGTCAATTGCGGATATCTCAGTCTTGGATGTATGGAAAAGGGAACAAATTCGGTCTAATGATCTCTCCGCTACGGAACTCAACAATCGCGCCGTCAACATTTCCTATGAATTGGATCAGTTTATCGACACAACTCTAAGCCGCGTCACTGCCCGCGCTCAAGAATATCCAGATGGGGACGTTCCATTCCAACCGCAGCTTTCATCTTCAGGCAATGCAACAGCATTTTTGGTCTGGGCATATGCGGCAAAATTGTATCTATCAATTGTCACCGACGGCTGGCAACCTTCTGCCCCTAAAGTTAGAGCCAGTGTCGGTGAAATTATCGCTTTGCTCAGAACAGTTGCGCCAGTACAAATGCGTACTCTCGCTTGGCCACTTTGTGTTGCTGGTTGCCTAGCGCAGCGTTCTGAGCAACACCTCTTCCTAGGACTCATTGTGCATCTACCTAGAACCCTCAAAGCGGGCGCACTGGATGATGCTCAGCATATCATGCGAAAAGTTTGGTATCCCAAAATGCTGTTGGATGCTAGCACATGGGACCTTGCATCTTGTTTCGCCATCCTAGGGTCACCGATTTTGCTCGTCTGAGGACCATGTCAAGTCAATCAATCGAATTGTCTAAGACTATAGGCTATGCCGCGCCATCACTCTGACTGATCCGTGCTTATATTTCTCCAAGACTGCCAACCCTAATCGCATTTGAAACAGTTGACAACTCAATGGCCTTTCCAAGCGCCAATGATTGCCTTGATACTCATCGTCTTAATCTCCGGGAACTTCTCGTTCAACGAACCCTTCGTCGGATAATACATAATACCCGTGACAGCCCACAGTCCGAATTTAGACAAAATCTCCGCAAGCAAAGGCTTTGGAAAGAACTCGTACAGGTACGGGTGAGAAGGTAGCTCCGTGATCTCACCGTTACGCAGCTTTTCGGCTGAGTCGTAAGTGATGGTGAACTTGTCGCCTGTTCGCACGGTCAGCTTAATCATCCATATAGTTGAATCGTGATTCTTACCAGTCGCCTCCTCAGCCAGCTGGATGATCTGCTTAACCGACGCCTGATCGCTGTAAACGTGCATAACTTCATCCCAATTCTCCAAGCTCAATGTTGCTACAACAAACTTCGCGAGATCCTTAGTGTAAGTGAGGTTGATCATCTCATCACCAGTGGTTCCAGGAATCGCAGCTTTCCTATGCGCAATGTCTACAAAAATCACAAGAGGGCTGAGGTAGGATTCGACGTGTGGCATGCCGTAGTAGTCGAGGAAGAGTCCGTTGTGAATTTGCGTCCATTCGAGATCTGTCTTGCGGAGGACTTCGAGACTTTGCTCGCGGAATATGTTGGGTGCGATGCGCAGAGACCTGAGAAGAGGCGCTGTCAGCAACAGACTCTATGAACAACTCTTTGCAAAACACTCACACATCATCAGGCGTTTTATCACCCCAATTACTCTGCACGAAGCGCTTCACGGTAGCCGAATTGGTTGCCGCCGCGATTAAGTTGCGCTCTGATTGCGCGGCAACGGGGTTGTACATGACGATGGTGGAGATTACTGTGTGAACCTTGTGCTCGTCGAGAGTTTGGGTGATCTGATCGATGTTTTTGTAGTCAAGCGCGAATGTTGGGATGGAGAGCTCTCCTTGAGGAACCTTAAGATTGTAAACAATACATCATGAGAAAGACTGGATTTGGGTTAGATGCTTACCTTGCGACCGAATACAATCACCTCATGCGTTCCATCTATTTTTAAGGCATCGACGATAGTCTTGCCAACGTTACCGGTTCCTCCAACGACGGCGACGACGACCATGGTGTGTGTTCTTGTTGAGAAAGGGGAAGCGGGCGTTTCAATGGGTGTAGATGTGCTGATAATGTAGACGCTTGATATGAGCAAACTTCAGTGGAAGATCTCTTGATGACGCTGAAGATGTTGAGAACACTTCCATGAGAGAATCAGGCCCGCTTTATAAATGTTTCGTCACCTCAACCGGAGCAATCGATCGACCGCTGAAGCAGACCCCTTCCCAAAAGCAATAGCAGCGCGGACAAACTTCGAGCCCCGAGTAACATCTCCAACATGTTGAAGCTGCAGTCATTGTAGACGGCGGAGGCTACCACTGGATGATGGCCGCGGTCAGATTTTAGTGGAGGCACTAGCCCCAGTTGGCACACCCGCGCGGGCTTCTCAACATGGCATCTTACGAATGATCGACTTTTCTCATACCACAACCATCAGAATTGAATCACTCCTGGATTTCCGAAGCTGTTTGAGCGGGTCGTAATGCGTAAGCTTATTCAATAGTCATATTAATGTTACTAATATGGCACCAACAGCTACGGATGTTCGGTGCATTTCAGACACCGAGGCGACAATGAGGGAACATTCATGTCATCTCAGTACCCAGACCACGGGTCCGAGTGCATCATCACAAGTCTATGCCAACCAGCGCAGAAACAAAAGACGGATTGTTTATCAGACGAGATAGAATGCTCGTGACGCAGATCGTATTCTTGTTAACAGCAGTTTACTCAAGTCCCTCACGAACGCTGTACTACGATCCAAACGCCGAAATACTCCTCCATGGCACCCTGGCCATTGCAAACATTCAAACAATCATCAGTACAGTGGCGCACCATGGTATCTCAATAAAGCAAGCCAGTCTGAGCTCCTCTTTGTCGTCTCGCAACACTCGAGTACTGTCCACTCTCCAGATTCACCAATGGGTCGTGCTTTGCTGTTCAACACCAAATATTTTCCATCGACGATGCCAAGTTGCATGAGCTTTTCCACCCCAGCATAATTGTCCTTCCGGATCGCGTTGAGAACTGAAGGAAGTTGCGGTCGATGCAGAGCACGGCCTGCGTCCCACTGGTAGACCATATCGATGAGTTCGGCGTACCTGAACTTGGTTTCTACATCCTTATCCGTATCAGTGCAGAGCAAGATCGAGTCATATGCGGGTGGCAAGGCTGCGATCTCACCACGGCTGGCGGCGGCGGAGATGAAGTCGAGCAGAACACGCACGTTGTTCTTGTTGTTGCGCTTGATGGCGATGTCGAGTGCCTCGTAAGTCAGTTCTGGAGCCATTGGGAGCATTTCGAGCAACATAACTGTTGCTGCTTCTCCGCTTTCGCTTGCGGCGAACTGCAGGATGTTCATGTTCTCAATGGCAGGGTCTCGAGGATGTGCGCCAGATCGTAGAAGCACTCTTGAGACTTCCAGTCTGTCTAATGCAAGAGCAACAACGAACGGTAAGGCTTTGGTTTCTCTCTTGTTGCGCCTAAAGAAGAGCTCTTCTCTGACCAATGTCGGCTTGTGCTGGAGAAGAAGCTCGACAGCTTGCGCCGCGTCTGCCGATATAGCTCTGCCTAGCGGTGTCCTCAGCCCCACATCGGTCTGCGTGCGCTGAACGAGGCTAAAGTTGAAGTCTCTATCGACAAGCAGATGAAGTATACGAAGCGCGTCTTCCGGTCTCTTTTGCCACGTCTCTTTGGTTAACGCATTGACGGGCGATACAAAGCGGGTCTTCTTCTCCTGGTGTTGCTGCAAATCGTCTTCCCTCTCATAGTCCTTTGGTGCGCCTTTCAACGTCAACATTTCTTCAACTGTATCGGCCCAGCCAGCGCTCACGAAACAAGCAAGTGCTGAAACTTCGTAAGTGGTTTGCCAAGGTCGATATTGGTAGTTGGCAGATTGCAGCTCGCTTTTGCTGTCGAACAAGCCTGACACAAGAGCGGTCGGGTCAAATCTCGAACTGCCCATGATGAACTTCATCACGCTCATGCCATCCTCAACGTTCTTCCACCGAGATATGCCGTCCAGCACACTCGACTTCGGCAGGCGTACTTGGGTCTCAGCCCAGTAGTGTTGTGTGCTCTCAATTTCTCGTGGCCATTGCTCAGTCATGGGATTGGCACCATGAGAGGCGATAAGACAGCTGGCGAGCTCTGCGTGGCCCTTGTATGCAGCCGACAGAAGCGCATAGTCAGTAGGGGTATACTTGACCTTTAGGCGAACTTCACCGTAACTCGCACCATTGCGAAGTAAAAAGTCCACAACTCTTGCGTGCCCTGCCGCTGTCGCCTTAGCCAAGGCTTCGTGCTTGGTCTTCTTTGTTCTGCCTGCGGGATCCGCGCCCATCGAAACCACAGCTTTCACGAGGGATAAGCTGCCCTCCTGTGCAACCTCTTCTAAGAGCTGATTCAAGACCTCTGGAGAGGTGCCTCCGCTGCTGGTGCCTGCTGTGTTTGATCTTTTGAAGGGAAAGCCTTTCTTGATCGACGAACTTGTCGAGCTTTTTCTGCTTGATGTGATGTCTTTCTTCTCAAGACGGCGCGCAATTTCGGCCGTCGCCTGATTTGAGGTCATGTCGGGCGCCTCATTCTCATACGCGCCCGTCGTGAAAGCAGCTACCGAGAACTTGGGTTTCGAAAAAGAGCTACTTGGAGAGCCAATTGAAGGCGAGCGAATTTGTACTGAAGTGACACTGCTGCTCTTTGTGCTACTCACGGTACCCATGCGAGATAATGTTGCCGGTGGGAGATTGGTTGAACTCATAAGCAATCGCAGAGGCGCAGGGTGTTGTCCCCCCAGATTAAGCGATGCCATCGAGTCACGAATTCCACCTTCGCTGCTACCTGCGTTGGACATTGGTGGCGTCATAGGCATTGTTGTAGCCCTTTTGAACATCAGAGGCTGCGGAGTGTCCGGATTTGAAGGCGATTGCGGTACCAGTGTTGGCGCTTGTGACGAATAGTATGGGCTGCTCTGGGGCATGTGAGATCTTGTAGATAGCGGCGCCGGTACTGTGCTGGGCGACGACACTGAATGACCCATAAGTGGCCTTGGGAAACGTTCATTGAGTATCAAGTCTGCCGAGTACCCAAGTGATGAAGTTCGAGGCGGAGCCTCCTTCGCGACCTGCAGGCCTTCTGCATGTCTTCTGTACTGTGGTACATGCGCAGCTAGATCATAAGATGCGTTGGCAAATTTCGAAGCTGTTGGCCGTTGATCTCTAGGGGAAATCGATGGTGCAGAACCATTCAGCTCCTGAACAGTCGTTGTGGCCAGCTTCGCCGGTCTTGCGTAGTCCCATTGTAGTCCTCCATACATGGTAGCGTATTCTTCTAGTCCATCTGCAAAATGACCTTCCGGATTCTGTGTTATAGTTTGCTGCTGCATGTTGAGTGTCGCGCGTTACACGCTGTCCAGGAACCTGGGTGTCAAGGATGGGTATGTCGGGCTGGAGGGAGATGAAGCGGGGTAGGAACCGCTGCCTAGCTGTTATTGATTGCCTTCCTGACAGCCACCATGCGGCTGAGAGGCCGTATCAAGACAGATGCTAAGCAAAACTGGGACTGCAGGGCTGCAGTTATTCAACGAAACAGGCCCATCCGGCGCGGCACAGGAATGAGGTTCCATCGTGAGCTGACCGACGGCAGAAACGGAGATGGATACGAATGTATACGATCTATCCTAAAGAGCGGGTGGGGTGGGGGAGAGTCGCTACGGACTGCTGAGAAAGGTGATTGAAGTCCCACGTGGGGCCCTTGATTGGTCGATCTTACCGCTTGGCGACAACGCCTCCAATTTCACTACCTTATCCATCACTTCTTAAATACCTTCGGCACCATCAACTCACGTGCTTAAAACATCATGATACCAACGTTCTCATCAAGTGCATGAAGATAAAGTCATATCAGTCCTGCGGCAAGGCATTGATGTCGCACACTGTTCTCAAAGGACTAGCGTTTCTTCTGCGTGCTCTCATTGGTCAGCTCTCTTAGTCAACCTGTTCTCGCACTGAGTTCATATTCAGGGTTATCCATAGCACTCAATCGACAGTTCCTCCACATTCATCACACACTGGCAAAGTTTACCATGTGCATGTAGTATCGTCACACAATGTTGAAAGGCAAAAGACTAATCAAGAGCTTATGACTGGAGATATTCAGACTGGAGAATAACATCTTGAAATGACTCCGAAGCAATGTTATGAGGTCAGATGCCTCTGATCGTATAGAAGACTGGATAAATTACCTTTTGACGATCAACCGCTGTGCGAACGATCATCTAACAGGAGCCAGGTCGTCTTGGACATGATTTCTGCGCAGCGCAATGATAGAACCATCTGTATCTCCGCCGGCGACTATGCTTTCGATGGTATAAATTTCAAGAGGTCATGAATCAAAGGCCATACACTCGAGTCGCAGGAAGCTCGGTCATACATCGGCCTTCATTGAGTCTTAGTCTGATCCTTCAATGTCATGGACAAGACCCAAATCCTCAAATCTTTTCCAAGCAGCAACGCATACACGTATAACGAGTTGATATGAATCACTGATAAGGGAAGCTCCTGGTGATACAATTGCAACCAAAGTGCAGCAATGGAAGTCTATCATAGGCGTTGTGGTTGATTCATTCATCCTATCTACGTTGAGGTTGAAGATAGGCCCGAGGGGTCAGACCTCCTGCCCTGCTGATTGGATGGAGGCCTGCTCTCTCCCCATCCAAAGTTCGACAGGACCAGACTGCTCCAACTTCAACTTAACGCACCTCACGGGCGAGCTGATCTGTTAGGGAGCGTGGACAATACGCATGTGGAAAGAATTGAAGGAATGGACTGAGGTTGTATTGGGTTAAGCTACGAACAATATGTATAGGTGAGCGACAGTAAACAACGTTAGTGTAACGAGGCAGTCACCCTCATGGCAGGTGAGGTACAACAGGTGAGGTACGACAGGCAGGAGTCACCCTAAACCGTGGCATGATCACTTTTGCCAAGAAGTACTAAAAGCCTAACAACTCTCCCAATTTTTGACATATCCTATTGAAATTTAATTTGATGTATCCCATAATGATTGCCAAATTGTATGGACCTCCCTGAATTTGGGACCGTGATACAGACAGTGAATGTGCACCGTGGTTTTGCTGTGCGGGCAAGTTTGTGAGTGGTCACTATCCACGTGTGTCCTGCAGTAGGTCTACCAACGTGTCACACCTGTCGAACCAAAGACATACAGCCACTCGGAAGCTCTCGCTTCTGTAAGGCGTAGGAAACATGAGCTAGCCTGCCAGACTTAGGGGGGTCCGTACATTTTGGCAAGCACTGATATTAAATTAGCTAACATCCTACCTCACAAACCTGAACTCCATATACCGATCCCTCACCCACGCCCTAATCAAGCTCCTACCCGGCGTAGGTGTCTCTGATGTTTCGGAGGGGTGAACTACTCAGTCAAACCACGCTAGTCCCATTTGGGTAATGGATACCCGTGGAAACCATCCCAACAGATTCTGGACTTGTTCTGGACTTTTGGCGCCCCAGGCGCTGCTTCGGCCGCAGGTCAGGCTATGGTGAGTGCGGAGAGTCTCGACAATGACCATCCCAGAAAACATGTCAACAACCTAGATGGCTTGCCGTTGAGGTTGAGGAGTGCGCATTATGCGTTGATGGAGAACTTTCTTGATACGCCTATTGTTCAACACATCAAAACTAGAGGCTAATGGGGTGTAAAAGATTCGCGCTCACCGCTGCTCTGGCGCAAGTCCTTGCGCCCAACGATGCGCAGATCGTGAATCTGCTTGGCTTTCATGTCATTGCGAAGCTGCTTGTGCACTACCCAGCGTATCTGGGCAACATTGCTCTGCCCAGGACGCTGGCGCACATCAGTGCAACGATTGCGTTGATAGACGTGGGCTGGAGGCTGGCTACTGGTGCATAGGCAAGTTCACGAGGAATACGTGAGGGTACACTGAGGAGAGAACAGGAAGCATGGGTAATGTCGAGGGTTCGAGCTGTCAGGAAACTTTTGGATAGTGATGAGCAACAAACGATCATGCGAACAGGTGTAGCGAGTGGAAATGAGGTGAAGGACAGCAATGTAGGTATACAACTACCGGATGAGGTAATAAAAAGAGGACCAGCAAGTGCGCAGCATAGTGAAACATCTGCTGTAGTGTTTATGCCTGTGTATGCCTGCGAGTTCGCCTCGTGGAGCTCATGACTGAGTACCAAAGGACCGGTGAAGTTGAAGCGGCCTTGATAGAATTGTGCTTCATAAGTGTCTGCGACGATGTCTCCATCAGCACGAGGCTGGAACTGGTATGGATACGTCCGCATCGTCAGAAGTAGCGCTAGTTAGCGTGTCAAAGTCGACGTCACCGACACAGGCAGGATGTCCGCCACCACAGCCAACAGCAGTGGAAACGTTCTGCCAGAAAGCTTCTGCGTGCTCATGGCCAGCGTCAGGAACAAAGCCAGGGGACATGACGTAAGCTTGCTTGAACAGCTGCTTAGCGTGATCAGCAAATCGAATCAGCTGGAAGAGTATCTGGCTTCCACCAGCAGAGAAGCCATGGCAGTGACGGTATCTGCATCACCTCCGAATTCGCCAATGTACTTCTGGACCCACCTGAACGCGTGCTCGACGTACCAGATGGCAGCACTGGTAGTACCACCCTTATGGGCGTATGTTAGTCCATTTGTCGGGAAGCGTGGACAGTGCGCATATGGGAAGAATTGACGGATTGAACTGAGGTTGTATTGGGTGAAGCTACGGACAGTATGTATAGGTGAGTAGCTGTAAACAACGCTAGTGTGACGTGGCAGTCACTCTTATGGCAGGTGAGGTTCGACTGGCAAGAGCGCCCTGAACCGTGACACCATTGCTAAGTCCATTGATGCCCAGTCGGTAGTTGTACGAGCCGAATATGAGCTCGGTGCTTAGGTTGAAGAGGCCCTCTGGTGTATTCTCGGCTTTCGAGCCGCCGGTGAAACCACCACTGTATGTCCAGACCAGAACTGGCAGCTTCTTGCCCTCCAGGATGTTTGCTAGTGCCCAGACGTCCATGGACAAGCAGTCTTCCGCTGGATTGCAGGCAACGAACGAATTTGCAAGATCACCGCTATTGACCTCAGACTCCTGTTCGAGCCATTGCGGGGCAGCGAATCGAAGGTCGCCGGTAGGAGCGGTGGGAAGCGCAGAGATCAAAGTTGCTCCACCAAGCGAGAGGATGGCTGTTGTGAATCACATATCAGGGACAAAAATTCTGAGAAACGACAGGAAATCTCGAAGGGCTGAGAAAAAGACGGTTGAGAGTGACTTATGAGATGAGAATACTCGAGCGCAACCTACTCAGGTCAATACGGCCTACATCCATAGCCATCTACGTCAATCTGCCGTCTAGCCTTCACGGACGCGTACAATTCTCTGGTGACGGCCTTCATTGGGTGTGACTGCTGAGCGGCGTGTCAGTGCCCAGGGAACGTTCCCTCAGCCCTATGAGGCGGTTTAAATCTGTCCGCTAGCCGTATTTGGCCTAGCTTCTTCACAGCGTTGATCTATTTCACATAGTCGTAGCTCAAAAAAGATTAATGACACAATGCTTCTCAACTGTTCCTATTGATACGGCGACAAGGAGCTATGCTGGAGTATGGCCCAAGTTTCGAAACATTGCTAGAACCTCTTTGCCTGCGTTGATCTACTCAGCCTTGTCGTATGTCCAATGGCCACCCCAGACGTGACAAGTGGTGACAGCAGTGAACTACGCGTTCAGCCACTTGGGGAAGGGTTCCACGCACAAGGCATTGAAGCGGAAGGTGCGTTTGTCAATGTGGTCGTGCGTACGCGGCTGCGCGCAACTTCATTAATAGAGATGAGGCGCGGAGAATGTCCTACCCTGGTTATCAGATCTAGATGTCGCACAGAGCGTCATTAGCATCAGATATGCAGGCGCAATGAGGACGAAGGTTCGGTGCTAGATTGGTGGGCGGTGAGATGAAAGGTGGACGCGTTGCCTGAGGAGGCGGGGCCTGAAATTCCGCTGAACCTCAAAGTCAGGACTCAACACTATGCAACGAGCGATTCTTCCTCACCTCAGATTTCAATGACCTTGTCCTCAATCAATTCTTCTAGTCTCGTCCTCTGTCCCCAGAATCTGGTGCAAGAATAACAAAAGACAACGTAGCTCCGGCGCACTCTGACTTTTGAGTAACCAACAACGACTATCTTCACTCAAGCATTCAGAAGCACGAGACAGCAGAGCCATCAAGCCCATTGCCGTCTTCGAGAAAGTATTGCGGCGTTGTGGATTTCCCCGCGTCAACTACCTCCATACGGTCGATTGCAAGACCAACCGTCAAGTTTGACACGGCACAGAAGAGAAACGCAAGAAATCATAATCCATCAATTTGTGTGTTCCCGCCGCTGGATTACAGCTGCCCTCGAACAGAGGTGCCGAGGTGAGGACGGTGAAGAATGTAGAAGTTTAATCAACAAACGCCTTGATGGTGTGTCGAAAACATTACACAACGCGTCAAGCTCCCCAAAAGCTCAACGGATTTGTTGTCTTGTTGGCGAAACTTGCAATGGGTAAACGTACCAGTACCCTACAGTTGAAGTTCTCTACCCCATGATCATATCTTCTTCACCATCATACATACTCCTTGTACATGCTTACAACAGGCCACAGGTCGCTGTTGAAGCAGTCACGAATTTTGGCTTCACCTGGATTTTGGTATGATCTGTAACGGTATATAAAGCCTTCTGAACTCTAGAGTTAAGTAGGTCGGCCTTTTTGACCGCGACATCTTCTCTCGTCTCGACCAACGGCACGAGAGCGGGGGTCTCGACGCTAGTTGAATAGCACGAAGAAAAACACCTCTCTTCTATTTTCACTTCCTCCGACTTTGTCTCGTCAATCTGCCTCATAGACATACCCTCGAGCATGTCGTCAGCAGGGAGCTCCGATACTGCTAAAAGCAGTCAACGCAGTCGTCCAAGTATTTCGTAAGTCCAATCCTTGACAATTCTATGCGGGGCCTGACAACCCCTCTTCAGCGCCCCAAATCTGGCGTCCACTACTGTCATTGTCGGCGAGGAGGAAGACGCTTTGTCATTCATGAGTCTGTTCTCACGCACTATTTTGATTTCTTCCGCCCGGCTCTCACCGGAAATTTCAAGGATGCTGAAACCAAGGCGGTGACGCTGAGAGGAAGAATCCGCAACGTTCAAGCTCTTTTCCCTCTGGCTCTACTACCAGAGCTTCCCCAATCGGGAAAAACACCACGATCCGGAACTTGTGAGCGCATTTAATGATAAAGGCTTGCTGGATGACGAGGCTTTAGTGAAGCTGTATGTCTTCGGTGACTAATATGTAACTACGTGGCTTAAGTCACATGATATTCTATTGAGGAAGGCACTGCCCGAGGGCAAGTGCACTTACCACTGAGCCAAGAGCTCCTGTACACAAACACCACGAGACAGCAATACAATCATTGACCACAGTCTCTGACCGATACTGCTCACGCAATTACAGTTATGAGCCCGGCTGTTGACTTCAACTGCTGTATTTGCTACTGCATGCCAACGAGCTATTGACTGATGTCAACAGAGCTACGTCATCGAACCGCTACTGAGAGCCTCCTCGGGCGCACTGCTCCATACGAGAGTCGACATCTGAGAGCCGATAGAGCCTGACTTGAGAAGCCTGCAGACTGAGAGGAATAGATCTTTCTACAAAAGGGTAGCACGGACAGGCATCACCTGTGGTCAATGGTCAATCCTGACCTCGACAAGATAGCCCTTGAGAAGCTTGAGGAACCACCAGCTATCAAACCAGAGCAATACCATGATGAGACAGAAGAGGACACCAGCATTGTACTCAGGCACATGACAACTGAGGGGTTCCAGAGTAAGCTGGCAAATGGTAGGGGTTGGGTTGGGGTTGCACAGACTGTGGGTAGGGGTTGGGTCGCACAGACATTGACACAGCCAATCAAGTATGTGATAGCCAGCTGTGATAAAAGGCTCTGATTGGCGATACCCTAGCTGGGTCTGACGTAATACAACCCTGTTGCGATTTGTGCCTTAAGCAAAGCTTGTAGACACTATTCGATTGGTTCTTGGGGATGAGCAGAGGTACAGAAAGCCCGTAGGGATTGACAGTCACCTAAGCAAGGCTCGGGTGGTCAGGGGTAGACTATCCGGGCGAGGCGGTAGTAGCCTTTGTAATAGTCAGGTAGTTGTCTAGTCAAAGACCGTGGCGACTGGTTGCAATGAGTAGTACAGAGTATACTGTCTGGCTCAAGAGCAAGTGAGATTCCAATAACAAAGTTGATTGATGAGGTTGAACACGATGCCATAAGGGCAGCGTGTCTACTTGTTATATACTTTAGCAGGAGGATTTGCTCAGATTGCTTGGTATCGAGTATACTGCTCATACCAAGTATACTGACGCGGCCTAACTTGCTTGAGTTGCTTGACCAGGATTGATGATCATACTGAGTATCGCTGACGCGTCCTAACTGCTTGAGTCGCTCGAGTTGCTCAACTGAGAGTGATGATCATACTGAGTATCGCCGACGCGGTTGTTACAATCAAAGGGCAACCCGCAACAACACTGAACGAACAGGACTACGCAACGATACGAGAGGAGCCGAGGAACTGTGGTATTGATCGACCCGAGCAGTGGGCTGCGTTGGCAATACTCAGTATGATCATCACTCTCAGTGGAGCAACTCAAGCAACCAGAGCAGTGGGCCGCATCGGCAATACTCGGCACGAGCAGTATACACAGTACGAGCAGTATACACAGTACGATTGGTATACTCGGTACGATCAGTATACTCGGTACCGAGCAATCTGAGCAATCCTCTGCTCATGTATATAGCAAGTAGACACACTGTCCTTATGGCATTGTGTTCAACCTCGTCAATCAACTTTGTTATTGGAATCTCACTCCCTCTCGAGCCAGACAGTATACTCTGTACTGCTCATTGCCTCAGTCGTCACGGTCTTTGACCAGACGACTACCTGACTATTACAAAGGTTATTACAACCCGCCCAGATAGTCTACCCCTGACCACCTGAGCTTTGCTTAGGTGACTGTCAACCCCTACGGCTTTCTGTACCTCTGCTCATCCCCGAGAACCAATCGAATCGTGTCTACAAGCTTTGCTTAAGGCACAAATAGCAACAGATATAAGAGTGTAGAAGAGACCAAGTATGGGAATACCACAAGTGGTGAAAAGGATAAATGATTAAGAAGGGATCAAGTGTGGGAATACCACAAAGGATCAGTGAGGAGTGAAAACAAGTATTGAATTGCTGAATTGCAAGCATGAGTTATCTGAACAGGAGGGCAGGCTGCCTTTATAGACAGACTGCTGTCTCCTTGTGAGGTCAATATAGGCAGGCAATCGGACACAGGATGGATTGGGGCCGTCTGAGGCCAGATGGAATGAGATTAGACGAATCCTTGATGGCTGAGCCTCAAGGTTCGTGAGGAATACATACAGGTGGCCCGTGAGCCTCCGGCCCAGCTCCGGAGTCTGTCCTGTTGAAATAGACACCTGAGAAGGATATGGGTGAAGTAGATTGATTAAAGTATCGAACAGAATCTGGGAAGAAGTACTATATAAGCCCAGCCTCCTGTGATGACATGACCAGCATTTGTCATGTCCGAGGGCTGGCTGGTACATGTAAGGAGAGAAATACCCGTGACACTCCTCTAAAGTTCATGACGTCGTGTACGGTGCAATGCTCAATTCGAGTGAGATTCGCAGGAAATTGCGCAAACAAGAACGGGGTGTTCTGAATGAGCAGCCTGATCCGAGTTTGAGAAATCCTCCATCCGTGGCATATAGGTTTCAGGGACTAGCAATCACGTATCACCATTGTTTAAAGATAATGGCAGCATTGTTTTACTTAAGGAAGTACAGTTCTGCCCAATCACCCCATTGTCGAGTCGGAAGTCATGGTCGCACCTATTTGCTATGATGGCGATTCGGCCGGTGTCGTGACAACATTGTCGACGTTTCAGAAGAGTCAACGCGCCCGCAGCATTGGTTGTTGGACGTTTGTCGTAGTGGCCTTTGCAGTAAATCTTGATCTGGCGTTGAACAGTATTCCCTACGACGAACCTTGGGTGGAGCGAGTCTGCAGCTTCGATGGCGAGTCCGGCGTCAGGCATAACAAACAACCGTGCAAAGTCGTAACGCACGAGTTGAGTACCTATGTTCTTGAAGTTTCGACCTAGTAGAGACTTCATGGCATCAATGATGTCCCAGAAGTTTCTTAGGGGTATGCAAACAACGCTGGACGTGAGTTGCCGAAGATTATCGTCAAGCGATTGGTATGGACGACTGTCCTCTTCGGCTTTGAAATCTAGACGGAATTTGGACGGGAACGAAAGTCCATTGCTGCGCCGAAAATTAGCACAAGCTTACTTCCTGCACAAAGCGGACAATGTAGTCGCGTATAGTAGGGCAGTCTTGGGCGCAGATATTGATGAACGTACCCTAGGCTTCTCGCAGATTGCCTTACGTGGAGTTGGTTTTAAGCTCGTAGAGCGAATTTATACATGTGGTGAGCTGATTGCTGGCCGCGAATAGCGGGGGCGATGGACGGCCCGACTGTAGATAGCATGAGGTTCTAGAGGTGGGCATCGTGTATGTGCCATTGATCAAACTCCTGGTTTCGGCGCAGCTTTTCCGTGCGTTTGCCGTTGTTGAACGGGCGAACGTACTGATTGTACTCCTCGGCGGTCTTCAGCGTAGCTTGTATAGCTGCCTCATCCATCTTTGTGGCGATCTGTGCGTGCTTCAGCACCGTTGAGTGGCGGCGTTGATGGTTTGTTTATTCCAGTCTTTCCAATTCTTACCGTCTGCATGGAGCTGGACTGAGATACGGGCCGCTAAGGCGTTTGTGGCGAAGGCCTGCAACATGATGAACCGTGGTTCTATGATTTGGGGCTTGTCGCTGTTTTGCTGCCAGTTGTACGGCCCGTAGGTCGCGCACTGCTGACGCGTTTTGTTGTTGTTGTTGTTGTGAAAGTGACGAGACTGGAACGCAACAGCACTTCAACAGATTGTGTGCGGCGGAAGACGGGCAGAGGGACTTATAACCTGTCAATAGAGACAAAGTGAGCCGCGTTGTTTTTGCTAGCAGCTATCTGCGTGGTGTTTATCTACCCGGAGAGAAGCTGTAGGCGCTAGCCAGAAAGAGGAAGGCGCGGAGCCTATAGAAGAAAGGGACGCAGTCAAGGTACCGTCTGATAAGCCTCCTGGTGAACGACCCAGGCACGAGTGTACCATCGGTCAAGACTTGTTGTCGGAGGGAGTGAAGATATCCACCGATCGCCATCTGTTTGCTAGCGGTCCGTTGCAGTGTTTGCTAACGGTCCGCTGCACTGATCGTCCAGCTCATTCGGTTAGCTCGGTTTGCTTCCCCAACCGTTCACTGCTATTCCCTTCTACTATATAGTCTCGATCGATTCTAGCCAATAGCTCGTAAGATCGATCAACATCTCAACCCTTCAACACTTGTTCTGTACAGAACGCCGAGAATCAGGTAGCAGAACTCGTAGTCGATCATGCTACGCACCCTGGCCTTGTCCAAGAACATCAGCGCTTCGAGAACGTCGAGCTGTGCCTGTGTATCAATTTCGACATCCAGAAGCCCAGCCGTAACAATCGCCCTGTTATAGACGATATCCTTGGAATTTATATCGAGCTCCTGCTCGTCTTCGTCGGCTTTGAAACTGTGCTTGGTCAGCTGTGACAGACATTCCTGATCGATCCAGATCATGCAGGTTTTTGCGATATCCACAGCAAGGTCCAGAACATCGTCCAAGGCTTGGTTGGCGAACTTGTCCGTTGAGGCCTCGCATTTGGTGCTGTCGTGGTGCCGGCTTTTTATCTCGAGGTGGCCAACAGTAAGAGACTGCAACATAGTGCTGGCAGGAGTCCACAGCATAACCGCCTTCTTGAACGTATTCGAGGGTGGGTTTGATCAGACGAACCTTGTGAGGTCTCCACGCATGTGGAAACTCAGGATACGTTGAGCAAACATGGCATGCAAAGCTTTCGGAGCCATGCGCGTGTTCCTTGTGTGAGCTCGATGCTTCGACAACCTTCACAACACCGTCATCGTAACACATCCTCTGAGCGAACACCAACATTCCATCCTCATCGTCACTGTCGTACCGAGGAACTTTGACGTCTGTGTCGTCGTAGACAGGGAATTTGATGTCGTTCATCGCCCAATCCAAAGCCTTTGCACGTTCAATTTTGTGCTTCGAAAGCTCTGCTATTCCTCCGAGGTCCATGGAGCGCGGATCGGGTTCGGAATCCACAAGATCGTTCTTTAGCTTGTATTAATTCGATCGGTCTTGTGTCAGGTCTATGTCTTGGTTGTCGTCAGACCGCCCGCATTTTTGTCGTCAGCTGTCTCTTTCTATTCCGTTTTGTGGTTTTATTTTTTGTTCAAGATAGTGTAAGGTATGAAATGCAAGACAAGAATAAAATTAAAATATAAAAGCAATTCCAAGAATTCATATCAAATTGCCTGTATTCGCAGGCAACCGGTGCAAGGCTGAAACGCCAAGTGTGCAATATGGCTGAGTCTCAGCAGAACGCTTTACCTGCATGCCTTGCCACCGCAGACCACTCAAAACAAGCGAGCAGCTGCTAGAACACCACGCAGCCCAGCCTTCAACTTGCTATTGCCCAACAACTAGAGGAGAAACAAAAGGTTTAAATAGACAGAATTAAAGAGTAAGCAAATCTCTACCTTTATACAGCTTTGTAGAGTTTTAGTGAAAAGGGAGGGTGCAGAACAAGCCTACAACAACAGGCACCCTTTGCGGTACGAACATTTCTTGAAACTGGGTGCTTGCGCCAGCGCGTATGCAGTCTGCGCTAAGCTTGTCCATTGGGGGCGGAGAGAATTTAGTTATCAAGACCGTGAGAGGTGTTCAAGAAACAACAGCAGAGTTACAAGTATACAAGAGAAGACTACGCAAAAGAGATAGTCATTTCGAAGAAGGTGAGGAGTGAATGAGGAGGCAAGAGGCAGGCGGCAAAAACTTAAAAAGAGGAAGGAGGATTCACCAACAAGCAAAAACACTAGCAGCCTCTAGCATCCCCAACGAGAGCGATAGATAGATAGTAAGAGGTAAAAAGAATCGAGGAATCCTAGTCTTGCTAGGCACCGAAGCTAATGTCGCTTCTGTGGATCGAACACAGTACCTCCAGATTTAATGACTGAACTTCAGTCTGGCGCTCTCCCAAGTGAGCTAAAGCGACTGAATTGATGAAACCTCAATAAATAATAATTTTAATATTCTAGTAAATACAAAAGACATTTTCAGCGTTGAGTCATTGCTTTTCATCAGCTAGTCGGCTTTGCGGCGGGATTGAGCTTTTACAATAAGCATATGTGTGGCGGGGCAGCATGTGCGTTAATCAAACAGAAGCGAGAGTTTGAAGACGGATGGGCAGGAACATCGAACGCGTCCAGACTTGGCACTAAGTAGCACGCCGTGACATCACCATTCGGACCATTCGGCGATGCAATTGTTCGTAAACATCTGGAAGCACGCGGCTTCTGCTATCATCCCTTTGCTGCCTTGCGCATTGAATCAACAATATGGCCGTGGTAGAGAACTGGCTGCCTCCGTCGCGTGAGAACTGGGAGTGGATCAGCTATGTCTGGCAGTTCTTCCCTCTAGTGAGTCGTAATCTACGCGCACAGAAGCGACCTTACTAACAATTGATTTTACAGATCACAGCTTTCCAATGGGTCATTGATTGGTACCCCCAGGGCAAGACGTCTACAGAGGCATGGTGGAATGTACCGGGCAAGATAGGATGGGCGACGATGGAGTCTGTAGGACCCATTACACTGCTGTACATATTCTTCACGCTGCCGAAGAAGCAGGGCATTGAAGAGCTGCCATGGGGTAACTGGACGATGGTCGGCTGCTTCGTAAGTCACCCTGCTAGGCCAGTCGCGAAAATCGCTGACCAGTTCCCAGGTTACACACTACGTCTACCGCGCCATTATATCGCCGCTGTTCCTCAACCCTAGCATGTCGCCCATGAGCCCGCTCGTGTGCTTGATGATGCTCGCTTTCCAGGTCACCAACGCCACCTCGATCGGCGGATACCTCTCAGGCTACGGGCCAACGACTGTCATCGACTGGCAAGGTCGCGCAGGGTGGATGTTCCTAGGGCTTGTCATCTGGTGCTGGGGACTGCTAGGCAACATGTTTCACGACGACGACCTGCGCGAGATCAGGCGAGCGGCAGAGCGTAGGCAGCGCAAAGACGCAGCCGAGCAGAACAAACCCATCGAAGGTGTGGACAAGGTATACATGCTCCCAAAGAACGGGCTGTTCAAGTATGTCTTATACGCGCACTACTTCTGCGAATGGATTGAGTGGGCGGGCTGGTGGATGATTGGCGGCCTGAATTGCCAGCCAGCCCGAACGTTCCTTATCAACGAAGTCAGCACAATGCTGCCTCGCGCGTTGCAGGGCAAGCGGTGGTATGTGGAGAAGTTTGGCAAGGACAAGGTGGGAAACCGAAAGGCTGTGATTCCAGGCCTGGTGTAGACTCGAGGTGTAGGCTAGAAGAACGGTACGCTAATGTTTACATGTGAATTCAATGACTGCTGTATTAGCGGCAGCCGCTGGTTTAAGCGAGGGGTACGTGAAGGGTGCAATCGAGTGCGGAGCACACTCAGCATGACAGAGCGGAGGACGTATGCGTACCAGGTAATTCCTGCTCATGTATAGCAAATTATTTCGCGGTAGACCCATGGTTATAATCAATTGCTAAGCGATCCTAGGGTGTGGTTCACGCTCCTTTGCAAGAGGCAAAACACTCCTCAGTGGTGGAAGCGGGATGGAAACCTGGGCATGCAGGGCATGCAGGGCATCATCCTGGCGATTGTTGGAAAAAGCTCAATATGTTGAACACGAGAACACTTGACCAAACCTGCGTTGGAGACGCAGCAGCGGCCTGCAAAATCGCCTGTTCAAACGAATTCTGTACGAATGGTCGCTGCTCGGTGCACTGTCTTCGCTGTAGCAGTCACGAGTTGCGGCGCAGAAACACGATCGCGCTGTAACGTCCCGAGGCCACTCTGACTTCAGAGCTTAATTATAGTGGCCGAGCGGCCAATCAGCAGCGCTCGGGGGTATCGAAAACAAGCAGCTCGCAAAAGGATGATGCTATCGAAGACCGGGGTGCCTCGAGAACAAGCAGTGAAGACAGGCGTGGGCATGATGCAAGAGCAACCTGCGCAGACCTGCATCTATCTTGTATTACCGCGGCTGTATTGTGGGCTGGTATGTGGTGTGCGTCCTCGAGCTGCCAGTCACTGGGTGAGATTTTGGACGATTCTTTGAGACGCTGCACACAGCCACATCTGCGCGCTGGCTCCACTCTCCCTCAAGCGGCGCATAAGCGCATTCGACCTCCCCAAAACAGAGGCAGCTAATTGCTACTCGGCGCAACGTCTCCGCTTTTCGACGCTTGTTTCTGGCTAGATAGGTGCCGCCGCCAGCCAAAATAGCCGTGCTGCCAGCGCGCACCTTGGCCGCAGAGCGCTGAAAAGCACCGCAGCCCTCTCCTCGTTCCCAGTTGGAACACGTTTGTCGCAAACTGCCTCGATAACCTGGCTCTTCATTGGCACAATTGGAGCTTCCGTGCTTCAGCAACCTCAGCCTTGGCCAAATAAGGCAGCCCTTGAGATCAACAGAGCTTGGATCGCCCTTCTCCTCCCGCGGCGCTCCACTTCGCTCTGCGACACCTCCTCTTTCGTCCGCTGTCCTCCACTCACCTCCCAGGGCACGCATCCCCGTTTTTGCAGTTTTCACTGGTTCTGCCCGGCCCATACATCATCACTCGTGTTGTTCCACCGCTTGTTAGAACAACAGTGGACCCGCACATCACCCGGCGAGCGTGCATAGGGAACACTGGGACGAACCAAGAAACCAGCACTGCCGGTACCCGCGACACACTAACATCCTCACTCTCACGCTCTCTTGGAGTAGCTGCTGTCGTCGCTTATTACTCGTCTTCGCCAGGCCTGCGTGCCTCGCAACTGTCACCATGTCGTCGACGAACAACACTGCTGCCAGTACGTTCATCTCCCTTGTCTCTCCTTCCTCAGCGCCGACCCAGTCGCCGGCAGCTCTTTCCTCTCCCTCCTCTCCTGCCTCCCCCACTGTAGCTGCGTCGTCCCAGCCTGTAACACCGTCGGCAGCCCCAACGTCGGCCGCACCAGCGCCCTCGTCTGCTGCGCCGGAGCCATCTACTCCTTCAGTTGCGCAGTCCTCAGCGGCCCCTAACACGCCCTCATCAGCAGCGCCGCCTGTCTCATCAGCGCCGCCCGTGAGCTCAGCACCGCCTGCGTCCTCGGCACCAGCAGCCTCGTCTGCTGCCCCGCCTGCCTCGTCGGCCGCGCCGGCATCCTCTGCTGCTCCTCCAGCTTCATCAGCAGCACCAGCACCGTCGTCGGCACCCCCAGCATCCTCGGCCGCACCTGCCCCATCAAGCGCCCCTGCACCTGTGACAACCCAAGTCGTCACTGCCTCGTCTGCACCACCCTCGACTACTGAGATTGCGACCTCCATTGTCACCGTCACCCCCTCTGCAACCCGCAATGGCGAGACACCGACCCCTATCATCGTCACATCTGTTGTGACGCGTGAGGGCCCCGCTGCGACTGGAACCACTGGTGGCCTCGCATCTACTGCCACCACCCATGGATCCTCCTCGAGCACCAACACTGCTGGACCCGCTGGCACCCCTGGCGCTGAACAGAAGGGGCTCAGCACCGGCGGCAAGACTGCAATCGCTGTCGTTGTGCCTGTCGTCGTCGTTGCACTGCTAGTTTTGGCCGGTATCATCCTATGGAGGAAACGCAAGGCTCGCCAGAACAACGAGGAAGAGCGAAGGAAGGAGGTCGAGGAGTATGGCTTCAACCCTAACCACGACCCTACGCTTCCTGCAGTTGGCATGGGTTCGGAGATGGCCGAAGACTCGAGCGGCTACCGAGGATGGGGCAACACTGCGACCAGCTCGAACCGCAAGGCCTCCACCACCCTGACCAGCGGCATGACCTACTCGGACAGCAACAGCAACCCTGGCGGCTACAACACACCGCACTCTCCCACTGGCGGGGCATATTCCGAAGGCTCCAACGACCCCCTGATGAACGGACGTCGCGAAACTATGGACTCTGATGGCCTTGGTGCGCTCGGTGCCATAGGCGGTGCTGCGCCCAATTCGACACAGAACCAGGCCGGCGTACAGCGGGGACCCTCCAATGCCTCCTCGTCCTATTCTGCCGCCAACCGATCCGATACCTCGGGCGACTACCCCGGCATGGGCATGAGCAACCCCAACGAGTACTACGACAACCAAGGCTACTACCAGACCGGCCCATACGGTAACAATGACCCGTATGGCGCTGGTCAACAGCCCGTGATTCGGGACGTGTCAGCGCGGCGGAACACGAGGATCGAGAACCCCTCGGTCTTCCCGCAACAAGGAAACTCTGGCATCGCACAGAACTTCTAAGCACGCCATCACTATCGCTCTGTACAGTTCCTTTATTTTGGCTCTCTGATTTACACCATATATCCAAACGGCGGCGTTTTGGAGTCCTGGATTTCCCACAATCTATCGCATCGTATCGCATTTTCTTCAGCTGCAGGGACGAGTCGGGTGAGGGCATGCAGGCCCCACCTCAGCTCTTGGGTCGTCCCGTGTACGACAATGTTGTGCTACAACGCGCAAGCCTACATCGGCAGGGGTATGAAGCTTATATACTTACCAAGTAATCATCACATACTTCGCCAAGGCGTCTCCGTTGCGCTGCACTCGACCTTTTTGTTACCTACTTCTCGACTAGACGTTGGATATAGAGGCTGTTAGGTCACTACGGGTATGCTTCTAAAAGAGTTGGATTGGACGTGTTACGCACACACCGCCTTATCACTTGTAATTATCACCGACATTCGTATGCATCGCCTCGGCGTTGGTTCTGCTTTCAGCGACTATCTTTCTACATCCTCACACCTCGACATCACCCATCATCTCATTATCTCTCGATCCACAGCCCACACATCACCTCCCTAGCGAGGTATTTTCTTTACATGTTAGTTATGTAGGCAACACTGTTGCGAGATCAGAACAGCAACGGCTGGTAGGATGGTACACATGGACCTTCCAGCGCAGTTAGGTAGGCAGATATACTGAAAAGCACTCTCTAATTGTCCTCTCCTCTTCGTCGAGACCACCTCAATGTTACAATCGAACATCACCATCTTCACAGATCGATCGTCATTCAACCCACAGTTCCAACCACGCACACAGATACCGTTCCACCCAACGAGATCAACGATCGTCACACCTCCCTGTGTCATTTTTAGACTTTGGACGATCGCGGTTCGGGACATTGCGATACGAGGCTGGTGTACAGACGGTTGATGTTGGTGGCTTGGCGCATGTCACGGGTGGATACTTTTGATATTGGTCTTTGTGCGGTGGCGAGGGGACATGGAGGTGTTCGAGGGTTTGGAGTGAGGGTGGACAGTCATGTTGGACTTTGCAAGAGGGTGCACAGGTGATGTCCTGGGGAGAGAGATTTTCAATTCTGGAAAATGGTCATAGTCAACATCATGGAGTAGGGTTGATGAAGTTTGGTCTCAACGTTCAATCGTCGGCTGATGTAACCATGGGCTGCTGACCGTGTTCAACGGTGTTCAGACGTCTTTCCTCAAGAGGCAACGATTCGAAACGATTCAAGCTCGGCAAAGAGCATTGACCGGAGTCGGCATTACATCGTTATCATACAGCCGGTACAACATGTCCACCAGAAAATACAGCTCTTGAACACGTCAGCTATACTCTGAAAACAGTTGTATCGAAGAAGATATTGACGGCATCCAAGGACGTCGTCGAAGTCTGTCTGCAGGAAAGGAATAATCGATTCATATGTTGACATTGCTTGATTGTTGAGACATCCATTTGGCAAACGCGATAAATCCGGAATCAGTAGATGGTTGTGGATATCGACATTATTGCTTGTGAACTACTGGAAATACATACAATGCTTCGAACGCCCAAGATGCAGCAATGTGTTTAGAAGCCAGTCAACGACTTGAACGACGTTTACTCTACCTTTCCTCTCCCCCCGGCCGGGGCCGCGGCACCACTGCTCTGCATCTCACTCTCAGGCACCCTCTCCATCATCGCCTGCTCCGGCACTCTTGCCTCCTGCTTCTTATTGATGCCCCTCGCACCAGGCGTAAGATACGTGTTATCCAAGTTCGGCAGCTCCTCGCCCTCAGTAGGAACCCAGTGCTTGCTCTTCCACGGCTTGACGCCAAGAATGTACATGGTGTCGATCTCCTCGAGACTGCGGCCCTGCGATTCGCACAGGAAGAAGTATACGACAACGGCGCCGGCGAAACAGCACCCTGCGAAGACGTAGCCGTAGCGGTAGTCGATGGCAGAGGTGATGAAGGGCGTGAAGAAGGAGAGCAGGAAGTTCCAGACCCAGTTGCTGGCTGTTGCGAGCGCCATGCACTTGGCTCTGTACCTGGTGGGGTAGATCTCGCCCACAACGGCCCAGACGATAGGTCCCCATGTCGACGCGAACGCAGCGATGAAGAGACACGCAAAGACGATCATGGCATATCCAACGCCCTGAGATTGGTTGTCCTCGGGTCCAAGCGCAAAGTGGCCCAGCGATGCGAAGACGAGGAAGCACATAAACATCCACAGTGCGCCGTAGATGAGTGCGGGGCGACGGCCATACTTCTCGACAATGTAGAGGCCGGGGAACGTGCAGCCAAAGTTGACGGCGCCAAGGATGATGGAGGTCACGTAGGAGTTGGAGAGACCGATCGAGCTGAAGATCGTTGTTCCCTGGAAGATGTTAGCGAGTTTGCTCTGCTATTTGTGTGGAGGCGTCAACTTACGTAGTAGAAGTAGTAGTTGGCACCAGTGAGCTGCTGAAGCATCTGCAGCGTAATACCAAGCAGCGTGCGGTATGCCATCCTTGGACCAGTGAAGATCTCGTACCAAGGGTGATGAGCTCCACCAGCACGTTCAGCCTCCATCTTCATCTCAATTTCTCTGATCTCGCGCTGCACCTCAGCATGGTCTTCGTTCACACCATACGTGAGTGCAATGGTCTTGCGAGCATTGTCAATCTTGCCCTGGCGGTACTCCCAGCGGGGCGACTCTTGCATGAAGAAGATACCGAGCACCATGAGACCAGACCAGATGAAGCCAATACCCATGGGCAGCTTCCACGAGCGTGAGCTGGTGTCAGCCTCGGTACCGAAGTTGATGCAGTATGCGGTGAAGATACCGAGCGTAATGAACAGCTGGTAACACGAGACGAGTGCACCACGGACGTAACGTGGAGCAGTTTCGGACTGGTACATAGGCGTGAGGACTGATAGACCACCAACTCCTAGGCCTGCGACCCAGCGACCAATGGCAATCTGGTACCAGGCGTTGGTGGTTGTGATTTGAACAATGACACCAACGCAGAAGATGATGTTCCAGAAAACGATTGAGTATTTGCGGCCAAACTTGTCAGAGATGGGCGCAGCGATCAGAGCGCCAACCAGTGTACCGATGGAGAGCAGAGCAACAATGAGTCCAGATCTGACATTAGTGAACTTGGGTAATCCAGTTTCAGGATCCTGGTCATCTGCGAACTCTGCAAGGAAATCGGGCATCTCCAGGAAACCAGAGATCTGACCGGTGTCGTAACCGAAGACTTCATATTGTGTTAGTCGAATGCCTCTAAGCTTGTGCCGAAATACGTACTGAAACCACCCATGGAGACAATACAAGCCATAGCAATAATCCTAGGCCGGAAGATCTGCTTCGCACCTCCAGACAGCATCTGTGGCTTCTTCTCCAGATCCCTCATCGAGGATTCGTTCGAGTGTCTTTCATCCTGCATCTTCGTTCGGTCGCCAAGCGCCCCAGCGCTCATAGTGGTAGCAGCCATGGTATTGATTAAAGAAGAGGAAATTGAAGTGAAGCTGGAGTACGCGGGGACTCCACGAGCCTATAAACCCACACTTTCCTACTCCATGGCACCGTGACCTCCGCAGCGATCCTCCGTACCCCAATGCCGTCACATTTTTTGGCGGGGCTTCCCCTTCGCGCAACCACTACACGATCACACCGTAGTGTCACCGGTCATCAAAACCCGGTGAACGCTGGTGGTAGACGTCATCTTACTGGCATTGATGTTAGCCCTACAAGCTAAGCCGTGCGGTCAAAGGCTTGTGAGAGCTAAGCTCCACCGGAGCGTGTAAATCCTGTTGGTGCGGGCCTTGTTCGGTGGCCCACATGAGGCTCTGCCGGGAGGGAACCGACGTCACACGCTCCAGATCCGTCACCTTTATCCCTTTGTGGGGTGTGTGAGGAGATTTTGTTGTTGTGCGAAGATTGCGGTTCGAAGGCCGGTACCAAAAGTGCGCTGATTGTGCATATTCTGAACACGAACCTCTGATGTTGTCGATTCCTCTGCTTGACTGCAAGATTGAGCGTCAGCGAGGCTTGTTTAATCGCAGCTGTGTTTCATCTTCGCGCAAGTCCAGTCTGTCATTATGAGCGCGAAACTCCACAAGTCACAAGGTCTTTGAGCGCTACCTTCAGGCACGAGAGCTTACGACGCTGCGATTATGAACGCTTCGTACGAACAACGGCATGATGTGTACCTCCGCGTCACAAGGACGGACGAACACGTGCGAAATTGCGGGCTTTGCGAGTGCTTGCTTGTTTGCGGGTGAATGCTGTGGGGCTCCATGTCATGAGAATCGATCGCCGGTGTTGAAGATTCTTCTACGGCCTTTTCGGGTGTTCTTCGTACCTTCTTTGACCTGCGGGATGACGTCGTGGTTTCGAGAACCGCAAGCATGCTTGACCGTTTTATCGGAGGCACGGGACCGATTTATGCACACTTAAAGGCGAATTTTCTTCGGCACATATTCGCAACTGCCGGGAGATGGGAGACTCATGGGTGTTACTGGATTAGGAAAGTCGAAGCACAACAGTTGATTGCAGTCGACACTCCATGGATACGGCGCCCGACTAGTGAACGTCAGACCAGCTCAGGGGGTGTGAAGTACACTTAATCGGGAAAGTTTTCAGTCTCTGTTGATTACAGTCGGCTGTTCTTGGTTATTGTTTTTGACCATCTGCCGTTGAGACCAAACCTTCTTGCTCAAAGTACCTACTTAGGAAAGTCTAGCAGATTCCATCCAACACAGTGGCCAAGCCATGGCTACTCGAACCAACCACTCTCTGAACCCATTGAGACACACGGAACTAAGCTCCTGGTAGTGCCTTTGAGAACGGAGCTAAAGCTTCCACACCTTTGGGTCCAAAGCCAGAGCCCAGGCATAGGGTATAGCTAGACTCCGGAGGTATTTAGCTTGTTGTACTGCTCATGTAGTGGGATCGCAGTCAGTTGCTTAGTTTTGACTTTCTTGGCTCGTTAAGAGCCACTTAACCTCAGAGTTATTCACGCACCTGGTTCAGGGGTTTCGAGCAACTATCACTGGCTGCAGCATCGAAACCATGGAACATCCACGAGCCATCAGCGTGCGAAGAGCATGGTCACCCGCAATACGCTGCCTTGTACATCACTGCGAAACATCAGTCCTCCATTTTTTCTTAGAAGCTGATCGACTATTTTTGCAAAATGTTCTATCTCACACATGTTCGTACTTCGAAGGCCTCCCACCAGGCTTTCTTCAGTATGCAGCCAGAGCCTTGAGCGGCGTAGTCCCAGGATAGAAGCTACTAGGCCATACTGGAATGGCAATTGGTCTCGTAAATACCAAAGAACTCCTGTGATTATTGGGCAAGGTGGCTGCATTGTATCCAGCAGGAGCAGGCTTGATCATCGTCGTCGTAGTCACATACCCTGCACCACTCCCGGCCTTCAGACATCCACCCGACCCATACGCATTGGCGCTGGTGTACTCGATACTTGAGCCCGCATTGGCCCAGATAGAAAAGTCGCTAACGCTCATACCTGTACACGGCACCTTCGCCGCGCAGTTGAACTTGATAAGCCCACGCACCGCACATACACCCTTCCAATTCTTGAAGCTGATGTTCGAGAGCTGCACACCGTACCTATCACCAACATTCTGCTTGCCTCAAATCTGATCTACGTCTAGAGAATACGCATTCCCATGGCCGATAAACTCGTTGAATCGGACATCTTTGACATACCAAGCTCATGGCCTACAAAGACCAGTCTTGTAAACATTGCAATATGCTGGGGTGAATGTCGTGAACATGAGGTGGATGAGATATAAGAAACGCCAAACAAACATCAGCGCTATTCCTACCAGCCAGCCACCGACCTTGATATGCCATAGCTGGACGAAGGAAGGAAGTGTAGTCTCTTGAATCGCACCGAACCAAAGTAGCGCGAACATACTTTGTAATGATGAAATCTTCCGCGAAGGAGACAAATGGTGGTTGACGGTCGCTGGTGTTCAATCGTTATCTGACTGACGCGATTGTTGCTATTCCGTATAACCATAGCGCACTTCTCCAGATCACTGATAGACCTTCCCATAGTACCACTGGGTCAATAGGCCCTGAGCACTCTATCTGCGTCGAACTAGTGCCGCGCCTCTTTCGTAATAGAAGAAGGGTGTGCCCTTGTGATATTACGCTGCCATGTAATGCATATCAGCAGCGACGTGAGTAGTATGGAGATGCACAGGACAAGGAACGTCAAGGTAGGATGATTTTGAATTACCAACAAGTAGACTCTACCAAATGAATACCTAGGTACTTTTAAACTCCATATCGCCACCCAGCCAGTCTGTCCCACTCCAACCCGAGGAAATGATGATGCAGTGCACAGAGGAAGGAGATAGCACCGTCGCAATGCAGAAGAGTGATGCGTTCGTTGTGAGATGAGGTCGTGAGGGCATTAATTAGGGGTGTTGGCGAAGCCAGGAGCCATGTTGCTGCGGCTTCCATTCAGAGAAGAGAGGTCGAACTTAGGGGCTGGTGGCTGGTGCGGTGCAGGTGGTTTAGCAGGTAAGTGCGAGGGTGTACCGTATTTAGCAATACTACTGGCGCCAGAGGGGATGCGGGATGAGCCTTGTTCGCCGGTCTGGGATGTGATTCTGTTCATGGCTGCTGAGCCGTTGCCGTGCATGCTCTGAGGTGAGCCAAATGAGGGCGTACTGCCAGCTGAAGGACTAATGCGTGGCATCTGATTTGCCATCGATGGTTGCTGCATCTGAAAACCGCCATAGCCGTTCATCTGAGGTGGGCCCTGACCCATGTTCGATTGCATCTGGAAGGGCACGTTGCGGCCGCCCGGGATGAAAGCCTGGCTCTGTGGGTTGAATTGCTGGCGGTTGTAGCTGCCGGGTATAGGGTGTTGATTGCGGTTCGGCTGGCCATTGTAGGGGTTCGGTGGGAATTGACCATACGCATAAGGCTGGGGCTGAGGCGCGGACATGGGACGACTGCTGGGTGTCGCAAATGACACTTGGCCCATTGGGTATGAAGGCTGCTGGTTCATCTGTGGCCAACCCTGGTTCGAGGGCATGTGTTGCGCTTGCTGAAAAGACTCCTGATACGGCGCCATAGGTGTGTTCGCCATTTTGGGGGTGACCTGGGAAGGCACCACAGGACTTTGGAAAGACATGCCTCGCTGAAAGTCCGCAGAAAGGTCATAGCCAGATTGCATCTGCCCATAGTTCTGGTACACGGCCGCTCCATTCTGTGGTTGATATTGCTGGCCACTCCACCCGTACTGAGACTGAGCGTCTGGAGACGGCATGACTGGGTATGGGTTGCTGTAGGCTGCGGGCGGTGAAGCTCCAGGATTCACGCCCGTGTACTGTGCGTGCGGTACGGCAGCTGAATAGCCATCGTAATATACGACATTTTCTGCAGTGTACCCGGGTACTGCGTACTGCTGAGGGTAGTAGACGTTGAAACGAGACCTAGCCTGGAAGTCGTCATCATCGTAATTGCGCTGCTTCTTGCTCTTCTTCTTGCCGGACGCAGAGCTCGATCGTGAGACATCCTTCTCTTCTCCCGATTCAGCAGTCTCAGCTGCAGGGGACTCGTCGCTCTCAGCACCAAAGATACGCTGACGGGCCTCTCGGTACCGCGCCTCACGCTCTTCACGTGTCAATGCGGCCTTGTCCTTGCCGTCGGTACTGCCATCACTTCCATCCACCTCGGATGTCGTCTTGGATGGGTTTTGTGAGTTGGAGGTGGTGTTGGTGCCCGACTTGGCGTCTTCACGACGCATGATCTTGCGAGCAGGAAGCTCAACAGGCGGTGTATCTGCACCCTTGGTCGCATCGACCATCTGCGAAAGCGGAGGTGGGCTGGTAGCAAGTTAGCGAATTAGGAATGTCAAAGGTGAGCGGACACTTACATCCTACAGAACAGTGTTCGTGTGATCTTAACGCCAGTCATGGTGGAGTCAACAACATGCCCAAGCATATAATAGTCAGCAAGACGATGGGCAAGCATCCTGTAAAAGGTGTTACAATTCGGCAGAGAATACTCGCTCTCACTATTTGCAGGTCAGCTCAGGCTCAGGCTCAGAGGGTATTTGCTGCGACATACCGAGAATCTTTGATGAAGTCAATAAAGTCCTGTTCGATCTTAACAACAAACAGTCGATCGCGTGGAGACTGCAACGCTTCAATGAGCTTCTCGTCCGGAGCGGTAGGCAAATTGGGCACGCCGCTCATCGAGGGCATGCCGTTTCCAACAGGCTGTGACATAGGCCGGCCGCCATTCAAAGCCTGGTTAGGATCATAAAGCATATGCGGACCAGTGGGAAGACTTGGAAAGCGACCTGGGGGAACACCTCGTTGTGACTGAGGATTCATAACCGCAATTTCGTGCAGCTGATCGCGGAAAGCACGAGCGGCGCCATTGTCCGAGCCCTGGCGTGAGTCTGCCACGACGGAATCTGGGGGAGACGTCACGTCTTCCTCTTCGACAGCTCTCAGACTGGCGCTGTCGTCTGGTCGTAGCGACTCTTTCTCATCCAGTGCGAACGTTGTGGCAGACGCGACGCTCTTCCCGTCAATGCTAGGAGGCTTGCCAGATCCGTCAGACGACGACAGCTGAGTGCTGCTGTCCTCCGCTGCGGATATCTTGACCAGGGCAATCGACCGTGGCCGCTCGGGCAACTCTTGCTTTGCGTCTGGAGAGGGTGCAGCTGACTCCTGCGCAGTGTCTGTCCATTGTCCAGTCCGGTCTACGTTGTTTCCAGCGTTTCCGTTCAGAAGCACGTCTCCGTTCTTCTCCGGCAATACTTGCGGTGCTTCGACGGAGATGGGTACAGAGCGCGCAACCTGCGGCTGGCTCAGGATCTTGGGAGTCGCAACAGGCGCTTTCGGCTTAGCGCTGGTGTTCTGGGAGGGTGTAAGTGGCTTCAGAGCAGATGCGGCGACCTTGTAGCAGTCAGCATGGCTCGTATCAATGTGAGCTGTCCGCCCACCTTTGCAAACGAGAGCCTTGCCTGGGCCTGCTCCTGCTGTGTGGGTGTTGCAGAGGACATATCCGCGGTGATATCCGCGGTGGTGTGTTGATGCAGTAAGCGCTAGTCGTCGAGTCCGAACAACAGTCGACTCGCGTGACTGCGCACGGGTGAATGCTCGGTTACAGAGAAAAGACAGGTCGGCGAGCAGTGGCGCCGCGCGTGGTCGTAGATCGAAAGGAAGAAGGTATTAGTGGGCCGAGGAATAGAGGGCTCTTCAGGAAATGGGATGCTCAAGGAAAGTCGCGGTAGCCAGGGCCAGAAAGTTGGACATTGTGGTGTGCCGACATTCGAGGCTGTATACTAAAGTCTGTGTTCTGCGTGCTGTGTATTGAGCAGGGCTATGCGCAGGCCTTGGGCGCGTAGCGGGGAATATGCAGGCAGGCGCCAGACGGCAGGGCGCGCGCAGCAGGCGACGGGCGGATTGACGGTGCGGCGAGGGCAGAGACAGCGCAGCGCGGGGCAGGCTGGTGTTGTGCGGGGTGCTGAGCGTGAGTGAAGAGCAGCAGTGATGTTGCCGGCGTGGGTCGCCAGAGAAGAGCGCCGATCAATTAATCCGGCCGATGTAACTTTTGACATGCTCACGTGTGACCTCATACTACGCATTTCCAAAACAACAAGTCGGTAGACTCTGATCCCATCGACTAGCCTGGTACCTCTGGACGTTCTCGCGTACGGGTCACGTGCAATCACTTTCACACTCCGGGCACCCCACCTGCCATCCCACTCGCTACAGCCACCCTCGAGTAGCTTCAGGCGCACTCACCACGATATGTTCCGCCGCCCAGGCACCGGCCCGTCCAAGGCGTCAGCCACCACGCTCTGCCAGAAGTGCCTCCAGCGCGGCCACTACAGCTACGAGTGTAAAGCCACGGCGCAGGAACGCCCCTACAAGTCCCGCCCATCCCGCACCCAGCAGCTCCTCAACCCGCAGCTCAAGCCCAAGCTCACCACCGAGGTCCCCAGCGACCTCGTCCGCAAGAAAGGCGTCGCCGACGACATCCTGAAGAAGAAGGAGCTCGAGCGAGGCAGAGCAGTCGGCCGCAAACGGAGTAGGAGCAGGAGCAGGAGCAGAAGCAGATCAGACTCCGTAGACTCCGTGTCCACGATCTCGACAAGCGGGAAAGCGAGCCGTTCCCGCTCGCCACCACCGCGACGCCAGAAGCACGATGCGCGGGGGAAGCGCAGCAGGCGCTCGGCTTCCATGGACTCGCGGTCCTCGCTCGACTCGCGGCACAGCGGCGACTGCGAGCGCAACACGCGGCGGCGCATGAGCTCGTTCAGCCCGGAGCAGCGTGGGCGGCAGAGAGGATCGCGCGACGAGCGTGTTGGGAAGAGCAGGGAGAGGAGCACGAGTCACGGTAGACACGGCAAGCGGGCTTTGCGCCGGATGTCGACTTCACGCAGCCGGTCGAGGGACAGGAGCGCGGACCGTATGGATACAGCAGATGATCGAGCGTCAAAGCGCAGTGTATCGAGATCGAGGTCACCGAGGCCACAGCGAGGGGGTTGCAGTCCGAGCCTGTCCTCGAAACGTCGCGCTGCACGTCGGTCGCCGAGTCCGCAACGCGAGAGGGGTGGGGGATTTGGGAACGGGAGACGCGCACGTGAGGAACCACGTGCTGGAGGGAGGAACAGGTTCGATGACGGGCCTGTAGAGAGGCATGGGGGAAACGGCCCACCGCCACCGGCTGCGAGACAACCGCCTCCTCCTGCGCCCAGGGTGAGGAGCTTGAGTCCGTTCAGCAAGCGCGTTGCGCTGACACGAGCCATGAATGCTGGGTAGAATGGCACACGGGACTGGTTGTATTGCGATGGAGCGAGTTAGGTCTTGAGTATGCCCGGTTTTGACTCGGCTGTGTCATTGGCTTTTAGATACCCTACATGCTGCACTATCCAGACGTGGTATCGACTCCCTGCTCTTCGCTTCCAGGTCTGCTCTGCTCGGCTCTGCCCGGCTCTTAGCAAGCGCCTTTTCGCTTTGCCCAGCTCCAAGCTATTGACGGGCCTGCTAACTCAGATCCCAATCCTTCTCGTGATTCTAGCGATGCGAGTCTGCTACTCAAGCTGTCTCTCGCCCACTCTCTGCGGTGATGTGTCTTCCAGGCATGTCGCTCCGGGCCGAAGTTTCATACAGCAGCGTCATCCTCCTCGTCCCTCGCCCGTTCCCTCTCCTCCTCCTGCTCCCTCAAGTTCATCGCTTCCACAAGCTCACCGCCCTCCATACCCACCTCCTCCCCCTCCCCTCCTATCGCCTTCCGCTCCCTCTCCCGCTTCTGCGCTTCGACTCTCTCCCTGACCAGCCTCGCAATACTATTCTCCGTCTCCCTCTCCAGTCCGCCTGTTCGCATTTTCTCCTGCAGATCGCGCTTGAGATCCCAGTTCGGCTTCTTCGGCTGCAGTTTGAACAAATCCAGCGGCACATCGCTTTTCTCCTTCTCTTGCTCGGCCTTCGTCTGGAGCGCGAGTTGCTGCGCCTTGTACTCGAGTGTGCTTTCGGGGTTGCTGATGGGCGTGTGTTCGAACCCCAGCTTCACGTTGCGCGTTGCGGGATCGAAGTTTCGCCCGCTGAGGTAGGTGGTGGTTGCGGAGGGCTCGTCTTCTTGCGCGGTTGTGGCGAGGGTGGTGGAGGAGGTTTCGATGGAGGAGTCTTGCGCGTCGTCAGAGGGCGCTTGTTTGCGCTTTAGGGATTTTAGCTGGGCGAGGCGCGCTTTGCGGTCGTTGGTGGCGGCGGAGAGCTGCTCGTGGGAGGACATGGTGTGTGGTTGTGAATGCGCTCTTTGCACAACGACTAGGTATTGGCGGTTGGGGTTTGATTGATTGATTGATTGTTTGTTTGAGTGTTTGATTGGCTGAGTGTTTGTTTGAGTGTTTGATTGGCTGATTGTTTGTTTGAGTGTTTGATTGATTGATTGATTTAACGTCCGGCGGTTGGGGTGTTCTGTAGCAATGTGACGTGATCGCAGCGATCTGTTGTGCGTTGGGAGCGAGCGAGATCAGCTTCGCGTGGCTTCGGCGACGGCGACGACAGTGGACTTATGCGCGCGACTGTAGGTGATTTGGTGATGCTGAAGCTTGCGGAGCCAAAAGTTCGGAGGTGCGTGCGGCCGGCGGCTTGGACCACAACTGCAGCATCCCATAGTAGCAACTTTTTCGCGACATCACCCTCATCATCCCATCCTACGCGTCATGGCTCGGTGAAGGCTGCCACCTCTTCCTCTCCCATGCCCCAAGCTCGCATCCCCAATGCTAGCCTCACCGCCAGCGCTGACGCCCTCATCCTTCCGTGGCTCGCCCCGAGAGCTTTCGCCGAGTCCCCTGTCTTAAGAAGGTGCCAACGACGCGATGGAAGGAGCACCTCAGCACAGAAAGAGCAGGCAGCAATCGCTCATGGAAAGACAGTAAGAGCTACTGATGATGGGAACTCCTGCCGTCCTTCGCACCGAAGGCCCAAGGCTTCACAACTGAGCCAACCGTCAACTTTCACCGGTGCCTCATGCAGGACGCCCACAAGAACACGTGCTTCAGCCGCGCTGGCCCTTCGATACGTCGACATTGCGTCCTTTGCGCACCAACACGCAAGAAGCTACGCCACCAGTGCCGACAGCTCCAGCCACACTACAAGCCCCGACAGTCCGCAAAACACCGGCATTGCCCACAACGTGTCCAGCCGCACCCGCTATTCGCGAAGGCGATCCTGGAAAGACGAAGTGGCCAAGCAGGTCGGGGGCCTGACCGCTGAGCAGGCGGGGCGAAAGCGACTAAACCACATTGCGGCGGCGGAAGCGCGCCTGAACCGTCATGCTGAACGACTGCAGCGAGATCGCGGACGCTACCAGAACAAGCTGCTCTACGATGGCCAGTACAGATCGCTGCGCCGCTTCGTCCTCGGTCTCAGACGATGGGATACAACGACCGAGGATGTGACGAAGTATAGCCGCCCGAACACAGACGATGAGCATTGGATACTCCACGCCTTTGCTGCGCTGGACAGGTCTGCATACGTGCGTGTAAACGCGCTCACCAAGCCCGTCACTCTCCAGCACGACTCCCGATGTCATGACTATACCCAAAGGTTGCTCGAGGGTGTCGATAGAGACGGCCCAAAGCGAATTTGGTTCAATTGGCAGTATATCGAAGAGAAGCAAAGGTTCTACGAGACCGTGCTTGTCTATATGCTGGAACATAAACCCGGATACGCGCAAGACTTCGTTACAATATTAGCCACTGACGACTCACTGCCGGACTCCAAGTTCGTCATCCTGGCAGACGCCCTCGCTCATCTGGCAAAGCTACATGTCAAAGAACATTACCCTTCGGGGCAAGGCTGGGAAGCTACTCCTGAACTCAACATCCGGAAGTTCGTTTCTACATTTCTCAACTGCACGCGATTCGTGGACACGGCAGTGTATTCACAGGATTTGCTGCACAGCTTGGTCCTCTTAGCCCACATCGCAGATCTGAAAAAGATTTATGGCGCTTTGGTGGAGTCAAAGACACGTTTCTCTGTGGGCACTACGTTGCATTATGCGAGCGCTTTCGGTGAAGCCGGCGAGTTCCGCTATGCTTTGCAGTGTTTGGAGCGCCGTCTCGCTGCGCTCAAGAAGACACAGCGCGAACTCGTAGTCGACTCGGAACGCTTTCGATGGACCTGTGCTGCTATACTACGTGGCAGCATGCGCGAGGCGAAGAACTATCACGAGACACCAAGCATTGTGGCGGCATTCGTAGAGTTCGGCGTCAAAATGGATCTCCTCCTCTATGATGTGGTCATGCACAATGCTATGGAAGCTGGCGACTTTGCCACTGCGTTCAAAGTATACAACGCTTTGGAAGGCAACGGACTGACGCCGGACAAATACACGTTCTCCATCCTCCTCCATGGCTGCACAATACAGAACGATCCTGCGATGTTCAAGGCTTTCGCTGAATTCTGTGTTGAGAAATCAAAAGAGCTGGAGGACCCTTGGTTGGCCACAGACTGTCTTTACTACGCCTACGTTCGCGAACAGAACAAGCCTGTTGCCTCGCGAGACCCAACCTTAGTTTGGCGGACCTATCTTGACCTCTTCGATCTGACGCCACTCAAGCCTTTTTCAAGATTTGGAAGCCGCTCAATGAAAGATGCCATTGACCAGGACGCGCTCAATCCAGAAACGCAGAAGCTTGTTCCTACACCCCTGTCACTCTACCTCGTGCTTCAGACCGAAATCCAAACCACCCAGACCCTAAGCGTCCAGTACCTCGAGCGCCTCTACAAGACCTTCAAACGGGCCATATCCTCCGACGGAGCCCATCCAACACTCACCTCCCTCTCTCAGACCCCAATCATCTGGAATACCTTCCTTTACGCCTTCTGCACAAGAACACAGTACGCCTCCGCCTCCGCCGTCATCAAAGACATGACCGCCCACGGTACCTTACCAAACGTCTACTCTTGGAACATGTTTATGCAATCCTTCTTCAAAACCGGTCAAGTCGCAGCCGCCGAGCGCGTCTTCGAACTCATGCGCTCGCGCAGCGTAGATCCCGATTCTTACACCTACGGCGTCATGGTGCGCGGTTACGCCAAAGCCCAGCTCGTAGATCGCATTGGCGAGACCATGCAGCATATCAGCGAGGAGGACCAACTCGACCCCGAATTGCTGCGAGCTCTTGGGCAAGTGCAGAAGCGCGCTGACCTTACGGCTGCGCTAGAGAAGAGTCGAACGGCCAAAGAGAACATGGACCTCGAAGAAGCCGAACGCAAGGCCAAGGAAGAAGAAAAGCGGTTTGAGCTGCCCAAATTTGGGAGCTTGTTCCAGAGTGCGATTCGGTTCCGGCCGGCAAACCATTGGGATAATGGGGGTGTGGAGGATGCAGATGATTTCATGGAGCCTGATGACGATTCTGCAACGCCAGACTCCAAGACCCAGTTTGAGGTGCAGGGCAAGATTACTGTTACAACGAGCAGTCCTGTGTCGGACCCCCATCAGGCTCTTGGCGCGGACGAGATGGATCCGCAGTTCCAAGGCTTCCTTGGTGACAAGTCCTCCATTGCCGCAAACGATGCCGCGCCCAAGTCTAGTACGACGATCAAGACTTCGAGGCGAGACAGCGATATTCAGACCAACATCAGCGGCGAAGAAAAGTGAGCGTTCAGACGGAGAAGGCTTGCTTGACAACGACTGGTGTATATCCCTGTACAATAATCCGCATAATGTATGTACATACCACTTGAAATTTCTGAGCGGACCTGGTGAGTTTTCCAGTGTTGAACTCAAACAAGCCGCAGGTATTACGCCTGGTGGTACCCTTTCCGTCAATGTCTTCAAGTTCAGCTTCGCGATCATACCCTTCCAGCACCCAAGAACTTTAAGTCCTCGTAAGGTACCGAATGGTTTGAACAAGCCACATCGCCCGATCTCTAGTCGACATGCTTTGCGATCAAGAGTGGTGCGTCGCACAGCGTGTACGATATTGTTGTTTTGGCCATGCACGTGAATGTAACACGTGACCTCGGGAGGTGCCAAGCTGGGTGCAGCCTCGTCGAGGTTGCCTAATCCCACCCCAACAGACCTGCTCCGCATCCGCTCCGCATCTGCTGCCAATCTTGCAGTTGGAAACAGAATTTTGAAAACTTCGTGTACAGGCAGAATGAGTTTAGAAGATGAGGAAGACGTAGACGTTAACTATCCAGTACGGGGTAGTCCTGAACGGTCGCAGCGCTCTTACAATCGCGCAAGACCCCCAAAGTTCCGAAGATGGAGCTGAGACAGGCCATAAAGGAGCGAGAAGGCATGGGAGATTATGGATTAACCACCCATGGGCAGCAAATGTACTCGCTGTCAAGAGACGACTCGAGGTCGTGCAAATCAGCACCAGCCATCACATCGATCTGGCAACGCACAACTCTTATGGCAAGATCAAGGCGGGGAAGTTGCATGTGAAAGCTCCCTTGGTTCGTGCGTACTTGGAGAGCGACTGTTCTGGGGACGTATATTTCGCATGAACCAGCTTTTCGAGGAAAACGGCACCAGCACGATGATTTTCGACGTCGCAACGGATCGTCGGCATATCCGAGCGGTGTGATGCATCGCACTGTTCGCAGATACGACGATTTGGTCAAGTCGGGGAATTGCGCTTGTGCCTGTAGATGGGAGGAGTGACTTGTTCAGACGCATTGGATTTGCTTTTAATCTGGACATGGAAGTGTTTGCAGCCGCTACCGTCCAAGATATTGTCATCGTATGATCATGAGTGGGCATTGCATCTTTTTTACAACTCTTTAGACATGAAACATCCGACGTGCCTATACAGTCTTGTCAAATCTCAAACGCATGGGGAAGAGCAGAAGTCACACGATAGCGCGCTACTTTCGCGACCCAAATGACGTGTGATAGCCCCGCGCTGTACCAGTGAAAAACACTGGGAGACCAGACCCTTTGCTCGCCATGAACATACTCGCACACACATATAGCTAACGAATCTATCCACTTGCGAAGAAGTCGTCTTTCCCCGACGCAGAAAACATGCCCAAAATCACCAGAGTAAGAGGAGCAGTCCTCCCAAGAAATCTACCGCCATTGTAAGTCGTGCGTCCGTTTCAAATCCCCGTGCTCAAGATTGCTCATCAACGACAATCAATGCAAGCCCGAAATTTTGGTGCGCGTGGAGAACAGGACGTTCAGGATGCCCGTCCAACAGCTCGCCTTCAGCTCAGGCTAATTGCGCAACGCCGTAGCCTCCACACCACTAGACGAGATTCTGGAACTCTGGAAAGATGTCGATGAGCAGACGTGGAGAAGTTTCCTTCACTGGACTTTGTACAGACTGTTCCCACTGCAGGGACCAGATCATCTGAAAGGCATGCCCACCGACGATGATGCCGTGGATAGAGCTCTTTGGCTGATACCCATGTATCTCCTCGGCTCCAAATCGGAGCTCCGCAGTCTTATAAAAGATGCTCTGCGTGAGCTGGCCGACGTCGTAACTCAGTGAGATATATTGGGAGGTATAGCATGGGAAGAAGATGCTGTTTAGGAGGTGTTTACGCTATTGGACGAGGATGATCTACTCTTTGGACTATGCGTGGACTTCATTTGCTATGAGGCAGATGGACGCTTTTGGGAAGACGACCGTACTAAGAACTGGCCACCTGCGCTACTATCTACTATTTTGCCCATATACGCCTCATGGGTGGGTTTGCGCAAGTACATTCCGAGTATAGAGTCCTAACCCCAACAACTATCAGGTGGATTGAAGCACTAGAGTAGCCGTATCTCCATGCCTGGTCCCCTGACTCAAAGCTTACTCATGAATGAAAACAAGCGTATGGTATCTACAGAGAGATGGCGAAACCTACCCGCTAGCGTGTTGCCCTTGCAAATTGCTCCTGTAAAGCGACCAATCGAAATTGATACAGTGACGCACGTTGACCTCGCGCAGTACCATGGTACTGACGCTGTCGAGGACTACAACAACAATTCCTGGGCGGTCGCGTGCGTTCTTCTGCTCACAGCGTTAACACCTTCAGTCTCACCCTTGCGACTCCAACGCTCTTCCATAAAGCTCTGGCGCTCGCTAAAGATGCCCAAATCCGCCACAGCAAAAGGTGTCATCAGTCGAGTGTATCTATAGTAAGTATGACGGTCAGGGTTGAGGCGTCCAGGTGCCCTCATAGTTGACAGCAAATCCCCATCAGGGCACGCAACTATCTTCGTCAAAGACAGGCCAAATGTCGTGCCTGCCTGCGTTCTCGCTCCGTGGTCTGAATATTTCCGTGAGACATTGAGTCACAAGCAAGTCGTATATCTCCCACCCAAGGTGACCCAACACACATGGGGCCATTGCCTCTATTGGATACACTTTCATTGCTTTTCGCCCTGTAACGGCAGGCTTCCTAAAGGCTTCCCTCACGACGGAAATGCTCTAGAGCAAACTACATGGCTGATGGCGATGTACATTTCTGCTATAGATTATGACATTCCGCTTCCTAGAAGAAATGCTTTCCATATGATTCTGGATCACGCAACCAACAGCCAGGTTCTGGACTTGTGGAGGCGGATTTATTGCGACGTGGGCCGCTGTGGTATACTGATAGCTACGGTAAACGATAATGTAGGACTATCGGGTCGATGGAAGACTGCGCTAAATTGCCATCTAGCTGGGAGATGACGAATATATACCTGACCTCAAGCCAGTGGCCTGTCACACACGAGATTAGTCTGTCGGACGTACAGTCAGATCTTGTACAGACCAACCAATACCGCAACAGAATTAAACAGATCACTGGTCTGTACGACGAAGTGCTAGAAGATGACCCGCCACGTCGTCTGCTGGTTGATACAATCTGCCGTGATGCAGACGAACCATTATGGTAAATTGATTGTACGGCAAATTGGCCACCACCATTGCGATGTGCAATCCTCCGAATGTATGCACTTATCAACAGAGATTATCGCAATTAATCTGGAGGATTACACATGTGAGTAGCGGAACATTGGACCTAAGCACACGGCAGGTGGGAAATCTTGAGGCATCGCCAATAACTGCATTATGTAAGAATATATCTACATCTGGACTTCAGAGATATGCATGTATAATACCCAGGGGCTACAAGAAGCCTTCATTTCGTCGAAACCAACGCCGCGCTTGCTCAAATTGATGCAATAATAATGAGATCTAACACGCTCTATCGCATTACCATTTTGGAGCGTTCATGAAAAACAAAGACTCGAAGAGTTCCTCGCGAGGCGACTAGCGACGCTTCCAGAACTTGACACCGCGTGCAGGGTGGGCGTCCTTAGGCTCAACAACAGGGTCAGCCGCGCCATCAATGACGCCCCTCTGAACATCCATAGAATACGCCTTCTCATTACCCCTCTTGCGTCCAGTCTTAACATCTCGTCGACTAGCGCAGCAGCAGCACAGTCCCATCTGCACCAGCCACGCAAAGATAGTCATCGCACTCGCAACCCACATAAACGCAAACATAGTCGTGCCGATCTTAGCGCCGATGTTCAACTCTGCCACACCACCGATAGTATTGCGGAAGATGATGAACATGACGGTTGCCAGTACGGACGCGACGGTAACGAAGAGCGCGTTGAGGAAGGCGAGGATGGCAACGGGGAGGGCGAGCCAGCGCGTGAAGACAGAGATGGGCATTACGAAGATGAGGACGAAGGAGAGAACGGTGCCGGTGAGAAAGAGGCCGAACATCCAGTTTGATACGAGCCTAATAAGGTCGAGGATGTCGTTGATGTCGGCGGGTAGGTTGACTGTGGCACGTTAGATGTGAGGTAGTAGAAGGAGTTCAGGATACTTACTCGACGCTCCGGCAAGCAGCTCGTTACGCAGAATCTCGACGGGGTTGAACCAGTACAGTGTATCAGGCGGAGAGCAGTAGGTGACGCCCTCGCCCTTATAGCCCTCGCAGAAGTTCCATAGACCGACCTGGTAGAAATCGTGCAGACCCAGCGTTTGCGCAATGGTGTTGATCAGGGCGAAGTTGGGCACCGACGACGGAACAACATTGCTGAGATCGAGGCGGATGAAGTACCAGTCCCTAAGTAGGTGCTTGTTGTATGTGCCGCTGATCTGCAGAAGAATGAGGAAGATGATAGCGACAAATAGGAAAAAGGATGTAATCAGGGCCCAGGTCTTGCGTGTCCGCGTTGCTCGCTTGAGCTGCGGCTTTGTGAGTTCAGGGTGGCCTTGCTCCACTGTTGTGGCAGCCGAGTTCTCAGACCGGCGGCGACTGAAGAGACCCATGTTGTTCAGGACTCAGCGACGAATGTGCAGTAACGTTGATTGCGGTGAATGTGGAAAGCAAAGACTGTTGTTGTGAAACGAAACTGTTGTCGTGAATCGTGAATCCTGAATCCGGGGGCTCCCAACCTCATACACGCGGTCATTGGGGCGGTCTCAATTTTTATGGAGATGCACTTAGGCCAGCAAGCTATGACGTGGGTGCCCCTAAGGAAGGCGCTGCGCAACGCCGACACGCAAGCCGCCGGGTGGTCGTAGCGATCTCCTAGGACCGAAGCTGCACCAGCAATTGGTTGACAAGTGCACCGGCGTGCTCAGGGAACACGCTTGTCGACCGTTGAGAGAGGTTCCAGACTGACGCGTAAAGTTGAGGCTGTACAAGTGTGCCGACTATGCGTGTTGACAATAGCAACTCTGCGTGTCAGCAATACCAGATTGTCATCTACTGACACGGCGACGACGTGTGATCGCATTGTGGGATCTTCACAAGGAAAAGCAATGGGGTTGCGGATGATCGACGCCGACGATGTTCTTCAGGACTGCAAAGCGGAAAAACTGCAAGCGAGATCATAAGGCTGATGAGGCTTGCCGGATCCTGGCGGGTATGCATCGTGAAAAGCCACAAGCCACAGATGTCGGCTCGAACCGAGAACGAGAACAAACGAGATGAACAGCAGTTCTTGGATTGTGTACCCGGGCAGCATTTCGATATTCACTGATTGTTTTAGGAGGTACAACCTCAGAACAACGCCGTATAATTTGGCGGACTCGATAGACCCCCTGGCATGTTGAATGGACTGGATGTCACGAAGAACGTCCACCAATTCTCCTCTACCAAGCTCCGCCAAACCCTCCAGATCAAACATCTCGCCAATCGGCATGCCCCAGCCTGCCAACAGGCACTCGTGTAGCACAGGCTCTGGCTTCGGAGGAAACACTTCCCACGCGACAGAGTCGCCTGCCACAGCCGTGAAGCCCTCATCCCATACCCAGCGCAGTACATCCTGCGTAGCCTCAACGCCTGCATGTTGCATCTCCGCTGGGTTCTCTGCGTAGCTTTTCTTGGCTTCGGCTGTCACAGTGGTATCCCATTCTTTCGTGAAGCCGGTCCTGAGGAACAATATATCGCCCTTCCAAAAAGTTATCTCACACTTCTCAGCAATGTCCAGGATAACCTTAAGCTTGATCTCATGGTTCGCAAGCGTGGAGTACTTCACACTAAATCCATTGGCCGGTTCGGATCTCGTTGGCGGCTGCTTTGGCAACAACTGAGGGCGTGAGGCCTGCAAGTCTTGCAAGTCCTTCTTCGTGACTGCCCGGCGTTGTCTGGAAGCTTATCGTAGGGCGTATCGTAGATGGCGGGGTATGGGGAGGTCATGTTGATGGAACGACCAGAACTCGAGGTCAACGCGCTACCGAATTATACATACTGCTTTGTTGAATACTCCATATGAGACAGCGACTTCAATGGAACTGTGCGAAGGAATTAGCTTGTGGTAGCATCTCGCTCGCCTACATGTCGATTTATCAGTCAGTCCGCCAAATGGACCCTTAGAGTTACATATTCGAACGCTGGAACCTCCTCGTTGACCAGAAGAGCTCGAGACTGAATCCTTCCAGAAGAAATAGAACAGTGAGACCGAGTTCAAAGAGACCACAAGCCACGTTGGACAAGAGGCGCTAAATTCAGGGTCCACGCGGGCTCCCGCCAAACATCGTCATCGCATGTGAACACTTTCCAACGCTCACAAACATTGCTGCCTGCGGACAACACCACCCGCACACACACACATCTTGCCCTGAATTTACCAGGAAACTATACAACATCAGGGACTCGAGATCGATACCAGACTTCTCGCGTCCATCATGGCAACGACACGCCTCCGCAAAACATTCCACTATCCAGACTCTTCAGACGACGAAGACACGGTAGAAGCCGGTCTAGACGCGCAAGGTACCTCCAACCTTCCAACGCCCCCTGCACATCCTCGGCATCCCTCTAACAACTCCTACAGACCAGGAAACGCTCCTCTCCACCCTTCAAACACGCGATACGTCCTCCACCCGCATCTACACGCTCCTCCTACTCATCTTCCCCGCCTCCATCACGCTACTCACACTGCCGGGACTCTTCAGCATATCGACGTTCTTGCCGAGTTTGCTTGCACTAGCGAGTCTCGCTGCGAGCGCATACACACTATATTTCCTGCCCCTCCCACCACGCAGCGCAGGCATAATCGTTGACGGACAAATAGCTTCTGCAGGAAAGGGCAAGGGGAGAGCAATAGGCGGGTATGGATTGAATACTAGCACGTCGAGTGCGCGGCAGGGGGAGAGGAAGGACGTGCCGTGGCTGTCGGACGAGGTTCAGGAGTTGCTGGCGCAGTACATTGTCCCGGCTAATGGGGTTGTATGCGGACTACTGGTGCTGTTGGAGTTGATCCAGGGCAGGGAGTGGAGAGAAGGTATGATGATCGGGGGAGGGTATTTGCCTGGGCTGGTGTTGACTGTTGTGCTGTGGGCGAGGAGGGAGTTGAGAGTAGTGGACATGAGTGAGCTGCAGCAGCTACGGTCATGATTAAACCATGAACTCAGTTGCAATCATTTTGATCTCATCTGAAGTGGCATGTCTGTAAAGTGAACGGTACATTGCATAAGAAAGATGACCTTGAAAGAGGTCTAGGTATCGTGCGAAACGCCATCAGCCCTTGCGGACATCTTTGCACCCAAATTTCATCGCCGTCAGCTCTCTCCAGGAGCGAAGTGCGTGCGGACGATTCTATCGTCGTTGATGCTCTCCTAAAGCATCATACTCTTCCTTCGACTAGCTATCCTCTCCGCTCTCAGTGTGCACGTTGCACTCGCCTTCTCTGCATCACCTACTGCCGCGTTATCACTTTTTGCACTAGTGGATGTTGGCACCGATGCCTTCTTCGCATTCAAACGTGCGGCAGAAGTGCTCCTCGCCAGACTGGTCGTGCTGGTACTCTTGATCGTTCCGCTTCCTGTACGCTTGTGTAGCGACGGGAGAGAGCCTTCTGGCTTCGCAGACTCGCTGGTAACCAGGGCTGGTACAGATGAGTGTCGCCGAGCGCTGCGCACTACTTTCGCAAGATCGGTGCGTGGACGTGCAGAATCGACAGGTGAGGACCCGTTGAAGTCGAAAATGGCGAGGTTGTCCTCCTCGACTGCCTCTTCCTTTACGGCAGGCTTGCTGGACTCGACTGGCTCAGACGCTGGCTCGTCTGCAGTCTTAGCTACAAAGTTCGCGGACACCCTTCTGTTTGCGGTACTCGTTTGGTCGATCAATGCGGATATGGCTCGCGAAGTCATCGACTGACTCATCGGTGCTGGGTCTGGCGGCGATGCATTCTCTCGTCTATCAAGCTTCTGGCGCGATGGACTTCCCACCTCCGCCTCCTCTTCTTCAGCCTCTCGCTTGATCGCTACCCTGCCTGTTGTGAGAGGTGCCAACTTGACTTCCACGCTCGTCCTCCTGTCTGTTTGGGGTACAATGGCGTCGGCCATCTTGCCATCACGACGCATTTTGACTGCCAAACTAGGTTCCTTGTAGCTGACTTGTGGACGTGCTCTTCGCGATGGTCGTCCAGCCTGTCCTGTCTGGTTCCCTGAGCTCACGTCGCCTGGCGGAGGGGTGTCCTTGTTGTCTGGCCGCGATGTCGAGGGCTCCGTGGAGGGCGGGGAGAAGACAGTGTCTGCTGCAGGCGTCTTTGGTGGCAGAAGGTCGAGATTGATCTCAGCAACGGGGACCGGCTCGGGTGCTACAAGCATGGGAAGCTCAGGCGGGGTGATGGTTCGAGTGATTGGGAGACGCTGGCGGCTACGAGGGTTCACGCTGGGTAACTTCTTCTTCTGTGGCTTCTCCTGCTCTTTCACGGACGACCGCTGCTTTTTTGGCGACAGCACTGGGTCGGTGTTGACAGGTTCTGCAAGTGTTAGTCTCAATCTGTATCAATAAGGAGGCCGAGCTTACTGCTACTGAGGACTGGCCGCGCTGGTGATACAGCTCTAGGCTCCTCAGGAACTTCCTCTGTCTCTGCTTCTTGGACATTCCTGCGATTGAAGTTGAACTGCTCGTCCTGTGTCTCTGGTCGATCCTCGTCTTCCTGTACACTGAACTTTCTCTTAGCGCCAGTGCGCATAGGCTTGGCTGCTTTCTCTTTGGCCTCTTCCGACGATTCGAATACGGAGATGCGGCGGATGTTGAGTTTGGGCCCGCTCTCCCTTCGCTTCTTCCGTGTCTCTAGGTTCATTGGTAGCGCAGGCTCGTCTTCTGCAGGCACGTCCTCCATGTGCTCATCCGGTTCAGGGTTGGGATCGAACGCAATGGGCTCTTCGACTTCGAAGCTTGATGTGGGCGGTGGGCCAATATCGGGCGATTGACTCTCAGGGTCTTCCAGCACGTTACGGATCTCCTCTGCGTTCATGGTGCGCCGTGGATGGTCCTTGTCCTCGTCAATGGTGGGCATCATCCGTTCCTCCACTTCCTGTATGCATAGCCCGCTTCTGAAGTTTCTCTCCTGTGGACGATGTCTGGCCAGCTGCTGGCTTTTGCGCCGTCTCTCAGTCTGCTTAGGCTGTCCCAGCGAAGCTACCAAGCTTCCGAGTTCCTGCATCTTGGCTTCCAGTTGTGACCTGACGGCATCGATGTTCTCGAACGAAAGACTGCTGGACTGCTTATCGACGGTATGTTGGAGGTGCATTGCGCGTTCGCGAAGGGCAAGGTTTTCGGCGAGAAGGCGTGAGCAGTCGCTTTCGAGGGTGCGAATGCGCATGGACTGCTGCGAGTTGGTTCTGTCTCGAGATCAGCTTGCTTTCTGACCAACGTCTTGCGCTGAAACGTACTTTGCCAGCTCGCGGTTCTGTCGCAGAAAGCGACGCTTGACAACCTCAATGTTGTCGGCCGACGGCTGAGGAGCAGCCACCGGCGGCTCGTTCAGGCGCGCCATGAGCGCTGAATAGGTATGTGGAAGCTGATGATAGTGTGGGAGACGTGTGCGGTGGCGGCGCTGCGACGATCTAGGACGTGTGTCGTTCGTTGTTTCCGTCTGGTCTTCGTCATAGTCGAAAAGCTGCGGGCGTTGTTTACCTAGCAACGGCAAGCTAGCCGCTTGTGTTGACAGCTCCACTTTTGCGACCCATTCACGACAACACGTGAATCAAGTGGGGTTAACGCGTTCCTTTCTACTTCACGACGGCAGCATATCAACTGAAAGTACACAAAACCGGATATTGACCAATTCAATATGTCGAACTTCTCTCGTCCTATGCCGTCGCACCTGCGCGGCCAGTCGATGGGCGCGTCGCAGCAGTCAACTTTCTTGCAGCAGAAAATCGCCGACAAGAAGACCGAGCTTGCAAACCTCAAGGACTTGCAGGCGCTGAGTGGTGGTCTGGCAGACCAGATGCAAATGCTGGCTGATAAGCTGCAAACACTCTCGGATGGTACAGAAGGTAAGTAAGATCAATCAAGGTCTACGACGGTGTGGGATTCACAAACACCGAAGCAAGCCGTGCATACATACTGACATCTCATTTCCAGCTGTTGCAGCAGTACTCTCGAACTGGCACAATGTGCTTCGTGCTATCAACATGGCATGTAGTATGTCGCTCTTCTGTGGACTGGGAGCACAATCATCTGACTAGAGTAGCTATCATGCCTAAACCCAAGAACGAGGATGAGGCCGAGACGAAGCAAGAGACGGAACCACCTCTGCCACAAACCCTTGTGCGCATCCCAACTCAGCATGCGCCTGCGGTGATAGAGCAAGCCAACGCTGGAGCAGCAGCCGCAGCAGAGTGAACCTTGGAAGTGGCCATGAATACAGTATTGAAGTCAAGGAAGATCACCAGCTGAGCTCGCTACGAAGGCGAACACCGTCTTGCTGAAGACGAAGTACCGCGTCTCGATTCGCGGAGAATTACGGCACAAGCAGAAGATCGCAACTCGTAGCGCGACATGCTTATCAGGAAGAAACATCGATATCTTAGAGTCAGTGCCATACTGCACCAGAGAGGAATTCGGTAGCTAAATGGGGCGGTATCAGAAACCAAGGAGTATCGGTGAGCGTACATTGGATAGCAAGATAGATGATATCGTCGTAAACATCAACTCCCTGTGTGACCTCGACGCTCGAGTCCTGAGTGATGAGTGATGACCCTTAGAGTCTAGCGCGCCAAGCCTCTCGCGAAAATCCTCAAAACTTCGAATCTGACGCGTGCTTCCTTTCCTCACATATTGTCAACGGTCTCCTATAACCCTAAGGTTATTCCCAATTACATGGAAAATGCCTTAATTCCAGGAGAACCCAGAGGAATTGCACAGCCGTTCTAATCCTGAAGTTCGCTCGCGTCGACTTTCGAGTCGATATTGGAGCTCCGGGTTCGCTTTAGGCCAACATACTCTTTCGCCAAGTTCAACTTCATTGTGATCTCTGCCTATGATACCTGCGCATCTGTTTACAGCCCAATACATGAGCATCACAGACAGGTCTGTCTTGTTTGGAAAAGGCGTTGACTCCGGAAGAACTGGCGTTGCACCCTCAGCTCAGGAACGTTTGGGAGTGCCCTCAGTCTGCCTTAGGTATGCTGTCTCTGCTGAAGCATCCGTTAACGGACACACGGCAGGAGAAGTGTAGTGCAAATCCCGGTGGCTGGACGCAAATGCTTCACAGAGTTGACAGGCCCGGGAGGTTTTGAGCACGGTCGAATGATCCCCGCACTTCCGCACCTGTGTGAGATCCCGGAAGAAGCAGGACACGACATCGTGGCAGCGCAAGCTGCACAATGAGCGGCTGATGAGCGGCGGCCCCCAACTCAACATGATTGTCGTGCTGCGATTCGCTGGTTCTGAACGCCTCCGTCGACCGATTCGCCAACCAATCCATCAACTGCGGCCTTGCAGGTTCTTTCCTGGCTCACGAGTGAGGTTCAAGCCATCGTCACTAGGTGGAGCGATCTCGTATCCCCTATGCCATGATGCACCAAGGCCCAAGAAAGGAACTTTCCGAGCTCGTATCCCTTTTGGTACGGCACTATTGGTGCAGATGTCTCACAACCAGCAGCGTGGCTAAAGTGGAGTTTATCCAGCGGCCACCAGGCTCGTCGCGCAACGGTCAGCAATCGATATGATCGCCCCGAAAGCGCTACGAATGGCAGAAGAGCATTGCGTCGGCCGCTAAAGCATCCTTCAGCCCTGCACGGCTGGCTTCGACACTTGCAGATTAACCTCCCAACCGAGGAGCTTCTCCTTTTCGTTACTCTCGACTCTCCACACCGTGCACCGCATGCCTACACATCCCAAAGCGTCATGAATGCGTATCATGGCACGTCTTCGACGATGCCTGTTTGTAGCATTTAATCTCATTGTGTTATCTTATCAGAAAGACCCCATCGTTGACTTGTAGGTAGCCGTTGTCCAATGTTACTTGGTGGGACCGATCAGGCACTGCACCAGCATCCCGAAACCCCCAAGTTACAGTATCCTCGGTGCGCGCAGGATGAACACGGCTGTCTTATTTAGAAGTGCCGAAAACCACCCATGCGACTGTCGTCACGTCTCATTGCGCCTCATGAGCATGCTGCTGACATGAAAATAGCTGCCGACGATGGGGTCACCAAACGGCACAGGTCAACGGGAGGTTGTACATTGATGGCGGTATGGTAGATTGGAGCCCGGGGGACGCGAACTACACAAGTGAGGCACCGTTTGTTTACAGTCATTCATATGCTAACGTTGGTTCAGATACAGCATTAGTGTTCAGCGATCTCAATTCTTCGACTCCAGGACTCGGCCAACCGTACCAATACGCAAACCTCTCCAAGCCTGCTGAGATACCGAGTGTCTCTGGCGGCATCCTTTGGCCCGACGAAGTCAACAAGTGTTTCTACCAATTTGGCGGAGCATTCACAAACGGGACGCCCAGCGAAGATCGCATGTGGACCTACGACGTACTCCTCGACCAGTGGAACCAGACCAACCCCAAGAATACTGGTGTCTCCCCCACACAGCGAGTAGCTTATGGCGCAGGCACACATATCGAGAGTCTGGGCTTAGGATTCTACTTCGGGGGCTGGAAGAGCAATCAGACTGACGCGGACTGGACTGGCAGTGCAATCGCAACGGCCGACCTTGTTCGCTTCGAGTACAACACCGGGTTTTTGTCCAACAATAGTGGGCCTGACGACAATGTGGGAAGAGCGGAGGGCCAGATGGTCTACTTGCCAGTATCAGACAGTGGTCTGCTCGTATACTTTGGTGGCATTGAAGATCAACATCAGAATGGCACTGCCTCACCAGTGAGTTCCACCACACTGAAACGTTAGACGGTTGAAGATTTACTGACGCGATTACTCCAGGCAAACATGAGTGTATGTTTACGGGCTCATGTCGAATTTGTGTTGCTCGTTGCTGATTTTTAACAGAACATCCATATGTATGACATCCAATCGTCAAAATGGTACCGTCAAACTGCCACCGGCAACGTTCCAAACGCGCGCCGGCAGTTCTGCGCAGGCGTCACTTGGGCTGATGACCAGTCTTCATACAACATGTGAGTGTGTAGATACCGGTGCAAACTCATGCAAAGCTGATTGCAACATAGTTACCTGTATGGTGGTTACGGTTTTGGAGGCACGCTTGGCTATGATGATGCCTATATCCTTTCGCTTCCGTCGTTCACGTGGATCAAGGCGTTTCCTACCGACAACAGTACCGGAGCGTACCCTCACGGGGGCTGCAGTGCGAACGTAGTCACCAGAGATCAGATGATTATCATTGGGGGATGGTTTCCAGAATCTGACCAGTGCGACTCACCCCAGGTACAAGGGCAACACGGCATGAATCTTGGCTATAACGGCGAAAAGAAAGCCTTGTGGGACAAGTATGATCCGAAGCTCTCCACTTACTTTGTGCCGACACCTGTCATATCTGCTATTGGAGGAGGGTACGTTCTGCAGCTCTTTCATTCTGAGGTCACGTTACTGATCACATTGCAGGCCTACTGGCGGAGCCACTGTAACGGCCCCGTCCTCCTGGGACAATCCTGATCTAGCCGTGTACTACACCCTCAAGGCTCCATCTGTCTCACGGACAGCGACGCGCGCCCTGCCTTCGAGCACTGGTACTTCTTCTGGAGGTTCGAACAAGAGCAAGGTGGGCGCAATTGCCGGTGGTGTCGTCGGAGGTCTTGCTGCGCTCATCGCTATATTATGTCTCATACTGTTCTGCCTACATCGCAAAAAGAAGTCAAAGAAAGAGAGGGGAGAACAGCCGGCTGAACTACCACCTCCAGTCGAACTCGGTGTCACTACTCCACCACAAGAGATGCCAACGCCTGGAATGGGCAAGTACATGTCTTTGCACCAGCATCAAGAGCAGTACTCCCCTTACTCCGGTGTGACGTCTTTGCACTCTCCGCACTCCGTGCATGCCCAGCAGTCATCGGTATCTGCATCGCCGCCGCATGCAACTCCCTATGGCTCTCCGCACGATGCCACCTACGCACAGCCAGCATATCCGCAGACAACACATGCTCGATCTCCGTCTTGGGAGCACGCCCAGATTTCGACTATGGACACACGGTATTCACAACAGAGCCACCCTTCGCCAACGTCACCCTCTCATCCTTCATATGCTCCACCACAGGAGGCACAGCTCTACTACCCGCCACCTCGAGAGCCGACGTACCAAAAACCTGTGGTCTCTCCAGGGACTAATGCTGGCTACGAACCTGTGCAGTATCAGGACAATGTGTCTTCATCACTATCACCACCACCGGTCAGCACGATGCCAACGCCTACACAGTTCTACGCACGACCAGCTCCGGTTCCTGGTGATGCGGAGTCAGGGTATACACAGCTGCCGACCGAGGAAGGGAGGTATGGTGACAGCTTGGAGCCACAGAGGCGGCCGAAGTACGGGCGATTTGTCGAAGTCAATCATACATAGAATCATGGGGTACATAGAGGCGTTTTGGTGTTTGCGGCACCCATATGGGGGTTCTTTTTGCGCGATGTCGACTGATACCTAGCGCTCTATCATGAATGTAGATACAAACTGGAGTGAAAAGCATTAGTAATACTGTGGGACTCTGTGAAATCTCGAGGAGGTGCGGTGAGTTTATGCCTCTGGCGTGGGTCCTTCTGATTGGCACTAGCACTCTCGGCAACAGCGCAGCGCGTCTGTCTCCTCATCGCGCCGTGCTTTCGTACTTTGCCAACCAACGCCCACTCAACGCAAAGCTTTGAGACGACAAGCAGCCGGCTGTACAGCCTCGCATTGGATTCACCACACGCTAGCCTCTCCTCGCCGATCACCCTCCTCCATCCCAGGTGCCTGCCCGCATCCTCGCTCCTCCGCCGCCGACGTGCCCCACTATACCGTCTTCTTGCACCTCTCTGCAGGCACCCAACCCACGCGCCCCAGCTTCCAACACCTCCCCTCCGCCTCCCACAACACCCACAGCCACAGCCTTCGGCTGCTGCAGAGCTCCTTGGGGCCACTTCAACACCAGCTAGTCGAATAGGGAGCTGTCCCCGCAGCGAAGCCGCCCGCCATGTCTATGTCCATTGAGGAGCTCGACGCCACAGTGCGCGCCTTCTACGAGGGCCGCGGCGACACAGTACGTTCTCTATGCAGCTTTGTTTGGCATGTTGGGTAGTAACGAAGCTAACAACTCTCTCTTCGCAGCAAAAACAAGCTCAGGCGACGCTGAACCAGGTAGGCTGAAGCATTCCAGCCGCGCTCGCAGCTTGATCCGCTAACAGTGCAACAGTTCAAAGAGAACCCAGATGCTTGGCTCCTGGTCGATAAGATCCTCTCGGATGCGCAGTATCCACAGACCAAGTGTACGTATCTGTCGTCTGGAAAGAGGCGGTTGGGCTGTCACTAACAACCACCAGACCTCGGCCTGCAGGTGCTCGACAATGTGATTATGACAAGATGGAAGGTTCTTCCTCGCGACCAGTGTCAAGGTACGTCTTACGTCCATGGTAAGCCTGAGCTCCGCTAACGCCGACAGGTATCCGTAACTTCATTGTCAACTTCATCATCCAGCTGTCAAACGATGACGATCGCCGCCGCTCCGAACGCACCCTGCTCAACAAGCTGAACCTCGTCCTCGTCTCCGTTCTGAAGCAAGAGTGGCCCCACAACTGGCCGACGTTCATAAACGAGATCATCTCATCATGTCACAGCGGGTTGGGAATTTGCGAGAACAACATGGTTATTCTGCGACTGCTTTCAGAAGAGGTCTTCGACTACTCGGAGGAGCAGATGACATCGACAAAGCGCAGGGAGCTCAAGCAGAGCATGTGCGACGAGTTCACCTCCATCTACCAGCTTTGTTCTGAAGTTCTGCGCACAGCAACCGAGGCTTCCCTTATCAAGGCGACTCTTGAGACATTGCTGCGCTTCCTCAACTGGATTCCTCTGGGCTACATCTTCGAGACACCGCCCAGCGGTCAGAGCCTTATCGAGACTCTGCGCAGCCGATTCCTCGAAGTCCCTGAGTTCCGTAACATCACATTGAAGTGCTTGACTGAGATCGCAGGTCTCCACACCGAACCCGCTTACGATGACAAGCTCGTCCAGATGTTCACGGAAACATTGACCGCGATCTCAAAGATCATCCCTCTGTCTCTGGACCTCAAGCAGACCTACGCATCGAGCAACAGCAGGGACCAGGAGTTCGTACTGAACCTTGCGCTGTTCCTGACTAACTTCTTCACATCGCATTTGGCCGTGATCGAGAATCTCATGAACAAGGATTTCCTCACACACGGCCACTTCTATCTCATCCGCATCAGCCAGATCGACGACCGTGAAATCTTCAAGATCTGTCTGGAGTACTGGACGAAACTTGTTTCTGAGCTCTATGACGAGATGCAGGCGCTCCCGATCACCGACATGAACCCTCTCCTGAACATGGGTATCACCACCAGCGGCAACCGCGACCCTTCGATGATGGCGAACTATCCTCTGCGTAAGAACAAGTACACCGAGATTTTGTCGAACCTGCGAACTGTCATGATCGAGAAGATGGTCAGGCCAGAAGAAGTGCTCATTGTTGAGAACGACGAGGGTGAAATTGTCCGCGAGTTCGTCAAGGAAAGCGACACCATCCAGCTCTACAAGTCGACTCGCGAGTGCTTGGTCTTCTTGACACATTTGGATGTTAACGACACCGAACAAATCATGTCCGAGAAGCTGGCACGCCAGGTCGATGGCTCAGAGTGGTCATGGGCAAACTGCAACACCCTCTGCTGGGCTATTGGTTCCATTTCTGGCGCCATGAACGAGGAGACTGAGAAGCGGTTCTTGGTCACGGTCATTAAGGATCTCCTTGGCCTCACGGAGATGAAGCGAGGCAAGGACAACAAGGCCGTCGTCGCGAGTAACATCATGTACATTGTTGGCCAGTACCCGCGATTCCTCAAGGCTCACTGGAAGTTCTTGAAGACCGTCGTCAACAAGCTTTTCGAGTTCATGCACGAGACACACGAAGGTGTTCAGGACATGGCTTGCGACACATTTATCAAGATCGCCAACAAGTGCCGGCGACACTTCGTCGCGCTGCAGCCTGGCGAAAACGAGCCGTTCATCGACGAAATTGTGCGGAACTTACGAAAGATTACCGCAGACCTCTCACCCCAGCAAGTGCACACCTTCTACGAGGCTTGCGGTTACATGATCAGCGCACAAGGGCAGAAGGGCATGCAGGAGCGCCTGATCCACGACCTGATGGCTCTCCCCAACTCAGCCGTAAGTACTGTGGCCATGAACGATTGTACAAAACTAATCATGTCGACAGTGGGACAACATCATTGCTCAAGCCAACCAAAACCCCGCCTGCTTACAAGACTCAGAAGTCATCAAGATCGTCGGCAACATTATGAAGACCAACGTCGCAGCCTGCGGCTCAATCGGATCCTACTTCTACCCTCAGATCGGGCGGATATACTTCGACATGCTGACAATGTACCGCGCCAGCTCTCAGCTCATCGACGAGGCTGTGCAACGCGAAGGCAACATCGCGACTAAGATGCCCAAGGTTCGCGGTCTGCGTACGATCAAGAAGGAGATCCTCAAGCTCATCAACACCTACGTTGAGAAGGCTGACGACCTTGAGATGATCCACAACAACATCGTGCCCAAGCTGCTTGAGGCCGTCCTGATCGACTACAAGAACAACGTACCTGACGCTCGTGAAGCCGAGGTACTGAACGTTATGACTACGATCATCAACAAGCTACATGTACGTTGGACACCCAAAACGAGCAAACACTTTGTTGGTCTCGCTCAGCCACAATTGAGTCATGTGCTAACTTTGAACAGAGCATGATGGAGGATCAGATCATCAACATAATGGACAGCGTCTTCGAATGCACGCTGGACATGATCAACAAGGACTTCTCCGAGTACCCAGAACACCGCGTCGAGTTCTTCAAGCTTCTCCGGACCATCAACCTGCGTTGCTTCCCTGCTCTTCTCCGACTGGATGCTCGCTCGTTCAAGTTCGTCATCGACTCTTGCATGTGGGCTAGTAAGCACGACAACCGCGAAGTCGAGAGCGCCGGTCTTTCCATGTGCTTCGAGCTGGTTTCCAACATGTCTGAGACCGACGAGCAGACCTGCAACGCGTTCTTCCAGACATTCTTTACCACCATCCTGCAGGATGTGTTCTTCGTTGTCACCGACAGCGACCACAAGGCCGGCTTCAAGTCGCAAGCTATGCTGTTGGCCAAGATGTTCTGGCTCGTCGACTCGGACAAGCTGCGAGGTCCCATTTACACTTCGCCAGACATGGCTCCGGCCGGTACACCAAACCGCGAATTTCTGCGAAACTTCGTTGGCAATTTGTTGGCGACCGCATTCCCCAACCTTCAGACCGCCCAGATCGCATCATTCATCGACGGACTATTCGCCACTAACTCCGACCTCAACCGCTTCAAGGTCATTCTCCGTGACTTCCTCATCTCTCTGAAGGAGTTCTCTGGCGACAATGCTGAGCTCTTTGCCGAAGAGCGCGAGCAAGCAGCTAAGCAGGCGAAGGATGAGGAGCGCGAGCGCGCCATGAAGGTTGGTGGTCTGCTCAAGCCCTCTGAGATGGATGACGACGAGTTGTGACTTAACGTTGAGCTGGACGCAAATGTAGCAACGCGCACGCCTTTCGATCGCACCTCCGCTTCGATTCAAATCACGGACACGAATAACGCCGATGACTGGTGGGCTGATTCGTTTTGAACGTCGAGCACAAGAGTAGAGACGTGCCTGTATGGGCGATGCATCGCGTAGCGTTATTGATTTCCCACCAAAGATCTTGATTGATCTAGCGGTCTAATACCCAATAGACCATTCTGTTTCTCGTTTGGCATGCAGCGGGTAGCGGGGTTGGAGGACAGTACTTGGTTTGCACAGATGATAAAAGCACAGGAAAGGAGGGGGCGTGCAGAGCCTTCTAGACATTCTGCATTGACGGCCATAAGAATAAAGTAAATGAACGCATTTCAGGAATTACAAATTTGTTCAGCATGGCTTGTGTCGATGTCAAGCTTGGAGGTAGCCTTCGACGCAATGTCACTCCACGGAAACATTTAGCGTGATCTCACCAAGTGCCGACATGGCGGCTGAGAGCGTCTATACATACACGACGTGAGCAGTAGTGGAACGGCCCGCTACCTGATGTCGTGATGGGCATGCAGGGTAGCAGCACGCAGTATGACGGCAACAAGTGCCGACAGACGTACAGATGTACGTCCGACGATAAATGTTCTCCCGAGAAGTTCCTTCCTAAACATGCTCTAGCCAATGATGCACGGGTAATGACTTACCAACTTGTACCAAGCATCCGTATGCGAGGCCACCTCGACACTGCTCATCGTGGATCTCCCTGGTGTATACACCGACATCATACATGGCATGGGGGCCCAGATCGGGGCCTTGCCGACGGCAGATTCCTGGACGGACGGCACAGCAAGCAGAGTCCTGTGCTTTCCGTCGACCTGTCCCCGACAAGGACCCATCAGACTGGAGCAAGGTTACAGTCGTGGTGGGCCGGGCTGCCTCGCGCGGCTACTTGCCATCATGTGATGTCGTGCGTTCAAAGGCTTCTTTTGACGGCGAGAGACGGCTAAGTTTCCCCATACGAGCTAGTCGCTGCCTCTTTGAGTTGTTCAGTCGAATTATGTCACCTGCCGCAGTGCAGCAAAGAGGGAAGGTGAAGAGACCCAAACCTCCATTTCTGCAATTGTCGACAGCATGCACTTCTACTCCCACTTCTAGCGCGCTACCTCGCTTCGAGCCAGCGGAACCTTCCACCCACAATCCATACCCCTGCGCGGTGGACTCTCTCAGCGCGCCCCTGTCAAACGATCTCTCTGCGCGTTCCTCTGCACGCACGGGGTCCCACGGCGCCCTCCCATTGGCCGTTTGCAGTGTGCTCTCCAACGACTGCGTGAACAACATCTCAGCGGCCAGCATGCACAACCTCGTGGCCCTCTTATAATGTACCGCCGGCACCACAGCGAAGCCTGGCCCCTCATTCGCCGTCTGCCAGAATCCAGCTAATCCAGGTGCTACCAGCACCACGCGAGCCTTTGCAGACTGCAGTGCTCTGTCCGACCTAAGGCGGCACCCTGCTGCAAGCTTGGGGTGACTTCACTTCTTGAAACTTCTACCAACAACGCACGTCCGCCGTCTAGAAGGCGCCCCAGGAGCCTCACCGTGCTCACCGCGAATTCTTTGCTTTTGTCCGTCCCCGCTGTCGCGTGGGCGTCTGCCGACACCCGTATCCTCACACGTTTGCTCATTACCCACCCTGTATGGGCAGATCTGCAGCCAGACCCATACCAGGATTTCCTCGCTTGTGCAGTACTCGCGCGTCGCCGTTGAGCCTTCGGAAACACCGCTGCTCAATTATCTCAGCCGATTACCACCATGTATGTCGTGCCCCTCGTATGGAGACCCTTCAACTCCGCCCCCGTGGTATCGTGAGGAAGACTGCATCGAGCACCAGCTTGGCTTCCAAAGATGAGACTACTGACTCAGCTCGCTTTTCTAGGAAGTTTGGCAAGCACATCCAGAAGCGGCAGCTGGAGATTCCAGAATATGCCGCTAGTTTCGTCGACTACAAGGCGCTCAAGAAGGTGAATTGGAGCCTGGTGGATTGGTTGTGTATGTGTGCTGATGCGTCTGTAGCTCATCAAGAAGCTCAGTAGTACGCCAGTGATTCCTGCACTGGGCGAGAGCAGCCATGGACACGAAGCACTAGATCCGCAAACGTCTCTGCAGGCGAACAAGGCCACATTCTTCTTCCGAGTGGTATGCATATGCTGTACCTTCTGACCAGAGGCCTTGCTTATAGTGCCAGGAACGAGAACTAGAGAAGGTCAACACATTCTACCTACAAAAGGAAGCGGAGCTCCGCCTGCGGCTAACAACGCTCCTGGACAAGAAGCGGGTCATGCAGCAGCATCCGCAGTCAGTCTCCAAGACGTCTTCGCGGTATATTGCGCTCGAAGAAGGCCTAAAGCAGTTTAGCACAGACCTTAACAAGCTCGAGGTGATTGGTCTCCGAGTCCTTGGGTTGTGGAGCTAACCAGGACTAGCAATTTGTGGAAGTGAACGAAACTGCGTTTTCAAAGATACTGAAGAAGGTTTGCACCCCTTTCCCACCACACGCCTGAACAACAGCTAACATTCACAGTGGGATAAAACGTCAAAGGTATGCTGTCGCGCCTTGTACACATTGATTCGCGTGACTGACTCTGTGATAGTCACGGGAAAAGCAGCTCTACTTGTCGAGAGCTGTCGAGGTGCAGCCATGTTTCAACCGCGAAGTCATCAGCACCCTATCCGATCAGGCGACACAAGCTATCCTCGACTTCTCTGGATGGGCAGAGGGTGAAGGAGTGCAAGCTCCACAGCCGACCGCGGAACCAAGAATATTCGAACCCCTGATCGAAGCGAACCTCGAGCTCGACAATCAATTCATCCAAGCCATCAACATCTCGAACACAGCAAAGATCCGAGAATGCCTTACACGGTTATCGAACCTACCTGACGCCAGAGAGCACATCTCGCGGGCCTTCCTGAGCACAGTCGCAGAAGCACCAGAAGAGGCCCTGAGAATTGTACTTGATTCCAACCAGGTCAACTTGGAGCAAGAGGATGAGATCAATGAGCGCAACTGCCTCCACAAGGCGGCCATCAGCGGACGACTTGAAATCCTTCAGCTTGGACTGTCGAGCAATGTCGATGTACATGCAACAGATGTGTACGGACGGATACCTCTTCACTACGCCTCCATGCACGGATACGTTGAGCTTGTCCAAGCTTTGATTGACGCCGCTCCCGACACCGTAAACTTCCGCGACCAGGACAGCTTCACACCCCTCATACATGCAATCGTGCGTTCGCAATTACCATGCGTGCAAATACTGCTGGTGAGAGGCGCCGATATGAGTCGCATCGGTCCAGGCGAGCACATTCCGCTAAATCTATGCTGCCAGTACGCCTCTTTGGAGATCATGGAGTTGCTCCTTCAAGGGTCAGCCGAGATGCTTCCAGATGCGGAGGGCTTGTACCCACAACACCTAGTAGCTCGATCTGGGAAGACGCCACGGATGCTGCTTCTACTACAGAAATATGGAGCCGATCTCAATCAGCCGGACAAACTTTACCAGTGGACTCCGTTGTTCCATGCAGCAAGCGAAGGACATGTGGAATGCCTCAAGACTCTTCTTGAATGTCGAGTTGACGTGGACATTGTTGATGAGAAGAGTCTATCTGCTATGTACTACGCTACATGGGAGGGGCACCTTGAGTGCATGACGCTCCTCGCTTCGGTGGGCCGTGGAGTGGGCTTGAAGACACAAAATCAAGTGTCGCCGCGCATAAAAACCTTGCAGCCGATGTCTAGCACAGCGCCTGGGCCGATGGACCTTGAGTTGGGCGATCCGGACGGTATTCCCGAGTTCATTCTTCCTCCACCGATCATACCCTTCCGCAGGTACGGTCACAACTTCCTAGACACGAAGACGTTCGTGGTCATCAGCTTTGAGAAGGTCGGGAAGGACGCGATACGATTCTACAACGACCAGAAGTACCCAGCGGCAAGACTTACAATATCTTCGAAAAGTTCGGATCTCATACCCAGGAACATACTCCTTCCTGTTCAGGACGAGTTCAAAGTCATTTCTTTCCAGATCGAGAATCTGGAAGCTTTTTCGATCGACTTTGATGTGTATCCAACCATCGGTTCGAAGGTAATTGCGCGCAGTGTGGCATCCCGAAAGGTGTTCACAGAACGGTCAAAAAGCACTGGGAGATGGCACTTGGAACTTTTCGATCCGCGGCTACGAGCTATCGGCCAGATTGCCTTTGACTTCCAGGTTGTGAAGCCTTTCCACGGCATCCCACTCGAGATTACACATTTCGCTACTTACTGGAAAGCCACAAGCCAGGACGACAACCAGCCCCATACATTAATCACCGGGTCAAGTCTATCCGGGGAGTATGTGCGCTTGTTCGTCCAGCTCACGGCTGATGGCATTCCGGTGCTGTATCCAAGATGGAAGATCAACCATGCAGGACTCGAGGTGCCGGTCAACATCCTCACATACTCGCAGCTCGCAGCTATCGGTGCGCAACAAAACGCAACGACCGCGACGCAGCTCTCGAGCCTGAAGAACGCGACCTCGAAAGATATCTCCTACATCTACCAAGCGCTGGCATCATCCTTCATCACGTTGAAGGAAGCATTGTCCTTGCTGCCGGCCCACATCCACGTGGAACTGCATGTTTTGTTCCCGTCAAGACTGGAAGAGGAGCGGCTCAAGCTCGGTCCTACACACGACATGAACGAGTTTGCGGATAAGATCCTGTCCATTGTGTTTGAGCATGCTCGAGCATTGCGGGAGCAGGGTGCTGGCGAGATCGACGGCACACTACGGAGTGTAGTATTCACTTCCTTCAACCAGGACATCTGCACCGTGATCAACTGGAAGCAACCCAACTGTAAGTTCACCTGACACTGAAGCTTGAAGCAACACACTAATGTATACAACCAGACCCCGTCTTCCTCTGCAACGAACTCGGCGCCGACTCCGCCCAATCCCCCTCCGGGCGAACCCACACAATCCAAAGCAGCGGCCGCACCACCATCTCCGTCAAAGAAGCCGTCCAAATCGCGCGCGACAACAACTTCATGGGCCTGATCTGCAGCTCGCGGCTGCTCGACCTCGCTCCAGCGCTCATCGAGAGTATCAAAACGGCCGGCCTCGTTCTTGTCAGCGATATCACGGATAGCGTGGCCGATAATGGCGTAGGAGGGCTGCAGGTTGCGCAGCCGAGGAGGCATACGACGCCGGATGGGGTGGATGGATTTCTGAGGGGGAATGGGGTGTTGTGCTTTAACGAGACGGTTGATATGTAGGGTTTGGAGGGCTGGAGGGAGGAGCTGCAGGCTATGGAGGAGTGATGGTTCTGGGTGAGAATGCTCTGGGTATGAGCGATACACGGCAAGCCAAAAGTTTGTTCGTCATTAGGAGCAAGAGCATGCTGTATCACGTTATCATGCGGAGCGAAAGCGGAACGAAGCGGAACGATATCTATAGAGACGGGTGGCAATTGTTTTTTGTCAAGGTTTTGTTGGTTGACACGGTAGACTATTACGCGCATCGCGATGAATAACCTGGACCATAACGTTCGGAGGAGGAACGTAGACATGAACTGAGACAGCGTTGTGACATAGGATTGTAGGAGCATAATAGCAAAGTCACTTGGTTGGCGAGTTGCACGGCCTTGGAAGGACGTCGTCGAATACGCCACACACGGTACGGAAGACTCGCCGCATGATGCAGGGGTCCCGATCTGCGATAGCGGCACTGCTTCGAGAAAATGTCGGATCGAACGACAACGACATCACCATCCCGCGCCTTCGTTTCTACCGCTCTTTTCCTTTCTGTCTTGCGTTTCAGCGACATAGACACCCTTTTCACGATACCATGAGCGCATAACCATATAATGTCTGCTTCCATCATCTCTCCCTTCCTTCGCCGCGGCGGAACGGTTACAGGGACAGCTCCGTGGACATGTCGCACATGTCTCCAGTCGCAGCGTCAGATTCTGCTGCGACAGCGGCGCACATTTGCGGGTAAAGCGGATGCGGTGACGCGACCGGTAGTTAAGAACAGCAAGAGAAGGCGAAGGTTGTTGGTCCTGGGTGGAGGAGTCGCTCTCGGTGCTGCGGTTGTCACAGTAAACGACGAGGCAAAGCACGCATGGTCAGCGGCGCAGAGGACATACCGAGTCGCGGCTACATTGGCATTGAACATCAAGGAGTAAGAAACACCACGGCGCACGTGCGATTGACTGTGACTGGGACTGGGACTGACCCGAGGGCACAGCTACCGCCACACCCTCAAGCGCGACTCCGACCCGGATTACCAAGACCAACTGAAAGCATGCCACCTGCGCTGCGCAAAGCGCACCCTCCGCACGCTCGAGAGCAACGGCTCCATCTTCATCAAGCTTGGCCAGCACCTCAGTTCGATGAACTACCTTCTCCCCAACGAGTGGTGCGACACCTTCATCCCGCTACAGGACAAGTGCCCCATCTCATCGTACGAATCGATCCAGGAAATGGTGCTCAAAGACACCGGCCGCCCGCTCTCAGACTTCTTCTCCGAGTTTGATGCGAGACCCATTGGCGCTGCGAGTCTGGCGCAAGTGCACCGCGCAACCATCCGCGAAACGGGTCAAAAAGTGGCCGTCAAAGTCCAACATCCCGCGCTCGACGAATGGGCAAAGCTGGACTTGGCCCTTACCAGCTTCACGTTCAGGACACTGAAGCGCTGGTTCCCCGAGTACGACCTGACCTGGCTGTCCGAAGAAATGGAAGCCTCGCTCCCCCAAGAACTCGACTTCGCGCTCGAAGGCCGCAACGCAACACGCGCACGCGCCTACTTCTCCCACGTCCCGTCCTCGCCCGTGATCATCCCGCAGGTCATGTGGGCAAAACGCCGGATTCTGGTCATGGACTTCATATCCGGTGCGCGGCCCGACGACCTCGCGTACCTCGACGCGCACAACATCGACCGCGACGAAGTCTCGGCAGCCCTCGCAAGAATTTTCAACGAGATGATCTTCGGCCGCGACGCGCCGCTGCACTGCGATCCGCACGGTGGGAACATCGCTATACGGCACAATCCGAGCCGTTGGGGCAAGGCGAATTTCGACGTCATACTGTATGATCATGGACTGTATCGCGATATCCCGATGACGCTGAGGAGGGCGTATGCGAAGCTTTGGCTTGCGGTGCTGGACGCTGATGAGGCTGGGATGCGGAAATACGCATACGAAACGGCGGGGATTCGGGACGAGCATTTTCCGCTTTTTGCGAGTGCGATTACGGGCCGCGATTATACGGTGTTGACGCAGAAGGACACCGGAGGCGTGGCTTCCTCGCGCACAAACGAGGAGAAGAAGGTCATTGGTGATGCGCTTGGTGAAGGGTTGTTGGAGAACTTGATTCAGCTCCTGGGTCAGGTTCCAAGGGTCATCCTCCTCATCCTGAAGACAAACGATCTGAGTAAGTGCCCTCCCGCTCTACTGCCGCAAGAGGCCGTCGGGGGAGCCTTCCTTTTTACTTGCTAACCTCTCCCAGCGCGCTCCCTAGACGAAGGCCTCCACACGCGCCAAGGCCCTCTACGAACATTCCTGATTCTCGCGCGCTACGCCTCGCGCACCGTGTACGAGGAGTCGCTCGAGCAGATCAGCGCGCACGGTAGCTTTTTGTGGCCGCGGAATCTCTTCGCCTGGCTCGCCGCTTGGAGCCGACACTTCCGCGTTGAGATGCAGCTGAGCAGCTATGAGACGTGGTTGAAGTTGAGGGCGCTGGCGGGGATGAAGCAGATTGGTGTTGCGAACAGCTTTAGGGAGTAGATGTCCTAGCACGTTGCGAGGAGAGGGAGACGTCCTTCAAGGTACGGCTCTACGTTGAGCACGTGTTCGAGTGGGTGTTACGATAGGAGTGGTGCTGTATACCCTGGTGTGTGGCGTTCTAGAGGTGCATATAGACTTCAATGGCGTCCATGCCTTTGGAACGAACGACTGTCAATTTGCGCGTCACTGGCAAGCATCTACTGACAATGAACGGTTCTGGAAGTCGTCGAGACCGTTGGATGCATGATTATGAACGACGCGTACGGTTTGTGCGGCTGTGTGGGTCGACTTTGTTCTGTATGTATATCATTTGTGGTTCAAATGTGGACTCGAGGGAGCAGTGTATGCAGATCTTGTGGATACTGGGAAGCTTGTGCTTGTTTACGAGGAGACGTGTTGATTGGCTATCAGAGAGAGTGATGTGCTGAAGAAACAGAGAGAGTGATGTGCTGAAGAAACGTGTTTCGGAGAAGATGCAATGAATTCAGGGCAAGAGCTGCGAGAGGTGTGTTGGTGGCAGTGGTTTCCGCGTCAGACCCATGCATGTTGGTGATCCAGGACGCTCTCGTCTGGAAGCCCTTGAGCTGGTAGTTCCATGGTGAGCCGAAGGGCCCTCGAAGGCAGCGCCAATGCAAGCAGTCGCGTAGTGTCTGACAGAAGACCCAATGCGACCCGGTGTCTGTGGCTTCTTCAAGAGACGAAGAGAAAATCATCACCACGGTGTTGGAGGCTCAAAGGGTTCTTGGGCAGGAAGTGCACACCCCTCCTCCAGGCCCGTTTGCTCGAGATGCAAGCGCTAAAATCAAGGCCAGATGGCGAATACCGAGCGCGGAGGCTCCAGATTGCTGGGCACTTCTTGGACGAGCCTCATCTATGGGTCGAGTGCTGTGTGTCGAAACAAGCAAGTGTTCTGGTGGCTGTACCGCGGATGTCAAGTTTTCTGCGTGTTTGACGCAGCGTTTACAAAGTGTTTGGAGGCTGCAGGGGCTGCAGGGGCTGCACGAGGACGCAAAGCAGTGCGTGAGAGCGAGACCGAAGAGCGTCGACCTGACAGCAAAACAGAAGACCGTTGAATATGTTTCAAGTAGGGGTCGGAAGAGGTCGAGGTACTGGGCCAGCACGTTCAGACTTGGATGCAGTGCATCTCATGCAAGACCCTGCCGGGATGCCGGGGAGAGAGCGGTTTGACATCATCGATGGTTCGCAGCCATGACAGACACGCGTGTGCGTGGCTGCGCCATGATAGCTGGGCCACGTTGAGACTGCTACTGCGAGACGCCCCCTTTCTATCGCAGGCCTCGTTTGTGAACGCTGCTCTCATATTCCGCACCAGCACAGCACTGCAGGCCAGAGTGTCGTCGACCGAGCTTGCATCGTTCTCGACATCCAGGCGGGGCACGCCAAGTCAGAGCCTCCAAGCGCAGCTTCCCAGTCAATCGCCGCCGTACCCGTCCTGCCGCGAGCGCACTCGAAGGGCCGCCCAGGACTCCTCAGCGATTGCACACGGTTGAATAAGCAGGCGGACTGCCGTTGGTCACCTCAGCACCCAGCATCCAGCATCCAGCATCCAGCATCCGGCATCCAGCACAGCGGTGGCGGCGCGCTTGTTAGTCCCGCATCGTAATCGCGCGCACCTGCTCAGCCACTCCCACTCTGAACCCTCTCGCCCCGTCGCCCCGTCGCCCGCAGTCTGTCCTAGCCAGGCTACGTGCTGCTACTACACCTGCGCTGATAGCAGACTCGCACACCGGCGAGCTCTGAGAGCTGTCCCCGTCGCCAGCCCTCAACCGTCGACGAGCAGCCGCCGTCTGCCTGCGCATCGTCATCCTCATCCTCATCATCATCATCATCATGGACGGAGCTGGCCAGCCCAACCTGCGCATCACCAGTGCGTACCCTGACCGCCCTCCGCACAGTCCTGTACAACGCGCACCGGCAGAACTAACAACTCTGCAGTCATTGCCGCCGATGGCCTCTACAAGCGCGATGTCTTCCGTACGTACCTGACCCCCTGCCACCCAGCGGATACAGCGCTCACACATGCGATGCAGGCTTCCCCGACCCCTTCGCCGTGGCCACAATCAACGGCGAGCAGACGCGCACCACGAGCGTCATCAAGAAGACGCTGAACCCCTACTGGAACGAGAGCTTCGACATGTACGTCGCGCCACGCCCGCACATGCACATGCACATGCACATGCACATGCACATACACTGCTGATACACATCTCAGGCGGGTTAACGAGGAGAGCGTGCTCGCGGTGCAGATCTTTGACCAGAAGAAGTTCAAGAAGAAGGACCAGGGCTTCCTCGGCGTCATCAACGTGCGCATAGGGTCCGTTATCGACCTCGATGCCGGAGGCGACGGTACCCTTCTCCAGTGTCCCTGCCGTGCATCCATGGTACTAACACATTGGCAGAAATGCTCACCCGCGATCTCAAGAAGTCGAACGACAACATGGTCGTGCATGGCAAACTCATCCTGAACCTGTCTACGAACTTGCAGGCACCCATCAGCAACCAGGCCGGAGCCGCTGCACCCCGTCCCACGCCCTCCTCCCACCCTTCTGTGAACGGCGCCACCGCAGCAGGGGCCTCCACCCCGCACCAGTCGACACAGAACCTCAACCCCAACACGTACCCCGGCCAGCGGCCAAGTTCGACCGCCCAGCCTTCAGCTCAGAGACTCAGCCAAGCGGGACCTACAGGCCCGCCCAGCGCGGCGCCACCGCCATCAGCCAACGGAGCGCCGGCAGCAGGACAGAGCCAGAACCCAGGATACAGTGCGTTCGAGGATTCGCAAGGAAGGCTTCCCAACGGGTGGGAGCGTCGTGAGGATCATTTGGGCCGCACGTACTACGTCGATCACAACACGAGACAGACGACCTGGATAAGGCCTGGCGCAGGCTTCAACGAGACCGACAACCGCAACGCTGTTGCGGCTTCGACCCAGCAGGAGCGCGTTCGACACCAGAATCGCATGTTGCCCGAGGACCGAACTGGAGCCAACTCTCCTACCCTTGCCGAACGACAGCCTTCGCCACCCAATGCAGGTGCAGGCGCAGGCGCAGGCGCAGGTGCAGGTGCAGGTGCAGGTGCCGCGAACGCTGCGAGCATGATGGCGACCGGTGCTACTACCGCCGGAACAGGAGAGCTGCCTTCAGGCTGGGAGCAGCGACATACGCCCGAGGGACGGCCGTACTTCGTCGACCACAACACGCGGACAACCACCTGGGTGGATCCCCGCCGACAGCAGTACATCCGGATGTACGGCGGGCAGGCGGCGAACGGAAGCACCATCCAGCAACAGCCCGTGTCTCAGCTCGGACCTCTGCCCTCTGGATGGGAAATGCGACTTACAAACACCGCAAGAGTGTACTTTGTGGACCACAACACCAAGACCACAACCTGGGACGATCCGCGATTGCCATCTTCGCTGGACCAGAATGTGCCGCAGTACAAGCGTGACTTCCGTCGCAAGCTGATCTACTTCCGCTCACAACCCGCCCTCCGCATAGTAAGCGGACAGTGCCACATCAAGGTCAGGCGAACGCATATCTTCGAGGATTCGTACCATGAGATTATGCGTCAATCGGCTGCGGATTTGAAGAAGCGGTTGATGATCAAGTTCGATGGAGAGGACGGCCTGGATTACGGAGGCCTGTCCCGTGAATTCTTCTTCCTGCTCTCCCACGAGATGTTCAACCCCTTCTACTGTCTTTTCGAATACTCGGCACACGACAACTACACTCTCCAGATCAATCCCCACTCTGGCATCAACCCTGAGCACTTGAACTACTTCAAGTTCATCGGACGTGTAGTCGGTCTGGCCATTTTCCACCGTCGTTTCCTGGACGCCTTCTTCATTGGAGCTTTCTACAAGATGATCCTCCGGAAGAAGGTCGCGCTGCAGGATATGGAGGGTGTTGACGCTGACTTCCATCGCAACTTGGAATGGATGTTGAACAACGACATCACCGATGCGCTCGAACTCACCTTCGCTACCGATGATGAGAGATTTGGCGAGACTGTCAGCATTGAGCTGAAGCCGGGTGGTGACAACATCGAGGTCACAAACGAGAACAAGCATGAATATGTCGAGTAAGTATCCTGCTCGCAGAGGGCGGCCATAAACGCTAACACGAACAGATTGATCACAGAATGGCGCATCCAGAAACGAGTTGAAGAGCAATTCAACGCCTTCCTCAGCGGTTTTAACGAACTCATTCCTCCGGATCTGGTCAACGTTTTCGACGAGCGCGAGCTCGAACTGCTGATCGGTGGTATCGCTGACATTGACGTCGAAGACTGGAAGAAGCACACTGACTACCGCGGGTACACCGAGAACGATGAGGTCATTCAGAACTTCTGGAAGTGCATTCGCAGCTGGGACGCCGAGCAGAAGTCGCGTCTGCTACAGTTCGCTACAGGTACCTCGCGTATCCCAGTCAACGGATTCAAGGACCTACAGGGTAGCGATGGGCCCAGGAGATTTACCATTGAAAAGGCTGGTGAGCCTAATCAGTTGCCCAAGTCACATACATGGTATGTTCAGTCGTCCCAGACTAATCTTGCACATGCTGACTCTTTTTTTTTTTTTTTCTCCAGTTTCAACCGTCTCGATCTGCCTGCGTACAAGACGTTCGAGGCACTCAATCAGAAGCTCACGATCGCTGTCGAGGAGACTGTTGGTTTCGGACAGGAGTAGACGGTGTTGAAGAAGGAATAGCGTCAGTGTATAAAATGAGGAGCGTGACAGAGAGCTCCTGCAGGCCATGCATATTCTTACATATTTGGCATGAGCATCTCGATGTTGTGGATGCGAGATCAGGTTTTTTGGCGTTGGGATGAAGTGTGATTAGGATAGCGCTTTTTATTAGAGCGCATAGCAATGTGAATGATTGAAAGACAATACACAGATCCGTGAGAATATCAGCACAAGCTGAACATTGTCCAAGTGTGCGGGAGTGTTGCGATGTGCATTTCCCGGGCATTAATATCTACTCAAACCTTCCCGTTCGCTCCTTGCGCACATCACCAGCATCCACCAATCAAGGCGTCTCAATACCCGAGTCGGAAACAAAACTTCATTAACCGCACCCTTCCATTTCACGACTCCCAGCCTGGGGACCAGCCTGGCGTCGTGCACTCGTCCACAAGTGCGTGACCCTTTCGTACACGGCAGCACGGCATCTGCACGCTGCGCAGCCACGCACCAGCTCTAATGCCAGCCCTCACCCCACCTCACCAGAGGCAAAGAACCCGCCTCGAGAGCAAACCGATGTTGAGTCCAATGCATCAACCGCCTAAATTTAGGGGGCGTCTCGGGTGTGCTAGCTGGAAGCAGGCGCCGGTACTACTGAGCTTTACCATGGGTAGGTAAGCGGGGGCTGGATCCGAGATGGTGCAGCAGCGCTAGGTCGCCGCGGAGGCGCGTGCTACGCTTTTAATGTTTACTCTGGTGCTGGCTGAGGGGCGAACCCTGGCAATGGCACCAGCACTGGGGAAGAAGGGATGGATATATGACTCTGGTAGACTCCCTTTTTGCATTCCGATCATTCGACTCCTCTTCGTCTCCACAACAGTCCGTATCTTTCTTTTGAACCGTACCCATCAATCGCTTTGGGTCTTCATAACTTCTTCATACATACTATATACGTCTTAATACACCTTCGGACCTCACAATGCATTTCACAACCCTCATCGCCGGTCTCTGCGCCCTCGCGTCCACCGCCTTCGCCGCCAGCGATGACTGCCAGGCCCAGAACATTGTCGACGCCTGTGTCGCCGGCTACCAGGAGCGCATCAAAGGATGCCAGAAGAACAGCAATGACTGGATCTGCCTGTGCGATGTGTACACCGACGTCCTGACGTGTTACAACAACTGCCCCGAAAGCAATGAGAAGCCCCCCGTGCAGAACCAGGTTACCCAGTATTGCACTGCTGCGGAGCCGTGAGTTTCCCCTCTCTCTCTCTTCTACTGCCAAGGACTTGTCTTCTGCTTTGCTTGCCTGCGAGCAGACGAGATCAGAGCCGTACGGTGGAAGTGTTGGTGCAAGTACTAACACACCCCAGCCTCCGCGCCGCAGCCTCCTCCTCGGCTGCCTCCGTCGCCAGCGTAGCAAAGACCGCCACCACCGCGTCTCCCACATCCGCCGCCGCCAGCGCAACCGCCTCCGGCTCAGCAACCGGCTCGGGCGCTGTTGCCTCCGCATCTGCCTTTGCTACCGGTGCTGCTTCTTCCCTCACAACACCAGCTGGTGCGGCTGTTGTTGCGCTCTTTGCTGCCGCTGGTCTGTTCTAGATGGGAAGGTGGTTAAGTGGGGGATAGGATGGGTCGGGTTGGATACGTAATACATAATAGGATTCATGGAGGAGACGAGGTTGTAGATAGGATGGGTGGAGTAGAGAAATCGAGGATGGTGTTGCAATGTCGTGTCGCTGTGCGAGTGAGGCGTCGAAGATGTGATTGTTCAGTGACGCCGGTGCAAGTGCAGAACTCCTTTCATCCTGTCCAGGATTGTTGGCTCAGCCTTGACGTGGTCCGGTTCTGTGCTTCGAAAGTCAAATTCGGCTGCTTCTGAGTTGGCACTGGCCAGTGGGTCCGAGTCTGGGTCTGGAGGGAATTGTGCGTAGTATCTCATCGGCGCCGTTCTGATAGCGGGGGATTCGAGTGGTGTCGTGCACTGAGAGTCTGATGCAAGAGCTGGGTGCTCTGTTGGAGACTCCAAGTCCTTCTCTGAGGCAAGGTTGCTAGTGATCATTTTCATCTCCTGAGCCTTGGGTGAAAGATGCGGTAGCAAAAGAGGTGATGAGTAATGGGATTATGTTGGAAGCACAAAGCGAAACAAGTCAAACCAGTAATTCTGAGAGCACGTTGGTATGTAGGGTAGATATCAATGTGTATATTTTGTGGGTCAGTACTGCTGAACTGCTGCGGACGCGTAACCTCAGTACGTCAGGCCTGAGGCTATACGCACTGCTACGCATGGGGGATAAACATTTGGACAGTCTCGTTCGATTTCGTGCGAAATTTGGCCGATGTACATGGTACAGTGGTGATCATCAGTGCGCAGCTTCGGGCAAATCAATGTTGACGTGGGTGCGACTGATGTGGTTGCTTGCGTCTTTAAGAAAGTCTTACACCGCCCAAAAGTGTTGATGAGAAGAATATTTAAAGCCGTGGGTCCACGCTGGGTGTTTGCAGACCGCTCTGCTTGCTTGTGTCCACGTTCACCGGCCTCTAAAGCGGTAGTTGCAGGCAAGTGTATAATGAGATATTTTTGACATGCCCAAGAGTTGAATAGGACAACCGATATGTGGCGCGAACAATTAGAAATTGGCGAAGCAGTGTTGGGTTGCTGGTTAGAGGTCTTGAGCACTTAGGAATCATGAAAGCAACCAAGTCGGTCGTTGACTTGAATCTGTGTCACAGAACTGCACCTTCTGTCACACAGGAGTGTCACACAGAATGAAATTTCTGAATGTCACTACCCATACGGTACGGTGCATTACATGCAGGGTGAACGAAGTCATGCATCTCACGCGAGCTGACGCTGGGACCCGAGCCGGATTTTGCTGTCGATTACCGCTCACAGACGCCGGCATCCCGGCTCGTTACGAGAAACGACAATTGACTCAATCTCGGCGGCATTCGAGTATGTTCTGCCTTTTCTGCCGCAAGCAGGTATGGCGAGAGTGGCGACAACATCGACCTGTTGCGCCGCGGACTCGGTGCAGACACCCGTTTCCTACGAACACCTGAGATGCGCTTCGAGTCAGCCTTGCCCTCGCACACGTGAGGCTCTGCCGTGAAACGACGCACATGACTGCTTGGTTTCCACCTTGTTGGTCACTGGCGTTCACCGGATCAGCACCGAGCGAGGTTCGTTCAGCGATGAGCCGCTATCGCTTACATTTTCCCCGCAACCTGGGGCCAGATTGTTGGACGCTGAGACGCGCGCTCGCGTTATCAAAACCAGCGCCTAGCCGCGTTCAGAGGCTCCAAGCGAGGGCAAGACAGCGGCAGGCCAGGGCGCAGCGCCGTCTGGGGAAGCTGGGGTCTGCGTGGCTTTTTGCTCGGGCTGAATTTGGTGTTGATCTGAGATGGGCATGATGATGTGGTGTGTGCTGAGTTCAACAGCCATCACGACTGCAACGAAGGGCATCTGCAACACCTCCCAGCCTCTCTTCCAAGGATACTACTCGAGTCTCGGAACAAGGCGAACTGACTCGGACACAGTCGCGGCCAAAGTCAGGCCGAGTTATTGACTGGAATTTCGCCTCCGTGACCGGCCGAGCCCTGGAGCGTGGCAGGACATCTGCCAATGCATGACGGAATGGCGTCCCACCTCCACATCGTTCACTGCCAATCCCTCTGCCAATGACTACACTTGGTTTGCACGCCGGTCCAAGACCAGCCCATATCGCTACCAACTGCTCCGCCGCAGCATGCACTTCTCTCTACCTTTTCCTCGCCAGCCTGCAGCTGAACAGTGCGGTATTTCTAGGGTTGTCAGACCCTTTCACCGCAACGCCCCTTCCCTGCAACGTCCCTTCCCTCTCCGCAATCCCCGTAATCCCGCACTCGCACTGTCGCCCTCCCAGCGCGCCCTCAGTCATTCCTTAGCCACCGCTCACGCCCTGTATCATCAACGCCTTGTAACGCCCGCCCTCTATTGCTCCCAAGACTGGTGACTGAACATGCTGTGGCCTGAATCTGCGATTCCACGACGACCGCGGCCGAGGTAGCACGAATTACCTCCAAAAGATTTACTGTTTGGCAGAAAGATCGCATTCAGTAAATGGCACGACAACACTAGCGCACAGATGAATTCACCCGTCTCGAGAGATGACTATCCGTCGCGAGGGCCCGCAGTAAGGGGTACGTCAGCCGCGACGCTGGCTCTCTGCTCCGTTTTCGTCATCCTTCGGTTGATGTCGAGGTTCTTCGTGGTAAAGAAGACGGGATGGGATGACTACACCATGATCGCAGCATGGATGCTAGCGTTTGGCGCATCGTTCTCCATCATCTTTGGCACCACCAAAGGACTCGGACGACATCAAGACCACATTCCTAATGACTGGCTCGAACCGATGCAGCAGTCGGCCTACGCTTTTTCGGTACTCTATAATCCGGCACTGATGGCGACCAAGACTTCGATCCTGATCTTCTACCTCAATCTGTCAGAGACGCAGAAGATCTTCCGATGGGCGACCATCTCGACACTTGTGGTTGTCAATGCTGGCGGATTAGCTTTGACCATTCTCAACATCGTTCAGTGCCGACCTGTCAGTGCAGCATGGGCGTCACCTGTACCTGCAACGGCGCACTGCACTAACATCGTTACAATATATCTTTCATCCGCGCCGCTCAACATCATCACCGATCTGGCCATCCTCTTCCTTCCCATGCCCATCTTGACGAGCATGCGACTACCAAAGAAGCAAAAGATTATCTTGGTCATCACTTTTGGATTTGGTATCTTCGTGGCCATTGTTGACGTCGTCCGTATTGCCTACCTCCAGGACGCGCAACGAGCCACCCTTGTCGCTGCGCAAGCTGATCACGCTGAAAGCGGTACAAGCCAGAGAAACACGAGCGATTTCTCGTGGTACGCCTCGCTTTCGTTCATGTGGAGTACGGTAGAGATCAACTTAGGCATCATGTGCGGCTGCGTCCCTGCAATGAAACCACTGGTTCGACGCTTCCTGCCGAGCTGGGTCATTGATCACACAACCTCGCGCGGAAACTCGGGCACACGCGACAGCGACAAAGCGCAGTTCCGCCCAGATATTGTTGAGGGATCGCGTCGCAGATCTGACCAAGAGACACCTCCTGATTCACCTATGACACCAATGAGCAAGCCTCCAGCCCCTGTGCCTGCATTGCGAGGCAACGACGAACCCCTGGGTATGATGGACTTACTCACTGCACAAGACATGAACGACTTTCCACGAATGAACCGCACAAGCACCGCGGTCACTATGGCACCAACAACGCGGAGCACGCGACGTGGTTCGATGACATTCTTCGACTTTGTCGACACAGGACAGAAGAAGAATATCACTCTGAGAAGCAACCGCGAATCGATCTACCCAGTATTGATGGTCACTATTCTTTTCTTCATCTGGGGCTTTGCTTACGGCTTCCTGGACGTTCTCAACTCGCGATTTCAGAAGATTGCAAACATGAGTGATTGGCAAACGGTTGGACAACATAGCGCTTACTACGTCGGCTACCTCGTTGGCCCATTGACCTTCGGACGCATCGTCTTTCAAGTCTGGGGCTTCAAGGTTTGCTACATGGTTGGACTTGTGGTCTATGCGTGTGGAGCCCTGGTTTTCTGGCCTTCTGCTGTTCTCACTAACTTCCCAGCCTTCCTGGTCTCGAACTTCATTGTGGGTGCCGGCCTGTCGACCTTGGAGCTCGCCGCCAACCCTTTCATCGCTCTTTGCGGCCCTCCTGAGTATGCCGAGGTGCGATTGAACCTCTCACAAGGTGTGCAGGCAATCGGTACCATCGTCTCACCCCTACTTGCCAAGAAAGTTCTATTCCCTGCCAATGCCTCCAGCCTGATCGACGTTCAGTGGACATATCTCGGCATCTCGTTCTTCAGCATTGCCTTAGCTGTGCTCTACTTCTACGTACCACTACCAGAAGCTACGAACGAAGAGCTCGAGACCGCCAGTAGGCGCATGCCTGTTCCCAGAGATACGGCCATCAAGATTGGCCCCTGGCCCATTAGAGTCATCTGGATCAGTCTTGGATTCGCGGTCTTCTCTCAGTTCTGCTATGTTGGTGGTCAGGAGTCGACGTCGAGTTCTTACGCCGAGTACCTTGCACTGGTCAAGCCCTCACTTAACTACGTCAATCATCAAGCGGTCGGTCACACTGCGTTTGCCGTCTCTCGCTTCTTGGCGGCCTTTATCGACATCTGGGTCAAGCCACGCTTTAGTCTTCTGTTCTTCTACCTCGGAGCTGTCGTATTTTGCGCTGCAGCGATGCACACCACAGGCTCTGCCGGTGCTGCCATGCTGGTTATGATCATGTTCTTCGAAGGTCCTTTGTTCCCACAGATCTTTGCCCAGGGCATCCGTGGAATGGGAAAGCACACCAAGGATGCCTCGGTACTTATCACAGCAGCAATTGGTGGTGGCGCAGTCTTCCCACCGATGATGTTCGCCGCACTCAAGATTCACAACGCTCGGTACGCTTTCTGCGTTATTGTCGCTGTGTATGCCGCAGGTGCACTCTTCCCTATTTGGCTCAGTCTTTTGCCCGTCACAAGACAACTCTCGGATCCACATCGAGACGAACAGACAAGACGTGAATCTGAGGCTGAGGAGGAGCGACGAGAGTCCATGGGCCAGATGAAGCCCAGGACATGGAGCAAAGTTACGGACAAGCTGAGCTTTGGCAACCGCGAGAAAGACCAGATGCCCTCTGTGGAGCGTAGAGAGCGATGCAGCTGGCCCGAAGGCCTTGCACCGATACCGGGTAGTCTTGACATCACACCAGAGCGAAGACACTCGCAAGCCCTGTCGATACAGAGTTCGAGCAGCAGCAGCAGCTCGAGCAGCGATTCACCGACTCCAGCTCGGTGATTGCGTATGATTTACGATTATGAATGCATTGCGTTACGGCGTTACGGGAAATACCATGGGTGGCTCTTTGCTGGGATTTGGACATGCACAGCGTTGTGCATTGTGTATCATCTGAGTTTCCTCGCCTCGAGCGACTTTGTATCGTAGTTTGCTATGACATGAAGTGTAACGACACATGAATGTTCTACCACATCCTTCGATGATTGCAGTGTTTGTTGGTATGCCTCGGTGACTGCATTACCGCTGCGCTCTTAACAGCTAGGGAGTATTAAGTCTGTGTGCATGCCCCAAAAGAGGTCGTGAACATTGACACTATGTAGGTGTGTAGGCTATGTAGCCAATGATCGTCAGCAATGTACTGTATATGCACGTGAGGCCGAACTCCAAAACCAATCACGGCGGTTCACGGCAACTGACTAGAGCTTCAGCTGTCAGCAAAAGCAGCAGCGCGAGGTACTCGGCAAGGAAAATCCACCACGTTACAGTCGTGCCAGTCTGTATCTAGCACACCGCGGTTGGTGGACCTAGGCAGATTGACAGTCTCGCTATCAATTGTCTTCCAGACTGCCAGTCTGCAAGGCTTACAGTGGGCCTGCTTCTGGTTCGGCATCGTGTTGCCGTGAACTGCGAACGAACCTCGGCATCTCCACCCCCGCGATCCTGAATTCTGGGGTTGGCGCTTCTCGGCTTTAACACTTCACTTGCCCTCACTTTATAGTGCTGACGTTGCTCTTGCTGCGAACTCTGGTGTTCTTGCTTCAATTGTCCAGCACTTCTATTGCATTACATTCAGCTTCGTTGCTCGAGTGTCTTTTATACCTAGTTTTACTTGCACTACGCGCTTGCTCGCTTTTGCTCACAGGCAACCGCCACAATGGTTGGCCAGAAACAGCCCGTCTACGTCCTCGGCGTGGGCATGACCAAGGTAAAATCGACTAGTGCAAGACACGAACAGTCAGTGACTGTCTGCAGTTCATCAAGCCCCGAGGCAAGGTCGACTACCCCGAGCTCGGCTTCGAGGCTGGTGTCAAGGCCATGCTCGATGCCCACATCAACTACGACGACGTTGACCAGGGCGTCGCATGCTACTGCTACGGCGACTCGACATGCGGCCAGCGCGTCTTCTACCAGTTCGGCATGACCGGCATCCCAGTCTACAACGTCAACAACAACTGCTCCACGGGCTCCACTGGTCTGTACATGGGCAGGAACATGGTCGCACACGGCGCTGCGGACTGCGTGCTGGTTGTTGGATTCGAGAAGATGTTCCCCGGATCGCTCCAGTCATTCTTCCAGGACCGCACGAACCCTACCGCGACGACCAATTTGATCATGAAGGAGACGAGGGGAATTACTAAGGCGCCTGGTGCCGCCCAGTTGTTCGGTAACGCAGGCCGTGAGCACATGGAGAAGTTCGTAGCCTCACTTACCACCTCTTGCCTTCGTGTATCCATACTAACAACGCCCAGATATGGCTCCGAACTCAAAGACTTCGCAGAAATCGCCCGCATCAACCACGCCCACTCCAAGAACAACCCCTACTCGCAATTCCAAGATGAATACACCCTCGACCAAGTCATGAAATCCCCCATGATCCACGAGCCCCTGACAAAACTCCAATGCTGCCCGACCTCCGACGGCGCTGCCGCCACAGTCCTCTGTTCGCAAGCCTTCCTCGACGCGCGCCCAGAGCTCAAAGACCAAGCCATCCTGATCGCGGGCCAGCGGCTCGCGACCGACATCCCGCAACTGTTCAACCGCAGCGCGATTGACTTGATCGGGTACGGCATGAGCGAGCTCGCAGCAAAGGAAGCGCTGGCTGAGGCCAGCACGTCGCCCGACGAGGTCAAGGTGTGCGAGCTGCACGACTGCTTCAGCGCAAACGAAATGGTCACCATCGAAGCCCTCGGTCTCGCGCCCAAGGGCAAAGCCCATGAACTCATCCGCCGCGGGGGCATCACCTACGGCGGCCAAGTCGTCATCAACCCCTCCGGCGGCCTGATTTCCAAGGGCCACCCGCTCGGCGCCACCGGCCTGGCACAGTGCGCAGAGCTCGTCTGGCATCTGCGCGGGTGGGCGAACAACCGCAGTGTCAAGGACACCAAAGTTGCGCTGCAGCACAACCTCGGCTTGGGCGGTGCCGTGGTGTGCACGGTGTACAAGAGGGCTGATGGGAGTGCGGCGCAGGATCTGAGCGATGAGCGGGTGGGGAAGATTACGGGGCTGGGGTATAACCCGGCGACGCAGGCGAAGGGGTGGACGAAGGCGCAGGTTGATAGTGTGAGGAGTAAGAAGGCGCGGAGCGAGTGGGCGTTGCAGGATGTGAAGGAGAAGGTTGAGGCGAGGTTCTAGATGGCCACTCGTTAGCGGTTGGGCTGTAGTTCGATGAAGTAACATGTTGTCGAGGTTGGAAGTCATCCTACTCACAGAGTTGATTCTTTTGGGGCGTATCCGTTGTGCGAGTGCTCACATTATCTGTGTATGCAATGACCCAATACGTTTTGGTGGGCAAGGATGATTTTGGTGGGCAAGGATGAAGGTGTGGAATAGGATAATCAACTCTATGTCTTGATGAGTCTAAGATCTAGCACCAAGTACATGTTCCCTTGCATCTGCCATTCGCTATGCGAAACCAAATACGCAGTTAGAAAAACGCCGTCCCGGGACTCCTCGCTGGCGTGACTTCGTCGCATTCAGAGGCCGAGTACTGTTGCGCCTCGTCGCGTGAGTAGACAGTAACCATCCAACCGATCACCCGGGTCTACTTTCTGGGCTTCGGGATCTTCTCGTACGCATTCGGACTCGGCGCTCTCTTCGGCATCTTCTTCGGCTTACTGCTCCCCTCGCCCGGCCCGTGATCGTGTTCACAGTTGTCTTGATCGTGCGCGTGTTGTTCTGGCTTTCGGGCGCGCCGAGTGCTCCTGCTCGGGCGCGCGGTGCTGTTGTCTGGTTCGCTGTCTGAGTCATCGGAGCTGGAGCTATCTGAGGAGGACTCGTCGCTGGATTCGCCGGCTTCGCGGGGGGCATGGTATATACAGCAGACTGTGCACATTCTTGTTAGCCTGTGAGATCCCAGTACCGCTTCTATGGCGCAGTGCGAGGTCGGTCTTTACAGTATAAGACGGGAACATGTGCATACCTTTGCTGCTCTTCTTCCCCATGCCCTCGTTATCTACAACATCTTCCGCCCACTGAATATGTCTGCGCTCCTCCGGCTCAGCACGTAAGTGGAGAACGCCTGACGGTGCAGAAAGACGTAGGACAGGGTTTGGGCGCGTCCCTTGGATTGTGTGGCTGCCTGTGCCGTGGGACGGCGTTGCGGTGCGGGAGGGTACGTTCGACATGTTGCGTGCTGGGTCGTGGCGGGTCGTGGTAGAAGACGTGAGAGCAATTATTGTCGAGAGAAGTAGTGGAAGGAGTGGGTTGGGGTTGGACCCTGGTTGAGATGCGGGTTAGGCGGGGCCTGCGCAGGGTTTCGGTGGGTTGTCGTGGGCGCTGGCTGAGGCCAAGCTGGGTATATGGGACCTCTGCGTTGTGTGAAGCGGTGGTGGGCGACGTGCGAGAGTGAGGCGGATCCGCGAGTCGGCGGGCGTGTAGTGTCGTGTGCTGCACGTCTTTGTTGGACGATGGTGATTTGTCTGGAGACCGCGGCTAAGGACGTGCGTCATTGCCGCTTCCGCATTTGGTGAGTTGCACAACACCATACTTCTATCACGACAAGCTCGACATGGAGAATATTTGTTCCAAGCCCTGATACTCGTGCGACATGGATTCTGCAAGCTGAAACGGAGACGGCGGTGTCTTGTACTCACCAGCAACTCAGCCAGTCCTCGATCTGGGAAGTGACCTCAATCTCTCATCAGATGTCACACATGCTGAGTTCAGTTGTAGTACACAGCTCATGAGGACAAACAAGAGCACATTCAGTCTACAAGGTACAACATGTTGAGGTCGGTTTTAGGGTGAGTTGGCTGCTGATAGACGGTGATCATGGCTTACTTGCTGTCTTCCGGCGTGAAAAGCATCCATGGATGTCTTGAACGCCACAACAGCAGCAAGGCAAACGATTAGACGTGGAAGTGTTCCCGGTTTCTCCTGAGTAATCGGTACCCCGAGGACGAGGCCTCTTGTGCCCCATCATTATCGAAGGGCCAAATGTCTCAATGCCACGATGCGTACCACAAACCCCTGATGCACCATCTCGGGCGCAGCCATACACGTATCGAAGCACCGTATGCGTATCGCACGTTCTATTGACATTTGCACATAAGAACGTGGATCGGTCTCTTGTGCCAGCCGGACAGCGTACAAGAGTAGAGCAGCACCTGTTAGTCAGCGAGAATGCTCCCAAGCAAATAGCAACCATGTCCACGGAACAAACTTCTAGAACGTCGATGCCATCATACTCTCGCCATTGTTGAGCAAGCAAGACTCTTTGAGAAAATCTTGGAGAAATGGCGGTAATTTGCGGGTTTGATGAAGGGGTGCCCTTGTCGATCAGCAGCCGCTCAATGAGATTTGCTCTTCCTTGGTGTCTTGCTTGCGCTGGCCGCGTGCAAGACCCTGTGCAAGGCTACCCTGTCGTGCCCCTAATAACGAATCGATAAAGAACAACGCGTCCCGCCGACCGCAGTCGTGGAGAACTCGTATCGTCGTCTGCTTGCCTTCGGTTGTCGCGTGATGTTCCCCGGTAAAAGATTGTCGTTGGCAGAGCACAAGAAAGGAGAAGCCTGGCATCACCAATTGCACAATCTTCTAAACTTGCAGTGTGCTCTGACGCCTAAACCAAGGCCGGCGAAGTTAATCTAGGAAGAAGCTGGTCAGAGAGATATGCTTGGCCCCAACGTCCCGCTGTGCATATTGGATGCAGACGACCGGTCCGCGCTGGGAGGTGCACAACTGGGCATGAGTCTGTGGCCCTGTGGGTGCGGGAAATGAAGCCACGCAGGCCGGGAGTTCTGGACTGAGGGCAGCCCACTTTGCTGAAATAGGGGAAGAATGCACTTGGCCCGGCGGGGTGGCCTAAGGGGACCGTGTCGCCGGGCAACATGAAGAATTTATGCTGCGTCGAGGGAACGGTAACAGAAGCTGAACCGAACTGTTATCACTTCTTGCCACACGAACACCCTCGAGTCTCAGGGGGCAAGGCGCTTCAGGGCGCTGTTGTGTGGTCTGCAGGCACGACATCGAACCCTGTCATTACTCTGTGTTGGTGAGCTTCTGGCCAATCACAGTTTGCAGCCTTTCCGGTTCCTGCGCTAGCGGGCCAAAAGCGCACGGGATCTTCGCTGTTTCTAAACAACGGCCACGGCGCAGCGGCCACTCGGTCATTCAGGAGGTTCGGCTCGCTGACGCCTGACGCGCATGTGCAGTGGATGTGATCTTCTCGAGATGTCAGGAAGATACGAACGTGGAGTTGAGGTGGGAGTGATCGTTGTTAGATGCACATGTGCAGGACACAATCCCTTTGTTCTGCTCGATACACAGTATGTACAGTAAATAGTCCAAGAATGCACCACCGAGAAGATCAAACACCGTAGCTGACCCTACGATTCACTACTCCCGGCAGGCTTGACCCGTGCAACGGCCCACATGTGCCAATAGGAGGCGCCCGTCATCCAGACTTACCGGACTCCAAGCTCCTCCTCACGCGAAGTGCGGCGCCTCATCTACTGCTGCCGCCCGGCCTTCCCTCTTCCCTCACCTCACTTCGTGGGCGCCGCTCGTTCGTAATCCTCCACCAGAGTTTATCAGCCCGTAGTCCGTATCTTACCCCAGTCATTCTTTTTTGGGCCCGGAGACAGCAGCGTTTGTTTTGACCGACACCGACTGCTTTGCATATACGCTGCATATACACATCGCAAACCTGCACATACTCATACACTCGCTTGGCCATATACGACCGCATTACGACCTCACGCTGTTAATACTCAACCCCACACTGCACCTGGAACACCCGTACAACTAGCATATACACCGGCCATCTGCGACACCCCTTGGCTCACGTCTGCCTCGCATATATTGTTACCAACCCCGGATTGGCGGAGGAGGAGAAACATCTTGAAACAATGCAACACCGCCAGATGCATCACTTTGCCGGGAGAGGAATTCACGTCGGTTCTGCAAGCCGCACAATGATCGAGGAGGCCAGCAAAGTTCTTGTCGCTCGCAGCACCTCAACATGTACCAGCGACAGCGAGCCGGGCTGCACAAAGCCTACACAAGTCCCCACACTAGCCATTGCCCTTGCCATTGTGTAGGTCGTCTGAGATTGCTACATTGTTCTCGCTAATCATGTGTAGCGTACCGGTTGTTGGTATTTCAATCGTGCTGTTTTTCCTGCACCGCAGGAACCAGAGGAAGCTAGCTGAAGAGGACAAGGACAAATACCGCTCAATGGACTTTGGTCTGGAGGACAAGGGTTCAGGCGGCCGCGTTGGCTTGAAGAAGGGACCTGAGATGGCCGTCACCGATGTCGAGAAGGAGACGAAGGGCACACACGGCCGCGGCATCTCGCTGGAGCATGGGAGCCCCTACATTCTGCCTGTTGGCCTGCACGGCTCTCGCGAGTCGTTTCACTCGCTTTCTCGATCAAACCACGACCCCCACGACCCCTACCGCCCAGTTACCTTCATGACTGATGGCGCAAGCGTTCGCAGCTCAAGCCGCGCATACGGAAAAGACAACGGCTCCCTGTACACATCGTCAAGCGGAGGCACAAAAGGAAGGAACGGTGATGGTCTCGGTCTCCTTCAGAATGCGCAGAGGATGTCCACATCCAACCCTATCCGCAGCGAATCCTTGTCTCCTGACGGCACAAGGTCGCCAGTCCAGTTCCCCGACCCAGCAGGCCTGCCCCTCAGCCCACTGAACCCTCGGTCAAACGACCAGTTCCCTACACCACCACCGCGCGTAGCATCTCCCGAAGCCAAGAGCCCTGGTGGGTCAGAGATCAAGCAACAATACGCCGCCTTCAAGCCCACAACAGATGTTCCTAAGATCATGATTCCTGATGCCGATGTCAAGAGCAAGTCGGTCAACAAGTCGCCTGTCGAGCAAGCCGCCAGCTTTCCTTCTCGCATCCAGTCTCAGCAGGCTGTCGTCTCCCACGGCCCCTCCAATAGCATACTCAGCACATCTAGCTACGGCGATGCTTTCCAGGTCACACCACCCTCGCCTCGCCAGTCTCAGCCAACGATCCAGGAAGCTCCTACACCTGTAGCACCCACGCCTCTGCGCCCTCAGGCTTCAAACGATGCTAGGCTGAGCGTTGCTGAGTTTGGTCAGAACAGCAACCGCCTGTCTATGAGTTTACGCCCCATGCCTCCTATGCACGACGACCCTGAAGAGAACCCTGAGGACCGCGCCAATCGCATTCGATCGTTCTACAAGGAGTACTTCGACGACTCAAAGCCTGAGCCCGCCGGTGGACACCAGTACACTGACTACTACGAGGACTACAGCTCCGAGTATCTCGATGGCGCTGTCTACGATTCGCAAGGAAAGGGTTTTGTTGCTGCGCAGCCCAACGCACCCTTTGCTGAGCCCATTGTGCGCCGAGCCATGACACCTCCTCCACGAGCACCCCCTCGCTTCCGCAGCGGCACTGTTGGCGGTAGCAACCCACACATGTCCAATGGTTCCATGGCATCACCTCAGTACCCTCCGCGCAACATGTCTTCGATGAGCGGACGCCTGCCTGCTCCTGGACCCAGGAAGCCTCTGCCACCACCTTCTGCACTCTCTTCGCTGCCCACACCCGGAAAGCTGACCGAGAACTCCATGGTGTTCGACGCCGCCGACTTCGCACCTCCCGTCTCATACCGTGACAGACAGAACGGCATGCGCCCCGACAGCCCACTCGGCGCCCCCAGGCCGTTCAGCCCCGCTGTTCGCCCGCATACTCCTCTTGCCAGCTCTTACGATGACCTCGCCGTGATGCCCAGCCCCCATTTGCTTCGCAAGTCTGGCACCTTCACAGCGCTCGACTTCGCGCCTCCGCCAAAATTCCGTGAGCCCGGTGGCTCTCGCCCCGGTTCATCAGCTGGCTCCATCCGCTCGAACCGCTCCGGCATGTCGAACAACGCACAATTCGCCATTCGCAGCGGCGCCAACCGTGTCAGCAGGATACCGAAGGAAGTCGTCACTACCAAGGACAATATCATGGACCAGCTGAGGCCGCAGATGAGCCTGGTCACCAAGGCATAGTCTGACTTCGATGATTGTGCCGGAATTTGGTACATACGCCTTTGACGACAATTTTGGATACACAACACCAGCTCACTGGCTGGGCTTCCTTTGATCAAAACAAGCTCATATAAAATCGCACAGGACGACTATGGCATAGATAGCGTTCTTCACTTCTGGCTCTTCTCCTTCTCTTCGGTGCGCCCGCGTAGTGTACACAGGGCTCTTCTTACAGCGATTAGCGGCAAGGGACGGCGTTACAATGTCTAATTTCTATTCATCATCACATATTCATCAACACAAACACTTGAAGAGGAGATTGAGCGCTTCGATGGCAACAGGAAGATATGGAGGTGACCAAGATGTAGACTTCTATGTGAATTATAGAGAACAATGGAGATGAACATACCGTTGAAACAACTTTTCGCACAGTTGTTGTTGTTCTTGTTTCTACTAGACGAATACATGACATCTGACGAGTGTTGAAGGGAAACTTTGATCAGCAGATCAGCAGGAGGGGAAAGGACCTTGCAAGAAGATGGCGCATTGCGGACAATACAACGCTCTTGTCAAGAAAATGATGTGGTGTCACTATTAGGAAGCAACACTGAAGGAAGCAGCGAATCAGGAGAAACGCAACACACCGTCACCTTACGAGCAACGCCTACTTTTGCGGTATGATAGTGGTATGGCAGACAAGAGAAAGATTGCATAGCACAGCCAAGATAGCCTCCAGTGCTGCACTGGTACGGCGCGGGGTCGCCACACGTCATTGAAGTCATGAAAGTAGCGTCTTTATCACGAGTCTTCTGGTGCGCCTACCTCTTCATCTATAACATACCATGGTCTCACACATACCTAACAGTAGGTGGATGACCCCCTCCATATGCTGTAAAGCTGGCGCCTTCTTTGACCTGCAACAAGGATGCAAACGGTGTTGGCTTGGGAGCAAACCTCTCTTTCACTTTGTGATGAGGTGCAAACAGAAAGGTTACAAACGTGTCGAGCAAGAGTTATAAACTCGACGCTCTCATTTTCACTATGAGTGCTTTCTGCTCATTCTACGACTCTCCCGCTTCCATTGCCGCTCGTCTTTACAACATCATAGCACTCTTACAAACAATGACAGTAGCTGAGAATGCTAAGGTTAGGCGCTTTAGGTACGTATCCTCATGATCTTGCAATACTGTCACTGACTGTTGTGATAGGGCAACCGTTCGCAATGGCGTTGTCGCTATCGAGGTGAGACCCGAATGGGTGAAGCATTTCATGCACAACGCCTTACTCGAGGAGCATTACAATCACTTCAGGAGGGCTCTCAATGGATCGTGGAAGGAAGCGGAGGAGAAGACCGTATGTCTTGACGATGTCGAGTGCAGTACATCTACGAGTGTGGTGATGAGGAAAAGCAACAAGATCGAAGTAACGTCCCCGTGGCTTCCTCCTCCGTGTCATGCTGCGTTACAGTGCGCAAGGGCGAGACACTGTCAAGAAAATGCTGAAGCAGGCTGACTATGCATTCGTCGATAAGGCAGAGAAGGGTAACAAGCAGTCGTCCTAGAGTCGTTTCGCCATTCAGCGCTCGGTTGCCACGCTTCCGGATATGACTGACTCTTTTCGTCGATGGAGCAGATGGGAAACATAAGAAGTGAGCTTAGGATCTGTTATGAAGAGATCTCACAGATGACGTAATAGACGTGCCTCCATGTAACAAGTCAACATACTCCTTCACCTTAACCTGGCTTAGATTTTGGTTCAAGATTTCGTTTCCAGCACATTGATACCTTCCTTTCCCACCACCCACCACTTCAGAACAAAAAGTCTCTCCGCCATCTTCATTGATACTTGGCCACATAATTCAAGCAAAGCATATAGGTGCAAGAGCAACGCCCAAGGTACACGCCGCACCATCTTCATTCGCGTGAATCGAGCTAATACTCCCCGAAGCGATGCTACGCGCCATGGCAGCTACGCCACCGTGGTCATCGATCAGACAGAATACAAGGTGCACAAAGTGTTACTTGCCCAGTGCACTGAGTACTTCAAGAACGCACTGAATAGGTCCTGGAAAGAGGCTCAAGCGGGTACCGTACGTCTGGAGGATGTGGATTGTCATACCTGTGAGTCCACATAATCTCGATGCAAACCGTCACCCTTTGACTAATTGGTACAGCTAACATCTTTGTTGACTGGTTGTACACCCAAAAGCTTCTTGAAGCAAAGGTTGGTTGCGAGCTGCGGGACTGGCCTCTTACGACCCCGATGCGATTGAGAGTGAAGACAACTCCGAGAAGAAACGATATGCGAGGGCGAAAGAGCTGTGTCTGGCAAAGATTTACGTGTTCGGTGACCGCTTTCTAGTGCTTCTGTTGCGACAAGCCGTCCACGAACTCTTGGTCGACGACTTCATCGACCCGCCATCCGACGGCAGTGGCAAGAGGCTGAGGGTTGCATTGTCAGAATCGAGGACGTCAAGAGCTACACTTGTATGTTGACAGACGCTCTGTACTTCCCGAGGAGGAACGGCTGACCAAATATAGTCGACGTCTTCGTGGACTGGTTGTACGCACAGAAGCTGCCCGAGTCAGATGAACACTGGTTTTCTAGAGATGGGAAGAGAGGTATGACGTATAGGAGGCAAGTCACGATTGCCTACATTGACGCTTATGTCTTCGGAGACCGCTTTCAGGCCCTAGGTTTCAAAGGCACTATGCTCCAGAAACTTGTCTACGAGTTCACCCAGAGTGTTCCGTTTTTCCAAACCATCATCCACGCCTTCGCTCATCTGTCTGAAGATGACGTCCTCCTGGATCTGTTGGTGGACATTTAGTGTGCGTATTACGGGCCTGTAACCGATGAAGGTCGGGAGATCAAGGACCGCAAGAACTTTCCGCACGACTTTTTGGTCCGCGTTATGTTGCGCTTCTGCGAGAACGGGCGCCAGATGCCCTTCGATGTGAGCAAGTACAAGCTTGACTGCAAGAAAGAGCAAGACAAGAAAGCATAGAGGACCAGCGCTTGATCTGCATTCCCACCTCTAGAACCTTTTGGCTAGATTTAAATGAGAGGATGGATTGCAGAGAGACCGTTTGAGGTGACCCACTTACAAGCTGTGCGCCTTCTACCTTCACTCGACCCGTGCACTGACCCACCTTCGCACTCCTCTCCCCCAAGATTGTCAGTTTGCACTTTCTACGCAACGCTCATCAACTAAACAATGGCAGCCGACACTCCATCCACACCTCAACTCCCCAAAATGCGAGCGCACAGCGCCTAGGGTGCGTATCTAGAGCACGATCACCCTTGTCTCGATATCTGACACAAGCGTAGTATCGGTGGCCGGCGAAATGTGCGGACCACCCCTCGCATGGTAGCCATAGCCTGTCACTCACATTTGACAGGCAAAAGGGGTACTCTGGGTGGTCAGAGGACCCTTGTATTATGTGGGGGAGGCCCGACCCCTATATACATGCTCTCTGACGTACCCAGGACCCTGAGCCATACCTTCACAGACCCTGAACCAGACCTGGGCAGCCTCTCACGGATCCCACGAATGAACGGTAAAGTCATCTATCTCGTCATAGTGCCAGACCCGCACACATATCACAGGTAGACCGCCCACACCTCCCTCTACCTGCTCGGTACATTTTGTATGTCATTATAATCACGTGCGCGAAGGCGTCGCAACGATCGAGATCAGTCCTGATGGAACCACATACCATATCCACAAGAGCTTGCTCGCGAATCATAGCGAGTACTTCGACCGAGCGCTAAAAGGCAACTGAAAGGAGGATCTGTGTCAATGCGATTACCACAGCCATGCCTCGAATGACGATAAGGAGGCTTGCCAGGCAGCTGTGCCAGAAGCAGTTGACGATATCTTGAGCGATTCCGAGGACGAAGCAAGTTGAATAAGAAGAGTGCCTTGTCGCACGTTGGCTCGGATCGGAGTATGAGCTCAGGACCAGGACACCTTACCTCAATATTAGACTATCTGCAAGCCAGTAGTGTAAAGTCGTCCATGGTACTCACTTGTCTAGAGCGATAGACAGTTTGCTTTCACCTCAACCGCGCACTAACCTCCACTCTCCGCTCTTGACCAAATCTTTCCCCACGCTCTTCCATCCTCCATTCCACTCCACTCCCACTGCAAAATGGCAACCGGACCTTCTACCGACGCGACAGCGACAATCGACAATGAGCCATTGGCTTACGGGTCAGCGTCTGGCAGACCATCAGCGACATACACTTACTGACAACTTACTCAGGACGCTGTTGCGCGAGAACGTAATCAAGATCGAGGTCGGACCGGACCACATCGATTACTTCGTCCACCTAGGTCTCCTCTCGCATCACTCGGGGTACTTAAGAGGGCGCTAAACGGATCGTGGAAGGAAGCTGACGAGCGCACGATCAAACCAAATGTTATTGACTATGATACTTGTGGGTGGGTATCTCAGTATTGTAGCTGCATGGACTTGACTTCATGCAGTCAAGCTCTTCCTTGAATGGCTCTACTCCCAACAGTACCCCAAAGGCCACCGTTTCGGCGCAGGCCGCTCGAACCGCACGAAACAAGTGAGCAGATTCAAGGCCTGTGCATTTGGCGACCGCTTTTTGGTTCCTGCATTTCGTGCAGCATCAGAGAGCGCGTTAATCGACAGAATAATTGTCGCAAATCGCTCTCCCTACTACGACGCCATCATATATGCGTACGAGCATCTACCGTCCGACAGCCCTGTCTTCCAAGCATTGATCGACGCGCATTACCATGGCTTCGCTGAGGACTCAGATACAGAAAAGAATGGAGAACTGGAGCTTCGGTCTCAGCACCCGCATAGCTTTCTAGTAGAAGCCATGTTGAGGTACATGCGGTTGCAGTCTAGTATGAGTAGAAAGAAACATCTGGATCGCTGCAATTACCATGAACATGCATCAGATGACGAGAGGGGAGACAAATGTCAGGTACCACGCATTGACGACTTCGATTAACTCCATCTAGGAGGCCCAAAATGGAGATCAAGAGCAGCGGGCGAACGAGCGTAGAAAGCGCGCGTTTTGGGCAACTTCAAAACGGGGTGATGCCTTTAAGCTAATGGAGGGGAAGAATATGAAGACGAGAACGAAATTGACGAAAGTGCAATGACGAGATGGAGGCCAGAGTGGCTGCGTGCGATTGTACATCGTATTCGACGCTATGCCGTAAACAAATACTCGATCAATGCTACCTTTCATACCGTGTGTTGCGCCAGTATAACTCCCAAGTGCTCCTATGTTCGCACTCCTACTCCAAATCCTATGCATGTACAGTCGAAATTGCAGATCCTAGGTCCATGGTAAATCAGTCAACACCCTCATCGTGTCGGCGGAGAAGCTCTTCGTCGACTTCCATATAGTTGATGCGCTTCTTAGTAAACTCAAATGCAGTAAAGAAAATGGCGTTGACTACGCAGGAGCGAGACATGGAGACTCCTAAGCCTGTAATGGGTTAGCTAAACCCAGGACAACACAATTCAGTTGAGACGCACCTCGATACATCCGTGGGTTGAGGAACTGGATCTTCGGCCTCGTCTGCTTGTCTTTGCCGCCGACAAGGCAGTTGCGCTGATAAATACTCTTCGCGGTGTCGATAGGGAAGATCTGACCTGAGATTAGTATTCGCGAATGACACTCATGCTGAAGAGTACTTACACAGGCCCAGCTGACAAGACCGCACAATCCTCCAGCTATAACCACAGCCAAAGGATGTGTGGGCGAAGTCCCTCGTGCATTTGCCAAAATCTGCTTCACACTTTCATACGTGACAAAGTAGATACCCGTACCAATCGAGTCGCGTACTGCATTTGATCAGCCTTTGCCCATGTCCATACTTGTCCTGTATCCTTACGTAGGTGCAAATGGAAGCCAGAATACAGGCCTGTCCAGCCTCGATGTCTGACCAAGTTCTGGGCTGTTTTGAATGTCCCAAGGTTCTGATAGCTCTTCCGGATCGCGTCGTTCTGCTTACAACCATCGTTGCGGTCGGCCATCAACACAGAGATCTGGGCGCTCAGCTTCGTCAGCTCGAAAGGACCTATATCCGTGTCAGTCCAGATGTCAAATCGATATGGATGTATAGCGTACAAGCGATTGCTGTGATTGTAGCGCCAGCAGTCGCTCCTGCAAGCCCAAAGCATGATATCGTCGATAAGGTGGGCCATGCACCCTTCGTGTTCGCAATGACAAGTGGTGAGCTTCCGGTTGCTTGATATATCCAGTCATCGATTGTGTATTTGGAGCGCTGGTAGATCGAGAAGGATACGGTTCGAACGAGGGTGATGCTGGCTAGGGGAGACCAAACGCCTATTGCAGGTAATGTTAGCTGCACACCCAAACCGCTGCATCACTGTGAGACGCCATACCTCGCCAGAATCCGTGCAAGCCCTCAGTTTGATATGTGTGGCGCACGCAGTCGCTGAAGGAGTTGAACTTGTAGCTGTTGAGGTCAGCGGTGCTCGTATAAGTTTATGACGTGCACATACGCTTGAAGGCGTGTCTTCACGGAATCGAGAGGATACTGTAAGCTGTCAGCGGATATTCCTGTATGATGTGTTCCTTTGAATGTTGAGCATACCGCGACGACCGTCGACAGCAGACTGCTGGAGCTTGCTGCAACCTCGGTCCTATATCTCTTGGTCCATCGTTTGGCCTGCTCGCTGCGCAGTACAGCTCGCGAGACGTTCGTGAGGTCTCTCGGTGGGCCAGTGATGGCGTTGAGCTGCTGTTTTCTCTCCTCCTGCTCGGGCATACTGGCTATCGCTAGCTGTGGAAGATGCGGCGTCTTCCTACGGCAACCGCGACTGGGCCAGTAGCCGGGCAAGCTCCATCAAGACCGTTTTGAGGTCAGGCTGATATGGGCGATGGGGGGCGTGCGACGGCGGGGGAGGTTTTGTTTGTATGGCTGCGATGGAGGGTCGGTGACAATGGCCGAGATTTGGTTGTGCTGCGCGTTGAGTTGGGGGAGCACGATGATGCTGTGGTGGGGTCAAGCTCTATGCTTCGTGCATCCAAAAGCACCGAAACGCCCTAAATTATTGCTATTGGTTGCAGCGCCGTGATCTACGCAGCTACATCTCTCTTGACCGGACGTCTCAAATCACTCATGCAATACACTGCACACTTCACCGACTGTCACTGATTCATAGACTCGCTCCTTAAGATGCAATTGCAGCCGTAGACACATGGCAATGTCAGACTTGGTGGTCGAGCATCGATTACCACAGCTGTGGTCAAATGCGGGGTCTTCCAATCATGAGCATGTGAAGCTCGAAGCCACATCACAACTAGAGAGCTCCAACGAATCAGAACGCGGCCAAAGAATTGCAACGACACATCAAATGATGCGCTTTTAATTTGGTTCGCTACACCTTCTGCACTTCACTCTCGTGTGCGACACCTGTTTGCCGATGTCTTGCAGCTTCAGTGAATGTGATGCATGCTGCTGAAGTCTGGTACAGAGCTGTCGTGTATGACAAAAGCTATCGGCCGCGGAGGTAGCACCCAAACATGGTAGCCGCGGCTCCTTTAAGCTTATTTGTACCTATCATGCCATCTCCACATGATTGCGGTGCCAAGTCTGATACCGACGAGAGGACAACAGATCGACTGCACGTGGCAGTGTTGCTCTCCCTCATTGCCCTGCATAGCTTATCCACCGCTGGGCTCGCTCTTGAAAAGGGCACACGTGATCCTGACCTGAACGCCAAAGCCCCTGGGCAAGCAATTCGAAGAGACTTCTCCAAGGACATATGTTGCTCCAATCAGTCCTTCTTCCCTATGATCCTACGCAGCTCTTCTTCGTCCCTGGAGTACTCTGTACGTGACTTCTCTTCGGTATCTGCATCCTTCCGCTTCTTGTCCCTAGAAAAGCTTCCAACAAGCGCCTCTCTCAGGGTACTACTATCGTTGTCCAAACGCTCCAACTGCCCATGCCTTCTTAAGCTCTCCTTGTGCCAGCTGATTTGTCCGCCATCTGCTTCTCTGTGTTTCTGAGCGTTCAGCTTGGCGGCACGTATCGACGTTCTTGCGTAGATGAAGAGGAGGCCGGCCATGGTGAGGGCAGCTAATGGTGCCATAACGGTCTGTCTGAACTTAGCAGTTGCATTTGTGTTGTCTTGAGTCAAGTGTATTCACCCTGCCATTGATGATACCACTACCCCGCGAGAGGCGGGCAAGTGCATTGTTTGAGTGTGGCTTGGAGCTCTCGTTCATGCCATCGGCCCCTTTGGGCGTTGATAGTCTTCCACCCATGTTTCTGGTGGTCGTGTATATTGCTATCGGCGTTGTGGGGTGGCTTTATGAGGTCAATCGAGGGGATATATATAGTTGCACAGCGGGCATCGGTGAGAATGCTTCTGCTACCTGGAATGCCTCAGTTGTCGTGCGTGTAGGCGCTCTGCAGCTTGACGCGTGATCATATGAGCTGTCGAGAAGCTTCATGAGGTAGAATCGATGAGGTCAGTGCAATTTAGCTATCGAAAGAGGCTTAGCGTCATGCAAGCCTTCCGTAATGGACCGTCGATACTCATCGCCATTTCGAAAAAGTCGATTCCCACACATTTCGCGTTCTTTGCGCGCCACGCACAAGCCAAATCGCGCAGCGCGTTGCATAGTGACAAGCCGGATACTCTATTCTGTTGTCTATTCGTTGACCATCTAGGCCAAACGTTTGCTGGCCGCTCACCAAGCAGTGAAGCTGTTCTGCATTCGGAACACCGGACGCATAGGCTTACTAAAGACCGATTGCAAATCCGAGTGCAGCTATCCTTGCGCCATCTTATAAGCTGAGGTGATAACCCCACTTGCTGCATTAATGCGTAGAACAATTGTCTGTAGGCTACGAGCTCACACACCGAGTCTCTCTCCCAGTACCCCTCCTTCCACGAGCTTCCTCCCACGGTCCCACTTCCAAGCTACCGCCAAAGTAACACTGGCTTCTGCGCGCCTATCAAACCTCTCATCCCACTTCTCCACTTCCACAGTCAAGATGGCTCCTATCAACAACACTGAAGAGGCAGACTACCTCGTCCTCGGTATCGGCAGCGGAGGCATCGCCTCTGCACGACGAGCTGCGAAGCACGGCGCAAAGGTTGTCGCTGTCGAATCGAGCCGCTATGGCGGTACCTGCGTAAACGTCGGCTGTGTGCCCAAGAAGGTCACATGGAACGCTGCTGCGATCGCAGAGACATTCAAGGATGGAAAGGCATACGGTTTCCAGGTCAAGGAGCAGCCAGAGTTCGACTGGCCATACTTCAAGAACAAGCGTGACGCCTACGTCAAGCGCCTCAACGGCATCTACGAGAGGAACCTCGACAAGGACGAGATCAAGCACATCAGGGGACGAGCGAAGTTCATTGCCAAGAACGAGGTCGAAATTGCGCTCGAGAACGGAGGCACTCAGCGCGTCAAGGCGAAACACATCCTCATCGCGACCGGTGGCCGACCAAAGAAGCCCGATATTCCCGGCAAGGAGCTCATCATCGACAGCGATGGCTTCTTCGACCTCGAGCAGCAGCCAAAGAGCATTGCAACAAGTGGTGCTGGATACATTGGTGTCGAGATGACTGGTATGCTGCACGCACTGGGCTCCAAGACACACTTCTTCATCCGTGGCGACAAGCTTCTGCGAACATTTGATCCCATGATCCAGGATGCCGTTACAAAGGAGTACGAGCGCCAGGGCATCAACTTATACAAGAAGACATCGATCACCAAGGTTGAGGACATTGGCAACGGCATGAAGCGCGTGACCTACCAAGAATCAGAGTCGAAGAAGGAATCCACCGTCGAAGTCGAGGCTGTCCTTTTCGCAACCGGCCGCGACCCCGAGATCGAGGACCTGCACATCAAGGACTTCGGCATCAAGCTCAACGACAAGAACCACATCGTGACCGACGAGTACCAGAACACCTCCCTCGACAACATCTACGCCGTTGGTGATGTTTGCGATCGTGGCCACGAGCTGACTCCTGTCGCTATCGCAGCCGGTCGCCGTCTGTCCGACCGCTTGTTCGGTGGCAAGAAGGACGCACATCTTGTCTATGAGAACATTCCTAGCGTCGTCTTCGCTCACCCTGAGATCGGTTCCATCGGTCTGACCGAGCCGGAAGCGCGCGAGAAGTACGGCGACAAGGTCAAGATCTACAAGACCGAGTTCACAGCCATGTACTTCGCCATGATGGAGCCCGAAGAGAAGCAACCTACAGCATATAAGATCATCTGCGTTGGCGAGGAGGAGAAGGTCGTCGGTCTGCACATCCTGGGTCAGGGCAGCAGTGAGATCCTGCAAGGCTTCGGTGTGGCGATCAAGATGGGTGCTACAAAGCAGGACTTTGACAACTGTGTGGTAAGTGTGACCCTTCCCGTCCCATTCCTTTCTTTCCCACGGCCACGTGGGCTACGTGCTGTGCTGGCGGGTAAGGCGCATGGCAATGCCGTGCCAGGCACGAGCTCAGGTGTAACAAGGCCGTGGTTGCGGGGAAGCGAACTTGGTCGTTGTACCGCATTGCTTGAACTTTACTAACTCTTTCTGCAGGCTATCCATCCTGTCTCTGCTGAGGAGTTGGTCACCATGACCTAAGCTCTCTACGGTGTACATTGTTCTTATATAGCATGCAGGAGGTAGATCAGGCGTCCAAACAAGACGAATCTGTATAGATCAGCGCAAATACCAAGTTCACCATGTCTGACATGAAGGCCCCTCAATGTCTGCAACAGCTAAATCAACTATCTGATTGTGCCATATGAATGAGCCCCTGAGCATACAAGGTCAATTTGACATGCATAATCCATCAAGTCAGTCTTCAACCATCCTTTGCCGCACCGTCCCTGTCCGCAGCAGCCCAGACCTACCCATCCTGCTTTCGTCTACCGACATGAATGTTACCCAAAGCAATTACCGGTCCTGCATAAGGGACGAGCTTTCCCCGCGCTTCGCCTGCAACCGTTGTTTCGTCCGCATGCACGCAATACAATCGTTTGCGAAATGTACGGACCCTCCTGAATTTTGGCACAGCGACTGTATGTACCATAGTATAGCATGCAGGACACATACGTGAGTGGTTAATTGTCTTGGTGCCATAAGTCTTGTCACCCAGACTGTCACCCCTCAGCCAGCCTTAGCTAGCCACTCGGAAGCTCTCGCCCACCTGTGACGTATGCTTGATGATATTGAGCCAAAATCCAGGGGGGTTCGTACATTTTGCAAGGCACCGATATTGCCTTCCCTGCAGGTCAGACAACTGAATCTGACATCTTCGTTGTCCCCGCCGACTGCAAGATGCTCACGTTGTCCTAATTTGGTTGTGTTCGTGAAGTTCAACTATAGCAATTCATATCGTCCTTCTATACACTAGGTTCGTTGTTATGCTTCTATTGTCAGGTTCGCAGCTATCCAACTTCCAGAAGCCCCGCCGAATTCCATTCAACGATCGACTCGTTGGTCCAACACAGCCCCACCAACAGCACTGTCCACGGACACCCTCCCTCCACCTCGTTTCCGTCTTAGCGTGTAGTTCCGTCCGCAGGATCGATTCTGCATCTCACCGGAATCGGAGTTGAGCAGCCACACCCAGTGTCCCTGCGGTGCCCTGCGGTACCCCTCGTGGCCGGGTCTAGGCAAAGTGGAAGGGATCATCAGGGTCGGTGAAATGGAAGGCTAGGGGTGCATGCTTCCACAAGGGACTGTGTGCCAGCAAATGGTGGCTTGTCTACAGGCAAGTCTGAGTTGTTCTGGACCTTTGGAGGGTTCTTGTAGAGGCAGATGTTGAGATTGGACACGCGCTGTTATGGACAGAGCAAGATCAAAGACCAACAGCAAGAGAATGGTACGCTGCTTCACGCTTACCACATGGTGAAGCAAGCCGTTCAAACTCCAACGCGCTGCACATCTCTTCCTATTCTTTCACACTACAGTGACAATCCGAGTGACAATCTCACTTCCACCCATCTCACATGCAATTTCAAATAACCATCCTTTGCGCTCACTCGCATTCGTCTTCGCAAACAAATCACCCGCTCTCGCTAAATGCACCCGGCATGTCAGCACAGGAAGGTCGGGGTTGTGAAACCGGGGCGCTTGGTCGAGCAGATCTGGGGAGTCAGTGCACACCGTTGTCAGAGCAAGGATTTGGCTCCTTCCTTTCGACCAGCCCGACCACATTGACTTCCATTCACACTAACCGGATCTGTTCACCTCCGCGGCCGGGCCGGTTACGCTGCTATAGTGAGCAGCAGGCCCGTCCTTGTTACTCGCACTCCATGAATAACCAGAATACGGGTTGTGGAGTGTGTGTGGAGACGCAGGAGAAGGTGGAGATCATCAATAAAATCCCACATGTGGTGTGGCGTGAGGACAGGTGGGTTGGCGCTGCCACCGAGGTCTTTGTACCTGGGTACCCATGGATCTGCTCTTGATGAGCTTGAAGGTTTGGGGTTGCAGGACTAGCAACACCGGTGTAGGTAGGTACATAAAATGCGTCGCAATGCAAGTTGCTGCGAGGTGATGATATTCTCTCATTATACAAACACAATATGATGTGGTAGTGGTCTGGTTGCTCACCAAGACCGTTTTTCCTGTACGTGATCCCATGGTGCGGTGTCGATGATTCATGCACCGGCTTCCAAAATTCCTAAGCGCCTCGCTGCTGTCCGAAAAGTTGATAACGATACCTGGGCTTTTGATCCAGCCTGTGGTGTCCCTAAAAATGCCGTGCTGTAGCTTTCAAAGCTATTACAATATTTACTGAAGTGAAATGATGACAAAATGTGGATATCGATCTGATGCAACGGGGAGCTGGTGAGATGTACCGCGGAAGCTGTCGCGGAGGTGTATCCTCTTCAGGCAGTTGAGAGAATTCATGCACTCTGCCCACTCAAAAAGAAGTCCAGCTCGCTGGGCCCACCACGGCTAACCTCATTCTCTGCGAGCTGCTCCAGTAGACTAAGGAATGGATCCTTGCTATCTGGATCTGTGTGCACCGACGCGCCTGACGTGCTACCAGCGCCTGGTGTCGGCTGCTGGTCGTAGGGTGTGGGCATACTGAGCATCGGATCGAAATGCGATACTGATGTGTCGTTGTTCGAGTTGAGGTGCGCCGCGCGAGGCACTGGCGACGGTGCCAGGCTTGCAAATTGCGGCAGTGGCGAGAACGAGAAGTTCGGACTGAATGGAAGGGCGAGACCACCACCCTGGCCGTTGCCGGCACCATTAGTCGTGCTCGGCATGTTCATCGTGCTGTTGTTCGGTGGTGGTGTGAAAGGTGGATGAGGAGGATTCGTCGGTCCGTTGACACTTGTATCGCCAGGGCTTGGGTTCGAAGTTGTATGGGAAAGACCGGCATCAGAGGGTCGCGAAGTCTTGACTGTCGGAGGACATGTGGTGGATGTAGGTGTCGGCAGAGGTGCCGATTGTATCTGTGGTGTTACTTTTGAATTGGTCGCTCTGCGCCTCTTGTTAGGTTGGCCATTCGAATAGTGTGGCTGCTGTGCCTGAGTAGGCTGCTGTTGTTGGTAACCGTGAGAGTTTCCAACTATACCACTGCTCATATACATGTTGTTGCGCTGCTCGATGTTGTAGGTCGCAAGGCTGTCGGTACGTTAGCATTGGACATCGCCCGGGTCACCCTGACACTCACCTCTCGTGGATGGATTCGACCTGGATATCAGTAAAGGTAACATGCGATCCATCGAACACTTGGCCTGGATACCTATCGAAGAAGTCCTCGAGTTGGAATACCGGCGAAAAGCGCATTGGGTTGCTGGCTAGCGAAGTGACGAGCTCGGTGTGACATCCGTAAATGGTCTGCAGTGTCTCCCGCTGATGCTGCGCACCTGCCCAGATGAAACGTAACTCAGAAAGCTGCTGCATCTCACGAGATAGAAACTCTGCGCTGACAGAGAACACCTCTCCTTCCCTTGCAGGGTAGTGCGCCCCATGTACGTGAATAGTACCAGCAGTGCACACGCAGTAGCCTACAAAAGCCGGCCAATCGATGATAGAGGAAGCTCTCCCTATCTCAACTAGTTCGGCGATCGCATTAGCATGTAGAAAGCACAAGTTCGTTGCTTCAATCTGCCAGGGTTGATGCTGTGAGGTTCCCGAAAGTTCAGCCAGATCAACCGGTAAAAATGGGCGGTAGATCAAGCAATATATCAGATGATACACTAGCTTCGAGAGAACCAGGATGGTGCTGTCAGGTTGACCAAAGAGTGCCTCAATCGAGGTAAAAGTGTCCTGCGTTTCTGAGGCCCAGATGTCAAGCTCCTGGCGGATCTTCGAGAGGTTTGAGAGTGAATGCCAGGGAAAGTGTGAGTCGCCCTTGACCCCTCCGGCCGCAAGGTAGCGGTTTGTTATCCCAAGGATCCTTGCTATCCCAATGAGCATACCCATGCTACCTTGTCCTCCCTTTCCAGAGCCACCCATGTATTGCAGGTTTTGTCCGTTGGGGAAGTAGTCACCTTCTAACAGCATTGCGCCGGGGTGCAGCTGCCAGCTGGGTAGGCGGAGTACGATCGATTCGTCCGGTACTAAGGAGGGGCGCTTGGAGCCAGTGGCTGCAAATCGATCCATGAGGTAGCAAGACCAGAACAATCGTCGTCGGCCTTCTCGTTCAGCGAGTGTAACTTTCATGCCCTGTGGAAGTTCGCAGTGGAGGTCAAGGGCAAATGCCATGCTTATCGCCGCATCTAAACCGAGTGTCAGCTGCCTGATCGTCCTCAGAGTTGCTATGGATCGTACTGAGCAACATGAATGTCTTCTTGCCCTTGCCCAATTGGAAGCTTGCCTGCGCAAGTAGCATCAATGTTTGAAGAGCCTCAATTGAGGGTTCGTCGATGTCCAGCTCCATGCGTGCTCGTCGCGAGTACTCTGAGCCAATTCGGACTGCGGCATTGTAGCCGCCGAAATGAGGTGCATATCTGGGCAGGTCAGATACAGAGCCCTTGGATATGGTGTGATTCTCATACCTTGCGCTTACTGCGTAAATGGCGAAGGCTAGATGTGATGGTAGTTGGTTGGCTTGTAACCGCTGTCGTGTTGTTGCCTCGTCTATTATATGATAGGGCTTTCCGTGTATTCTGGCAAAGTAGGTGTCGAGTAGTAGATCTGGGGCAAGCGCTGGTGTTTGTATGCTACTAGCTGTTAGCAAGTGGAATGAGCTGGAGCTAGGGTAGTTGCAGGTCGCACCTTGGTTCAATGGGCGACATCAACTGGTTGGCAAGGTGTGCGTTGCCATGGTTTGGGGCTATGTCGACAGCAGGCTGCGTGCTTGGTGATGCTTTGGTATCTTTGGAGTTATCGGCGGCATCGTGAATAGCAGACGAGAGCTCCTCGACCAGCTCATCGCTCTTTCCTTCTGAATGGAGGCGCTTCTCGAGGCCATCAACACGCTTCAATAGAGCCTCAAGAACATCAGTTTTGGGCCCTCTCTTCTTGGGCACTGCGTCTGGCGGGGTATTAGCACATGACTGCAAGCACCATTCGGCGAGTGGAACATACCGTAGATACACGGAACAGCAAACACTTGACAGGCTTCGCAGGTTGGCCGTGTACGGTTGCACTTGATCTGTAGACAGCCTGTCAGCAGCGTCGTCAACATGTGGGAGAGCTACACCACCTTTCGCTTACGACAGCTCTTGCAATTCATGGCCTCTCGCGGCTCGCTCGAGACCCGGCGGGCTGGCAGGCGGTCGATACCGATCTGAGGTCTCGATATTGCGGCTGCCAGTGACTGCGAGACCTCGGTAGACATGATGACGCTGGCGAGCAACAACAAAGAAGCATGATATAGCAGCCAGCAACCGTCACAGCGCGAACAAGACGTTAGGAAGAAGAAAGCTCACGGCAACGAGCATGCACAGCGCCAGCTGCAGTAGTTCAAATTAAGGCCTCTGGCAGTGGGGACACGCAGGGGGCTCACGGACGGCAAGGCTTGATGAGCATCTGCGGGAGCGAGCGCCCTCTCCGACTGGAACGAGTTTGTGTGCGTGTCGCAGGACAATGCCAGGTAGTGCTGGGCAGAACGGCTGGGGACTCTACGACTAACTGGGGCACCGCGTGATGGACGATCTCGGGCTATCTCCGTGCGGCAGTGGTGAAGCACCGTTGAGCCGAGGACGATATGCTTGTCGCTGCCGGCATGCCTGTGGCTATGGCGCATCTGAGCAATCAAGCTAAGTGCACCCAAGTGCGGAGAGGGCAGCAAAACTGAGTGCATCATGAGGGCATGGCTGGGGGCGGAGGCTAGTGGTCAGTCATCCACTGAACTCAATCCTCTGCGGCAGCGCTTCCTGCCTCGGTTGTAGCCCTGGCAAATCGCTGCAATTTGGGCGTTAGATTGCATGCGTCTCACGCATTATTCTGCGCGCGGCATAGTGCAGTCATTGGCGCCGGAGCACGAGTTGTACGTACACCTTTCGAGTTCTCAGGAATCCGGGGTAGCTGAGACTGCTGCAAGCGAGCCAATCCAGAATCTGTGCAACTGCCAGCATGTGGTTGATGCAGTGTGCGGTGCTCCGACGCACAGCGCCCACGAGGAACACTCTCATCTGGAGCCACCCGAGATGCCTGGGATTGCCGGTAATCTGCGGTAACGATTGGCGGTGAATGGGCGGCGTGCAGGAAACAAGGACTGATGGCTATGTCGCCCTACATGATACTCACGCTGTCACGGCGCATATCAGCCACAGATTATTACCAGAGCTCATTTGTATAAAACTTGTCTTGATTACTCGACTCTAAAAGAGACCCCTTCCAGATGCTAAACGTACGAAATCGTAGCACACGTTCTGCCCAACAAGCTGCCTAAGCGTTTCGACTGTAGTCCACGCCGAGACATCACTAATACCATATGCAGTCCATCCCGCCGACGTTGCAATAGCCAGTGGGTCAGCTTTACGGGGCCCACTGGCCAAGTCGACGAACACCTTGCCTGCAGGCTTCCCTCCTGCGCTGCCATGCCCGTTCGTGCTGCCATTACGTCCATCAACCCTGTAGTGCTTCAACAAAGGAACTACGAGCAGCGACTTCTCTGCTGGAAGCGCCGAAATGATAACAAACGGCTGTTCTAAACGTTTCACGTCTTCTACGGACCGTACCGGCTGCACGTCAGTCGACAGTGGGCCGTTTGACTTGAAGCCTATTGTGTAAATGGGCCCTATGCCCAGACTCTTCAATGCGAAGATTGATGCTGATGCGTCAGCCTCATTGCTGGCGAGGAGTAGTGCGGCTGCACCGCTGTATGCCGAAGGCACGAAATCGCGGGTCAATGTTGCGCGAATGCCCTTCCATCTCGCATTGTCGCCGATGAAGGATGGGCTGTTAGTGCCTGGGCGTACCAGCACCGTGTCAACCTGTCCGATGGCCCGCGCAGCATTGGACAGTGAGGGCAGATATGCAGCCGAAGACGCCGCTAATGGAGGATTGATGTACGCTCCTCCAAAATTAGGACGCCGAAGGATGTGTTCGATCGAGGCCTTTGGCGCTCTCGGCGCAAACATGAAGGAGTGCGGGAGACTAAGCTCATTGAAGCACTTCTCGAAGAACATTGCTTGTGATGTGGACCGGACACTGCCGATACCATAGATATCTTGCTTTGGTACCTGGCCCATGGTGTGGAGTGCTGTGTTAATCTCGGCAGCGCTTAGTTGGCCAGGCGCTGCAATCATTGGCAGCAGTGGGTGTGTTATCGGGGTGAAGATCTTGTTCATCGTACGCGACAGCTGCCCAGTCGGGCCCATGTTCAGTCCAGAAAAAGGTGGGTGTGGGTACTTTGTCTGGATGGTCGACCTGAAGTACTCAAGCTCGTAATTCTCCTGCATGGAATTTACTAGCGCGTACATCTTGACGATGTCTCCGTACACCGCTCCCCGTTCGAACAATCTTTGTGTGTCCGGCGCTGTCCACTGAAACGTGCCCGAGAAGTCGTGAAACGCAGAGATGATTTTGCTGCAGCCCTTGTTCTCTGCCAACTTCCGTCTAATCTCCTCTGGCAACCACAGTTCCACATCAATATATTCGCAACCCCATTGTATCGCGCGCGCCAGATATTTGTAAAAGAGATTAGGATCGTCCATGGGGAATCGCCCGTTCTCGTTGGTGCATCGCGTTGTGTAGATGATGGGCAGCTCTGTGCGCTGGCGCAGGATCATGACCTGCTCACCCACATACTTCAGGCTGGGTACCTTGGCGGGTGCCTTGTTCACGGTTCCGTCCGCCAGCGGCTCTTCCAGCAGATCCACACGTATCTCTATGGCATCTGCGCCAACTGACAGAATATCGAGGTTCGGTAGCGCGGCGTGTACGTCGGGGAAGGTCGTGGAGATCAGTGTTGTGCGCGCCTTCTTCGCCAGATCTCTGTGAGGCGCAATCTGCCCTAGAATGAGAGAGAGGTAGCGCGAGACATCTCGGCGAAAGAAAGGCGTACGCGTGTAGAGGTATTCGTAATCGCAGTGGTCAGTGAGGGACTCGTCCAGCTCATGTCCTCCATCCACACGATGTGTGTTGATTAGCAATCTTGAACGGTCCCAACCCTCCAGTTGTGCGCCTGAAAGCCCATTCTTCAAGCCATAGACCGTCTCTGGCGGCCCTGCTTTCACTGCATCTACTGAGGCGGTGGACTCCCACTTCTGCCCCAGTACATCTGCAAAAATGCCAACAATGTCCTCCTCTCCTTCGTTGTGGAGGATCAGCAGCGACGGTTTGATTGCGCTGGGGATCTCCTGGACGTCGATGGTAACCTCAGGAGTCTTGAGGTGTGTCGTGGTCACGCTCTCGGCCTGCACCATGGTCGCCATATAAGGCTGGGGGTGAGCGCTGAGTGTCGCGCGCTACTCAAAGTGGGTAGTGTTAACCGTAGGTGTTGAAGCCGTTAATGCGGTGTTGGGTTTCAACGAGGATGCGACGGGCGGTATACAACTGACAGATTCCAACGGCCGCCCCTACCATGTCTCCGTGTCGTCGACGAAGTACCCGGCTTGTGGGGCAGTGTATGGAAGAATACAGGCCTCTCAAACAGAGGTTGGCTGCAGGTCTACCCGTCTGATGCGATATAAAATAAGGTGAAGATTGATCGCCGTGCGTCTGAAGATTGATAGAGAGATAGCACCACATCCAGGCCAGGTGGAAGCACCAAGCTTCCGTAAAACCCACGCGTTTGTCTCCCTCTAAACCCGTCCTATGGCTGGACGATGAATATGCCGTTAGAATGGCCGCTAAAGTCACATCTTCTGGAGTTGGGCGCATGCGGGCCAGGGCGGGAACCGTGGTGCGTCCGCCGACTGCTGGGCCTTGGATTTATCCGTCGGCTCATAGTCGGCCGCCAAGGTAATAATTATTGCACCAATCACACACTCGTATTTTGCTCATTATTCACCATTGCCATCTGCCCCATCTGGACCCATCGACAAATTGCTGACGGCTGGCCGTAGCGGCACACGACGAAAGTGCGGGGATTGGTGGAGAATGGGGCTTGGTATGTGTCGCAGAGTAACATCGTCAGGTCTCCCGAGCCTTCAGGCACCCTTTGAACAGCGTCCTTCAGCTTCGAGACTCGATAACAACACGGCATGCAGCAGCTACGAGCTCGGCGGACGCCATACGATAGATGAGGGCTGCATTTCCAAGACTGCCACTCGCCTGAGACTGCCCACGATGCCTCGAGTAAGGGGGTTTCAGCATCTTCGACGTCTTGAAAGAGCTTGAAGGCTTGCTTGGGTTGCTTCAGCCTTGTCGGCCTCAAAGCAGCTATCCGGCCTCAAGAATGACGATACATCTCGGGCAGATGCGCTCAGCTCCTCTTTTTCTCCTCACAAACAGTGACAGGAGACACCGAAAAGAGCTATATCGGCCCGTGTTAAGCAAGACTCAGGCCATGGATACTACAAAAAGCCGCGGCAATTGAACATTTGCACCATGTATCGGCGATGCGAGCGACGACGATTACGACTTCATTTGCCGGTCGCTACTTCATGTCAAGAAGTATCATGACCCCAATACTAAAGAAGCGCAGATATTGCATTTCCTTCTGCGAGATAAGAATTTCCGTCAAGGTCTTGGAACGCTTGGAGTGCTTCAACTGGCCTGTTCTTGTTTATCCGGTAGCGAGGCACAGCACATGATGAAAAGAGCTCGGGACAGCTTGGTATCTCAGATGTAACGTGAGGACGGGTGGTGCCGCTTGGCCGTTGTCACCGTTGCCTGTCAAACGTGGGAATCTGGAGAAATTACGAACCAGACTGCAGTGGCTGTTTCATACATCACGCGGGGAAACCACTCATCATATCACACCATCGGCTACCAACTGCATCGATTTTGAATACATTCAAAGCTTCGTAAGTAGCGCAGAGGTAAATCCTGCTGAGGAATCGCATGTTTTTATTTTCCTTTAGCTGTCAGCAATGCTGCATGAAGTGCATATGGCTGACACGGATTCGAAGCCAATCTTCGGTTGAATTGTCGAGCAGAGCTTTGGCATCACCATCTTCAGCGCTACCACCCCCATTCAAAGGTATATCCGCTCCCGTGCGAAGCTCTGATCTGCTTCCGTTCATAGTTCTGAACCGCCCCAATTTTGGATTAAAACCTCGAGTTCGTTGGGCAGCATATATGTTCTTTCTGAGTACAGTGGCCATGATGGTTATTTTTTCTGATCAGACCCATCGCCTCGCCGTGCTTGGGTGCTCAGATTTTGTTCCATGGGCAGTTCCTGCGCTCGGCTGCATCAGGATGTTCATAATAGTCGCACGCTTTGAGTCGCTCCTAGTGAAGGGGTGGCTGTCGCATTGCCTATCTGACCGCAGTGCAGAATCCATATCTATGTCTGAAACGAAGGAGGAACGCATATGGAAGCTCGACTCCGACCTTGTAGCCAGGTTCCGTATGAAGTTCTGAAATAGCGTAATTATTGGCATGAGATCTACCAGCATGTCAAGGTTCGGATCCTCCTTGGCAAGCTTGCTGAAGGCGCAGATAATGACACTGAAGGGCGGTGCTAGGTCCTTGTTTGATTCGGTAACCGACCTTGCAAACTGCCTGTCGACGAAATGTCTATGCAATGCCCTCACGAAGGCCGGCGCAAGGAAGCGGTCGCCGAGCGCAATCGCCTCCAGTTCCATGTCACGCGCGCCTTTCTCGTCAGGAGGATTGTCGTCTTGTTGCGCGATCTTCTCGGAGTACAGCCAGTCGACAAAGATGTTGACTACACGTGTAGTGGTCAGTCCATTTTCTCCAAAGTCAGCATCTCGATTGAAACTTACAGGGACCGCTCTCCACGTCCTCGAGACGCACACAGCCTTCATCAGCTTCCTTCCACGGACCGCTCAGAGCCTTTCTGAAATACTCGCTGTGCTGAACCAACAATACGGTATTTGACGCCGTGGGCGTCCTCGACGATCACGAAGCCGCCTTCCCTAGCAATGGTCCTGAAATTCAAGTTATAAGCATGCTTTACAATGTGCACTGTGTACACAAGCGGTGGGTGGCACATACCTGAGGCGGCTCATCATTCTGCGATGGTTTGCTGTGAAGGTTGTTGGGAAGCTAAAAGTCACAAGTACCAAGTCGGTATAGGCCTCTATATTGAGGTAAAGGTACAACGGCGCTCCGTACCACTAACCTCTCCCACCTTGGTCAGGTCAAACCACCAGCACGTGCGCTTAACAATCGCTGAAACATGAGTGAGCTATCGGAAGCGAAAGCAAGTCCTACAGATGAGATAATTTGATCCATCATCACATCGCGATGCCGTCCATGGAGCCGGTCTTGTCTGACTTTATGCTCAGCAAGCGTTTGCCGCGGCTCCTCGCAGGTTACGGAGAGGCTATTGATCTGGACAGCGCTGCTGGGAAGACGTACCATTCATGGTTCGCAGTCCGCCAATTTGAGTGTTGCTTCCATCCTGACCCGCGACCCACAACTCTTGTTGGCTACTGCTCAAGTTGCGTTGGAGGCTCTATTGAAACTGCAACATGTTCGCTGAGAATGTTGGAGATCATACAACAATGGAGGATGCCAGTATAGCGGAAAACAAGAAAGAAAAGAAAAGAAAGACAATGGAACTCTTTGCTCCTAAGTGCTCTGCTTAGAGCGTCTTGCTCTTGACCACTTATGGTAATTGAACCCATGCTGACTTGCTCAAGTGCTCATCGGAACATGGCTAGAAACAGGAAGGATCGTACCCTCATTGCCTGGCCTGATGAAAAAGAGAGTAAAAGCACAGAACTGCCATGTTCTGCATGACACCAATCCTTAGGGCCCTACAAGACCACAGTTACATATGCGTTGGTAGACTCGAGTCACTGTCAGTCCCTCATCCATTTGTAGGCTTATCTATGAGACTTTCGAAGGAGCGTGATGTTAAGAATTTGCGTTCAAATTCACTCACGAAAAAAGTACACACGCACCTCAAGTCTTGGCACATGGCTTCGAACACAGCGCCAGAGATTGCCTCCCCTCAAACAGTTCAGTAAAAAGTGTACTCATGCCTCGGAATTCAGTCAACAATATCGTCTCTTGAGCATGCCGACTCTGTCACTGCTACGCCTAGGGATACTGAGTCGAGCTCAACTGTCTCAACTCCTTCTGCCGACGAACATATCCGAGTCGAAACTAAGAGAGTGTTTGTGTGTACGTACAAGGGCTGCAATTCCAAATTCTCACGCATTCCAGAGATGCATCGTCACTTCAAGGGAGCTCATAAGAAGGAGTTTCCATATCTCTGTCGTTTTTCTGGATGTCACCGAAGTATTCGCGGGTTTCCCCGAAGAGATGAAAGAAATAATCATGAAAGGAGCATGCATAGACGAATTGCGCCGTGAATAACAGAACAATCTTCTGCGAGTCATTGGGTTGGGGCTGGAGACATGGTGAGCCTTCGTATATTTCCAAGACTTACTCGTACTGACATGGTGCAGATGTGGATCACGAAAGCGCTAGATTGGTAGAAGATGGTGGGAGCACGCAACTTCAAATGTTGGAAAGTATACAGCACAATGGATTTTCACAATTGTAAATTTCCACACCATCCATGCAAAATCATATCCTTCTTCGCCGTCTTGACACAGACTATCTGATCTCCACGTGCCGCTCTATAACACCAATTAGAAAATCTATATGCATTTGTTGACGAAGTTGCTGATATAGCAGATTGTTCAGCAAGTCTTTGTTAAAGTGCACGTATTAAATGTTAATTAGCAGCTAGAGTATTAGGCTGCTTAAAGGTAGGTTAGCGAATGCAAAAACGATCATCTGCTTGTAGGCGTGACCCTCCTTGCCGATGGAGTAGCCTATACAACTCCTTTCTGCAGCGCGGCGGAAAGAAGAAGCTTGCAAATGGTCGCCCAGCACGCACCCTCCGATCATGGCCCTCTCGTTGGTGACGTGCCTTCAATCTTTGAGACATAGTTTCAAGATGAAACATCTGACAGTCAACCCACTATTATCGGCTCCCATGCCCGCAGCGACACAACTGAGGACGAGGTCTATCGATTTTCTGTGTTGTATCAGCACCAATACATTGATTATGGCCTTATCACTCGAAATTTACATCCTCCATGACTTTGAACTTAGACCGAACGGTTAATTGAATTTCCTCACACATAGCAGGCTTACGTCTACGCCTCAAAATAGTGACCATGCTCACCGGTCTGAACACTTGTTTGCCAAAGCTTGAGACTATAGACGCCGTGACTTATCAGAGAGAGCAATCACTGCAAGACAACAATGTGGTAGACATACCGAACGAGACATCAAGTTGAGCTGCCAGTCACTCACTCCAATCACTGAAGATCAGTATATTTCCAAAGAATATCCGCTAAGGATTCGCTCGTACCTTCGCCGCTCTTGACGAGGTATGTGAAAGTGAAATCCTCGATATTGGATGTATACTGAACAATGCTCAGTGATATCGTGAAAGAAGCTGGTACCATCATCATCAAAGTAGAACAGTACACCACGTATCATATTCGCCGAAGCCTGTTGACTCGCTACTCTAAACGGTTCTCACAGCTGATTGACGAGATGGTTCAAGAAGAAGACGAACTAATCCGAATTGGTCCAAACTATCTTGGCAGCTTCGCCATTGATCGCAGGTGTAAGTATCTCACCATCGTTGCGACAGGATGTATTAACGATTCTATAGTCGACATGATCATGACTCAATGACTCGGGTGCTCAGCATATGAGTGCGCAGTCCTCGGTGCCTTGGTTGAGTACTGCAAGGCTCCGAGTCCTCCATACTGGACAATCTATTGTGCCTTCTCTTCTCTCCAATCATGTGATCGGTTTCTCCAGCTCCTTGTGCATGCATACAGCCTCCACGCTACGGAGGATAGCAAGCAGGCTAAATATACCTAGGGCTGTGACGATGGAGAAGGATGGTTTGATTTCCATGTCCGGGTTATGGAGAAAATGGTCGATGCTATGCAGCTGAAGGGGCTGAAAGAGTTGGATCTGAAGGATTACCAAGTCGATGAGCTTGATGAGGAAGAGCATGTGTAGTTTAGACTTAGTGTAGGCTATTGGCAGGCAGATCCCTAACTATAGGCTTCGTAGTCATCATCAGTAGTCTTTGCGTGATCCATCTACTAAGTGTTATTATCGTTCGTGTTCGTGTATAAGTCACAATAGCCTTACTGAAGATCATGTGGATATATACGGAATATAGCTGTTTGGATAGTGCTCGTATGTAGATCACACAACAGTCTATACACACAGTCTTGCGTCCAAAATAGGTGCAGAATACGAACGACGTCGGCAAGGCGTGCCGTTCACTTTCAACCCCACGTGGTGGCCACAATGCTACCCCAGACTTTCCAGCAATCCCAAGTGCAGATTGCCGAGACAGCGAGTTCAGCTTCAGCCGCACTCCAAGCGTTGCAAAAGCGTTGCTGCGGGGCGTCATCCGAAGCTGAACGGACGGTCGAAACATCTCCGTCCTGTCAGCTTATGGCTGCATATAGAGTGTAAAACTCAAATGTCCTTGCATGAACTGGACGAAATTCGGAAGAATTTGAAGAAAGGTGCTTTCGTGTACACGTACTCATAAGACTTATGCTGGTGTCAGCGCTGTATAATGCATGAGTAAGGTATACGAAAGTCTTGATGGATTACGAATAGTGTTGCGACAAAGTTCGTACAGGCTTGTGTGCTCGCGTGTTCGGCGCTTTCGCAACTTTTACCGCCGAGATGGTTGCCAGTAGCGTAAGCTCTGGTGCAGTTCATTGCAAGAGGGTGCATCGAAACTCACCATACGAGGTTGCTAATTGCTCTTGGAAGCACTGCATGGTCTCGTAAGCGCATTCTCTCGAGTTAGTTTGCGGTTTGGATTTATTGTTCTGTGCTCAAGGAGTTTCGGTGCATCCTGTTTGTGATCAAGACGACGTAGGAAGCTCGGTTGACAGACGAAACCCAGAATTCCTATTATGGACGAAAAATGACATTGGCCGATGCGAAAGTAGTGCTCCACGAGCATAGTGACCTCAAATCTTAGTCGACGTTACGCAGGTTCAGCCCTATGAAGGTGTTGAGTGGATAACTGCGGCCCTAGCGTTCTCTTGCAGATGCGACTGAAGAAAAACTGCAAGGAAGAGCAGCGCCTGCATAACAGTACTGATGGTGTTGTTGAGCGAATGCAACCGCATATTCATCTTGCTCTCATCTGTCGTTCATTCTTTGGGAAATTATGTAGTATCAGCGCTTCATCAACGTCGCGATGATGATAGGCTTGAAAGGTAATGCTTCCGTGCCTCAGGCGTCATGATCGGCAATCGTGTTACCCCCGACGGCCATGAATGGCAGAAACTTCGTCAGAATCACGCCGACGCAGGGTCTCGCGATCCCGCAATTGCGGATTGCTGGGATTTTGCGCTACGTCGATGCCAGCATAGCGTCCGCTCAAGAGTCCACTCAGTGTGGGCTGGCGGGCACCATTCCGTAACCCGCCGATGATCATGACTGCATGAAGCCCAGTCTGAGAAGTGATGCACACGGTCGATGCCCAGCAGGATATTGACGTTGAAGAGATAGGCAACGATGTGTGATCGCTGGATATTGTTTCGCAAAAATAGATCGTGAAGCAGGAGTTGATGCAGAGTTGTGCTGGTGGAAGACTGCTGGGTGCGTGATCCGGAAATGTTGACATCATCGGCCATAAGCGACGCTTGGCCCTTTGTTGCGACAAAGCGAGTGCGAGGAACATCTCTGTCTGCAAACTCCCCAAGTGCATCGGTGTCAAGTTTCCGAACAGTGACGAGCAACGAGCCTCAGTATCACCGGTATGCGGCTTGGTAATGTAGTAGCTCCTACAATCCACAAGTCCACTGAAAGTGAATGCTGGCGTGCGGCTAGACCCATCGAAGTCTCGGGGAAAGGCGCGCCCGCGTGGCTGTGTCAGCCCTACATGCACCCTGAAACGCTCTCAGCCAATCGAACTCTGCTTGGGCCTTCCACATTGGGCATCTCGATTCTACTCCTGCTTGCTGTTCATGGAGATGCTTGCGGCACGTTACAGCTGAGCAGACTTTGCTCAAACAGTTCCCAGTGGAGAGTCTCCCAGTGTAGAGATGTGCGCTAGAGAAAGGACTAATCGCGGATACACGTGCCTCGTCGGAGTGAACGAGCATGGCTTTTGACAGCCCAAATGGATATGCTAGTTTGACAGTCTGTGAGATACGTTGCATAGTAACTCTATCCCCATCTGTTGTATGACCACCGAGCTTAGTGGCATTCATCTAGCCCGTACCAGAATATTCTGTTAGCAAGTAGACGTTCCATACTCATGCTTTGCGACTGCCCTTGTTGAACCGTCTTTGGCCGTGTGCGGACTTGCACGTCCTGGCCGTCAAGAAGGTGAATGTAGGAGTCATCTACAATGGAGCAAGGCACGAGCCACAGGCATGTGACCCAATTCATGGGCGAGAGCTGTGGCTGTGATACGGAGTCCTATGCCAGCAGTGCTATCGACTGTCTCGATCCTGAATAGTACCACATGCACAGGGAATGTGGCTAACACGATGTTCGATATACACTACCGCCAACAACTGTCCGGAAATTAGGCGAAGGCCTCGTAGTGCAGGTGTTGCCCACACCCAATACGACCGTACAGTTGCATCCGAGCGTGTCGCATATCTCCGTAAGGAGATCTTACCGAGTATCCCACGCGGAAAAACGAGGGTTCCTTCTGCAACTTGTACACGTTGCGACTGCAGGGCTGTAAGTCTCCAATATGCCTAACTACTGTTGGCTGGTATTCTTAGAGACATCGTTTCCTGGTCTCTCGGATCGTACCCGGACAGGGTTGTTTGGAAATTTTCAGCACTGCCACTTTTTCGGGTGTACAGGGTTTAGGGCTGAGAAACTGCAGATCGTTTCCTTAGCGTGCCTTCTAGAAACGCCATGCATACACGGCACTCGCACCCCTGTCATTCCATTCCTATGACGTTGTTCAAAAGCACAGTAAAATCCGCACCAGTCCAGCACTCCCAAGCCCAAAATCTTTCAGCAATTTACAATCCATTACAACTCGGAAACACAGAGAATTAAAGCCGTTAGTCCGAGCATAGCCGGACCTTTTCATCTCAACATTCCACCGCCTTCCACAGATCACCTCATCAAGAGACACTCCTTCGGCGAGCCCTTCCGAGTCACCGGCCAGTCGAGTCACTAGTATAAAACAACTTGCCACCCGGCTTGGTCCCTTACTTTCCCTTTCGACATTATGTTAGCGCAACCCACAAGACGTCAGCATATTGTACCACAGCACTATACGCTGACCATCCCGTCACCACCTTCCTCACAACACCTTGCCTACCAACAATTACCACAACAACACTTTGCCACACAACAACAGCTGTTTGACCAGAAGCTGCTCCACAACTATCTTGAGTCTCAGCAGCAGTCTTACAGCACACCTATCAACGTCACCGACTCTTTCATGACGAGCGCATACACCGACCTTGCGAACCCGGCAATCCGCGTCCAGCAGTCGACTCCCACACCCCAGCCTCTCTACCAATCATCCATGCTTTCGAACGGCTGGAACTCATATGGTAATGTACAAGGGCAGTCACTGCAGACACCCGTACAGAACCAGAACAAAGGACATCAGCGCGCATCCTCTTCTTCATCGGTAGGATCCAGTGCTTCGCAGTACCAGTCTGCAACTGCAACCAGCTATCAGTACGTCGCGCACCCCGAGACCGCGCGTCTTGCATGTACATTAATGAGCTTTGCTGACAGATCAACTAGGTCATTCTCGAATCATCTGCCCACTCCTTCGCACACACCTACTCAAGACTCGTTCATGAGCCAGAGCACCTTCAACAACTACGCACAGCCGGCCAACATGGACCAGACCATGGCTGCACACATGTCGATGAAGCAGGCACTGATGGATCAGGGCGACGATGTGCCTGACTTTGCACACTCAGCAAGGCAGTCAGTGTCTAGCTACGACTCACCGGCGACACCACACACGGCGTTGGATGACTCTGATGTCAAGCCCGCAAATGGTGAGACTCTCCGCAAGGTCGATTCATGGCTTTTCAATCTGTTCTGTACTTACGATGCACCACCAGACACAAGACAGCAGCCCATTGTACCGAAGTTCGAGAGGACGTACACAGACATTGCTGCCGACAATTTCTACGATCCCAACGCTGTATCCGCACCAGCAGTACAACAGTCAAAGCCTGCACAGTCATCGCTGTTGTCACCTTACCGCAGCAACACCACAGAGAACGTTCAGCGTGCGCTGCAGGCAGCGCAGTACGCGCGGTCGCACTCGCCAAGCAGCACAGCATCGCGTGGCGACTCTCCATTCCGCAAGGGGTCACCCTACCGTCAACCCAACCACAGCTTCAACTCACCAATGCTCGGCACTGCTGCTGCAACACGTGAGCAGAACCGCCAGGCTGATGCAGCTTACGCAATGAAGCCGCAGATGCGGTCCGAGGAATCGGTGGTAAAGACCATCTCGCCCAAGGATGCCCTTCTGGATTACCGAGAGGACGAGGACTCGAAGATGCCATTGTTCCCGGATGGTGGCGCAAATGAGTACGACGGCCAATACAATGGTGGCGACCAATATAGGAGCACCACCCAATCCAGCTTTGACACAGCATCAGCACAGTCCTACCGACGTGACAGTTGGGCGACACCACAGTTTTCACCAAACTTCTCGACATCAACTGCACCTTCGCTACCGACAACATCAAGCTTCAACTTCGTTACTCCTGCGATCAGCAACATGTCCAGCATGCCCATGGGTGTGACATCACAATACCGATCTATTCCCATGACTTCGGCAGTGGAACAGACACCTGAGTTTCCTGCTCATCCTCACCTGACCTCGATGGAGTCTAGCGCCAGCGAGGCTGATCCACCTAATGGTAGCCAGTCCAGCGTCGAGCAGTTCTTGCGCAAGCCAGCATCATCCGCCGCGGACTCCGGGACGTATTCTTGCACATACCATGGATGCTCACAGCGATTCGAGACTCCACAGAAGCTCCAGAAGCACAAGCGTGAGGGTCATCGGAATGCAAATCTCGGCCCCAGTATGACATCAGCGGCTATCCTAGACCGCAACACACAAGCGGGGCCGCACAAATGTGAGCGCATCAACCCCACAACCGGCAAGCCTTGCAACACGATCTTCTCCCGACCGTACGATCTCACCCGTCACGAGGACACCATTCACAACGCCCGCAAGCAGAAGGTCCGCTGCGCATTGTGTGTTGAGGAGAAGACCTTCTCACGCAACGATGCGCTGACGCGACACATGCGCGTGGTGCATCCCGAGGTGGACTTTCCAGGGAAGCACAAGCGTCGTGGTGGTTCTGATTGAATCCGAATCTGAATTCCGCGATACTTTTTTGTTGTGAGAACTTGGTGTTGACCGCGGCGGCAAGTTCATGGTGACGCGGACCGCGGAGGCAGCCGCGGCATCAAACGCTGACGAATATCACTTTTGCGCAACACGCACATGAAGAATTTGCTGCTTCGGCTGCAACAGTCGCAGTCGCACTGGACTTGTCCAGCCGATTATTTCCGCAATTGCATCTCCGTTGCATGGTACGAGACTGCGACATTTCCTTTATCCGGTCAGTTTTGCATAGCATCCGAAGTTTCGCTGGACGGAACAGATCCTTCGGCGCGGCGTTGCGGATTCTGCTTCTTCACGATGTACACTACAGTCCTAGTCTGTGTGGATTTATGGGTATTTTATTTGGCAGCGTTCTACGAGCTGATGCATAGTACGATGTTTACGAACAGTTTTCTGGCATGAGCAAAAGCGATGATGGTCAATAGACGGTTACAGGCCAGAGAGCCTTTTCTTTTGGATCAAATTTTACGATATCCGTCTACTTCTTGTAATCGAGGCTCCATTCGAGCAACCTTCAAATGTACAACATTGTGCAATTCCATCAAGTTCTTCATTGTGACATCTGCAAACTGCAAACTTCCTTGACCACACCTGTAGCTATCACACACTCTTCCGATGACTGCAATGGTTCTGTACCTGACCTGGCTTCCTTCAATGCCCACAAAATCGGTCTCCCCGATTTCCAATCTAGCTCCACATGCACAAAGATCTCACGCTACAGTAACTTCACAACTTACCATCCCAGCTGAGAGCCTCCACACCCGCCTACACCACCGAAGAGCCTCAAACCTCGGATCTAGATCCCACACCCCTACCTATCTGCACCACAAACACGTTCCTGTCAGCACCCTAAACGTGTGGACCATATCGAATCGTGGTGCCAGCGTGCGTGCGATCTAGGCCTAGATGTCCTACCGTTCCCGCCCGGATGCGCTAGCGGGGTAGTACATGGAGGCTGAGCAGCAAAACTTCGAGATCTAGATGTTGTAAAAATGCATAATTTTGGATTTCAAAAGCAACTTGAAGGACGTGAACGGGTCTCGGGGATAGCGGGAGGGTTGCAGATGGATGAGTCGGGGAGCGCGACGCGAGTATCACGAAGTCTGACTGAAGGATGAGTGAGTGCGCAGTAAAGCATCTCGTCGGCGGTGGGTCGACCGATGATCTTTCCGACCGTGTCACGCGCGCTTTCCGTCCGCATTTCAACCGCCGAAAGGGCTTAGCCACCATCGTTGTGCCATGTAGGGCTGAGCGAGATCTCAACGGTCGAGTGCTCGATCACGCCGAAGTGGTGCATCCCCACGCTCAAGGCGATTCTCACCAGACATGCTGCAGACGCAAGTGTTGTTTCACTGCGACGTCAAATTTTCCTACGGCTGATGTTAAGCGGTTTAGGCGTCACAAGGGCACTTTCTGAGGATGTGGGTGACGCAGGAACGTGAGGGACGACGTCAACGCAGCTCAAAGCAGGGTTTTCAGGAAACAACTGAAGGCTTGCACACCTCTGCCGTCACGTTGCTCATGCGCTTAGCCTTGCGAACTCTCTCGCAAGCTTGAAACGTGGCTTGAACTTCTTCTCTATCGACTTCGTCATGAGCACCAAAACGATGGTTGGGCGGTTGCGCTTGGTAACCTTATCGACGTCCTGATTGAGCTTGCATCCAATTTTTTTGTTCTGGCAGGTCTTCCGCGGCGACTTGCTTTTGCAGTCGCAAAGGTGACGCGTGAAGGACGGGTCGAGTTGCACAGACTCAGTGGAACGGAACGGCATAGGACTGCCGATCCTGATGCCGATGCGTCACTACGATGGCTTGATTGGGTGAGCTGCAGATGGACTTCTTCCCGGTGCAAGTGCCGCGGGGCGATTATGAAGCTCTTTTCGAGAAGGGAGCATCGAGATGCTGTTGTGGTGCGGTGCTCCGTGTGGTAGTCTAAAGGGGGATGTGCGGGTGGACTAAGGCTGGAGTGATGCTTGCGGCAAGCGGGGAACTTGAAGAGCTCGTTTCGAAGTTCTTCTTTTGGGAGAACCGAGGTCTCCCCCAGAGGTATGCTTTCGTAATGCGTTTCCAGCTCACATAATCGTACAGGATGATTTCACTTCACACGTCAAGCCCTATCACGAACGCGCATGTACGGATGTTTTGGATTGGACTCGGGCTTAGACCTCTGGAAACGGCGCAGTTTGTCAACCTTGCAGTCTAGCTGGAAGGACTTCAACTTTTCCAAAACGCTCGAGTACGACCGCTTAGCCGCCACGGGAGCTTGATGACAGTTCCTTATCACTTAAAGGTACAGTGATACCTCATGCAGAGGCTGCCGACCTTTCTGCGTAGACCACTTAAAAGCGTAGCCATATCCTCTGTCGCCTACACTTTTGCCAACACCATTCGAGCTGACTGATTGTGACAATGCATCGCCCCCATGTTTGCTGCTGGTCATGCGGAGAGACCGCCTGCGCAGCTGTCAATTGCCCCTACAATTCTTTATTGACACTTCTATTTGACCGTTGCCATTGATTCGGTAGGGTGATACTCTTATTCACGCTATGGCTGTCCTTGACGACTGCCCCGGTCTTGTATTGGACATACTTGTTGATAATGTGTCGCTACCCGAATATCAAGACAACCCCCAGCCAATAGCCTCAGGGACAATAGCAAAATTCGTCGAAGCAGAGTCAGGAAAAGAGTTTGAAGTCAGGTATACGTTCACTGAACCTCCTTCATCGTATGAAGGCACTCTGTGTGAAATGCAGCTAGGCAACAACAGCTACGTTGCGCGTCATATCCTGAACAACCCAAACTGGAAACGCCTCTGGAGAGCATTGTCAACCGTAGATTCGACGCGGTTCACGCAAAGTTTTTACTTCAAGGACCTCACAACCCGTACGTCAAGCCACCGTTTCGTCCCCCATCCATCGCTAACTATAAGACAGCTGGTAGTTCCCCACCTACTAGTGACAGTATCGAGGAAGAGGCCGTGATCAACGTTACCGTTGACGGTGTCAATGGGGGAAGGAAGTATTCAGAATCGTGATGTATTCAGAGCTACCTACATGGTGTTTATCTACACGGGAGGGAGCCTATAGGGAAGAGCCGCAGTGAAGGTGCGGGCTGACAGACGGTAATCGCGGCTCTTGCTGGACAATCGAGCCAGACGAGTGCTTCTATAGTACTGCTAATAGAATGAGGGGTGTTGCGTTCACGCAAGATGGGAAGCGCTACCACCAAAACTACCAGTTCGCCGAGCTCAAGATTGGTGAGTGCCTGTAATAAATTTGCCGAGTCGCTTCACTAAAAATTGCGCAGTTGAAGAGGTCGAAGGATCTGGAGATCTCAAAGGCTTGCGCAAGAAGGTGGAGCCGAAGGGTTGCATCGAAGTGTCATACCGCTGGATCACCAATTTCAGACCTTGCGAGAGGTCCGAGAAGCGCAGCAACCCTGTCAAGCCTTCCACGCAAGATACCGAGGACCCAGGCGCACCGATACTACAAAGGCAGCTGCCAACGATCGGTGCGATTCCAGAGAAGGTTTTGAAGGGTGATATTCGCTCGCACCAAGCCATGTGAGGACTCAGAGTATTTCTGCCCTGACACATGGAGCTGGTAGTCAAACAGCTTAGGTGAGCCCAAAGCCAAAAAAAAAAGCCTCCACAGGACCCGAAAGAGCCTATGACTACGTAGACCGAGACCCTTTGGCATCATGCAATTCACACACCGCTCGTTAGGTAAGTACCAGTCGAACCACTACTGGAAGGCCGCAAACACTGTCTCAAAGCTGCTCTCAAAGCCATGCGTGTCATTGTTGACAAAGAACCCGAGCCCGAAGCAGAGCCTTCTGCAGGAACTTCGCAACCCAAGGTCGCTTCAAGACGCAAACAACCTCCCCGGGCATCGCAACGTAAACGCAAGGGGCAGCAAGGCGCTGAGCAGGAAGCAGGGGTTCAAAGTCTCGTCAAGTGTGAATATAACGTCGAGGAAGATGCCCAAGGGGAGGTCTGACGATCTAGCTGTTGTGGAGACGCGAAGCTGTAAGCGACCTCGTACTGATCAAGAGGTGATCGTGCTGGACTGAGATGGCCATGATTTACACACGAACATGGATTGTTGTCTGAATGATACCGTTTATACAAGCCTTTTGGTCTGTTCATGTAGAGTTGAGTAGGTTGCGTTTCATACTACTGTTCGAATACGTCCTACGGTACTGGCTCTATCGCTGGCAGACTCTACCTTTCCCCAGTGTTATTACACGCAAAAATGGATGATCACGCCCCACTTATCTCTCACTATCGTCCTCTCCATTGTGATACACCACAGCAGCCGGCTAGCCTTACAGCAGCTGCAACCGTTTCCTTCTTTCAATAGCACAGCTCTTTCTCCTACATACCTAATTCCCAAGTCAGCCAGCATGGCGGTATTGCCTCACGGTCCAGCTCTGGTGGTCGATATACTCGTCAACGGCGTGCTACTGCAAGAATATCGCGCGACGTCGAAAGCTCGCAAGATCTACTCAACACAGTCACCAAGTACATCGAAGCCGAATCAGATGCCGAGTTCTCCATCAGACTCACGACCTACGACCCTCTTCCATCACCGGATTTCGCCGTATACGTTTACCTTGATGGCAAGGAAGTGACTTCAGGCTACATCAGCGGCACGAGTTCGCCCTTGGACGGTATCATTATGAAGATGGCGTATACTCGAAGTTGGGGGTTTAAACGGTCTGTCAGCACTACAAGTTCTTAGACATGATAGTTATCTTCTTCTGAGGCTAATAGGCGCAAGTGTCACTTACATTTACCAGTCGAAGATAACCTGGGTCGCGTTGACGAGGGCCTTCTGAGTAGAGTGGAGGCATTCAGCACAATCACAGTGAGATTTCAAGGCACCTGCGGCATCTACCTTGATAGACCTTGTAGCATGCTCGAACACACTCCCAGCATCGATGTGGTCCCTGAGAAGGCTATAAAAGGTCAAGCCAAGACGCACACAGCCACTTAAGTGACGGTGCATGGCTCTTGCTCGAAGCTTAGTGCTGAAACCATCACAATCTGACAAAACCGCGGGTCTGCCGGTCAACCACATTCTTCAGCTGGAGGGATACTGAGCCTGAGCCCTTTGTCATCTTCAATTCCAAGCATCGATCACTTCGTAAGTACCAATCGATCAGCTGAGAAGCTGTTCCTGACCTTTTAGCTGCGCTGCGCGCTCTGCACGTCATCCCGAAGGAGCCTACTCCATTCCCGATTGAAGACCGGCCAGAGGACGAACTAAGCCCAGAAGAACTCCGTCAGCCTGTCAAACACTTCATGGTATGTTCCATGTCCTTTCATACTGCACATACTAACGATTACAGGACGAGAAGGCTGCAGCTGTTAGGATCAAGAAGGAGAACGCGAGCAAGCGCAAGCGACCCATGATGCCTGTTGCGTACGACAGCGATGCAACTGATGACTTCGAGATCGTTGAGGCAAGGAACGAGAGACGCCGTCACCAGAATCCCAGAGGTCATTGTACTGGACTGAACCGTAAGGTTTTTAGGGAACGTCGGTCCTTTCGGTTTGCACTGATACGCAGCAATGAGCTGGTGATGCTTTTGAACAGTTGGAAGGGTGATCGATCTTCGGTACTGGCCAAGATGCAGATGAACATCTCAACATGCAACACACCTTGGGTCACGGTTTTGCTATCTTGCGCATCCATTCATGAAACTCGGCATAGCAAATACACCAAACTTTACCGTAGAGAAGTTGGTGCGTTCTGAATACATGAACTTCCTCACTCCGGTCTCTGCCGTCTCTATCATGCTCACTGCATTAGTGCCGCTGCGAGAGCAAAACCCACCCAACTTTGGAAGTATTCATTTGGTAGTACCTACAAGATTCGTTAACGCTGCCTTGCATTGTAAACAATCTCGAACATCGCAAGTGCTCGACTTTCTGGACAGGTATAGCCTGGAGATCTCCAGCAAACACAGAACAACGGCAGCAGTATTCAAGAAGATACCATACATAAGCTTCTTGCCTGCAGTACCTTCAATTGCCAGTATCTATACAGCATCACAAGCAAAAACATTCGGTTTGGAGGCTGCGTGTTTCCTTCACCTGGCTTGGGTGTCTCGAGTTTTTCAGCGTTCACCAAGTCGCGGAAGCTCGCTCACTTCAAGCATACACTTGTCGTCAGTGTCACGCTAAGACAGCTATATATGGATGTCGTCACTAGCCAGCTTTCCTTTCTTCTCCACCTAACTCCACAAACCACATCCGAGCATCATGGCTATCCATAGCGACTACCCTGGACTGAAGATCGAAGTTTGTCGTCGACGGCAAGGCACTTCCCGAGTACGAGGACGAATACATTACACCAGAAGCAAATAATGTAATCAGATATGTCGAGGCTCAGGCCGGTACTGAGTTCGCGATCAATTGTACCCTCGACCAATCTTTACCGAGCGACCGAAACATTCGAATTTGCATCTGGGGAGACGGAACTCTCGTCGACAAGGTCAGCTCCAGGTTGCATAAGTTGCCGAAGTTACAGATAGTCGACAGGATCATGCGCAATTTGAATGACGAATGGGTAGAACAGAAGCTCTGCTCTAGTAGCCTTGACATTGCTAAGTTGCCTCATGCCTATGCCGCACACTCGAATAGCCAGTCGTAACACAGATATACATAGCAGCAGATGATAACGCATCCGCCCCAAATGAAGGTCTACTGCACAGCGTCAGATCTCTCGACAAGATCACCGTTCAGCTTGAGTTTGGTAGAATGGGAGAACGTTACGTGCCCGGACGGATGGAGGTACTACGAACACACAGCACACGCCGCCGTTTCAGAGATAGCCCTCGAGGGCGATGCAAAGTCACTGCAGATGGGGTAAGCCAGCCTCGAAATTGAATTAACAACAAACGAGCTGATTGACTTGAAGTCTGGTGCCTAAAAGTGCCACCAGTCCGGTCAGACCACGTGCCTGGGCCAGCGAAAGTAAGGGCCGTCTGCTGTGTTCATTTTCGGATATCGTTCGAGAGGTAAGCCGTATGTCTTCCGCAAATGTTGACTGACTTAGCAGCTCGTGATAACAGCAAATCTTGAGGCACTCCACCTTTTACCACGTAGCCCAGTGTCTACAGTGGTCGCCCTTCAGGTTCCAACCCCAAGGCCGTCACCATGCAAGCGTCGCACCTAAAGCCGAACCAGCAGACGACGACGCAGGTAGTCTCACAGAGGACCTGATCGCCATCATCAGCCACTACCAAGGTCACGACAAGGGTCTGGCAGGTCAAGGCCGAGTGCGTCTCCAGGTTCTGCTCAAGCACTATGAGGTACGAGTCGTAGCTCTGCGGCTCGAAACGTTGCTGACGAACTCCAGGACAAGGGAAAAAGGAGCACAGCCATCAAACCCGAGCCTGCACCTGAAGATAGCAATGGCATTCGTATCAAGCGTGAGCGCGAGGATGGTAGGTTTGTGATAGGAGAGCGGAAGCGCAGCAAGCATGAGATCATCGTGCTGGACGAATGAACGTCGACAAGGTCAAATAAGCTGAAGGACAGAGAGGGTCAGGTACTGGAGGCCGTCTCACGTAAAGGGCCACCATTCCGTATCTTGATGAGGACATACCGGTACAGCATGTTCCACTCAGTCAACTCGAACGGAGTACCTCCAGAAGTGGAAAGTTTGCACCTGATAATGGAGCCTCACGTGCGTACTCAACAGACAGAATAGCTTAGCACAAAAACGAGCATTGCATGCAATGTCAATGACGATCGCACGAACAACGGAAGTGCTTTCACTCGATGATGCTGAACACGTATGCAAAATGAAGGGATGTGACCTCTGCTGATTCCCAACCTCTCATGATACTCAGAATGAGTTTATCCAGGTCGGGCGCCCAGCCATGGGCCTGGTCTCCTCTACGCGCAGCGCGAAAACAGCCCTCGCCATGGGAGACGATAGGGCTGCCGTTAAGTAGTGTTTGTAGTGCCGGCGATGTAGAGAAGAAGAGACAGAGGCTTGGAAAATTTGGGTTTTGGAGGTCGGCAGAGGGGCTAGGCTCAATGGGGCAAGGTGCTTGGAATGCTGGACCGCAGTTGCCAATCTGGCCGCTTGTGACGAGCCCACCAGCGACATCGAGAGCTCCGGGACAGTACACCTTGCAGTTCAGCGGTATTGTTGCAGCCTGTTCTCGCTGCGGCCACGCTGGTAATTGCTCGACTACCATCAAAACCGGCTAATCCACCGCTTGCGCACCGCCAACCCCTTGCTCTCGAATTGTGGGCGCCCTCGTTCCCCTCCACGAGACATCGCCCAAACACCACCACCGCCGCCTCCGCGTAGACACCACCCACCATGGCAGACTTCGAGGCACTCAAGGACCAATGGAGCCAGATCGAGGACACAGATGGCGTTCGCCTGAGTTGGAACACGCTGCCCAGCTCGCGCATGGTACGGAGCTCCGCATACACCGCTCAATCGGCGCATCGTCAACATTCAGCATGCTGACCTGAAGTAAAGGAAGCTTCGCGGCTGGTAGTCCCCATTGGCGCCCTCTACACGCCCTTGAAGGAGAAGACGGACACTCCCCTCCTCCAATATGACCCCGTCGCCTGCAAGGCGCCTTGCAAGGCCATCCTCAATCCCTTCTGGTAGGACATACACGCCAACTGCATAGACTGCACACGCTGACCCCGCCGCAGTCAGGTAGACATGCGCGCCAGGATGTGGATATGTCCCTTCTGTCTGCAGCGAAACGCCCTGCCGCCGCACTACAAGGACATCTCCGCCGAGCAAATCCCTCCAGAGCTTCACCCTGGCAGCACAACAATCGAGTACCGCCTCCCTCGCCCAGCGCCCGCGCCGCCTATCTTCTTGTTCGTTGTCGATACTTGCCAGGAGGAGGACAGCTTGAAGGCCCTCAAGGACTCGATCATTATGAGCTTGAGCCTGCTACCACAGTACGCTCTGGTCGGTCTGATCACATATGGTACAATGGTAGGACCCTTTTAGCGGATACTTTATGGGATGTTCTGACAGCCGTAGGCTCAAGTACACGAGCTTGGCTACACCGAATGCGCCAAGTCGTACGTCTTCCGCGGTAACAAGGACTACGCTACGAAGCAGGTCCACGACATGCTCGGCCTCGGCCAGGCCGCACCCCGACCGAACATTCCCCAGCAGCCCGGCCGACCGCAAATGCCTATGGGCAACGTCGACACACGTTTCCTTCTGCCTGTTTCGCAGTGCGAATTCCAGTTGACCAACGCTCTTGAGCAGCTGCAGAGGGATCCCTGGCCCGTTGCGAACGACAAGCGCCCACTGAGGTGTACTGGTGTTGCGCTGAGCATTGCTGCTGGATTGCTCGAGTTCCGCCACCGTGAGGCTGGTGCGCGCATCATGCTGTTCGCTGGTGGCCCAGCTACTGAGGGTCCTGGTATGGTCGTTGGTCCAGAGCTGAAGGAGGCGATTCGATCGCACCACGACATTGACCGCGATAACATCAAGTACTACAAGAAGGCGCTGAAGGTGGGTAATTTGGCAACCGGAGAAGCCTCAGGACTAACATGTGGTAGTTCTACGAAACTCTCGCCAAGCGCGTCGCACAGAACGGTCACATCGTCGATATCTTCGCTGGTTGCCTGGACCAGGTCGGTTTGCTCGAGATGCGCGGTCTCTCGAACTCTACCGGTGGACACATGATCTTGACGGATAGCTTTACATCGTCCATGTACAAGCAGTCGTTCGTGCGCATCTTTAACAAGGATGAGCAAGACAACCTGCTCATGGCTTTCAACGCCAACCTCGAGGTCCTCACTACCAAGGAGCTGAAGGTTACCGGTTTGATCGGTCACGCCGTTTCGAACAACAAGAAGTCCGTATCCGTCGGCGAGACTGAGTGCGGTATTGGCAACACATGCTCCTGGAAGATGTGTGGTATCGACCCCGAATCGTCCTACGGTATCTACTTCGAGATTGCCGGCCAAGGCGGCCCCAACCAGATGCAGGCCGGTCCTCAAAAGGGAATGATGCAGTTCCTCACATACTACCAGCACTCTGCTGGTCAATTCCACTTGAGGGTCACCACAGTTGCGCGCAACCTTAGTGGACCATCCGGCGACCCAGCTATTGCACAGTCGTTCGATCAGGAAGCAGCCGCAGTTCTCATGTCGAGGATAGCAGTGTTCAAGGCTGAGGTTGACGATGGTCCGGATGTCCTTCGATGGGTTGACCGCATGCTTATCAGATTATGCTCGCGCTTCGCCGAGTACAGGAAGGACGACCCGTCATCATTCAGGTATGCAACTACACTATATCTTGTGAGGTCTTACTAACGTCTACAGGCTCGAAAAGAACTTCACATTATACCCACAGTTCATGTTTCATCTCCGCCGCTCGCAATTTCTGCAAGTCTTCAACAACTCGCCTGACGAGACCGCTTTCTACCGCCACGTTCTGAACCACGAGGATGTTAGCAACTCCCTCATCATGATTCAGCCCACGCTTGATAGCTACGGCTTCGACCACGAAGGCGGCCAGCCCGTCCTCCTCGACTCCTCATCCATCCAGAACGAAACCGTCCTGCTCCTCGACACTTTCTTCCATATTCTCATCTTCCACGGCGAGACGATGGCCGAGTGGCGCAAGGCAGGATACCAGGACCAGGAGGGCTACGAGAACTTTGCTACTCTGCTTGAAAGCCCAAAGGAGGACGCCAAGGATCTCATCCAGGACCGATTCCCGCTGCCGCGTTTCATTGTTTGCGATGCGGGAGGCTCGCAAGCGCGCTTCTTGCTCAGCAAGCTCAATCCGTCTACAACGCATACGACACAGAGCTATGGTGGTGTGAGCCAGACGGCGCAGACTATCTTCACAGATGATGTTAGTTTGCAGACGTTCATGGATCATCTTATGAAGTTGGCTGTAAACGGTACTGGTTAGACGGGTTGAGAGGGAAGTAATAAGATGATGAATCGTTGTAGCATTGAAGATGGAAGTGTAGTCATGTTAGCCGGAGATGTAAGCAATCAATCACTATCACACATGAACTTGGCAATGGTGAACATGACATGAAGATGCATTCGCTTTTGACCTATGGTATCCGTGGAAACACGCATGACAGGAACAAGATACTGAGGTAGCTATACACGTCGAAGCCACTCGCTCGCATAGCCACTCTCTCGCGTACTCTCCAGCGGTATAAGGGTCAGGATTCTAAGCCTTAGCCTTCTTCGCCTTCTTCGCCTTCGGGGCAGCAGCAGCAGGCTTCTTCGCCGTCGCCTTGGGTGCGGCTTCGACCTTCTCCTCAGCAACGGGCTCAGGCTCCGCGGCCTTCGCGGTCTTCTTGCCCTTCTTGCCCTTCGCCTCGGTCGGCGCCGCTGTCTCGGTCAACAACTGCTGGGGCTCGCTCGCTTCAATCTCGAGCTGCTTTCCGGCTTTCACATCCTTCACAGCCTTCACGCTGGGCGCAGCGAACTCATACCCAAACTCCTCCTTCAGCGCCTTATTCCTCCCACTCCGGCGCTTGTTCTCATTCTGCACCCTCTTCTCCCATACCTCGCGCTCCGCGCCCCTCTCCATGGCCAACCCAGCCTTCTTATTCCGTGGGTCAACCTTGAACCTGGTCCCCGCCCCCTTGAACAGGTTCTCGTGCACCTGCTCCTTGGGGATCAGCGCGCACTTGAGGATGTGGCCGAACATGAGGTAGTTGTTCATTGTGCGGGCGACGATGTCGGCGACTTCGGCGGACGCGAATTCGACGAAGGCGTAGTGCTTGGAGGCGCCAGTTTTCTTGTTGCGGGATAGGCGCAGGTTGAGAACGCGGCCGAATTGCGCGAAGTACTTTTTCATTTGGGGCTCGAAGAAGCCTCGGGGGACGCGACTAGAATTTGTCAGTGAGAGTGTTCGGAGAGCTGGGTGGGAACAAGTACCCTATATAGACCACGCCTGGCTCGGTGGCCTTGGGTGTGTCTTTGGCTTTGGCGATGGCTTTCTTTTGCGACTTTGTGAGCTTGGGGACGACGGCTGAGTCTTCGGGGAAGTCGACATCGTTCTCGCTATCGCTGTCGTCGCTACCAAAGCCGGCGAGGAGCGCGGCCGTCTGGTCGTCCTCCTCTGCTGCATCCTCGACATCGCCATCCTCGGTGATGACCGCGTCGACCTCAGCAACCTCCTCTACTGGCTCCTCCTGCGCCGCCTTTCCCTTCTTCGCCTTTGTGGCCTTAGCCTTGGGTGCCTCGACGACCTCCTCCTCCTCCTCCTCCTCCTCCTCGACGGGCTTGGGTTCTGCTACGGGCTCCTTCTTGCCCTTCTTCGCCTTGGTAGCCTTTGCTTTCGGTGCCTCCTTCTTGGGTGTATCCTTCTTCGCCTCGATCACGTCAAAGTCGAGCATGCTCTCGTCCTCATCACCATTGGCCTCGGGAACAGGCTCGGCCTTCTTCTTTCCCTTGGTAGCTTTCGTGGGCTTCGCTGCGAGGGCCTCGTTGTCAGAGAAAAAGTCTTCGGCTTGCTTGCGCGCAGACTTCTTCGCGGGCTTCTCAGCAGCAGGTGCGGGCGCAGCTTTGGCAACTTTGGGAGATTTGGCGGGCTTTGTGGGGGCAGCAATGTCGTCCGATTTTCTGGGCTTCTTCGCCTTGGGCGCAGCGTCCAATGCGCCTGTGCAGTGTTAATGGATAGTTTGGCGATTTGTTGGATAATCACACGTACCCTTGCGCTTCTTGCTTGCAACGTCTGCAGCGGCCATTGTGAATGTGTGAGGGCTGCTGTGTGTTGTGAGGTGTTGATTTGAGTCCTCTGTGAAAGTTCAAAGTTTCGAGGCTCGAGCTCCTTCCACCTGAACTTTTTTGGGGCGCTAGCAACTACCCGCCAAGGCCATTGGTAGGCGGTGGCTTGCCTGCAACAAACGCGACTATCAACAACGACTTTCTTGAAAAGTACCCCTAATCATCGTAGTAAAATAGTCGCCGCTTTCGGGACTCAAATCACGTCTTCCTCTTCTTCAGTCAACCCACATTTACGCTACTACATCCGGCATTACAACCCACCGAAAATTGACCCTCACCATGGCGCCGGGAATTGATATGAGTGACAAGAACGCCTGGGACGACTCCTTCCTACAAGATTCCTGGAACGACGCTGTGGCTGAATATGAGGTAGGTATCCTGCTTCCATCACGTGTTTCACTGGCTGATCCCCGCCCAGAAATACCACAGCATCGCTAGATCAGGCAGACGCCTAGAAGACGCCCTGACTGAAGAAGAGCTGAAGGAGCTGCGTGAGTAGGTCAACCGCTTCTCATCTGAACGTGCGGTGCTGAGTATCGTAGAGATAATGGCGACCTGATAGGCGAGGTAGAAGCAATTCCTGAAGTTGTCGCCGAGGCGAACGGCAATTCGGACCAGATGGATGCCGAGGAATCAATGCAAGAGACGGAAGGGGTCGAGCAAGTTGTTCAAGCGGAGCTCCCACCGCAGGTACGACCCGGCTACACACGCACGCAACACGAAGATCCATGACTGACAGACGACAGGAAACCACAGCATCCGAAGAGCTCAATCAACCCCAGTCAGCAAATGCAGGAACCGCAGCGCCACATGACAATGTCTTCGCCGCGATGCCTCAGGCTCTGTTAGGAACAGGTACGTTTTGGGACTGACAGTTGTCGATTCGGCCAATTTATGGAGCCTGACATTCGGAGACATGCTAACACATGACCAGTTCAAGACGAGAACCTCAAGAACATTATGATGTCGTGGTACTATGCAGGGTACTACACAGGCCTGCACGCGGGTCAGCAGCTTCCAAGAGATGCTCCGCCAAAGCAGTGAGGACGAGAGAAATGATGAACGCTACAAACAGCGCATGTTGGAGAGTTGAGCATGCCCAACATCCTGCAAGAGCTTGGAGAGTCGAACATGGAAGTTCTGCACCAATGAGGGAAGAGTACGCCTTTGGTCTAGCCGGATTAGGCTGCGATCACCAACAGTTCCTGCCTCACAGCCTTCGGGAGGCCTACGATGCGAGATGAACTCCCAAGAAACTTTATGCGGCAGACGATCTTCTAGCCTCTTCTTTCAGGCGTTTCTACTGGTTGTGGCCTTGCGCCGGGAGCGGGATAGCCATCGCTGGGCTGTGCAGCCAGGAAGCGAGACAGATCTGCGACGCTACCGCGACAACCTCGAACCCACCTCCTACAGATCAAGCATCATGACACCCGGCCACGCCTATGAGCCTCAGCGCTTTGCCTGGAATCTATCGGTTTTTGCAGATGGCCACCCGTTTCGAGGGCTTTTTGCCTAGCCACAAGAGCGTTATGTTTCGCCATGTGTCCGGCCTGTCTGCCACCCCCAGACGTACAATTTCATGCGTGTTCTTAAGCACTTGATGTCCCAGGCACACATCTCTTCTCTCCCCCATTCTGCCTCATAACTGTCTCGTTGCGCGTGCTCCACTCTCCTTTCTAGTCTCTCTCTTCATTCTTCTGTCCGAGCCGGCTCTCGTAGCGCCTTTCGATCCTTCTAATCAACGACCACGGTATAGCCAGCCCAGGCGGTTACGTTCCTTTCGCATTCACGACATTACGAAGACATAGTCATAATGAAGTACATCAACGCACTGCCCATTGTTGCTGGCCTGGCCGCCGCCCAGATGCAGGTCATGAGTCTTGCGCCGGCGGCTGCAAGCGGACCAGCTACACATACTGTGAGCTTACCTTCCGCTATCCCATCACGCCTCATCTAACAACAATCAGGTTGTTGTCGGTGGCCTGACACCCGTCGCAACCGGCATGGCTCCCGTCCTCGGATACAGACCGGAATCCATCACTGCCAACGTAGGCGACGTCGTCGAATTTCAGTTCATGCAGAAGAACCACACAGCCACGCAGTCCACCTTCGCCGAGCCCTGCAAAGCCATGGATGGCGGCAAGGACTCGGGCTTCATGCCCAACCCCGAGGGCAAGGCAGGCGTGACGTGGAACATGACTGTCGAGACTACTGATGCGATATGTAAGTCCCCCAGGACCTTTGTACGTTGTATTTGTAGGAGGTTGGGCTGATGAGTGTGATAGGGATGTACTGCAAACAAGCCCAAGGCGAACACTGCGGCAAAGGCATGGTGTTCAGCATCAACGCCAAACTCGACGGCGACAAGACAATGGCGCAGTTCAAACAACTCGCTATCAAATCCAACGGCACCACACTCAAGGACTCGGCCATCCAGTCTGTCGACCCCGCTGCCGCCGCCGCTCCCTCCACGGTGACAGTGCAGGCTGGTGGCGCCGTGGCTACGGCGTCAGGCAGCGGTGCACTGGCCAGCGCGACGGTTGTTGCCGGGCAGGGAACGGATGGTGCGGGCCAGACTTGCACGTGCAGTTGCTTGTGCGGAATGAATTCTTTCCCGGCGAGTGCGGCGGTTAACAACTTTGGTGGGTTTGCTGGCATGATCGCATAAGCCAACAAAGAGGAGGCGAGCAGCACGATCTTGACAGAGGTTGGTGGTATGTGGAGGGAGGGTCGCACTAATTGATAAGAGAATGGGAGAGGAATCCTATGAGCGCTTTGGCTTTGGCTGTTCAGACTGGCTTCTGGGATGCCATGTCGATATTTATACCACTTCTGATGAATGAGGGGCGTTAGCGTTATACCGTAATCCACATTTGAGAGTGTGTTCATATGTTTAGAACTAGTATCGAATCCAAGAGATCGAGTCAACTTTCATTCTCTCATTTTGCTTGTATGTTTGGGCATGTCGGCCTCTTGCATGGCAACGACCACTTTGCGCTGGGAGGCTGATGAGAGCGATGTGTATGTGGTGGCTTTGAAGCGTTGCTGGGAGACTTGCGCAGAGTGAATCATTGTCGTCTCGGCTTAGCAATGTAGGATGTGATAAAGGTTTGCTATAGTTTAATGTGAGACCCATTCTGGAACGGAGTTGTGCGACTGCAAGGTAATACGAGCCAAAGATCGGCACTGGTACTTCTTGGTTGGATATGCAGTGATTGTGCGCTGCGATTGCTGTGTTGGAAGGAAGTTATTCTCTGAGGCGCTGCCGCACATGTTGCAAGTTTTGATTGCTGCGTAATAGAACAAGGCAATTCTGCGAGTCAGCATGTTCTTAATTTCATGTCGGATCTGGTGTTGGCGCAAGTGGGCAGATGCATCGCAGCATGCGAGACCGCAAACTGATTGATTTAGAGATGTCGTGTACCCAGAAACCCCAAGAAAACATGTCGCATTTACTACAACCCCTCAAAACTCCATTCCATGCCTGGCCCCTTGATTTGCGTGTTTCTAGCTGTCGTGCGCACTGCAGTCGTGGGTGGTCCCCACTCGCTCATGCCTCAGGCATCTTATTTTCCGTCGGCCTTCTTCGCTTCGGCTGCGCGACTTATCAGCACCGCCCACAGAACACAGTTCTTCACGCCCAACGCAGCAAAGACACGAAGAGACATAACAAAAAGATCGAAAGAGGAAGGGACATACCTGCAGCCTGCTTGGCGCGCATGATGGCAGCAGCATTCTCCTTGGCCTTGGCTTGCTCGGAGCCGGACATCTGTAGAGGTCAGCCACGATCAAACAAACCTCAAGGTACTCAACGTCAAACTGCGAGCAAATTTGACGTCGTGGCAGCGGTACATACGGTGTTCTTGCCTTTCTACCACTGCTGTCAGTACATGCTCAGTGGGGAAGGCTGAGGCAAACTCACCTTGCCAGCCTGCTCCTTCAGGTTCTTCTCCCTAGCCTTGTCGCGCTGGTTACCACGAGCCATCTTGTCAACTTTTCTCTCTAAGAGTCGCGAAGTCTGGTGTCTTGGAGTGCTGGATTCGTACTGCGGCAGTGGAAATCGAGGGTCAAAGGGTAAGCGTGGTCGGAAGGCGTTAAAAGAGCGCTGTTTAGGGGGCGCTGATTGGTGCGCACAGGGAAGGGGGCTAGAACGCAGAGGTGGGGAAGCTAGAAGGTGCGCCACGTGTGTGGGTGTCTTTGCTGCACTTCACGGCTGCGCTTCACATGTTGCTTTGTGTATCACCGTAGACATTCACTCACTACTCGAGTGAAGTTCGAGTTGAATCTTTCGATGGTTTATGACGATGACGCGTGAGCCTCACCTCGCGCAGAAGAGACCACCTCGAACGATGCAGCCTGGTGTCCTTCGGCATGACAAGAACGAGCACGACCGCTTCACTGAGCTATTACAAAAGCTTCAGTATGGTTGCTATCATCGAACATGTTATCTTCGATAGGGCATGATGGCTTCATCAACATCCTGACGCTGAGGAACAACTCTTTCCCCAACATCATGGAGCCCAGGTAAGCACACTGATGAGCAGATGGCAGTACTTGCCATGGATGTCCACGCCTACCAAGGACCGCAAGAGTAACACGGCTCCAGCCTGGACATCTTCGCTCAAGTGAACCGCCAGTCTTCCATCACAGCACTATCACGCAGCCGTTCTGAAGCCATCCACTGTCCACATTGTTCCGCTTGCATCTCCGCATCGAGCACATCGATACTTCTCTTCAGCTTACACCTATTATCGCCCACCAACATGCGTTGCCTACTATATCGTCGCTCTAATAGCCCGTGTCGCTGCAGCTTCGGCCGACCCTTGTCCACCGGGGCCTACTTGCGGACAGTTCTCGTGCTACATTGAGTGGGTGTTGTGTCATGAGTAGACAGGGAAGCCGAGCGTGCCAACGGTGAGTCTGGGCTGTTGCTGACGATGTTACAGGGTGTTACTGAGTACTTGAATGGCAATCATGCGCATGAGGCTCGGGCTGTTCCTCCACGCCGCCAGGCTGTCAAGTATTCGAAGGTCACTCACTCAGCGTGCGGCTGTGACTGATCTTACCTCTTCGCTTGATATAGAGGACTTCATGTTCGACTAGGAGACCTTCAGCTTCCCACCCAACCGCAACATAACCACGATGTCTGGTTACCACGCATTTGTCTGGCTGGACGCGACATTACAAGAAGTTGTCAATGGAACGAAAGCCACTGTCGAGAATACTTCTCACATAAGTGGACAGCGTGTATACAACACTATCTTCATAGTCAGAATACCTGGCCAGAGCGCGCGAACCATTGTCGTCGGTGCTCACGCGGACTTGGAAGGAATAGAACCATTCACGACAGCGATGATCTCAAAGATCTGGCTTTGCCTGGAGCCGATCAGTGCATTCTCGTATTTCGATCTTACTGAGCTGAGTCCAAACAGATGACAATGCCTCTGGCACCATAACCATTCTCAAAATTCCGCACTCTTCTCGAAAACCCAAAGTTTGCGAATGGCGAAGCAGAACACACTATTAAGTTCCTTTGGTACCTCAATGCACCGTAGCTCTCGGGCCCTCTTCGTACAATACGCTAAGGAGGATCGTGATGTCGTCGCTATGCTCAACCAAGACATTACCGGATACAGCAACGGACATTCGGCTGGCCACAAACCTACCTTTGGACTCATGACGGACTATGCTGGAGGTTCATGATGCCACTGGTTGAGCGGTTGTTGTTGCGCCGGAATCCCTTGTCGTACCGCACTCTACCATATTGCCGTCAGCTCCCGCAACACCATTTCTTTCCGTATCGCCATCCATCACAACTAAAGATCGAAAGAGTGCGTAGGCGACGGCAACGATGAACACTGTTGCGACAGGCTCGCACTCGAACACCAACGTTCCACTGCCGATGCACTGTGGTCTACAATGCGGCCAGGTTGATTGCTCAGGGGATCCCGTTATCACGTGGAGGATTAACCTGCCATATGGCATGGTGTTATGCTGCATCATTTAGCTATCCTCGTTAGTCTATATTTCGGGTTCGCTACGACTGGCACGACCTCGGTCCACCACGAGACGACTGAATTGATGCGCAAACCATGTTGATTTGATGTGTCCATTCGATAGTGGCGTGCGTATATTCTCAAGAGACTTGTCCTGATGTGGGGGTCAGGGTGCAGTCTGGTATCAATAGACATACGGGACAAATTTCTTAGTCCGCGCCTTATGGTCTCTCCACTTCTCCCCAAATTCCTTTTCCATCATTTCTTCCTCATCCCTCACTCTCCTGACCATGAACAAAAAGATCGCGCAACTGAACGCAACGATCGGCATCAAGTACGCATGCTTCTCATCCGTAACTATCTTCTCATCTACCAGAGGCGCCCAACAGCTCACTAGTCCTCGCTGGCGGAGGAGGAGCGAGTACATCGCCAACAGCACCATGAGGAGGCCTGTGTATGATGGATGGCGCACGTATGCGTAGAGTCCTGAAGTGACGAGCTGGTCTGGTTTGGCGATGCGGTAGGTGAAGTTTGTGCCGAGTTGGGCGTAGGCTTGGAAACGGATGTAGCTTCCGAAATACAGCAATGCTAATGAAGCGATTGTGGCTCTTGACCATGTGAAGAGCCTTGGGTCGAGATACTGAGGTGTCGGACAGATGGTTTGCAGGACCTTGTTCCTATTCGGTAATGTGTGCGAAAGCGATAATGCGACAACGGCCTGGTGAAGGGCAATGGCAAGTGTCACTGTTCGCGCAAACACCATGCCGATGGGTGATGCAGCGATCCACATCAGCCATGATTCGGTTTTCGTTGAGATGACTTTGCTACTAGGTTGGCGGAAGGACAGTTGGATCAGGTAGCCTGCGTGGAGCACAGTAAGAGCGTAAGGGATGTTCATTACATCCATGAGCATTGTTTGGAGGCCTCTAGGGTCCAACAAACGAAGCCAGTGATGTCTAAGATGATTGGGAGATGAAAGGTGGTCGCGAGCAGAAGATCGGCGAGGTTGGGATCCAAACGGCTACGTCATTAGTTCTGGTAGATGCTTGAAAGTACCCACTTCTCTATTTCGACAGCAACCTACGCTTCAATAGAATACTTCGCGTTTTTTCGATACTTGATATTACCATCAGACCTTACCACTGCGGTCACGAGTGTTCTCATAGGCACTGTTCTTCAATCGAGAGGTCGGCCTTAACATCTTTGTGGGCCCCCGACAAGGTGACGCAAGACGCTGATTACTACGAGTGAGAGAGCAGATATCTGTCGAGACTGGAATAAAATACCAAGCTTGGTTCGAGGATCTGCTGCAATGGGGAGTGCAGTCTTGCAAGACTGTAGGCGGTGAAGCGGTGCTGCGCGCTGAACTCTTTGGACACCTTCTCTGCCACACATAACTTCCAACCGCGACCGGTTGCTGCTGCTTGGCTGCTTCTAGTCAGCAAAATCTGAGGAAACCCCTGGTCTGCTGGGGGGTGGATCGTGCTGCATGTTATCAAATTTGATTTTGTTTCATTGAAGCGGTATATGCAGGCGTTAGAGAATCACTGATGAAGGCTGCATGAGCAAACAACATACTTCAAGAAACGATGTACACTAAGAATTCCGCCAGTGAGTCGCGCAAGGGGCGTCAAGGATGCAAAAGCGACTTCTGCAATCAGGATCAACGCAACAGTAGCGTCAATAACGAAACAATCTTTCTCATTGTATGTATACTTTCTCATAGTGACATGGCATGAGATGTGATGCCCTTTACAGGGACTTATCCCGGTGTAGCATGCAAGTCGGCCGCTGAAACTGAGCAGCGACCGTTAATAAACATGATTTGTACACCCAGAAATAAGTGCGACCAGTCGTTGGTGTAGCATGTCTCCGAGACAACACAGCCCCTGCCGAGTTAAATTCAAGCGATCCCAAAGGCGACGTGTAATGTCAGTGAATTTTTACCAATATGGCCGTGCCAACGTCATACGAGCGAATAGGATCGCGCGTCCCAGCACGTACCACTGCCCAATGCAGTATGTGTGCAGACTCGATAAGTCGTAGCATAGCCTGCTGTAAACATTCATAATGCGCTTGAATCCACGTGCGTTTAATCGATATTAGTTCCTCTACATTTCAGCTCCTCCACCCATACACTGCAATCGATTGTCTTCAACCAATTCCGTGTGTCGTGTGGACCATTCAACTTAAACCACTCCGCAACCAAGCACGCGGATACAACTTTATCCAACACCGATAATGTCACACATCGCCCTACAAATCTGCTTCGGAGTCTTTGGCATCATTGGTATCATGGTCGCGGTCGCTGGATTGCACCACCGCGACTCATTGATATGTATGCTTTGCCGCCGCTTTTGGCGAACCCGTGTCCAGTGTATGTTGCCAAAGGTAGAGCATGTTTGGGCGCTTAAGTGATACAGACTTCGAACTCGACTCCGGATATGAGATTCCTCATCGTGTACACACAAGCACGATGTTTGTTGATCTGGAACCTGGACTTAGATCAAGTCAGCTCATTACACCTACCAACACAACGTCGCTCGAGTGTGCCTTGCAGGACCCGGCCATGATAGCACCAGGAAGCTCTCAAGGATGTTGAAGAGCCGTGATGGTCATCTTTGGCGTTCGACATGATATTTCAAACTGCGCTAAGGCGCGGAGGTTGTTGGGAGTTTGGGAGTTGGAACGTAAATCGGTATTCTCAGTTGTAGACCAGTGTGCGAAATTCAGAACAAATGAAGATATCTGAACTCGTTGTATATGTTCTGCAGGTAAAGTCAACATTCTTAGTTCGAGAAAGTTTTACCATGTTCTCATGTCGTGCTGTAGTTCCGCACTAACAAAGAAGTTTGAGCTGCTGGTATCAATTGGGCTTTGTGCAGGTGTGCGAACACTCCCACCTTACTCTGACAAGGAAATCTTTTCAACAAGGTGCTGACAACCAAAGGGGAGTTGTGGGTATACCAGATCGCGCTTGAGAACCATGCGTCAGCAGCTTCATCGGCGGGGCGGCCGCGCAACCAAGCCGGGCAGCCGATGGTGGTGGCGCAAACCGAGGAACACGATTTATAATCTGAACAGAGTTGATGCGAGTGAAAGTATCCAGCTAGGATGTCAGAGAGTGGAGAAGCGTGGCTCGACAGCTTGCAGTGGGTGGGCGACAACGCCGTAAGAGTGTGCTGAGATGGGGGCTGCGCGAAGAAAAGAATGCCTGCCTGCCCTAGGAGAGCCCTGAGACACCCAACATACGAAATCCTCACACCTAAGTGGTCATCCCCAGTAGTTGTCAGATTGGGGGTGCCTGGAGCCGTTCGATAGGCATGCAGTAGCGAACCGAGAGGGTGCTGAAATGTTGAGGGTTGCGCAAGAGAAAGAGCACCCACTACGGTATGGAGACACCAAACACCCCAGATCCCCACACCTAAGTGGCCATGCCCAGTGGCTGTCAGATTGGGGGTGCCTGGAACCGGTCGGTAGGCTTACAGTAGCGGCGCGACAATGTGCTGGATGGAAGTAGGCCACGAGAGAAAGCCCACCTCCCATGCGCTATGTGGACACTAGGGAGCTCTGAAGGTACCCCGCATGCCTCAGGAAGTGATTTCAAGAGTTGGAACAACGTGGACTGGACTGCCACGATAGACAAAGCTCGAATCTCTCTATCCAGTTTCTGCAAGAATATCAACAATACATATCAATATACTCCATCGTTGGGAATACTCACTTGACAACCTTTTGCTCCAAACCGGACTCTACATCTGTATTGGTGCGCAGCCAATCACATCACTTCGCTTCCGCCACCCTTGCCGCCATGTCGGAGTCAACCGATACAGCCTTGCAGATATGCTTTGGCGTACTTGGAATCATAGGCGTGCTTGCTGGGATTGCAAGTATCAGCTACGAATCGTCGTTGGGTGCCTTTGTATACCGCCGCCTACGTGGGTTCCCTCCTCAAAGTAAGAAAGCAAGCTATCCGCTGTCTGAAAGACTACGGCTGACCTGGAGCAGTACGTAATGAAGAAACTGCAAGCCGATAATCAGACATACATGTCTGTTGTCGAATGATACATCTACCAGAGTGGAGTGACCGGTATTATCTTGCTCAGCGACAAGAGGCATCCCAACGAACTTCTGAGCCAAGTGGCAGTCTGTGTAACCTGCCTGTGTTGTTGATCGCAGCTGGAAGAGGTTTCGCAGGGGATTTGTAAGATGTGTGGTGGTGAACATTGTTGTAGAGGCGATAAAGGTTCATTGTATCTGTTGTACATCGGTGTATTATACTCCTTGCTTTTGGTCGCTCCTGAGAGTAGTGATTAATGTACATGTTGGAGTCTCGCACAAACAAACTTCATGGAGTTTGTCAACTTGGTCTTGGCTCGTTCATCATGCTGACGAGGCTAAGCGCTGATGGCTTTCTGCTTCTTGATCCCCTCGTCCTCGTCATACCAGCCGAGCAAGTGCGCAGCATACTCGCCAGTCAGTCCAAGACCAATGGCACCACCGGTGAAGAAAGCACCATTGACGAACCACCACCAGCAGTTCCTGACTTCCTTGAGCTTGACGCGGCGGATCATAGTGCCCAGCGTAAGCGCCGCGCCACCACAAGAGCCAATGTAGAAAAGAGGGCCGAGTCCTGCAGCATACCCAGAGGCGGCAAGGAGTCCAATTTGTACAACAGCAAGGCCTGACAGCACGGCCTTTGTTTCTTTCTCATGCTTGAGCGCAATACTCTTGATGCCGGCCTTAACGTCGTCCTTGATGTCCATATGGGCGTAGATCATATCGTACAGTACGGTCCAAGCAACATTGCTAGCGTACAAGAAAGCAGCTGCTGTCAATGCAGCCTGGTTGGCGAGGAGATCGATACCGAGCGCAGGGAAGCCCATCATGGCACCCCAAGAGAAGGTCAGGCCAAGGACGAATTGCGGGTAGTACGTGACACGCTTTGCCAGCGGGTAGAGAGTGACGAGTATGAGCGAGGGCGTGGCGTACCAGAAACACTCGAAAGGTAGCGATAACAAGACAGCTAGACCTGTAAAGAGCTGACCACCAAGAAAGACGATGGCCTGCTGGGGTGTCACTGCTCGTCTCGCCAGTGGGCGGAGGCGTGTACGTTCGACGTGAGGGTCAAGGTTGCGATCCCAGAGGTCGTTTATGGTGCATCCAGCTCCTCTCATGACAAGTGCTCCAGTGAGGAAGAGTGCTGTGGTGCCAATGACAGCTGAAGGTGCGGCGACAGGCACGGCCATTGCGCCAGCCAGCAGTGTACTGAATAGACATGGAAAAAACAGGTAGTATGTTCCCGCAGGTGCTTGAAGTCGCATGAGCTCAGCATATGGAATAACTTTTGCAGGCAGGTAGGAGACGAGGCCAGTCGTGGGTGGTTTGTATGCTGGCAATGGCTTAGGTGGTGGTTCCTGTGTCGTCGTTGCTATGCTCGAGGCAGGTATTGTGAAACGAGTGAGAGTATTCGTTATTGGTCGACATGTTGGTGGGCTTTTCGATGTGATGAGCTGTGTGGACCTTGCTTGATATCTTATTGGCAGGAGTGATGCTGACGACAAAGGCCTCCGCCATGTGGTGCCGAACTGTGTTGGCGTGCAGCCAGTCTGATGGAGTCGTGCACCATACCGGCCAGCTCGAATGAATGAGGATGCCATTGCCGTTACGCTAGATCTTCAAGGGGTTGAGCCAGTCGTTGATGGTGATTACAAAGCGGGTCCGGCGCCTGCCGAAAGAGTGTCGATGAAAGTTGGTATCAGACGCGCCACACAAGCGCTGAGTCTGCCTGAATGCATCAAATGCACATTTTGTGTGATTTCGATGATTTTGACGCGCTTGACCCTGCCTCTGAGCTTTGCAAGATCGGCGTTGATGGTGAGAGTGAGGTTGATAGAGCGACACAAGAAAGCGAAGGAAGGTTGCTAGCGTGTGCACGTTTCCGAGCCGAGCCCCAGCGTCTCGCGACGACGCTCTCTGTCGCGGCCACAACACACCATCTTCTCGCCGCCACTGCGACCAGCGACAGCGCCGCTGCGCTCCCTCACCACATGGACGCGATTGGGGACAGCTTGCTGAAGCTTGCCTTGAATTCCAATCACCTGCGCGACTACCACAACACCGCGGAGGTGTGACTAACCTCGCCCGTACACGCGACTCTGGGAATGCGCCACAGCCTCTCAGATGCCCGCCACTCGACCTAGGGCCTCTTTTGAGCCCATACCGCCCGACTTCGACGTGCGCACCTTCGTCGAGACCGCCGAAAACTTCCAGTATGTGGACCGCATCTCCTATGAGATGATCGCCAGCAATGGCATGGAGCAGTTCGAGAAGCTCGTTCTCCTTCATGTCATCATCGGTGGAAAACCTCTGGTCATTGACGGCTTTGAAGAAGTACTAGATCCGTGGACCTTCACACCGTCATGGCTGCGTGACAACCACGGTGACAAAGGTAGGTTGCCAGGCGTAAAGCTACTCTTGCGAGCGTAGTGGCTAACATAATCTCAGTGGAGAACGCGCGCAACCTCACCGCGAAAGAAAACATTCCTCTCACAATCAAGCACTATCTCAAACACTTGACCAAGCTCACAGATCAGTTCTTCGACAATCGGGACAGTTACAGGGACAAAACTCGCCAGCGTATCTACCTGAAGGACATCGATTGCCCGCAAGTCTGGCAAGACAAACTCAAGGACCACATCCCCCCTGGTCTCTTCTACCTCAACGAGAGTACTGGCGAGGTTGATGGGGCTGGTGCGCTGGAGGACTCCACCGGGCGCAGAAGTCGCGGCATCGGTCGTGCTGGCGATTTGATGAGCAGTCTGCCTCCAGAGATGCGCGCTGAGAACTTGATGTGCTATATTGGGCACGAAGGTACCTACACGCCGTCTCATCGCGAGATGTGCGCATCGCTGGGCCAAAACATCATGGTGGATGCATCCAAGCAGATCAGCGAAGACGGCAAGCCTGAGCATCCTGGATCGTCACTCTGGTTTATGACTGAGATGAAGGACCGTCACCTGGTTTCGGAGTACTGGCTGTCTGTTCTTGGTCACGACATCGAGGTGGAAAATCACTTTGCGCAACTCATCGCATGGAAGAAGGCGCCCTTCACGACGTACGTCGTAGAGCAGCGCCCAGGCGACTTCATCCTGATTCCACCGCTAGCCCCGCATCAAGTCTGGAACCGCGGCACTCGTACTATGAAGATTGCCTGGAACCGCACCACTGTCGAAACCCTCGAACTCGCCCTGACTGAAGCCCTGCCAAATTCCAGAATCGTGTGTCGCGATGAGCAGTACAAGAACAAAGCCATTGTCTACTATACGCTGCTCAAATACTCACAACTGATAAAAACTGCTCGCGCTCAGGTTGAAGCTGGTGGCGAACAAGCCGAAGCAATCCAGCATTCGGTCAAGGTTCGACAGGTACAACGAGACTTCAAACGGCTCTTCGATCTGTTTAAGTCAATCATGCTTTCGGAGATGTTCGACCAAAATTCCAGAGAGCAATGCGAATTCTTGCCGTACGACAGCAATGTCACCTGTGCTTACTGCAGGTGTAACATCTTCAACCGTTTCCTCAGCTGCAAGACTTGCAAAAACCTGTTCAGCGACGAGACCGAGGATCCGTATGATGTCTGCATGGATTGTTATTGCATGGGTCGTAGCTGCGGTTGCCAATCTGGCTACCAATGGGTCGAGCAGTGGAAGTGGAAAGATCTCGTTCACAAGTACGAAGAGTGGCGCGCCCAGATCATCGACATCGACGGTCAATTGACCGAAAAGACACCTCTGCCCCTGCAAGAAGAGCGGAGATATCTGGGTAAGAAGACGTTGGCACAAGTGTGCCAGGAGCAGCTGAAGATCCGACCGTTCGTGGACATCAAAGCTCCACAAGTCGAGGACAATTCCGAGGACGAGGACGTGGAAGTTGATGCCTACGGTGTCGCAAAGAAGGTTAAAAACAAGAAGTCCAAGAAGCGGCTAAGGGCACATAAGTCTTGCCATACCTGCCTGAATCGACACCCTAACTGGAAGGTGGCATTCTGCTCGAATTGTGATTTGGCTTTTTGTTACGGTACCTTATTCCGAGCGCACGACATGATGCCTTTGGATGTCATGGAGCAGCACAATTGGAAGTGCCCTCACTGTAGAAGGGTCTGCAACACAGGACACTGTCGGCGCGACCCTCGTCAGCATCCTTACGAGCCCAAGGGCACCCTTCTCGGCCACGACACGAAGAAGGTAGCCGATCCTCGCTCTGTCGAGTGTCTTGTTGATTTCAGTGTGTCCAACCTCAACTGGATACGGGAAGAGGATGGCATGGGTCAGAGTGCAATGCAGCGACGCATGCAGCAAGCCGAACAGGACCGAATGGCAGATCCATCGTTGGATCCTCGATACATGGACGAAGATCCTGCATTTTCGCGAAACGGCATTGCATACTCTCCAGTTGAAGATGCGAACGGCAACGTCAATGATAACGGCGGCTCCATAGAGATCGACACAATACAGAACGGCGATATTCCGCGATTGGGACAGAAACGAGGGCGCCAGGACGAGGATGAGGAAGACAGCCGCAAGAAGAAGAAGAAGAAGAAGAACAAGAACAAGAAAGACGAGGACCAGCCCCTCGAACCGAAGAACATCTCTGGAAAGCAGTATCATAAGGAGATGCAACGCAGGCTTTTGGACGAAGCGAAGCGTGAGGATAGATTCATCCTTGTTGCTGCCAAAATGAAGAATAAGTCGAAGGTTGTGAAGCTATTCCTGGACCCTCAGATCCTGGAGAATATCAGCAATCGACCAGTGCCCGAACGCCCTCAGGCTGCGATGCGGCAGAGAACACCTGAAGATGAAGATGATATTGGCAACATGGATTCTATCCTGCAATCAGATATCATGCCGAAGGCGAATGCTGCGAGAACTATCGATGGCAAAGAGAAGGCAACGAAAGTGTTCCGATACCGAGTGGAGCCTGATGAATCGTATACGACAAAGAAGCGAAATACAGATACTGGCGGGCCTGCCAAAACTCCCGGTCGACCTCGCGGTTCGCAGCGATACGAAGAGATCACGCTCGACTCAGACGAAGAGCTTCTCGATGACGACGATGGTGCAGACGGTGCCTACCCTGGACGCATTCGCGCACGTGCATCGAACTGGCTCGCACGCAAGAACCAGGATGAGGATGAGGACCTGCCCACCGAGCTCCCAGCAGATTTCAGGGATGGCGACGTTCGGCCAGCACGCGAACGAGCCCGTGAAAGGGCTCGCGAACAGGCCGAGAAGAGGAAGTCAATGCCAGCGGAACCACAGCCAGGCATCAGACCCAAGGGCCGACCACCGAAGAATCACAGGAACAGCACCGGCAACATCGTTGCTGAGCCTGCGAATGAGGATGAAGATGCCGCACACGAAGAGGACGATCCATCTAGTGAAGCACTCATCCTTGCTCAGCAAGCTGCCGCTGCCGCTCTTGAGGCGCGACAACAAGAGGAGGAAGCTCAACGTAAAGCCGCCGAGGAAGAAGAGCGGGCAGCAGCAGTCGAGCGTGAGGTGCAGGAGAACTTGCGTGCAAAGATGGCTCTGTTCAACTCCGACCATGAGCCTGTAGACGACTTCCTCTATGATCTCGCTGCTGAGGATCCAGTCCTAGATGAACTAGCTTTCGACTTCGAACCTGAGCCTATTCGCAACGGGCCACCTCAAGCTACGAACTCGCTGTTCGATCGACCCGAGATGGATGGCAAGAAGACTACATCGAAGCGCAACGGTGAGAACTCCACCACGACTACGACTACCACGTTTACGGCACCAGTGTCAACCTTCACGAGCATCAACAAGAGGCCGCAGGCTATTGATCTGTCAGACTCGGATAGTGATGATGAGATCCCCGCCAGTGCGCCAGTACCTAAGAAGCCTGTTGGTCGTCCTCGTGCAGTACCAACGAGGGGTGGCATGGTGCCGACAAGAGGTGATGGCACGCCCAAGCGCGGCAGAGAGCGTCCAAGGGAGACAATGTAATTGGGTGAAACAGATTGGTGACACATAACTTCTGCGTATGGGTCTTGTTGATGTAGCATATATTGCCTTCCTTGCATCCCAGCGAGGCGCTATGGAGATATTCACGGCATCAACGAAATTGGTGGGACTTTTCGATTAGTATAGCTTGGAGGATTAGCACAAGAGTCCAGATCCGTAGGCGATACAATATCATGTTCACTCATGCAACCACCTTTTCAATCTCCTGCGATGTCAATGGCGCAACGTTCATAGAAGTCGTCCCCAACAATCCTGCCATCAAAAATGATCTCACCCCCTGATGGGACGTTAAACCAATCAATCAATGATCTCACTCCCACGTGACCCCGTGAAAACGCGCTTCGACGCGTCTCCCAGCCTCACATCATCAACACCTTCATCCACATCAACATCGCCACCATGTCGCCCCTCCACATCGAAGAGATCTCCCTCTCAATACTCAACGCGACGCTATCGCGTTATCCAGACACAGCATCCTCTGCGCTGGCAGACCTAGATACACTGCGCTATGAGACGATCCCTAGGACATTGGAGAAGATGAAAGGGGAGAAGTCATTGCTGAAAGCTGATATTGAAAAATTGGTGGAATGGAAACTGTACGAGTTCTCTCTTGCGTGTTACATTTGAATCGGAAAGCAATCGATTCGCTGAACGCAGATCCAGGAAACACGGCACATACCGCCCAGCACTCATGAACCTCGTGAAATCCAACCCAGCAGACGTTTTCAAGAGCACTACACAAGAAGCGTTCGCCTCACACAGGGATGATGGAGATGTCATGAAAGCATTGAAGATCCTCACAAAGCTCCGCGGTATCGGTCCCGCAACCGCCTCCCTCCTCCTCAGTGTCTATCAGCCAGATCAAGTGCCTTTCTTCTCAGACGAACTATTCAGATGGACGCACTGGGACTCTCCCGGCAAGAGCGGGTGGCTGAGGATTATCAAGTACAACGTTACGGAGTATAAAGAGATCCTCGCTAGCGTTGAGGGGTTGAGGAAAAGGTTGGGTGTTAAGGCGGTGGATGCGGAGAAGGTCGCGTATGTGTTGGGGAAGGGGAATGTGGAGCTTGACCTTGGGGTGGACACTGAGGAGGATGCGGAGGTGGTTGTGGGTGAGAAGATTGAGGAGAATAAGGAGAGGGATAGGAGGGTTGAGGTGGCGGCGGCTGGAGCGGCGGCGGCTATGGATAGTGCGAGGACGGCGAGTGAGAGTGGCAGAAAGAGGAAGGCTGCTGGTGAGAAAAAGAGCAGACAGGAAAAAGGCGAAGCAGCGGGTGATGATTTGTCGCACGGAGAACCAGCGAAGAGAACGACGAAGCAGGGGGTGAAGCGGAAGGCGCAAGAGACAAAGCCACCTGCAGAAGGGACACGGAAAAGCACGCGAAGGAAATGATGAACTTAATCGCCAGATTTACGTTGATATCGCTTATTGGTGGCTACGAAATGCGAGCATGTTGAAACCGATCCCAGTCCATTTAGTCCATTGAGGCATCTGTTTAGTTTCGTATACACATCTCCTCGAGAATTTTATGCTGTGTGTTGTGCTGCCTCCGTGGGGGCGTCTCACAGTCGGCATTCTTGTCACTCAATCGTAAAGGTCTTCCTGGGCTTGGGAGTCTTTGCAGACCGGGCAAGAATCGAACGCAAACCCCTCCGCTACCCGTTGTTCCCTCAGCGGCTGATCAAACAAGTGGTCCATCTCTATGCTCCTTATCATCCTCCCATCTTCTGGATCGATGAAGAATAAGTTCTCTCTTCCGCAGGACCAATAGATCTCAGTTGAAGCGTTATGCCACGCCAGTAAGCCGTCCTGACAGACTACGTGCATTTCCTTTGCATTGACAAAATCCCCGAGTTCGCGGCTCTCAAAATTCGTCGCTGTTTAACCGCCCAAACTTGAGCCGTCTAATGCTCGCTGCAACCGGCTCGAATGCCTCAAAGGAAGTTGTGCCGATAGAAATCATATCGATATCCAAATTCGGCCGAACATAGCGCGGTTCAGCACCAACATTTGCAGCGACCTCAGAGAAGGCTTGTTGATACATCCCATGGTTTCGCGCTTCTCGACAGGTTGCAGTGGTGCTGGCACAAGCGTAGACGATATCGGGGAGTGATTTCCTCCAATGCGACCAACATAGCTCTTGTAAAGAATGCGGACCTCGACGGTGCGAGGTGCGACAGTCATCTCCCACATTCGAGCACCGAGCTGGGGCGGGAGAAGAGGAAAGTGGTGGAAAGCTTTTGTGCCGCACATGATTCTGCCATACTTTGTTGGTAGGAACCTGCGGTGTTTTTAGCGTTTACGGCCCCAGTTGATTTGGTAAAGAGGTGCACAGAATATCTCACCTTATGAGGTGCTGCTTCTTTGCATTTTGGGTCGACTTGATGCACTAAACAAGTTTGCGGCTGTCTTCTTAAAAGACGCTAGGCCGGTAGGAACGGCCTCGGATACAGAGTGAAAAACGAATCGATGAATGAAACACACAGGAAACAATTTCAGTAGCTGGGTGTATACCAAGGCCGAAGCAAGTACCTAGATACCTTATGCAGGCGAAGCGTAGATTGAGCACGGGACCTTTCTTTGTTCTGAAGTTATTGCATTGTAGAGATTCTCTTGACTTTGAAATATTTCATTGATTTTGAATGTCCCTTCTTGTTGATGTGCCCGTTACTTCCGAGTAAGAATCGAGTACATGCAGTCTGAGCATGACTCCGTCGAACTTTAGTTCCCTGTATTTTGTGGAGATGAACTAACAAGACTGCACCAGCAATGAATGTGTGCTTCAGATGCAATGAGGTGGAGGCTATTACAATTGGTTGGGCTTAATTCACGGGTGTCGAAGCGGGGGTGTCTGGCACTGCTTTTTGAAGCGCGTATTAAGCCGGTGATACTGATCTGTGACCATTTTCGAGGTCCAGGTTGGCATGACTGGAAGTTGAGTGCGAAGTAGACATCTCGTATGCTACTATGTTGGTTAGCAATCATCATCAGCGTTGGGGATCTGTCACTGCGGGAGATGTCCTTACAAATGTTGACTTGTAGATCAGGTTGTCTCTACGTCTTGATATGACAGACGGACAATACCATGGGATGCGAGTGCCGTGTATGCATGGCGTTACTAGGGGCTTGTTGTCGAGATCTGAAGCAAGGTTCTGACGGGAGATTTCGTTGTCTTCTCTGCACGTATCTTCAGGCTGGAGTTGATCTGACGAATAAGCGCTGCGCGTGTCTTTTCAGGAGGAAGCGTAAGCGTCACTGGTCGAGATTCGAGGGAGCGTTTCACCGGTCATCAAAATGCGGTTAGACCGATGCACCCCGGCTGTGCACTTGACAGTGCACCCTCATAACTTTCTTCAAATGCACGTTTCCTGTTGACTTAAAACGATCCCACGAACAAGCCCTCTCCCAGCCAAGCAACGCTACTGTTCGCTACTGTACAGTATCCTGCAGGATGCATTATATGGGTCTCAAATGCGGTTAGACTGCCGCAGTCTAGGTATCCCCTCCGGTGGAATGTCGCTATCATTCCAACAGTTCGGCAATTTTTGAATAAAGCAGCTACGTAGAGGCTTGCGTGGTTCCGGCAAGCGATCAAGAATACCGAGGATCCAAGCAAAACATATTCATGGTGCCCACGATTTGTGCCATCAAGAAATTGCACTTGGCCTCGGTTACGTTCTTGACCAGATATACTGCCGAGTATGTCTCCCTTTTCGTCTCTCTCTTCATCGAGTAGTGTTCTCCTCGTCGTAGGTTTCAATCCTCTTGCCATCGTGGCGGAGGTAGTAGAGAATAAGGTCCAAGACAAGCGAATTGTCAGGAGGAGACTCTTCCTCAGCCTTGAATGTTGCATTCTCCATATCACTGCCGTCAGCCTTGGGCTCCTTGTGCTTCATATTTCCATGGGCAACGAAGAAGTTGAACCAGAACTCCCCCGGCCATCTTTGCAACTCTTCCCGCTTAGCGACATTATTATTAAAGTGTTCGTCGAAGTCGAAGTCGCAAAAGTTGAGGTGTAGATCGATGAATATCGTGTGAAGACCGCTGTCACGCTCGATCTCATCATAGACTTACTGGACACGCACAGTGTCTGGAGGTACGCGGTCTCGCTGGTAGTATTAGAAGATGAACTCTGTCAGCGAGTCCACGCCTCCAACGCCTCCCAATCAAGTCGCACTCCAGGCATGATCTGTAAAATTTGATAAATAGGCACCGCCAATCACCAACACTTTGCAAGGCATCAAGAAGATGCTCGTGGATGTTGATGGCCTCGCTGTTGATATAAATATGGATACGTTTAAGCTTCTCTGACCTGGAAAGGCGTCAGCAACGCAACTGTCAGGGTGTTCCATACGCACGGACCATTCACTGACGGACATGTTGGCTTTGTTAACGGGTACTTGTTCCGTTAGTCGAAGCGACTGCAAGATGAAATTGAAAATAGAGGATGATAAGAGCCGGGTGGGTCATCGAGAGCTTTGGTAGGTAGTCGACTAACATATATATTTGGGGAAGGTGCGAGGCAGCTGACAAAGCAAGAGAGTGTTGCGGGGGAGGTAAGAGGCCTGAATATATAAAAGCATAGTTCGGTGAGGTGAACGTGATGGAAACATACATTTTGAGAAGAAATGGATAACCGGCGGACACGAATGTGCTTACAACCCACAGCTCACTTTTGCTCGAAAGTCCTTCTGAAAGCCAATGTCCATATCTAGATGCCCAGATCCTGCTCGGTTCCTGTGTGTTGCCTCTGATCCTCCAAAATAATGAGATTAATTCCAGTTCCTCTGCAGCTTGCACAAGTGGCATTACTGGCATGGGTGTGGTACTGCTTGAGGTGCAGGGTGTCCGACAAGGCTTTCGCTTTGTCATGAGCGACGAACACACCGAAGAGAAAACGTTCGCGCCACAGCTTCATCTCCTCGTTCACTGCATCCTCTTTGTCCTCGACGTTGGAGGTCGTGTCCCAGTCTGTGTTGCAGAACTTGACACGTAGGTCGACAAACAAGCGCCTTAAAGCAGAGCAATGACCCGTCCTGGTGTAGACCCAAAGGACCTTCTCTTGGTTTGGCGGGATGGACTGTTGCTTGTACTTCTTGAACATCCATGTCATCAGCTCGTCCATGAGCCTATGCCAGCCTCTCTGGTCAGCGAAGATGTAGAACTGCATGGCGGAGCTCAAAGCGATTGGTTGTTCTTCCTCGCCTTCGAAACAATCAAGACACGGACCGAGCTTGATCGTGGCAGTTCCATTGAAAGACCCAGGGTCTTGGTAGAGCCAGAAGCTGAGAGCCTCATAGCTCACGTCCCGTGTATAACGATCGATATGATGGATCTCGCCTTTTGCCGCAGTAGACGTCTCATGTTCGGCGTAGTAGGTCTTCCAGTTGGGCAGCTTGCTGTCGAGCAGACGCTCATGAATGTTGATAATGTCGTCGTCGGCGTGGAAGTAGACGCGAACTGCATAGAATTAGGAACCGTCTTTTGGATCAAAATTGCCGACTTACAGTGGGAATGTCGCCAAATTGGCGCGGCTTAATGGCTGCAGAATGGTGAATGGGGTGTAATCAGATGTTGGTGTCGGAAGCTGGAGCAGAGGTGGGCCAGAGAGCATATATATCGCTAGCCAACTGGTCGAGGCAGGCACCAGGTGACAGAAATGTTCCGCCAGACGTGACAACCGGCGCAACTGTAAAGCTGGCCCTGCGAAGTAGTGGCTGAGCCGAACTCGAAGGAAGACAATTGCATTGAATCAATACAACGGACATAACGTCAGCCGCCGGGAGGTAGCCTTGCACCGTCAGTAGCGCCAACAATAAGAACGCCTTACGCCTCATTACTCTGGGTATACCGATATCATGACGCCCGTGAAGCCCACATTGACACCCTCAAGTACCTGGAACACCGTCTTTCGCTCTTATCCTCCCTTCTCTTACTGCACCTATTGTGACACCTGCCTCGCCTGTCATCCAGCCCGGCATCTTCTCGCCGTCCACGATGCCCTCCTCCACCAGTTGCCTGATGCCGGCGAAAACGTGTGTGCCAGTGAAGGCGATGCGCACGCTCGGTACCCAACCGTCGTCGCTCTGAATTTGCTCCGTCTCTTCTGCTGTTCTGTCGAATATTGAGTGTCGACCTCTGCGACCGCGATTTGAAGGCTGAGCGCTCGTCCTTGAGGTGTCGTCATCCGCCTCTACACCTTTGCTCTGGGTGGAGGGGAAGGGATCATCGATGCGGACTTCGAATCTCTCAAGCCCTTGTCCATCATCTGGTTGGGCAGAAGTGCCGAATCGACCCTGTGCGACTTCTTTCCTCCTCTTCGACTCGGGTGTCTCGGTGCTGTCCAGTGCCCGCTTCGGCCGCCCTGGACCAACCTTGGCGAAAGTATTGGCAATGTTCTTTCCTTTACTGTCCTTGCCCTGTTCATCATTCTTCTGAGCAGTAATGAAGTCTAGTGCGTTTTGGCTGAAGCTATGGTCCTGGAAGATACTCCATCCTCCTGTTGCGCCATTGCTCTTTCCCGGCCCGCGGTACGCTAGAAGAGCGTCGAGCGACTTGGTGGTGAAGTTCGTGCTTGTGAGCTGATATCTTGCTGAAGGTCGTGAGAAAGCTTTGGGTATCGCCTGCTGCACAATGTCTCTCAAGTGTCGTCCGTCATCTCCTACCACCTGCCCAGTGTGTGTAGCCAAAGACGAGTACACGAACGGCGAACCATTGGGCCACATGAAGAACACTGCCTTGGCACTGTCTGTGCTATTCGATTCCAGGGCTAGTGCGCTCTCATTGCTGTACGGCGAGTCGTGTATGTAGACGCGCAAGATGGTCATGGGCGATGTCTTGATCCTCGTAATCAGGTAGTGCGCCTTCATCAGCGGTGTCAGCTCGCGGACGAGATTCGACATGAACGTCTGTGCTTGGAAGCGGGGAAGGTGGTCAGAGTCGTTTGTGACCTCCATGTCAGTGATGGCTGAGCGCGCATTGGGTATCCGGGTCAGCCGTCTTGCGGTCCAGCGCAAAGAGTTCGGGTGGTCTAGCAAGTACTGTATCTCCGCCGTCGCGAGCATATACATGGACACCCCGCTCCTCCAGTCTCCCTCGAGTATGCGGTCGAGCACCTCTCTCCTCCCGCCCTTGCGCGCGGCTAGCTCGTTGTATTTCTCCAGCAGCTCCTCGTAGCTCTGCGCCGGCTCATACAGCTCCTCGTTCAGGTCATCGTCCCCCTCGTCATCTACCTCATCGCGGTCGCTGAGTAAGAATGGCTTGCAGAAGTCACGGTTCTTCCTGCTCAACCATTGCTGCGCGAGCGAGATGAGCGACTGGCGGGAGAGCCTCGTGAAGGTGCGCTGGACATCGCGGTGGGCGACAGGCAGGCGGTGCGAATGCGGAATGTTCTTGTAGTCCGGAGCGGTAGCCATGACGTGCGGCGCATTGATGCTCTACATGAGAGCTATGGATGTTGTTTACCGAGTGGCTTCCTTATCGATTGGGACGCGTCAAGCGCGGCGAGGCAAGCACGTGACTGTGCCGCCTCATCTTGGTTCAGCACATCTGACATCTAGGGGACCAGCCATAGTAAAGATTATTCTTCACAGGGTCTGCTTTGACGACGTCAAAACCTCAAACAATCGTTCCAGAAGCATGACACGTCTGATTGCAGCACTCACGTGCAGGGCCCTTCACAGCAGCGCTTCACACCCACGGCACCTCACGCTGCAAACGCTGCAGCCCCGGCGTCCGCCGTGATAATCGCCCGCCATCACCGGGACAATCACGGTGCGGAGTGGTGAAACATGATTGGTTTCCCTCGTTCCGATGCTTCCTTTGATTACAAACCTGGGTATTAGTGAGCAGCAGTGCGGTACAACAGGACAACAGCAAAGGCAAGAGAGCAATTGTGCATGCGTAGCAGTGAAGATTACCGCATAAAGCGCAGCATACTCGCGACTCGAAATGCACCATCGTGAATTGCGTCCCTCAAGTTGGGGAAGAACTGCGGCGGTCGGATAGGATCCCGAGTGCGAGAGCGTGGGGTGAGTGGACTGACTGCGCACGATCTCGGCAAACACTGCTATTACATCGGCAAAACTGTCACCCTAACGCTCTGCACACGTCCGATAGCGCGGGGCTGAGTGGCTCACAATTCCATTCAGGCTCTGAAGTCGATTCAACGTCACTACTTGCAGCTGTCACTCTCTGCCCACCACCTGCTTGTCTCACGATCACTGTAGCACGACACCTTCCTCGTGTAAACCACTGCACCACCGACCAAAGCATTCGGAGATAGCGACGCCAAACACGGCTGACGCATGCGCGCCGATTCGGACCCATAGTTCATAGCCTCTCAACGGGTCCAGCCGACTCCACCAAAACCCCTCGATATTGACTCCATTACTCCCACAACATCTGTTCACGCCCATCGTCAACCTCGATCATCTCGCTGAATGCTCATGTCGGGATACAAGGGGCCGCGCGGACCCAATGTGTCCCAGTACATTGCCAATCTGAACCAGCTATCACCGCTCTCAGACAACCCTGCAGAGCCGCAACCTGTCACCGAGGACTTCTCTGCATTCCTGAATACCGATTTCTTCGACATCAACGGCGGCATCAATGTCGACCTCAACTCGCCCATCGACTTCGGCGTTGACTTCGACATCAAACCTTCGACTCCATCCACAGCCGAGCATACCCCGAGGAACAGCATCAGCGCCGCCAGTTCAAAGCCCAACATGGACTTCAACTTGAATGGTAAGTTTTACTGTTCGCTAGACGCGCTTGACGCTCTATTCCTCTTTTATTCCTCTTTTAAAGGCTGGAAATTGTTCACCTCGCGCTGGCCAATCACATGTGCAGGCAGGCCACATACCCCACCACCATTGTGCATCACAACCCCCACACTTCTTGACCCCAGCCACTCACAGCGCGAGGAGAGCTGCAGCCCGGCCGCTGAGCTTAACATCCCCTCCAAGCACGCAACTGCCCAGCACGAGCAACCAACCTCACGACTCATGTCTTGAGCTCTGCCCTTCTCCGCACTCTTTCGTTACACCACACTGCACAACCTCAACCATCTCACAAAACAGCCATGGCTGACTTCGACCTCTTTACAGGTGACTTCCAATTCACAGACTTTTCCAACTTCAACACGGCGCCAATCATCGACACATCCATGCCCAGCCTGTCGCAGCCCCAACACAACAACTATCCACTCCCGACTACATATGCACCGCAACCCAACGCTATCTCGCCCATCAACTATGACGATTCGGCATCCAAGAAGCGCAAGGCCGAGGATATGTCTGTAGGCACACCCATCCAGCACCTGGACGAGCACGCGCGCGTCGCAGCCGAAGAAGATAAGCGCCGCCGCAACACCGCCGCTTCCGCGCGCTTCCGCGTAAAGAAGAAGCAACGCGAGCAAGCTCTTGAGAAGACCGCCAAGGACATGAGCGACCGCGTGCAGCAGCTCGAGGCCAGAATCGGGCAGCTGGAGACCGAGAACGCATGGCTCAAGGGCCTGATCACTGAGAAGAGCAACGGCAACAGCTCGACGTCCGACATCAAGGCGATGTTGACCAAGCATGAGGAGCAGAAGGCTGGGCGGAGTAGTCCTGCGCACGCCGAGGGTGTGGGCACCACGGCGTAGGGGACGAAGGCCGCAGCCAAAAGTGTGATTCGACTTGTTTCCGGTGATTGGTTTGTTTCGATACCTCAGGCTGTATGATGCTGAGGGTTTTACGATTTGGATGATGGGCTCGGAGAGCACACGAAGCGACGAGCAACTGCGATATCTGCGATGCCTTTTGGTTTGTTCAATATAATTTAAAGACTACCCCATTCATCCTTCAGACCCAGTCTCCATCTTTCCATCATCACATATCCAAGTCTCAGATCTCCATACGTATATCCTGCGCAAAGAGCCTCTTCCGGCAACTAAACCCTATGAGGAGGCCCCTGCATTCACTGTCGCTTGAGGGCTTTGAAGGGTTTGGGATCGGCAGTGTGTTCGTCAGACGTACAGGTGCTGCTTGCTGGTAGCTGTGGGGTTGACTTGCGAGGCAGAACGAGGGCTTCAGAAGGGTCACTTCGAAGTCTCCCTTGCCATCGAGGTGATGGGTCTTGTTGTAAGTTCTCTGTTAGTTGGCTGTGGTGCTGGTGACCATCTGGCTTGGTAGATCTGCATACATTGTTATTGTTGCGATGCGACGTGGGAGTAATAATGAGCATTGGGCGTCAATGCTCAAAGTACGTGCAGAGCCGAGGGAGTCTGTACAGGGAGGCTCAAAATAGTGTTCTATGCTGGTAGAGGTAGGCAGCGAAAGCTCCTCGCGCAGCAAGAAGGAAAAGAAAACAGCCTCCCTTCGGTTCATAGCGTTTCTGTCCCTATTATGCGGTGGGCCGTCTCCTTCTTTTTCTTGTTGCGCTTTGCCATCTTGGACACCGTCACCACAGCAGGCGCCCTGACTCTCCTCGGCCTCGCATCACGACCAACGCTCAAGCGGCTCAAAGAGCGCAAATTCTCATCTCCGCCCAAGGGACGCAGCGCAAGAGATGCACCAGGTAATCAGTGCACTCACTTGAAACGGATGTATGAATTCGCTGGCTTATAAACATGCTACCAAACGCCTTTATACAGATTACTTGATCCCAGCCTCACGACGGACCTTCTTCCTATACCCATCCAGGAGCTCACCCAGCTCCCTCGCCTGATTCTGTAACTCCATGGTGCGCACCATGTAATCAAGCCTCCCTCCAAGACTAAGCTGTGAGGCCGTCCTCCCAGGCTCGTTGACAAGCTTCAGGGTCCCCCTAATCCTGCCATCGCCCTCGCTCATACTCTATATGGCGATCCAGGTAATTGTAATGACAATATCCATGCCCTTCTTCTCAGCGGCCTCCCACTTGTAGCTGTATGTCCCGTCCTTCTCGTTGTTCCAGTAGGCGCCGACTGCGCTGTGCATGCCGCGGCGGCCATGCTTCTCGGGTTCTGAGGGAGAGCCAATGTGCTGGATGACGGTGCTGTTGGCGATGTACTTGTAGGCTGGTTGGCTGGGCTCACCGCCCTCGGTCTTTACTGTTGTGGCGTCGATGAGGGATTTAAGGATGTTTTGCTAAACACAATGTTAGCCGCTGAGCTGCAACGGTGTCCTGGTAAACGACAGTAACAGAAGGTAGATCAGAGTGCGACAAGCGCTGTGGTTTTGTATTCAGATGGCGGGGTCTTAAGCCGCTTCATTAACACGGACCAAATGTTCTCATCATGTAGCAAGGCGGGCTGGTGATGCAGCACAGACAAAGGAAGGTCTTTGTTGCTCGCGTGCGCTGTGTGACGGGGCAGGTGGCTTACAATGATGGCAGTGTTCCAGTCGGCGACCTTGGAGTGGTCGTAGAGCTCTGCTGTGCCGATGGCTTGTTCGCAGGCCTATCAATGACGTTAACCATGATTTCTATATTAAGCCTGGGGGTAGTCACGCTGCTGGCGATGTGCTGGAGCTGCTCGGTAGGAAGCGGTGAAGCGGCCTAAAATCATCAGTATCAAGGTGTCCTGGAGGTATTCAGGTAGACTACTAACGGCCATTGTGAATGTGTGTGTAGAAGATGTGGGGATAGATCGGTGGAGGTATTCAGATACGTATGTGTGGCTGTTGTCGATAACGATTGCAGGCAAGCGTGTGTTGTTGTGAATGTTTGTTACGCCGCTAGCGTGGCTACGCCCGTCGTCCAGGCCCAATTTGGCCGTCCGCGTACACAGACAGGGCTCGTGTCACGTGGGTGCTCTGATTGGTTGCAGGCGCGCATCACAGCTCCAGGGCGTCGAGTGGATCGCTGTTCCCACTGTAGGGCATGGGCTTGCGTTTGAATCCTGCGCAAAAGCTTTCTTCAACCACCCTTGCCCGCATCCGAAGGAACAGTCTAAAACTGCGTGCGACGAGAGACTGCATTACAGCCAATTGACCAGCACAACACCCGCGACGTGACTCTAGAGCTCCCATTCACCAGTAGTGGCGCTGCACAACATCGTCATGTCGAGCCAACCTCTCCTTCAAACTGCTCCGGGTATGTCCCTCACCTATACTGTCCAATGCAAATTCTCACGAACGTCAGGCAAGCGCATCGCCCTCCCTACCCGCGTCGAGCCCAAAGTCTTCTTCGCTAACGAGCGTACCTTCCTCTCATGGCTCAATTTCACCGTCGTCCTCGGCGGCCTGGCCATTGGTCTCCTCAACTTCGGCGATAAGGTGGGAAAGATCAGCGCTGGCCTGTTTACTGTCGTTGCTATGATGGCCATGATCTACGCCCTGTTCACATTCCACTGGCGCGCGAAGAGCATAAGGATGAGGGGCCAGGGTGGTTTCGACGACAGGCTCGGTCCTACCATCCTTACACTGGCGCTGTTTGCGGCAGTTGTTGTCAACTTTGTGTTGAGATTAACCATGGCTGATGGCAAGAAGCACTAAAGGAGCAATGCAATGCGCTGGCAGCAGGAGGTGTTAAGAGTTGCAGTACAACAGAAAGGCATTAGATAGGGTGCGGAAAAGGCTGATGGTTAGGAGTGCTGCCAGAAGAAAAAGAAGAAGGGAACGACGTGAGGTGTGGACTGAAGCCCCTCGGCGTGACGTCGAAACGAAGGCGCGGTCATGTTGTTTTGTGTACACGTTCGATGGTAATTTTGGGTCTGTCTCTTATTGTTAGCTTGGAGCTGAGTGCGCATTCGGTACAGAAAACACGGCTGCACTGATCAACCAATACAGCATCAAAAAATCATCAAACATCGCCCCACTCGTGTGAAGAAGTGGGTCTCCAGCATTGAGACTGACTTGGAATCTAGATGCGTTGCGACAGACGCCAAAAGGAAGCAGAGGCTCAGGGACACCATGCAACAGAGCAACACAAAATAGACTATGGCGCAAGAAATGGAAGAACTGCGATTGTGTTGGACGCTATTCGTGGTTGTAAGGATGCCCTGTGGAGGTCACCAATGTGGTATCTACATCCTCAAGCGAATACAGCACTGGCTTCACACCCTCTTGGCAACCTTCTTGGCCATGTTCAGTCTCGCCAACAGCGCACACATGCTCGAGACTAAAGCTACTCCTCTCGCGTAGAAGATTGCTGGGCGATACACATCAATGTTGCCTTGTCCAGCCCTCTCCTGCCCTCCTGACGCCTGCAAGATGTAACCCGCGACAGGCGCACCCAGCAGGTACCCGATAGTCCATCCGGTAATCGACATACTCATCGCCACAGCCGCTCGTCCAGGGCCGAAGATGCTGGCCACAACTGTGGGAAAGACAGTGAAGTATACACCATTTGCTACGCCATTGAGAATGGCGAATGCGAGCAGCGGACCCAGGGTGTTTGACGCCGGCCAAAAAGTGCACCCATGGCTCGAAAATGGGTCAGCTTGACCTGCTGCATCGTCGAATTCTGGGGAGGGACGTCACCAAACCGTAGCTATGCGGGATTGCGCCAATAAAGCTAATCATAGCTTGAGGCTGAGGTGGGCCAGGGCGCGTCGATTGTAATCGCCAGCAATCCTCCAGCAAAATCTGTGTGCGAACGCGCCTTGTCCACGGCCTATTCGAGTTTGCACATGTCGTGGTCGACCACAAGCTTGCGCCCTGCTTGTCGAGGAAGTGGCCAATCAGAGCTTGGCTGCGCTTACCCTCACTGCGTCTACGCTACCGGCTGTAGTCAGCTCCTTCCCCACCCCAGATTCTCCAGCATCTGTGACTTACACAAGTAATCTCTCCATGTTATCGTTGTCAACGCATACAATTGGTTTAAGAACATGGACACAACCGCAGATGCCGAGTGGAATGCTCTCTTCGATTTCCCTTCGGACAGCGCCTCCTTCGACTTCACAGGCTTGAACGGACTTCAAGACAGCGATGGCTTCGACTCACCTCTGATCTGCTCGTCTGGGCAGTTAACTCCAGGCGACGGTCAGCATGCGGTGGAACTTGGAGATGGTCTTCAGAATCTCTTGAACAACACAACACCCGGAGAGGTGACGACTAGCACAGCGCCAATGCCAAAAGGCGGCGGACGTTTCTCGAAGGAGGTGGTGCAAATACTAAGAAACTGGCTTAACTCTCACAAGGCGCGGCCGTATCCTACAAACGAGGAGATGGAGATGCTGCAGCAACGGACTGGACTAAACAAGACCCAAATTTTGAACTGGTTCGCCAACGCTCGAAGGCGCGGCAAGCTACCAAAGGCACCGTCCTCGCACTCGTCGCCCATCACCTCGAGTAGACCAGTCGACATCGCTCCAAGACCTGATACTCCGGCTCCAATGCGAAATATGTGCTCCATGAATCCAATGGAAAGATGGCAATCTTCGCCACCGGAACACGAGCCAGCTGCCGCCTCAGCTATCGCCCGTGCAGTCGAGTCAAACGGAGGTGTACCATTGAGTATGTTACTCCCATTCTCCAGTCAACTGACCGTGGTCACTGACAGCCTTTTCAGTTGATGGTAGTCAGTGCTCTTTTGACTACAGAGACAATGCCGCGCAATCGTGGTACAATACATCCTCAGCGAGCAGTGGTGGGACTTCAGCATCCAGCGAATTCTCAGCCGCTTCAAAGCGCTCTACTCCCTCGAGATCTGCAGAACCTGTTGCGTACTCTCGCCCACTCCGCAAGCGACGAGTCAACAAGCAGCGTGCGCGCGTTCGACGGACATCCCTGATAAGCTCTCTGCTACCATACCAGTGTACCTTCTGCACCGAAGACTTCAATACTAAACACGATTGGCAACGTCATGAGAAATCTTTACACCTTCCAATTGAGCAATGGATTTGTACCCTACATGGCCCCGAGGCTTTGAAACTGGACACTGGATGTATGTGCTGTGTATTCTGCGGGGAGCCTGAGCCAGACGATGCACATCTCGAGACCCATAACTACCAGCCTTGTCGCGAGCGGACACTTGAGGAGCGCACATTCAACAGAAAAGATCATCTGAACCAGCACCTACGATTAGTTCACAATGTCCGGTTTGACAAGTGGTCAATGAGCTCGTGGAAAGTGTCAATGTCTAGCATAAAGTCCAGATGTGGCTTTTGTGGGCTCAAGATCGATACCTGGGAGGAGCGCATCGACCACCTTGCAGGGCACTACAAAGAGGGCAAAAATATAGCATGCTGGCAAGGTGATTGGGGCTTGGATGACCGTCATCTAAGACTACTCGAGAATGCTATTCCGCCATGTAAGCAGCCTGTTTGACTATTGTAACCAGTATTAACAGCGCAAATACAGACCTGATCGATTACGAGCGAAGTACACCAGCTCCTTTTGGTGCAAGCAAGACCCCATACGGGTCTCCCACCACAGCCTACGAGCTGATCAAGATTGAGTTGGATCACTCCGTGCAAACACATTTTGACCTGTTTGGCATGATGCCCGATAATGCTAGCATGCAACTTGAGGCTTGCCGTATAATCTTCGCGTCCGAAGCCCTATCCACTGTGCAGGATGCGCGCCCTTCGTCGTGGTTGCGCGACTTGATCATGTCCAGCGAACAAGTCACAAAGGAAGCCAAGTTTGGGCCTCTCAGACTGCGTAACGAGTGTAGGTTCTCGACTCTCAAGATCAACGGGCGAGATAACATATTTGAGCTTTGTCCGCTCGAGAACCAGCTCTGGACATTCGTCAGAGCTAAAGAAGCTATTGGGGTTGCTTTAACAGACGATAAGCTTCAAGAGGAGGCAAGTAAAATCATCGCCTATATGGATCAGATATCCAAGACACCATCTGATGGGTTTGCAAACTGGCTGGTCAAGCTCATATATGCAAACACGGACTGGCTCCAAAGCTTCAGAGTACGTGCCTGTTCCACTCAGTCTGGGCCTGTACCGGACTCAGGACCACAGGACGCAGGACTAATATTAGCCTATCACTCTGCTCCGGTACTGCGGCCTCTTCCTTTACGAATGGAGTCAATACCTCCTCCTCCTGAGACAAATCTTCCCAATGTACATATAGATCCAGCAACCTACCACCTGGGCCGGGGTCTGGATACGCCGCAGGATGAAGCCAACCTGTTCCCCCCAGCGTCAAGGATGTTCATCAACAGTGCCAACTTCTTCTCGTGGCTTGTCCGCGACCTTGCTCGTTGGGTGGCAGCAACCATGTCTCCGAACAATCCGAACTGTCACGTTCCGACTGATGAGGAGCTTCAGCATCAAGCCCGTTGTATTGTTTACGATGAGTAAGTCTCGAGATTGAGGCATTGCCAGAAGTCTTTGCTAACTTCGCACAGCGACGATCCTTGGAACCAGACTGCAGCAGACAATGCGCAATGGCTGCGGCAGTTCAAACAAGACGTTGGCATCCTCGACAAACCCAAAGATCCCAACGAAGCGAACCTGAGCGGCCTGTACATATGAGGAACGCTAGTCGGGGCACGTGGTCTAACGCGTGGTCTAACGCGTCAAAAAGATTCGAGGAAATGACCAGATGTTGTCGTCAGACAAAGTGTCGTCGACGAACTTGGTCTCTGTCACCCAAGGATCTCATCTCGACTCCAGTCCTGGTGTTTGACCTCAGGAACTGATCGACATATCGGTGCTTGCAAAAATGTGCAGACCCCCCTGACCTTGGTACAGTGATGCATACAGTAGGTATGTACCGTGGTTCATGAGGGCGGACAGCCTTGTGAGTGGCCGTTCACCACGTTGTTGCCCTGCAGAACATGTACCAGACCGTCAATTCTGTCACCCAAGATAGAAACAGCCACTTAGAAGCCTTCATTCTTACATAATGTAAAGTCTGTCGCAGTGGTGAACTAAATTCAGGGGGGTCTGTACATTTCAGCAACCATTATAACGGTTTGTTCGGTCGCTCGGTGAATCTCGACAATCTCCTCGGTGCCGTCAACGCGGGTGTCGGCTGAACCTTCGTACAGAGTGACCCACCAGATGATGTGTCTTCTATTCTTCAATCGCCTGCATGCTGCCGACCGGGGAAACCGAAGAACAGGTCAGCCTCGTACATGGCGAACTGGAAATGCGGCTCAAATATCCCCACTACATAACCACCAAGCCGCACTATCCCGAAAATGATACTAGCCGGAGATATCGGCACACTATCTTCCATCGTTCCGGTCACGAGACCTTCGCATTGCTTGTCAGCCCAGACTACTTGTGTCATACGTGCAGGAGACGCTTCGCCGCCTCACATCATAAGTGTCCCCGGATTCGCTGTGGCTGTTGTGGCTAGTGCACGGGCTGCCGAATAGCCGTTTGAGGCGTAAGGCTGACCTGTTCGCGTAGGGGTTAGTAGTCACATGTGTGTCTGCCCTTGCACTGATAGGGCGTCATTGCTTCTCTCGGTTTGGTGTTGGGTACACGAAAATGTAAGAACTGGGTTAGAGCTCGATGCCCTCGACCCACCTGGTAAGCTTGGGACGGGAATAAAGTCTTGACTGCGTATGTGCACAGGATAACGCGGCTTGGCTATCTTGTAAGAAGCGGGACAGAGGAACATATATACTTCGCTCCATCCTCTCGTAGGTTCCAGACCGCAGTTTCAAGATCATCGCGATTACGAGTCCACCACATCGACCGACAAAGAACATCGATTATCAAACAAAGCTACCACATCACTACACACCACATCAACAATAGAAAGTCGAACACAACTATAAGGTCGATATTGTATTGAACACAACCACCACACATTGCCGATGAGAAACTCCAACCACTCCATCGACGCCCGAGACTTGTCTTCTCGCCTCAATCACCTTGCGCAAAACGACACCTCATCCACCCATGGCTCCATCTCCCTTGACACCAACAACATGTCAGGAGACCGAAGAGTCAACCGAGCCACCACCTTCGACTCGCTCCCGCGCTTCACAAAGTCGTCAACTATGTCTTCCATTTCGACTGGCTCGACCCAGTTCTCAGGCCTGCATTCGTACCCCAGCGCTGCCATCCATCGCAAGGATGTCGAGATTAGCCCGGGAGAGTTCAGTATGCCAAGGGTTCCGAAGAGGAGTAGGAGGGGTACGGATGGGAGTGCTAGGAGCTCGAGGAGCGAGGGAAGGAGGGAGAAGAAGAAGGATAGTTTTGAGGCGCATGCGTATGGACGGCACAGCAATCAGTGGCTGTTCAATGACTTTAGTATTACGGATGCTGTCAGGAAGAGATATGGGAAGGTGTTTGGGAAGGACAGTTAGGTTTGAAGAGGGAGATGTCGCTCGCTGTACTACACTTCAATTGCCAGTCAAAGTATCCGGCAATGCAGTTGGCCAGGGCACATATCAACACGAAGAATACAATCATTTACCCGAAGCGACTATGTTCATTGTTTGTTGTCCTCACGCTGCTCGCTAATCATGGTCCCAGCGCTCATCTTCAAAATGATACACTGCCGTGATGTACACCAACTTCGAGCCAGACTAGCATACTGCGCCATCGCCTTCGTTTGCAGATACTGTTCGGTAGTTCGCTAACAATCTCTTGCCGTTGATCTTGGTTGGGCCCTTATGAGGTTGGCATAGTATGATATTCCTGGTCGTTCTGGCAAGCTTTGACCTTGTCGAAGTCTTTGGTTTGTTAGAGACCTTGTTGTTGTAATGTGGTTCGGTCGCAGTCTTGATGTGTTTTATTGATGTTTGTGACGGTGGTAGGCCTTTAGGGTCTTCCATGGTCAGGGTAGATCCCGACGTGTTCGATCAGGTTCGAGCCGGCATGAAGAGGACGCTTCGTGCTTCAACAACATCATACGGCAAGCTCTCAACGTCGATCGAATGTGCACTTCTGACTGTTTGGCGACATAACTACTCGTGAAATCCTTCAGCAGGGGCACAAACTTCTTCTTGAAATACGATGGCTAGCCATGTGGACGCCGTCTTTGTGCGTTGTTGCTGAGACTGATCCCTTCGTCGGCATACACGGTCTGTTCTGATATCATGCCACGCAGATCGGTACGAGAGCTTGTATGACAAGGTCGAGGTTTAGTAACGGCAGGGTCTATATGGTTGAGTGTAGAGTCGGACAGGTGGGACCATGTTCGATGGGTGCTCGGATGATGTACAGTCTTGTCGAATCCTAACGGCAGATTCTCAATGTCGACAAAGTCGCCTTCTAACTTCATGCTTCTCGCATCAGTGCGACGACCTGAAAGCTGTCAGCGGTTATTCAGTCCCAGTGAACTCGATTGGTACCTTTCCTGCATACGCGTCTGAACACAACAGCTGCTAGAGAGTCTTTGCAGTTGATGCCAGCAATTGCAGCAGCAACACCAAGTATTGCAAAGACACTCGAGACTATCTGAAGGATAAGTTCCACAGTTGCTAGGGTAGTCGACATGGAACGGTAGGATGTGGGAGAGGTTTGAATGGATGTTGTTCCCAGAGAAGTCAGATGGATTCCGCTTCTGCAAAAAGTAATCTTTTTATACTGGATGTGTGCCCAAGCATAAAGATGCCTGTGCGAGCCGTGTGGGAGATCGTCGCGGGCCCGATCCAAATGCGCGGATGGTACACTGCAATTAACCCTGTAAATGTGTGTTCGGACCACTCAAAGCCTGACGACGACGCCGTCGCGCGAGGTCCACCAGCTCGTACCGCGATGCTTGGCCCATTCGCGGCCTTTGGCGAATCATTCACAGCCTGCCAGCCACCAGATTCATCCCGCAACGTTGCTGCGCCTCTTTCGTGCTGACAAGAAAACACGGGAAGTAAGTATGCGGCTTGAGACATGCAAGACGCGGCGACTCTTGAGCCAGGAAAATGCATCATGGAATCTGACAAGTTGGCTTACTCGGCACGCGACGTACGCTGGCCCAGTATGTGAACGGCCAGCTCGGAAGATGACAGTTGGTTTCTGCAGCCACACATCCGCATGCATGAGATGTAGCGCAGGAACAGGGCTGAGACATCTCTTAAGCTTGCCGGAAGCATGTCATATGTGCACCGAACCTTTTGGAAGCTAACAGCAAGAGTGTTGCGACCGGTGGTAGTGGTGAAGGAGAGATTGTAGCGCCATACCAGTTGAGGCTAGTCAGTTTGATGCCAATGGCTGTAAGATTGGTGACAAGGAGAGATCGAGTCTTGGAGCGGTTGGTATTGCAAGTGGGGTGATGACGTAGCACGCTAGCGTCCACTTTCGTCTTCAGACCTCAGCCTTCCCAGTACCTTTACTCTCACAATACACACATGCTTCAGCCATGTTGGCGGATCTGGATCTGCAAGGGCTTCGACGTACTATAGTTCAGACATCTATCAGGTCCTGTACGCTTCGTGATTCTTGCATCTAGTCAACCGTTGCTGTAGACCGCCGTTGCACCAGATTCACAAAGATCGAAGGTCAGGGTCAGAAGTCTGTGTAGAAGAAGACAGTGCTATGCTAATGACGCTACGTATACTGAAAACGGCAGGGGGTTATTGTACAAGGTGCAGATATCGCCTATTGATGTCTAGCGCCAATAGTCCTGAACCCTATACCAAATCTTGATCACGACTCGCAATTCCTCCTTCTTTCGACCTCATTACTAACGTCCACGGATCCCGTCGCGGCCGAGGTGGTCCCGGGCTCGCTACGATTGACGGCGCGGTAGTATCGATGCGTTCGAGGATATAGTGAAACAAGTAGCGGTCGATGCACTGGGGTTGGATCCAGGCTGGGGGCGTGAGGTGTGACTAGCTACACAAGCGTTAGGTGATAAGTGAACAAGTGGTACATTATCTTGGGAAAGAACCTTGGAACTCAGGTGTGTCGGTGTTGTCGCCGCATGGATCGGTGGGAGGTAGCAGTCTTGTTGGCTTGTTGTACAATGTTGGCTTCCTTGTCTTGTTTGGTAATGGTTATAGGTGTCGACAAGGCTGAGGAGGTATGCACCGCGGTAGGACCAGGCAGTGGTTGTGTCTTAGGGACTGGGGTGGATGACGGTTGGGTGCTGGTCGAAGAGGCAGCAGGTTGAGTTGTGTTGACAAGAGTGGTATCAGATAGTGTGCGACTGACGGACAATGATGACGACTCTCTGTCCTCATAGTCATTGTCTGTCGACGGGACAGCATCGCGCTCGATGTCTCGAACTACGACTCGTCAGTGGTAGTCGGTGTAAGCGAAAAAGGACTTACCTCTAGCCCGTGGTCGAATACAATCATACAGCTTGGCGGTTAAAGAAGACTCACAATTCATGCTAAGAACAGTAGCAAGTATGTCTATCACACCCAGGATGCCGACGGCGATTTGTCATGCAGGCTTGAGTGCATCTGTAGAGCCTGGCCCTGGGATGTAACCGGACGTTTGGTTTTGAATGATTTGAAAGGTAGGCTGGCCATGCTACCACCTGATATCTCACGGGAGTCGTTGCGAATAAGTCAAAATTATTATTGTTACGTTATTGTGAAAAGATATCCAGATTGATGGGGGATTGAAGCGAACTTATACAATGTTAACCAGGCCATTTGTTCCTGAATATCGAGCTCAGCCACATCGCGCACGTTCGAGTACGGTTCGTGTGTTCGTGCGGCGCCGCGTTAGGGGCTCTCAAATCGGGGGGATGATCAGTGAATGTTCCTATTGGATGGTCGTCCCAAAGACATTAGCCTACAACCTAGCTGCGGTATGAAGAGACTCCATATCAGGTAGCGACTGAGCTGCCTGCCCGGCCGTTGGACGAGATAAATTTGTCCGTCGCGGTCTCCCAGTTTTCTGATGTATTTCAGTGTGTATCCACATATCAACCGTCAAAACTTGCCTCAAGCAAAATCCCGAGGGGTTGACGCCTCAACCGAGCTTTCAACGGCGGCCTGGACATGCAGTCTGCCTTCTTGATCGTTTTCGCAACTAACCATGCTGTACAGATTCACATGGCCAGTAATGTCGTGGACAAAGCGCGAATACATACTTCATACTACAATCGTTCTTTAGTTCGGCGATGTTATCGCTGTACTTTTTGGTCTTCATAGATGTGAGCCTCGATCCGCGCGTGTAAGTGGTAGCAAGCTCCTACACCGAGTCTGTGGCTGAGCCTGCAGGCCTTATTGGCCCGCACCGTCGATCAGCACAGTGTTATTCAGCTCCTTGAACGCAACTCACATTTCATTCGCTTAATACCCATTTCGATAATCCAACTGATCAGCCAGCTTGGATATGTCAGCCTTCCCACCAATGATTGACGGATCCCCGATTTCCTGCTTGCATTTGACGTCTTTCTGTGATTTTTCTTCGCTTGGTCATGCTTTGAGCCCTGCCAACAACGAGACACGTCTATTCTTATCGGTCAGAATTGATGATTAGAGTTCAAGAAACCGTTCATAGAGGTAAACGCGCCCCATTATGCCATACTTGGAGGCACCAATGAGGGATGCTCTTATGCCGACATAAGCAGCGATTGCGGGTAACATCACTAATAGTCAGTAATCGTGGATACGCAGTGAAACAAGGTCAGTATTATGATGGTCGCTGGATAGATTCGTCCAAAACTGCAAACTGATATGAGGTGCAGATTCTCAAGTTGTACTATCTCGTCTTCCCAGCCCATAAATCTTTTTTCTTTAAGCCTAGTTAGTGTAGCTTCGAAGCGGCCTACCACAGGAAACGCTGGACGTTACTAGGCTCGCTGGGCCAAGTGAACGTCCGGTACAGGAACAGATGTTGCAAGACCTGGTTAATAACGAGTAACCAGATTGTCTCCAGGACCACCCGTAAATCCGGGGAGTACGTTCGACCTCTAATTGTGAACGTAGTTGCTGCATGAGGTACATGCAGACGCCAGATGATCCACGGTATAATGAAATAGCGCGGTTCCACCAGAGGAGCCGTCACAACGGAGAGGGATGTAGCGATGAGCCAGATGACAACAAAGCTGATTTGAACAGGCGATTTCGTGTTCCTGAGGGTCTCTTGATAGGGTCTGGCTTGTACTGTACGTTTTGTTCCTTCCGGATCAGCAGTCGGATGCGCAAGGGATTGTATGCTGAGCCAGAAGCAGATGTAGTACACTGGAACAGCGAGGTACTTAAGTGCTGGGTGCCGGAGAAGGAGCCTGAAGACGTAGAAAACGTAGTGTCGATTGTCGGCCAACGTGTAAGGGTGGATGATTGTGTTGAAGTGGACTGCGAGCAGGCCGGCAGCAATGAAGAGAGTAGCCTGCAAAGGTTGAGAATGGATCGAATAGAAAGGCTTCTGTTTGACTCCGATCTTGGCTCCTATTCGAGATGGCAATAAGCAGGCCACACTGCAGAATAGAGGGGCCATGAGTATGGGCGCTGAGAACAAGGCAATGTATGGCCATATGTACAGCATCTGAGGTGTGTGGATGGTGGCGGTGTGTGCTGATTTGTCGCCTACTACTGTAAGACTATGCCTTCGATAGGATGTAGGTCACTTACCAAGGACGACACTACCGTTCCAGATTACGAATCCAGCGAAAAGGACTAGGAGTACGAGATAAGAAACGACGGATCTCATGACTCTAATTGGTCTACTCAAAGCCGCAACTGCAGTCGTCAACAAAAGCATGACAGCATCTAGACAAAGTCAGTCATGTTATTTACTAATCCAGGGAAAGCATACCTGAAACAAGAAGTCCTCCATCCCGCAAAGAACGATCATAAATTGTGCCTTTAGACCAGCTCTCTTGCAGAATGGCCAGAAAGCCTTGTCTGGCTGCGCTGTTTGATATACGCCCGTTCTCTCTCAAGACACGAATGATTGTTAGACCAGCAGGGAACACAGCGACCCAAAAGATGTTGGTCTGTCGGAAGAACAAGGCCACAACACCACTGAGAACAGCAAGAAGGTCGTCGCTGATATTTCTCTGCGGCTTTGCAGTTGTCTTCAAGAAGGCTTCATAGCTTATGAGGACTGTCGCTGTGGACATGACATCTGTGTAGTACAGAGCACCAAAGAAGAACAGTGGTGGGAAGGAGGCGATATTGAAGGCGGTCAGAGCGGTCGAGAAAGGCGTCTGGCCGTCTGCGATCACGCCCGATTGCTCCTTTGGCGTGTTCTCATCAACTTTGTCAATGAAGTCCCCCTCCTTCCGCTGAGCATAGCCCCGAGGCTGGATCAAACGTCGGATTTGAAGGGCCTTGTAGAAGATGTAACTGAGCGCGAACGCATTGTGAAGCCTAAGAGCTCTGGTGCTGCATCCGAGAATTGGCGAGAACAGCTTAGCTACCAGATATCTATAAAGCATTGGTTAGGCATTCCTCATCTAAATTACGTGGCGCATGGTCGCACAAGCCTGGTGGTGTGGTGATCTTCGGGTCCCATGTGTAATCTCCGTGACAGTACTTCTGAGCCTGAGGCACGTGGAAATATTCATCCTTCAACTGTCAGCACTGCGAGTCACCTACAAAGTACCTCTCTTACTAGATAGGGCTCCGGCACATCTCTGTCTACCAAACCGACCCATGTAGTGATGCCAGCAGCAAACAAGGCCGCAGTCACGTGCTCCTGCCAATGTTCAAACATCTGTATGCAAAGAACCAGAAGATGAAGGTGCGATGGTGATACTGACAGTGACGGCGTCGAATGGAAGCCGCGGGAGAGCCTCAAAAAGCTAGCACCGATTGGGTAAAGCTTCCTCTGGCGTGTCTGTGGTTCATTACTCCTTCAAACATTTCGAGATCACATTGTCACGCGTCGCAACGATGGCATTGCCTCTTCCACCGGGGCTGACGCCTCCAGAGATCGCGTTCCTGTGCGAAATGGAGCTTGTGACCGTCATACCGCGCCAGAGACTTGAGGGACTCGAGCTGCTTGGCGTATGTGCCCCTCCAGCACCCCTCCAATGCTCAAGATAAGATAAAAACCTACGGAGAACAATCTGACAGTCAAGTAGGGACCTCTCAAACCTCTGAATCCACCTCAAAGGAGCAACATTCCCCTCTGGCTCGCCCTCCTACTGAAGCGCCAACGCCGCGCCAACATCCTCCCTCCACCCTGGCTGAACACGCACTCCCTCACCGCAATCCTCGATCACGAAACAGAGCACGCAGACACATTCTCTCCGCCACCGCGACTACCGTCACAGCCCTCTGACAACACATTACCCATATCACCCCCCTTCTTACCAACCTCCACTGCAGACGCTGCGCCAGACGCGTTACCATACCACTGGTTAGAGCTAGGCGAGATGCTACTCGAAGCTGCAGCAGACGACTTCGAAGAGCCAGATCAGGTGCGAAAGCTGCTTCGTGGGCTACGAGAAGTGCGCATGGCAAAGCTACGGAGTGGTGTGGAGGTGCTGGATGCAGCTGGAGGCATCAAGATGAACGGGGTGGGAGGCATGGAAGTAGGAGAAGGGAGGTCTTTCATTACAGGAGTGGTCGATGGGTTGAGGTATGGTTGTCACGAGCTGTGCAGGTATAGCGATACGGGAATGCTGACTATTTGCAGGAAAATCGGAGCCTCACGCGAACAGCAACGCAAAGATCGCGACGCAGAAGAGGCAGAGAACGGCTACTCTGGCACCGCGGGCGACTACGACGACGATGAGATGGACATGCAATGAATGCGCCCATTAACAACAGCAACACATCTCGTTGCAATAAGACAACCGCACATCATCCGAACATGGACAACGAAGGACGTACCTTTTGGATTCATCACATGGGCATCGCTACCGACACATAATGCTTGCCTCACTGTCCACCGAGCCACCGGCAAATGTACGCCCAAAACATAACCTCACACCGTTCGCACGCACATGCGGCTCGCTTGCATGCACACACGGCCCGACCCCTGCACGCCCACGCATAACCGCCGCAACTATGGACGACCCACCATCGGCCATGTGCGACTGCTGTGTAACACAGTCGAGTGACAGTGGCACTGACAGACGGCAGTGTGGCGTATTGGAAGACTATGCACTGGCTAAGATATGCTGGAGCTGTCACATGGAGATGCTCCGCAGTGCGATTCTCGTCGCGGAAAGATGGGGAAATGAGGATTGTCAGGTGGGGATTGAGAACAGCCGTGCAGTGGCTGAGAAGGGCATGATGTCCCTCTGGCCCATGGCCAGGGCATATGGCATGAGACTAGGATCATGCTGAAGTTCGCTTTACACAGTGCAGAGATGTATGCCCTGGGCCCTGGTATTGTTGGCCCACGAGCAAGACGTGATTATAGAGTAGCAGCAGGCTATTAAAATGTCCTGCTATAACGTTGTAACTCTGTCAATGAAACACCAAAAGCAAATTTCCAGTTTGCTGCCTCAATGCACTAAGCACTGCTTTGGAACACGTATGGAGAATCCGTTGGCCGCGGGGAGCTGGGAAGATGAGGATTGTCGAGTGGAGCCATCAGAAGTGGTACCGTAGCTGAAGCAAGGCGCTAAGCTGGAAGGTCATATATCCCAACATGGGGCAACAGTCAGAATCTTCTCGGCGGCTGTCACTCATGTAGTATGCTTGCTCTGGCCCAGCTGTACAGGATCAATAGCCCTCTGAGAAGCGCATCGAGCAATTCACCAAGGTGCTCCAGTGTTGAGGGGCTTACCTGCCTAGTCAGCATACACTTGTTTCAATGTACTGGCAATGGAAGTCAAAATCAACCAGCGTCACTGGCACGCCAATGAATCAGCAACTACTTTGGGACCATCCTGCAGCGAGCCACATTTCACGTTCTGCACTTACGAAGGGGCTTTTGCCTTGCAGAAGGAGCTTCTGATGAAATTGTCGAATTATAGCGAAATTTCGCTGTGCGGCCATGCCTTAGCAGTCTCTCGTCTTCCGATCATTCAATTTTCTGGTATATTCGGTTTTGTGTCTTGACAAAGGACTGTGCGGTCTGTTTTGACTTTGGACATAGTCGAGGCCGCACCTTCCCGTTGTCTTCCACAACACTTGAACTGGCTCGTAAAGTTGTCGACCTACGCAAGGCATCCAGATGGCAGTCGTCGAATTTTTAGTTCGGTCGTCGATAGACACTTGAATGTCAGATTTGCATAGTGTACCAAGAAGACAGTAATGCGAAGAGTAGATGATACTGTGGTATAGGGTATTGTATGGTGCCAAGTATGGAGCTTATTACTTCTCTCATTGCAAGCAATGCTTCCTTCGACGGTTGGCTTGATAGTGTGGGCTGGCTGTTGTCCGACTTGTAGGCCAGGTCTTTCGTCTCTGCTTTCTGATGCATCGTCAAAGAAGCGGGGATGTGATTTGTCTTGCTCTTATAGCGATTTTATCCTCTTTTATTGCTGTCATATGATCTCCATAGCAGCTGCTCACAGTTCGATTCAAACATACCTCATACGGTATCTGACACGATTCGAGTCGTTGTACGAGTCACGATGTGGGTCAGTCCAATCTCCTCTTCGTCTTCACTTTTTCTCGGATCTGGCGGGGTCCTGTTCCTGCTGTATGGACCGTATGGTAGGATGTGTGAGATTTCCATAGCAGCCGTCCACGCTGTGATATGAAGATGCTAATATGAGGGATTTGGGGTGGCTGAGGTGACTTCGCTGAATGAAATGTGCAGGTAGACATGAAAGTAAGATCTGGGTTGAAAGACGGAGAAGAAATTTGCAATGGAGAAGGCTACAATAGCAGCTATATGATCTCTATAGCAGTCATCGATGCAGTGACACGAACCTACCTCTTGTGGTACTGTGTGGCAGCTGATATGACTCCGTAAGATGAAGCCGTCCGACGAGGCTGAGAGGATCCGGATCTGAAGATAGAAGAGTGATAGAGTTTTGCAATAAGATCCATATGATCTCCATATCAGCTATCGATACCTTACCCTGAAGTTCCCTCTTCTGGAATATTCAAGTCTCTATCATGACTTTGCAAGATGAGTACGGAGGGTCTGTGGAGGTGCAGGAACGATCTCGCGACGAAAATGCACGTCTTGCTGCAATACAACGCATAAGATCTCCATAGCAGCAATCCACATCCTGCCTCCAAACCTACTTCTTCCGGTAGTGTGTGGCAGCCAGCATGTCATAGCCGTCGCAATAGCTTCTGTACTCATCTTACATGGTCCAGGAATAGCAACCTCGTAGAGTTTTTGGAGATGATGGAGTACGAGATGGAGGAGGTGTAGTTGTTCCTCCAATCAGGGCTCGAGTTTGCTTCGGGAGGTGATGTGCATCGGGTGTCGTGAGACGGTTTTATAGGTATGCCGACCTATAGTGGACCATGGTATTTCCGACATACAAGTCAAAACTCATGAACAAGTGTTCGGGTTTGGGTTTTCGGAATGTATGTGCGTTTAGTTCTGTTCTTTTGTGACTTTGCCTTAGTCACGATGCATGGTAGAGTACGGCTAGATAGTATGCCATTCGAATGACTGCATCGTTCGCAGCGCCATGTGTAACTGGATATCCTATAGCATAGTTCATATGCGTATCACAGCCGAGGATCATCGTGGACATATAGATGTAGTGTCGTGCCCTAGCCGGGACACTATATGTCTTGAGTTGATAAATATTCCTTCCGCAAACCCATTGCTGGACTTGACAATCATACGCATGTGATCTTCACTGGATTATGTGCCGTTGAGCCGAGTGCAGCTCGTGGAACACTACGCTTCGTCATAAGGGCACTTCAGTTGATTTAACGTGGGTGTAGTTTCTTCGAGGACAAGCAGATAAGTTCTTGTACGAACGGTGTGCTATGGACCTGTTGCAGGTTCACGATCCCTAGCCTCGTTGCGTCATTGTCTTGTCATTGTCCTGGAGCACGCAAGATATGCTTGGCGGCAGATGCTACTCGCAAAGCATTCGCCGTGCCTCCAAAGTACATGAGGCTGATGTTTCGGATGCACTCCGAAGACCCTGGTGTTGAGGCAAAAGTTAGGGATGGAGGACTATCGCACGTCGATTCTGCACCTAGTTGCAGCCGAAATCGCCCTTCAGATGAGATGGTACCTGCGTAAGGCTCACGATACCACTTCAACAAGTTGCATGCCTCAAAAGAATTTTCGTATCTCGAATTGCCCCCGTGATTGTGCCAATGCGGCGCAGCTCAGTGGCCCACGATCCTTCGCTCGCGACCTTCGCACTCAGTCAACCTTAACCATGGCACCGGCGGATGGAAACGTGCTGATTGCCACCGTTTCCGTTGCGCCGCATTGTGGCCTCAGACGCGATGATGGTGTTCGCGCGAAGGATTCTGAACGGCGAACGTTCAGCCGCGGAGGCGGTCGGGAGGCCGTATGTGCAAGGGGCACTTGTGAAAGGAGGTTTCCTGAGTAGACATCGACGAGATACTCAGCTCTTTTGCAAATGATAGTGTTTTGTGTTCTGCAAGCCATTTATTTGTGCTGCACCGCACTGATGAGAGTCGTGACTGTGACTGTGACTGTGACTGCTGGCCATCACCTGTTCACAGCGTTTGCAAGCAGTGACTGCAGCGAAAGGATCGGGACGATGTGATGCCGAGCCTGGTCTGTAGGCAGGATACTTAGCAGTCCTTGAAATAAGGTAAGTGCTGTGTGAGAACGGTGAAGACAGACCAGGCTCAGGGACTCAACGTTCCGAAGTCGCACATTGATGTCCGTAGATAGTGCGTTGCGAGACCACATATATCTGGAGCTATCAATAATAGATTGGACCTGTCGCCAGCGAAGCGTTGCTCTGGGAAAGGCATCAACACCACGTGCTGCATCCATGGTCTCCAAGGAGTGCGTACGTTGGGGCATCGTGTGGATTTCGAGGTTCAAATCCACTGCCAGGGTAGCATGAACCTGGATCCTAGTCCCAGACCCTTGGAGTGACAGTGATCGGGAACGGAGTGTGCCGAGCTCAAGCTTGCGCAGGTGAACTGACGACTCAAGTGACGAATCTGCCGTATACGGACCGCTTCATTCGGTGCAGATAAACACGAAGTCGGTAAATACTCGCGTTGAACACGCTGCGCACCTTGTGGGATGCGTAGTCCCTTGCAGTGACCGTCCCTCGTAGTCACAGCTCGAGGTGCTCATATGATGACCAAAGATACTGTTCTCCGTCAAGCCTTTGTGTATCCCACGCCTCGGTACTCATGCATCGGCCAGATTGCCGCTTTTATTCAAGGTTGCTATGGGTTTCCATGTCCTCGGGTCGCATGAGCGCGTGGGTGACAAGAGTTCGTGGCTGTTTCAGACAGGGATTAGGCGCCCTAAAGGGGAATCACCAATTTACGCAAACCGCAACGGGGTAAAGCCTGAGGCTCTACGCTTATCAAGTCTGGAGATGATCCTCATATCTCAATATCTTCGGCGACATTTTGAGATTCTGCTTGCTAATGAAAATGTGCGACTGAGGCCGCGGGTACAACAATGATGCGAGGATTGGAAAGGTCGGGCATAAGCGGTCGGCGAATTGATGGCGGCAGCTAGGGTATTGCCCCGTGAACGGCGCGCGCGTTAGACGTGTGTCATTCTCATCACCTCGCAGGAAGACTTGTTGAGGTGAACGCCCACGATATGTTCAGCTCGGAAGAAGTTGAAGATGATTGTGAGCGTCCTGTGTGAGCGAGACGGAGCAAAACCTATCGACTGATTCAGCAAACGCAATGTAGCTCAAAAAAGGTAAACTTACAATGCTCGCGCGCGCGCCAAGCTTATCGACGGGTTGAGTACCCGCAACACCCTCTCTGCGGTTATGTGCAAAACATGTTCCGGTTGCATTGATTTCTGCAGGTTGCCGAAGTCGACATCCGCATGAGTGGGCCGGTCAACAGGCTGGAGTTTGACTTCAGTTGACAGAAGATGACAAAGTAAAAGTTGGGCTGGACCGCGACGATCCTGCGTCAACGTCAAGTCTAAACGTTATCCAGCATTGGGTTCAGGGTTGCCGGCATCGTGTCAAGACGTAATTGCTGCAAATGTACATCATCGTATTCTCGAGTGATCTCCCTCCAGTGTACTATTGCTTCGTGAATGAATAGCCTTGCTGGTGTGTGTTTATATCGTTAGCTGCTGCAGCACGTCCCTGGTGCACGGGATGCAGGCATGTTCGACATGCTCTGTATCCTTGTGAGTAGATACCGCAATTTGTAAATTGACTTTGAGATAAGTTTCAGACCCTCAAAAAGCAACCATCCTATGCAGTTGATGCTCAGAACGAGCACATGTGTCGAAGGGTTTGTGAGGATTGGGACAACCCTTGTGCAGATCACGACCCTTGTGGACAAACCTCGAGCGCGAACAGGGATCGCTTGTACGGATGCTTGCCGGTACATGATCAATGTACGTAGATTCCAATTTTGGCCCCAGTGTAGCTGACGAGAGTTCATTCAGACTTCATATGAAGTCGTGCTGCTTCAAGTCATGCCTTGCAGTGAGGCGCGGAGAGCGGTGGACGGTTCTTGGGGAGCTGAAGGTCGCACGCCTAGAACCTAACTCGACGGTACTTACCTATAAACGAGTATCGATGGCGCCTGCTTAGATACTCGTATGGACTCGCGGTGAGCGTCGCCCAGTAAAACGCTCGTAAACGGGTCGTTTTCGGCTTTGAGCGTTGCTTTTTGGCCAAAAAAAAAACGGTTAGTCCACGTTCTGAGGGTCAAATGGGCGGACGCTATTATCAAAAGCATTGAAGCGTATGGACGTTGTTCGCGGTAGTTGTCGTACACCAGACAACGGTAAGCTTTTCTGCGGAGGTGTTCTGCAACGGTTCGTATTTCCCTTGAATGAAAGCCGTGGTAGCACAGTTGGAGTTGAGGCGTCAGTGTGCCCTGCGTGACAGCTTTGGTTGCATAGCATCAACGTCCATGCAATGTGGCTCTCGAATTCTGTGCTGCACGTGTGCTTTTGCTGCAGTCTCAACTCCTGCTTTCACACTCCAGACTTTTGAACATTGGAGGGGTATCCGGTGAACCTTCATGCAACGACAGCTCTAGTGTCGTGATGGCAGAATGTTGACCATTCACACGGATCGCCCTCAACTCGCTCGGCAGTGTGCTGTCCTCAAAAACTGCTCTTGACGATGCCCCACGAGTTTAGTATGGTAAGGCGTGCGACGGCGGGCCAGGAAGCGGACGAAAGGGTAACATCTAGTGGGGTTCGAAGTGGGCATTTCTCCACGCATCGAGATGTCCCTTGCCGAAGATATGACGTCTGACGAACTGCTGACCTTCGAGAGCCACTTCGCGCTGATGGTGCGACAAATTATCAATTCGAAGAGGCAGAGGGCGCGCTGGCTTGCTTCTTTCGACTCCCTAGAATTATGCGATGTTAGAGGGCTTGCAGCACTCCAGCCATATAGCTTTTTGCGGAATATTTCGTGTAACAGCCAATGAGCACAATGTGCTGCGATGCAGGAGCAAGTCCTGGGTATTGATTGGAGGGCGTCCGCCATGGCAACCGGGGATCGAGTGCCGTCTGGGACATGCCTTTTACGGCCTAGGTAGCTCGAGCGAGCCAGACTCCTGCCGTATTGAGGCTGCGAAAAGTGACCAGGGCGTGGGTTTTTGGTGGAGCATGACAAGCAGCCTCGCGCAGGTACCCTGCTTGGCCGGGCGTGTGCTTGCTGCGCGGGCCTTCATGCGGGCGCAGTTGTGACAGGCAGCTCGAGTCACGGCGATGCTGTCGGGGATGTCATGTCGCTCGGCGCGTGCTTGCTCACCTTGGTACCTTGGAGAATGACTGGTGACTTCAGAGTGGCTCGATGGTGAGAGCTCGCAGCAATGCCATACGCGTCTAGAATTCCTCACGTCGGTCTGCCGGCTCAGACGCGCCTATAGCGATCATATGCGAACTGCTCAACGTTTGATCATTGAAGGTGCAAGCGCAAGGGAGCAGAGGCCGGGGAGAGCTCACTGGCCTCCCTCGTGAGCACGGCCTGGAATGAGCGAATCGTGATCAACTGCCTGGCGGCGAAGGCGTCGTCAAGGTTGATTACAACGCCGCAGGGCCCGCCAACGCTCCTTGGCTGCTCATCCCTGCCGCGTCCTGACAGCATGCGGCGTGCCCAGTGCGCCCATATCGGGCCTTGAAGCCTTTCAAGCTTGTCCCCAAGCTGGCAGTTTGGTGCAGGTCGTGGGTCGAAGGATCCGCCGGCGACGAGCAATAATAGTGCGGTGGCCCTGCGTGCATCATAATCGTTCTCCCACCCACTAATCGCCTCGCCGTTGCATGAACAATCGCCTGTACAGTACGCAGCTCAGTTGTGTTGTGTGTTGTTTTCGGTCGCTCCTTCATTGGCTCGCTTGAGCGCGCCTCACCACAGCATACGACCGTTGTGAGGGACCCCACGCCTTGTCTCTCCGGCGACTTGAGTGCAGGCCCGACCCTTGCAGCAAGTCCACAGTCCCTTCCTCAGATACCGGCACTAGAAGGCGTCACCGTTGGAGCCCTGAGTGCTGCATATCGAGCACCTGCCCCTCCTTAACACCGCTCACTATCAATCCGGCTTCACGGCTTCACCCATGAGAGACAGACTGCGTCTGAGACCTCACCAATCGTTCGCTATCCGCGCCACACCTCTGTTCCAGCTTCCCTCGGCGCATTGAACACAGCTGGCTGTTTCACGGCTCGCATCATCACCGGTTGTTCAATTGATCGTGCCCCAATAAGGTAATTACTTTCTTCGCTGTGAAAAGCAACACGTTGGCCACCCATTCCCATTCCCATTGGCATTGGCATTGGCATTCGAGCGCATTCACTGCGACGCCGCCGTCACGTAATCGTCACTGTTTGCTGCATTGGGTACGCCGCCTCGTGGTTTTCGCCTACATTCACCACATTCCTTCACCACGCCCGATTGGGTGGCATCATTTCTCACCCAACCCACCATCTCGATCACAATAATAACATAGTGACAGCAAGCGAGCAACATCAACATTACACATCGTCTAAACAAAAGGACCCCTCTTCGCGATACCCACACCATATCGCGCCGGTGCGATTGAGAGCATTCAGTACCACGGTTCGGCCGACGTTAGATCTTTGGACTCGATGTTGCGGCACATCGAAGTCGCGGCGCCCAATTAGCGACTCTCATTCCGGACCGCCACTGCTCACTGTTTGTTGTAAACCGCCTGAAGGATGAGTGACCACACCATGGATTCAGAAGAAGTGGAAAGGTACTCGAGTGATATGGTTGCGCCCCTCAACATCTCCAAGTCGCCCAGGAAGTCGCGCACCAGCGTCTTTGGCCACAGTCGCCAGTCGTCTTCACGAGCGCTCTCGATACGGTCACAGTCACAGCCGCAGATATCTCCCCCATTGACACCTACAATGGCCGGTGACTCGACGACACAACAGCTTCCAGCACAGCCAGTCTTTCACCATTACCTGCGCGCCTTTTACCACTACGTCCCAGCTTCCACGGTATCTTCGTCGACAGATGAATCGTCGATAACAGTAGCAATCAAGCAGGGCGACGTCATTTTGGTACATTCAGTACATCCCAATGGGTGGGCTGATGGTACATTGCTTGGATCTGGAGCACGTGGGTGGCTGCCCACTAACTACTGCGAACCATACGACCATCCTACAATTCGCAACCTACTCAATGCATTGACACATCTATGGGACCTCGTTCGTGATGGCGAAAGTGGAAATCTTGTTGCCTTCACCAAGCAGGACTATGTTCGGGGGATGATTGCTGGTATACGGTTCTTCCTGGTAAGATTAAGCAGCTACATCATGCTCATCTAGACGACCACTTACATCAAGTAGGAAAGGACCGATTGTCTGTCGAGAGACTCACATCTAATCGTGGCGCATGTAGGCCTGCGGCGTATGCGAAAAGGGCTTCTTGGCGATCTGTCGACACTTGTCAAGACTGCGAAGAAGCTGCAAGAAACATTGCAAATGAACGAGGATGCTGCGTCAGTATTCGAGCTGCTGGATGAGCTCGTACTTAAGTCTTTCAAGCTTGTGACACGAGCGGTCCGATTCCTCGACATCTGGGCAACAGACGCAGTGTCGCTGTCATTTGAGCTGAACGACAGGAGCCCTCGACGACCACTGACACCGCCGGTCGACTCTGCTGACACTGTTGTGCTACCGTCATCAGCGCCAACTCTAGCAGAGGATGATGGCTCACTGACCAATGGATGCGAGTCTCTAGTCACACAAGCGCCCGTTTTAGCGCACGACAACCTGGACTCCACCACGACCCAGCCAACACGGAACCTCAACCGGCTTTCTGTTGCATTTTCCATACCTTCCGAATCAGACTCATTCCAATCCCCCATACTACCTGCTCAGCCCCAGACTCAAGCCAAGAGGCTTTCTGTCACCCACCGACTGTCGTACACAGGAGCATCGCCAGGTGCTCGAAAGGAGAACCTTGCCTCGGAACGACTGAACGGTGCTCAAGACTCGTTCTTAGGGTTCATTGGATCCTTTATTGGGTTGCATCTACAATCGAGGTCTTCCGAAGAGCTGGCTCATATTACCCAGCAATCCGTCGTCGCCTGTCGCCAGCTACTTATCGTTGTCGAAGAAGTATGGGAACGCGACTCAAGAAGGTCCAAGGCTTTGGAAGAGACACGAGACGTCATGTACTTGCGACTTACCGAGCTAGTACAAGCTACCAAGGACATGTTCAATTCCTCGGACGCCGACATGGATGAGACAGTCTTTACGCCAAGCTCTGGAAAGCAGCTTGTCTCTGCTGCTACTAATTGTGTCCGGTCTGCCGGCGACTGTGTCACTAAAGCTCGGTTGGTCGTTGAAAAGATCGGGGACTTTGAGTTCGAGGCGGTCGGTGTAGGACTGTCGCAATCAATATTTGAACAGGTAGAACCTACTGAGCCTCAGGAGGACCTCGATACGACACAGAAGATACCAGAGCCCATCATGGAGACTGACAAGCCTCTGCCAGCACCGCCAACTGAAGAACAAGAGGTATTGGCACCTTCAGTAACGTCGGAGTTGAAACCACTGCCGGACGTTCCTGAGCAATCGCCTTCAGAAACGGAGAGCTTAGAGTTGCCACCCACCATACCTGCGGCGGTTGCGGAGAGCCTAGAGAGCCCGATGGCGCTTTCTTTCACGTCCTCGTTGCAGCCTCTTAACGAAGACCATGCCATCACTTCGGATCAGCTCGCAACATACGAACCCACTGGAAGTCCTGCAGGTGCCGCGCAACCACCGACCACCAAGGCCACTCGGAGTGACAGCGTCAATGCTTCAGTGGCGGACTCTAGCAGCACGTTTCATTTCAGCATTGGCAATGGAAGCGTCGTCTCTCACACATCCACTCGGGCTACTACTCCGGATCACATGCCCTCCAAGAAGCAGAGCCTTCAAACTCTGATCAGCAGCTTCGGTAGCTCTTCTGAGCTTCGATCCCTGGTGAGCGAAGATGTCGCCGCTGGTGAGGAGCACTTGCTGGAAACTACCTACGTACACGAGCTTGTGTACAACAAGGAAGGTCAGATCTCTGGCGGCTCTCTCCCTGCCCTTGTGGAGCAACTCACGACACGTGAGTCTACCCCGGACGCCGTCTTTGTCACTACCTTTTACCTTACCTTCCGCCTCTTCACGACACCAATAGAACTGGCACAAAGCCTCATTGATCGCTTCGACTACGTAGGTGACAGCCAGACAGTTGGCGTTCCAGTTCGTCTCAGGGTCTACAACGTCTTCAAGGGCTGGTTGGAGAGCCACTGGTCAGCTGACAGCGATTCGACAGCCCTGGGCTTGATCTTGTCTTTCGCGACTGGAAAGCTCCGATCTTCTTTACCGGCCGCAGGTAAACGTCTTGCGGAGCTCACCTCCAAAGTCACCGAGGTTCGCGCTGGAGCTCTTGTACCCAGGCTTGTCTCATCCATTGGCAAGACTGGCATTTCGAACACGATCTTCTCATCCAACGATAGCAATTCGCCATCACCAATCGTCACCAAGAGCCAACTCAATGCTCTCAGATCCAGCAAAGAAGGTCGTACGCAGTGCAGCATTCTGGACTTCGATCCCATGGAGTTGGCCAGGCAATTCACCATCATCGAGTCCAAGCTGTTCTGTGCAATCCAGCCAGAAGAGCTTCTAGCCTTGGAGTGGACTAAGAAGAGTGACTCGAAAGCCATCAACGTCAAGGCAATGTCAAAATTGTCGACTGATCTGGCCAACTTGGTCGCAGACACGATCCTCCACCTGGAAGACGCAAAGAAGCGAGCTGTCATAATCAAGCATTGGGTTAAGATTGCCGCCAAGTGCCTTGAGCTGAACAACTACGACTCGCTCATGGCCATCATCTGCTCCCTGAACTCATCAATGGTCATGCGCTTGAAGAAGACGTGGGAGCTTGTCTCCGCGAAGACCAAGGCTCGCCTGGACGAACTCAAGACTATCACTGACGTTGGGCGTAACTATGCTGTCCTTCGCCAGCGACTACAGAATCATGTCGCACCGTGCATCCCCTTCGTCGGGATCTATCTCACCGATCTTACGTTCGTCGATGTCGGCAATGGCACTACCCGTCAACTTCCTGGCGAGTCTGGTTCTGACAGCATGTCTGTGATCAACTTTGACAAGCACATGAAGACAGCCAAGATCATCGGCCAATTGCAATCGTTCCAAGTGCCTTACCGTCTGGCTGCCGTTCCTGAAATGCAGGACTGGATGGAAACGCAGATCCAACGAGTGCGATCGAGCGATCAAGCCAACGTTCAAAGCTACTACCGCCGCTCACTTCTTCTCGAGCCACGAGAGCTTCAACATTCTATCCGAGGTTCCCCATCTGTGGACAACAGTGCTCAGAGCACTTTCACGGTCGAGAGCCGCGCTACCTCGAGGGACAAATTCGAGTTTCTCAACTTCAACTTCTCCACAAACAGCCTGATGAAGGGCTCATAGACTTACTTCAAGGCGCACATAGGCGCCGCTTCACCTCTTGGATACCCAACATACTACCCTTGTTGAACTGGCATCTCATAGTTGGTAAAGGTGCTCAGGCGCCTGTCGACCCAGCGTTCTTTTTATGTTATGCTGCGGATATACATGATATCATGTTTCATCTTTCATATGCTTTGCTGTTCTATACCACTGTTTCATGGGGGATTTTTCAATACTGGGATGGAGTTCAAAAAGGATACGCCGACATGGCAGCCACGTATCACTGGCACAGGCGTTCAAAAGCAACGGCTGAAAAGGCGACAGCCGCAAGCAGTTTTGTGTAGTCATAGTATCCATGTGCATATAACATGGAGAGGCGTCTGCCCGACGAATGAACAACCATCAACACAAATCAATGATTCAGCTCAATTGCATCGTGATAAGGATCGTGGTGTTCAGCTTCCAAGTGGGGCTCATCGCGACCTTCGGCGACCCCGCCATGCAGCTACCCCTTCACTACCTTGCGCAACTGCAGCTTTCATTCACACAACCCTAGCAACTGCACATCAGCTTGCGCAGAGCACACATCCACAATGCCGCAAGAACTCCTCATCGACGTCCGCTCACCACTCGAGTTCTCCACCGGCCCCCTCGTCTCCGACATCGCGCCCACAGTCAACATTGAATACACGCAGATCGACTTGCTCGCTGAGATCTACGCGCAGCAAAACATCACCGTCGCCAAAGATGACCACATTACGCTGTATTGTCGCAGTGGGAGGAGGAGTGATATTGCGAAGAGGAGCCTCGAGGAGTTGGGGTATGGGAATGTGAGGGATATTGGCGGGTTTGAGGAGGCGAGGAGGGTGTTGGATAAAGAGACTGTTGCTAGACAGCTCGATTCGATAGCTGGAGAAGACTCTGATGTTGTGAAGAAAGGAGCTGGTGAGACTGAGGCAAAGAGCGACGGGAAGGAAGGTGCGAGGCAGAAGTCGTTAGATAAGCTGCTCGCTGGGCTGAAGGAGTGTGATGAGTGAAGAGGGATGCATGTGCATGTATGGCGGCATTACGCTTGCAAAGGACATGACCGAGGATGCGAGTCGCCACGGAAGAGATCAATGTGACAATTCGATGGAAGAAGAAGGTCACGAGGAAGGAAGGATAATGTCGATGCCAAATGCTTGCATTTGGGTACAATGTACAGGTAAATACTAGATTGCCTAACGAGTGTGTAAAGTTGGTCCTAAAAAATGCTCCTTCGCTATGAAATTCGCTAACCGCTGCGCAGTGCTCATACAATCTACGTGCGCCTACTGGCAGCTCAGTTGTGGTGAGGACCGTTGTCCTGCTTCTGAGCCTGCTGCTGTTGCTGCTGAGCCTGCTGTTGCTGACCCTTGCCATTGTTCTGGCCCTGATCCTTACCAGCCTGAGGAGCCTTGGAGGGGGTAGCTGCGGGGGCGACGGAAGCAGCAGCGCTGGACACGGAGGAAGAGATGACGGCAGAAGACGATGCGACAGCGGACGAGGAAACGAGGGTGGTCAAGGTGGATCCAACAGCGAGGTCATTGGCGCTGGAGGGGATGGCACCAGAGGGAATAGCGCCAGTGGGAGCACCGTCAGTGCCGTTGCCACCAGGAGGAGAGCCACCACCACCGCCCATCTGGGAGTTCTCGTTGGCGACACCGCCCTCAGCATAGAGGTTTGCAGCAGGAGTGACGTTGTAAGAAGCGCTGGAGTCCATGCCGAAAGCCAACCATCCGAAGATACCCTCAGAGACATCGTCACCGAGGAGGACGTACTCGACCATGGGGTCGACATCGCCAGCCTCCTCACTGAGGATGGAGTCGTTAGCGTTCTCGGTGATGACCTGGGTATTGCTGGCGTATGGCTCAACAGTATCAACAGTCTCAATGAGGTCCTGGTCGAAGAACATCTGGCCAACGTGGGTAACCGAAGCACCGGTCAGGGTGTTGTTGTCGTTAACAGTCGCATCGAGAGTGTGAGTCATGACGTGGATGTGGGTCGCACGGCTGGTGTAGTGCCCAGGGAACAGAGTATCGAACTGCACAACACCATTCTCATCAGCCTGGTTGATACCACGGAGGAAGGTATTGTCGAGGTTCGACTCATCGCTGCTGTCACCGTTGCCGCTGGCGATGACACCGGAGTAGACACCGGTAGAGTTGCAGTGCCACAGCTCGAGGTAGACCGAGGGGACAGGCTCGCAAGTGTTGACGTCGATGACCTGGATGTCGAGGTGAAGAGGTACACCCTCTTGGTCCTCGGTGATGTCTTCGCGGATCAGCTCGCCCTGGACCCAGTAAGGACCCTGGGTGACCTCAGGAGTGAGGATGCAGGAGTTGTTGCCGGTAAAGAGGACGGAGGGGTCGGTGTCGGCAGTGATGCCGGTCAGGTTGGAGGCGTGAGAAGTGGCGAGGACGGTGTCCAGATCACGGGCACGGAGGTAGTTCTTCTCTGTATCAATGGTCAGTCATCGACATTTCAGCCAGGTCACAATCGCTGGACGTACCCTGGTCGATAGCACGCTTAGCACGCAACTTCTTGACCTCGAGGCTGCGGCGATGAGCCATGGCAAGGTCATTGCCGCGAGCCTTGAGTGTGTCGGCACAGTGAGCGAGTGAGCGCTTGTGGGTGCTCAGGTATGCAGCACGCTGAGCGATCTCACGAGCATGCTCCTCGGGGCTGTCGCCAGGGTGAGCAGTGGACTGCTGAGCGAGGAGAGCAGCTCCTGCAAGAGCGGAAATGAACTTCATATTGAAAAATAGGCTGAGGAAGAGAAGTGAATGGACTGTTGTGAAGAAGTGAATGAGCTACTGATGATCCTATGGACACCTGAGGTCTGTAGCTTTATATCGGAGAGGATACCAAAGTGGTTTCTACTCTTGGAGCGTTGACATCGCCATGTTCAAAGCCTCGCTCAAGCTGAGTCGTCACCAAGCATACGCAAGGCACTGGGTTGAGGACTGGCGCCCGGCTTGGCAGAGACATGATAGGCGGCGCGAGATGAGATCTCCGAACGTTGGTGTTCCCCAGATTCTGGTGGCGTTGGGCATACTTTGCTACAGTTGATATGATCATGAGAGAGCACCGTCTTCGAATTCAACCCAAAGCATTATGCTCCCTCGTACAGACGCAAACACCACGTGCTTCAGCGTACTGCGCAGGTACAATCGAGCATGACAGCCTCAATGCCTCAGGCACAAAACTCCATTCATGCTAGTGCGCCCCTGTTTCTTCCTCACCTTAGTTTCGTTTCCAACCCCACGCCCATCCCTCTACATACGTAAGTTGCTGCGCACCAATAAGACTTCTCACAATGCAAAGCAGACGTTGACACTCCGGTCCAGCCCTGCCAACGGACTCATCGTGACATGGGGATTTTGGTGTTGTGACGCGTCTTGCACGCTTTGGCCCTATGCATACATACGATCTCCTTGGCGGCCTAACCGAATGCAGTAGAAGGGACTGCCGAGCTCCGACCTTTGTTGACACTTCTGGGTGTTCCGCTGCAGTGGACAACCAATGGATGTGTCTCGAATTACGCAGGTCCACGAGTTTTGATGTTGATGGCGGCTGCAGAAGGCAGAAGGCGGAGCGCATTGGCTTGGCACGGGTGCTTGGCTCCAGGTCAAGCATGCTTGCGTACCGGACGAGGCGCGTTACGAGCCTTCATCTGTACTTGTTATGGCTATCAATGCCGTCTGTGGCGAAGAGTCGTTCCGGTTTTATGGATGTTGAGCCGATGGCGATGTTCATTGGTGTCTAGATGACGTGGACTGCAGGAAGAGGCGGTGATGAGATTGCGTGGTGGAAGGATGCGTACGCAGGCGTTGACAAACGAGAAGTGCCGTGTTAGTAAGTAACCATGGATCGGAGTCAGTATGGTCTCGATTCATAGGTTGTGTTGTCTTCCTTGTTGTATGCTCAGGTGTGTATTACAAGCGAAACCGAGTGATAACGTGGCTACGTGCAAGCTCTTATCTCATCATTGCACGTCTAATGTAAGGCGACACCTGGACGACGACCTCGGGAGATTGGATGTTGTGGGAGTGTGATCAGCAAGTGATAGTAAGGTGATCTGTTGGTGTCAGTTCATGGCTCACTGGAAGACAGTGTATACTTCAATACCGCCCGCCGCATGCATCGCTGACAGAAGAACACACCTTTCGGTCGCGACAACCACAACCTTTCCAGAGACCGGCCACTATACTGGTATAACGCCCTTGACGGTGAATAGTTACAACTTCTCTCATAGTCGTAAAGAGAAAGGCTGTACAGCAAAAAGTTTATTCAACACCGCAGTATACCATTGCATCAAGCTAAATGAGAGACAGTCTTCGAAGCAGCAAAGCACTTTGCGTTGGGAACTTCGGGCCTCTATACAAACGAGAACTTGCTCATGGGGGATAAACTCTCTTCCGGCGCTATAATGGGTTGCGAAACACCACCACGGCGTCCTTGATGACTTGAGGCTGACTCGCCAAGTGGAGTCTCGTTGACTGCTGTGGCCGCGTCCCACCGATTTCAATTTGCATTCCAAACCGGGACTTTTTCTCGCTCTTGTGCCACTTGAGACCCAGCCACTTGTTGCAGTACCACCACAATGAACATCCCGGAGGGCTCTTGGCAGTCAACGAAGACCCCGCCCGGTGGGTGAGCCTCGTGGCCATTGTCCGAGAATGGAAAGACCCTTGTTTCACGCTGTCATTTCCCTTGATATGGAATGCTGCTGCGTATACGGATTGTCGTTATGAAGTGGATCGCATACCTAGCCAATGACGGAGGTTTACGTACGAGCTTGAGGGTCTTCAACTTTGCACCGTCTTATGCTCCAGATTGCGCGTGCTCCATATTCCAGGCACGGTGGGATAGGATCTCACGGTAGAGTACGTTGTCATTTCTGCTAAGGGTAATACGACTGCCTGTTTCGGTATTGCCAGATCCCTCAGAGCTCCAGCTGGTGAGAATGGTTGCCTCGTGGCTTCCTGGCACATCGCATCGCCATCCGTACGTTACATTCAATGGATCAGTCATTTGGAGAGTTCGCACGTGCTCCTCGATGACCTTGCTGTAGGCATCAACGTAGCCAGCATCGACGGTGAGTCTCTCGATTGCTATAAACGGTGCATCGAAAAGGATTGGACTGATGGCGTTTAGCTCCAAATGTATCGTCCACTGGAAGTCGAGGATCTCCTCTTGCGGACCCAACACTTCGTCCCGTGCCGGAGAAGCCAGGAACTCAAGGTGCGCATCTAGAGTTGGCCAGACACCAAAAATATAAACGAGGCTTGATTCTTCGATGCAGCTGAAGAAACGTGAGTTGGTCTGCAGTTTGCCTCGGACTAATGATAGGCTCTGGAGTAAGGCTGGATCGTCAACGGTTAGCCCCTTCAGACGCAGTTGGGTAATCTCGACAACAGGCATGTTTGAAGATTTCTACGGTCGCAGCTGTCTCGTAACGACCTCGATATAGTACCGGTGGTGCATCACACGTGCGAGGTAAAGGCATTGTGCAGCCCGACAATTGGGAACGCGGGGCAGCTTTTCTTTCACTCCGACAGGGGTTGGCGGCTTGGCGTTACGCTACGTGTAACCTTTCGATCCTTCCTCCAACGACGTTGCATCACAATATCATCAAGATCAGGCAGAGAGCAAACACACTTCAGCTTGTGGTACCACAACCGAGATGTTGTTGCCTACGGGACCTCCGATGCAAGAATACTGTATGCACATCGCCGCGCCCTTCACAGACAATCGATCGCTACCGTTTACCAAGTTGGCGCAAATCACACTGCTTGGCGAGGCTTGTCACCATGCAGTTTTACAAAAATAGTCCGCCAAACAGAAGCAAGCAAGGGCAGGGTAATCCCGACAAAGTTGCTTGCTTGTGGCACCTTGGAGTCGCCTTCGTGCGTTCCTGCAGGGCCTTGAAATCGAGGCTGCCGTTACGCTGGTCACTTGCTCGCAAAGGCAGCCTAAACTGATCGCAAGGCATTTCTGAGTTATGTGGATTGACGTACTGAAGCCGCACAGCCTTCAAGCCACCGACCGTTGGCCGCTCACCGGTGAGTTGTCCCAGCCGGGTACTAACCGAAGCTTGACCAACCTCAGTTCATTCAAAAACTTACTTTCTTACAACTCTTCACGAGCTGCTATGCTATTCGCCGGAACGTTTAATCCTTACCGCGTAGGGCTGTGGGTCAGGCGTCTCCAGCTCCCGCACCTGGCGTCCCCTGCCTGACCCGCGGGGTCTCGTTCCACGCTCCCGGTCTAAGCCCCCAAATTTGATGGTCCACTTGACGTGGGTGATTGCATGTCGCTGCTAGGAGCGGTATATATCGTCTCAGGGGAAGGTCGCTCGCGTCTCGCGTGTTGAATCCTCCTCATGTAAGCATCGTGATGCCTTCTCGAAACAACAGCATGCAAGACTCGTCAAGCACGTCGAGCGACTCGCCAACAGCCTCGGACTACAAACCGGACAACAGAACGTCACAGCCTCGCAAGCCGATACCTAGGAAGGGACACACCAAGTCGCGTCGCGGATGCTTCAATTGCAAGAGACGCAGAATCAAGTGCAATGAGAAACATCCAGAATGCAACCACTGTGTCAAGGCAGGACTACAATGTAACTACCCAGCCAACATCATACAGCTTACGCAGAGATCGACAAGTCCCCCACATCCACAAGAGGCAGTGAACTTACGTTCGACGCCTGGCACCTTTGTGAGTGATCCTCAGGCACGCATCAGCTACAGTAAAATCTAATAGTGTCAGACGATGGCCGACATGCGCTTGTTCCACCACTTTCTTATCACTGCGTATCCGCACTTACCTGTCGGCGCCGACAAGATCTGGATCACCGTGATCCCAAGTTTCGCACACAACGTATGTCGTCTTGCCCTAGTTCATCACCAGTGTTTATTTGGTGACCACGTTCCTTCATTCGAATCCTCCCGCGACCGCTTTTGACTCAGTCAATCTCAGGCTAACTTGAGCAGTACGAGTATCTCATACATTCGATTCTGGCCTTGGCTGCCTCGCACTTGGACGCCGTTTCGAATACTAGCGCCGCTGAACAAGCCATACAGCATCGTATCTTAGCCGTCAAATCTCTCAACGAAGCATTGTCGGTGCCACCGAAGTCAAGGAGCGAACAAGATGCCAGAATGGCGGCTGCACTGGCCCTTGCCTTCCAGTCGAGTCATCTCCAAGATGGCCTCGCTGAATTTCTGACCATGGTTCGAGGGTGCAATCTGATTGCAAGCGGCGAGACATCAGTTGGCTCAGATTCGGCCTTCAATGTAAGTCCTTCATCTTCGATCACTATGGTCAGCCGATATCTTCACCACCAACTACAAGCGCAGTGTTGCTGACTAGAGTAGGCGTTCAGCGAAGACGGCCACCTCCAACACATGAAGACTCGCATTGGTACCTCCCCGCAATACAACTGTGTGAACCACGAAGACCTTGACCTGGCCGCCCTATCACTTCGCTCCATCCAATACCTCAACATGTCATCATTCGAGACGACCTACTGGGGCGCTCTCGATGTCACCGTACAGAACGCCTACGACCGACCGATCGAAGCATATACCTCCTTCGTTACACTGTACAATATACCTTCGCGCTGGACACACGATGAGTTCCAAGCCTTCATCGACCCGAACAATAGCGTTGCGCAGATTTTGCAAGCACACTTCATCGCGGTCCAAGCAATCCTCACACCTATCTTATACCTCGAGCGGGTTGGTTTCGAAGGCATCGACGCACCAACGGCGGTCATGAGTTGGATCGAAGGGATATATAGGAACGTGCCGCACCATTTGAGGCACCATGTTGAGTGGCCCAGACAAGTGTCGCAGTATCCATTCATAAGGTTCTTGGGTCAAATGAACACAAACTACTTCGATGAGCAGACTGAAGATATGGGATTATTGAGTCTATGAGTCTGCAGATTCGGGTTGTCTTTAGGCGTTGGTGGAGAGCGGTCATGAGAATGATGTACGATATGATACCCACGACAGCCTCGTTGCAGGCTGGTCTATGCATTCGCTTTGGCAGTAAATATTCGAGATACGACACATACAATTAATACCTATAGTAATGCTTTGACATCTCCAACCCAAGGTGCACTTGTCGAGTGTTGCTCTCAGCCCTCCGTCACAAGGTTCCTGTGTCAATCGAAGCAATGTTGACCCTCTCACTGACAGCCAAGTACAACACACTCCAAAGATGCGCTGCTCTCTGAGGCTTCAACAAGAAACAGCTTCTCAGCGAGACGTGATCGAAGTATGCATCTCTTTCGCCGCTGGTGGATCTCACCTATCAGGTTTACAGGATCTGTGGCAGTGCTGTGTTTACGAAATCTGTGTACCGACCGGACGTGGGTTCAGTCAGAACTATGCCGCTTTGGGGCACGACTGCTCTTCTTTTCCTCTGGAGGCATGCGCATCGCTGCCCTGATCCCAGTCTACCCGTCATCTCCCTTGCCGTTTGCAGAGCTGGGGAATCGTGCAAGCCAATCATGATGCGGGGATTAGTGGAGCTAATGCCCAATATGGTAAGGACGACGAGAGAAGGGACGACGAAACGACGAGAGGAAGATGATGAGAGAGGGGACCGTGCACAGGATCACAGAGAGGAAGGATGTGATGATGCAGCAGTAGGCTGAGGCGCATCTCATAATAAAAGGCGAGGTGGGTATGTACGCACTTGAACGCCAATTTACTTGAAACCTCATAGCGGATTGCATCAACTCAACCGGCGCTTAAGTATACTCACTCGAACCTGGACACAAACATTCCTTGCCTTTACAGCCAATGATTTGGCCCTACTCGCCATACAAACGAGACACTATACGAGGATGGACTCCGTCGAATTTATTCTCCAACTTCTATCCACCATCTTTGCTGTACTCGGGATCCTCGTCACCATTGGCGGTACAGACACAAGATGGTCCATAGCAGCTGTTCTGTATCGACGACTGTGCAGAGAAGGTAAGCTCAAGAACACTTGGCCCGTTGCATAGCCGACCAACTTGAGACAGACATCGACTGGGAAGCTGAGAGGAGGAGATGGCAAGACACCTACCGTATCGACATGGAGAGACAACCGCCTCAGTCCAACGTTCCTTTCGCACCACCACGCAGCTGGTGCAACGCATCAGATGCCACTATTGTCACCCATCGCCGCACCATCCTCGAACCCGAACACAACGAGGACATTGGCAACCCTCTCCAACGCTGTTCCACCTTGACGCAAACAAAGTCCAAGCAGCGGTCAGAACTTGTGGAAAAGACGATACCTATAACCAGTGTCACTCACCTTGAGAGACAGGCATCGGACCATCAGGACACCCCTACCAAGTCACAGCATGTTCGCTATGTCAGAAAAGTAACGCGACCACACCCCATCGTGCGTTCACATGGACGGGAAAGCAGAAGATGGTCGACAGCTACGAGCAAAGATTCTGTAAACATCAGTGAGGTCTGCAATGCCATGGTGTAGCGTCGTAGTAACCACTCTTCACCTACATGGACCTTCCTAGCTTGCAGGCAATGACATGACCCTGTGAGACGAAGGACTCAGGCTCGCCACGTGCAGAGTGGGAGGCTGCTGAGCGTTATAAGCCAAGGGACTGGGCCACTGAGCCAGTAGCTCTCTGACCCACGCTCTCTGTGCCAGGAGGTCGGCGTGGGGACAGGAGAATCAGGACCACGAACATTTGCAAAATGTAGATTTAGGGATTGCTACATGACGATACAAAGAGTGATCCCTTCGCATCCGTAGCAATAGCTGCCAGCTCTTCGCCAAGAGACTTCTGGTCAGACTCCATGATAATGTAACAAAGTCTAGCGAAGCCTCTCACAATTCAGGAGAGCTCACTCGGATCCCGATTGAAACGCCGTTTTCCTGTATCCAAGTACGCATGGTGATGCATCCGTTTTATCCGTAACGCCTGTCAAAAAGCAAGTAGTCCACCGTGGTGTAGAGCAGGGTATGCCGTAATCCGTTAAACGCCGTATTGTGATGATGACAAAGGAAAGATAATTCATGGCCTCTCTTGTAGCCTAACCATTGGCTTCGGCGCGGCGAGACACATGATAGGCGTAGCAGGAGGCGACGGAAGTGCTGCGATGTCGACAGCCTCGACGTCCTCTTCATGCTCGTGATCGCACTCGAGCCCAGAACCGCACTCGACATGCGTGCCAGCCCAGCCCTCTTGCCGAGCCATCCACATGACGAGGTTGAGGTCGAAGTTCTCAAAGAACACTTCGTCGAGGAAACGTGCCTTCTTACCGGCGTATGTGTGGTACTCCTCGCGGGTGGTCTCCATGTCGAGGCCGCAGATCCGTCTGAAACATGCAACGGTGCAGCCCGTGCGGTGCTTGCCCTTGTTGCAATGAATCATGATGGGGTGGTTGGTGCGGTCCATGATCAAGCGCAGAGCTCGTTGCATTTCGCAGGAGTCGATGCGCACTTCGCCTTTGTTCGCGCGAATGTGGACCCGGAAGTGCTGGATGCCAGCCTCGTCCATGAAACTTTGGTACTCAGGGGCAATGGGCTCAGGTACCAGGGTGAGGATGCTCTTGATCTTGAGGTCCTTGATGAACCCGTAGTTGGCCGGCTCAGGATAGCTGCAGCGGTAAATGCTTCCAGGAATAACGGCTCCGTAGTTCAGGGGTGGAATGCGCATGTTGAGGCGATCAGGTACAACGGATCGGACGGACGAAGGTGTAACAGTGCCGGTTTCAGTGGTTGAAGCAGCTGAGCTTTCGGCGTTGTCGTGCGGAAGATCTTCGTGGTGGACGACAGCTGCATGAATGTGCAGCTTCTCGCTCACAGCGAGGTTCAGAGCCTCGAGATACTCCTTGACCTTGTCCATCATCGTGAACTGGGCAGAGTAGGCCCGGCCAGTGGAGCCATTGTTGCTGTCTCTTGGAGAAGCCATTGTAAGATGCGTAGCGTTAAGAAGATCTTTCATGTCTGTGGCTAGTGTGCAGAGGGTTGGCACTCAGCGTTCTTTTCTGTGTGCTGTGGAAGTTTGCTTCAGAGTAGTTGCACGAGTCTGACGGCTACAGTAGCTTGTTTCTGAGACCTTGGGACCGTATCTGATGGTTCTGAGAGGGTTTGAGGTGGTGAAAAGGAGGTCGTGTGCGTGTTGAGTAGCGGACTCAGAATGGGAAATTGGTCGTGTGCGCAGAGGAATCGGGCAGAGGCCGACAGAAGGACTAAATGCAATGTTAGCAGATAACTCGAATGCTTGATGTTTTGCTTTTCTGGTTGAAGCAGTTGTACGCTGCCGACCACAGTGTGCGCCCATATTGCTGCCGCCCTTCAGAACATGTAGCTTACGTGAATGATGTCGGTGCACCAATGGAAAGCAACAATGAACAACAAAACGCGCGTAAAAAGATCATCGTGACCACTCACTCTGCGGTCAGCTCGAAATTAAAGCAGACATTGTATTTGCTTCTTGCGAGAGGGCGAAGAGGCGAGATTCATAGTGTTGGCACGGCAGTGGTGGGAGGTGGTGTGTTCGGCCTCAAACCCCAGGCGCGGTGTGTCCGTGTGTGGGCGCGTGAAGTGGTAGCGAGCAGTCGTCGAGCCGCGGGGAAAGGGGTCGTGTGGTATTTTATGAGAGTGGGTGCAGTGGTGTTGTGGGAGGTCGGTGGTCGGGGCGGGTTGTGGTTCCAGGGTTGTCTCTTTCACTAGCAGTTCCACGGTAATCCGACCGCTTATGCGTGAGGCCTGCGCTTGCCTGGAAGATGACTCGCCAAGCGGATAGGTGCCTTACTACCCGTCGGACTTAACGATTGTGAGCCTCTGCGAGTCCCCTTATGGCGACATGCAGCTTTGTACAATGAGGCTCTTGCTGCCCAGAAGACAATGCAGCACGTGCGCGGCATTGCACAGCATGAGTACATTTTCCATTCACAAAGCAAGAGGTCGCCAAGTGGCTCGCGTCGAGCTTCTCATATTGACCACCCCGCTGTGGCATGACAGGCGGAGGCAGCCGGTCTCAACATCGTCTCGGTACCGAGACTGAGCGCCCCGAAAATTCTTGCAGCGGTGCAGCGTTGAGCGTTCCGCCCCGTTTGACTCGCTCGAACCACTACTGACGCACATACACGACACGGATTTTTCGTACATGTGCATTCGCTGCAGCCTCGCACGTACAACTTCTCCGAAGTCAGGATCTGGACACGGGTACTTCCAGTGACAGCTTCAAGGAGCCGCTAGTGGAGGGTGTCAATAGTTTGCGCAGTGTTGTCTTGCTTACAAACCTTTCCGCCGATGGTATCGCAGTCTACCAACATTAGAAAACAGACGACAGTTGGATACTTCACACAGTGTCTTCAAACGTCAGTGATGGCCACTTTCACGTGAAACAGCACATGATCGTCCACTAACCTACATTGGTACTAACCTGACATACCCCAGAGTCCCGTGCTCTATCACGATAACTTGCAATCGAACCTCGGTCACTCCACGCGAAATCTTGTTCGCTATAAGCAATCCTCATGTCCTGCTCCCTTTCAAACTAGATCTGGCATTCACGCAATGGAAGCATCACGCTCGTCATCCACATCCCGGCCACGACGTTCCTATCCCAACCTCCACAACCTTTCCCTCGCACCCCTCAGCTCCAAATACCCACTCGACGCCTCCGCACCACCCACTCCAGACGAAGACCTAGGCGGCGCGCGCACACCACGCACATCCTACATCGCGCAGAAATCCGCACCAACAACACCCGGCATCCTCAGCCTAAGCCAGAGCAGAAGCACATCTCGCAATGGTCGCCGCCAGAAAACCTACGCCTACGACAGCTACTTCATCACCGAAAGAGAAGACGTGAGAGACGCAGGCGACATCCCCAAAGCGAAGAGCACGAATACCCTACACCCCGGGGTGTCTTTCGCTGAGCCGACAGGACAGTTGGAACACAAAAGACACCATACACGGAAACACACGGCGCCATTGCCTCTACGCATGCCACTCCACCGCCACCACACGAGCGAAGGTAACGACGAGTGGTTACACCGCGCAGGCCTCGTCATAGCGGGCGAGACAAGAGATGCGCGGGGACAGGGCTGGTTGGCGCGGAAAGAGAGTTCAACGTCGCTTGTTAGTTCTGTGGACCCGCCGGAGCCGCGTGAGAGAGATGCACGGCATATTGCGAGGCTATCAGGTGAACCGGGGGATTTTGGGGATTTCTCTACTTTTTCACCGCGGGTCAGTAGGGCGGGGAGTAGACTGCAGTCAAGAGTTGGCAGTCGTGTACCTAGTGCTCGACAGAGTCGAAGGGGTTCGCGTGTAGGCTCGCGCATTGATCTGGTCATGTCTGGGCTCCCTTCTACGCGGCAGAGTCTGGACATGGAGGTCGAGGAGTCGCCCATCGAGCCTGATTTCGTTGAAGCAGATGAGGCAGAAGGTCCAGATGACGAGGAAGAAGTCGCTCGCCTAGCACGAGAACGTGGATTCGGTCTCGGTGGGTGGATGGACGCGCTGATTGGGTGGACACTGTTCTCTGTGGACGAAGACGGCGAAGTGTCGTCTGACGAGGAAGAACAACAGTCAACAAGTCTGACAAAGGACGAAGCGAAGCTAATGCGAGAAGTCGAGGCGAAGAGGAGGAAGATGGAGCGCGAGAGTATCATTGCTGCGAGTGCGCTGAAGGTGCAAGACAAGACTGGTGAAGAGGGTGGGGAGGTCAAGATCAATGTGCCCAAACCGCCGGAGGGGCAGGAGGCGGATGGGTGGCAGGATGCTGCTTGGCTGCTAAGTGTGGCGAGCAAGGCGTTGTTCTAGATGGTGTCGCCGACTTCCCTTCTTCATTGCGTTCTAGCGAAGTTGAAATACCGACAATGCGAAGCTACTACGTAAGGCCAATTGTCTACAAGTATACTAGAGAATCAGCACAGCACGTTACTGTACACTGTATCGTAGACCATCTACACCCTCCTCTCCTGCCCACACCTTACCCCTCCAGACACCACACAATCACATCCCCAACCCTCCTCGAATCATCATGGAAATGACTGTTGAACCCCCTCCAGCACTCCTTGTACCTAGTCTCTCCCAACACATCCCTCAACTCACCCTCCAGCGCCTCGAAAAACACCAGGTTCTGCGGCCACTTCCTCCGATACCGCGCCTTAAACTTCGGATCCTGACCCGCCAAAAACTGTGCGGATCGACTGCCCAACGAAGAAATTGTGGCAGTGGACTCCATATTATCCCTCAACCACCGCTTCGGCCCCGGGTTGATGTAGAACTCATCCGCCTCGTCGAGGTAGGTCGCTCGCTCGGCGAGAGGGATGGTAAGCGGTGGTTCGCATGTCAGTGCCCACGCGTTGATGGAAGGGTACACGAGGTGAGAGCGCCAAGGCGTGGAGTGGCAGGGCATTAGGAAGCCGACCGTAGTATTCAGCATCGCTGGTGGGACGCCGGAGGTGTGGGAGAAGATGTTGTTCCGCGCTTCGTGCTTGTGCCGGATGTAGTGCAGCACGTCAATTACGCCGCGTTGGTGGATTTGCGAGAAGTAGCTGGCTACTAAGATGTTGATGAGGAGGAGCAGGCCGATGGTGGCGCGGCGTGTGAGGGGTGCGCGGGCGGGGAGGAAGTGGGAAAGTGGACGTGCGGAGAGGATGTGCAGGAAGGGCAGGATTGGGTAGAGGAAGCGGACTTCTTTATGGGAGATCAGGCTCAGTGCACAGGTCATGGTGAGCGATGTCCATGCCAGGCGTGACAGTATGCTGTAGCTGGTTGCGAAGGCATTGTTAGTGGGCGGATCTGACTTTCTTCGTAATGCTTGCCACAGGCCTACGAAGGCGAAGGGCAAGGCTGTGGTGAGCAGGAGAGGTAGACCTTCGGTGAAGTAGTAGTCCGGGCGGTTTCGGCCGTAGAAAACTGCTAGGGATTGGGCGATGTTGAAGTAGAGGAATTGCAGGGGAGGCAGGGTCCAAATGCCATAGTAGAGTCTGTCAGACAATACTGAACAGCCAAGAACAGTGGATCTGTGGTTGTCAGTCAGAGTATCGATAGGTGATCAGGTACGGCTTCGCGCTGGCCGTATTGGGATGCTCATGCATGAACGTCGACTTACCCGCATAGTATGGCTTCGCTGATCAAAATATACCGCAACCTCTTCGGGGCCCACCATATTGTCGGAATGGAGATAGGAAGCCAGATGAGGATGTTTGTGGGTCGAAGTATACAGGCAAAAGCTGCTAGCAGCAGTGACAGACGCAAACTATACGAGCGTGAGCATAAAGTCGGGGATGGATATGGGGTGACAGCCTACTGCAAGATCGAGTCGAGATCACGTTGGGCTGCAGGTGATATTTTGTCCTCTTTCCGAGCTTTGTTGGGTGCTGTTGTTGTTGTCCAATGCCAAGGCCAGTAGTAGACAGCGATGGATGTGAAAGTGGTTTCAAGACAATTGGACAGCGTCCGGATTGAGCAGAACCACTGCCATGGGCTGCATACCGATATTGCGAGCTAATGTATCACAGAATCAGATACCCGAAATTGAGGCATAAAATTGCGGGACGGTGACATACAGTAGTGAGGGCTGTACGACCGCCGCGACCGTAGACTTTCTCCGCAAGTTTCCATGTGTAGCAGTCGAGTAGCGCTGCAGACACAGCTTGGGCAATCTTCGGCGCTGACAGGAGTAGTTCGGCTTTGACAGATAGATTGAAGCCACAGAGGTCTGCTAAGTGTGCCGCGATTCGGTAGGCAGCTGCAAATAGCTCAGGATGCAGAGACGACCGCAACTGCGTCCTCCACTCCTGCTCAGCGTGAGACGGAGTGTTGCAAAACAATTCCTCTACAGAACCAGATAAATGGGACTGATCAAGGACGAAGGGAAGTTACCCAAGTGATCCAGGCATTGCTGGCCCCACCAAAGGCCAGCTGCCACGCAGGCTCGAGCGACTGGAAGAACTCGTCCGGCTGGAAAAAGGTGCGCAGCGTCAGTGCATTCACAATGCGGAAGGCCAGCAGCAGCGCGAAGACGCCTAGCGTCGAGTCACGATAGCTGGTAGATGGACTCTTTGGTGGACCATCAGTCCGGCTGGCAGTCGTGGCATTTGCGGAGTCGCTGGCGGACGGCATTGGGCGATCAGGTCAGAGGCCGCTGCAGTCGAGCACGAGCACGAGCAAGCAGTCGGGGCGTGGACAGGCAAGCGAGGGATGGATTTCAATGCAGAGGGTGACGAATCTCACGATGCTTTGCAGTGGCTGGCCAGGCTTGGCACGATGCACCAGCTCAATGCGTGCTGCACCAGAGCATTTGTGTCAGGAGTGCAGAAATTGATGACCTGTTCTATGCCTTTCTGGGTATTTCACGATAGACAAAGGCCGGCGTCTAGACTGCACGTTCATCTGCTGGCCTGCCACGACGCAGTGTGACTTCGGCGAGAGGTGGTCCGTGACTTCACGATAGGCAGTTGGCACGTAATAGTGTTCTGCGTGTGCGCCGAGGAGGTGAGAGGGGCACTGAGCGTGTTCTCAACAACGATGGCGCGGGTGGTGAGTGGGAAAAAGCAAAGTGCAGCCATCGAGCTACCGTGTGGAAAATCTGGGGAAGGGGCACGCAGTGAAGAGGGTCCAAGGGGTGCATGTTGGTCAGCGTGCAGGGTTTCTTTGAGGGACGCACCCTCGCAGATGGAGAATTTAGAGTTGCGGCGCCTTAGCTTGCTTTCTCGCTCTTATCGCGGCTGGCCCATAATTTCTGTGACGAGCACTTGCTGCAGCGCGACTGCATCTGCGGCGAAGCACCTATCCCTGGGCCGAGTGCAGAAGAGCTGCAGGGCTCCCAACAGCGCGGCAGCCGTGGGCAGTCAGGCACCTGCTGCTGGGCTTGCGTCTCCCACGAACACGATGAGGTGCATCCAGCAGTTTGCTCTTATCGCAGCTGGCAACTGAGCAGCGAACCACTCCTCACACCTTCGTGCGGGCGCCACCGAGTTGTGTTGAGCGCCGGGTAGGCCAGCCAATGCAGCGCTGGTCCTGCATGCACCAAGAAGGCAGCCATACCGAAGCGAGGATGGCGGCATTGCATGTGATTTTAGCCCGGGCCCACCTGCTGCTGGAGGTGAAGGGTGGTAAGAAAGCAGCCGGCCCAAAGAAGTACATGAGGCACGCCAGGCTGCTCAACAGTTGTGTGTTTTCTGCCGCTCTCCATATTTCTAGCTGTCTACGTACATTTCTGTCTGTCCGTGGTACTGAGTGCTGTGGCAGGCGACATCGTTGGCCATCTGTTGGCCGCCTTTGTTGCTGTTGTTGGCCGCCAGCTTGCAGCCCCACCACGCCCATATCGTTCACTCTAACTCGTTCATTGCAGCTGCAGCTCCACTTTTTCGGTCCCTCGTCATATCAGTGCCCTATGTGGACGGTTTAGGGCGATCGTGTCGCTCAACCATCCCATCCCAGCCGTGCAGCCAAGAGTCGTCGACCTCCCGCCGGTTCGCAGCAGAGCACCATACACGGTGCACTCGACACGCACACGCCGACACCACCGCCTGCCCGCGCCGCTACTGTCTTCGCTGTGCAGCAAATATCTGGTCCTGCCGCGAGCGCAGGATGACACACCCGCCGACACCGCGAGCACCGAATAATTTCTGAAGCGCCGCTCATTCCGGACCCTGACATGGTTGCACTGCGCGGCTGAACTGAGACGACTGCGCGCTCGCTCGCCATGGCTGGCCCGGATCTGACAGCGGGGGAGCAGTGCTACATGGACGACACCGCGCGCGCCCGCTCGACGCCGCTCAACGGTAACGGCGACGATGGCGAGTCGACGCCCAGCCAGCAGCGGCAGCGCCTGCAGCTCGACGAGGCCGACAGCACGCCGCGCTCTGAGGTCCCCTCGGACGCTGTCACTGCACAGCTGCGGCACGCCATCGACGACGAGCAGCCCAGCTACTTTTCACCGCAGCCCCGCCGCACCTACTCGTCGACCATCACACGCAGCACGCCCGCCTCGAGCGAACCGTCACCCTCCTCGAGTGCAAATGCATCGACAACGTCTGTCAACAATGTCGCAGGCACGCCGCTAGGCGACGCCTTTAGACCCTCGGTGCACCCTCTCGCCCACGTCAACCGCCCCACCTACGAGCGCGATCTCTCGAGCATATCAACCGCCAGCAACGTCACTGTCCGCCGCGCGAACCCCACCGGTCCCCTTCACCACTTCGCCTCCGAAGCTGCTGTCCCTCAGCAGCGTGATGGTCCGGTCTACCCCAACCAGTCCTACGCTGCCCTGCAGTTCCAGCAATACCCCACGCCGTATACCCCGCCCATCCAGCGCGCCCGGAGCTCACACCCTGCACACTTCTCCGCAAACTCCGTGTCTGCCATCCCTTCGTTTGGCGCCTCGAATGTCCACTACCGCGATATCATGGAGTCGGCTCCGCGCACCGCCGGCAACTCCCCCGTCAGCAGTCCTGGCCTCTTCGACCCCACCAAACGCATACCATCCGGCTCGAGAGAGCCCACTGACGGCCTCTACTCTAGCCCGTGGCTCCACCACACCCACAGACAGGCACCGAAGGAGAGCCACATCGCTGACGTAACCCACGACCCTGTGTCCGGCCGCAAGGTGGTCAATCAGTACGAGATCATCGATGAGCTTGGACGTGGTGTGCACGGCAAGGTCAAGCTAGGGAAGGATTTGTTGAGCGGCAAGTACGTGGCCATTAAGATTGTGGATCGTTACTCCAAGCGTCGACGTCTGGGCAAGAACACTAGTCACGAGGACAAGATCAAGCGCGAGATTGCCATCCTCAAGAAGGCTCGACATCCCAACATCGTCAGCTTACTCGAAGTCATAGACGACCCGGCTAAGAAAAAGGTCTATATAGTCCTCGAGCACGTTGAGCTCGGCGAGGTAAAGTGGAGGACGGAAGGCGCTCCCGAGGTCACCTTGGTCGAATGGCGCCGCTTCCAGCGAGAATCAGAAGGCATCTTCGACGACGACAGAGCAGCACGAGAGGATGAACGCATCATCAGGTTGGCACATCAGAAGCTCGCCCGACAACGGCGCCGTGAAGCAAGGGAAGCCCACCTTCGTCGTCAGACCGTTACAGGCAACGAGCCTTGGAGCTTTGAGTTTGGAGGTGACTCTGATGACGACCTCTACTCTGAAGCCGGCCGGAGCTCTCGAGCCTCCAACCGTGACGAGCGTCCCCACAGCCGTGTCCAGTTCCACGAACGTAAAGAGCTTTCCACTCATACCGATGACACGATGGAGACTGCGTTCCGCTCATCTATCCACGCTCCCGACTCCAACAAGGGTGAAGAAGTAACTGCCACCGGCCTTGAAGGGACAATGTACGGCCCATACGATTCAGAGTTCGTCCGCGGTCGCACGCCTAGTGTTGCCGGCAGCAGTTCCTCTCACCCAGAGGGCGAGCATGACGAGGTACCAGAGCATTTCCGCTATGTTCCACTCATGACGATACAAGGCGCCTGGGAGGCCTTCAAAGACACCGTACTGGGTCTTGAGTACCTCCACTATCAGAACGTTATTCATCGCGATATCAAGCCTGCCAACCTTCTCGTTACAAAGGAGCACCGCATCAAGATTTCTGATTTCGGGGTGTCCTACCTCGGGCGCCAGAAGACCGATGAGGGTTTCGGAGACCAATCTGAGAACGAGATACAAGAAGAGGACGAAGCCATCGAGCTAGCGAAGACAGTGGGCACACCGGCCTTCTACGCACCCGAACTCTGTCGCACTGATTTTAGTGCCGAGACTCCACACATCGACGGGGGCATCGACGTCTGGGCTCTAGGAATTACTCTGTATTGCCTGATCTACGGGCGGGTCCCCTTCCACGAAAACAACCCCTTTGCTTTGATGAAGGCCATCAGCGAAGACGAACCTTACATACCACGTTACCGACTAAAGCCTGTCTCCGAGCGCGCGAATTCCAGGCCGAACTCACACGGGCGCAACATGCAGCCGATCTCGAACGCCAAGAGGGCGCCGCATGACGTTGATTACGAGGAGATTGACGAGAACCTTCGTGATTTGCTGAAGCGTCTTCTTGTAAAGGACTCTCAGCACCGCATCACCATACATGAGATCAAGAGGCATCCATGGCTGCTCCAAGGTATCAACAACTATACCTCCTGGATGGAAGAGACAGATCCCAACCGTTCCTCGCAAGGTCGTAAGATCGAGATTACAAACGACGATCTAGAGAGAGCTGTTGTGCCCGTTGGCTTCGTTGAGCGGGTACGGTCAGCTGCAAAGAAAGCTACGGACTACGTCACCAAAAGCTTTACCAGAGGTGGTTCGAGCTCACGTCGTCGTGCGCAGAGCTCTGCACACGATATGCTACCCAGTATGAGCACCACCTCCTCGAGTAGTACCATTAGCCAGGACGCACGACGAGGTAGCGTGGCACCTAACGCCATTCTGGACATGTTGGGCAGATCTCGCGAGTCGGAGCATCCTCTCTCGCACAGCGTCACTGCGAGTCCTGAAGCAAAGGAACGAGCAAAGTACTTTGACAGTCCTGATTCTCGAAAGGCGTCGCCTATGCAGAACGTGGAGACTTACCGGCCAGCCATGCAGGATCGATCCTTCTGTTCTGCGTACACTATCCGTCAACCCGACCTGGAACCCCGGTCTACTTCACCAATGGTTCCCTCAGCGCTGCCTGGCACTCCAACTGCGTTAGATACGCCTACTGGATCGCACTTGGGGGGCTTGTTCGGAGGTCTACCACGCAGGGTTGTCAACAGCATGAAGAGTAAAGACAAACTTAGACCTCGAGAGCACATTCGGAAGAAGTCATTCGACAAGTCGATTGACAGACTCATGGTCGGCGAACAGGATCCCCACGGTGTCCCGAGCCTTGCCATAAGCACGACCAATGCGTCTGGTCATGTCGACCAGCCAGATCCGAAGGAGCTATCACCTGTTGCAAGGAGTCGATCGCCCAGCTACTCGGACGCACACTCTATCGATCATCCGGACTCGTCATCACGGCAGTCATCGGTATCATCATTGTCGTCCCGTCTTGCTGCTAGATGGGCTGCCGCGAATGAGCTCGAGCTTGGCCCCACTCTGGACATACCTCCTGGCTCTTGGAAGTCACAAACTTCATCTCGATCTGCCCATACTGCAAACTCTCACTGGCTCTCGAGTGCTCACGAAACATCGGATGAGAGGTTCAGCCGTGCAAAGGATGAGTTCATCCGCCGCAGAGTACGAGAGGAAAACATGGGTCGCGAACGATCGGTGTCCACGACACAACGACCTGGCTCGGCACTCGATCAGACTGCTTGCCCTCCCAGCCCGGATGATGAAACATTCAATCAGCACCAGAAGGTCGAGGAGTATCTGGGCACGCAACACGCAGAGTCTTCCGAGAATAGCCCTGTCGGTGGACAAGAGCGAGGCTTGGCCTTCTGTTCTTCTGAAGAGCAGTTTACGCCCATGTCACAATCGACCTCGAACCCCTCAATTCCATCTGTAGCATCCGCCAGCTCTTCAGTACCAGACGACTGTGCACCACTGGACCAATTCGCCAGCATGCTACCCACAACGTCTGCTGACTCGATCGCACACAACCAGTTCGATGCTCCTGTCGACGACCCTGCCGGCTATGATGGCGATCATGCTATTGAGAGCGACGAAGAAGACAGCAGCGACGACGATGGTGGCCTCTTTATGGGCAAGAAGAGAACAGCGCCTAAGCCTCGACGAAGCAACTCGATCTCAAATGCGGAGCTTGCTCGCTCGAACATTTCCAAGGAGGTCATGAGTAGTCGTCAACGCTCAGCACGCAGCGGCAGTAACGGCACTGTCAAGAAGATCCCTCCGCCTGGTGCGGCGGAGACCTCGGCCGCCACTTCTGCCGACCAGACCCCTGAAGTATGAGCACACCATCACCTCGCACACAATATTACCTTGTTTTCTGTACGATACAGCATACATCGGGCGTCTTTCAACAGCGCACACAACATTTTGGGATACCCATCGTTCAATGTACAAACACAGCAACAACACATCATCACATATCAATCCCCATGGACTGGCGCGCGGCGTTTCCAACAAAACTTCGATCATGGCGGCGTTCTCTCAACTATCTCATTTGGCCACGGCCATTACAATTCTGTAACTATCGAGACCATTTTCTACTTTTACATTTTGCATGGCATGGGGCGCGTTCGGAAGGGTCAGGTATACGTTTAGTCGACGAGGAGAGGAAGTACGAATGACGAAGGGACGAAGGGATGAGATGCCTTGTTCGCGAACCTTATTCGCAGTTTGCGGTTTCTCGATGCAAAGTGTTTGCATCGTATACTAGGGTTTGCGCTGGGCTTTGGCCTGTTTGAATCAGGACTTGCATTAGATCACTCTTCTCTGTGTATCAACATAGTGACCCTCGTGTGAGGCGTGCACGGATATGGGATGGCAGACTGATAGTAATTAAGGGCGAGAGCTCGATTGAACCAACCACAGCTCTCCACACTAACTTCTTGACATTTGACCATACTGTCCATCGCCGCCCTATCTGGCCTCTAACGCTTCAGGCGCGCCAAGCGTTAGATGTCACTCACTCTTCGCACGCTCCATCACAACTGCCGACCCACCTTCACACCGATAATGCTTTCCATCGGACCACTTCTCACCTCACCTCATCTTCGCACCGAGGCAACCGACTCTGCGCATATCCACTGCAACGCCCGTGCCGGCCCTGCATATACCGACATACATATTACCACTTCGAGCGAGTTGCATCCAGCCCTACGACCACGCCCTAAGGGTCGATTCGTATTGACCAAACCCAGACTCTCACCACTCACTGATCGGTGTGATTTGACCGCAGCACGCATCGAGCTTCTAGCACGTGGCCCACGCAGTAGCAACCGCCTGTCCGTATAATTTCACATGTTCTTCGCCGCCTTTACTATCCGACTGTCACTTTCTTATTCCCTCGTCGCCACAGGGCAGTTAAGCAACGACGAATTGGCAAGACTGGTGGCACCACCAGCGTGCGTATGCACGTCATTTACCCGGATAATGCGTATGCAGGCACATCCAGGAGAGGATAGGCCGCCGGCAAGTGCTCCGCACCAAGAAGAGTGAAGACAGCTTACACATCCAATGCTTCACAAGGAGAGTTTGTGATTTCGCGAAGCCCAGGTGTGTCCGTCCCGGCAGTTCAGTATGCTCACCAAGCTGAAGTGCGGGCGAGGTGTGTGGCTCACGGTATGTTAGGGTCGAAGAAACGTGGGGATGTCAGTGTTATCTCTCGAATCTTATCATGTCTGAGGCACATATATAGGTCTGAGTAGAGTGTGCATGTTCTGGCGGAGATGGTGAAGTGTGCGTTCCCTGTCTGCACTTGCATCCACTTCCACTCAGATGCAAAAGTAACAGCAGCCTCAACAATTCGAACCTCCACTCATGAGTGGATAAAAAGAAGAAGAATCCGTGAATCCGTTGGACCTAGCCACCCTAGGGTCGCCTTCAACTGTTACACGAGAGCAGGCGTGATAACTCCTGGAGCATGGAGAGGCTGTGCGTGCTAGTGATGAGGTTTTTGCACAACGTATATGCGATGGTTGTATTGATGTAAATGAAGTGGAACGGTTGCCAGCCTTGAGATGTTGGCGTGTGGGAAAGGCATTGTGCGTCCATGCTGGGAGAGGATTGGAAGTGAAGATGCGGGCGGTACGCTGAGACGACAGCCGTAGATATTACAATGCCAGCATTGCGTCTACCTAGCACTTAGGTTTGTCAAGGGGTGATTAGGGACTGCGCATTTTGTGTTTGAGCAACGAGAACTAGAAGGTACAAGGAGGAAGGGAGTGATTAAGGGACCATTTGTGCGGATCAGTCGTTGATGATTGTCAGAGGGCGGTTGTGGTTGACTAGCGACTTCGTGTGTTGCTGTCCCTCCCGTTCCCGATTCTTTCAGAGGTCCTGTCGGAAAGGTGATGGCGGGCCTATCAAAACCACAGAAACGCCGATAACTGTTGTGTTTACCAAGGATATTCCACAGGGCTCTTCAGATCTTTCCTGTTACCTTCTCAGATGTTGCCTGTTAGCTAAAGTAACATTGTATCGTCGTAGTGACATTTCTATCCGAAGTCGTCAATGCCTAGCTTCCGGTAGCAAGTGGTTTGTGCGACAAGTTGTTATAGAGCTCCACAAGAGATTGAAGGCATGTGTTCTGGTGTTTGGCTGTCGATAAAGGATCTCTAAGTATGGCTCGGAAGGACAGCCGCTGGCGGGTACCGGGTGCAACCGCTCGTGTCAGGGTGACGAAAAGGTTCCACGTCGACGGATTGTACGAACTTGAGATTATGCATAAGTAGATCGCGAGAGCAGGTAGTCCTGCCACCCGATCTCAGATAGAGATCATCCATTCTGCTTCCCTTGGTGATCCCATGATGGCTATCTCAAGGGAATTCGACATTCCTTGCGGCGTTACTGCGGCGAGCACGCGACAGACTGCTATCATGGTATGAGATGCATGTCAACTCAATTATTTCGTCGCACGACACAGCTCCGCGGATCTTCTTTCGATTGTCGAACCGAATATGGTGGTGAACGGAACACCCTGAAGTGCGACAGGCGCTGTGGATTGCTACCCTGGTCTGATGTCATGACGGGCTCGTGGCATACCGTCTTTACGAACTGGTACAGGCATCGCAATCGTCGGCCAGGATCCTACGAGTCGGGCTCCTCTACTGATATCGAGCTCGGTACGTGCTGCAGAAGCCCCGAAAGATTTGACTCTGGCATATCATTTGGAGGCCTAGATCTGGTCAGCGATGATCATGTTACCCCGAAGTCGAGCATTGAGCCTCATCTTGATGATCCCATCCTTTTGAAGCTTAAGTTCGGAGATCAGACTTATATCAAGCCGCTCGATTACGGAACCTTCTCTCGCTGGACCGCGGTGGAAAGGCTCATGGTCGATATGGAGCAGGATGGCATCATCATTGGAGAGCTCTGGGATGTGGTCGAAAAGATGAGAGTTTGTAGTGGCGATTGGAACGCCCGTGTACGTCCTGGCTGGGATGTGCATGTGCACTGCCAGGATGCACGAGTAATTCTGAGGACTGGACAATTCGAGGATGACAGCGACAGTGAAGGCCTTGAGAGCGATGAAGAAGGCTGGGTTGACGAAGTCCTCGACCAGTATCAAGAGGAGTGGTGCCTTCCGAGATGGAGGGTCAGGGTTGAGCAAGAGAGGTCGATAAATGGACAGTCGCAGGAGCCATCGTGGATGGTGCTCGGTCTGGGCTGCGTGTCGATGGTGTTCTTCATTGTGGCAGTCGTTGTATACACTGCTTAACATCAGAGCCTGGGAAATCGTCTCACTGAAGCAAGATGAGATGATGGGAGGAGAAAGACATAGATCAACGTGGGGGAAGCTGTGTCGAGTGGCCTGTGCACATATGACGTGGGGGTGTGAGCCTCGGGACGATGGACCCTAGAAAGCTTCAAGACAACGAACGCGTTCGGCACAACTCCACACAAACAATGGACGACATGGCTTCACGGATAGCTACCCTACGCTCGATACTGCCAGATCTGGAATCTGCACTTACGTCTTTTGCCCACTCGTCATCGAAGTTCCACGTCGTCCGCACTGTCAACCCCACCAACACACAACCGAAGACGCTCTATATCCTGGATTCCAGCTTCAATCCGCCTTCCATAGCGCACCTCTCCCTTGTTCAGTCCGCCTTGAAGAGCCATGGTCGATCAGAGCATAACCCGTACAGGCTGCTGCTACTGTTCAGTACGCAGAATGCAGACAAGGCGCCCAGCCCCGCAAGCTTCGTGCAGCGCATTGCACTGATGACTATCTTCGCCGAGGACTTCTCACAAACGCTCAAGAAATCGTCTGCTGGCACAGATCTCGCAGACCTTTCAATTGACATTGGCCTCACAAAAGAACCATATTATTCAGACAAATCGATAGCGATTAGAGACACCACCCCTCCTTTCTACTCCTCGAACCCGATCCACGTCCACCTCACTGGCTACGACACCCTCATCCGCTTCTGCAACCCCAAATACTATCCCAAGTACGACCCGCCGCTCTCAGCGCTGAAGCCATTCTTCGATGCTGGACACAAGCTGCGCGTCACACAACGGCCGTCTGATCCTAGTGATAAGTCGTCGAACGAGTTTGGTACCGTAGAGGAACAGCAGAAGTACGTGAACGACTTGAGGGACGGCGCACGTGAAAAGGACGGCTTCAAGTCGCAGTGGGGTAACAACATCGACATGGTCGAGGCCAATGAAGGTGTGGGCATCAGTTCTACGAGGGTGCGCAATGCTGCTAAAGAGGGTAAGTGGGATGTGGTAGAGGGGCTGTGCACAAAGGGTGTCGCTGCGTGGCTCAAGGATCAGACACTATACAGTGGAGATGCCAGTGGCAAGAAGCTGAGCAGCTGAATGTGCTTGTGCTTGGGCAAGCTTGCCAAAACCGCAAAACCTGCCAGCAAAATGCGTGCGTGCAAGCAGTTGCTTGGGCCATGGTAGCTGCACACGCCAAAGCACATTTATACACGCTTTCGGACCCATAGGGTGTCACTGTGCAGTTGGCGCAATGCTGGGCGGAGTCTTACTCCTCCCTCGCAGTTGCTTCATGTGCGTGGCTGCTTCACACGACTGACGAGCCATTTACGAGCAGTCACAACCCTTCTCAGGGTAGTAAGCATGTCGCGAACTCGAGCGCTTCCCTCAAGTCTTCTTCGTTTCGCTCTGCTCTTGCTGCTTGTTGCGCCCCTGTGACGTGAGTGCTTTCCTCTTCTCACTGTTTGGCAGCTACACCACGTGGCGCAAATCTCCCCATGTCAACAAGCAACGAATGTTCAGCGGTGCTCACCTCACCTATCTCACCACTGCAATTCGATTATGGCGTCCAAGTTATGTTGTACGGCTGAGCAGGAAGGTCGATCAGACTCACCAGAGCTACCCAATGCTCGCCTGAGTGGCGCAACGCCTGCGAAGCAACCTCTGCTACCAAAGCAACCTGGATCGCCGAACTCCCGCTTCACGAGCGTTCGATCCGACGAACTCCATGAGCTCCACCAGATCTTCAACCACGCTCAGGATGGTGCAGACGAACAGGCCACGCCGACCCGAGCGCCTCGTGCACGCTTCAGTCGAGCGTCAATCTATAGCCTCCATAGTCTGCACAAGATGACCAGCATGCGCTCCTTGATCAAGCGCAAGTTCTCGAGAGATCTCACGAAGAAGGACTCGGGACTGAAGATCCACGTCGAGGCAACGCAGAAGGTCACGACGAGCGACCAGGACACTGTTGTCAGAACCTCCAAGGACGAAGCTAAGCAGCAACTGAAGATCACAAAGGACGACCTGCGCAAGGACTTGCTCAGTGATAAGAAACCAGATGAGGGCGGTTACGATTCTGATGCTGAGATGCTTGACGATCTTGCGAGAAACATTGGGAAGAAGACACCCAGGAAGAGAGCGAGTATACACAGTGTCAATTGGTCGCCGTCCACTGGCAGGTGAGCTTGTATTTGCTGTGAGGTACGCATCACGTTGCTGACGTTCACAGCAGAGCAACGCCAGGTTCGTCTGCAAAGAGTCACACCGACGCTGACTGTAACCGCGATCTGCAGCCTTACCAGATCAAGAAGCCTCCAGCTGTCTCACTGGTTACCCGCGTCAGTCATGTCTTTAGCACACCGAACTTGCGGGTCGATGTCTCAGATGAGAGAAACCGTACGTTCAGACGCTCGCAGTCTGCTACGTCAATGGGTCTCCCTCAAGTATCGCCTCTATCGCCCTTGTCGCCATTACGACTTCCCAGTCTTACCAGCCATGACCAAAACGGACTGCCCTGGGCTGAGGCGATCAACGAAAGCCTTCGCCTGTCGCAATTCCCGGTCCCACCTCGTCATGTCAGTCCGCAAGGCTCGCAAACGTTGCTACCGCTTGACCAGGTCACAAAAGCAGCACAGCACACGAGCCAGAAGTCCAGATCTGACAATAGTGCCTCCTCAATTTCGAGCAAAGAGTTTGAAGCAACTGTTCGACCAGTCGAGATCCGCATAGAGCAACCGACTTCTGTCGCTAGCCCACGTCCTTCTGCTTCCATTCGAGGCAAACTTCAGGAGAACGCTCAGCCTTCGAATGTTGAAGGAGCCCACGAGGACGAAGGTGAAGAGGAAGACAACCCACGCCACTCGGTACACCTCTACAGCATGCGCATCTCACATCATCTACGCTCGGGGTCGCTGCTGTCATGGGAGCAGCTCGCTGATGCACCAGACCTTCCCTCACCTACACGTCCGTACCGAGACCGAACCGTTTCGGACCAAAGTCGGGTTTCTCATCTGACCAAGCAGTTGGCCCGACATGAGCGACAGACATCCAGTTCAGGGTTCGCAAGCTCGAAGGTGCCTTCAAGGTGGGGCAAGGTCTTGCCAAGGGATCACGATGTTCGAGGCGACATGGCATCCTCCATCTATTCGAGCCGACCGCAGAGCCCTCCTGACAGTTTCGTCGCATCCTTGACCAGTTTGGGCCGGACAGGTACGGGTCACGATGATTTCAGCGGTATATCAATCCATGCTCCGAAAACCCGTCGCTCCAACTCCTTCCCAACCGATAACGAGAACACCCCTCGAGCGGTACCACGATACGGGCCTTCGAACCTCAGAGCTGTACAAGGTGTGTCTACGACAAGCCCATTGCTTGCTACGCCTGTTCCGCTGGCACGCAAGAACAGCGTTGCCGATACCAAGAAATCGAAGTTCCGCGAAGAGTTCAGCCCTTCTCCTCCACGCAAGAGAATAACTCCATCGGAGTCAATCATGAAGTTCTTGAACCCCAAGCGCCTTAGTGCACGGAGCCATAGCGAAGCGTCTCTGAAAGCGGAGTCTCCAATTCGGACTGGCGACGCTGCATTCGACTCGTTGGAGGTTCCCACCAACCGAGAACGACGACAATCGCAATCTATGATGAGCCTGCAGGCGGAACAGAGCGCCCTTGGGAAACACAAGGGGGCTGACCATGTCTGGGACCAAGCTTTGAAGGCTCACCAAGAAGAGAAGGCATGTCTGTTTTTACCGAAGAACCGCGATCTTGCTGCACACGCCAGTCCTTTCCGCGAACGCAGTGGGAGTACCATGACTCGCCATAGCGCCAACGAAGCCAGCGCTCCGGTTACACCGACCACACCAGAGGCCCCGAGTGCATCTGGGAGCTTTTTCGCTCCAGTATTCACTCCGTCTTTCGCGCCACAAGCCTCTGTGTCCGAAGAGCTGTCTCGTCCTCGACTCGTTTCGCGACGCAGTGCCATGGCGAGTGCAAACGAGGACGCCTTTGACCGAGAGGTCTCTTTCATCTTCGAGAAGCAGGGCGATAGCCCTGATATTGTCGGAGCATGGGGTCGCTACCCTTCGCATACTCGCAACGAGCGTACTAACTCTGCTGGCAAGTCAGACCGTGTGGAGAGCCGCGACTTCGCGCTTGAAGCTGCGATTAAGTTTGCCTCCGCTCAAGATGTGGACGAAGACAGGATCGATCCAACCGAGCGTGTACCCTCGATGCCACTGATGCCGGGCGAGAAGAAGAGAAAGAAGAAGGTTGGCAGTGGACGTATGGCAAAAAGCAACTCCATGACGTTTGGCAAAACATTCCTCAAGAACTACTCAAAGATCTTCAAGAGTTCGTCTACCGAATTCAGGAAGCACGGGCGTAATCATCGCAGCTCGATTGCGACTGGTGGTGTGCTGGAATTCCCGGAGCTTGAGATTCTTCCAGAAGTATGGAAACACGGCTCCTCTGTTAATGGCAGCAGTGATCGAGGCCATCGACGGGGAGAATCGACGGCAAGGCGTCGTGCAAGTGATAGCCACAATGCGGACAAGTCGCAAACACACGATTCGATGGCCACATTACGACCTCGCCGCAACTCATCGGCACCGAATCTGAACGAACTCGCCTATGACGGTGCGAACGAAGACATGCATGCAAAGGACAACGCTCGCGTCTGGTCCGTCTACTACGACGATTGTGTCCCTTCGTACCCTCGCGCCAGCATTGAGCTTGACGCCGGCCTTGAGGATTTTGGACCAGCTCGGTTCTCTTTCGAGAGCAGACACCCCTCGATGCATTCACGCACTATGCCTGCGCGCTTAGCAAGGCACTCGCGCAACGCCAGCCGCGTAAGTCGCACAAGCATTGTTAGCCGGGGAAGTGCACGCCCGAGTTTCAAATCCAAGGGCGAGGACGATGACTTTGCAGAAAAGAGAAGCATGGTCAGTGTGCGGCGCAGTACCATAGACCTGATCTCGAAATTCAAGGAGCAAGAGATCATTGAGCGCGAAAGGGTCTTGTCTATCACAAGGGCAGGAAGCCGCTACGAGAGCGAGGCCTTAGCGGCGTTGTGAGCCGCTGGAGTGGACGATGAGTAATGTGTAATATCGTCTGTATCTTTAGGACTCTATCCACAAAAGCCACTATGTTTTTGCCTACATCAGTGCCTCGTTCGCGAGCGGTAAGTGATTGTCTGATATGACTGTTTGCGCCGTTACTGGGCTTAATTTCTTTGGTATAGATATGACTATTCATCGAGTTGACTGTAAGAAAATACTTCTGATGCGGGTTGTCATGTCATGTTGTTAATTAATTGTCTCCAAACTGTGGTTCGGCGGGACTCAACTACGGTTCATGCTGGTAGTAGGCCAGTAACGACCACCATCACTAATGTTAATGGCATACTCTTGTGGACCACAGGGTAACACTTACCATCGTTTGCAGATTAGTATAGTATATGACGTCTACAACTGCATGCGGGAGAATATCTGCACCGTCACAATATCATCTGAAGCCTACACGTACAACAGCACGTACCAACTTCACAACTATACCAACACTTGCCGATTACAACATCGCGCGCAAGACTATACACATCGCCAAAGAACACACTTGAAGACTACAACACCGTCACATCACACCATCCAAATCCGAAAAAAATGGGTGAATACCTCCAGCCTCCCGCCTGCTTCTCCCAGACCGCAGACAGAGCTCAAGGTCAAGCTCAGGAGTTTTGGGGATGATAGTCTGTTGAAAGCCTCCAGGGTGAGCGATTGTGAAGGGCTTGGTGCGAAGAAGAAGGAGCCGATTCTGAAGATCAACCTCCCCAAGTCTAGGGACGATGGGGCACTGGATACCTTCCGGGTGGGGAATGGCGAGGTGAAAGCTCCGGTCGTGCAAAAGCTGGGTGCGAAGACTAAGCACAAAAGGCCTAATCCTAATAATGCGTTGAAGATTTCCGCGGTGGGGAAGAATAAGTGTGTTCTTTCTGAGATGGGGATCAAGTTGTGGAGGGTGGAGAGGCGAAGGAGGAGAAGAAGGGGGTTTCAGGAAAGGGGAAGGTGAAGGGAAAAGGGAAGAGTGGTGAATTTCTCTGCCAAATACAGACGAGAAGCGAGACGAAGAAAGAGTTGATGGTTGAAGATATTGCGTATCGGCGGCTAATGGGAAATCAAGTATCGGTGCTTGCAAAGATGTGCAGACCCCCCTGAACTTGGTACAGTATGTGTACAGTAGGTACGTACCGTGGTTCATGAGGGCGGACAGCCTTGTGAGTGGCCGCTCACCACGTTGTTGCCCTGCAGGACATGTACCAAACTGTCAATTCTGTCAACCAATATAGAAACAGCCACTTAGAAGCCTTCATTCTTACATAACGTAAGTCCGTCGCAGTAGTGAACCAAGTTCAGGGGGTCTGTACATTTCAGCAACCATTGTCTTTCACTTCACTCTCATCATATTCTTTTCAAAATGCAGTCGTCTCGAATGTGTCTGCGTGTCTTGGCGCGTCCTTGCACGTTCCCACTTTCACTGTCGCTCCTTCCAACCTGACTAGCTTGCCTTCTTTGTCTTTCAACACTTACCACCATCAACAACAACGCAACATGACGAAAGACCGATTTCGCGCAAAGCCAGACAATGAGTACCAGCCTAAGCATTTGCAAGCTCTGAACGAGCGAGCTGACGACCAAATCGCACCCAAAGCGGCAGCGCAGTCGATCGACACTCTTCAACGATGGGCACTTGCCACTGCGAACATTGCCCAGAGCGGTCATCGAGCCAATGAATCCCAGACTGTTGAACGTATCCGGAACAGATACAAGAGTGAGCCACCTTCGCAGAGCCTGTTTCAGAAGCTCGATCTCGACGTGGACGCAGCTCGTCCAGACTCTACTCTACAAAATACAGCGTCGAAGGAGAGGAAGCACTCCATATCACCCGCTGGCTCTTTACAGCTGACCACGCTCTACTCAAGAGAGACCACTGAGTTAGATGCGCGACAGGCGAAGCGGTGCAGATCAAAGTCACCGGGCGTCAGCAGTATAGATGAGGACGACACATGCGTAGTTGAGTGAGTGGAGCTTTCCAAATGAAGATGAATTAAAGGTCACGAAGACGGTTACAAAGACGGTTACGAAGACGAGGACTTACGTCGAGATCAATTGAAAGGTTGCAGTGGGCAATAGTATAAGCAGCCTCAAGGGAAGGATTTGAAAGCCGTGTGAAGGGTGAGAATAGCCTCGTGGATCAGAATGTGTTTGTCTACCTTGGATGCATCTCTGGCCCCCAGTCTACTTACACTCCGACAGGTCTAGAAACTCAATGCAATGAGCGGTTAACCACCAGACACGTCAACAATCTCGGTCTTTGGTAGCGAATACGGCTTCAAAAGTTCCCTTACCCCCAGCAATTTCTCGATAGCATGCCCTACCTCAAGCACGCTCGCGTCATCGTACGCTCTCCCGTAGACGAACATCGATAACCTAGGAATTGTGAATACAGATCGCCCCTGTGCGTTTCAGTTGCTAAACTTACGGAATACCTGGCGCCACTGTGATTAGTCCAATCTTTGGGTCAGCCTCCACTTGTGTCTCCTCTGGGTAGATGCCCATAGGCACACTGATGACCGGGGATCCAGCTTTCGCCGCAAAAGTTTGTAGAGCGACTGAGAGAGTGGGCATAAGTAGTACGTCACAGTCGTACCGATCGAGAGCGCTTTCTATACAGCCAGCGAAGTACTTGTCCTTCTCTAGCATTGTCTTGTACAACTCGCTCTCTGGATCCGTGGCCTGTGCTCGCCCCAGGCCCGCCACATTACGGGTAGGATACTGTTCTTCTTGGCACGTTTGGTGAAGTCAATCAAGTCCTGGAGGCTTTTAGTATTCTGGGGGTCTGTCTGTAAGCTTCGTAAAGAGATGTCGATGGCGACTTTCATGTCTGTGTCCAGCACGATCTGCTCCTCTTCTTGCGACAGACCTGCATACTCACACCAGCCCTGGACAACAACATCTGTTACAACCTTGGCACCTCTCGCTTCCAGCCGAAACAGAATTCGTCCAAAAGCTTTCAGCTTGCACTCAGGTGGGTCTTCGAAGTCGATCAAGTCCAGAGGTACGTCGATTCGAAGGCCAGTCAGATCGGACTTCTTTGGATAACATGGATCTAGGAGGCCATCCATAAACTCGATCGGGTTAGTGGTCCTCGGCAGGCACCGCAAGAAGTTGCAGTCTATCAACTCCAGTATTGGGGACTTTTGTAGCTTCGGCGGTCATGATGGGGAGGTCTTGATTGGTGAACTCTTCCAGTGTCCAGTCATTGGTACTTAGCGTTGCACAAATATACCAATATGTTCGTTCACACATCAGTGTTTCAAAGCCTGCAGTGAAGTTTGTGGACGTAGGATCAGTGACAGTACGCTGCGAGATTGCTACAATAGCTGCATCGTGACGCTAGACCTTTGAATCTTGACTGATTCGCGTCTTGACAGTGATGAAGGTGGGGTGCTAACGAGGTCTCTGATATGCCCAGAGCTATGTTCTGAAGCGTTTCAACCTCCATATCGTGCACCTTCCCAACGAGCATGGCCACCGATCCTGACACCTGTTTGCTTTCCTTGCTCAGTGGACAAATAGCGTACCAACTGTTCGCCCTACTCAATATTGCAGGTAGTGACAAGATGCTTGTTTTCATGCGAGATTGACCTGAACGAGTATTAGACCCTCGCATGGGGCACGTGAGATGAGTTAGCATCTGTTGCGTTGAATGCTTGTAGCATAAGGAGGTCCAGCTTGTGATCAGGGGGATGGCGGGTGTGTACTGTCAGAGCAAGTTGAAGCTCTGACAGCACACAACCGCCATCATCACAGCAAGAAAGAAGACGGGGTCCTGACAAACACCTTCCATGTGTGTGGCGGTGACGCCTGGCTTGAGGCTGATCCTCCAGCCGCTAGTTGCAACCTTGCAGCAGTGGCCGGGCGACTGCGGCTGAGGCGCAGATCCGGGGCCAGAGTGTGGGGAGGCTGGAGGCGAATCAGGCTTTTGGCGTGTTTAAGACTTCGTGAGGTCATCAGGCCTCTGTGCGTCATCAGCATGGTGCCGACTAACCGTCCGCGTGCTACAGTAAATCTGGAGAACGCCGAAATGTCGACGAAGCGTGCGAGTTTTCGCAAAATGTAGAGGAGTGCAGAAGTAAATAACATTATTGTATTAGGCATAGCGATTCATGTATAATGTGTCCTCATGTTCTCTAGAAAGGAAATCATTCAATGCCAAAAGAACGCCACTTTAGCACCGTAATGATGATGTATGTAGCACTCATGTTCATGCACAATCGTGAGGTCTTGTGATGCTCCGTGGTGATGTGAGTCCGGATTCTATGCAAATGAAAAGATGAACGCCAGTATGCAGAATGAAGTCGTGTTCGCGAGGGGATCGTGAGTCATGATAGTCGTATAGGATGCGTGTTGCGGCGAGTTTAGAAGCGCTCGTTCGAGTCCACGGGCATCGGTTCCTTCTCGGCTGCGGTCATTCGTGTTGGTCGGGTCTTCCTTCGCAGCCATGCTTGCACCGCGAATAGGTTAAGGACGAGAAGCGCCAGGAAGATCAGAGCAATCTGCAGCCATTTGACGGTAATCTGGAATCGTGAGCGATAGTCTCGTGGCGAACGTTGCAGACTCACTGCCTCGGCGCATCCCAGTGCAGCGCTACTTTTGTCGCCTTTGGACAAATACTTGGGGAGGAAGTTGCAAGCGGCTACTTCTCTTGTGCAGTACTTGTTCGTGTTGAACTTTCCGGCCATTTGAAGTGTCTCAGATCTGCAGCCGAATACATCGTCGCCCTTGTTGGTGTAATGGAGAATGATGGAAACTAGCGCAGTGACAGCGCCAACGAGGGTTGTCACGACCACAGCAAGTATCCAGAAACGGCGTTTGTTCTATTGGTTTTAGCATACTGATCTCAAGTGACACGTCTTTGCACTTACAGTTGCGAATTGCGTATCCATGCCCGGCTTTCGCAGTTGCGCCCATGCAATGAGCGCCACGACAGCGGCGGTCAGGCATAGACATCCAGAAACGATGGTCGCATCGGTGTCATTTTCCGTGAAGTAGACGATAGTTTCGTCGATTGTGTACGACTGGGTGCGGTCGTTGAACGTGCTGGTCTGTACTTTCACTCCTCTAGGTGTAATCCAATCGCCGATGATCCAGTAGTGCGTCGTCAAAGCCACCGAAACCAACGACAGAAGCAAGAAGAGTATCGACGGCACAAGCGCCAAAGTGAGTAAGTTCCGGTATTCCATAGCGATTCGGTCCTGTCGCACTGCAGATGTAGCCGTGATTGAGATAACGCAGGAGGCAGGAAAGGACCAGGGGCAGGGACAAGGGCCTGAAGACGTTCAAGTACAAATGCGCTCACAAGGGACCATTTCTTGCTTGCCAGCCTTCCTGGGCTCGTGGACACCAACAGCGAAGCTTGTCATGCCTAGGCGCTGCACTTGTTTATCCGCCTTTTGCGGTTTGCCGTCCGGCGCCATGCTTAAATTGAATAGCGGGTTTCCTTTCGGACGATTGGATACGGTGAACGCTTCATGAGGCTTGGACTTGACTGGATCAGGCCGCGCCGCTTACTCGACGGTGTCTGTCGGTCTAACGAGCCCAGCCACGTTTTGTTCATTGAGGCTGGTGGATACGATGATCAGAGATTCCCTTTACTCATCGCAAAAAGAAGAGGGTTGCTATAAATCAGGGATGTGGTCTTATGGCTGGCTGGATTGAAGAGTGGGACGTCATGAAGGGTCTGTGGCTTGGTTTGGAAAGTGGGGGCCGAGGGATCCATATTGCCAAGGACCCACCATCTGCCAGGCCCCGGCATCCTACCTTCTCGTACAACGCACGAACACAACACACACATAATCGGAAGGTGATACCCGCGAAGGCCGAACGACTGATGGCTGTACACCGTGAAGATCTGATTTGCTGACGAAGTGGAGTTGAAAATATCCTCACACAAGACACCAACTCTGCACCAACTCCGGCCCGGTACACTCATTCTCAACCCTGCATGGACCCCGAACGGAATTTGCCTCCGAGATATCAATGCTCGACCACAACATGGGCTTCGAATGTCGTCGTTCTTCTCATCATCTTGTCCAAATATTATGCCGGCAGATACCGCGGAAATATCTTCCTCAGCTAGATACCGAGCCCCTTTCCAATGATGTGGCTCTCAAAAAAGACTTAGGGATATCGACAGAGTCCAATGCCAATTCTTCGTTGTGACTGGCCATCCATACCTCCTTCTTGACAGGAACTCGCCATGCGATACGCGGAGAGCTGTCTATCGAAGAGCAGCATGCCCGTCACTCCAGGACTCCTGGTTCGTATAGCCGTCGACATAATGCGCTATCGTTGTCGGGTTCAGGGTGATGTCCCTGCATAGACAATTGCTGACGCCATCGATGATCCTGAACCCCAGCACAAAGCGTGGTCCCGCTAACGAAGAATCCTTTGCCTGTTCCCATGAGTATCAAGATCACCAAGCAAAATATTATTGGCGTCCGAGCCTTGAAGTTCAGCGTGTCGTTCATTCACCATCTCTGTAACAGTTCCGAGAGTTGGATGATGGCATTGTCGTCAACCTGCTCAGGTGATGATGGTGGAATATCGATGGTGAATACCACCTCCGACAGCGCTAACTTATTCACCATCTTCTTGCCTGTAGTCTGCGTCTTAGTGGAAACGTCCACAACATTCGTTGTCTGAGCCAATGTAAGATCATCCGCCGCAAGACAAGGCTGGCTTCGTAGAACATGGATTGACGACCTCCCGGGTTGGTGACATGGCAAGCATTTCCTGGGACACACCTCGTCCAGAACTCCGAGCGTTTTCACCTTCAGTGTCTTTCTTGGCGCATCCGGCGCCAAGGTGTTGGGCTCTGCAATGAGCACTGCCTTCTTCCAAGGGCTAGGGGTCTTTCTTATCAGCTTCTGCCAGATCCACGCGCCGACAATCGTTCCAATGGTCATCAACAGCAGCGTATACCTCCAAGGAACCCTCTGCTCGATCATTTCACTCGAGGTATGAACAGCTATTACGCTCGATGTCCACTATGACAAATCAACTTTGGAACTTTCCTGGAACTTCACTGCGCTAGAAACATACGTTGAAGCCTGCCAAGCCTTCGGGCGGCATCAGAGCAGGGTACACACTTGATGGTGCATTTCCTCGAATAACTGTACTCTCCCATATCCACCAGGGCAAGCTCTTTGTAACAAACAACTCGGACGCAGACGGCCAGCGTACTGCGTCCTTGGCGACTCTTTGCTCGATGATATTCATTGCAGGGGAGGAAAACAGAATGTGGACAAAACGACTGCCGCCAGATGAAAGGCTGGGAAGAAGATGTTCAAATACGGCGTTCACGACTCCTCAACGTAAAACATGCCTTGTCTCATTTCGATGATTTGCCAACCGCACATGTGGTTCGCTATCTTAAGCGCTACAGAATCTGCAGGCTCATGTTTCATACCTGCATTGCAAGGCTGCATCGCAGCATCTGCGAATACGAGGCTGGCTACATTGTACGTTTGACAAAAAGCCATGAACTCGTAACGCGCGGCTGTAAATGCATGCTGGCCGCTTTCGAATTTTGATGGTCGCTATCGCGATCAAACGACGATTGATGACTTTGCAGACAAGTTCTTCTTGGCGCAGCATTTGACATTAAAACTTCGCAAGAGCAGCATCTAAGAGCCTGAGCTTGTCTAACAACAGGATTTGTTATCTTCAAGCCCAGTCAAATGGCAGTGTTAGAATTGTACACCAAAACGGCTTTGATTCTTTATACGCCTCTAAAAGCGCCCGAGGTCTGGTTTCGGTGCTCAACTTGTTGGCGGGTTTTTCGAGGGTGTGAGAGTCTAGTGCCAGAACCTTCACACGACACACTGGCTGTGCATGCACCTTGTTTATTTCAATACCGAGTTCCAGAACGCTTAATCCCCCAGAATTCCCGATTGGGTGTCCATAAAACAACAGGCTCAGTATAAGCCAATCCTAAGGGGCTTGAAAGAGTTGCTGTTGCTATTGTGCTGTTCACTCCATCCAAGCAATGCGCCAAAGTATGTTGCTTGTCGCTCATCTGGCCAGCAAATATAGATATTGCACGACCTATTGAACGTAGTTATACCAAGTCGAAGCGGATAACCACACCGCTTTCAGCAGTACAACATTGTTGGCATATCATGCGCGCCTTCGCTCACAGCACATGTCTAAACTCCCTATTCACCAAATCAATCGTGATCAACACGTGTAAAATCACTATGCTGATCTTCGCAGGCAGATACCTCAGTGCATCCTTACTCTGGAATATCAGCGGGCTGATGATGTTGCCAATGGTGTACGCGATTGTGCCAATGACGCTGACGGTGATTTTCGTCGTTGAGCCTGCGACGTTGGAAGCTTGCAGTCCGAGGATTGTTATCCAGCCGATTGGTATGCCGCCCGAAAAGTAGTAGCCGATGAGTGCGGGGACTTTGTTTGTGGTTGCCATGAGGATTGTGCGGATGATGGCGAGGGATGTGACCTGCGATACAGGCGTAGACGCGCTGTTCGGTCTTCATGGCTACGAAGGTAAGGCCGACGAGAACGACGATTTCGTAAGCACCGAGGGAGATGACGAGTAAGAGGGACTCTTTCGATGTGTAACCCATGCCTTTAACAAGGATGCTGCCGAAGAGGTAGCAATGGAATTCGGGATGTTTGCGGCGAAGTTCCAGAAGGCATATAACCATGTCATGGGATCCTTGGTGGCTTCCCAGAATTGGTCCCACTTGAAGGCCTGCTGCCGATGCCTTGGACATTGCCGCGAATGCGTTCGATGTGAAGACTCTTCTCTGGTAAGAGGAGGCCAGCGGTCTCGGGCGAGTCGGGCATGATGAACCAGAAGCTGATACCGATGACTGCGATGAAGAGACCCAGGAAGAACAAGATGACCTGCCAGTCTCGAAGAGCAGCATTCACATCGCCACCGGCGTGGCTGGCAAGTCCATACGCAACGTAGCCACTAAACATCTGGGCGGCGCCACAGACGGAGAACCAAATACCCGCACGGAAAGCTTGCCTGTAGCGAGTGTACCATTGCGATGTAAAGATGACCCAGGCACGTATGACGGCAGCTTCTGCAGTGCTGAGAAGGAAGCGACAAGCCAGGAGTGAGGCATATGATTTGCAGTCTGCCAATGAGGCAAGTACTACACCCCAGATGGTCACATTGACGGCGACGTACTTCGCAAGTGGGAAGAGCTGGAAGAGTCGGATAGCCGGGAATTTGAACGCGAGTTACCTAGGTTGTATATTAGCACATGCTCTGAGTGGGAGCTCAGTGACGTACCCAAGGAAGAAGATGCATGCTACCCAGCGCTCTCAATGATGCCAGTAACGGGGGCATATGGAATGGCAGTCTCATCGATGTACTGCAGAAAGTACACAATGCATATTAGTGGCATAATATGCAGGTCAATCTTTCGCAGTAGACGTTTGCTGGCTTCTGAATCGATGGGCTGACGAAGTCCTCTTATCTCTTTGAGTAAGTGCAACGCAGCACCAGCGCCGTGGGTTGTCTTTGCCTGCCCACTGGGATGTATCGCCGTCGCTTTTGCTTGCTTCCCTTCTTTTGTAGCGGCTTCTTCGCTTACCGTTGGTAAGTGAGATGGCGAAGGATTTCCTGTTGTCAGCTTAAGGCATACAGTTGCGAGTCACGTCCAGTGTGCAGCACTTCGTATCGAGCGCGTTGGTTAATGCGACTGTGTGAAACTCAGAAATATTGGTAAGCTCTGCTCGAAAGCCGTGGGTATATAATCGAGAATGTCCTCCCAGCCCACCGCAACGCCCCCGCATTCAATTTGTCAACTTCGACCTCGTTCTGTTTATCCTATGCCAAGATTATTCATGCACATATATGTGCTCCTCGCAAACGCCTGTCATATAGGCTTCGATGTAATTATTATCGAAGCGGCCTTCCGACTTCCTTCTCTTCTTCCTCTTCCTCCTTGAGCATGGATGCTGCAGGTGTTTCTTCCTCATCTTCGTCACTCGCTTCTCCAGCATCTGGAATCCATTCAGAGCTTCGTCGGCTCAGCTTTGTGGCCAGAGGAGGATCACGGGGGCTTGTTAGGGGGCTGGCGGTGTGCATAGCCCTGATGCTGCTGATACTATCTGTGCGGCCATGACCTAGCAGTCCACTTCGTACACTGAGCCCGTCGGCCTGTTTGTTTGCGTAGTAGCTGTTGCGCTCACTGCTCAGGACTGGAGCTGTTGCGCCAGATACAGAGTAGACGCTCGCCCGCTCTGCATTGGCATTCGAGAGACCATTGACGTTGCTAGGCCTGTTTGAGGCTGAGTATATGGTGTCCACATTGCCAGACAGAACACTGAGCGGTAACGACTCGCGACTGCCTCCATAATGCGACGAGGGCGCCATTGCACGCACCGAGGCGTTCGTGTCGAGGGAGTTGCGCCGGCGACGTTTCGAGGACGATGCGAGTGTCAAGATGGAGGCGTCGTCTGTGAGCACGTTGTTCGCTGTCGCAGCATGGTAGGAGTGGGGACCCTGCTGAGGGGCCAGATGAGGCGGAATGGCCGATGGTGGAGGGGAGGTGGGGAATTGGTGGGAGAAGTGCACGGGCGGGGCACTCGTTGTCGCAGCGGGCTGGGTTGTCTGGCCTGCGCCCAGGATATGTGAGGGTGCGCTGGACTGTATGGTTGTCAATGTGGTGGTGAGAGAGTGCTCTGACCCATTGGGCGACGAGAAAGTACTGCCGCCATTCTGATTGGTGTTCCCTGTCTCTGCCTTTGACCGCTGGGAGTGCACTGTCTCTGGCATAGTCGCCACGGTTGGCGCATTGGATCTCGTGCTCTTAGCATGTTGGCGCTGTTGTGCGGCTGCGGCCTCTTCGGCCGATGTAAAGCTCTCGTGAGATTGCGGCGTGTCGGGCGTCGAATAGGAGAGGCGACCCGGCGCATCCGGATTGATGTGGCCGGACTCTGGGTATGGGTTGTTCTTCGCAGAAGCCTTCTTTGCAGCACCATTGCTCTTCTTTCCAGTGCCGTTCTGATTATCTGAAGACGAGGGCTTGAGGTTCGCAAGCCGTCTCATCCAGCCCGCAAAGGGCCGCTTGCGGGTGGTCTGCCGGTCTTTCAAACCGCGCATTAGTAGGGTTCGAGTTGTGGATGTGGGAGGGGTGTAAACAAGAAGATAAGAAAGAAATCACGAGCTATGTTTGGCGCGGCAATGGCTGTGCAGCATGTACAAAGACGTACCATGGGGTCTCGACGCGGCTTCGGTTGTGGCCATGCTTGTCTAGCGTCAGGAACAGCAGAAGGGATGAACACTGTGTATACGAACAAGCCTTGCGTGCGCGTGGCCTGCTCTGGTTGCTGGGTTCTGGGCGGTGCTCCACGTGGTGTAGTGTAGACTGGGCAATGACGAGGGATATGTTTGGAGTCTAAAATGCTCGATGCGCTGGTCGCTCAGCTAGCTAACCAGGTTCAGGGTGAAGCAGTAACTAGCTGCTTTCACTGCAAGCTGACAAGATTTATGAGGTTTATGGGATTGATAGCAAGCAAAGCTGTGATATGTGGACCCTGAAACAGAGGAATGCGTTTGGCAGGATCGTTGGCTGGATGCAGCACAAGAGAAAGAGCAATTGGCTGCTCCCCCGGCTGGACCCTGGACGAGGAGCTGCGGCCCGCTGCGCCAAGCAATGACGATGCAGCAGCCATCGACGCGCCGGTGGGTCGCGACTTTCCTGGCTTCCCTTGCCAGTCCCCACTTTGTTTGGAACATCACAATCTAAAGCTTCGACATGGATTGCTGTACGTCATTCGCTCACGAGGGCGGTGGATGAAGAGTATCATGTCCATTCGGCCCTTACCAGTTGAGGTTGTTGCCCAAATCAAGTCCTCAACGGCTATTGTGTCACTCACTGGGGTCATTCTCGAGCTGCTCAAGAATTCTCTAGACGCCAAAGCATCCAGGATAGATGTCACGGTCGATTTTGCGCGGGGTGGTTGTACTGTCGAGGACGATGGCTTGGGCATACCTCCTGCTGAGTTCGGCGAGGATGGTGGCTTAGGAAAGCTCTATCGTATGTACACAGTATGCACCAAATACAATACATACTAACATTCAAGGGACCTCGAAATATCAGTCAGATGAACCTCATCTCGGTCAGCATGGCACCTTTCTTGCCTCTCTTTCGGCAATGTCTCTCTTGACAATCACATCACATCACCACGCGTACCGCTCGCACAACTCGATATCGTTCCACCATGCCCAAGCCATCGAGAGACAAACACCGACTACTGCACAAAATCATGTCTACGGCAAGCATGGAACACGAGTCACGGTTCGAAACTTGTTTGGGAACATGCCAGTGCGCGTGAAACAACGAGCAGTGGTCACGGATCAGAAAGCAGAGCAACACCGACTACGCGATACCCTGCAGAGAGATACGGTGGGACTTCTTCTGAGTTGGCAAGGACCAGTCTCACTCAAGATTCGAGACGGTGACAACAAGACCATTGTGAGCTTCAACACATTGAACGCAGCTGTAGCAGGAAACAGTCGAAGCGCAGCCATTGAAAAACCACGGTCAACACATCTATCATCGCTACTCCACATCATGACACAAGCAAACTACATCGCTATCGACGAATGGGCCTCCTGGGTGCCGGCGTCCGCTTCGACACCCGCCATATCAGTGAAGGGAGCTATTTCGCTCGAACCAGCACCTACCAAGCACGCACAGTTTATTTCATTCGGACTACGACCACTGTCCAGTGAGAACGGTGGTAACGAGCTTTATGACCAGGTCAATCGTTTGTTCGCGATGTCCAGTTTCGGCACCGTCGAGGATGACGCCGACGTGAATGAGCAAGAAAAGCTTCGCCGGCAATCAGACAGACGTTTCAAGAACGACGGTTACACCAACCGGCAACTCAAGGCTCGGAAGGGTGTGGACAGGTATCCAATGTTCCACTTGCGTATTTCGTTGAAGGACAGGCATGCCTCAGATGTGCTGGAAGACCTTTTCATCGAAAACGAGACCGATCTGCAGGCAGTAGCAGACATCTTCAGCGTCATGATTACGCAATGGCTATCAGTCCATCACTTCCGTCCGAGAAAAGTGAATCAGTCATCATATCAACCCAAGATAGCATCGAAGTCCTCACGCGACTCAGATGAGCAGAACAGCATACCGTCGAGGAAGCGTCAAGCTTCACTGGGCACACCGGCAAGATCTTCAATGGGAACACCAGACTTGAGGCCTGCAGCGACAGATACCACCAAGAACAAGAGACGGGCTATGGCGACTTTAGAAAATTCACTTGGAAAGCCGCGCCCACAAGCCTTTGCAGACTGGTCGCGCATCAAGAGTGGAAAGTCCAGCTTTTTCGACGCGACACACTTCACACAGAAAGCCCAGATGGTCGCTCATCCTCAAACTTTTTCCATTCCAACTTTGCAAGGCATAGTGGGCCAGCCATCCTGTAGTGAAAGCCAACAGGAGTATGCAGCATTCGATATTGCCCCCATTCACCAGGGTGCATTAGGCGAGGTTGTGATAACACCCTCTTTGGAGCCCTCGAACAACACTGTTTCTGCGCTAGACGATAAAGATGAGACTGTGTTGTGGACCGACCTGTCAACAAAGAAGACCTATCTCCTTAACGCTCGGACCGGATGCGTAATGCCGCCTCGACAACCTCGAACGGACCCTGCAGCTTTGTTGCCTACAACCACGCGGTTGAATACAAGCAGGTCACTTCGGATAGCCCCCAAATCTGCCACTGCCGAGCCTGTAAAGACACCATGGTTGGACGGTCTACTGCAGACTTGGGATAACCCAGTTTTCAAGCCAAGTGAGCAAGGCATTCAACAGATGTCGCTTCAGGATAAGCTGGAGCAAGGGGAAAGCCAGCGCCCACAGCATAGTCACACGCATTGCTCTCGCTTTGACATGCAAAAGGCATTTGACGTTGCAGACTCGAGCTCAGCCAGGCTATCGAAAAATGCCCTACGCAGCGCTGAAGTCATCTCACAAGTTGACAGAAAGTTCATTTTAGTAAGAATGGCAGGCTCGTCTACAAATTGCGAGGCACATTTGACTGCCGATATAATGGCCCTGATCGATCAGCATGCGGCAGACGAACGCATTCAAGTCGAGTCACTTCTGAGCGACTTATGCAGACCAGTGCACAGCGATACGCACTCAGGCTACCAATCGAAGCTTGGACTCAGCTCTTCCGTCAAATTCGTCAACCTCGAGAAGCCATTGCACTTTGCAATTTCACCGCACGAATATACACATTTCGAAACATTTGCGCCAAATTTCGCCGCCTGGGGCATTCTGTATGACATCAGCAGCTCTGTTCCTCTCGGAAGCAGAACTGGCATGACAGAGAAGGACACATGCAAACTTTCGGTCACCACTCTACCACTCGTTATCTCAGAGCGCTGCAAAGCTGATCCTCAAGTCCTGATCTCTTTTCTGCGATCTGCAGCATGGAAGTACGTCGAATCGCCACCCCTCGTCCAAGCTGCGGCCAATGAGCATCACACAAATTGGGTCAAGAAGATTGCTACTTCACCACCGGGCCTCGTCGACATGGTAAATTCTCGCGCCTGTCGGTCAGCGATCATGTTCAACGACAAACTCAGCACAGAGGGGTGCAAGGCTTTGGTAAAAAAGCTGGCAGACTGTGTTTTCCCTTTCATGTGTGCTCATGGAAGGCCGAGTATGGTACCAGTTGTTGATATGGGCAGGCTTGGCCATGCTGGTGACGATTTCGGAAGGGATGAGATGCACAGAGAGGAAACTTTTGTGAACGCGTGGAAGAAATGGAAAAGATGAGCCGTTTCCGAACAGTCTGCCCAATTTACTTTGACTCATACCCATAGATCGTATGCAACTATAAGTCGAGTCCCAAACTCTTATCGAATCACCACTTATCGACCACGTACGCGCGGAGTTGCAGTCGGAAAGTGGGTAAAGCTTTGTCACGGAGCTCCGTTGCAGCTACCGGACATACGTCCCGGACATGCGTCCCGGACATGCCGCCTCGGCCGCCCGAATCACCGAATCACGCAAAGCACCCAATAGGAGAAGCTCCTCAAGATCTGATAACCCTGCTAAACACTCTTCCGACAACGGCGCTCGATCAGATAAGAAGCAGCACGCCCGGCACATGTACGCCTCCAATTCCATGTACAAAAAAGTCGGCTTCGCCTCCTCATTTTTCTTTGTGCATTCTACATCCAGTCAAAAGATACCCTCATGCTCAGAGCTATAATGTCAACCTCGAAACCAACAATGAAGAATGTTGTTGTAGTGGGCGGGTCGTACGTCGGATTGAACCTCGCCGAGTCGCTCACGAAAACATCAGAAGGACGGTTCAGAGTGCTCTTGGTCGAGAAGAATAGTCATTTCCAGCACCTATTCGCGTTTCCGCGGTACGCGCTTACGACGAAAGTCGATACACACAAGGCGTTTATTCCCTACCAGAAGAGCAGACTCGGCCAGGAAGGCCTCATCATCCAGGCCAAAGTCCTCTCACTGACGAAAGAGGAGGTCGTTCTGGACCGCGACGTCGATCTCGATGGACAAAAAACGAACAAAATTCCCTACGCGGCCCTGGCGATTACTACGGGAACAAAACTCAGTCCACCGAGCACACTGCCTGGGAGCGAGAAGCTGGATGGGACGGCGTATCTGAGGAAGCATGCTGCTCAAGTGGAAGCCAGCAAGAAAATCGTCATTATTGGGGGTGGAGCGGTGGGCGTGCAGATGGCCACAGACATCAAACAGTTGTTCCCAGAGAAGAGCGTAACGCTGATCCACTCCCGGGCACACGTAATGAGCAAATTCCACCCCGATCTGCACGCTGTCGTCTCACAGCGCTTCGTCGAGCTGGATGTGCAAACCGTACTGGGCCGCGGACGAGTCAAGCTGCCGGAGGAAGGGTATCCCACTGATGGACGCGAATTTGAGGTGGAGTTACAAGACGGCACGAAAGTGTCTGCTGATTTCGTGGTTATTTCTACGGGGCAAGTGCCGCAGTCTGAGATCCTGGCGTCCCTGGCGCCGAAATGTATCGATGAGCAGGCTTTCATCAAGGTCAAAGACACGCTGCAGATTCAGGATGAGAAGTATCCGAATATCTTCGCCCTCGGCGACATCGCAGCAACAAAGGCACACAAAGCTGCTCGTCCGGCATCTAAACAAGCTGAAGTCGTTACGGCAAACATCCAGCATATTCTCAACAGGCAGGAAGGGAAAGAGGAGGAGCTAGAGAAGTATGAGGTCACGGACCCGGCGGCGATTCATCTCACGCTGGGAATTGAGAAGAGCGTTATTTTTAGGAATCCGAGACAGGATGGGAGTGAGGGGAGTGAGGAGCCGGTAGTTATGCATAAGGATGATGGGAAGTTCGATATGGGTATCGATGGTGTGTGGGCGAGGAGGGGAGCGGATATAAGTCTGGCGATGCTGTAGAAGAGGTTGGTCAGGGGAGGGTAGGGGGGGGGGGGGGTTTTTTGCGAAAGAAGATAAACTGTTGTGAAAGGTTGATCTAGATACCCTCGAATAGATAACCGTATGCACCAGAGAGAGAAAGGACGTATGCGAACCCACGTTATTGCAGGTGCGGTGAATGTCTTGAATCGCTCCATGCTGAGACGGGGCTGGCAAACGAGATAGCGCAAAGTGCTTATCGTTGACACGTTCGCTGGGCTTGAACGAGGTACCGTGGAAGCTCTTGTTGAGTCCAAGGAGAAACATGAACGCCAACGTCGTACCCCTGGGCGTGTTCAGGTGTACGATCAAGATGGAAGTGGCGAGGACAGCACAAACGATGATGAGGACGACGAGGACGCGGAGAACCATCGGTGAAGCGCGAATGAACTGCTTGAGGCAGCAAGACAAAACCCCCTCCACCTCAGGTGGAAGTACTCAGGTTGTAAGCAACTCATCTCTCGCGCATCAAGGACAGGTTACATCTTTTCAGCGTTCTAACGTTTTCTTTTTTGATGGACGAGAAAGATGATGTGTAATAGACAGAATGTATGTATGAGCGCAATGAGACCCGAGTAGCCAATTGTCGGCAGTCAGGTCAATTAAACGCTCACGGAGTCGTTCTTGGAATATTCTTAGAGGGCTTGTAGCGAAGGTGGACTTTTCGAACAAGCGTGACAAATTCGTTCCTGAGCATATCGTTTGACTTCGTGATGATTGGCATCTTCTGGTTTGCAGGAGATAAACAGGCTGCTCGCATAGCAAGCCTGCAACTTGCTCACATGGCTTCTCGACCTGGTACACGCCTCGTCTAGATCATGATAGACGGGGGGCGCGCTGCTCGAGCGCTGTGCGATTGCAGAGGTGAGAACTGGAGAGATGAAGTCTCGCTGCAGAAATATTTAGCTTCGCTCCACACGTGCTAGTCCCATCCCAGCTGCATGATCCCTGTACCCCTAACCCCTTCGAACCATCGCTCACAGCCTGCGAACACGCAACTAAGATAACAACACCAACTTCCCATACACCAATGTCTCTCTCAACAACCATAACATGATCATCCGGTCCTCACCACCACAAAGCGGTACCCCATGTACCGCCCCACGTGCCGGCTCTTCCGCCTCCCCTCTAAACTGCAGCGGCGCGCACGCCGCTCACGAGTGTTCGCAATGTTCCTCCTGTTCGCAACAATCTTCATATTCATTTTCCCGTTCTACTGCATCTACAAACCTCCAAATACCCTGATACGGTATTTTCAACGCCGCTGGCCAGATGTATTGTGGCACGTGCCCACGAGTCAAAAGGTGATCGGTTTGACGATTGATGATGCGCCGTCAGAGTACACGAGGGGGATTTTGGAAGTGCTCAAGGAAAATGAAGCAAAGGCGACGTTTTTCGTTATTGGGGGCCAGGTTCCGGGAAGAGAAGGAATTTTGGAAGATATGGTCAAGACTGGGATGGAACTCGGTAACCACGCTATGCACGACGAACCTTCCCGGTCTCTATCACTAGCGCAGTTGGAGTCCGAGATGAAGCAAGTCGAGAGCGCGATAAACGACACATATGCGGCTCTTGAGTTGCCTCGACCGCCAAAGTATTTCCGTCCTGGCTCCGGATTCTTCAGCACAAGGATGCGCGCGCAAATCAAAGAAATGGGGTATCAGATGGTGCTGGGTAGTATCTACCCGCATGATCCGCAGATTCCGTATCCGGGGATAAATGCGAGGCATATTCTGAGCATGGCACGACCGGGTGGGATTATCATCTGCCACGACAGAAGAGGGTGGACCGAACCAATGCTACGAAAGGTGCTTCCTGAGTTGAAGAGGAGGGGGTATACGATCACGACTGTGACGGGATTGCTTGAAGCGGCTGGGAGGGTGGGGAGCAGAAGTGGAGCAAGCTGAGGCTGGCATGTTATACGACAGTGGACGAAGACCGTTCATGCCGCTGTCTTTACGAAGGGCCGCGTTATGAAACGAACATTTGGTCCGTCAGCCGCGTTAACTGTGAAAGCGAGATGCAAGAGGTGCTATGCGCTGACGCACTCAAACGCACAGATGCTACAAGAGCAAGGCAGTAGAAGAACGTGCACAGGGTGAATGCAGCGCTAAATGTCGAAGCAGATGTCTGAAAAGCTTAGAGGCTTGTATGTAGACAGCTCTGGGCAGCTAAAATCACCAGCATAGATTCATGGAAATTTGGGCATGAATCTAGGATCTGGATCGATCCACTGTAATCCTAAGACCACACTTGTTGTGAACCAATTGCAAGAAATAACAAGTGTTAGTTCAATGTTAGCATTCGTGAATTGACGTTGGAGCTTAACCAAGTTCGTTTTTCTTGATGATCGGCGCTAACGGCGATCGTGTTCTGACGTGCTTGGTGTTTGACGTGTACCAAACTTCAGCTTTCGACGGCACTTCAACACGGGTCACATGCATTAGGTGTCAAGCCACCAATCCCCTGAGATCGGATACTAACGATGAGGAAATACAGTCGACACTGCGGACCCGCAAACATATTGCGAAATGTTGTGCCTTGATTATGAGCACAGGAGAAATAAGCAGAAACCTTTGGCTGTATACTCTTGGGACATAGCCGCATCATTCGACGGCACCGAAGCCAGCAAGATACGAGATACGAGCACATCACAAGCGCAGTAGGAAGTGGAACAAGTGTTGGAGAATTAAACCAATTCATTGGGTAATGTTACATATCATAATTGAAGCAGGCCTGCTGTAGGCTCGTATCATATCGCTTCATTCTCCACGACGCCATATACTGACGAACTCATTCGAAGCCGCCAAAATGGAAAACAAGTCACTCAACTCTTAGCAAGCAATTTACTCGAAGGGGTTGGTGCGGGTGCCCCAGTAGGTGAGGAACAGGGAGAGACCGACGGTCTCGAGGACGCGGGCAACAGCGCCGACGGCGATGGTGTCAAGAGGACGCTTCTCGGTGAGGACCTGGGAGACGATCTATCCATTATTAGTAAACAGTCAAAGAAAATTCGAAGAAGTGCGGGATGACGTACAGAGGGAGCAGCGGAAGCGAAGAAGATCAAGGAGCCGAGGTAAGCAGCGCCCTTGTAGGTGAGGGTGCCGGTAGCGTTGATGAGAGCACCAACACCGTATGACTGGACGGCAGAGCCGACAATGGAGCTACCCCACGACGCGGCGGCGGTGGCAGCCTCCTTGGAGTGGAAGTACTCCTCCTTGGAGTTGGCCTGCTGTGCGCGGCGGTAGGCGTCACCGAAAACGGGGCCGAGGACGGCAAGGGAGACAGCGTGGTTGAAGGCCGTGCCGAGGGCGATGGCAGAGGGCTTGACGGGAGGGAGGTCTGATGGATCCCACGTTAGCCATTGATGCATCAAGTAGTGTTTAAGTCAAAACACGTAGAGATTGCGTGATCGAGCTTGTAATCTGCCAGCTGCTGAAGCTGGTAAACAAAGGGCGCACTTACAGCTGAGAGAGGCCATTGTGGATGATGTGATGGTGTAGGAGATGGAAGAGTTGGTGGAAAGTAGTGTGATGGGTATCTGAGTGGTGATGATGGCAGACAGACAAGCGGTGCAGGATGCTTTTGTACTCGCGGCACGCAACGATGGCTTGCACTGGCGACCCGTGACACAATGTGACGTCACGCCAAGCTTGGACGAATGGATCACGAAATCCAGCTTCAGCCGTCTCTATGAGGCAAACAGCCCCACTGCCTTGGAGCAATCCGGACTGTGCACTTGCGATCGTTTGGCATGATGATATTGTATGATGTTCGAGGTCCTTCTGCCGTCTGGCGACTCGCGAATGTGGGAGATTGATGTTCAGGTACGTCACCGATGAGGAAGGAGCGACTGAAGCTATGGCCAGTCACGCCGCTTCTGGAGCTCTTTAGGTTAGTGCTCACACCCTTCACGTGAATCACTGGAGTACGGCTTGGAGGATGCGAAGGAGCGGGAAAATGCCAACGTTGTCTCTATTGCACTCGTGTGCGCGTCAAACATCGAATTGAAGACGCAAGGCACAGGACTCCAGTTTTCGGCGATCTCCCCACAAAGAATGCGCGCTATCCACACGTCTTTGCGCAAGAACAGGGAACCCCTATCCGCCAGAATGCTTATCCCACGGAAAGCTGTTGGGGCCCTGACGTTCATCCTGTGCGTCGCGGGTGTGTTTGTTTTCTCCCATTCAATTGTGCAATGGTCGGCGTATCTCTTTGGCAGCCATGCTCCACTGATACCGTACACTACGCACGTTGTCCTGTTCCAATTCAAGGAAACGGCCACTAGCTTCGCGGTCAAGGAGGTACGAAATGCTCCAGAACGCGGCGCGCATAGGCCTAACATCATGCAGATCACGTCAAAGTTCTTTGGTCTGAAGAAGTCGTGTGTTCACCCAGACACGCGCAGGCCGTATATTTTGTCGATTACTGGTGGAAAAGATACGTCCATTGAGGGCCTGCAGGTACCAGCGACCCTGGATCCGTAGTCATACAAGCTTCTGACATGTGCCAACAGAACGGAATCAGCCACGCTTTCGTCCTCAGATTCAGTTCGGAGGAGGAGCGAGACTATTACGTGAAGGAAGATCCTGCGCACCAAGCGTTCAAGGACGCTGCCGCCGCGATGGTGGAAAAGACGATAGTCGTTGACTTCCAAGAGGGCGTATTTACTAACGCATAGTGAACTCAGGAAGAGCATGTGTTAAAAGTGTAGCTGTGAACTGCCCTGGCCTGGTGCTTAGGGCCCAACGTACATACGTGGCAATAGAACATACATCATACTAGAACCAGCTCTCCCGTTGCACGATAAAGTTTGTAAGAATCACAGCCTTTGTGCCTGTCTAACCGAGCCTCAAAACCTAACAGCAAGATACAGCACACGCACCACAAACCCTTCGGATCCACCCATACATAATCTGTGAAACAATTCATTGATATTCGCAACGATCATCAAGCCTCAGAACACGCTGCAAAACGTGTCTCCTCTACAAAGCCTTCCTCAACGCACTCTTAAACGGAATGATCTGCACCTTACTCAAATCCCACACGCCCCCCTCAACATAAACATCCTTCCTCAGCCTCTCCTCGACCTCCTCCCTAGTCTTGGCACCAATTAGCATAGCACTGCCCTTCATCTTCGGTGGCCCGGCGTCGCCCTCCTTGATCGGCTCTTCGAGCATAGCACCTATTCCTTGTCAGCATACACCCATGACCTCCAATATGCCCGATGTAGAGTAGAGTGGGTGTAGGGGGAGGGGGAAGACGTACCGCCCCAAAGCCAAAAACTATCATCGTCCTTCTTCAGTCCTCCCAAATGTTCCTGTCGGACCGCAATACGCTTCTGCAGTGCACCCTCATGATCCGGCACAATGACAAGCCATTCCTGCAGCGGCGCACTTGAACTCGCCATTGTCCTTACAATACTCGATCGTGGAACTACAAAGCTCGGGGTGCGAAGTAGAATGTTCGAGGTACGAAGGGTGCGGAGGGCAAGCATATATCGAGCTGTGTGGGACTTGGGGGAGCTGTTTGGGCCGAGGTAGTCAGTCTGAGTGTTGCTTAAAGCTCGAGGGCAAGAGGGCGTGAGTTGTTTCTGTACTTACGAGCTTCGATCACAAGCTAGACTTCAGAAGTGGGTCGTTCACAGGTAGTTATACACTTGTACTCGGGAAGGCGCGTGGGAGTACAGCTGTAGGGCGTCGCGGGGGTGTTTCGGAATAAGAACCGCGGGGTGAGCGTCGGCTGATCTCAATGCACGAATCGGAGAGGCAGGACGAACCATGAAGGGTACCATCGTCAACAACCACACGCCTACTCAGAGTGCAAATTGGAAGAGATAGTTGAAGAACGTGGTGTACACGGATTAAGACTACAGAAACAACTACATCGCTATCCAAGTTCATGAAATCGTTCCTCCTCTTGCCTGCGTTACCCAGTACCCAAACCACCAACGCCAGAAAATGAGGGCAGTCGCCCGCCTTACCCACATCTAACACTATATACAGCACCCTTGAACAAGCAAATTTCCGTCTAACCAGAGCACATGAGGCAGGACTCAGGGTTCTCTATCGAGCAGGCAAGAGCAGCCTCAGCGTAGATGTCACCATCGCGCTCCTTGCTGTCGTCATCTGCATCCTCAGCCTGCTTGTTGTTGGACGACGAATCCTCCTCAGCAGGCTTGCTTGTAGAGTCAGCGGCGACCAGCTTGGGGCTGTCACCCTCCTCGACGTCAGCCTTGAAGGGCTTGCTGGCCAGAGCATTTTTCGCAGGTGGGAGCTTGTTCTCGGCAGCAGGTGGTGGGGTAGCTGACGGTGTTGGTACACCGTTCACTGCCTCGGAAACACCGTTGGGAGTCTTGGTGGCGTACATGGGCCTTGGAGCTGGGGTAGAAGAAGGCGAGCCAACACCGGCCTGCTGGAAGCCAGGCTGACGCCTCTTCGAGGGAAGAGCGCGAGCGATGTTGGTGTCCGCAACCTTGAGAGCCTCCTGGTCGACGGTGAACTGGATGGGGGCAGAAGCAGCCATGGTTCGGAGGTAGTACATGCCAGTCTTGAGACCAAGCTTCCATCCGGCGAAGTGCATGGAGGTAATCTTGCCCATGGTGGGCTCCTTCATGTGGATGTTCAAGGACTGAGACTGGTCGATGAAGGCACCACGGTCAGCAGCCATCTGAATGATGGTACGCTGCGAGATCTCCCAGACAGTCTTGTACAATGTCTTGATCTCGTCAGGGATGTTGGGGATGCGCTGAATAGAACCACCCTCAGCAATGATGCGGTTCTTCATGTTCTCGGTCCAGAGACCCATGTCGACAAGGTCCTTGAGCAACCAGGGGTTGACAACCTGGAACTCACCAGCAAGCACACGACGAGAATAGATGTTCGATGTGTAAGGCTCGAAGCACTCATTGTTGCCAAGAATTTGGGAGGTGGAAGCAGTAGGCATGGGTGCGATGAGCAGAGAGTTGCGGACACCGTACTGCGCGATCTTCTCCTTCAGCGAGGCCCAGTCCCAGAGATCGGTGGGAGTGACACCCCACATGTCGTACTGGAGCTGACCCTGGGAAACAGGCGAGCCCTCGTACGTAGCGTAAGGGCCAAGTTCCTTAGCAGTGTCGCAAGAAGAGGTCAAGGCAGCGTGGTAGATGGTCTCGAAGATCTGGATGTTAAGCTTCTTGGCCTCAGGAGACTCGAACGGCAAGCGAAGAGCGAGGAAAGCATCAGCAAGACCCTGGACACCAAGACCAATAGGTCTGTGACGGAAGTTGCTACGGCGTGCCTCCTCGACGGGGTAGTGGTTGACCTCGATGATCTTGTTGAGATTACGGGTGCAGACCTGGACAACCTCATGGAGCTTCTTGAAGTCGAACTCACCCCGCTTGTAGTCAACAAACGAGGGCAGAGCAACGGAAGCCAAGTTGCAAACAGCAACCTCATCTGGTGCGGTGTACTCGATGATCTCAGTGCAGAGGTTGGAGCTGCGGATGGTACCGAGGTTCTTCTGGTTGCTCTTCCTGTTGGCAGCATCCTTGTAGAGCATGAAGGGATTACCGGTCTCAGTCTGTGCCTCGAGAATGGCGTACCACAGCTTCTGAGCGCGGACGGTCTCACGACCACGACCTTCCTTCTCGTACTTCTCGTACAGGGCGACAAACTCGTCACCGTAGACGTCGGCAAGACCCGGGCACTCGTTGGGGCACATGAGTGTCCACTCGCCGTTCTCTTGGACACGCTGCATGAAGAGGTCGGGAATCCACAAAGCGTAGAAGAGATCGCGAGCACGAACCTCCTCCTTGCCGTGGTTCTTCCTGAGGTCGAGGAAGCCGAAGACGTCAGCGTGCCACGGCTCGAGGTAGATGGCGAAGGCACCGGGACGCTTGTTGCCACCCTGGTCGACGTAGCGAGCAGTGTTGTTGTAGACGCGGAGCATAGGAATGAGACCGTTCGATGTTCCGTTGGTTCCTCCAATATAGGAGCCAGTGGCACGAATGCGGTGCACGTTCAGACCAATACCGCCAGCAGTCTTGGAGATCAGCGCGCAGGTCTTCAGTGTGTCGTAGATACCATCAATGCTGTCTTCCTTCATGTCAATGAGGAAGCAAGACGACATCTGTGGGGATGGTGTGCCAGCGTTGAAGAGCGTCGGCGACGCGTGTGTGAAGTACTTCTGCGACATGTAGTCGTATGTCTCGATGGCCTTCTCAATGTCCTCCATGTGAATACCAACAGCGACACGCATGAGCATGTGCTGTGGGCGCTCGGCAACCTTTCCATTGATGCGGAGGAGGTATGAGCGTTCCAGTGTCTTGAAGCCGAAGAACTGGTAGTTGAAGTCGCGGTCGTAGACGATGGCACTGTTAAGCTCATCGGCGTGGTCCTGGATGATCTTGTAGACCCGGTCTGAGATCATAGGTTGCTTCTTGCCATTCTTGGGGTTCTCATATGAGTAGAGGTCATGGATGACGGCAGAGAACTGCTTCTTCGTCTGCTTGTGGAGGTTGGAGACGGCGATACGCGCGGCGAGGATAGCGTAGTCGGGATGTGTGGTGGTCATGTATGCTGCTGTCTCGGCGGCCTATCGTCTGTCAGTACTGAGGAGGTATAGACGCGTTCATGGTGACGTACCAAGTCGTCGAGCTGGATTGTGTTGACACCCTGGTATACGCCAGAGATGACCTTCATTGTGATGGCAGCAGGGTCGACATGGTCAGGGTCGAGCCCGTAACACAGCCTCGACACGCGAGCTGTGATCTTGTCGAACTGCACGCGTTCTTTGCGTCCATCTGGTGCACAACTGTCAGCCACGGTAACGGTGTGCAGCGGAGTGCAGGGATCTCGAGGAGCACTCAAGACGACAAGACTGGCGCGTACATACCTCGCTTGAAGACAAACATGGTGAAGACGCGAAGATATTACGGGGTATATGGGTATAGAAAGAGGAGAAGTGGTATGAGAGAAGGAACAGTGCGGTGGGGCTGGAGGAGGTTTTAAGTGTTTGGCACGGCAACGCGTCCATAGCACGTTCACGCGTCGTGCTTGCCGCAGATTTGTAACTAGCGCGTTGCATCGAGTAAAGTGCTTGCATGGGCCGCGGCGATCGATGATCTGATAAGATCAAGCGGCCAAATTGTCGCCGAAGCCCCGAACTTTTCTGGGTGCAGCATCAACTACGCTGAGGTGCATCGTGAGCCGCATCGGACGTCTTTCTCTTCTCTCTCGGACTTTTACAGCGCCACTTGTCTTCCACAATGGCGGGCGGACACATGAAGTACCGTGCCCTCAGTCGGTCATCGTCGCATCGACAGGCCCTCCTGCGCAACCTCGTCACATCGCTGTTCAAGCACGAGTCGATAGCAACAACATGGCACAAGGCGAAGGAGGCGCAGAGGTTAGCGGAGAAGCTGGTCACATTGGGCAAGAAGAACACAGAGGCGTCGCGGCGGAGAGCGCATCAGATATTCTATGTAGGAAGACCCAGCACCGCTGCGCCAACGCCATACTGATTGTTGCAGGAACCAAATGACATGGTCCCCAAGCTCTTTGGCCCCATAAGAGAGCGCTACGCCGCCAGACCTGGAGGCTACACACGAGTGCTGCGCATCGAACCCATGAAGGAAGACCAGGCCGAATCTGCGATCCTCGAACTCGTCGACGGACCGAAAGACATGCGCTTCGCCATGACAGCGAAAACCCTGGCGCGCCTGCCCCCCAACAAGCAATTCAACGACATGACAGCGAAGAACGTGAAGAGGGTTACACAATTCCGCGAGGATGGCATGAGCCAGCTGCAAGAGATGGTCCAGCAGATGCGCATTGAGCAGGAGAATGGTATCGACGACCGAGTCCTACCAGCGCCTAGGAGGGTGTACCCAGAGCAGAGTATGAAGAGGGATATGCATTACCCAGAGGAGACGCCCGACTGGAAGTTCCCCAACCCTCTACCTAAGAAGCAGGTCAAGAAGGAGGTGAAGGTCGTAGAGCCAGAGGCCGATTTCATGGTCGCGGAGCGGAGTCTAGGGAAAGAAGTGAACGCGTAAGGTTGATGTGTTATATATGTACTATACCAATGTTCACATACCAGGCGCAATACCCACGATTGTGTTGCGACAACCTCCTTGGATCACCTTGACTTGGGGCATGGAATCCTCGTTCATTTTGCCATGTCTCTCTTACACTGTTTTAGGCCGACTGCCTAGCTCCTTGATCCCTACCACCTTCTCCAACGCCGTCGATTCGACATAATCTCACCAGACATTATACCAATCCTCGCTCGACCACACGCTATATCGTGGGCCCAAGCAACACCGCAGTGCGCATTCCGCCAAGGATTTCGTGAGTGGACGAACGCGCATAGTTACAGTATGGTACTGATTCGACACAGTGCCTCGGGCGCCGGATTTGCTACTGTGATCGTGGATGCGGGATGTGTTCCATTCGTTGTACACCAGCAGCTCCTCACGTATCACTCACCTTTCTTCCGCGCTGTGCTGAAGGGTGGTTTTGAAGAGGCTACGAAAAGAGAGGTACGTTTGGAAGGGATGGATATTGACACGTTCGAGTTCTTTGTTCATTGGCTATATCACCAACGCCTTCCGAACGGAAACAACGATCCCGAACTCTGCACTCTGTGGGACTCTGGCAAACACCAGGGAGCGGACAAGATGGGGAGCATCACACACCTCTATATCTTCTGCGACAAGTACGACGTTCCGGTTCAAAGGGCCAATCCCTAGATCTCCTGTATGAGTAATTCCACGACGAGGATTAGGTCTTCCTTGGACCCAGGATATCACGTACGCATTCGCAAACGTCTCCGACAACTCTCCGATGTACCGCTTCCTGGTAGATGCGCACTGCAATTGGGCTGACGCGACGGTTTGGGAAGCTCCTTGTGAGGAAGAGGAATCTTCGTCGAATCAACGTCTCGCCTTTCTCGGAAACACACTACAGCGTTATGCCGAAATTGCCCACGGAGAGCGCGACAGAGACGATGGCCTAGATATTTGCGACTGCCACGGTCACAAGGACGTCGAAGAGAGGAGGCTTGTGAAGCAGAGGGGACAGCTTGATCTGGCGGTCTCGATGAGAGGCATGAGGCGTCACAAGAGTGGATCTTGGAAGAAGCAACATGTGACTGATATGACACTCATGGAAGTTGGCGGGTCTGATGAATGATGTTCGACAACCCCAATCTTCTGCTGTACACTTTCAGGTAGATTGATATCCTTCATTCGCTGACATGGGTATAGGCGAGCATGGAGGCCTTCATATCGGATTTGGCCAGTGGGCCAATGGACAAGTAAACATTTGATGTCTAGCTAAGTCTCAGTGATGCGTGATACGGCAGGTGCAAATACCGTGGATGGCGCTAATTAGCCTGTGATGACCAAAGCGGCAGTCACCTCCACTCTCACCACCCGTACACCAGATTACCTTTACTTGAGACATGGCATAGCGAAGCACACTTCACTCTCACTCTCACCAGGCTTCTGAAAAGAAAAGCAACCTATACAAAGCTTTGCGCACCAAGACCACATTTCTACCAGCGATCAGCTCGACAATTCTACGTGATGACTGGCATCAACAGCAAGACTTCTCAGGTTCGCCCTCGCATCTCGTAGGTCATCTTCGACGATATAGAGCCCCAACCCCACAATACTGACTACTGGCAGAGCGAGAAATGCCAAATTTGCAACCGTTCTCGTCGGCTCGCAACATGTCAAGTTCACCGTTCACCAAGATCTACTCGCATTCCACTCGCCATTCTTTCGCGCAGCTCTTATTGGCAACTTCCAAGAAGCCCAGAACAAGTCTGTAACTCTGGAGGAAGAGGATCCACAGACCTTCGAGTTCTTTGTGCACTGGCTCTATTACAAGCGCCTTCCCAATGAGGCCGATGCTCCTGTCGAGCTCCTATCGATCTGGGCTGGCGAAGACGATCGCGGCGGATTGGAGACCGGCAACCTCATCCGAGTGTACATCTTTTCTGAAAAATACGACATTGCTGCGCTGAAAACCTGCGCTCTGGACGATCTGTACAACCACATGACGAATCCCTGCGTTGGTCTTGCGAGCAGCTCCCAGATCGGGTATGCCATCGACAACCTTCCGAGCAATTCGCCCATGTGCAGATACCTGGTCGACGAGCATTGCCATTTCGCAACCGCTGGCGTTTGGGAGGATCTTGCTGCATTGAACTATCCGTCCATCTTTTTGGAAAGGGTCTTGTGTCGTTATACCGAGTACGCTCACGGAGGTCTTGAGTGGGACAACAGCATGCCCCTGTGCGAGTATCACGAGCACAAGGACATGGCAGAGCGACGGTCCTGTGAAGCGAAACGCGAAGGATAAGAGTTCCATTGCGTCGAAAAAGAGCACCTATGAGTGGCTCTGCAATGGAAGCCGCCAGTCGTTGGCAGGACCTTTCAGCATTCCATCTCCTCGCAATCTGTGGTCATTTTCGAGTACTTGTACCCGGTACCAGTATTTACCTTTCATGAGTCTTACGCTGTGCCACTTAGATCCGCCTCAGGCTTTTCAGTTCCTTGAGTGCCATTTGACGTGTCGCCTTTGATGTTTAGCCAATAGGCTGTACTGCTGACTGTGCAATCGTCTGGGTGAGAGCCACCCCCCAAAGTCCCAAAACAAAAGTAAAAATACAACAACCCCATCCCCGCATATGCTGTCCGATAGCCGGCTCGAGAATCACCTACTAAACTCCTGGCTCGACAGCTCTGATATCGCCCTTGTGGACCACTATGCCAGATGCCCACCCGAATGCGGCGATGGCGTTGTTGTGGAAGAGTGGAAGACTTGTGAGATTCATAATGACGGATATGCCTTATGACGGGTACGAAGGAAAGACGGTGCTAGGATGTTGGTTGGTTTGGTTGTGAGAGAGGTGCGCGTAGTATCCATGTACGTGTGACGGCGCAGAGGGTGCAGACTTGCTTCACCTGGGCCCGTTGTGGGCTCGCAGTATTGGTTCTCTTGTGGCTGTAGCACCAGCTAGATGGACTCATATCGGTATTTCAACTCGATTATGATCCGCTGTTGAAGTCCAGTGTCAAGCCGACATAGTGATGAACAAGGAACCTTGCCCCGATGCTGTTGATCAACGGAGTCATGCTGTTTCGAGCTGCCGTGGAGGTGCCGCCATTGAAGGTCAGCTCTACCAGGACGATACGTGACAAGTATCCAGGATAGAATGGTGAATGACTCAAATTTTCGATGTATGTGGTGAGCGTATTGTTGCAGTTTCTCTTGAGTATGTCAGAACGATTAGGACCTCTGCAGCAAGCTCATTTACTGGCGTTGAATCGACTGTTTTTGATGGTAGTATATCCTGAGTACATTGCTCGCATGGTCCATCTCAAGTTTGTGACAAGAGGATAGGATATCCAATTCCATGCTCTGTGAAGGTGATGGGATCATGAAGACCTCATCATGGACTTTGTACCTGTAGAGACCCCCTCCCCTTTTGTAACTCATCCTCCTTCTATACTAGAGGAGCTACTGCACCTCTCGTTCACCATAGTCTCAGACTCCCATAGAACGTTAAACCAATCAACCAATCAATCAAACAACCTCATCATGGAATTAACATGTCCAGAATTGGGACTTCGGCGTTAGGATTGGAATCAGCGATCGATAGTCGTAGAAAACCTACCCGATGAGGAAGGATGCGGCTGATCGCGCAATTCCGGCTCTGACCTCACATGTCAACAGCTCCAGCGCGCATCTCTTAATTGCAATTTGCGCCTTTCACCTACAAGCCCCTCCCGTCCTTTCATCTCCAGATTTTCAGTAACGGATCCGCGAACGTGTTCTGCAAGCCATTGGGTCCGACCATACCGTTCATCTGTGCGAAAAGCTTCTCTCTTCGACACCCTTATCAGCTCATCATGGGCATGACAACTGGCTTCGTAACTACTCAGCGACTTCATAACATATATCGTTTCTGACAGTGAAATAGCTCGGAGGCTTCACCCTCACATCAGCCATTCTGTATCTCTCCATTTCGCTGCACGCACAGAACCGCGCAACACAAGCCGCGCTCCTGCGCCAACAGCGCAACGTCCTCACAAACTTCTACGATCCCAAGGAACCCAAGGCCGAGCCCAGAGCGCGAGAAGTGCCAATTGGGCTGGCAGAGATGGCCAAGGACAGGTGGAACAGGGTACTGGAGGAGACTGTGCAGACCGTGTACAACACAGATTGGAGGAGGGTCAGGGAGAGCGCTGAGGACAGGCTGAGCACAGTTGCGCAGAAGATCAGGGAAAGCGGGAAATAAGCTGGAGCAAGGGTGAAGTAGGTGGAGGGGGCGGGGCGGGCGAATGCAACGATACCCTTCTTGCAGCGACAATTCTGGGATTACACAACAGCACGAACACTCGTAGAGTACGGTGAAGCACCGAGGGATATGTCTGCATATATCCTTAGGTATGCGAAGTGAACCTCGCGTGCGCTCAAGTCTTTTATGTCATGTCTATCTTCCTGCGCTTCCTGTCTTCACCTTGGCACTTTCATTGTTTGTCTACACAATCATTCCCAAGCGCCCCGCTTTGTCTGTCTCTCGCAGCTTCGACTCCCTCAGCCAAGTCACTTTACATTCTGATATTCTCCTTTCGTTGTACTGCGCACCGTCATGGCGTCTTTTGGCAAGGTACTCGATCTGCTCGACGACCGCTATCTCGAGCTGCAAGACGTCATCGGCAATGTCGAACCGCTACCAACCCTTGTCCCCTACGAGGAATACACCCAGAACGTTTTGGTTTATCGTATGGACACGAACCACGAGATCTTCATGGGCCTAATCCAAGACTTCACCATGCGACGAGCGCACGAGACGAGCAAGGAGCTGTGGACCTGGCTTGTGCAATGGGAGGTCGACAACAGTCCACCTGCGCAGCAGCCTTCGTCCCCTAAGAAAGTCCGATTGGACACACAGCAAGCAAACGCGCTTTTCAAAGCGCCACCAACGCCACGCCAGACCCCCGCTCTTACTATCTTCGAGCGACGCACTCTAGATGGGGCGCTAATGCTGGAGGAAGATATGTTGCGCATCCTGATCGACATCGTACAAGTTGCCAGTTCGCTTGTGCCCAACTTCATCGAGTTTCTGTACCGTTGGGTAGACTACTACGAGGGTGATGGGAAGGCGCTCAAGGCTGCGCTGAGGTGGGAAATTCCAAGCTTGTGGGACTTTGAGTACCACCCTCTGGTGCTGCCGCGAGACGTGGGAAAGGACAGTTATACAGGGAAAGAAGATGACACTCAGTCTAGCGGACAAGGAGAGAGAAGAACAAGATCTGCAAGCGAGAGCAAAGCTGCCGAGCTACGACAGAGCTCCCCGACGAAGAAGATGCACGCACGACCAAAGCCAGACCTAGCGGCCATCGAGCTTCGTACATTCTACAGCGAAGAAAGCGAACGCCTCCAGTATCGCGAAGTCAAGTTTGGCATCCAGCCACCCAAGCTCGAACAGCCATTACCACCACTCATCAACATTCCGCGCGACCAACGCAAGCGTACAAAATACTATGCTGCATGTTTCAAATCCCGCCAACGCGCGCTCTATCTCCTCCTCGAAGCTGGTGTCACCATGCGTCAAATCAACAACTACCAGAAGCTGCAAACTGCGCATCCCAAAGAGACGCCCGAAATCGGCGACGGCAACGGTCTCCGCAACTACCAGAAAGACGCGAAGTACGCACAAGCTCAGTTCGAGCTAAAGGATAAGCAGATCAAACAGCGTGAAATCGCCATCAGCAACAAGCTTGCAGTCGAAGCCCAGCTTGCAGCCACCCATGCGATTCCTGATGGGGCGACTGGCCTACCGCTCATTCCGCCTACACCAGTGTATGCAAGGAAGCCAGAAATGGCTGCTGATATGATGCAGAGAATCAAAGAGACGAGGGCGAAGAGGGATGAGAGGATCAATATCGTGCCGAAACCGCTTGTGGATAGGATGAAGAGCAAGGTGTTTGAGAATGCGCGAAAGGAGCCTGAGTTGATGCCGCTGAGAGATCTCATGGCTGAGGCTGAGTGGTATACGAACCGGTCTCTTACAGTTCCAACTGCACTTCCAAGGAGAGGAGATGAGAATCTAAGATTGGTCGTTACGGGCGATCGTCCTAGAACATTTCAAGTTGGACAGATTGAGGACAAGGACGACAATGACGACGAAGATATGGGGATGGAGAGTGACTCTAGCAACAATGGCGGAGGCGATGACAGTGCCACGGCTGCAGCCGCTATGCCAGTGTCGACTCCCAGCCTACCGCGACCGACGCTGCCACTGCCCCTACCTCCGCAGCCTCCCGCCGCCACGACCAACCCGGTAAATACTGCCAATGGCTTCAATGTCCCAAGGTATCCACATCTGACTGAAGAGAGCAGCTCTTCACAGCCTGTTCCCAGGGGCTTCGATCAATCTACGCCACCCAACATCGCAACGTACATGCAAAACCTGAACACCGAACAAGCTCAACATCTGCTACCTCTGCTGAGTCCCCAAGCACGGCAAGCAGCGACAAGCAAAATCCAAGAAAGCTCTCGAGCGCAAGACATTGTGCCACGGACTCTCTCGTTTGACGTCGGACCTGTGAGGTCGTCGAGCTCCAGCCAGCCTGGCTACATAATCGACCCGTTTATACTATCAAAATTGTCAGAAGCGTCACCTCCGCGGCCATCATCAGTGCCGCTTCCTCTAGGTAGCCAAGGGCAAGGAACAGCCAGGAATGTCGCACCAAATCAAATCAACTTATCAGGTCCATCGTCTGCAGTAGATCCATTGATACTACCAAAGCAGCGAAATCAAAACGCGTTTCCAGGCAGTCCGCAATCTTTACCTCCGTCGCCATTCGGTATACTGGGTCAGCCAACTCCATCGCCCGTCGGTCTTCAGCAACATACTACAGCTGAAGGAAGCCGTAACATCCCAGTATATGCGCTTTCGCCTACGACCGCTGGAGCTCCTTCCACTGACGCCTGGCTGGCCAGCCCCGTCTCCACTGGCTTCAACTCTGAACACTTCATGTATCTGAGACGTCAACAAGAGGCATCGGGATCAGCCACTACATCAGAAGGTTCGGTGCAGTCCAGCCAAACAGTCCTACCAGATACACAATCAGCTTTGCGGCCGCAGATACCAAACCTCGAGCCGCACCAACAGCTACCCGCGCAACGTCAACAAATGTTGTCAGCAGATTTCGCTGCTACGAACGCCCAAGTATGCGCTGCACAAGCTTCTCAGCCAAATACACAGCCGGCTCAGCCACCGCAAAGCTCAAGGCCATCAGACCTCACTCAATATCGCTGGGAATTCGATGAAACCAGTGGGCAGCTCACTTCTCGAGGTCCAGTCCCATCGCGATCGTCACTGTCTCCCTCAGTCCTCTCACCGCCACTACCGCAGCCGCAACCACAACCGCGGCCGCATCCCCTCCAGCCACTCCTCAGACCCGAAACCTCCAACCAAACCCCCGCTACTCGCTCCACTCCACCATCGCCCTACCCGCCGCCCTCAGGCGCCATGTTCCCACCGCCCCGGCCAGGCATAACACGAAACGCACCGACCCCTCTCTCCCTATCTTCTCCCAAACCTTCACCCTTCACGACCTTCGCCCCACAAGTCCTCGCCACATCACCCTTCCTCGATCTCTCCGCCAACGCCGGCACACCAATCCAGATCTACCTCCCCGCGATCCTCGTCCCGGGCAACGGTCTCGGACCGAGCGGAACGAGAATGGGCAACAGCGGCTGTGCGGAGACGGATGCCCTTCTTCTCGGGCACGAGGAAGTGGGAAGTGGGAAGTTGGTGCTGAGCAAGGCGATTCTAGTGCCGGTGGGCGTGTGGGAGAATACGCTCAGGAAGGTGAGGAGCGGGCGGTGGAGCGTGCTGGAAACGTACGCGTGCCCATCTTCCCACCCCGCCAAAGGGAAAGGGAAAGGGAAAGAGAGAACGGGCGACCGGGCGGAGAAAGGGTGTCACAGAGCTGTGTACGATAAGCTAGCGCAAGCGTACGGCATGATGACCGGCTTACCAGCAGTTCGGGAGGAGTTGTTGACGAAGCGGTGGCGCGTGAGTCGTGGGCCGATGACGATTTATGATCGCGGTGCTGTGTGGGAGGGGTGGGGCGCGTTTGTGGATCGGGGGATTGAGATGAGTGCTGCTGAGCGCGAGGGCGCGGTGAAGAGTGAGGTGGAGGTGTCTGGAAAGGTTGAGGATGGGGGCATGGGGGATGGGTATGCGCCGTATGGTGATGCGGAGAAGGAGAGGAGGAGGAGGGAGGTGGAGGAGTTGATGGATGAGGATGAGGATGAGGAGATGGAGGAGTAAATTTTGCAAAGGATGGGGGGGTTGGGCAGCTAGTTCTTGGGCTTCGTTGACATGGAAATGGTGTCTGTTATCTCGTGAGTCGGGCAAGGGAAGTTTTTTTTGTAGTTCATGCCAACAGTTGTACACGTTCCACGATATCCTTCCCATCCCCATTACCTTCTAAAGCAGTTTTAAATCAAAAGCACCGAAACACTATCCACTCCACACGATCCTATTTTCTATCGAACAACACTCTATCTTGCATCCCCTACACATACACCCACTCACTCCCTCCGCCTCCTCACATTCCCATACTCGTGCGCATAATAATTAACCACGCTCTTGTACCCCAGACTCTTGTACCCGGGATGACTTCTCTCGCGCGGCGCAGTCCACGCCCTCGTCCGTCGATCGAGCGGGAAGGATGCTATCCTGGCACGACGCGGTTCGGAGACGTTGGCGTAGTGCATGTGGATCCTCACGGTGTTTCTCTTCTTTTCTTCGAGGTCCTGCTTTTCTAGCTTCTGCTCTGAGGGCTTGCTGCCTGAACGCTGTAGGGTGGGCGATGATGCTTGGTCTCGTAGGCTATTCCTGAATGTGGGGGTGAGGCGTGCGGCTCTGGTCGACTGCGTCTGAGGGGCTTCTGGGTTGCTTGTGACTTGCGCTGTGCTTGGAGAGGCGGAGGGGGTGGGAGGGTCAGGTTTGCCGAAGAACGAGTTCTTTTGGTCTGGGGTGGAGAGGGCAGAGAGCGCATCTTGAGGCTTTACGTGCCGCGTCGGCATACTGTTGATGGCTTCCCTTTTGACAGCTTCCTTGGCGGCATTGGCCTTAGGGAAAGAGAAGCCTTTCGCCCTATTGGTAGTGAGGATGGAGAGCGCATCAAGCTCTCTATTGCTGTCTGTGTACGGGTTTCTGCGCTCTTGAGATTTCTGGGCCGGATGACTAGCTTGCTCTTTGAGGTACACTTTCTTTGGCACTTTCCCATCCCGAGGACCCCCTCCCGTTCGTAGCATTCTCTGCTCTGCTTCGAACTGCCTCTTTTCCTTTTTTCGTGCTCTTCGTTCCTCCAGACGCTCTTTCTGTTTGGTGCGCCTCTCAGTCTTTTCAGCTCGTGCCTTGGCAGCGGCTTCGAGCTTCTCCGCGTGGCGCGCGAGGTCCGCTTCTGCTTTCTCGGCCCTCGCGATTTGGGCAGCAATTTGTTCGGGCGTTGAGTGGAGTTCTGCGAAACGTCGGTCCTCGCGTTCAAGGCGCTCTGCTGCACTCAGAGATTGTTCATCCTCGGGTGTGTCCAATATCGCAGAGTGATCTCTTGCAAGACGCTTCTCTTCGATTTCGAGACGCTGGACCTCGCGGTTAAGGGCATCGAGTTCTTCTTGTAGCTTTCTCTGTTCATCCGTATCAGGATCCTCGGGCTCACTGGCAGCCCCTGCCTTCTTAGAGCTTAAGATAGCGTCTACACGCTTACGTTCTTCAGCCTGGACTTTCAAGAATGACTCCCTGTCGGCTGCAGTGGCCTCATCAGTATCCGTCCACCACGTTCTTGAGGACCGTGACCGCAGCTCGCGATGAAGGTCGCCGACAAGATAGAGACTACCGGTCAGAGCTATAGGTGACCAGGGAGCCATCTGATTCGACATGTATTTGGCCGTACAAAGGGCTCGTAGTGGACCCATAACAGGGACATGTACACCAGTGATCTGCGGTTCAACAGACTTGGCAACTTCGAGCAGTTCCCTGGGATCCATCGGCTTGACCCAAGGCATGCCATCAACCGGGCCGAAAGTGGTAGTGACAACCTTATCTCCTGGTTTGAGCAGTGTTGCGAGGTATTGACGGGCGTCTTTACCTTCTGTCATTGCGAGAACCCATGTGACCGGCCATCCAGATGCAGGCCGCTCTTTGGCAGGTGACGACCCGAATCTTAGGTTGATGCGAATGAAGTCGTCCAGAGCTGAGGCAGCATCTGGGTTATGCGCACCATCTACTAGAATGTGATTCTTTCTTTCAGTTGCCTTCCTGAAGACTGGTGTCGCGTAAACCATCTCTTGACGTCCTGGATGGTGCTTCTTCGCGTTGAGCAAAAGGGTCTTTGCAAGCTCTGTGGGTCTCGTCTCCTGCTCCATGGTTTGCAGTGCCTGCATGACTGCAACCACAGCTAGCTTGAGATTCTCCTGCTGGAATGGTACCAAAGACGCGGTGGCACGCTGCCATTTTGATGTGTCGTACAGCCTCGAGTTGAGTTCGAAGCTGGTACTCAAGAGACGAGGCCCCGCTCCAATTGCCCGCGCGTAGTCTTGTATGACGGTTTGGACGTTTGCCTCATTTGCAGAGTTGATGATATAGGGAACAGCTGGCCTCAGGATACCGGCTTTGTGACCAGCGATTTCCGCCAGCGTGTTTCCAAGGAAGCCTTCATGATCCCGAGCGATCTTGGAGACGACAGACACAGCTTGGTTGGTGAGAATGTTGGTGGAGTCGAGCTTGCCGCCCATGCCGACTTCGACGACACCGACCTCGACGTTCCTGTCATTGAAGATAGTGAAAGCCGTGGCGGTCAATATCTCGAATGGAGAAGCACCGATTTGGTGAGTCTTGTTGACTTTGAGAAAATGGTTCTCGACCTTCCGGAACGTTCCTTCTTCGATGGGCCTGCCATCGATGGAAATGCAGTCCCACCTAGATCTATTAGCTGAAGACTTGAATGAGGAGAGGCGAGCCGCACCTATCTACCAGATGCGGAGATGTGAACTTGCCCACCTTGAGACTCCTCCCTACCAGCATGGATGAGGCATAGTGGCAAACTGAGCCCTTGCCATTGGTGCCTGCCACGTGGATGGACCTCCATGGGAAGCTGACATTTTTCAGGAGGGCGGCGATGCGTTCCAGTCCGGGCTGGATCTTAGCCATTGAGCCTCTTCAGGGTGTCATGGGCAACAACAGGCTCAGACAGTGTTGAAGTCAGCAAATGCTTGAATTGAGGCGACGAATTGGATGAAGAGGCGTGAGAAAGGCCGCCCAGGCCGAATCAGGCATCTATGTCTTGGCGATCGCGCCTGAGTCGACGGGTCGATGTGGCCTTTGCGAGCCTTGCAATGAGACGCTCGGAGGATGAGGGGCATATCAGCGGCTGCAGTGGAGCAAGTACTACTGTGCACTTCCTTTGCACGACGACATTCCTGCGGTGACTGTGGTGCGTCTCCATCGCTGTTGGCAGCGTTCTGCATGCAGCGTGCATAACTGGGGGCTCCAGCCTCATTTCTATCGCTAGTCTAGCGCGATTAGGCCAGGAACGCTGGCTCCATCGCTCCCCGTCAGCCCTCGCAGGCGCGCTGTCCACCACCACCGCATCACCCCTCGCTGCCCGCCCGCCTTTCTCGCCAGTCCCTGCTCTCCACTCACTTATCCACTCACTTATCCACCCACTTGGGCTCGCGACACTCGCGATGGGCATCCCGGTCGGCTGGAACATTGTGCGCGACGAGGCAAAGGAGAAGGACGTGCTGCGCGCCGACGTGACCGGGTCCCGATCGCCCATCCGGCGGCGCGCGCGAGGGAGCAGGCCCCCGAGGAACCTGAGTGCCTTCGACACGGACGCCCTGGTCGACAGCCATACGTCACGCTTCGCAAACGTCCTCGAGCACGCTCCCAGGCTCTCGCACGCGCGCACCCAGCTGCCGCCCGCCCCGCCGGTGCCTGAGCGGCGCGAGCGACACTTTGGCCGCGAGGAGCTGCGGCCGCGCTCGCTCAGCATGGGCGACGGAGCAGCCGACAGCGAGCGCGCGCTCCCCGCCCTGACGCCCGGCTTCGCGCCCGCCGGCCCCCGTTCTCCGTCTTCGCGTGATGCGCATATGGACGCGGAACTGGCTCGTCTGCGCGCTCGGAGTGATGAGAGCCGTCGTCTGCTCACCGCACGAAACGAGCGAGGACCAGAAGAACTCGACTGGCTCAGCATGCCCGATGTTGTCGGGCCACGAAGACTGCCGCCCAGTGGACGCCGCATAGAGTTAGACGACTTCGTGCACGCCGCACCTCCCCCTCCCCCGGGCCGCATTCCTGCTTGGACCGCTGGCCGACGACACGCGCCGTACGCGAGAGCAGGCAGACGAAGCGACAGCAACCCCTACGCCTCTGACGACGATACTCCCAGCAGCACCACCGCAGTCTCTCACCCGCCCCTCCGCCGCGTAGGCCACCGCAGGATTGCCGACGGTCCGCTGCCTTCTTCCTCCCTTCGCGAGTCCTGGTCCCCCATCTCCACCCTCGACGGCCTCGGCGACCGCGAGCGCAGCAACAGCGTCTCCAGCACCTCCTCCAACCTCCCCTGGCAGACCTTCCTCAGCACCGTCGTCCCCGACCCCGTCGCACCCACGGCCGAATCCTCGTTTGCCTCGGCCGCCGCTAGCGCCTCCTTCACAGCCTCCAGCAGCCGAGCCAGCAGCAGCAACTCTCACTCGGCCGCGAGCGAGCGGACACACCTCACCGTCCCCTCCCGGCGCGCAAGTCCTGGTGCTTCGCGCAGGCCTGGCCCACACGTGGCCGAGAGCTTCGCACATGCGTGTGAATCTTCCGACGAAGGCGGCTCGACTGCGTCCGACACCGAGGACGAGGCCGCCACCAACCCGCTCTCCAGACGCCGCATGCGCCCCAGCTACTTCGCAGACGAGCCGCCGAGCCCGAGACGGTACGGCAGGAGTGTCATGGACACGGGCATCGACGCGCGGAGATACGTGCGCTCGTACTACTCCGACGCAACGTCCCACGGCATTCCGTACGAGCCCGACAGGCCGCGCGGTTCTCACATCGACGGACCAGTCGATGGCCCCCAAATCACTGAGCAGGAGCAGGAGCAGGAGCAGGACAGTTTCGCGACCGTGGACGAGGAGGCGACGAGCACCAGTCCCGCCTCTCCGCTCGATCAGGAATTGAGGGATGCGCGGAGTCTGCTCGAGCGGCTCACGCGGCGCGGCGATATTGGCGAGGATTTCTGGGCGAGCGTAGGCTTGACGCGGAGTTTTGCGGATGGAGTCGAGCGCGTTCAGGAGCGAGGGCGCTTCTAGTGGGTGCGCGGTATTGCCTACTCTTCTTCCATGCTCGCTGGTTGTGCGACCGCTGGGTGAGGTTGGGCTGGTGAAGAGGCGAGAGGTGAGAGGCGAGAGGTGAGAGGCGAGAGGTTTTTTCGTTTCGGGTGACAGGTGCGCGGGTCGGGCTTGTTGCGTGTATTTCTCTGTATTTGAGCGTTTGGGTCACGGCGTTGTCCCTTCAGGGCGTCTTGGGATAGCTGGGATGGGAGGCGTAAAGACACCTCACCTGGTCGTCTATGAAAATCACGGTAAAAAGAGATACGAATGCACGTTCATGGGGCCTTCGGCGGCAGGCAACAGATGGACGAAAAGAGCCTCTGGGAAGACTGAGTAGGATTGGTAGGATATTTGTAGACTTTCTCCTTAAGGGATCAAAAGTATCAGCACACTTGTGCTTTACCTGCCACTTATACATATACATCGACTTGTGTTTTGTGTGCCTGTGAACCTTGTGAGGGATAGTTGTGGCTTGAATCGAGGTTTGAGAAGTAAGCCATTGTCGATCTCGTTATACTTGCTCTCAGTAGAAGAGTGATTTGCCGGACCCTGAGTCGGCAAAAGTATCACTCGTTTCGCCGGCGGCCTACATGGTTAGTCGTTCTTTTCGAAAACAGATGGAATAAAAAAAATGCATCTCCGGCGGGGCTCGAACCCGCAGCCTTTGGATGACCGATTGTAAATGGTAGAAGTCCAACGCGCTACCATTGCGCCACGGAGACCGGAAGTGGATTGTAAGGACTTCTGGCAAATCTAGAGAATCGTAATGATTATATTCCTAGTAAATTGGGTCTGCGTGATACTTTGCGCCCCCGCAGCATCTCTCTTCGCTCGGTGAATGGTCATGCCTGGCGGCTGTATGGGTGCGAGCAAACCCGAGGTGGGGCAATCACAAATGGAGTGGTGCATCATAGCGCTTTGTCTGACAATTGATGGTGGTGTGTGCAGTCTCATTTATGCCTCCTGCTGATGCAAGCAATAGTAGAGTAATACCTCACCCACTGTCCAGTTTTCCAATCCTCGCACATATGATCTTGGAGGCATTCAGTCCCATTCTCAGGCCCAGACACTGTCGAGCATCTCTGTTCTACTTGCAAACATAACCCTCCGGTTTTCGGAGATGTTATCCTCGCACATGACGATACATCCATCACCTAGGAGGTATTCGCGACACCCCGGATGTTTATACCGCCTCCATCACCGTTCGAACCTGCACCCCGGATGTTGATGCCTTCCGTCTCTCGTGAGATACGGTCTGCTAGCCCACGCCGGGGTTTGGGCTCGTCGAACTCGTAGTCCCGGGGTATACTGTCATCGCCCTTCAAACGTCCATACCCGTCGTCCTCCCCGTTGCGTGTGATGCGACTTGCCAGCGACCGCGACCTCGGCTCATCATCGTTGTCGCGCGTAATCCTGCTAGCTAGCGAGTTGACAGGTCTGCCGTCCTTAGTCATGCGGGACAGCAGGGAGCCACCAGAACCAGCGTCTGAGCGGCGGTGGTTGCCCATAGGCGATGTGTCGACGTAGGACATGTCTTTCTGCCAGCGACCAGCTTCCGACTTCACGCCTCGTTCTCCGTAGTTTGCACGGTCGTGGGTCCATCGTTCGGCGCTGGGTTCGCGGCGGCGCCGTGTGTTCCGACTTCGGCTTCGGCTGCGGTAGCGCGCGCGCACGTTACTGCTGTCTTCTGCGAAGCCGAATCGACCGTCGCCTTCGTCGCCTGAAGTAGGAGAGGCACTGCGGCCTCGGAGGCGGCCATGCCGGGATTCACTGGGTGAGGTTAGTTTAGCCAATCAAGAGAACAGGCGCAGAGGCTGTAGTACCTATCACCGCCAGGTCTGTAGGAGTCGACGTCGGCATTGAGCCTGCCGGAATCCCTTGGTTTTCTGTCTCGCCCGTCGCGGCGGTCGCGCCCGTTTCGGTCGTTGCGAGGGTAGTTGTTCCTCCGCCTCTCAACACCAGAATCTTCGTCCATTGACATGTCTCCACTGCGGCTGTTCGAGTCAGTATAGTGCTTCGTGACTATAGCTGCGAATGCTCACCTTCTTCTTCTCCTGGTCCTCGAGTCCTGATCCTCGTCGCCGTAGTCAAGAACGTCCCTTTTCGGCGGCTGACGACGCCGCGGCTCCCTCTGGTTGTTCCCTCTTACCTCTGGGTTGCGCTGGTAGTAGTTGCTACGGTTGGCGGCGCCCTTGGGTTTCTGGTCGCCAGCGTTCGTCTCTCGTATCGTCAACGCGCTGTCTGGTTTCTTCGAGTAGGGCTTCGCCGGTCGTGATGTTTGCGCAGCAATTGAGTTTGGGTTGGTATCGGGGTGTGTAAAGGCGATCAGCGCGATGGCAGCATCTTCAGCGCTATAGAACTCGAGGTTCACCGACGAGTCGTTGACCCAGCGAAGTTGCTTGACGCGCGGTTCTGTGCCGAGTACCTCCATAGCGTAGTAGAGGGGGTCGTTGGGATCGAAATCGCTCACGCCCTGCAGATTCAAATATTCGGGCCACGGCTTTTGCGGCTGGAGGTCTTCGAAATATGCTGCCGGTACCGAGTCGCCTTGTGTAGGTGGTTCTGGCTGCTGCGCGTGTGTTAGCATGAGACTGCGATGCGCCTGGCGCAACTTACTTGCTGCTGGGGCTGCACGCTTGTTTGTACGCCTGAACCAACATCGATGTCGATGTCATATGCGACATCACCCATTTCAACATCCATCTTGGCGGTAGTATGTGTAGTGTTGGGTCAATGGAAGGGGAAAGCGCGGGGTGGTAGAGAGGTAAGCTCTAGGTTCCGAGACCGATAGATGGTGCAGCCGACGACCTCCAGGATCCATTGCGGTCAGTAGCGCCATCACGTAAGCTATGCATCCATGAATGAGGTCAAACGAAACCACAACGATCTCGCCGTGACAAACGCAAAATCCCAAACACCAAAGTCCAGATCACAGGTTCTTGAAGGTACTCACAGCACTGATCTTAGCCCGGAGGGGGGATATCGCCAGTTTTCGTTCCGTAGAGTAAAGAATCCTATCATCAACCTTGGAGGTACTCAGGGCGCCAAAGTCAAGTGACGAATCGGGAAAGTCCGGACATGTATCATGAAATCTGGTCTCAGACTTTATTTGTGTTATTTACACCGCCTCAAACGGTTCGGTTACTGCCTGCCTGACCGCTCAAGCATTCTCCTCCAGGGTGAAGGTACCCGTCTTTGTGATCAGGTACTCGTTCACAGCTACATCCTTTCCAGACTCCTTTCCGTAGCCACTCTGCTTGATGCCACCGAACGGTGATTCGGCGGCTGAAGAGTTACCTGCCAGTGTTAGTCGATTTGCTCTCATTAGTAACACTGCGTCTGGTTACTTACCAGTATTCAGCCCGATCATGCCAGCCTCAAGACTCTCGAACAACCTCCACATACGGTCTACATTCTTGGTGAACAGATAGGATGCCAGACCCATAGAAGTGTCATTTGCCTTCTTGACCGCCTCCTCCTCTGTCTCGAACTTTATGAACGTGCAGATCGGCGAGAACACCTCTTCGTTTGCAATATCCATGTCGGGGGTCACGCCAGTGATAACGGTTGGCTCAAAGAAGTACCCGCCCTTCCTGTCGATCTTGTTTCCACCTTTGTGGATTTTTGCGCCCTTCTTCTTCGCGTCCTCGACGAGCTCAAGTGCCTTTTGAGCACCGCGAGGTGTTGTCACGGGGCCCATGGTGGTCTTCTCGTCTGAGCCGTGGCCAACAATGATCTTGTCTGTCTCGGCATTCCACTTCTCGAGGAACTTGTCGAAGATGCCGGATTGGACGTAGATTCGGTTCGCTGTGATACAGGCTTGACCTGCATGACGGTACTTGAGGGCGAAGATCTGGGACATTGCTTGTTCAATGTTCGCATCGTCGAAGATCAGAACCGGACAGTTCCCGCCCAACTCCAGAGTCACCTTCTTCAGATTGTCCGAGCAGATCTTCGCGACCAGCTTTCCGACTCTGGTTGAACCGGTGAATGTGACCTTTGCAATAAGTGGATGGCGACAGAGCGCTTCACTGAGCTCGGGGGTTTTGTCAAGATCTGTGGTCAGCACGTTCAGCGCTCCTTTAGGGAAGCCAGCCTTGAGTGCAAGGTGGGCCAATGCAAGGACAGTGATGGGTGTTTCTGGGCTAGGCTTGACGATCATGGTACATCCTGCGGCCAGAGCTGCACCAGCCTTTCGCAAGATCATGGCGATTGGGAAGTTCCATGGGACTAGAGCAGCAGCGACACCCACCGGCTGCTTAATGGTGAAAATACGGCGGTTCGGTAACGCAGGGATGAAGTTGCTACCCTGGATGCGCTCTGCCTCTCCAGCGAACCACCATGTAAAGCCAGTCGAGTAATCGATCTCGCCGTAGGCCTCAGAACGAGGCTTTCCAGTCTCGTAGACGAGGATTGTAGCAATGTCTTCCCTATTCTCACGGATCAATTGGTCCCATTTGTATAGGAACTGTGCTCTCTGGCGCGGGCTGATCTTCTTGTATTCGAGGAAAGCTTGGTGCGAGTTCTTCACAGCGGCGTCGACATCAGAGGCATTGTTTGTAGGACACTCTATCCATGCCTTTCCAGTACCGGGGTCTGTGATCTCGTGAGCGGATGTAGGTGAACGTTCAGACGAGCGACCAACCAACAACCTCGAATGTCTTGCCAGACTTTGCATTCACCCACTCGCCACCAACGCACGACTGGTTGTGAAGAAGATCCGGGTTTTGGAGCTGTCAGAAGTCAGCCATGAATCATGTCAACAAATCCACATCTCACGCTCACCTTGAACGGAAGCTCGTACTTCCGTGCTGAACCCATCATGCTTTCAATTACAGTAGAACTCTTGGAAAACGTCACAACAATGAAGATTCTGTGCAGAACCCCAGGAAACAACCGAAACGCTCCCACCCTTTTGAGGTTTCAGGGATCAATGACATCTACAACCAACCCCACCTCCCCTCCATATAGCCGACTCCGACACGGCGGATCACCAATCAGCGTATATCTAGGCCGACCACCACCGCTCTCCAACAGACGTCAGCGCACCTCTGTTTTACCCCTCATCGTGCTTCCTTCTCCGCAATGCGGCTTTGGCTCGGTAACGCCATGATTGGTAAACCGTGGGACGCAACTGCCTTGCGAAGTGAATGGTGGCGGAGAGAAGCCCGCTGCTGCTGTTGGAGTTCGGTTATTTGATCGTGGCGCTCGCTGGTATCTGGTACTCACAACACAACACCAGAACAATCAAGTGATTGCACTACTTACACGGCTTGCACACCTCCCAACTAGCCCCAACGCATAACACTCTTACATAATGGGCAGACTCGACAGCAAAGTCGCAATCGTAACCGGTACCTTCCTCCCATCCCCTCCACCACCCCAACATTGAAACTGACTCTCTTAGGCGCAGGCTCAGGTTTCGGTGCCGGCATCGCCCTCCGCTATGCCGCCGAAGGCTGTAAAGTCCTCGTCTGTGACATCAACGAGGCAGGTGCCCAGGCCACCGCCGCGAAAGATGCCGCCAACCTCGCTGCCTTCAAGATGGACGTGACAAAGCGAGCAGACTGGGAAGCTACCATGGCCGTCGTGAAGGAGAAGTACGGGCGCTGTGACATCCTGATAAACAACGCGGGTTGGAGTTACGTGAACAAGGCGACGCTCGACGTCACAGAAGAGGAATTTGAGAGGGTGTTTGATGTCAATGTGAAGGGGGTCTATTTGGGGTGCCAGGCGTGGGTAGGACAGGCGATTGAGAGGAAGCAAGGGGGTGTGATTATTAACATCGCGAGTGTCGGGGCTACGAGACCGAGGCCGGGGTTGGTATGGTATAACGCGTCAAAGGGCGCAGTGTGGAATGTGAGTCCATTGTGTCAGTGAGGGGGGAGGTTGGTGTACTAATGGTAATAACAGGCGACAAAGGGACTTGCAGCTGAATATGGACCGCATCAGATCCGGGTCAACTCTATTTGTCCGCTCGTCACTGGGACAGGCCTCTTCTCTGCGTTCACAGGAATGGAGGATACGCCTGAGAACCGGTCAAAGTTCATTGGCAACGTACCAATGGGTAGGATTGGAGAGGTCGAGGATGTTGTGAATGCCTGTGTCTTCATGGCGAGTGACGAAGCGAGGTTCATCACAGGAACCAATCTGGAAGTTGATGGTGGGCGATGCATATGAGCTGAACAGGTCATGAAGCTGTGGCGTGTGATCCTTCGCTGTGCGGTGCAGCTGAGTTGCAGATGTGTTATAGGATCACCTTACGTAGTCTGTATGGGAACCGTATTAAACCTCATACAAGAGATGGGCAATGGTATGGGCAATGATGTGGAACAATTCCATGGTTCTAACTCATGGCTATTTGAGTAAGGCGGCGGTCTGTCGACAAGAGCATGATGATCGTCTATGTTCAACGAGGACCTGAAGAACCTTCCTTATGTAGTCTCATATGAAACTGTATTCGCAAGACCGCAGGCCCACGTGCGAATTGGACGGTCGAGATGCATGCTTTGCGCGCTTTGATCAGGTCAGACAGCTCTGACTCAACAATCGAGCGTTGCAAGTCAGCTGAATGCATAAGGCCGCGCATGAAGCAGTGTCATCAGGTTGCTGAGAAGAGAAGCGCAGAACATGGATAAGAGAGAGTTTGACACGGTGTCGACCGTGCCTCGATCGAATGTGTGAAGTCTGATGAACAGTGGGGTAACGATCGTGATGTTGGAGTGGACGTGCGCAACATCGACATTGGAGATGCTGTGGAGGCTTGCAAGAGCAGCCATCACCACCAACTTCATCCATCAACACCATCGCAGACCCACACTTCAGTGTCAGATGGCCAGCCTCTAACATCACTCGGTGCCGACTTCTCCATCCTTTTTCTCCATGACGGCGTTAATATGTAATTCTCCACCAGTTCTCCACCTGCATTCAAGCACAGGAGGCGAAGAGGAGGCTCTGCTGGCTTGCCGGGTAGCCGACGTGGGGGCTACCGAAGATCTGTGGGTCTGTCCAACTGTATATTGATTCATGGTTGAGCCTCACAGCAGAGCCTCAAGGCATTTGCCATCAATGCAAGATCGTTTGCCATCGCGAAGCTGTCTTTGATGATCGCCAGGACTCGTCGCGTTCAACAAACATTAGTCTTCAATAACGGCCGCGGTTTTGGATGCTGCTCTGATCCCACGCGGTACCTTGGCGGCGGAGCAGCGGTTTAGCAAGGACCGAAGTGGGCCTGCACCCCATCAGAAACGCGAACCCGCGCGTCATCGGGGCAGGTCGTCCTTCAAAGCTTTCAAGCTCCATTCTCTCCATATCACCCTCCTCCTCCACGCCGCCTTTCCCCGGAAAAATTCGTGACTTCAGCGTTGGGGTGTTAATGTGTTGGTAGAAAAAATCCGAGGTACGTTGTCTGCATTTCTTGAACACTGCTGGATTCCGACTTGCATGTGGATTTCTCCCCGATTTGAAGGAGAGCTTTGCGACCGGGGAATTTGCAGCCAGCTGATTCGTTACACATTGCGCGGCCGGCTAACCATCGTACGTGCAGCTTGAGCTTTCAGATCTTGTCACATTTATTTGTATACCTAAGATTTCGATCCTCTGTACAACTGTCCCTACGACGTTGCGGCACTATAAGTCCTGCACACCTCATTCTCGACCCTCACATCACAACAAGCCAATCGATAGCGCATCATGGCTGCACGACGCTCGAGTCGCTTTTTGAAGCCACTTGCCTACGCAGCGGGAGCTGGTCTAGCTGGTAGCGCAGTGCTGTACACAGTCGTTCGACCGCGAGACATTCCTGGCACAGAAGCTGCTGCGGTACCACCACCGACGTACGGCGAAGGCGGCGTTTTCAACCCTCCCAAGTTCCCAAATGTCCCCTCGAGAGACGAGCAGATTGCGAAGCTGAAGGCTAGCGGAGGCGTCGTTGCGCAGATTGCGGAGAAGACGAAGCATTTCCTCACAGGGAGCACAACGCCGCCTGAGCAGAAGCCTGAGCAGGAGGAGTATGACCTTTTGGTCATTGGTGGCGGTGCAACTGGTGCTGGTATCGCGCTTGATGCTGTCACACGAGGTCTGAAGGTTGCAATGGTTGAGCGTGACGACTTCAGCAGTGGTACTAGCAGTAAGAGTACAAAACTGGTACACGGAGGTGTCAGATACCTTGAGAAGGCTGTCTGGAATCTGGACTACAACCAGTGAGTGAAGAGAAGTATATCAGCCTCTACAAGTGCTAATAGCGAGTGCTTAGATACTCTCTTGTCGTCGAAGCTCTCCGCGAACGCCGATACTTCTTGGACACCGCGCCGCATCTCTCACAATGGCTTCCCATCATGATCCCCATCCAAAAGTGGTGGCAGGCCCCTTACTTCTGGGCTGGTACTAAGTTCTACGACTTTTTGGCTGGTTCAGAGAACATTGAGAGCTCATACTACATGACGAAGAGCAAGGCTCTGGACGCCTTTCCTATGTTGAAGAAGGAGGGTCTTTTCGGAGCTTTGGTCTACTACGATGGCGCACACAACGATTCTCGCATGAACGTCTCTCTGGCCATGACAGCAGCTTTGTACGGCGCCACCGTTGTGAGCCACGTCGAAGTCACCGGTCTCACAAAGGATGCCAACGGCAAGCTCAACGGCGCTGTTGCGAAAGATCTCGTCGCGGAATTGGACGGCAAGAAGGCCGAACCGTTCAACATCAAGGCGAAGGGTATCATCAACGCTACTGGACCATTCACCGACTCCATCCGCAAGATGGACGACCAAAAGGTTCCAGAGATCGTTGCTCCTAGCTCTGGTGTCCACGTTATTCTCCCTGGCTACTTCAGCCCTGCCAACATGGGTCTCATTGACCCTAACACCTCTGACGGACGTGTTATCTTCTTCCTGCCATGGCAAGGCAACACAATCGCCGGTACCACAGACACTGCTTGCGACGTCAAGCAGAACCCCGTTGCTGGCGAGGACGAGATCGAGTGGATCCTGAAGGAAGTCAAGCGCTACCTGCAGCCCGAGATCAACGTCAGGCGTGGCGATGTCCTGGCTGCGTGGTCTGGTATCCGTCCCCTTGTCCGCGACCCTACTAAGGACAAGTCGGAAGGTCTCGTACGCAACCACTTGGTGACCATGTCCGACTCTGGGCTGCTCACTTGTTCTGGAGGAAAGTGGACAACTTACCGCCAGATGGCTGAGGAAACCGTTGACGAGGCCATCAAGGAGTTCAAGCTGACTCCCCAGGCTCTCTCAGACGCACCATTGGTCAGTGGCACTCAGGTCAAGGACGAGGCTCCTCTCGATGGAACCTGCCAGACTCACCGTGTCCGCCTCGTTGGTGCCCACGGCTTCTCCAAGACCCTCTTCATCAACTTGGTTCAGCATTACGGCATCGAGACCGATGTAGCCAAGTACCTCTGCCAGGCCTACGGTGACCGTGCCTGGACTGTCGCTGCGCTCTGCGCACCCACAGAAACCCGCTTCCCCGTCCGCGGTAAGAAGATCTCCGAGCTGTACCCCTACGTTGATGGTGAGGTCCGCTACGCCGTCCGCCACGAGTACGCACAAACCGCCACCGACGTTATCGCGCGCCGCATGCGTCTCGCCTTCCTGAACGCGCAAGCCTCGCTCGAGGCCCTCCCCAAGGTCATCGACATCATGGCCGAGGAGCTTAAGTGGGACTCTAAGCGCAAGGACACCGAGTTCGCGAACGGAGTCAAGTACCTGGGCTCCATGGGCTTGCCTAAGAACAAGCTTAGCCTGACGCGCAAGGATGTCGAGAGCGGGAAAGTAGGCACATACACCGACGAGGAGTACCAGCTCTACGCACGCCATGGTGAGTCTCCTGATCCGCAGCATTGTGCTGAGCTGTTTGAGATGGGAATTGCGCTAAATCGTGGATTTGCAGACAAGCCTGAGGAGCTGCTCGAGAGCGACTCCAAGTACGCACAGGGGCATAACCCGGTTGTTGGCCGCGACTCGCCCGTCAACAAATAAACGACTGGTACGGCTGGTTGTGTAGATCTGGTTTGGGCATCTTGTATATTGTTGCATAATCGGCGCGTTTGTTCTTGTGGAGTCTTGAGGAGGTAGTTGCTAAGATACCTATCATCCACAGCGTACGCCCTCGTTTGGATGTCCGCAAAATCAGTATTTGTATATATCCTTGTTCAATACCTAGCTCTTGTATATTTGAAAAGCCCGGCGAATACGAGAAGACTAATCCTTTGGAATCCTCGAGGATACACAAGATTCAAGGCTGAGGCCAAGCTTTACACTAATTGATGGTAGGTTCACTGTGATTGGCGGGCGCCAACTGCGTCTACTATCAAGCCACCCCTGCACCTCTCCTCTTTCCCCACGATAAGCTAACCCAAACTCACAGATAACATCCTCGTGGAATCCTCGTGGCGAGACCGGTTTGTCGCATGCATGTCTTCTACCACCGATAGTACGGTCTCGCCCGAAAGCCTGCCGCGATCCTGAGGCAAGTGGTCCGATCACCCGTCCATCACCGTCGATGCAGTTGCGTAACAAGTATATCTGCCCGCACCTAAATCACTATTATCGGCAGTCCAGCTCTAAGCCATGTTATCGGGTTCATCCTCATCTATCGCTTGGCACCTTTCGATGCGCCGTCACAAGCGCCGGAAACTTCCCTATTTGAGATTACAAGTCATGGAGATGCAACAGGCTGACTGCCGTGGCGCAACGATGCTTGTTGCTCTTCCTGTATAAAGACCGTAGAGATCTTCCCGGATCTTTCAAAGTCTCAGGTCTACCTCACCACCTTTCTCAACGCCATCAAAGGATCTTTGAAAGGCTTCGATAGACAAACGCCAACATGGGTGTCGACCCTGAAATCGCGCCCACCACAAGCGCCTCCAAGACCGTTGAAGTGACTTCGCAATACGACAACGACTTCAAAAATGGAGTCATCGACAACTCGCACTTCACCGCCGCCGAACTCGCAAAATACGGACAAACGCACCGTGGCCTTTCGCCTCGCCATGTCCAACTGATGGCCATCGGAGGTACGCACCCTCCCCACCCCAAATCCACAAGCCACTGAAAACCCTCAGGATCCATCGGCACCGGCCTCTTCGTAGGCATCGGCTCCTCTCTCTCCAAAGCCGGCCCGCTCTCCCTCGTCCTGGGTTACATGTTCTGGGGTGCCCTTTTCGTGTGGCCCGCCTACCTGTGCGTGGCAGAAATGTGCGCCTACCTGCCCCTGCGCGGGGCCATCTTCGAGCTCGCGGCGCGTTTCGTGGATCCCGCGCTCGGATTCGCAATGGGCTGGACGTATTTCTTCGCGGGTGTGATGCTGGTGTGCACTGAGTACAGCGCTGTGGCCACGGTTATGCAGTACTGGAACACGGATGTCAACCCGGCGGTTTGGATTGCGATGACTATGGTGGTGTGTGTATTTCTTAATGTGGTGGCGGTTAGGTGGTATGGCGAGTCTGAGTTCGTCATGGCTTCCACCAAAGTCCTGCTGCTCATTGGTCTTGTGCTGCTCACGTTCATCACCATGCTCGGCGGCAATCCGGAAAACGACCGCTACGGCTTCCGCTACTGGACCGGCGGTAACGCAATCCACGCCTACTACGCTGAGGGCGCTACGGGCCGCTTCTGCGGGTTCTGGAGCGTGTGTATATACGCTGCCTTCACCATCGCTGGACCAGATATGATCTGCCTCGCCGCAGGAGAGATCCAGAACCCGCGACGCACGATTCCAAGAGTGGCGAAACTCATTTTCTACCGCCTCGTCGGGTTCTATGTCGTTGGCGTGCTCGCGGTGGGCATCATATGCTCCAGCCGCGACGACAGACTGCTGGGTGCCATCGACGATGGCGAGCCTGGCGCCGCTGCTTCGCCCTGGGTTGTGGGAATTACGAATCTTGGAATCAAAGGGCTGCCCGGACTCATCAACTTCCTTATTCTCCTCTCCGGATGGTCGTGCGGAAACGCATACCTCTACGCATCCAGCCGCACGCTCTACGGCCTCGCGCGCGACGGTCAGGCGCCCAAGTTCTTTCTCAAGTGCACGAAAGCTGGAGTGCCAATCTACGCCGTCGGCCTCGTGTCACTGATCACCTGCCTCACGTTCCTGGTCAGTTCGAACAACGCGGTGCAGGTGTTCTACTGGTTCGTCGGCCTGACGACCTGCGCGCTCGTGTGCACATATGTCGGCATGCTGTGGACGTACATTGGCTGGTACCGCGCCCGGGTCGCGCAGAATTTCGACGCCGATCTTCTCCCCTACACTGCTCCGTTTACACCATACACCGCGTACTTTGCGCTCGTCCTTGGAGTGCTGATGATTATTTTCATTGGGTACGATACGCTTGTTCCGTTCAGTGTTCAAGGGTTCATTACGAGTTACTTCGGAGCGTGGTTCAGCATCTTTGTGTTTGTGTTCTGGAAGGTGTTTAAACGCACGTCATTTGTCAAACCCGCGGAGGCTGATTTCGTGAGTGGGAAGGCGGCGATTGATGAGGAATGTAGGGAGTGGGAGGAGGGCGGCATTGAGGAGAATATCAAGGCGAGACTCGCGGAGATGCCGCTCTGGAGGAGGTGTTGGGAGAGGATGTGGTAAATGTTTCATTGATGAAGGAAGAAAGTGTAGCATAGATGCATTTAGCAATATCAGCAAAGACACTTCATACATCAAATGTCCATCTGTTGGTTCTAAGAGCCTCCATGCCTCTCAAGAAAGTACCGGAACCATGTAATGGAACTTACATGGTCATTAGAGCCGAAGGTTCGAACAGCCGTTTCGTAGCCTATGTTGCAACCGTGGAACATGTACTGCTTCCAATGCTTTAGGTACATACCTACCGTATGTGGCAACCTGGACGGGACAGTATCCATGGAAACTTGACAGTTATCGACGCTGGGCAATTCGAATTGCCTGTTGCAGCAAGTAGTTGAAGCGAGGTTTGTTGTTCGGTGCTCTAGGTCCCGTTGCCACGACCGTGTTTCTGTTGCCGTGTTGCCACGAGACGGTGTGCTGTTGTGGGCTCCGACTTTGCGTCCACCGACCATGGATCTCGTGCTACAATCGACGCTTTCGTGGCTACTTACCTCTTTCGCAATGTGGCGACGGGAGCAGAACCAGGGAACACTTACAGTCATGAACACTTTCACTCTAACTTGCCTTATGCAGAACAAAGTCTGCGGATAATTCACATCATGGCTTGTCGAACCCCTTTTTACAACCATGGAACCGGAGCTGTCATCGTAGCTGAAACTGCGTGGTGATTTCCAAGCCCGTCCTCATATCCATGGTAGCGGTACAGCATTCGATGCTTTTTACGTGAACCTGCCTTATGTGGAGATTGTCGACGAAGGAGAACCGTGGAATGTCGGCAGCCCTCGACATTTTTCACTAGAATTGCCGCAATGCGTAAGTCACATAGGGGTTCACGGGTAATCTGCGGTCGGTTGGCAAAGTTAGTACTCTTAGTGGTAAATTTGGTGGCTAGAGAGATGAGCTTGAAGCATAGTCGCTGAGGTTCCGTGGTTAAGGGTCTCGGGTTCTGATAGTCGACCACGTTTCGATAGGCGCCACGGAGTGACAGACAGCTGTCCTCTCGCATTCGGGAGTCGACGATGCAAGCAGGGGCATCCTATGCGTACAGCGAGATGTCAACCGTGGTTTGACGTCTGGAATCGATGGTCGAGTTGTGAATTGCCCTTCTGGGACAACAGGAGTTAGGCTAGACATGGATGTCGTGTGTCCACTCGCGTGCACAACCATGGGTTGATGTCTGTGTTCGACAGAATGATTGTTGCTTGCCTTTCTTATGCTGGCCGATAGATTGTAGAGTGGATGTTAGCGTTGCGTCCTACCAGGTTGGCTACTGACAGTTGTTCACGAGTCGATGTAGAATTGCCCCTTTCGTTGTGTCGTATCGCAAACTGCAATGGACCCCTCCACGTGTGCACGCGCATGAGAACATGTAGTAGTAAATGTTGGACAGAGCTGAACGTTCATGAAGTGGAAGGTGTCGGCGTCCGCGCGTATACGGACAAATACGCAGATAGCCTTTTGCAGGCGCCTGTGGACCAAAAGTGGCCGATTTCGTCATAGTTCGCACTGAATGGTGTGCCTGATCTGGGAGTGCTTGCGACTGAACGTGCGTGCTCTGTTTTGAGGTCTCTCAAACATCCTGAAACTCACGACAAGTGGATTCGGACCGGACGTTGTCATTACCGCAAGCTTCACTCGTACCTGTCTGTGTGGCGACCTCGGCGTGGCTGGTCGCGGTCGTGGTCACATGCTGTTACCTTGGGCAGTGCAGCAGATCTTCCCACTCTCGAGACGCAACTTTTTCACCTACTTTTCGCCCTCTACTCCAGCAATGACCCAATGAGTCTGATTTCTTCCTTTATTGTCGATCCTGTGCTCAGAGCCGGCCGCCGCTTCTCCGGTGCTGGAGCTGCAGCTGCGCCTGTGCCGTCAGCCGGTGACGCAGCTGGACTGCCGTTATCACATGCCAATCAGGACCCCAGCTCTGCGACCACACCACGAAGAGATCGCGATACAAACGCAAGTGCCGAAGCACCTGCAGCTCATGTACCCCAGACTCCTAGCGCCCGATCCGTTCCCCTGTTGGAAAGAGTCCGCAGATACTCGTTATTTACTCGGCGACCCAACGATGTGATTGTTGATGACGAGACGGGAGATGACGAAGGTGGGATCAACACGACAACGACGGCGCCAATAGATATCCGCGGCGATGCAGCTAGCATGTCCGCGAACCCGTCCCGCACACTCCAACACCGCTTCCGCAGCCTCGACCTCGACCCACCCGTCTCGAGCGCGCCTGCTGCTCCTACCGCGATACAGGGCGCAAGACCAAGCGCTGCTGGTCAGAATGCTGGCGCCATGTCTGAGTCTCTGCCGGCCGACGATGGCTTCACTCACTTGCGCGCACGCATCCACGAGATCCGGGCATTGGAGATCACGGAGCAGGAGCGGGCACAGATGATCCATGGGCTGATGATCGAACGATACAACCACATGCGCCCAACATCGCCGAGCAGCTTCATCTCACACGACCGTCCCTTCACACCGACCTCTGGACACTCTGTGTTCTCCGACAATCGTGCCTCTTCGCCTCTTTCTGCTGCATCTGACATCGATGTCGACAATCATTACAAGCTGCGACCCGGCGACACCAGCCCGACATATCGCACAATCGAGCACAACGACGAAGACGATGACGAGGAGGACCACACCGAAGAAGAGCTCATCCTGGGCTGCCGACACTACAAGCGCAATGTAAAAGTCCAGTGCTATGATTGTCGACACTGGTACACTTGCCGACATTGTCATGATGAAGTCGAGGGTCACGCACTGAACCGGAAGGCGACACAAAACATGCTTTGTATGGCATGTGGAACAGCTCAAAAGGCATCTGACACCTGCAAGAAGTGTGGCATAGAGGCGGCGTGCTACTATTGCGATATCTGCAAGCTCTGGGACAACAATGCAAGGAAGAAGATCTACCATTGCCCCGATTGCGGTATTTGCAGACGTGGTGCAGGTCTTGGTAAAGACTACACACATTGTCAGGTAAGTGTCAGGAAGTCAAACAAAGCAGGACAGTTTCTTACTTCATGCAGAGATGCAACGTCTGCATTACCATATCCCACGCAGATTCGCACGTTTGCATACCACGTGCTACCGACTCTGGATGCCCCATATGTACCGACTATCTGTTCACTTCGTCCGCGGCTGTCGTCTCGATGCCGTGCGGGCACTACATGCACAAGCAATGCTATACGCTGTACATGGAAACTGCGTACAAATGTCCAATTTGCAAAAAGAGTGCTGTGAAGATGGACTTGCAATGGCGCAAATTGACGTCGGCAATTGAAGCTCAGCCTATGCCAGAGCAATTCGAAAACACCAGAGCAATTGTCCAATGCAACGACTGCTCGAGAAAGTCTTCGGTCAAGTATCACTGGCTCGGTAACCAATGCGAGAACTGTGACTCCTACAACACTAACGAGCTTCGAATCCTCAACGGGCCTGATAGTGAAGAGGCTGCCAACACACTCTTGGACGCCGACGCAAACTCAGGCACTAGGTCACCAGCCAGCGTCAGTTCTCCACAATCGCAGGCACTTCGATCACCCCGGTACTATTTCCAGCCCGACGAGCCAGAAGAGACATGGCTGCCAGGTCAGCTGCCTTCGTTTCCTTTTCAGATGCCACAATTTCCTGGCAGGCCACGCATGCCGGATATGCCACAAATGCCCCGCATGCCTGGCTTCCCATCTTTACCGCAGTTTCCACAGTTCCCAAATATGCCCCGGATGCCGCAGATGCCACAGATGCCCCAAATGCGCCGCGATGCCGAGGAGATGCTTGAGCGCTTTCGCCGTTCGATGGACGCCTACCTCAACCCTACCGGGGAAGTACGAGACGAGCATGTTCCGTTTATCGATCTCGGAGGTGACGATAGGCGCGAGACAACACAGGCTACAGACGGCACGCAGGTCAAAGGCCCTTACCTACCTCAGTACTATCTCGAGCGGTTCTCACAAGCCCTCACGCGTTTCCGCAACGAACTGAACCCTGGCATGGAGGAGATTCCCGATTTGAATCTTTCGGAGGATCAACATCCGGAGGGACTGCAGTTCTGGGGCGAGGATGGCGGACGCCTCGAACGGCAGGTCAATGCTGACGACGGGGCGTCAGACGATGGGAGTAGTAGCGATGGAAGTCATCATGAAGGAGACGACGACGACGACGACGATGATGACGATGACGACAATGAACACGATGGGCACAAAAGAAAGACGGATTGGGATCTACCTGGACATCTCTAACAGGTTCTGACGGCGTTTGGGCGGCAACAACAGGTTTTCTGGAGTAAGGGCTCAGATGAAAACACATGGAAAGCGGCATTATTGCAACAACAGATATAGCATACCTAGAGAAATCGGAAAAATCAAAGTAGCATTATCTCAACATTTGATGTTCACTCACGCCAAAGTGACTTAGGTGTTGAGGGAAGCAGCGCACGTGCCCCACTTTTCTTTTAGCACCGCCAAGCGAGTTAGCGAACCCACGCAAATCGATTTTCGAAGGGAAGTCGCGAATCCTCGAACTTCACGCCGCATCTCAATCTCACCGTCGACTAACCCACAGCCGATCTCCGTCAGTATGTACATCACCAGCGATACTGTTGCATGCGCAGCAGTCGTAAACCCTCTTTTGCGCAATGCGTGCAGTCCACATGCACTGAATCGCTGCTAACAACACCCACAGAAATGTCCTCCACCAAGAAGGCCTCCGGCAAGACCCAGCGCAGCGCCATCGCTGACGTCGTCGCTCGCGAATACACAATTCACCTCCACAAGCGCGTATGTTGATTCAGTTTGTTGAAGTCCATCAATGGCCTGTTACAGCTGAGGCGGACATTCGACCAGACCGATTACGCTGGCTCGAGTGTCTGTCTCAGATGTGCGGGTATCGGGCGGAAGACTGAAGGAGAACATAAGGCTGATACGGCATACAGGTCCACGGCGTTTCCTTCAAGAAGAGGGCTCCCCGCGCCATTAAGGAGATCCGTGCTTTCGCTGAGAAGGCTATGGTACGTGGACATCTAGGGAGCACTGCGCGGTGTGCGCACTATGTGCGACTGCTGAAGACTCTTCAATTGCACCTTGAGGATATTTGCTAACGTTTATCCCAGGGCACCTCCGACGTCCGCCTCGACCCCCAGTTGAACAAGAAGGTCTGGGAGTCCGGCATCAAGGGCGTTCCTTTCCGCCTCCGTGTCCGCATCTCGCGTAAGCGTAACGATGAGGAGGGCGCCAAGGAGAAGCTCTACTCCTACGTGCAGGCCGTCAACGTCAAGGACCCCAAGGGTCTCCACACCCAGGTCGTTGAGGACGCTTAGATGCGTGTACAGTTTGGGAGGACTAGAGGACTATGATGCATATCAAAAGCATGGCGTTCCGGCGGGTTGCTGAATAGCTGCTATATTAGACAGTGAAAGGCTTGTGAAATGATACCTAAATGACATTCATGCCCGCCATGTTGCATACACATCTACTTTGACCTTTCGTTTCATGGTACATCGTGGCTACTACTACTAGCAATACTCAAGACGAAAGTTCTGGGCTGAAAACTTTGACCATAGACAGGTACCTCCAAGCCAAGCACCGCACTTCGATACGATGCGGCTGCACGGTCGTCACATTCTTTCGGTCCTTTGCGCTGTCCTGTTGATTTGCATGTGTAAGCACGCAGCCGTGGCAGGCTTATGCAGAATGTATTAGTCGCTCAGCTTCCCTTTGTGGAAACATGTAAGCAGTCGCGGCTCCTTCTAGCTCGGACAAGGAGGAGCCGGACTAACAGCGACGCTTGCCAATCCACCCCTCCACGTCGGTGAATCGGTGAACCGTTCTTGATCTACAGCATGACCGCCTGAAGCTTTGTTGTATATAACCCTCAAACCCAAAGATCAATCCTAAAGAAAGGAAATTCAGTTCATACCATCAAGCATCACAGCTTTAACTCCTGACGTCAAGGAAAGGCGGTCCACTAAGATCTCACATCAACACGGCTTTCTGATATCACCGATTGACCACCCTATTCCTACGAAAAAGCACCTGTACGGCCATCAAAATGGTGACAGTCCACCTCTCCTACACATCCCGCGTCAACAAGCCTGAGGACTCGCCCGTCCTCACAGTCCCTCAGATCTGGGCCGGTCTGCAGCGCAAAGTGCGCTTTGCACAAGAGTTCGTACCCGTGATTGAGAGCTGCACGGTTCTTGAAGAGAAGGAGGATGGAACGGTGATCCGGGACGTCAAGTTCAAAGAGGGCGCGGGGCCGAAACCACGAGCGAGGGAGACGGTGCGGGAGTACTATCCCAGCTGGGTACATTCATTCCCTTTTCCCCTTACACTTCGTGTCACGATCGACTTCGGCCCTGTTTGAGCAGAGTGGAACGCTTCGTTCTATCTATGTCGATCGGACCTGAATAAGAGACAGATTAGCTGATTCCAACAGGTCGATTTCGAGCAAGAAGACGGGACACACATCCGCAACGTCGTGTCTGACGGGCCGTCCGGCGAGGAATCGGATCTGCAAATTTCGTACATGTTTGAGATCAATCTTCCTCATATTCAAGATGGCACGGAGGAGAAGGAGAAAGAGGTCAAGAAGTTGAAGGGGATGGCGAAGATGGCTGTGGAGAAGAGTATTGACACAATCAGGGAAATGGTCAAGGATGGAAGGATTTAGAGGTTGAGATTGAGGTGGTTTGGGAAGGGCCGAGAGAAGTCTGTATTGAAGTGAGAATAACTGCATGTACAGTTTATACTCGTCGAACCCAGGTTGTCCCTGATGAGCTTCCAGTGCTGTAACGAACTTGCGACCTTTATACGTTGTTGTTATACAATATCATAATTGAATAGTGTAAGCTATCCCCCTTCCTTCCACATTTACTCGGTCATCCTCCATCGAGATGAGGCAATGGTCAATAGTCATAGGAGAAGGGCCATGCGCCAAGCCGCTGTTCAGGCAACATGTTCCATCACTGACTCAAGGACAAATACTCTCAAGTTTTAACTGTTTTTGTATTTGTGGGGTTTGTATATTAACAATATGTGCAAACCCCCTCGCATGTGCGCCTGCACCCGCGCCTTATCCCTGTCCCTATCCCTATCCCTATTCCAATCCCAATCCAAACCCGACCCAAAATCCAAGGATATCCAATAATATTCAAACGATCGCTCCGGAGCGCCAAACACGCTATAAAACTAGATGAAGCAATACCCAACACCCCTTGTCCTCACATCCAAGCAATAACATCCATCTCTTCAGACCCTCAAAACCCACAGTAGCAGCAGAACATCCAGACCCAGCAGCGCAAGCACAATGCTAAACACACCGCCCTGGTGAACCCAACCCAACCTCTCCCTTCGTGTCTTCATGCTGATGACAGCAACAATGCACAGCACCAGTGTGCACACTGCACCAAATAAGACACCGGCATCAACGGCACCTCTCTCCTTCTTACGACTGGTCATCGTCATGAGCCCAAGAATAAAGTCAATCGCAAACGCAGCAGCCAGACAAGTAGAGTAGAAGCAGAACTTGGTCCTCTCGCGCTCACGGTTGCGAGCCTGTAGCTCGCTGAGTAGCGATCTGCGCTCTTGCAGGGCTTCGGCATCATGGTGAGGATTTACTCTGCCTCTAAAGAGGCTACTGAAGTAGCCTACATGAGCATCACCGTTCTGAGATGTGATTGTGCCGTAGTTCGATCGGGGATTCCAGCCGAATGGGCTCTCGCTCCCGGACTCTTCATCATCTGTCGTGCCATCTTCCACAGCGGACAGTAGGGAGCGCTCTTCTGCTTGAACGCGCATGCCGAACATCTTCCTTGTTTTCTTCGTCCAGGCTTCGAGCGTCTCTTGCCCAGGGAATTTGACGGATGCATTCGGGTCAACGTAAATATAATAGCCTTCGTCTTCATCTTCAGGATGGTCATACTCGTTCCAGTAGCGTTGCGATTCCGGCTCCTCTCGAACGACCGGGGTTGAATAGTCCGAGTATGATTTGCGATGCTTCTTTCTGAAAGCCTGCAGAGACGGAGGATCTATTAAATCCTGTGCTGAGGTTGCTGAAGACTCGCCATTGCGGAGGGTTGAAGGGCTCAGCTGGCCATCGAACGAGGTGTTAGACGTCAAGGTCAATGGCGGCGAGGACTGTGTATTCGAGCCGCTCATGCTCCCTCTAGCTTTGCGGCTATGTCTCTTTACTGGCTCTGGTAGCTTGCGAATGTCTTTGTCAAGGAGTGAAATCCAGTGGGGTGCGGACATGGAGCTTGGCTTGCAACAAGTCCATACAACATGAGCCTCGACCGAGAAACCACGAACGCGTTCAACCTAGGCATCTTAGTGGGACTGTGTCATGTGGTAGGATGATGATCAGACTTACGAGATGGCTTCGATCAAGTGTCTGAATCAAGGACGCAGCTTGATTGCCTTCACGGCGGACTTCCAGGATAGCGTGAGGGAACTTGGTGGATCCTGAAGTTGCTGTCTGAGCCCAATCGTCGTTCGCAAGGTCCTTGACCAGAGAACTCTTCATGAACACTTCACGATCCAAGGTAGCCCAGATGCCACCCGAGGAGTTGTTATGCAGTCCAACAAACCTGGTGCGCTTTGCACCTACACCAGCAATAGGTGTGATCTCTTTGTGTTCTGTCAGCCATTGGCGGATGGTCTGGGTCTCTTCCTCGCCATCATTGAAGGAACCTGTACGATCGACAAAGCGAACGTTTTGCTTATCAGGTAGTGGCTTTGATGTGTCCAAGAAGACTTCCGTGAATTTGCGCTTCAATTTGGCAATCCTGATGTCTCCGGCTGTCTGTGTATGTGGATCAGTCGCTGTGCAGACAACGATTGCAGCCTCAGCAGCCACAGAGAAGCGAACGTTAGCAGCCGCCTTGATTCCGACATTGCCTTTGTCTTCTTCGCTTGAGCCGATCGTGCTAGCGTTCTGCTTAATTGCAAATGCTTCTGCGTAATCCAGAACTTGAATGCCAACATGATCTTCGTTGCCGAAGTAGCGATCCGTATTTGCACCTGAGGATTGCCGGCGGCGAGGTGTTGCATTGGCAGAAGCCCTCCGCGAGGTCGATTTGGTGCTCTTGGTGTGAAGTCGCATATGTTGGAGCAACAAGACCTGAACCTCGACTATGTGATCGGGATGTATCCAGTATGTAGCTTTGTTACCGTTAGTCCCCAATGGGACAGTGGATAATGCAAGATCGAAATCCAACTGATCATCGTGCTCAAGAGCCTTGGAGATGCGTGCGGCCGGTAATTGGGCATCAACATCCTTAGTGTGAGCCGTGGATGCGTTGTCGCCGTCAAAGACTGAGCGGAGCGCGCCAAGAACATCAATGTATTGACCGAGAAGGTAGCTTAGATCCAGCTGGAAGAGGCTGTCTGAGCGGCTACTGATTTCGTCTTTGAAGGTGCGAGGAAGCTCTCTATCCTTCGTCCAACGCTTGTACTTCTTAAGAATTTTGGCAAAACCAGTTCGCTGAACGACTAGGAAGCGTGACAGTGAGCGGATCTCCTCGGCAGTCCTGCAGCAAGTTAGCATCGTGTGCTGTTCTCGCTCTGGTGTTCGGTGCATACCTTGCGACATCTGCATCTATCTTTGCGTATCTCTCAACTGTCCTGGCGGGGAGACGTGCCTCAGGCGACCGTTTGGAGCGTAGTTGTTCTAAGCTTTTGCTGATATGGTCCAGTCGCCGTTCGATCTCCCCGCTCTTGCTCCGAACGAATAGGTTTATGCGGTCATGCTGCGCTTGCAGGACTCGAAGGAATGTCTCGCTGAAGGCTTTCTCGGTGCTGCCTGTGCCTTGGCCGGGAATTGATACGGCTTTGTTCGTGCCAGACGTCGTCTGGTGCTTGATCAGGTCTTTGAGGTATTCATAGTCGATGTTGACTAGGCGCGCAATGTTATTAGCTGAAGTAAGCCGAGATGTCAATGCAACGACGTCACTTACAATGGCCCCATTCAGGAATGCTCCTTTGGCGCAGTGTATCGCCGTATTTCATGTCCTAGGCTAAGGATGTACAAATGTATGTGTTAAGATTCCAATTGAGGGGGTCCGCGGGTCTTTGTGCTATGTTACACAAGCGGATGAAGCAGATAAGCTGTAGCGCCAACGTCAGATAACGACGCCCGGCTCTCGAGATATGAATTGGCTGGCTCAATCGCATTCGGTCCCATTGCTGCAGGCGATAAATTACCGCAATGAGCCGGTCGATGGCTGAGAGAAGACGGAATGTCGCGGGGTACTCACCGGCTGGTACGACTGGAGATTGATGATGGTGAAGTCAAGATGTGTATGCGGTGGTTCTTTCGGGAGTCCGAAAAATGCGTGATGTAATCGCGAACGGCTATCGTAGATTCAGGAACCAACGTTGGAAGGCACGCAAGAGATTGATTGGAAGAAATGAGCGGCACGGCGCAGACACGCCTCTTGTTATGAGCATGCTGCGAATGGACGATTTGCGACGAGGGTGACGCCTGCCCAGCCATCATGGTCTAGCTCCTGCTGCGCGGTGGAGCCAAGTTCCTGTTACAAGGTCAACGCTCGAGCATCCTTACTAGGCCATAAGGCTCAATTGCAGGTTTCCGTCGCTAACTACCAGCGCTAGTACGGGAATACATCGCGAAGCACGTTTCGAAGTTCAAGAATGGTCAAGATTGATGTTAGACGCAGCCACCGGCAGAAATACCAGGGTCCGCAGTTGCAGGACCATGGTGCAGAATCAAAAATCCTTCATCTTTCTACAGCCGCGTGGCACAGCAAGAGTCAGACCGCAATCGTAGTGGACGGAAAGACGATTCAGTAACTGGGGTCCACTTCAGTAGCCCAATAACTCAACGACTGGGGGTTTAGGGTTCGTTCGGCAGACATCCGGCACCGTGCCGACGTGTGAAGAATCGTACAACAACCCTGCAGCCGAGTTGGATGTCTTCAATTCTGATCAGGCAGGAGCAGCCTCAGATGATAGCTTGCTGTAGAGCCGCAGACGGCAGTATCTCGCTCTGATGTGAGTGGTCCGTTTGGAGGAAATTGTCCTCGTATCGAAGCACCCGCGATAGGTACGCTGCATTAACAAACCCCAATGGAGAACTCCAGGGTCGCGGATGGGGCACCGGGGCCGGTCAGTGGGCCACTCTCGTACCATAACCCACTGGCTACGAAGCGGAATGTGGTGTCGAGTGAACATGGTAGGTCTTGAAGCGTTACATGGCTTGACAAGAGAAAATCTAGACGTGTTGACTGTGGTGTTTTCCACTGGGTTCGTGTAGAAACTTTGCGTGGGCCCGTTAGGTACTGCTCCCAAAAATTGGATTGACAGCTTCCTTTAGTTACTTGTTGTGTAGTAGACCCTGCAGCGGGTAGCAACTGGCGCTGCTTGTTCTGCAAGATGGTGTAAGAGATTGTCGAAACGATGTCTTACCGGAACGATACCTTCCAGATGTCAATCGGTATGAACTGTGTAAAGTAGATAAACTGATGTAGCCAAGGCAATGAAGCTTTGGACTTGCATTGTCACGATTGATGATCATGATTGAATTGATGTCCCGCCCGCGGAGCCAATGGGCTACAAAAACGGCAAGAACTCGCGTGGGCACCTGCCGTTGTGCATGTTTAGGCGTCTGCAGGATATGCAGGGATTTGGAGGTGCAGGCATCGATCGAAAGATTCAGTCACTCTCCTGGTTTGATTGGTTGTACGTTCCGCAAACTTTCGCTGTATCTTTATAATTTTGGAATGCGACATCTGCTTGCGCTTGCTAGTATCCACGATACCAGAGTCTAGGTCAATGTGAGGGTCCAGCAAATCTTGATCGTGTGGTCTGATGTGCTGAATACCTCCAGGGTGCATCGGTCAGTACTAACAGAGCAACAAGTGGACTGGAGAGCAAGGTTCACCCTCAAGCTTGCACTATTGGACGCGAAAGCGACAATTTGCTCCAACCGCGTGCGGACGATTCCAGGAGCGTGTCCGGTTGCCACTTTGACTCCAGGTGGAGTACAAATGACTCGAACAGTGAAAGAGTATTGGAGTAGTGTTGCACATGGTACTCGCACAAGACTTGTTGCAATCTCGCAATGAAACACAAGCACGGGTACCGTAACATATGGCAGAGATCGCACCATTTCATTGACTCGCTCGTCGTCTTTGTAACTGCGGGAGATCCAATCTACAATGCCACATCACCAACGGCAAACGCCAGACCCTGACTAGATTACACGCAAAGATCGAGACGTCTCCACAAGAGTACATGTTCACCTCCACTTCGACTCCTGTAGAACAAAGCATTCAACCGGGGGGCAACAAGCTTGTGTCGACTATGTCCTCTGCCTCCTTTGTCTCAAGATCCTCAGAGCCGTGGATGGGGGAACGAGGAAGGGCCATGAGACCTGGTCGATGTCAGTCATAATGCTCAGAAGAAAGTTGGGATGATACTCACCAGTTCGCGCCGACTCCAAGATACCGAATGGAGCAATGAGCTTCATGAAAGAATCGATCCTGTCTGACTTCGCGGAGAGCTCAACAATACAGTTGTTGGTGCTGATATCCAGGACCTTGCCCTTGAACTGGTGGGTCATGAAGGTAATAGCCCTCAAGTGCTCGTGCTTGTGACGGAGCGCTTGACTGACAGCAAGGTTGCTTGGGTGGTAGTCTTTCCTCAAAGAATCCCGAGCTGCCTCCTCTGCCAAAGCCTGTCGCTCCTCTTCGGTCAAATCATCGGGATTGAAGTTCTCGAGCTCCGGGTTGGAAGCCATATCGCGGTGGTGAGCGAGGAGCTCCTCGAAGTACTCAGGACCAAGGATAGAGACCTTGGCAAGGAGCAGTTCACGCTGAACAAGAGGGGACTGTGTGTAATCGAGCACAGCCCAGACAGGAACCAGATCCTCGAGCTGGCGGCGGGCCTGCTCTACAACACCCTCCTGTCCCTGCAGGACAATGGTCATGCGGGAGAGGTCATCGACCTCGGTGTTGCAGACAACGAGACTGTCGATGTTGAAACCACGGGCAGCCAAGATACCGGAGACACGCGAGAGCACACCAGGCTCATTCTGCACTAAGCAGTTGAGGATGTGTTTCTTGTGGGGCTTCTGAGAAGGCGTGGGAGTCTCGTAGAGGATGCTGCTGACAGCGGCCGGCGCAGACCAGGCAGGAGGACGGTCTTCGGTCGGGAGAGGTGCAATGCGGCGGTGCAAAGCCTTGTATGCCAGGGCTTGGGTAGATGAGGAGTTAGAGCTCGATGCCCTTGTTTGCTGGCGCACCGCTCCGGCGCATTGCCGGCCGAGCAAGCTGCGCAGAGGCAGCAGAGCCCGCTGTGATGCCATCAGATATCAATTGACCTTAGTGAAGGTATCTGAGCGACCACGTCGATTCGCGAGTGTGAAGCTGAGCTGTTCGGCGTTTGGTGACTGTGTGAAAGCTTCCCCGGACCGCCCAGAATTTCTGATTCACATGAACTCCGAACTTCGGGGGGACGTGATTGGCAGATGCAGGGGCGTCGAGCGGCAAGAGCGTCCGGGCGCTGATGTTCACGGTTTTACTACCAACTCACCATCACCTTCAACTGCAACACCAATTCTTACGCCACAACCACGCGCAAACATGTCCGACGAACGTCGCCCACGATCGCGCTTCGACAGCGACGAACCTGAACGCCCCACACGCTCGCGTTTCGATACGGATCGTCGCTCGAGATCGCCGTCGCGGAGAGAGTCTGAGTCGCATCGTGAACGCAGCCCGGTAACTCGTGAGGCAACAGACAGCCCATCAAATGCTGGCACAAAGAACAAGGCAGCGGCTGCGGCGGCGGCAGCGGCTGCGAGGATCAACGCGCAGATCCAAGCGAAGAAGGGCATCCAGCATGTCGATGTGCCGCCTATTCGCTCTGTACATTTTGTCTGTCGCATTGCTGCCGGACTCTCGCTAACACTATCTTGTAGGTGTCAACTCCTCCAGTCGTCAAGTCGCCGTCTGTCAACCCTGGCCAAGCCGTATCCAGCGAGATCTACCAACAAGATGGTGACTACATCAAAGACATTGAAATCAACGATCTCAGAAATCGCTATACTCTGACTAAAGGAGCTGTACAAAAAAGGGTAAATTACTTCTGTCATTCACTGATTGTTTAGGATCCATGTCCTCTCGAAGCTGCTGCGGCGCTGCTGCATTTTGACAGTGTCGCAGGGCTCGAGTTGTGCACGCTGTTTGCGCATTTCTCCTCACGGAGATCTGGAGCTTACTTGATCTTCTAGCTGCCCCACAACTCATTCATCAAATGCTGACCTTGATGTGACATCTAGATTAAAGACGATACTGGCGCCGGTACGCAAACCCGAAATTTTAGTCTGACTACGTTAGAATGTTCTGCTTATACTTACGCAAGATGTCACCACTCGAGGAGAATACTATCCTGACAAGAGCATGGCCACCGCTGCTGTAAGTCTCGACCCAACCGCTATATTCACGATCGCAACTAATCGTTGTCAGAACCCACCTCTCTACCTTCGTGTTACTAGCACGTCCAAAGAAGGGCTCGATACCGCTGTCAAGATGATCGAGGAGATGCTGACACAGGAGCTGCCTAACCTGGTAGATGAACGTCGCTTCCGTCGCCGTGAACCCGAGAACTTCGAGCGCGATGAGTTTGGTCGCGTACGTGATTCCTACTTTTACTGTTCAAGGGGTGCCTTCGCTAACATCGTCCAGCGCAAATGGCCGGAAGAGAAGCTTTCGGTAGGTCTGGAACCTATCAGTGGCTTCAACTTGCGAGCACAGGTTGTTGGCCGTGGAGGCGACAACGTCAAGTACATCCAGCAAGAAACTAGCTGCAAGGTTCAGATCAAGGGCCGCGGATCAGGCTTCATGGAGCCCCAGTCCGGCCAAGAGAGCGACGAGCCTATGTATCTTCACATTGCGTAAGTGTTCTTGTCTTCCAAGCACCCTCCAAATTGTACTAACTAGTACTAGTGGACCTCGCCCAGAAGGCGTAGCCAAGGCTAAAGAGCTTTGCAATGAGCTGCTTGAGAAGGTGAAGGCTGATTACCAGGCGTTTAAGGATCGCCCACCACCAAACCGATACGGTGACAGGGACAGCTACGGCGGCGGACGAGGCTATGGCGATCGTGGCGACAGGGGTGATCGCGGCGATCGTGGTGATCGGGATCGAAACCAGAGCTACGGAGGATACGGCGGTGGAGGTGGCTATGGGGGCAGCGGTTACGGTGCACAAAACGGCGCTGCTGACACTTCCGCTACTCCTGTTGGCGCCACAGATCCGAACGCTCAAGCTGCTGACTACAACGCTCAGTATGCCCAGTGGGCGGCTTACTATGCCGCCAACCCAGCCGAAGATCCATATGCTGCATATGGCGGCTTCGCAGCAGTCATGGCTCAGTACTCACAAGGCTACGGACAGTACTACGGTCAAGCTTACCCAACCGGACAGACGCAGTCTCCTGCACCTGGCGCTGGAGCTGCAGCACCACCTCCTCCTCCCGCCGAGCCTGCAGGCTATGGAGCTCCTCCACCACCTCCTCCTCCACCCGCTGGCTCGCCAGGAGCTGGCTATGGTGCAGTTCCTCCTCCACCAGGCTTGTAAGTGTTTTGCAGCTTCAAGCATCTCACCGAAGTGTACAGATCGAAGATTTTTCGTCCTTCCGACTCCTCAGGCGCTGTAAGCGCGGGTCATGTAATTGTTTTGGTTTCGGCATTGGCAACGCACAGTCTCAGCAAATCCCTGGGCCAGGCTTGCGGCCTAGTATAGGTGGTTACCTACAAATCAGAGCTGCAGTTTGACAGTCAATACAAATTTCAAGTCTCGACACAATGGCTTCCCATATCGCATTAATAAGCCTCACCTTGCTGTTCAAGCTTGCATGCGCCAAGTATACAATCCATCGTGCTATATAAACCGAGCATCACACTTGCCAACCTATAGCATGGTGGTCTCACCGCCAGTCGACATGCCGTTCGCTGACTTCCAAACGAAGTGTGGTTGGCCGAAATGCTCGACAGGGATTCTCCAGAGCGATGCCGGCCCGAGCACGCGACTGCCGAACGTCCAGGTCCTTTGTCATTTTTGTGTCCAATGCGCCTCTGACTCTGGCACCGCGCCGACGCCACAGACAAACACGACAAGATGCGGTCGCAAGTACTGAGAGCCGGGCAGGCTGCCAACTGCAGAGTGAGTAATATAGATGTGCAATTGAGAAATCTCCAGGACTATGACTTTGTGTGCAACTATTGGTGCCACAGTCGGAGATGTCCAAAGATACGGTACAGAAGACTGACTTCAACAGCCTCACCTCCTCACCTTCCACCTCCCCACCCAGACACGTTGCCTCGCAACATCCACCTCCCTTCCAAACGCCCGCAACGTCAACCTCGCCTCGCGAACACCGCCGTACAAGAAGCTGCTCGGCCGTCTGTCGGAAGTCCGCCGCGTCCTCGGTTCCTCGCGCCAGCTCACGCTCGCCGAGAAGATCCTGTACTCGCATTTGGAGTCTCCTGAGGAGTCGCTGCTCAGCAACACGAACAATGGACGAGACATTCGCGGGCAAGCGAACTTGAAGCTCAAGCCGGACCGAGTGGCTATGCAGGATGCGAGTGCGCAGATGGCGCTGCTGCAGTTTATGAGTTGTGGTTTGCCGAGTACGGCGGTGCCTGCTAGTATTCACTGTGATCATCTTATCGTTGGTGAGACTGGAGCGCAGGCGGATTTGCCAAAATCGATTGCGAACAACTCGGAGATCTTCGATTTCTTGGAGAGTGCGGCGAAGAAGTATGGTATTGAGTTTTGGCCGCCTGGCGCTGGTATCATTCATCAGTCTGTCTTGGAGAACTACTCGGCCGTAAGTTCACGATTGGGAATGTGATGTGGAATCCATATGCTGACTACCTTCAGCCTGGACTCATGATGCTCGGTACAGACAGTCACTCCGTCAATGCTGGTGGACTTGGCGCCATCGTCATTGGTGTTGGTGGTGCTGATGCCGTTGACGCCCTTGTTGACGCACCTTGGGAACTGAAAGCACCAAAGATTTTGGGTGTGAAGCTCACAGGCGAATTGAGCGGATGGGCTTCTCCCAAGGACGTCATCTTGAACTTGGCTGGTCAGCTCACAGTTCGCGTAAGTGTCGTACAAAAAGACCGAACAGCTCCAGGCTAACAAATTCTAGGGAGGTACTGGTTACATTATCGAATACTTCGGAGAAGGCATCAAATCCTTGAGCGCAACTGGCATGGCCACCATTTGTAACATGGGGTTGGTGTTCCTCCTGCGTTGTGCGCTGAAGTCTTCGAATACTAACTTGGATATTCAGTGCTGAAGTTGGCGCTACGACTTCGCTGTTCCCCTTCTCGCAGGCTCACATTCCCTACCTTCAAGCAACAAATCGAGGACCGATCGCCGAGGCTGCACTGAAGATTGCTCAGTCCCCGATGGAGCGCAACCTTCTGCAAGCTGACCCTGCAGCCGCCTACGACAAGGTCATCGAGATCAACCTCTCCACACTTGAGCCCCACATCAACGGTCCCTTTACCCCTGATCTCTCTACCCCTCTGTCTAAGTTCAAGTCGGTTGTCGAAGAGAAGGGCTGGCCCCAGACCTTCGGTGCTGGTCTTATTGGCAGCTGCACAAACAGCTCGTACCAGGACATGCAGCGATCTGAGGACATTGTCAAGCAGGCGGCAGCTGCTGGCTTGAAGCCAAAGGCCAACTTCTTCATCACACCAGGCAGTGAACAGATCAGGGCGACTTTGGAGAGGGACGACACCATCAAGACCTTCGAGACTGCTGGCGGAACTGTCCTCGCCAATGCTTGTGGGTAAGTGAACATCATCATGTCTATTCGTGAAGGTATTCGCTAACATATCGTTGACCTTGTATCGGGCAGTGGACTAGGACCGATGAGGTCAAGAACGGCGAGTCAAACGCTATCTTCACATCCTACAACCGTAATTTCCCCGGTCGCAACGATGGAAACCGAGCAACCATGAACTTCCTTGCCTCGCCCGAACTCATCACCGCCCTGGCTTACTCCGGATCTACGACCTTCAACCCTATGACCGACTCCCTCAAGACCCCATCTGGCGAGGAGTTCAAGTTCCAGCCACCTAAGGGTGTTGATCTACCCTCCGCAGGTTTTGAGGATGGCAGGACTGAGTTCCTCCCGACTCCCGGCGTACCTGACCCCAGCGTCGAAGTCCAGGTCAGCCCTACGTCTTCACGGTTGGCTCTCCTCGACCCCTTCTCGCCGTTCCCCAACTCCGAGCTGAAGGGACTGAAGGTGCTCTACAAGGTCAAGGGCCAATGCACAACGGACACCATCTCTGCTGCTGGACCCTGGCTCAAGTACAAGGGCCACCTGCCCAACATCTCCGAGAACACCTTGATCGGTGCTGTTAACGCCGAGACTGACGAAGTGAACGTTGCCTACGACACAGACGGCTCCAAGACCTCGATCCCTGAGCTTGCCAAGCGCTGGAAGGAGCAGGGTACCGAGTGGCTTGTTGTTGCTGAACACAACTACGGTGAGGGTTCTGCTCGTGAGCACGCTGCTCTGCAGCCCCGCTACCTGGGTGGGCGTATCATCCTGACTAAGTCCTTCGCTCGTATTCACGAGACCAACCTGAAGAAGCAAGGTATGGTTCCTCTGACCTTCGTCAACGAGTCTGATTACGACTTGATGGACGCTTGCGATGAAGTCTCCACAAGAGGACTGCTGGAGACACTGCAGAACGGCGGCAAGGGCGAGATCGAGCTTATCGTCAAGAAGAAGGATGGAAAGGAGGTCGTTGTTAAGACCAAGCACACACTTACCAAGGACCAGAGCGCATTCGTGCTTGCCGGTAGCGCTCTGAACTTGCTCGCCGCACAGGCAGCGGAGTCTAGGGAAGAGATCACTCGTGTAAACGAGCTCTCCGACTAAGCTGTTTCGTTTTGTTTGTTCTTAGAGAAAAGCCCCCGGCGCAGGGCGTGTTTGTACATATGTGTAGCGATTACCAAGTTCGAATTTGATACATTGAATACCTCCAAGATCAGCTGTATATTTTCTGGCAGGCGCTGCTTCTTTATCCATTAAGAGACGTGACCATGCGCTAGCGTTGTTCTCTCCACCTCAACGCGCCAATGCGAACCTCCTTCCCTCATCAACAACACAACCCCGATGCTGTGCTACCGATTTCCTACACAACTCGATTGACTTCGACCTCAAAACGCCTCGACCTTTGGATCCAACTTCACAATGTCCGAGCCTGTGTTCACGACTTTGATATCTATGCAATTTTCGAAATTTCGCAGTCGAATCGCACACACATAGCACCACCATCGGCGACCCCTTTTTGGCTGATTTACCTCTGACGTTTCTTCGTTCTCCTTTTCACTTACCATGGCGCCCAAAAAGCCTGCTGTGACTTCCAAGGCTCTGCAAGCTTTACTCACACGCATCGGCTCTGCATTGTCAGGGACTAAAAGCACGCTTCTCCATCGTTTCCAGCACGATGTTCCAAGCTCTTATCACTTTCGTCCACAATCCACACGGAACGAATCACAGCCGGAACCATGGGGTCACAAGGTACGCGTCATGAGCATCGATATGGGCATCAGAAATCTGGCATTCTGCGACGCCGAAGTATCTTACCCAGCAGCTGAGCTTAAGTCCGAGCAAGACCTCAACGCTACCATGAACGTCCTGCGCTGGAAGAAACTCGACCTTGTGGAAGGCCAACGCTACCATGACTCCCACCAGCAGTCATTGGAAGACATCCAGGAGAATATTGGGGCTGCAGGGGATGATATCAGCCAATTCACTCCCTCCGTCCTTTCGAAGACCGCCTATCGTTTGATCACAGAAGAGGTCTTAAGTGTAAACCCGGATATCATACTCATCGAGAAACAACGCTGGCGCTCGGGCGGTGGCAGCGCGGTCCAACAATGGACTGTGCGAGTCAACACACTGGAAGCTATGCTTTGGGCTATCTTGGAGACGCTGAAAATGACGCGGCAGTCCCGCTACCAAACCGGAAAATTTGTTGCAAAGCAAGACTTTCACGTCCGCGCTGTTGATCCGAAGCGTGTTGGACAGTATTGGTTGGGCCAGCATGCTCGAGCTCTGGGAGAGCGGGACGAAGATGCTCTGGCTATCAACGTAGCTGGTCTCTCAAAAGGCGCCAAGGAGCCTGAAGACGCGGAAGAGGAGGAAACCGGGAAGATTGCAAAGAAGCCAAGTCGCGGCAAAGCAGAGAAGAGTGCGAAAATCGCAATACTCCGTTTGTGGCTGGCGGATGATACAATGTCTACGGTGCCATCTACGCCATCCTCGATGCCACACATCACATTCGGTATCGGGCCCGATGCAGCGTCGACTCGTCAAGCCCTACTTCCCAAAGTCAAGCGACGGAATAAGGGTTCTAAGGCAGCCACCAAGGATGCAGGACAAGTTGAGAACATCTCTGTAACAGAAATCAAGAAGCTTGACGATATTACGGACTGTTTTCTGCAAGCTGCGGCGTGGATCGCGTGGGAGTCGAACCGGTTGCAGCTCATGGCTCTGTCCAACGGTGGGAAGCTGGACCCTTCGAAACATCCATCGACGATAGATGAAGATCAGATTCTGAAGATGATCAAGGAAGTTGGGGAGGTTTGAGGTTTTTGGCCTTTTCGACAAGAGAAGTCACGGGGCCAAGATGCACAATAGAAGGACGGTCAAACTCGTTAATGTGTGGGACTACTCATTAGGCCAGGTTTCAACCAGCTTTCCATATGAATCGAACAGCAAACTGGTAACATCTCAGCTTGAATTATCCTCAGAACCACCTTCATCCCTCCAACCCACTGAACAACCCTTCTCCTCATCCACTCTCCTCCCTGTCTTCTCTCACTGCGCTCACCCCTCACAAATCAAATCAAAATCCGGAAACAGCGGATCAGGCCCAATATTCGTACTCGCAACACCCGTCTGAAAGTCCTGCACTTTCGCCGTCTGCTGCGCCTGATTACACTTCTCTGTCCACACGTCAGCATTCATCCATTTCATCCCCTTCCCCAATACTCCGCTTTAGAACATACCTTTCTGCTGGTCGCACATGGTGACCGTCAACTCCCCGCCACTATCCCTCCCTTTCGCTTTGCCTTTACCTCTCCCACCATTCCCCTGACTGTTCGCCATCGCCTGACACCCCTGAAACTGCTCGTCGCAGCTCCTCTGTGCGGCTGTCGCGAAGTTGGGGAAATTGTTCCCCTCGACTGCGAATGGGCGGTCGGGGATCCCGCTGTTCATTATGGACGAGGCGCGCACGCCGCCGAGGGCGGAGTCAAATGTCTGGAGATCCTTCATCTGCCGGTAGAATAGCGTGTTTCGAGGCACGAGCGACATGGCGAAGTCGGAGGATATTCTGGCGGGGGAGGGGGACGCTGTTGCGAGGGCGAGCTGGCAGAATAGCAGGAGGGACAGCGGTAGTGGGTACATGGCCGCGAACTGGTTGGCTGGTTGAGTTTGTGCGTCGTGGATTTGTTTGTCGCTGCGACGCGAAGGCGAGTTGCGCGGTTGTTAGGTCTTCGGGGCTGAGTATTGGCAACGGTCAGACAGCGGGCCGGCGTGAATATGTAACACCATGGCGATGGGAGCTTGCGGGACATCTTCTGTCACACATCTTCGGTTCGAGGGGTTTGCGATACGAGGTTGGGAAGCGAGGTGGTGGTGTTGCGACGGTACTGAAACGCGAGACCCCCCCTCGAATCTGGACTCGGGTAGAGAGAACGACGACAAGGTAAACCATAACGTTTGAAACGAATGACGTTATTAGAGTTTAAGCACCGAGGATGCAAAGGATGCTTGCCCAATAAATTATGCGTGATATGATGTTTAGATTGGGGATATGCTATTACAAAGCCGTACAGAAGACTGACAAGGAAATTGATTCGGTAAAGTGATGCGGTCGAAGGACCCTATTACATGGTTTCGTATACCTATAGTTGACATCTATGACCATCCAATTTTGAGTGCCGGAATGAAAATAGAAGCACGCCTGTAATGCACCGTTGCTACCCAGGGTATCCTATCGCAGAAGTATCGAGTCGTGGGCTGGGCTCGTTGTATATACGTCTTCGGGATCCCTGTAGAATCGTAGATCTCGCAAAGCTCAGAAGTAGTATCGTGGTCGTCGTGAACGCAGCAATGGCTGCCTGTGTACGTAGTTGGCTGGCCGATTAGAAGTTGGCTGCTGCGTTCGGACGTCCGCCGGGGTTGTGGTACTGCTCGAGGTTCGACTGGAAGGGCGAGGCGCCTGTGTTGGCGGGCTTGTCGCCGAGAGCAGCTCCAGTGCCAGCCATGAGGTCATCGTCATCCTCGGTGACTCGGCTCTGGCGCTTCTTCATGCGCCAGAAAACGAGGGCGAGGCCACCGAGAAGAAGAGCACCACCGACACCGCCGACGACACCGCCGATGACCTTCTTGTTGCTCTCGCTTAGGCCGCCACTGTCGCCGCCAGAACCAGCTTGTGCCTCAGGCGGGTCGGTCACGGTTGCTTGACCGGTTGTGGCAACGTGGGTGCTGGCGCCTGTCGAGGTGACCTCGGAAGCCTGGCCGTTGATGACAGTGCTGTAGACGGTGGTGTAGAGCTGGATAGAGGTAGAGACGAGGGGGGTGGTGCGGACGATGGCGGTAGTCCTGACGGAAGAGGACGCTGCTGCTGATGTGCGTGTTGCTGATCCAGCGGCTTGGGTTTCGCTGGAGGGGACCCGGCCGGTCGATGTGGGAGTGGCAGAGTTGCCGTTGTTGTTGTTGTTGTTGTTGTTGCTGCTGGTGGCAGGCGCCTGCGAGGTCTGGGCGGGTGCGTCTGATGTCGTAGCTGGCTCGTCGGAGGTGGCGGGGGCAGCAGAGGACGCAGGGGGTGCGCTCGACGCTGGGGCTGCAGACGATGCCGGTGGTGCGGATGATGTTGCTGCAGGTGCTGAAGACGCAGGCGTGCTGCCACCGGTGCCCGAGGCCTGTCGCTTCTCGTTGTAGTGCAGGTACTCGTTGATGCCGTCGATGTGCAGGCCCTCCAAGTTGAAGGCCGACGCCATCGCGACGAAGGCGAAGAGCGTCACGAACAGCCACGCCTGGCGCAACATGGTGGTGTCTGGGGAGTGGAACGAAGGTGTGCGGATCTGGTGGAAGCGGCGGAAGGGTGTGGATCTATTTACTGGCGGCTGACGCGTTTCACGGGCGGTGGTTTATGCTGGGATTAAAGGGGCCTAAGGGCGATGTGCGGGTGTCGAGTGTTGCAGCGGCGGTTTGCCAGACGGATAAACGAGGGCGTGAAGATGGAACAAAAGAGAGAAAAATGAGAATGCGTCGCACGACGAGTGATGGCGGATGAGCCGGTGCGGGAGATGACAGACACACTGTCGTATAGGGTGGATCAAGGCGTGACCCAGCAATGTTGGCGCTCAAAATAGCCCGCTGAGAGCTGCACGGGACCGCGCAGGCACAGCGCTCACCAAGGGTCTGACTGGCCTTCGGAAATAAACCGCACCAGACGCCCTGCATCCAGGAACGCGTTCCAGGCATTGCGCGCGAAAATTCTCCCCCCAACAACGAAGAGGCCCCTGGAACTGTTCACTGTGTGTGCACGCGAGCATAAACAAAACGCCAGACACGGCCATGTCTCAGCGTCTGCGACCGCTCCATCCACCGCTTCCAGCGTTTTCCCGCGTGACCAATCGTCCAAACTGCCAAATTTGCTAGCTCAGCCAATGTGAGCCTCGGAACGCGGCGAATTTCTGAACCAATCACGACCCTGCTATTCACTCAGCGCGGATCAGCCTTAGTCTGGCACCCTCTCCGGCCCATTTTGCGTCATAACGGCTGGGGTCGACCAATTTTCCAAGCCTCGTGCTGCAGAGCAGAGAACCTCCCAACTGTTCTCCACAGTTCTCATCGTACGAGGACACCGAGTAACCACCGCCAGCATGCACAACATGTTGACATCTGCCATGGCGACCGCTGCCGCCCACCACTTGACGACGCGTGAGGCTCTCAGTGGTATCTGGGGCTCTATCAGTCTCTGCGCCTGGATCTTCCTATTGGTGAGTCTGCCATATCTCCAGACCCATAGCTCGGTCCTTCTTGCAATGCCTTGTACAGCCATTGTCATACAGTGGAGTTTGTATGGCGCTGCTACCTGCAATCAGTGCAGTCGCTTAGGTTGTAGGTACCTGCAGCTATGCGTACCTTTGTACCACATGGGAGAGACATGGGCGGAGCTTGTCTCAAGCCTCACGCGACCGACGGTCGTGGCTGATGGCTAACAACACCAGGTCCCTCAGTTGATCGAAAACTACAAGTCTGGCTCCGCAGACGGCATCTCTCTCGTCTTCCTCGCTATCTGGTTCATCGGCGATGTCACAAACCTCGCAGGCGCCCTCTGGGCCGGCCTCGTGCCCACAGTCATTGCGCTGGCCATGTACTTCTGCGTCGCAGACCTGGTACGATAAGCCTCCAACAACCCCAAACACGCTCGTGGCCTCTATAGGCTGACTCCTCCAGATCCTCATAACCCAATGCGTATACTACAACACCATCAACGCCCGCCGCACCGCCCGCAAAACCTCCACGCAGTCCACAAACTCCGTCGAAGCGCCCCTCCTTGGCCGCCGCGACAGCTCCAACATCGGGCTCCCTGGGAGCCACAGGCGAGACAGCCAAGCCTCGCGCCGCCGCCGCGCATCCTCGCTGCCTACAATCCTCGACGTCGACGAGCAGCCGAGCGAGTGGATGAAGAACACGCTCAGCATCTTCGGCGTCCTGGCTGTCGGCGCTGCAGGCTGGGCAATCGCGTGGAAGAGCGGTGTTTGGGTGCCGCAGCCTACCAGCACCGATGACGCGGGGCCGATTGCGCTTGGGGCTGAGATCTTGGGGTACGCAAGCGCTATCTGCTATCTCGGCGCGCGCATTCCGCAGATCATTAAGAACCAGCGCGAGAGGTCGTGCGAGGGACTGAGCCTGCTCTTCTTTATATTGAGTTTGTTGGGCAACGCGACGTACGGCGCCGGTATCCTGTTCCACTCCACAGAAAAAGAGTACTTCCTCACCAACCTCCCCTGGCTGATCGGCTCGCTGGGCACCATGGTCGAGGACGCCATTATCTTTGTGCAGTTCCGCGCGTTTGGCAGCGGAGAGGCTTCCTCTGCGCTGGAGGCGTAATCGTGCTTATAAGGCTTTGTCTTCGATCTGGCGTTAGAAGGGTAACCAAAAAGAATGGGTTTGGCTTGATTTGATGTTAGGAGAGCAGATTGCTCCCTGAGAGATACCCGGTCAGGTGGACAACAAGGGTCGCTCGTACGTTTTGCTGTACATACGTCATACTTCACGTATCTAGTCACGAACGAATCTAGTCACGAATGAAGTATCTCGTCACGAATGAATCTAGTCACGAATGAATGTACATATGATCAAACGCAAGTGCATATAAGAGATTACAAGTATTACTGCATGTGACAAAAAGGTCTGACCGCTTGGGGATGGAAGAAGTCCTCAGAATGTGTTCACGTTTTCTATGGCAGACATATTCTATTAGATCCTTGTGTCTGCATGCCACCGCTGCATCTCTCGTAGCAGACTTCTGACATCTTCCGGACAGATGCACATATCTGTACCATCATGAACCCCGCCCCTAACGCCCCCAATGCATCTTTTCGTAACAGTCGTAGCGAGACGTGTCGCTGGAGGACCTAACCGATGATCACGGCGGCACTGGGAACCATACCAGTCTCCTTGAGCGTCAGACCGAAATCACTCCTATCGTACGTCTTCTTGGGGAAGTTGGTCGTAAATGTGTTGACCGTCGTGCCATCCTGCTCCAGCGCATGCGCAACCTCGAACAGCGTCGTCTCGACAGGGAATGTCTTCGTGACGCGCCCGCCAGCTGTCTGCAACGCCAGTCTCGCCTCGGTGTACGCGCTCGCGGGCTTGCTCGTCGTGGGGCCAGAGGACGTAGGGCCCGTCTCCTGCTTGAGCGGAGGAGGAGCCTGGCCAGCGCGCGCAGCTTTCTCCGCCTCGGCCTTCCTCTTGCGCTCCTGTTTGTCTGCCTCGAGTTTGGCCAGCACCTTGCGCTTTGCCTCCTGGTCTGCTAGCTTCTCTGCGCGCTTGGCCTGGGCTTCCTTGATGCGCTCTTTCTTCTGCAGCTCCTCCTTAATGTCTTGCGATTCCTTGGTGGACTTCATGCGAATCTGCTCGTTCCTCTTGCGATCCTCCTTGTCCTGCTCAGCCTGTGCGGTGCGCTTCGCCGCAAGCTTGGTCTTCAGCTCCTCGAGACGTGCCTTCTTCTCCTCCTCGGTGAGCGGCGCGATCTCTTCGGTTGATTCGGCGAAGTTCTCGTGCCCAGTCTTGCTGCCGTGGAATTCAGCTTGTGCAACAGAGCGGAACTTCTTGCCGCAGTCTTCGCAGACGAGCGATTTTGCTTCTTCGCCGGGCTGCAGCTCGGGTGGCTCTTCGGCGGCAGAGGCCTGCTCGGCTTTGATCTCGTCGAGAGCGCGGTCTTGGTTCTTCTCGATCCAATCAAGGGCGCCCTGGAGGTTGCCGCTGGCCTTGAGGGCGAGTGCAGCGCGCTCGGGATCGAAGCCCATGGCGACGAGCTGTTCTTGATCTGACATAGTGGACGTGGCGATGTGGTGTGAGCGTGGTGTTTGGAGCTTTACAGCAGGTTATAGAGTGTTTTCAAGCCTAGCGGAGCTTGTCAAACACTTCTAGTGGCTTGGTGAAATACTCGAGTTGATTAATGTGAGATGGTGTACGATAGTCGGAGCTCCTGTGGAGTGGAAGCTCAAGTAGTGGGGGGCCAGGGTCAACCGCGGGCGAATCTGTGGAGCATCTCGCACCTTCCACGGTAGATCTACTGATGAAGCGCGTGGCTGGATCACCATAGCACACGTTCCAATGTGTGCTAACTTCCACTTGCACGCCCTGAGGCCCGTACTCTGAGCTGCTATAGCACCAAACAAGCTGGAATGCCGCAGTTCCGGAGTGCGATGATGACGAGTCCGTGGTCTTAGACAGGGACTAAACACTGTGACGTCGGGGTTGCTCTGCCGCGATTCCAGATTCATCATCGGCAAGCGAGACAACAACCCTCCCCTTCACACCCTCTCTGCTACACACACCACCAGCACCACCAGCACCACGCTTGAACACTCTCAACCCCGCAAAGCACCCTGATTTGTCCCCGCAGATCTTACACGTGCTCCTCTCCTACCACACGCCTTTGTCGCATGCGCCGTACAACGTAACCGCGGATCTCCTACAGCCACGATTACCAATCCCACCCGCCGCCTTCCCCTCGCACCGCCGCCATGTCTGTCGAGCTCGACCCCGTAGAGCTTGGTTTCAAGCGTGAGCATTGAACGCACATGTTCGCGGATACGAATACTGAGTGTGGCAGGTCCCTTCCAGCAAGAGGTGTCGCAGACCCTCCGTCTCAAGAACCCTCACTCCGACCCAGTCGCTTTCAAGGTGAGCAAGCTCCGACGCGCTGCCGCAACACACAGAAAGCAACCACGAATTCAGATGCTAACAGAGCGTAGGTTAAAACTACCGCTCCCAAGCAGTACGAATCATCCACCTATCGATCAATATCCGCCGACTAACAAAGGGCCTTCTAGATACTGCGTGCGACCAAACAGTGGACGCATTGAGCCTGGGCGAGATGTTGAAGTTCAGAGTACGACCACCATGCAATGTGCTAATTCGCGCAGCTCAAGTGCAATACACTGACACGTGCGCATAGTCCTCCTGCAGGCGATGAAGGAAGACCCAGCACCAGATGCCAAGTGCCGCGACAAGTTCCTCGTCCAGTCTGTCCTTGTTACCGCTGACAAGGAGTTTACTAACGTTGGATCTCTGGTATGCTCCCTTGATCGGCTCACGCAACCCACGCTAACAAAGTACTCAGTGGGCACACATCGAACAGACCGCGAAGTCGTCCATTCAAGAGAAGAAGATTAGAGTTCTCTTCCTTCCCGCCGATGCCGATTCCTCCACACCTGCAAGGACCAACGGTGTCAGCCGCGACTCGATGCTCTCATCGCCTCAGTCAGAAGCTGCCGTCACCCCCCTGCGTCGCCCCACAGAGCAAGCTCAGGGTCCTGTTTCCCATTTAGAAGACCGCCCGGCCGGCAGCAAGAACCTCGGAGAGATCGAGCGCGAGACCTACAACCCCGCTTCTTCCGGCTCTAGTGCTGCTGCTGGCATTCAGCAGACCGTAGCCGCAGCTGCAGCGAGCGTATCGAATGCTATTCCCACATCGCAGGCCGAGCTCCAGGCTCAGCTCGATGCGGCCAAGCAGCAGATTGCACGGTTGACACAGCAGGCTGATGCCGGTCTTCGCCAGCGAAAGCCCGAGTCCACACGCGACGCAAAGAACCAGCTTGCGACCGCCACCCAACAACAGACAGCCCCTGCAGGTGGCGTCTCCGTCCAGATCACAGCACTTCTGTGTCTGGTGAGCTTCCTCATCGCCTACTTCTTGTTCTAAGCGTTTCTGCAATACCCGGAGTGGAACACAAAAGCCATGCCCCTTGCGCCAATGATGACCCGGGATCTTTGACGAAGTATAGATTGTGGGGAATCAGATGACGTATGCACGAGCATAATGAGCGTTCAGGCGACGTAGACAAGCAATGCATGGATGGTTCGACGGTTTCTCTATTTCTTGTGTTTGATTTCTGCTACACTGGAGGACTTTGGGATTTAATTGAGTACGGTTAGGGGCGGCATGGGCAAAGCGTGTGTCGAGTGCTGTCGCACGAGGGGGTTCGATGTATCAACACCTACAGAATCGTGATTCGCTTAATTCTGCCATATCTACATGTGCCACATGCAAATATTAGTCAAAAGTGACTAATGCTCGCCGCAGCCATGGCCGGCCAAAGACCCTTGAAGCTTCAGAGGCAACGTGAAGATACAATTGGCAACCGACGGGAAGCAGGCCGAGTGTCTTCAGCAGCATTTGAGAGCATGTTCGTGAGCGTTGGTCAACTTTGATGTGCTCGCGTGGTGAGCATCCACCAATGGCAGCGCACATGAATGCTCAGATGCATCCGGAGTCACTCTCGCACCGCGAGCATTCCTCGGAAAGTCTCCCCCGCGCGCGTCATCGGCATTCCTCCCCTGGCTTGAGCGATAACGGGCTCCACTAGAATCGCTAGATGGCCTCTGCGGCTCTGGGACGCGTTCTGAACGTGGGCTAGTGGGGCATGCCCGTCTGCTCGCCGCTTGCCGTCGCCGGAGGCAAGTTCACTGTGAAGTGACTCAAACCTTAGATTGCTCGGCATTGAAAAACCATCGACGTCCTTTGACTGACGTCCTTTCTATCTCTCAACCTTCCCCCTCATACAGTCAATATGTGTGGTATTTTCGCGTGCTACAGGTATGTGGATGCCCTACAATGTCTATGATTGCCCCTCGAAAACTTTCTTGCTACTGTTGAACAAAGACTGATTTGCGCGCAGGCATCCCGATGTGCAAAAATTCAAGCCGACTGCCCTGAAATTGGGCAAGCAGTATGTGTTCTTCACTCACAATGTGGTGGTGAGCTCAACTGACTGACCTTGAATAGAATCCGACATCGGGGCCCGGATTGGAGTGAGCAACAGAAACATGAAATGCGCCGGCGAACACGATAGCTGACACTCTTCAGGTGGCAACCACATCGCCAACGACACAAGTAAGCGCGCTGAAAGTCTTGAGCCAGGAACTGGATGCTAATTGGTTGCAGTCCTCGTCCACGAGCGTCTCTCCATTGTCGGTGTTGGTATGCGGTCACACAACAACTTTTCAGTACTCGGGTAAATACTTACACTGAGCAGACTCTGGCGCCCAGCCGCTCGTCAACAAGGAGGGAACCGTCTCTCTGGCCGTCAACGGCGAGATCTACAACCACCGCATCCTCCGCAAGGGCCTCAAGCACCCCTACGAATTCAAGACACACTCGGATTGCGAGGTCATCATCCCTCTGTACCTCGAGCATGGCATCGATGCGCCCCGACACCTCGATGGCATGTTCTCGTGGGTTCTTCATGACAAGGAGAACGACCGACTCATCGCTGCCCGTGACCCCATCGGTGTCACCACATTCTACATGGGCAGGTCGAGCGAGACACCCAACGCCGTCTACTTCGCTTCTGAGCTGAAGTGCCTACACCCCGTCTGCGACGACATCCAGGCTTTCCCTCCTGGCCATGTCTACGACTCGAAAACCGACAAGCTCACCCGATACTACGACCCCAAGTGGCTCGTTGAGCCCTCCAACATCCCCACTAACCCTCTCGACTTGAAGGAGCTGAGGACAGCGTTGGAGCGATCAGTGCGCAAGCGCATGATGGCCGAGGTGCCCTTCGGTGTGCTTCTCTCTGGTGGTCTTGACTCGAGTTTGGTTGCATCGATCGCACAGCGTGAGACGCAGCGCTTGAACGAGGAGACAAGAAAGCGCGCCGCTGAACACAAGGCCAACGCCAACGGCACAACGCCAGACCCCAGCGAACTTGTTGGTATCGACGACAACGACCAGCTCCAGACAGATCTGATTCTGGGTCAACTCAACTCCTTCTCCATCGGTCTCCCCAACGCACCCGATGCAATTGCTGCACGAGAAGTTGCTGACTTCCTCGGCACAAAGCACCACACATTTACTTTCACCATCGAGGAAGGTCTCGATGCCCTTTCAGACGTCATCTTCCACCTTGAGACCTTCGATGTAACCACCATCCGCGCCTCAACGCCCATGTTCTTGCTCTCGCGCAAGATCAAGGCTATGGGTATCAAGATGGTCCTCTCTGGTGAGGGCTCAGACGAGATCTTTGGCGGCTACCTCTACTTCCACAACGCGCCCGACAAGGCCGCCTTCCACGAGGAGTGCGTCCGCCGCGTCAAGAACCTGCACTTGGCCGACTGCCTGCGCGCCAACAAGTCCACATCCGCCTGGGGCGTTGAGGCCCGTGTCCCCTTCCTGGACAGACAGTTCCTCAACACCGCCATGAACATCGACCCGGCCGAGAAGATGATCACAAAAGACCGCATCGAGAAGTACATCCTGCGCAAGGCGTTCGACACCTCCAACGAGCCCGACACACCCGCCTACCTCCCCCATAAGATTCTGTACCGCCAGAAGGAGCAGTTCTCCGACGGTGTGGGATACGGATGGATCGATGCGCTCAAGGACAATGCTGAGCTGCACGTTACTGATGAGCAGATGAAGAACCCCAAGCCTGAGTGGGGCAACGACATTCCTGACACAAAGGAGGCGTACTGGTACCGCTGCATGTTCGACGAGCACTTCCCTCCCAGCTGTGCGAGCACCGTCATGCGCTGGACACCGACATGGAGCAAGCAGACAGATCCCTCTGGACGGTAAGCCCGATCTTCAGCATTCCATCTCGCGATCCTTTGCTAATTCGTCACAGTGCCATTGGTGTCCACGAGCAGAAGTACAAGAACGCCGAGTGAGCGTGTACGAGCCACGAGGCATATACCTAGCCCCCGCTTCCTTCGACTTCGTTTCGGGTTTCTTGGTTCCGGAGGTCTTTGGCGCTCATAGATCGCTTAGACACGTTTCTCGTGTAGAAGGCGAAGGTGGTATGGTTCCATATAGAATGAAGTGCTACGATTAGACAACGACAGATATGCACATTAGACGTTGTTGCCTACTCGCCATATTTTCCGAAATACCCTGACGCCTGTTGATGCTGTTTTGCTAGCTCAATCGTATTCATCATATCCTCCTTCATACCTCCCCATCTCCCTCTGCGTACTACACCATTCCTCGCTCGCAAGCCCCCTCTCCTTCCTCCTGACCAGCGCCTCCGCGTCCTTACACCAGTCGCACGCAAAATCGCACAGCGGAACCCCCTCATCGCCAAAGTACTTCGCGATGATCTTGTGACGGCACCTATTGGTCGCCTCACAGTAGTCCACAAGCGCTTGCAAGCTCTTCGCCCTATTCAGCACTTGCTGCTGTTGCGCCGCCCTCCCATCGCCCTTCATCAGCTGCCGCGCCTGGTCCCTTGCCATGAGCGTCGCTGCGCGATCGCGGTCTTCACGCCCGTAGTACAGGATGCACACGCTGGCTTTCCCGTCCCGGCCTGCGCGCCCGGCTTCCTGGTAGAAGCCCTCGAAGGATTTGGGGATCTGCCAGTGCACGACAAAGCGGACGTTTTCTTTGTCGATACCCATGCCGAACGCTGTGGTAGCGACGACGACATCGTAGCCTTCTTTGTTAGCGACCCAGCCGGAGAGAGTATTGGTGCGCTCGGTGTGGGGGAGACCAGCGTGGTAGGGTTTTGCGCCAATGCCGTCGCTGCGGAGGCGGGCGGCGAGGGACTCGCAGTCTTTGCGGAAGAGTGTGTATATGATGCCAGATACGTTGTCGGTGCGCTGTTGCTGGGAGGCTAGTTGAGTGGCTCGCTCTGAGTTGGCGCGGCGAGCGTGGATGTTCTTGAGCCAGGAGAGGAAGTTGGAGTAGTGGTCGTCCTCGTCACACTTGAAGCGGACTTCGTAGTGCAGGTTTGGGCGGCTTGTCGTCATGCGGAAGACGCGCAGTTTGAGAGGGTCAAGGGCCATGGTTTTGATGATATCGTCGCGCACGCGAGAGGTTGCTGTAGCTGTGAGACATATGATTGGGACGTCGGGGAATTCTGTCTTGAAGAAGGAGAGCTGTTGGAAAGAAGGTCGGAAGTCGTGGCCCCATTCGCTGACACAATGAGCTTCGTCAACTGCTATACGTGCGAGCTCTTTTTGCGAATGAATGACGCGGAGAATCTTGCGGAAGTGGTCTGTTGCGCAGTACTCCGGAGTTACATAGAGAAGTCTAGTCAAAGGATGACCACATTGGAGGTCTGCCAGTATGCGTTCACGGTCGTGTCGTTGAGTTGTGCTGTTGATCGTCTCGACTTTGATGTTTGAGCTGCGCATAGATGCGACTTGATTGTTCTGATCAATGTTAATTTCAGGTCACATCATCAAGTGTGACAACGTACCATGAGCGCCAGTAGCGGAGAAACGACAATGGTAACTAGACTGTCAGCAGTTGGCCAGCCCATGTTAATGATATTACATACTGCCGAGATCAACAATAGCCGGTAGTTGATAGCACAGACTCTTGCCGAATGATGTGGCTGCCTGCAAGAAGACATCTTCACCCTCTAGAGTGGCCGTAATGACTTCGCGTTGTAGAGGCCTTGGTAAGATCAGAATGAGTGCTTAAGAGTGTACAGCTCTCGCATACCGGAAACATGGCTTTTTGAATACTCTCTTCAATGTGAAGTCGACGTTCGTGTATGGTCTCTTCCTCTTTCCAGGCATCTTCAGATATCGGCTCGATGCGCTCGGCTTTTTGACCGATCCAACAACTTTTGATGCTATCGCTCAACGAGAGTGGTTGGGAACAATCGTTCAGATGTCCGTACAATCATCGTTGTTTACAGGACTTCTTTGAGGCGGAAGTTGCTGTGTGGTGCAAGAGCAATAGACGCGTCGCGGCGATAAGCGCGAATCCTCAGCGCGCTGTCACCTGGTTTACCCCAACCAATCAAATTTTCCGCACCGAGTTCTTCGCCAACTCTCCACTACGACGCACAAAGAGACGAGCTAAGTACGAAGTGTACATAATCAGATTTGCGTTTCGTCATCAAGGGTTGATTAGAACACCATTGTGTGTCTCTAGGTGGCACAGAAACGCGGCCTCCCGCTGGACGAGTTCACCACACGATTCGCCCAGCAAGCTCTGACCGGCGTGAGCTTGGTTCAGTCCAATAGTGAGAAGCGATGACGACTACAGCTCATGCAGGTATTATTCCTGTGGGCATTGTCCTGCAAGTAATTACTGCCTGCCCACCAAAGGACCGCGAAGTTTTAGCAGCAAAAGTAGCGAAGCTCGAGAAGAAGATATTCCCGTCGAGCGAGGCTTTCGACTACAGTATAGAACTAAAGAAAAAGAATATTGGGCTCGTTCTGGCCGCAAGAGAAGGAAGCCAGGAGCTTGTCGGTTATCTCGTCTTTCAAAGGCTAAAGAGCCAGGCCTGGCTACACAAGCTGGCCACCATCGAACAAGAGAGGGGCAAAGGTATCGCCAGATGTCTCATACATTCCCTTTGCCAGCAAATGAAGAAGGGAGGCTGTCGAACAATTGTTCTGTGGGTTGATGAGGCTCGCAACCCGGCCAGGGCCCTGTACGCGTCTTGTGGGTTCCAGCAAATTGAGCGGCTTCCAGATTACTACGGTCCTGGGCGAACAGCACTCAAAATGGAGGTGGACATCGTAGAATGAGCGTGGGAACCATGATTTTGTGCAGTCCATGGCTGGTCTCAAGTATGATGAGGTGGCAGGATGGTCATCCCTTGCAGTCGCACCCCTCTGCTCTTTCGCCATCTTCACATTCCTCTGCCATCTCTCCGGCAGCAAATAAGGCATATAGCACGCCTACGCGACCACGCGTTCAAGCGTAACGACGAATTCCGGGATTCGAAAGAGATGGCTGTCGGTGACGAAAGGCTTCCAGCTTGTCCGCTCCCAAGATCTACACTCACCTCTGCAACGACCGACACTTGTGGCCTGTTGCTATGGCAGCATCACTCCTGTAAGAACTTCGTGACTTGGAACTGGACCAACTGACAGTAGTTCTAGTGCTATGACGATGCGCATCGCAGTCTTCGCTGCCTTGCTCGCTATCGCTGGGCAGCACCACAAATCAACTATCCACTAAACTCGCAATTCCCGCCCATCGCACGTGTTGGCGAACTGTACCTTTTCCAGCTCGCATCAACGACCTTCAAATCGGATTTGGGTAGCCTGTCGTATTCTTTGAGTGAAAATCCTTCCTGACTTTCGATCGATGGAAAGACTGGGTCACTTTCTGGAACACCAGGAGCGCGCGATGTCGGCACTGCGTCTTTCATAGTTACTGCAGCTGGATCGGCTGGAGCTGTCGCAAACATGAAATCGACCCTAATCATGTCCAAAGACAACAGTCCTAGAGTGAACGCGAACATCTCACAAGCGCTGTCAGCAGCAGGCCCATTGTCGGGTCCGAACACCGTTGCGATCAAGGCCTCTCAAGATTTCGAGGTATCGTTCCCTTCGGATGTTTTCGACTCAGACAGCAAGCTGTCATACTTTGCGACTCTCTCTGACCATACCTCACTGCCTGCGTGGATCAGCTTTGACCCATCCTTGTTGCATTTCACTGGAACCACTCCACCGACAAGTATACTGCAGTATTTTGGTATACTCCTGATCGCTTCCGATACGCCAGAGTATGCTGCCTCTACGGGTGCAGTTCTTGCTTCCTACAAGCGTCCATGAGCTCTACTTTCAGCCGGCCATTCAGACCTTGAACGTCACAAATGGTGACAAGTGTACATCACGAACCTCAAGAGCAAACTCTACCTAGATCAATCGCCAATCAGTGATAGAGACATACAGTCACCGTCCGCTGACCTACCAGATTGGCTGGCCTTCGGCGGCAACTCTTTCGACGTTCCCGGAACGGCGCCTAGTGAACTCTCGTCACAAGACCTCACCATATCGACCAAAGACATATACGGTGACTTAGCCCAACATACTGTCCACTTGAACGTTGTTTCGGAGTCATTCTCTGGTACAGTTGGTACGCTTAACATTACAATGGGGGAACTCTTCAAAGTCCAGCTACCGCAACCAATACTCGCTAAGGACGACGAAGTTGTGACAGTCGACTTCACGACGCTGGTGGTTCATATGCACTTCAATCCGACAACGTTTACGATTTTTGGTACTGTTTCCGAGGACATGTCGCCGCAGGTCGTACAATGCTCCATGGCGGCTACCTCAAAATATGGAAGCCTCAAGGAGTCTCACGGAGTTGAATGGGGGGAGGGAGCGCAATCCGCTTAGTGTGGCGGGCGCGAGTGTTGATGTCGAGAGGGCTGAGACGACAATGAAGGGGAGGAGGACTTGGGGTGAGGGGCTGAAGAGTATGATAAGTCGCGGCAGTGTGTGGGGATGGGATAAGGAGAGGGATGACGTGCAGCTGTTTGTGTGAGTAGGGTTGTTGTGAGTGATGGCTGGTGTGGTGTTGGTGTTGGTCTCATGTGGTTTTCTGGGAAACTCGAAAGACGTTTCGTTAGATAGTTTGTTCTAGTCTTGTCTAAATGCAGAAGCGCCTAGGCCTGTACATGCACCATACATCGCCTGTGAACTCCGCCATATCTCCTACTAAAGAGGTATATCCTAAACGCCATCGATGCACATGTCTATCTCAGCTTTCTACAACTGAATATCGTTGTTCAGCAGCCTAACTTCCTCACCCGGCTTGAACGCCGGCAGTCCAATATACGGACACCCATCACACCTAAATGCATCCCCCAGCGCGCAGTTGCCGCAACTGCCGACTTTACCCTGCACTGTGAAGTCCACCTCGTCGAGAAGGTCGTCGGCGCCGAACTTCATCGTGTTGAGTGCTTTGTCGGCGTCTGCGCGCTTCGCAGCGTCTTCGGCTTCGAGTTTCTCTTTCATGCCGCAAGTGCAGTCTTTGCAGGCGCGGCGGCGCTTGCCGGGCTTGGGGCGGCATTCGAGTGCTGAGAATAGGTCAGTAAATATGTAACGCTGTGAGGGAATAAGGGGGCACGAACGCTGGATGACAGGGCGGGCCATGTCTTCTTCTGTGATGAGATCGTCTTCGTCGATCAGGTCGTCGTCTTTGCCGGTGATTATAGGATCGTCGAGGTCGTCGCTGAAGTCGACGAAGCCCACACCTGAGGGCTTCGCGGAGACGGGCTCAGGTGAGGGCCGCTTGCCGTTCAGGTTGATGCGGTTCAGGTTCAGCGGGACGGATCCGTCTGCGTTGACCTCCTGGACGGCGCCGTTGGTGTTGTGTGTGCCGTTGACGCCATTTGTGCCATTCACACCGTTCGCTGCCTTCTTCCTGCCAAACTTCAAGGCTATCGATACAGGCTCCTCCTGTGCGGGCTTTGTCATGCCCTCTGCGCCCTCTACTAGGCCTGCGAGGATGGCCTCTGTCTTCTCTGAGCCTTGCAGTGCGCCGTCCTGGCTCTTGAAGACACCGGCTACTTTCAGGGCGCCGACAATCTTGTGCATGACATCGCGTACGAGGAGTGCATGGCTTTCGCGCGAGGTGCCAGCGGCGTCGGTGAGGAGGAGCACGACATCGTATGTGGAGGACGGGAGGTTTACCAGACCTGCCGCAATGCGGTCCAGCATCTGCAAGTCGGTCGAGGAGCGGTCATAGATCTCGTATATGCTGTCCAGTCTCTCGGGGTGCGCCGCAACTGAGGGCGGCGCGATAATGAGTGTTCGTGAAGTCATGGCGGGGTAGCGGGGTGGGCGAAAATAGTCTGAAGCGGTGTCCAGGTGTCGTGAGGAACGTCAATCGCAAGTCGAAGGGAGCAGCGGAGAGAAAAACAAAAGGATATCCTGGACGCTGAGCAATCAACTTCGCGTTATTTCGCGATTAACACTTCCGGCGCTCGGAGAAAGCACTTCAGTGGCGCGTCGCAGTCATCGGTTACGCGATTGGCTGATAGCGGGCTGGTGGACAGTCATCAAGCGTGATCATCAGGCGACAGGGCGACGGGCTCGGCTCACCTGGGCAGAGTCGGCAGCATTCCGCTAGATCCACTCTGCAGCAGTAGTAAAACCTGGGGTAATGCCGCAGAAGCACCATCCGGAGACACAAGAGCGTTCTCCTCTTGCTTAGCCCACGCGAGGGGTTCAAGGCTGGACTTTGTTTGTGACCTTCTAAGCTGTGATGTAGTTCTTACGAGACATTGAGATAGGAGTTTGATGTTAGGTTGATACACTGACTGCCTCCCTGAGTCCCTGCTCATTCAGATACTGCGTGACGTAGAACCCTGTAGTCTGCCACCCCAGACTCAGGAACCGACTGTGTATATGCAGTGCAGACAACTGCACAACCGGCCGGAATGCTGGTCACTTGTTGCCAAGGGCTGGTGCAGAGTTTCGAAGCGCTTCCACGGCTGTTCACAGGGTCCGACTGCTAACGGTGATCTAAAGGGAAGTCACGCCTGACCCCGCTCGCCCAAGCTCGCGTGCTCTTGCGTCTTCCTTTGATCTCACCTTGCACCAAGCTGTCCAGCACACAATATCAAGCAATTGCATTGATCGTTACTCTCAATCATCATCAAGCCCCCTTTGACTGTTGCTTTGTGAGGTACGTGCTCCCCCGCGGTGCTGAACGTAATGGCTCCACGCAGCTACGCCATAGGCATCACGAGACCGTTCTTACGTGACCATACAGACCCACTGATAGCTTTAAGCTCCGAGCTCTCCGTGCCTGACTACTTCAACCTCACGTTGCCCACCTTTGACTCTTACTTCACACAACTCGTACCCATTCATCTCAATACCTACCAAACAGTAAGTTGCTACCTTCCTACTCACTACACTACCACATCCAGGTACATTGTGCTCTTATTAGAACACCAAGCTGCTCAATGCCTAAGCGAACAAAGAGTGTCTTGGTCTTCATACTAACACTCGACAGTGACTCGCTCTCACAAGTGGACTGACCGTGACCACGCCGGCATTGCCGATGGCAGTGCTGAGCGTGAGTCGAGGCTGCCTCGTTATTTCGCCAAGTCAGGTCACGCCGACACTGATCCTACCAAAACCAAGAAAGACGGCAGTGGAAAGGGCAATTGGTATGTCTAGTCATCTCCGGTCAATTGATCGCCTTCACATTCACCCCTTACTTGATATCACATCATGCGATACACCGCATCACCCGTTCGAACACACAACTCTAACACCATAGTAGGGGCCGAGACGGCGATGAAGTCGAAGACATGCCCTGCAACATGAACAACGCACGCCGCCGCAGTAACTCCTCAACCCACCAACTCAAAGACTTCAAGACCAAGTTCGAGACCATTGAGACCGAGCCGGTGTTCGAAGAAGAGTTCCACGGCGCCATTGGCGAGGAGCTCGAGAAGCAGAGCACCACCTCCAGCTCCAACAAGAGCATCGACGAGGAGGACGGTGACAGGAAGTTGTGATATACGGGTTGACCTAGGCTTCACGGCTCAATCCCGCAGGGAAGCCTACGGATGCTCTATGGTATGAGACACGGACGCGTGGCTGCAGGCTGGCTGGCAGGCTGGCCTGTGGGAAGTCACTGCTGATTATGATTCTATCGCTTCTAGGCATATGGTGTGTACAATGTTTGACGCGATTATGGCAATTTGTAACAAGTACGAGAGACGAAACATGAATGTAAAACCAATCAATCAACTAAATGTGTATCATCGACCTTCTTGTCACCTCCACACTATGAAGCAACCTTAGGGTCTACACAAGACCGCTGGTAGCTTCATCAAGATTGGTGAGGACTTTCTCTCTAATATTGGGCGCTTGAAGACTACGGTGTCGTTCAGTCTAAGATGTTCCAGTTCACTGCATGGGTTTCCATACTTAACATGGGCCTGGCGCCCAAAGCAAACGGCCTTCTTCGCACAAAGATGTCAACGCATCCCACCACTCGCAACACCATCTCCATCATATCATCAATCAGAACCCAACATCCCTTCTCGCCCTCGCACGGATCGTAAGATCGCAGGCTCAAAGCGGACCATCTGGTACATAGAACTTGGCCTCCAATAATCTACTAATGATTCAGACTTCCAACCAACGCCAACGCTATGCCACACAAAAACTCCAGTTCCAAGGGAGAAGCGGCCTACTTCCTCGCCCTCTTCTCACTCGGCTGGCTCCCATCACTAAGCTCACTGGCACTCCGCTTATGTCCCGCGCCCTGACTTGTAGCCCGGCTCGTTTGTGCAGCGCTCTCATCCTCGCCTTCTGCGTCGACGTCGTCTGCGTCTGCGTCCGCATCCGCATCCACATCCTGTGGACGGGATTCAGCGCGGTCTTCATCACCACCGTCGGCTTCGGCGTCGTCGCGGTCGGCGTTGGCGGGTGTGTTCTGCGCGCCCGTGTCGTCCTCGCCCTCCGCATCATCGTCCTCCCCTGCCCCATCTTCATTGCTGTCCCCCATTGGCGTATCCTGCCCCTCCCCTTGCTTCTTCCCATTGTTCTCTCCCGACGCATCGCCTTCCTGCTTGACACCCGCCGTCCCATCCCGCGCCGCTTTCATCCGCGACAGCACCCGGCACTCGCCCATCTCCTTCTCCTTGACCTTGCGCACATCCAGCAGCCTTCCCACCTTCGCGACCAACTGCTCAAACACGTCCGCCACCTTGGAGGTAGGAATCGGTATGATCTCCGGCACACCCAATTCCTGCAGCGCCGAAGCGATTTTCTGTGTCTGCACGTTGGACTTGGCTTGTCGCATTTTGAGCAGCTTGTCAGACCCGAATGTGATGCCGCTGGTGAGGCGGTCGTGCGTGCTGACAGCGAAGCGGTGTTCTTGGTGCGGGCTGAGGGTTTTAACAGGTGTTTGGCTCGGTGCGGAGGGAGGGAGGGCCATGGAGGTGCGACGATTGGCGGAGGTGGAATTTGAGGGCGTGTTGATCATGTCGTTCGCGCTGAGGCTGAGACGGCCGGGAGCATTGGAGCCGCCGGAGGAGCGCTTCTTGCTGCGATCTTGCTGGAAGAGTTGCTGGAAGAGCGCTTGCAGCGCTGTGCTGGATGTGAAGGATTGTAAGCCCGCGGCGGTGGAGGTGTTGGCTTGCGGTGCGTCAAGGCGGGAGCGGAGTTCTTCGCGTTCGGCGTCGAGGCGCACAGCGGCCATGTTGATGCGTTGGAGTTCTGTGAGGAGGAATTCTTCCTCTTTGACTTCGTCCATGTTGCGGTTCATGAGTGCTGTGGCGAGCATCTTGCGGTTGCGTTCCATGACGGGGTCGAACTTGGACAGTGTCTCGTACAGGCTGTATTGGTCGGCGTCCATCTGGACTTCGGGGATGCGAAGCTTCATGAGCTTAGCGGAGATGTCGTAGAAGCGCGCTTTCATTTCTTCGAGAGAACGCTCCTTGTCTCGTGGAGTCGCGAATGGCAGTGCTGCCAGCGCATTCGAATCGGTGTCGCCATTCCCCTGCTGCGCGGCTTCTGCGAGCGCCCTTTCCCGTCTCTTGAGCGCCTGCCACTCGTAGCGATCCCATATCACAGCCCACCGGTATGAATAGTCCTTCACAATCCCAAATAGGTAGACTGTCTCCTCTCGACTCCAGTCATTGTTCCGTAAATGTGCATCGTATTCCTCGTCTGTAAAGTCGGGCATATCAACCGTAATGTTGTATTTGACGTAATCGGCGCATGATTCGAGGTAATCTGTAGGTTCGCTGTCCTGCATCGCAGCATCCTCGCCTTCTTGTACCGGTGGTGCTGTTGTAGGTTTGCGCCGCCAGTGCTTCAAAACAAGGCCGTCGGGCCGCGCTGGGTTTGTGAACGGTTGCTGGATCCTATGGTGTATGTTTAGGGCTGTGTCTGTAGACTGGGATCGGGTGTGGGTACCATTTCTTTGCAGGCCCGGTGCTCTGCCTCTTTGCACGGTATGTCTTCTTCTCTTCGTAGACTGCAACTGGTGGTGGTCGCTCACCATACAGCGCCGCAACTTCACGCGCAACACCCTCTACCAACACTTGTTAGCTGCGACCCTATAGACTCCATTACCATCGCGCATTTCCTCAGAACGTACGTATCCTTTTTGTTCCTCCGCCCTTCTTCGACTTCTTGTTCGCCGTCGGGGGTGCTACTTCGCCGACAGGCAGCCCGAGCATATCGCGCACATCGCGATTTGACGCCATAGCGACTGTGTTTCGATTCGATCTGGCGGAGTAGAAGTGTTGGAAAGGAGCGTGGTCGATGGTTTTGCAGGGGTGTTGTGCGCGTGTACAAATGTTGGAATCGCGAAGTTGCGGGATGCGGCGGTGCCAAGCTCATGTCACTTTCACAGGTCTCATGCAGCCACACCGGCTCTTACGTTGCAGGACGAGCCGGCTACAACGTCTTCGCGACAACACCAAATCAGGCCTCTGGAGGTCTTCAAGTCGAACAAACACTTCGTATATAAGTCACAGGAACCATGGTAGTCCCGTAAGGTTTCATCAGGTGAGAGAGAGCACGCGAATCAGCGGTGACTGAACCCCAGTTTTCGAACGAATCTGGGTGTAGCCACTCTCTCGTTGCTATGAGCCCTATAGAAGCACAATGTCAATGGTGTGCACTCAAGTTTTGAAGATTTCGTCTCTATTTGCCCGCTGTCATCTAACTAAAACAACCAAAACCCATCGCTCACTTCCACAATACAGACAGGTCCCAGCGAAAGAGACTCCTTTACATGCTATGTTTTTCTCCTACCAAACAAACATGAAATGATAATGATGATGAATGAGATGCCAACTTCGTACCGCCAAAGACGCAACGCCGCGTACGCCAGTATAAATGGCTTCCGGAGAACAAGCTGCTGTGCAGGTGCAGCCCGTGCACTCGAAAGCCGGGTGTGAAGAAGATGATGATGAAAAGAAGAGATCCAGGCTGGCGTCGAGGTGGTTCGGTCGTCGTGAGAGTATTACCTAAGATACCGGAAGGAGATTTCGATCCCGTCTATCAATCATTACAAAATACCTATACAGGAAAAGACGTGGCTGATAAAAGTTCGCTCAATGAACGAACTCCAGGATGCAACGCAATACGCAGAAAATCAGATGGGGCAGCTCCACTAGTTGCTGCTTCCGCCGCAGCAGAGTATCTTGGAAAGCTTCTGCATGAAACCTTCCTTCTCAGGCTCCTGCCGCCTCGGCTGCTGGGCGTTCGGGCTCTGTGCAGGTGTCGCGCGGTTCTGTGTCTGGTTCAGGTTCGGTTGGCTGTGCTGGAACTGAGCCTGGTTCGAGGCTGCATCGGGAGGTGCCAGCTCGCCCATGCTCTTCCTCTTGACCTCCGCTCCGCGTACTTGGTCCCTTGGGCTTCTTCCGGGCTGGGCTCGTGTCGCTCCGGGCTTTGGGAGAGGCTCGTTTAAACGGTGGTGGTCGACGGGCAGGTGCGTCTTCGGCTGCCTGTGGGGCTGACCGTGCACGTTGACAGCGGTAGAGGAGTTCTGGTGAACGTTGGAATGGTGCATCTGTTGAACGGCCGAGGGGTGGGACTTCATTACCTCCCAGCCCTTTCCATTGTTCAGCTTCATCCAGTCGTACTCGCCGTCTTCAACCTCTCCAGTGCTCTTGAGCGCCTGGGTAAAGAGCTCGCGCAGGTAGTCGTAGTCGGGTGTGTCCTCAAAGCCGAGGTTACGGACATAGCTCAAGTACTTGTTGAACTCCTCTGTGATTTGTTAGCAGTGTTCAACGGATGCAATTTCACACAACGTACCAGGGAAGCTGTCGCAGAGATCCTTGATAGGAGTTGTCTGCTTCTTCTCGCCGATCTTCTCGTACTTCTGCTTGTTGGTTGCAGCCTTGAGGCCTTGCCATGGGAGACCGCCTCGAAGGAAGTACATGAAAACATGGCCCAGGGCTTCCAGATCATCCCTACGGGACTGTTCGCGTCCAAGATGGGTGTTGATACTCATGTAACGCGCCGTACCAGAGAGAGACTTGCGCTCCCTGTACGGAATGTGCTGCTTCGTCTTGGGGTCACGGTATTGCTTAGCCATACCGAAGTCCACAACGTGAATTACATTAGCACTCTTAGAGCCTGGTCGGCCAATGAGGAAGTTGTCAGGCTTGATGTCGCGGTAGATGAGGTTCTTCTCGTGAATGGTCTGAACCCTCGACAACTGCACGTAGGTTAGAATCTGAATTTCGTGGTAGCACGGGACATACGCACCATCTGCTTGGCAACCATGACTACCGTCTTGATCGAGAACTTCCTGTTGCAGTGGTCGAACAGGTCCTCCAAACTGGGACCTAGCAGGTCGATGACCAGGATGTTGTGCAGGCCCTCCTGACCGAAGTAGTAGACATTAGGGATCCCGGCTGCGATGTGTCAGTTGAGTCCGTGCGTGTGGTTGAAAGCAAGTTGGTTGGTAGGCAACCAGGTTGAGATCGATGGCAACGATGCCGACTAAGCAGACGGCAGCAACATCGAGAGTGTTGCGTACGAGAAGTGCTCAACGTTCGTCACGACGTGTACGTGTGAATGCATGCCAAGGCAGCGTCCAACATACAGACCGTGCCTTCCCTCACTCGAACGGGCGACGTGAGGTGGAATAGGGGCAGCGAGAGAACTTACGGCAGCCCACGAGGATCTTGTACGTGCGGTACTCATCGCGCAGTTGGGGAGCATCGCTCTTGCGTGGCTCGAACTTGATGGCAACCTGCTGCTGGTTGAGCAGGTTGGTGCCCTCGAAGATGACGCCAAAGGAGCCCTCGCCAATCTTCTTGCCGACGCGGTAGTGGACACCGACGACGTTGGAAGAGGTGCTGCCGCTCGCCATGGTGGATGGGAAGGTCGGGTGTGGGTGCAGCAGCTGGAGCGGCGGGTGGTGGACGCAGGAGAGTCGCGGTGCGGTGAGCGATGAAGGTTGAAGGGCGTCTCCGGAGCTCGGCTGGGGCTATGCAGGCCGGCGAGTCGTCTCCAAGGTCGGCTCAAGGGCGTCTGGGGCTGTCCACGGGCGGGCGACGGGGCTGCTGCAGCGGGCAGCTGGGCAAACAATGCAGAGTATCGCTGCGCTGGGAAAACAATGGGCGGTGGTGAGGACAGGAGAGTGATCGACTCGCGATGGAAAAGACCTGGGACCTGGGGTGCGAGCAGAACACAGGCGGCTGGACAGGACAGGCGCTAGGCCCGCTTCCAGCAAGGTCAGTGCACTTGGGACAGCCTGCGCGCTCCGCTAGCATTCACTGAGGCAGCATGCCATTAAACCGTGCGCCTCTTGACATACACTCCGTGTTGACAGACCCAACTGCTAGCTCATAGAGAGCGCCGCCTGTTCTTGCGGGCAGTGGATGCATCTCACGGCGGCTGGTGTTGTTGTTGTTTTTTTTTGTTGTTGCTGGAGACCCGTCGTACCTGCGTTCTCTGGCCATTCCCTCGGCCACGAGCTCATTTAGGAAGGAACATCCTACGAATCGCGGTGCATCGAGCGCTGCACAGCTCGTACACGTGAGGTGTCGACGTCGCCGCAGTATTGATGTGGACAGTCCGCCTCATCGCTGCCACCGCCTCCCCCTTTGCATGAAGTCGCCGCGCTGCACACGCTCGCCTTGCCGTGGTGCGACGCTCTCCTCCTTTGTGTGATGCAATTCCGCTGCCATGCCGGAACCTGGGCAAGTGGGCAGCCTACAGCAAAAAAACGGTCAGCGGCCTTGATTGGAGCGGCTTGCTCAAGCCACACCCTGCCCTGAACGGGGGATGGCCCACTTGAGAAATGAACTGGTTCGCATCGACTAAGGGTCTGGAAGCGTTGTGCAGTCTGTGCGGGCGTGCCGATGCCTTTTGTGTATCTTCACATCTCTATGAATCGAGATGTGGATTGGCAGCTCCAGCAAATTGTCTGAAGTCATACGAAATTGCTACTTTGTATTTGGAGAGTACCAATTCTTCAACTTATGACGTATCAATTGTTGTTGGTTTTGCAATTGCGGTTTGATGCTCTGCTAGGCTGGCAACTTAGCGTTTGAAGGGGACGTGCTCCTGCGTACACATTTGTGTACATCAATTGAGTTGTGAATGGTATTCGCGCAGTCTCGTCATGCGCAACGCGACCCTATCACTATTACTACAGTGCCAGGAATTAAGAACAAACGGAAAGCGCCGTTGCAAGCTGCTGTGCTCTTTTTTGAAACGCCGTGCCCAATGCTTTCCCATGCAGTTCGCCCAATTGAAACATGAATTCCCTCCTGCACAACCTCAGTGGTCGCCCGTTTGCTATGATTCCTGCATCTCTACATCCTGATCCTGGTCAACACCGTTGACAGCGTCAACCTCGGCGGCTGAAGCTTCAGCCTCAGGAACCACCTCCTCCTCGCCAGACTCTGCGTGGGCAGGAGAACCCTGTCGCGATCCCCTCTTCTCCGCCATGTAGGCGTTCTTGCCTGCTCTGCAAGCTGCCTTGAACCACTGGTCGAGTCGATTCTTCTCGAGGTTCTCTTGTAAGATCTCGTCATCGAGTAGGTTGTCCTTGATGATCGGCTCGCGGAGATCTTCCAGTGGGAAGCGCACGCAGAGCTCTCCATGAGTACCTCCTGCACCGATCAAGGCCGCCAGCTGCTTAGGCCATACAACGCGGTTGTGCTCGTCAATATCTAAGAGTACGTTAGCCATGCCTCTCTTCGTGCGATGAGCGCAAACTTACCGATCAGCCTCATAAGCCCCCTGAAAGTCCAGCCCACGTTGGTAGAGATCAAGAACTCCTCGAGTGTCGCGTCTGAGATGTCCTTGGTGTTGTTGATCTCAGCCCAGTTGTCTTTATTGCACAATCGCTTCCATATGAGCTTCAGAAGCCCATCTCGCGTTGTTCGGTGGATGCTATGCCAGTTGGCGGCAAGGACCCTGAGTGCAAATGTAAATTCGTTAGATTGTATCACCGACGTAGGTTCTTTCTCGCCTCGATCGTTCATCAGGGTGAGGATGTCGATCATCAGCGCAGGATCGATGACCTTGTGGTGGATGAGGTTCTCGAATCCTTCCCGGAGAAGGGACATGTGCGCTGGTCGTGCTTCGATAGTACCTTTGCCATACTCTTCCATGAGAAGATTTACGGCAAACTCATCATCCAGTGCTTTGTGGAAAGTAGATAACAGGTGCTCGTAGAGTAGCTCCTGGACAGTGGCGTACTCCCACTGATCCAGCACGATCTTGTAGTTCTTCTCGCGGATCTTCTCTGCTTTGGACAGCTCGTGAGAGTGACCGTTGCTCGATTGCGCTTGGTCAGGTTTTTCTTCTTTCTGACAGAGCATTGCAAGCTTGCACATAGACAACTCGACTTTGTTGCACCACACATTGGTCTCCTGTTTGCTCGCGGTCTCGAAGAGGGCTTCGGCAGCTGCTTCGTAATCTTTCTCGCCGGACACTTCGTTGATCCATCTGAGCCTCGCACGAGACGGGTCGGCGCGCAAGAACTTGCTCAGTGCCGGTTGGTTCAGGTGCTCCGGCTCAAACATTTGTGCCGCTTTACCTTCCTTAATGTGCTTCAAGTAGAATGCTTCGGCCCAATCATCTCCGTAGGTCTCGAAATACCGGCTGATGCGCTCCTTGATCTTCTTGAGCTTGACGGTACTCTCTGCTATCTCCATCTTGCTTCGAGTTACCGCCTTCTCTTTTTCAAGCCAATTGGATTCGTCCCACACCAAATCCACGAGGGTCGGCATATCTTTGTATTGTTCGGCTAAGTTCATGCCTTCGTTCGCCAGCCCAAGCTCCATAAGGCCACAGATGTGCTCCGGTCGAACCTTGTTATTCCACTCATCTTGGAGGACACGTCCACCGTCTCGTGACTTCTCATCAGCCTGCTCGAGACACCATTGGAAGCGTTCAATATGAGTCTGGCAGCCGATCCGAACCATGCGAGGGTTGTCTTTGGCGATCTTCTGAGACAATGTCTCTTGGAGGCCCTCCTCGTAGTTCTCGACAGCCAAATTCCGACCAACATCCACGAGGCTGCGAACCGAGCTGACAATGTTGTGCGAAGACGTCCAGAATTGCGGGAGCTCGTCGTAGCCCTGGCCCGGCTTGAGGATGCCATCGTCAAGGGAGTCGGAATCAAGACCGTACAACTCAATGTTCGCTTGTCGAAATTTGAATCCTGTCTCCAAAGCCACGAGCATGACATCGGAGCCTTCGCTAAGCCGCTGCATGATGGATGGCTGTTCCTTTCCGCCTTCTTTCATATAGAAAGTACGTAAGAAATTCCAACCCCACGGAATGAGTACACCAATTGACTCGATGTCCCTAAGGAAGTATTGTCGAACTGGGTCTGTCTCGCCAAGATCAGGGTTGATGGGTGTCTTGTATCGCTCATGCATCGCTTTAATGATGTCGCTCATGAGGACCTTCTCTGGGTATGCGTCTGGGTGCGCTTGCTGGTCCTGCAGCTTCGCTTCGTACCAGTTCCACAACTTGTGTGCAGCGGCAAGCTTCTCAGCGTGCCACAACAAACGCCACTTGGTCAAGAAAGGCAGCGTAGGGTAGTCGGATCGCAGGTTCGATATCAGGGTCCGCAGAGCAGAAGCGCGGGTCTTGAACTGTTCGTCCATGGACGATGTAACCTTGTCAAGGTAGTCGTAAGAGGAACTGATGATGCCCAAGCTGACATCGAGCGCTGCTTGTGCGGTCTCTTCTTCGGAGAATGAGAATCGCGATCTGACAGAAAAGTCAAGGACATTGCCCGGCTTTGAGCTGAAGAACGTAGCTTGCTCCAGCTTGCTTCGAGCTGTAACCTTGAGCCTCTCTGTGTCCGCGTCATCCGTTACTGGTGGGTGCGCGCTGAATTGTAGGATCCCAGACCCTTGCACGAAGATCAATGCGGTGGCCTTTCTCTCCTTCCGGGTGCTTGCTGCCGCGGATAATCCAGATACTACAACGTTGAGCTCCTCTCGGAAATACACTGCATCCTGGAACGGCAGAGTGGATCTTCCAGAATCCGCAAGAAGCTGCGCCTCTGGACTCTCCTCTGGCTGAGCTAAAGATGCGATGACAACAGCCCCAGGAAATTGTACAAACGCAGTGTGTCCTGGCTGGGGAACCAATAGTGTTCCTGTCGGTTCTGTGGGCAAATGCTCCTGGTGGAAGCTCTTGATGGGGATAGTCCTGCTGATTGTGCCTCCTGAAGCCGTTAGGTCCACTTCCAAAAGTGAGTAGTCGAGTGTATGGCGTCCGAACAGGGCCACGAGTACCACAAGACTGACGGATCCGGGCGTCCGCGGTTGTTCCATGATCGCGAAGTCCAGGACTTGTACGTCAGTCTGGGTTCGAAGTTCAGGCGATGTCCCCGCTTGGACAGCTGAGAGCATCTCGTCGTGGACATCGATCTCGTGCTTGAAGATCTGTTGCCCTGACCAACTCAAGTCCCATAGCTGGAACACCCCGTTCCTTGTCGTTGTAATCACTTCCATTTGACCCTTTGTGTCGGATGGGCGCGCCTTGACTGATGCAATGGTCTTTCGAATTGCTCCTCCTAGCAGTCCTCGCAGACTGAACAGACTGCTGCCCGAGCCATTGGGACCGTTCAAGACAGTAGTACTGACGCTGGGTCGTCCTTGCGAATCGCGCAGAGTCAATTGCGCAAGTCTTCCACTGCTGAAGATCAGGATGAACCCTGCGTGTTCGATGTCGACCAGATCAGTGACGAATTCCCCAGAATACAGCTTCACAGCTCCGTCCACTCCTTGGTGCCGTTGGGGATACAAGCTCCTGGCCTCTGCATTGTCGATGTTCTCCCAGAAGGTGATCCTGCCGCTCGACGGCGCTACTGCGACAACACCGTAGTCATTTGTGGGCCCGTTGCGAACGATTGCGCCGAGAGGAAGGGGGTCAGACGGTCGCAGACCGAAGGGTAGCGGAAGGGTAACGACTTTCGTGGGACCTGTTGCGCTGCTGTAGTCCCATACGAGGGCGCGGTCGGTCGTGAATGCGAGTGCAAGTCCGGCGGACGAAACCACAGAAGCTGTGTATGGAGTGCGTGTCAGGGCCGATGGGAAACTGGGCAGTTTCCTGACGCTGTAATTTGCGTTCTTCGTCTAGGTCCAATTAGCTGGCTACCTCGAGGCGCATGTATGAGACCGCTGACCAAGTACTGCGCACTATCTTCTTTCAACGTTCGTTTAGGAGGCGCTTTCTTCTCACGGACAGGCATATCTACCAGCACAAGAGAGTTTTCGGCACTGTCGTGGCCAGTATGGCCATTCATGTTGGCGCTGCCATTTGTGCCCTTCAAGCCAGAACCAGCGGTGATTTGTGACGCCCCGTCTTCCGCAATCTTACTGCGCTTCCTTCGAGGCTGGTCGTGCCCATTGGAGTCGCGCTGGCGTCGTCGAGTGCCGCGCAAGGAGCTACGCGCGCTCTGCAGTGACGCTTCTGGCGAGAACATGATGGACCGTGGAGGTTATTCGGGTAGTTTTTTTGACGCGAAAGGCGCGCCGACGATGGTGGTGGCTCCGCGATGGTGAGGTGGTTGACAGCTCATGTATACCTCATGTTTTCGAGCTCACTGACAGGGATGGAAGGCGCGCGCACGCGCCTTGGCGGAATCTGCGGAGTTAACACATCCGCAACTTCACTTCACTTCCCCGCCTCACCTTGAGCACAGAGCCGGCTACGCGCGCCGGTTCTCAGTGGGTCATCGTGCAGCTTGGAGGTCTTCACTGCATCTCAAATGGTCGTCGCCTGTAGCTCGGCTGACTCTCGTCTTTCCGTCTACTCATAAGCTGGCAAAGATATCTCAGGTCTCTGATGAGTACCTTCCACAGTTCCTAGACAGATGCAGGTCGCCAAATGATCCAATCCACTCGTTCGTCTTGCCTGCTCTTGCGTATCTCAAGCTGTTGACTGCGATGCTCACGACCATAAGTATCAAGCAGCATCCTAGAAGACTTCATTGCATCTCATACAGCTGTATCCACGACTGACGATTGCTTAACTCCAAGAATCCTCTCTCTCACCCCTTTACCATCTCATATATGTAGCTCCGTGTTTGCTGTTCCTCTTTCCAACTCTATCAATGAGCCCTTCGAACAGCGTCTATCACACAATGTCCTGTCTACATCATCTTTCAAAATATACACGCGCGCGTTCAGTTCGCTGTCCAGCGCGTCCCCAACACGCGTGCTTCATGAATGTCACGAGCGCGACGGTGACCAGCGGCGACCAGCATCTTTCTTCATTCGCGCCCACCACGAGCGAGAACACCAGCTCGCAAGATATAATCCATCGGTCGTCACACTGCACCACAAACCTTCATACGTTATATCTCGTGATGATACCATCCCTTGTACTCTGAGTGAACCCAACCTTTTGTATCTACAACTTTGCATTACCAGTGGAGCTACTGCTCCACTCGTCCTCCATAGTCTCAGACTCACATAGGACGTTAAATCAATCAATCAATCAATCAATCAATCTCGTGATGACGCGCCCTGAAGTCCTCCACATAGTTGCTTGTTTTTGGGCAAATTGTTTATTAAAGGCTGGCAGTCCTCCACCCTCGACATCGAATTTCTGGGTCGAGCAAGTTAAGAACCATGGATCCCAACTTCTCCGCTCTTCGAAAGAAGCCTTTCACCAACGCTCCGCTGCACATCATTAGTTTTTCTCTCCTCATGCACAAACATCAATCAAGATGATACCTGTCTTCTTTCCAATTCTCATGGCATCTTCCCCGTCACCAAATGCTCACCGAACACCACCCACTCCGTACTATCACCGCCACCCACGAACCTACCGTTGCAAAACCATTAATAGCAACTACGTTCATATGACAACGACGGTTCTGGTTGACCTGCATTGCAACAGTTACGGCATAAGACGGCCCTGTGACTCAATCCGCTACGCTCTTCTGTATACAAGGGACATCTATGTGTGTCCCCATACCGAGCCCGGATTCTTCAAAGACATACTCCGTAAGAAGAACCCTTTTCTGATCTTCCGCACCAAGAACTTGATGTCCTTCTTCTTAAAGATAGCAGCATGTCAAAGGAGATTTACTACAAGAACCCTGAGTGCGCCGCATCGTGCTGTATCATTCAGGTTAGATACAAGGGCTGGACGAAGTTACGCATTACGAGACAGTGGAGGCGGGAACTGACTGAGGAGGATGAGCGTTGGCTGCATGGTACTGAAGCTCGGGCTAGGAAGATCAGCGGATTGGTGTGGCCATATAAGCACGCTGGGTCCGGAGAGGTCATAGACTGGGGACGTATGGGTCTAGCTTAATCACATTGTCCGAGCCCGCAAATTTCAGGCTGCTACGAATCTAATTGCTCCAAGATAATTTCCGCCAAACATCACCTTGACGGCTCCAGTCCTGCACAGCCCGAAATAATCAGGAAAATCCTTGATGCGCGCGAGATTGGCTGTCCACATTATCGGTACAGTTAAATGATTCACTGGCAGGCATGATTAGCTCTTTACATCCGCATCATACTCACCACACTTCTTCTATTACATGTGACAACATCGATTCGAACGAGCTAGAACCTAATATTCCCAGCTTAAGTTCTCTTGTCTCAGATCTTAGCCTTTGTATCTGTCCCCAAGCGATCAAAAAGCGGCGCCGATCGCCCACCCCTAAACAGTGCCAACATCTCCTTCCCCATCCACTGCTCTCTGCTCTTCGCCAATGCTCGCTCCAGATCCGCAAATTTGTCTCCCTGGATCAGCAGCCCAGCGCCATTCGCCTTGCTTTGCTCATTGAAAAGCCAGCACACCGCAAGCGCGATGCTCTCGGGTTTATTGATAGGCACTCCCTTAGCCGCCATCTCCTTCGCATACACATCCGGTGGAGCGCTCAGACGCCTGTTGTTGCTAGTCAAGATAGGCGTGACCGTGATACCTGGAGCAATCACCGAGATAGATATACCCAGTTTGGCGCACTCCTGTTTGAGCGCACGCATGAGTCCCACAACACCTTCACACCAAGTCAGCACCCACGCCTATCCACACCAACTCCACATGATTTAAGGGAGACATACCATGCTTCGCAGCACTATACAACGGCGCCCCAGCACTCGCCAAATACCCTGCCAAACTCGCCGTCAACACAATCTCACCCCCCTCCTGATTGTTCCTCAGATAGTGAATAGCGAGTTTCGTCGTGTCGCTCGCTGCATCCATATCTACATTCAGCACTCTGCGATCCGGCTCCTTCAGTTTCCCATTAGCATCCAACTCATCAGTGAAGAACTGCTCGCCATACTCCGCGATCCCGGCATTTACGAATACGCAATCGATACTCCCGAAACGTGAGTAAGCCGCTTCGAAGCCAGAGCGTTGCGCGGCCCAGGATGTGATGTTGCAGGTGTGTACTAGGAGGTGTGAGGGATCGTGCTTGAATGTCGAAGGTGGCGGGTTGAGGTCGATTAGGACGAGGTTGTGGGCAGGGTTGAGGGTGGAGAGGAGGTGGGCTGTTGCGAGACCGATCCCGGAGGAACCGCCTGTGATTACGATGGTTTTGGGTGTTGCTTTCAGGGTGGTGAAGGCCTGGGCATTGGGTTCGAAGATCGTCATTTTGGATATTGTGTGAGGTTGTTAGTCGAACTTGTTGATGCCGGACGATGTTGATACTGGATATTGAGTTGAACCGAGGTCTGAAGCAATACTCGACTCCTGAGTAGGCGTTATTGCCAATAGGAAGAGGATATCCGTAAATGTCACAGAACAGAGGAAGGAAGCACGGTTGATGTTTGAGTAATGAAGAAGTCAGAAATTGAGTGACTATGAGATTGGAACTGATACGCTTTTACCTAGGTAAATGGTCAATGTCGTCCACGCTTACGGACATGCGGGGTCGGCCTGCGCGGAGATGAATCGAAACAGCGAGGACTGACTCGAGACTAAACAGAGTAGTCGCAGCAATCCGTGGATGAGTGCTTGATTGATTTATGCGTTGTAGTAAGACGAGCACCTACAGCATACGTATACCTAGGTAGGTACTAAGACTTCTTGCCTCCAAGCGATGACGCTCGAAGGGCTCCAGTTAATATGTACCGCTCTCAACTAGCCATCGTATTCAGCTTGAGAGGTATCAAATAAGCCTGACCGCGATGGTTCTGCATGAACATGCTCCATGTGTTTGCTGGTAGAGAAGACTAAGAATGACCATCCTGACGCGTTTCTAAGGGATAATGCACGGGCCACTTTAATCGACCACCTGGCGACACCGCAGCCTCAAGGTTCACGAGCGCTCAGCAAACAAGCCCACAGACTCCGCACACGCACAATTTTTGCGGAGCAAAGCAATCGCCATGTGGAAACCTACTGTACTGCTCGCCGCTGCGCTGGCAATTCCCGCTCAGGCGCTGCACTTCTTCATTGACGGCGCAGTCCAGAAGTGCTTCTTCGAGGAGCTTCCCAAAGATACTCTAGTCGTTGGTACGACCACTCTGAGGCTTCTAGCAGCCGGCTAGAAGGTCAAGGTTAACAGTATACAGGCCACTACCACGCCGAAGTATGGGACGATGCGACCAAGTCCTTCCAATCGAAGCCAGACGTAGGCGTCTTCATCACCGTTGAGGAGACGTTCGACAACAACCACCGCATTGTCGCCCAACGTGGTGCTCGTGAGGGCAAGTTCACCTTCAGCGCTGCCGATTCCGGACAGCACCGCATTTGCGTTACTCCTCAGAATGTGCAGAGCGGAGGATGGTTGGGCAGTGGCATCCACGGCTCCGTCAAGTTCACACTGGATATGGCTATTGGAGAGACAAGTAGAATCGAGAGCACAGACAAGGCCCATGTCCAGACACTGGTGGAGAAGGTTCAGGACTTGAACTCGAGGTTACAGGATGTCAGGCGCGAGCAGATCTTCCAGAGGGTAAGTTGCCCCCAGCGCACATGCCGCACCAAGAAGCGTCAAAGAAGTTGCTAACAATCATACAGGAGCGCGAAGCCGAGTTCCGCGACCAATCTGAGAGTACGAACTCCCGTGTCGTCCGATGGACCCTGATCCAACTCGCTGTACTTGGTGTCACTTGCGCGTGGCAACTGACGCACCTGCGAGCATTCTTTGTCAAGCAGAAGCTTGTATGAGTTACGAGGTTGGGGATGGTTGGATGTGGCAATACCATACAGGGACGGAAAAGAGGCATGCTGGGTCACATGCATCGATGCATTGTACTGTAGGCTCCGGCGTTGGAAAAGGCATCAGGTTTAGCGTTTGACATTGAATGGAGCGAAGCATCTTAGCTCGGATACGTTCTCGACCATGAGCTACGTGCCAGGTTCTTGCTCAGCAACTGGTCTTTGACAAAGCCATGGGCAAATTTCGACAAGTTCAGTGGAGAATCTAAGGGCAAATCCTATGGAAGCTCAACACAATACAGAGAACTGGAGGCATCCAAACTGCTAGCACTGCCTGATTTTGTGCAAGGCGCTCATGGGCTCGACAGTGACGCCGATTTTGGTTGTTGCCAGGCATCTTCGTCGCACGTGAATTGATTGATTGAGTCTTATCTAAGCAGTGTTTCAACAGTCAAGGACAGACAGCGAGCATTCATGTGGCGACCAGCTATCCCCTTTTCTGGACGAATCGTGGTCAGCGGTTGAGGGTGCGTCCACCTGTGTTCACTGTCTGGTCAAGGTTGTCAACGATGTTCCCTCGATACACTCAGACTTTTAGTTCTAAAATCTTCAAGCTTTCGTCTGGACTCCTGGATATTCTAGGTACCACGCATGTAACTCGCAGGCCCACATGCAGGATTCTTTTTCAGTCAACAGTGATGCTAGCTTTGATAATCGCCAAGCAGCTTCGACGGACGTGAAATTACTCACTCGTCTGGCTGTGACCCTGCCATTTTGTCCACAGAAAAAGCCAGGCAAAGGAGGTTCACGTGGCCTTTGGTTTTCCTTGCGATTCTTCAATCATACACTCACATTTTGCAAAGTATATACTGACACTATTCCATGCTCGGCTGAATATTCCCAGTGAGGTTGTTCGTGCTCCACACAATTTCGAACCCACCTCAAGCAGCTACGGCTTGGTTGAAGCACCAGCTTTCGTCTAGACTTTCTACGTTTGTGGCGATTCACGTGCAGTAACTGCCTGTAATCTCGCAGTCATCACTGACGACTACAACCTTCTCGTACAGGCAACCGTGCTCACGTGTGTCCCACCTATCCACTTTTCTTCGTTCACCCAGCAACGGCGCACTAGCGCCTAGCGTTTTTCCAGCGCATATATAAACTTGCGCGCCCTCGTCCTCCTCGTTTTTTCTTTAGCTCTCTTTGCCTTTTGGCTTAGATCAAGTGTAGTATCTGTTCTTTTTAGTTTAATCGCTAAAACGACCTTACGAGGTCATATACGATTATCCTTATTTTTGTACACAGTCGACGACTCCCTGGGCTTGCTCATAGTCGTTGGCACAGTGTCGCCGGTATTTCACTACCTCCGGTGTACGCGACCCTTTTCGTTGGCCATCGCAGCTGTGCTGTGAGGTTGAAGAAGATGGAAAACTCGTCAATATTCCTTACGTATCGCTTCTTTTTGAAAATATAAAACAACCCTATTTAAGTTTTGTTGAAAGCAGGTCGTATGATCCTGTGCATGTTGTGACGTTCCAGTGTGATGCTAAGCTATGTTGCAAGAAGGCGGTTCCTGGTTTTTGAACGTGTGTGGATTTTGGAAGTGACGCTGTTGATTGTGCGCACAGTGGGGGTCCACCATGCACCTTCTAGATCTTGATGACAATCTAAGGTGCGGTCTTCGGCATTCCATCTATACCAGCTGAGATCCTGCTGACCCGTATACAGCCAATATCCGGGATTAACCAATTTTACATACCTCTGTGACACTCAATCGTGATAGAGGTTTGCAAATCTTCACCCGCTGAGGGCTGCGGATCGGGGCCGTGACTGACGTCACGTGAGGCATGCAACAAACAATCCCGCATTACGGTATTTTAAGTGCTCCACGTCCAACGACGCCGTATACCGGCAACATGGACACCGAGAGATCTTTTCTGCACTTCAAGACAATCGTCAGCTCCTGGCTTGCTTACACGCGCGTCACTGGCTCGGCCATCGCAGTTGCTCGCCTCGCCGCTGCTACAACAGCAGCTGGGTGGCTGACTCGTGCGGAGCTCTTTAAGAGCATGCCTTTCCCTGAAGCCCGATTGACCATAGTACGCCGAAGTCATGTTGGTCTGCGCAGCAACTCTCTCCAGTGCCACGAGTGTTGCCAAACTTCTCAGTGTCAGCTTGATGATGTAGAAGAGAGAAGGACAACAAGGCGTTGTGAAAGGCAAACTGGAATCCGTTCTTACCAGAACGCACGATCTCAGAAACCCACACCTGTATAGAACGTGCGATGTAGGATGCCACATGTTGAACGCTGACGATATTCAAGTGAAATTGAGCAAGCTCAACAGGAAGACCCATTAGTAATGATTCGCTACATCTACGTATATTATCGACAGCTGCGCCATCTCTGTGCCCCTCTGCGAAGCGGAAAGCACAACTGGTACAGAGTAGCAAAGGAGGACACATGTCAAACGGTCTTCTCTTCAGATATCTTGCTTTGATCAGTGTCGGTTCAATACCTGCTTCCGGATATTGCTTCGTTGCCTGTTCCATTTCTCCTTGTCGAAGTTGTCCGGCCAGCCAAATTGGCTGCGGAGGATGTTCTTGGCGTTGGTGTACTTTGAAACAACTCAGTAGACCATCCATATAACTTTGGCAAAAGTACCCACATACCGCGTTTGGATGAGCTTCGTCCTCATCGTAATAACTGGCGACTATTTCTGGCTCGGCACCATCATATCTCATAGGAATCCACTCCAGGTCACGGAATTTTGTTACGAGTTCTTCCAAAACCTCAACTGCGGGCCTGATTGGGTAGTTGCGATAATGTATGCGATTATCTGGTCTTTCGGGTTTAACTTGCCTCTATCAGCATCGAACGGCTCGGAAGCTGACATGATTGAGGCCAAGCAGCCAAGATTGAGCGACGGGACATGTTCGAATGGGGAGCACGAAAGGCGGGGCAATAATAGCCGCCGACGCGCCGATGCTTAACTCTAATGCAAGCTTTCCGATGCTTCAGAGACTCATCACAGTACAGCGTCACGGATGGACAGAGACCGTCAAGATGAACTCCAGTGGGCGACCTTTTAACATACCACCGTCCAGGAGAATGTCAACTTCTTCTTCGGCCCCCTCGCTCTCCTGCCTTACGGAGCTTCCTTCTTCCTATACGAGCTGTTCCCTAGCTACGGCCCTGAGGATGTACCCGATCTTAAGACCATAGCCTTCTTCTTCGGTACCAATCAGGATTCCAACGGCAACTGGCTGGCCGGCCCCGAGCGTATTCCAGACAACTGGTTCAACTGCCGTGCACCTACCAGCCTGTTCCTTCCAGCCTGTCGGACGTTACTACCTTGTCTCTTACGCTGCTCGACTGGCCTGTTGGCAAGCTTAACCCGGCATTCAAGAACGCTGAATGTGCTCTTCGTCCTGACCAGACTGCTTCTCCCGCATAAGTGCGTTGATGCTTGAATGGGTCGAAGAGCTTATGCGCTCTCCCTGTTCACATTGAGGTAAGACGTCCAGTCAGAGAGACAGATTGTGGGCTTGCATACGAGTTGCATATGTGGAAAACGATGCAGTTGGGACGATGAAATGAAAGTCAGATATCCGATATGATTTAGCTAGTGTATAGATTGAACATTATCCATCATTTTGCTTGAAAATACCGCTCGTGACAGACCTTGTTTTGTGATCAGTCGGTTTATAGACATTATCAAACCAAGATACTCTTTGGCGTGTCCTTCAATCAACATACGGATCTTTATAACACGATTAGATCCTTTCGTTTCCTGGAAGTAACTTCCTTCTTCCTTCCTCCTCTCCAGCCTCAAGCTATAGCTCCAAGAGCTCCGGCCTCCACACATTCTGAGACCACTGCGAGCCTGAAATCCTGTGGACATTTTTACCAATGCCAGATAAAATGCCGCAGCGACCCTGAAAGCGCCGAAACGTCGTCCAAGCTCGTCGACACGCCCGCCAACACTGTGTTGCCTCGATCCGCGATCAGTTGGTTCCATCGTTATCTCCCTGAGCTTCACAGTACCTATTTACTCCTCTCCGGTGACGCTGGCAGGACATCCGGGTTACAGGCCCGTGATCTGAGCCCTTCTAGATCTCTCTGGCTTCTTCTCCGTCTCGTTTCCGTAGAAAGATCTCAGTCGCACGGTGCTCTGAGAATCTCAATGCTTCTTCCTGAACTTGTTCCCTTAGAGTATCAATATCTTTGATATAGTCTCGCTGAAGAGATCGTATGCAAGCATGCCCTGTCCAAAGTATGTTCTTTCGAAGATAAAGGCAAGAGGTTACTCACCTAAAGAAGATTCAATTTCGCGACCCGAGTCGCGCATCCATGCCCCATGTTTGGCCAAGCCAAGGCTGAGTACGAGCTCCCATCACCCACCCACCTTCACACACCCCCAACTCACTCCTGTATTGATATCATTTGATAAAAATGAGTTCCTGTGAATTGTCAAAGACCCCAGAACAAGACCATAGCCTCAAGGAACCTGATGTTTCTGAGCGTTCCCACTACTTTGAGGCATATGACCAACAACAGGGTAGAGAGACCTTGAAGCGGATAGCTGACAAACACGGCATCACAACGAGGACTGGACGGCAGTGGGTGAAGGGCCGAGCACACTGGAATGATGAGAGAAGAGTTAGGAAGCGTGCAGCAGCAAAAGGAAGAAGGAAACTTGGTCACTTCTTCACAGTACTTCTGAAGCAGATTCAAGCACTCATTGATGATGAACAACACCACAAATATGAAGCGCCCCTGGGTGTTCAGGCGTACCAAATGGGTATCAACCTTGCCCCTCGCTCTCTCCAATATAATTTATCAGTCAGGGAGGATGCTCGTTTGTATATGGCTGCCTTTTCAGAAGACATCCTCAAAGGCCAACAAGATACTGAGGGGAAAGTATGGCTGGGATCACAAGCACCATACAGTCATGAACTACTGGAATAAGGTGCACTTCACTGATGAGGCTCACTTCAATCCAACTGAATGTTTTCAACGAAAAAGGAACCTCAGAAGGTATAGGAAACGCCTTGCTGATGGCAATATTTGTTCACAGAAGAAGAAGAAACGTTCAAGCCTCACCCTTCACATGTACGCCTCAGTCAACTGGTGGAGAAAGAGCAAACTTGGCTTCCACAATGATGAAGTGGAGATGCTGGGGATGCCAAACCCCCCCCCCCCCCAGAAGCCTGTCAAATCAAAGTATGAGAGTGCAGAGGAGTATCAGGGAGATGCCTGAAAGGTGCGCAAAGCTTCAAGTCAATGGTGGTGAGAAGATCCGTAGCGACCTCTGGTGAGGCTCACAACATTATAAACAACTGTATATAAGCCTCAGCACTAATATTAATATCTTCATCTTGAAAAACGCATCAAATTGACCCAATCTGAGCCCTCATACTTCACTGTTCATTGATTGGTATGGGCGAGTTGGAATGATGGGGTTGCTTACCCCATCGGAGCAAGAGGAAATGAATTATTGCACACCCTAGTGACGGTCATTTCGAGATGGAAGTTAGGAATATACTATCTTGTATCTTGCATGACTTCTCCGCGGCCATGGATCTCTCGAAGGTTGTCTCTTGTACCGTTCGAAAACCCAGCCCAGAACTCACCAAGGTCAACCTCCAGGGAGCGCTCTGCGCAGGTTGCGTAAGTCTCCCAATTAAGTAACATCTTCAGATTATGGACGAGCATCATACTACTATTGTCTAACAAGCTCTTGTATTCTCCAAGCACTCTTGTCGCAACTTAGGAGACACCAGTCCCAATTCTTGATTACTGACTTCATCGCGCTGTGAGAAGTGGTCGACAAGATGTTAGCCTAGCAGTCTTGAGACTCGGAAAACTGTTCTTTGAGCTGGTGTGTTCATACAAGCCAAAAGACAGATGGATGTGCTGGAATATAGGCGGCGAAGAATGGAAGAACAGAAAATAGGTCCTCGCTTGTAGTGACCAACTTCAGAGGACGGAAAGAGAAAGGAATACAGACTTGCGTTGGAGGAGCAGAATACAGCCGTGCGCGATCTCGACACAACGAGAGACAACTCGTCCTAGACGAACGTAGGGCATATGCACACCTTTTGGCTGTTCTGGACGATGCTGTTCACCGATATTACCGTCCTACACGGCTCATGTGCTGCTGTTGCATAGCTCTGATCAAAACATAGTCGCGTTAACAGGAAACGATGGACTCAAAGAGGACACTAGAGAGTTCATGTTGCGTTGTGAAGTTGATGTAGAGGCGAAGGTGGAACTGGCGTTAGCTCCATGCGTGCCTGCCAAGTGAATCTGCCACCCACCGCCGAGTGACCGCATAGCTTCCCCAAGCTTCAGCCTCCCACTCCACTTGTAACCCCACCATCTTTCGCTTGAGGTACTCATTGTACTGTTTGTTCTCGGATCTTGAGTCGCCTGTATACTCGCTGTCAGATTATACCTCAAGATAGCCTCAAAAGTACTATAGGCAGCCACGATGGCTTCGCGACTGGTGCTGGTCCTCGGTGACCTGTTCATCCCGGATCGCGCTGCAGTATGTTCCTATACTATCAGTATACAATGCTAGACCTCACAAACTTACAGGCTACATAGGACATCCCGGCAAAGGTATGAACTGCCCTTATATCCCAGTATCAACAACAACCTACGCCTATATCCTCCCTTGGATTGCGCCGCGACTTACACCCTATCTAGTTCAAGAAGCTCCTTGCGCCTGGCAAAATTGGGCAAATTCTTTGCCTTGGCAACATCACAGATCGAGAAACGTACGAGTTCCTGCGAGGCATCGCGCCCGACCTACAAATCGTCAAGGGCGACTTTGACGTCGAAGCACCAAACCTCGCCCTCTCCAAAGTTGTCACACATGGATCGCTCCGCATAGGCTTCACACACGGCCACACGATTATACCACCCGGCGATGGCGACAGCTTGCTGATTGCAGCACGGCAGATGGACGTCGACATCCTGCTATGGGGCGGCACACACAAGTTCGAGGCATACGAGATGGAGGGCAAGTTCTTCGTGAACCCAGGAAGTGCTACAGGTGCAATGACGACAGGGTGGTGGACAGAAGACGAAGATCCCACGCCAAGCTTCGTGCTTATGGACGTGAGTTTGTCTATCAGCAGAGGTGCTAAGCAATCGTGCAACGACCGGCTAACTGCGGTACAGGTTCAAGGTGACGTCCTTGTGTTATACGTCTACCAGCTACGTAAGGATGCGGAAGGGAATGAGAATGTCGCAGTGGAGAAGGTTTCGTTCAGAAAGAACGGCGGTGGTGCAGCATAGAGACGATCCCGTGTCATTAGACGATAACTGAGCGGTAATTCAGCGCATACACAATGCAGCGATGCAGCGATGCCTCTTCGAATAACACGACGGCCTCGTCGTCTTTTGCACGAATCAACGGCCATCTTAGTGCATGTGTGATACAGAGATGCATCTTCAAAGAACACAGCAGTCGTGGTGTTTGTCCTGCGAATCAACGAACATGCCCGAGCAGGGCGTGTCGAGTCCTCTCTGCTGTGTCACGGAAGCTGCACAGCAGATTGTTCACGGTTAGGCGCAGCATCTAACGCAAGTTTGCTGCACCTCGGGCATAAGTTCAAACACGTAGCCACTGCATACTTGTGTATATTTTGTCTCGTACACTCGTCACTCCCCTGAAACAGACCCTGTAGCTCAGCTGAGGCTCATGCGAGCGTTCATTTCAGATCCACCCCACGTTCTGTCATTTCTGCGGTGCACCCAGCACCTAGCAAATAGCAATGATGGTCTGACCGTCCAGTGAGGCTCTGTGAAACCGCGCAGCCCTGGTCGTACAGCTGTACAACTCGGCTCGAGCAAGCAAGCTTTCGCCTCGCACCGCGTGGGAATCCTCACCTGCATTACATTCCGCATCACTACAGTCTCCGAGCGAGGACGTCTTTCACGGCCCGTTCCACCTTCTCGAACACGGATGGTAGCGCGGCTACCATGCCATAGTTGCGCTCCCCTGCGATGTGACGGCCCTGTGCGAAGTCGATATCCCCGCCGTTGAAGTCTTTGATCAGTCCACCGGCTTCGGTGTAGAGAATATGGCCGCCGGCGTGGTCCCATACACAGGTAAATCTGTCGACTGTCTTTGGGATCCGGACCATGACATCTGTGGATCCAAGTGCGAGTGCGACGTGCTTGACTTGCTGCGCCCAGATAACAGTCCCTGGCCATTGCGCACCGAGCTGCTCACACACAGCCTTGTGCTCCTCCTGCGAGAGACTGGTCTTCCCCAATGTGCTCTCCACGAAATTGAGCTCCTCAAGCTTCTTCTCAGGCAACGTGCTCAGCTCCACCTTCCGCGCCTCTCCCCATCCATCTTTCGTCATACCCCTGACATACGTGCCCTGACCCTTGACTGCAGACAGCACAACCCCATACCCCGCCTCGTCAACAAGGTCCTCATGCAACCTGCTCTGCCCCAACGGCCCCTCCACATCAAACGCCAGATTCGGACACCCAATAACACCCACCGTCTGCTGTCCATCAACCAGCAAGCACAAACACACCGCATATTGTTGGCCCTGCATAAACGTCGCCGTCCCATCCACAGGATCCATAACCCACACTCTGCCCTCACTTGTCTGCTCTCCTTTGCCGCCAAGATCAATAAGATCAAACATCTCCTCTTTACTCGCGGGGAACTTCAGCGTCTGTGCACCGGCATTGGCGTTCTCGTGCTGCGAGAGGCCATTTTGGGAACGCGATGCATGGAGCGCTTTTGCGCGTAGCACAAGGTCCCAGACACGGTCTGCTAGCGTGTCGTTTGACCGTAGCGCGTCTGCGCTCTCCTCGCCGAGGAATTGGTCGGAAGGATAAACGGCATGGATGGAGCTGATGAGCAGTGCTTGGGCGGCGAAATCAGCGATTGTTACGGGGGACGAGTCCGCTTTTGTTTCGGCGGAGACGTGGTTCTTCAGCGAACGCAGAACCGATTTTGTGAGGATCGAGGCGTTGTGGACGGCGGCGAGGGCGAGGCTGAGCTCGGCGGCATATGGGTGGGATGACATTGCGGTTGTGATGTTCTGATGGGTCAGTTGGTGGATGGAGTATCTACAGCTTCACGTTTTGCAGGTGTGAAAGTTTTGTTGTTGATGAGGTGAGGTGAACATCATGTGCTCGGCAAAAAGTTACGATTGCCCGATTCCTCCATGATGTGCGCTCTCTTCTTGTACAGTTGCTGTACCGAGCGATGTTTTGCGAGATGTCAATCGCAACGACTGCACAACTGGCTCGTGCCCTTCATGCTAGAAAGCGAGCAAACAGCCTCAGGATGCAGTGAAAACCTCCAAGCCTCGTCGTCAGACTCGATCAACAATAAAAAAGAGACCCGCAGCCTAAGGCAGACTGTTAAACGTTGAGATTTGTTTTAGCATCGGTTGAGGTTGCAACGTTTGCGCTCAGGCACGCTTCTGCCTCGCGTCGTCAGGGTCGCCCTTACAACGGGAACGGGGACGGGAGCGATGAAGGAAGCTCGGCCCGAGTCGGGAGATTCACGCTACAGGCGAGGCTGCGAGGCTGTGAGGCTGGTTATTGATTGCCTGAACAGGATAGTTGTGATCCGTGCTTCGATGTTTGGCGACACTGCGTTGGGAAGTATGAATTGTTTGTGCTTTGGATGTGCAGGATAGATGTTTTGCTGGGTTGAGGTCGCCGTCCTTTAGGTTATGCATTGTATGTATCTATACATTGAGATTGCATGCATGGAGTGCTTTCTGGAAGTACTAAGATACATGAATCGTGCTTGCTTAAGCTCCGCAGTGCTGCAGATGCGGATTGGGCAATGGTTGTTCTGACCGAGCTGATCTACAAGACTGCAATGCCCATAGAGGTCCTTCAACGTTTCAAGACGCTGATGGTGTGTTGAGTGCATGGTTCTCCACTGATATGTCGCAAGCCATGTCCCAATGAGACTGGTGGCCGCCGCATTTCGTGGGGTAATGCGTGATTCGCACATCTGTGCATCCTCAAGGTGTTTCTTCTGGTAACCGCGGCCGACATGCACTGCTCTTGCATGCGTGCCACGCGGTCTCCGCTGAGTCGTGTCACGGTCTGTTTCGAGGTCGATAGCGTTCACTCCAAAGTGAGGGGTTCACGAGTTGTGAAGCTCGTTAACCGCGATCAATTGATATCAAGATAAGAGTAGATTGCGCTTACCGTTCCTGCAGCCTGTCGACATCACGATGCCTCCCGTAAAGGTTGCGTGCTGAACCTTAAGTGAGCAACGTGGGGGTTTCTGGGCAGTCGCCTGTACCGTCCTCGTATTTGACGGACGAATGAGCATTCCAACCTCACCTGCAAGTCACTCCCATGGCGTTCCTGTGGGAACTAAACTTTACAGGCATTTGACAGCCTGCAGGGACGAACATCGCTATGCCCTTCACTCCTTTGGTCAGATGGCAGAGCAACGAGCATGATCGTTATCTCGCTTCCTGAAGCGAAAAGTGCTCGAGGCGCGCTGAGAGACGAGCATGCTGATAAGCTCGCTAGCCGTGAACAGCGGCGAGGCCTACCAAACAGGCATTCCTCGTGAAGCAGTGCTCCTTTCTGACCACCGATCAATACTGCCTCGCCCTCGCCGTGTGCCTGAAGCGGACGACGAGGGCCCAAGCGAGTCTAAATTGGTGAGTATGGCCGACGCTGGGGGTCAACACGACAGCCAGACGACAGCCAGAACCTCCTCCTATGCCTGAGGCGTTGCAGACTTTTCGCTGAGGCAGCAAATGTGCTAATCTCCACGGAAAAGGAGGTAGATTGAAGACGTTGAACGACTGTTGAGGTTGCTCGGGACGGCAACTGGACATGGCATGTCCAACGCAGATCTTCCAGCGGCATTGCGGCGTAGGCTAGACTCACCCATATCATGTGCTGCAAATGAGTACGGAGCAATTCTGGCTCTGAGAGCGAGCATAGCCGTGATCGCGACAGATAACGTTGTCGGATGTCGCCATTTGAATGATGGCTGACTGCACAAGGCTGAAAGCGCTCAGCGCACATTCCAGCGAGAACTTTTGTAGGCTTACGAGAGATGAACTTCCTGAGATGCAAAACTTTTTGGTTCAGCTGCAGGGTTGAGACAGGTGAGACGGATGGTCCCTGCATCCATGGATTGCAATTGCTCGCCATCATCACCGAAATGGCGAACACCAGAGCTCAGTTCAGTGAGTCGGCTAGTCATGCAAAACGTCCTTCAGAAGGACGAGGGTATGAATGTTTCACAGGCACACAATCCATTGCGCCAGCTGCTCGGTAATTGATGCCTTGAGTGCGAAGCGCGCAGTCACCCCACGGCGTGTTGCAATTGCATGGGCGTGAGGAGACCCATGACTGCTGAAACCGATAGCTTCTTGCTCCTCTTTTGGATCACGACACTCCGGGAAAGGCAGCGTCCGAACCCAAGTTTGCACGTCATCCGCCATGTCCGGAAGAGCAGATGACTGGCGAGTGGAGACTGGATCTTCGTCATTTTAGGAGGCTGGTCGTGCTGCTATCACGCTTTCTGGCAGTGGTGTCACACAAGAGAAAAAGCTGCCTGAGTGTCTGCCCATCACTGTGCGCTCCGGGTGGAGTACCGGGGCAGAGTTTGACGTTGCGCAGCACGCACATGCGTGAAATACCGTAGAATTCAGCACTCGACGCTGCGGGTGAGCGAAAATCCCCTTCGTTGAGCGAATCATTCCCGCGCAGCGAGAGCGTGCTGGCAGCACCGTGGTGGCCAAATCTTTGCCGGAGCGAATAGCAATCCAATGCGCTGCACCTGTTCGACAGAAACGCGGCCATTCCTCTTCGGGCCTGGTGGTGAAAGAGGGGTGCATGAGCAAGCGGCCTCGCAAGGGCACAGCTTGCGGCGGCTCCTTGAGAAATATTCTCTTGGCATGCAGTGTGGGTCCATGCTCACGCCTGCATCTTGTGCGGAGATGTGTGGGACTACCCTGTTGACTAGCTGGCCTGCATGACTAGGGTCTGATAGGTCGTCAGCTGTGTGCTGTGTGCCTGAGCGCTCAGTTAAGAACATCCTCATCGCCTGTTCCCGCAACACCTGTCTCCACAAAGCTCCGCTGAAGACCCTAACCTTCCATGACTCCTGTCTGAGGACTCACTACTTCATAAAGAACCACTCCCTCGTCCCATCTGAGCATTCCCACCACCACCTTACCCCACCCAGCCGCCGACTACCTTGTCAGCGTCTCAGCTTACTCCACCACCACACCAACACAATCTCAACCTCACATTCACAATGACTTCCCAGATGGAATGGTCCCACGACTTCTGTCTCTCCTGCGATCGGCAGATGGAGGGCGGCACCTACTGCTCGCAAGCCTGCAGGTTAGCAGATCTAGAGAAGGCTGGTCAGCAACAGACCACACAGCTATCATCGTCTGCCTCTTCGACATCCTCCTCCAACAACGGCTTCTACCTTCCTCCAGCTGTCAACTTCTCGCAATACAAGGCACCATCGACATCACGAGGATTTGACATGGGCCCCTCAAGTCCGTACCACTACTACACTACCGCGAATGGCTCGTACTTTGTTCCACCAACTGCGGGGACGCGTAGCCTGACACCATCATCATCACGCTCATCGCTGTCATCCAACTCTTCGACAACGCAGTCGGGCATCACCGCACAGGCGGCATCGCAATTGAACAACTACATGCGATCATTCGATCAGACACGAGAACAGAAGAGGAGGTACACCCAGTACTGAACGGCCTTCATCTTTCTTAGCATCTCTTTTCTGCAAAACGGGCTCATCATTTTCTGGAGTTTGGCATTACGAAAACCACGGAACGCCGGATGACTACGACACTCGGCGCACATACCCTTTGCTTTTTGGTTTGCATCTCGGTCTCGGCCTCGGGCTTGTAACCATAGGACCCGGCGTGGTCCTCGGAGTTCACTCATCATATCGATCGCTGATCTGCGTTACTATTGTACCATCTCCTATCTACGCATAGCGGAGCGGTGTACGATCAAAAGCACATATATCCACCTCAACGGGCCACAGGAGGCGTGGACTTGAGTACATTATTTGTTTACGAGCATTCCCAGCCTGGTGTTTGGCATGGCAAGGATAATGGATTGCTTTGACATGCTGCATAGCGTGTTTGTTGGCGGATATCCCCTCACTCATACGGGCGTTTAATGACGCACCGATTTCTACTCTAGCATCCCTTATGTAGTCACTGCCTCGGCATTCCAATGGAAAGCACTGCCATGAGATCCACTCATGGCGCAGTTCGAACACACAACGATCGCCTTTCTTTTGCAACTTCGTGACGTCCCAGTGACAGCCTTACACAACCGCTTGTCCGACTCTAAACTATGGTGCGGACATTGCACACTCCGCACGTGACCTCATGACTGAGCTCACGGGGATTGGCGCTCTGAAGGCGCCCTACAGAACAGCGGCCAGGCCTATGGCTGCCGTCCCTTCTCCGCCCCCAGCTCGTCAAACTCATGATGTCCACCCCCAATGGGCAAAGTGGTGGCTGCTGTCACGATCTGCCTTCTGTCTCACACAGACCAGGAAGATTTTTCGCGACGATCCAGACGTTCACCACCGCTCAACGCTTCTCACGGCACTGGGAGGCAAAATGGCAGACACCCTCAACGACCCAACACGGGAGGCAGCCGTGGCAGCCAACAGGCGCCGTATCTCTTCCAGTCCTCTGGGCCCCAAGTGCTGCAGTCCCTTGACCTCTGGTGCATCCTTCAACTACGGGCCTCCAGCTCAGTGGTCGTCGCTCCTGCGCTATAAGGGGGTCCGTTCGTTGCGAATGCGGGGTTGGACAGGGGACGCGATGGGCCGCCGAATAGCGTCGCAGGAAGCAAGCAAGCGAAGCAATCATCCCACGCGCAGCGAGCAGTCATGCGGCATTTCGGACAAGTTCTGCGATCGGCGGACAGGTCGTTATGGCGCAACACTTCTGTTTCTTTGTATGCCTCATCCACCAACGCCGGGCATGGTTGATCAGTCGTGACAGCTGTGCAGTTTCGCAGAGATTTTCTTCTGACTCCTTGAATTTTGCTTGGCTATTTCCAACCTGCCAGCTCACCCGGGGCTCCACTTCGCCTCAGCAAGCGCAGGCGCAGCCGGACATTGCCCATTCCCCGTCGGCTCCCGAGCAATCACGACACCTAGGCTCCGCTCCTAGCAATCCCGATACATTATGTCATCGTGTGTTGCAGGCTTGACGCTTGTCGACTGATTATTTGTGCGACGCTGCCAAATCCTGTTCTGGCCTCTGACCACGTCGGCGTGATCCCAAAGCCCACTTGAGAGTAGGCAACATTTTTCTCCTGCGACGGGGTACAGGGGCTCGGCGGCTGCTTCCGAGCCTGATGTGCGATCACGATCCATGGATGTCTCGACAGTTTGAACTTTATCAACGCCCAAGGGTCCACCATAACACCGAGTCGGTGGGCGGAGACGGGAAGATGCAGGCACCAAACGAACAACGAATTTTGTCCACGTTGCACGCAACTTTTGGTCCGATCATCGCATTCACGACAAGCTCAGGCCTGCGTCGCACTGCTGTATCGGAGAGCACAGATTGCTCCCCGACAAAAGCCTAACGAAAATTCAATATGGCGTGCTGATGAGGCTCAAGGGCGATCAAATGAGTCAAAGGGAACACCAAGGCGCATTGACGCAGAGCTATCGTGTCTAAAGAAATTTTGTTGATGATGCGCAGAGACTTTGACTGAATCGCAGATCTGACGACCTCTAGGGTACTTCAGCCTCGTGTCTGTCCAAGCACGTGCAATTTACATTTGCTCTTGGGCAACGGGCGTCGCAACGTTTCCTGAAAGCGCCGTCAGGCATCCTCTCATCCACACCAGAAGCTGAATCAGGCTCCCTTCAATATTTCCTCAGTCCTATGTCCCGATTTCTTGATACTGTGTATTTGCACAGGCTGTTCCTCTCCCCGCACATCAACATCATGCCAGGCACTACAACCTGTATATTCATGACAGTTCCCCAGACAACGTCTCCGACCAATGCTCTATTTTTCCGTCTACGCAGAGAAATCTTTTGACCTTGAAATGTTCGTGGACATTCGTGGCTGACGCCAACCTGCCCAACAAGGCATCTGGGCACACGGCACACAGATCCTCCACACAATCATGATGTATTGTGATTCCCAGCCACACCACGACAGCCCCATCAGATCTCCCTGTGTATCGCCTTCGATCTGGAATCCTACAGCCGGATCTACACGAGACTAGCTTTTAGCTGGTGCACACCCGCGCGATCGAGGTGTCGCAGCATCGCCCACAGCAGGGCCGGTAGATACCCCCGCGGACCTGAGAGATGAGCAGTTCGTCTATGTTGCAGCAAGCGTTCTAAGAGTCCGAGAACACTGACGACGACACGTCAGGGTTGTTGAGCTTCGACGACAGGCTTGCGGTCGTACGATTGATGTCGGCAGCGAGAGCGCTATTCTCGGCATTGCAATATGCTAACAGTCAACACATCAAGCCTCGGTAGGACAATACCATGACACAGGTACAGCCGTGGACACAGTTCGCCCGTGCCGCTAGATGTTGGGCGTGTGGATTCTACAAAATCCGCTCTATGGAGACAGCATCGAGCGATACGGCACACAGTTGACGGACGACGAAGCGGTGGCTGTGTCTTCCTGACATCAATCATGTCATACGGACAAAAACCAGCTGACTATCCTGATGCCTATAGCGAGTTCCGCACAGCGTGAGCTCACCAGACTGACATGACGATAAGACTTCAATTTACAATATCGCTCGATTGGTGTTGAACAGCACGCAGCAACACGGCCTATGTCCCGTTGCTCCTTGAGTGTACACTTGTAGCATCCATGAGCTGGTTTACAATTGAGACCCTCACTTGGTCATATGTCCACACAGACTTCGACCTTTCAAAGCAGCTGAGCGATGTAAGAGTCGGTGGCTCCTGGACCGCTCAACGAAAATTTTGCCAACGCCTTCTTAGGCTGCAGACAAATTTAAGTGCAGCAACCATTTCCAGCCTTTGTTCTGAACCTAGAGACCTTTAGTGAATCTTAGACACCCGTCTGCGAGCTTAGACTTCAGCGTCACTAGTCTCCAGAAGCTAGGAGCATTGGTCGACATGCGACGACTAACATGCACCTTTCTGAGCACATTATGTAACAGACTTCAAGAGGTGACAGAGGCAGGCATCCAGCCGTACTGGCACAGTTGCGCCGACGCATCGCTTTCAGAACTGCAGAAAGCTGATCATACAAAGGTATACAAGTCTCATTGACTTTTGGACGAAAGGTACCCAGAAGAGGACCACGTATCCAGAACAAGTAACGGCAACCCAAGACCCGGATATACCCAAACCCTAAACACCTTATCAAAGCAAAACGCCTGCCGCAGACCAACAGCGCCTGCTCACTGACCCATCATTTTCTTCCTTTGCCTTTCTGCCCACTCCCTCGACGCGATCCTGCCCCTCTCTGCAGCTTCAGCTCTCGCCTTCTTAGCTGCTTCTTCCTTCTCCTTTCTCTCACGCTCCATCGCTTCTTTTTGTATTCTGTCACGGTTGAATACCTGCTTGCCCTTGACCTTCAGCGCTGCAGCATCGACGGGCGTAACGGTGGACTTAGAGCCTGCAGCAAGCAAGATACTGTTCCGGTTTGCGGACGAGGTGGATGTTGAGCGCGAAGCCGAGGGCTCGATGACGCTACTGCGCTTGCTTACGAGAGATGTCGAGCGCTGCGGTGCTTCGACCTTGGAGGGAGGCGGGATGCTGACTCCTGGTGCGTCTCTGACCAGCAGTGATTCTCGAGGTCGGCGAGCAATGGGCTTCCGGACGGGCGCAGCGAGGGCTGCTTTCTTTGCAGCTTCGGCTTCTTCCATACGCTTGAGCCGCTCCTCTTTTTGCGCCTTGAGGCGTGCAGCAGTCGCTTCGCCCGGCAGCTGGAAGCTGGGTTTGGTAAGTTGTTTTGACTTGGGCGGCGGAGGCATGCTGATAGGCCGTGTTGTAGGCTTCTCGGTTCTTTCCGCTTCCTCCATCCGTTTGAGTCGTTCTTCTTTCTGGGCCTTTAACCTCGCTGCTGTCGCCTCGCCGGGGAGTTGGAAGCTTGGTACCGTAGGTGGCTTTGTCGACTTGGGGGGCGGTGGCATACTGATCGGTCGCTGTTTCGGAGCAGCTGCGCCTTCTGCTTCCCGCTTCAGGCGCTCCTCCTTTTGCGCCTTGAGTTTTGCTGCCACATTGTCACTGGACAACTGGAATGTGGGCTTCGTTGGCGCTTTTCCTTTTGGCGGCGGAGGAGGCGTCGGGAAGGACAGACTGATTGGGCGGCGCTTAGACGCCAGGTAGTCGGCTGTCTCGGTCGAGGGCTTCCTAACATCTTTGCTTGGTGCGGTGCGGACGCTGGAAGCACGTGCAAGCGATGTTGTAGTGGGCTTCACGCTCTTAGGGGCTGCACTTGGTACTCTCGAGATCCTGATAGGAAGAGGTGCCTTCGCAGCAACTGGCGCTCTAGTAGCAACGGGTGCTTTGAAAGGCGTCTTGCTGGGAGTCTTACTCGCGACCTTGGCTGGAGTCCGGGCAGGAGCTTTAGCAGGTGTCCTCGCAGATGTCTTGCTCGGTGTCTTCCCCCGCGCAATCGGTGACGCGGTGGGCTCCATGGACTTCCGTGGAGACTTTTCGTCGTCGGAATGTTCGAAATCTGGTATGGCTTTGCCAATGGACTCCAGGTCTTCTTCAAGTCTGTCAATGGCTGAGATCGACTCTTCAATACGCATGGGAGACTTTGACGGGCTTCGTGATGTACGTCGAGTCGATCCTTGGTTCTTAACTGGTGTGGACACGGATGCTTCGAACGGCTTCTCGGCGGATAGCATCTTGGGCTCGGCTTCTGATGTGATCTCGACGGAAGGCGTGCCCTCATCACGACCTGGATCCTGGGGTTGTATATCGAGGTCTGCTTCGAACTCGGCTTCTGAAGGTATCGCTGGCCTTGCTTCTACTGTTTCTTTCGGAATATACTCCACTTCTACGGCTTCAGGCACTTCCGTCTTGTGTTCTTCTTCGTCCTCTTGCGGCTCTGCAGTCACTTCTTTTTGCGAGATCGACTGCTCTTCTGCAACAGCCACCAGTGCGATATCATCTTGGACGTCGTTGACATCGTTGTTGGCACTCTCGGACACCTCCTCTTCCTGTTGAGGGACTGCCTCGGCCTGAGCCTCTGCAACGATCTCTTCAAGAACCTCTTCTTCGGTGGGCTCGGGTTGTGGTGTTTGCTGCTCGGCTTGCGACAGCTTCAGTTCTTCTTCAAGCTTCGCTTGCTGACGTCGCGTCAGTCGCACTGGTTTTGGCGCTGGCTCAGGCTCGAGATTCGTGGGTTCTTCGGGCACGACAAGTGTTTCGCTTCCCTCAGTGACAACGTCGCCCTTCTGTTCGACAGCCACTTCGACTCGCTTCACAGGTTCTCCTGCGGCATCCTCAACCACCTCTTCTGGCTGAGGAGGCGGTGCGCGTTGAGATTTGCTGAGTGCCTCTTCCTCTTCGAGCTTCGCTAGTTGGCGGCGTGTAAGTCGGACTGCTGGAGTCTGTGGGGCTTTTGACTGTTCATCGTTATTGGGAATCTGGGCGATATCTGGATGCATATTAGTGGCTGACCCCTGCTTACGATATGACAGTGGCATCCCGGTCACTCACCATCTGTGTGCTCCAGAGCCAAATTCTGATCCGCGCTCTCGTTCACAGGATTGACTGTGGCTTGTCGCTCAGCGTCTTCCACAACTTGCGCAAGCTCCTCTTCCTCAGTCTTTGCCTTCTTGCCCTTGGCGCCTTTCTTTGCACCTTTACCTTTCCCCTTCTTTGCGGGTGTCTTTGCAGGCGTCTTTGCGGGCAGTGGTTCTTCGATTTGTACTGCGGGCGATGCGTTCGGTTCGATATCCTTCAGGACGCGTTCATTGATTACAGGCGTCTCGATTGGCTCCTCCACGTCCTGTTGGGCGCGCTGCGCGGCGCGAGTGACGCGCATGGTGTTGTTGATATCCAAAAATTACGTAGGTTTCGTGGTATTGGTGTCGAGTTGACTAAGTATTGGTGAAAAGCATATGTACAGTGAGCTGGTGGGTTGTTGATGTGATTGGCGATGTGGTAATCCTCGAGTGATCTTTGGCGTTGCAGCTGTGTTTCCAGCACGAACCCAAACAAATGTCCTCATTCGGACTAGCTCCCCGCAAAGTCCGTGAACTTCGGAAACGGTGTCACGTGGTCAGTGCTCATCGGAGTCCCAGGGTGCTTTCAAGCCATCTGCCGAGTCGCAGCGTCCCATTTCTGAATCCGGAGCCGCTCCCGTGGACGTGTTCTCTCACTACTTCTGCTGTGATCCCAAAAATTTCTCGACGAAAGGCCGTCCGGACTTCACGCACTCATTTGACATATTATTGAGTCGTCACGATTTTCGCCCAATCAGAGCGACTAACAATCTCTCACGAAGGCGAAGTTTACTCCAGAGGATCTCAATCATCCTCAATTGCTTTGACGTTCAGGCATTGTTCGTTGCTTCGTGCACCTGCACGAGGCTGACAATCGGCACCGTTACCGGCAACCTTCACATATAGCGATATCTCCGAGACCGGCAAGCTGGCTTACCCCGCGAGGCAGTTGTCTACGATTCTCAACTCCGTCAGTAAGCGGAGCTACCCCACCATATCTAGAATGACCTCACGAGCCGCGGCGAACTCCCGCCTCAATCAACTCTCCAAGCACCTCGACTCCAAACCATTCTTCGAGCTGAACACACCCTTTTCGACGGAACGCAGCGGACATCTAGAAGACGCACAAGGCAACCGCATACAGCGCAATAAGCCTCAAGAACTTAAAAAGCCTGAACCAGAGCAACTACCAAAGAAAGAACAACCACCCAAGATGGCATCCTCTCAGGCTCCCCACCCAGCTCTTATGATCCCCGGACCCATTGAGTTCGACGATGAAGTCCTCAAATCCATGAGCTTTTACAGGTAGGATCCATATCCCAATGGCACTTCGAAACATACACTGATACACCCTCAGTGAATCGCATGTTGGCCAGCCATTCGTCAACTGCTTCAGCGAAGTTCTTCAAAACCTCCGCAAGCTCTTCCAGACCACTGACCCTGCCTCGCAACCCTTCGTCATCTCCGGTTCCGGCACACTCGGCTGGGACCAGGTCGCCGCCAACTTGGCTGAGCCTGGCGAGGAGGTCCTCGTACTTCACACTGGATACTTCGCCGACTCGTTCGCCGACTGCTTCGAGACATACGGCGTCAAGGTCACACAGCTGAAGGCACCCATCGGTGACCGACCACAACTTGACGAGGTTGAGAAGGCCCTCAAGGAGAGGAAGTACAAGATTCTCACAGTCACACATGTCGACACATCTACCGGCGTGCTCAGCGAGCTCAAGGCATTGAGCGACCTCGTTCACAAGGTCAGCCCCGAGACATTGCTTGTTGTCGACGGTGTATGCAGTGTTGGTTCTGAGGAGATCCGCTTTGACGACTGGAAGCTCGATGTCGTCCTTACAGCATCACAGAAGGCTATTGGGTGCCCGGCTGGTCTCAGCATCCTGATGGCATCTGGCAAGGCGATCGAGGTCTTCAGGAACAGGAAGACAAGACCCACATCCTACTTCGGTTCATGGAAGAACTGGCTACCAAGTAAGTACATCAGAAAATATACTTCGACATTCAGATATTAATTCATCCACAGTCATGCAGAACTACGAAGCCAAGAAGGCATCCTACTTTGCCACACCATCACCTCAGCTCGTCCACGCTCTTGACACAGCACTCAAGCAGATACTGTCGCGACCTCTCGAGCAGCGCTTCGCCGACCACAAGGCCGCGTCGAAGAAGATCAAGCAGGCTGTTGCAGACTTCGGCCTGAAGCAGCTTGCCTCCAAGCCTGAGAACCAGGCCAACGGCATGACCGCCATTTACCTGCCCGAGGGCGTCACACCCCCTGACGTCCTCCCCAACCTGCTGAAGAAGGGTGTCATCTTCGCTGGTGGTCTGCACAAGGAGATCGCGACCAAGTACATCCGATGCGGACACATGGGTGTCAGCGTAACAGATCCTAACCGCAAGGACCTGACTAAGGCTATTGAGAGCTTGAAGGAGGCGTTGACAGAGGTTGGCCACAAAGCATAGATGTAAGAATCCCTTTCTAGGTATCTTGTATATACGTCACAAGGTTAGATAAAACATCGGCTACATGTAGACGATGTATCGAGTATCACGCCAAAAATAGTATCGCATTTTCAACTCCAAGCATTTCGAGTCTTGCAATGATGATGGATCTTGTGGCTATGCTCCCACCCGCACCACCAAGCTTGCAACCTTGCTCATTAAGCACCAGGAACGGCACCAGAACCCCACTGCCAATTCTACCATTCGTCTCTGGTGTTCAAAGCCAAGATGCCTAGCACAAGGTTGCGGCTTGGTATAGGTTAAAAATGTGGGTTTTATTCCCGCTCGGCCTATGATAATACCACTTGGCGACAGCATCATCCGCAAAACACCAACCGGCTCGTTACGGCGAGACTGTGTACGCTTGGTATATTGGGGATGTACATCACCTTACGGACCCCTCCTGGGATGGCGATGTCTCTCTTACCCATCGTCTCGTATCTACCCGTAATTTACCTTTCAGCACTGAGCACTATTTCTTGCGCCGAAATTCGTTCGCTCTGAGAATTGCTATCTGGTCAATGCTCTAGATTCCTATCACCAACATGACCTCAACACGTCCAAACCAACATCCCTGGGTAATAGCATACCAGAACGCACCACCCCCCGCCTGCGCCACCCTCCGCGCGCTCGCCAACACCGTCGAATACGGCCTGACATGCGTCTTCGCCGAAGAAGACGGTGACCCGCTCCCCGACTCAATCAACACCGCCTGTCTCCCCTGGGCCACCTCCTCAGTCCCCTCAAGCGCATTCTACTCCCCCGCCACCGCGTGCCCGACATCCTGGACTGCCGTAGCTACTCACACCGCTGCTGAGGGCGCTAGTGACTGGATCGATGGCGAGACGGCGTTACAGTGCTGTCCGTCGGGGTTCGTGGGGGGAAGTGGTGGGATGTGTAATCCGGGGACTAGTGGAAGTACGCCGGTGCTGAGGTGCGGTGAGGCGGATGCGGAGGAGAATGAAAATTTGATGTATACGGCGGGGAGTTGGCCGGCGAGTGTGAGCGCGAGGGTTACGGCGGTGCAGTTGAGGTACCAGCAGAGCGATGTTGGGTTGGGTGCGAGTGCGACGAGGACTGTGACTCCGAGCACGAGCACGAGGGGGTCGAGTCCGGGCGATGGGAGTGATGGCGGGGGCCTCTCCACGGGTGCGAAGGCTGCGATCGGGACTGTGATTCCTCTGATCTTGATTCTGGGGGCGTTGGCTGCATTTCTGCTTTGGCGGAGGAGGAAGCATAAGAAGGCCGCTGCGGCGATGTCCAAGGACTTTGCAGACGGGCATGAGACGAAACGAAGCTATGATAAAGTACCCCAGGAGGCATTCTCGAGCTTAAAAGGCATGCCTGCTGCTGTCATGGTGCCCGCGGCGACTGTTGCTCCTACTGCCGCTGCTGCGACTCAGAGTGGCCAGCATGAGATGCCCGAATGGAATGCGGAGCTGGATGCTACTGAGGCTGAGAGGAGGAGGTATATGGCGGTTCAAGGGAGCTTGTTTCCACCGATAAGTGGTACTCACGATGCTGCATCGTCTCCAGGAGGGGCAAGTGAGGCTAGCGAATTGGGTGGCATAATGAGGGTCAATAGGAAGCCTATCACGCCTGTTGAACTTGATTCAACTTCAGTGACGACTGAGTTGGATGGAAGTGGAAGTGTAGAACGGAGGTAGATAGAGAAGTTTGAGAGCAGCATGATACCCAACGATGCCTTCCTACCTATGACACACTCGAATTTCTTTCTCTATTGCTATTTTATCACCTTTGTTTCGAATTTGAGGAGATTCAAGATTGCTCTTTTCCTTTGTGCAAGAGGATTGAACGGTACACTGCCTCGGGCTCGAAGATATCCGCCTCACCTGGGCGATGATGCTTCCGCAAAGTTGGTCTGCATGACTGGATTATCGGTAACGCTGAGCATGACCGTAGAGTTTCCCGCCCTCTCCAGCATCCTACCCGGTTTGAGTTTACGATAGACATCTGTTCGCACCTTCCGCCCATTCTGTCTATCTTCTTGCCACTGTCAAAGCAGCTCGCCAGGCATGACCCGTGCTTTAGCGACCCGACCTGTTCGATCTTTGGTCCCTACGGATCTGGCCATAGCGGTGAAGGCAGAATCGCGACCTTACTCAGGACGGCAATACCTGCGTTTATACTCAGACCTCTGACAATGGCGATGTATACGCATTCCCTTCTGCTCGGTCTATTCCTGCCGCCAATACTCTTCGCCATACTGCTCAATACATTACAGCTGATCCTGAGTAAATAGTCTCCACACACATGGCTTTCACATTTCGGTCCCTTCTCTGCTATCACAAAGTTTGGCGTTCGAGGGTTCTGGGGTCGGTGGTGGCATCAGCAGATGCGGCACACTGTCTTCGAACCGGGGAGATGGTTGGCAGCAAAACTTGAAGTGCGGAACGATGGGTGGCAGAAGACCGCTAAATACATGTTGGTTTGTGTATCTGCGTTTACACTGAGTGGGATCACGCACTCGGGCATGGTGCCGCCACAGCCAAGGTTTGCGACAGTGGATGCAGACGAACTGCGTTTGAAGTTGGCGAGCTTCTTCTAGATACAGCCAGTCGGGATCGCAATCGAGTTGTCCGTCCTCGAGCCTTCCCTACGCAGTCTTCTTCCTACGATGCGTGAATTGCAGGATTGGTCGAGAGTCATATGCACGGTGGTATTCATGTGCTCCACGTGCACCTTCTTAGTTCTCCCATTTGGTCAGCTAGGATACTGGAATACCATTCCATCCGAACATCTACCGCCTGCTGCTGGCAACATACATGTTGCGTTGTGAATAGGTCATAAATGGAAATTCATGGGATGTCTCCTCGCTTAAGAACCCATGTCAGTTGCTGTTGCCCTTCCGGGAAGAACCTGCATGCAGCAGAGCCCCTCTTATTCACTTTTGTCGTCTTGTTCGTTCAATACCACAACTCGCTTGCAGCAAAACCGGAGCTTGATAGTACCATGGATACCGATTGCGCCCACTGTTCCGGATCTGTCTCCTACTACAACCCCGATGAGGAAGACCTGACCATGGCAGAAGGCCATGAGCTCTTCCATCAGCCTTGTCAGGGATGTCCTCTTCCGTACCCGCAAGAAAAATCACTATGTTCAGCTTGTCAGCACCTACGATTGAAGCATCTGGTCAGTTGTGTACCTATAGAGACCCGTCGGCGGTTCTTGTTCCATCGTCGGTTGGGACGAGTGGAGGAAGGCGCAATACCGAGCTGCCTTCTATGCTGCCTGGTCGAGCGTATGATCTCACATGCGTTTGGAGAGAACCCTATTTCGACCATGATCCCAGACGAGTGGTCTATCTCGCTGTTCCTTGGCTCTGAACACGATGTGTCTTACGGTACTGCCGCAGATATTTATCTTCAGTCCAGAATTGAAGATGGGGGCATGTCTAACATGTGGGTTGGAGACCTTCACATAGCCGACATGAGTAGGAAGGTGGCTGATATGCCCTGTGTAGGTGCCACGGTACACTGGTTGCGCTTGCGAGGTGCGATCGATGAGTGTACTGCAGAGCACGCCAACTGTCGATTAGATGGCAAAGCGAACCTTCCACGCGGATTTCGTCTTATTGATATTGCACGACGGTGTGTTGTCGAGACGAGCGAGGTCCCATTCGTAGCTTTGAGCTACGTTTGGGGTAAAGACACGCGGGCGTCACTTCTGACTGCCACCAAGAATACCATCGCAGCGTTGAGCCAGGTCAGTGGTCTCTCAATAGTAGATATGCCTCGGACAATTGAGGATGCTATGAATATCTGCACTGAGCTTGGGATTAATTATCTTTGGGCGGACCGACTTTGCATCATACAGGACGATCCAGAAGACAAGATGCACCAAATTATGGCGATGAACGACATCTACGAGTCGGCGTTGCTAGTGTTAGTATCGGCCTATGGTGACAGTATGGACTTTGGAATCCACGGTGTCAGTCATCCACGCCCAATCACCCAACATCACGAAGAAATCTCCGGCCTCCGAATAACCAACCTTGTTCGAGACCCAGCAGAGAGCCCTCTTACCTTATGGCAGACGCGAGGCTGGACATATCAAGAAGCTGTTTGTGCGAAACGACTGCTTCACTTCACGAACACACGAGCTTACTTCGAGTGTCAGACTTCGACATGTTATGAGGACATGTACAACGTCGACACTGAGATCAACGAGTTCAGTACTTATGGTATCCACCTGCAGGATGAGAACTCGAGCTTTGAGGCCTTCGGACGGCATCTTGCAAACTACACATCGCGAAAACTGTCTTTCTCGTCGGACGTTTACAATGCCTTCGTCGGAATTGCCAACTTGCTGTACGGATCAAGCTATGCAGAGTCGTTCTTCTATGGCCTCCCAAAAGTAGACTTCGATCGTGCACTGCGTTGGTATGCTTGGGACGGTGAGAAACCTGTTCAAAGAACGGAGATTTCAGGCCTGGTCTGCCCGAGCTGGTCTTGGGCATCTGCCATGGTTCAAGAAGAACAGGTTAGATACCAAGATACTGAGTTCTACGGAACTTTGGCCCTCTGGACTGCAAAAGGCGAGGATTCCGAGCAATGGGAAGTGCTCAATCTGCACCCGGAAACGAAATTGGACGAGAGTTGGGAGATTTACATGGTAATTGCCAGTCAAGAGGGGTGTTTACGAGGTTCGCCAATAGATGAGCTTTTGCGGACTATGGATAACCTGACCATACAGGGGAGGTTTCGCGCTCATTGGCCCGATTATCACAGCTTCTGCAAAACCGCATTCCAGACGCCTAGAGGACCCCACGACCAAGATCCGGCTATCAATAAGTTCGGGCCGGGCTTCTTATCCACTGTGGTCCAAACAGCCTATCTCCGACTCGGACAGCGCGGGTCAAGTCATTACGGCTTGGGTATCGTCGACTTGAACAACGCTGTAGTTGGTGAGCTTTGCGGAGAGATCACCAACTTCAGAGAGAAAGCTCTGGCACCCGTCAATAGGGATGTTCTGTACGAGTTCTTCGCATTGTCGTTGTCAGGCTTGCATATCTATCCATACACTGGGGAAGAGCGGACAACAAAGAATTATTTTGATAAGGATGGCACAGCGCTAGAGACGTTGCCCATTGTCAACGTGCTGTTGATCGAGCGTAAAGGTAATCTTGCGTATCGAAAAGAGCTCGGATGGGTTTACTTGAAGGATTGGGCAAAAGCAGATCGACGCTGGGAAACGGTTGTACTTGGGTAGCGTACCTCGAGACGTCTTCGACATACTCCAAACTATGTCTCTTGCCTAAGAAGTGTTCGTCCTTTCGCGATGATCTTGGAGGCCGCAAGAGGGAAATAGGTTTTGCCGAATCACTTTTGTTTGCGAAATGTCGCCAGGACACAAGAACAACTCTGCTTCGAGTTATGATCTTGGTAAAAAGAAGTGAGGCTCCCCGGATCGAAGCCGATGGTCATGCTCTTCCAACCCGGGTCCCCCAAGAGTCGACCAACTTTAGCGAGCTCATCCCACACTTCTCGCTCACCCTAAGCAAAAATAACACCACTACCTCAATAACTTCACATTAGCAAAATGCATCGGCCGGGAATCGAACCCGGGGCTAGCCGAAACTGAGCTATGAAGCTTGGCAACGGCTAATTTTACCACTAAACCACCGATGCATGATCAAAGGTGAACTACTTGCTTGATGAAAAATTGTTCAAGTGTTAACACCATAATGTCAATCAAATAGCTACCATCGTCCTCCTTCTATTGACCCTTCATTGGCAGAGCATCGTGTTCCGACAGTGGGTAGTGATGAAGATTTGATTAGCATACCGAAGCAGGCACCCGACCCAATGTCCACCTTCCCCACTTACATTCTGCAACATGAAGATAAGGAAACACAGACCCACAGCTGTCGTATATAACGAACCAAAGTACAAAAGAAATAAACAACATAGACAGCGAGCCTGTGAAGCGGAACGCGGAACAAAGTCCCAGCCCGTAGATGTACAAATTACCCGGACTCCGCACAACCATACTCAATACAAGGTAGACACACATGAAAGGAAAGATACAAAAAACGCTAAGATCACGACTCAGAGTATACGACTTGTATCACTCCGTAGGATGCTGAACCCTGACCATGCCACCGAAACTGGAGTCTGAATCGGAGTCGGATATGTCCACCGGAGCTGACAAAGCGCAGGTACCGTTTGCGGCATGTTGTTCAGAAGTGACCTCCACTGGTGGTCGCGCGCCACTGTCAATATGCTTCAGGCTCTTGACCAACTGTTCCGCAGTTGGCCGCCCTTCTGGATCAATTTGCAGTAGCTGTGGGATAACGTTGGCAACCTCCTGGAGAGATCCTTCGCAACGCTTCGACACGCTCTCCATCTTCTTCAAAACAACCTCTCGTAACCTGAACTTGTCGCCAGCGTTGGGTGCGTAGTAGAAGCCCTCATCTTCCCGGCCGCCTGGAGTGACTTGGCACTCACGTTTATCGCGGAAGTTTATCAACGCTGTATAGCCATCTAGGAACCATACCAGAAGCTCCAGGTAGACACAGCCAAGGGACCAGAGATCGTATGGCCTAGAAGTCCTGCCTTGCGCGGTGGATTCCGGTGCTCGATAAACAGGTGTGCCTGACTTACTAACTGTTTGCCAGCTGTGTCTGTTCTTGCCGCTTACCGAAGTGAGGACATCAACCACCTTGGCACACGAGAAGTCTGACAACCGAAACCAGTACGTCTTCTTACCGTTGTCATCGTAGATGAACATGAGGAGATTCTCAGGTTTGATATCATGGATGTAGCCGGTCTTCGGCTTTTCGGAACCTGGGACAAGAAGGTTGAAGCTGTTGCCAGGGTCAATTTGACCTTGGTTATGGATGACCGAGAGAGCATCGGCTAAGCCAAAAAGCTGTTGCGCCAAATCGTTGGGCCTCATGTCAGGGAGCTTCCGCGGATCTGAGTTCATTTTCATGAACTTTTCCACATCGCAATCAGCCTTCTCGTATATCATATTGTACTGCGAGCTGAACGTGAAGCTAGCGAGGCACTTCAACAGATGAGGATGGAACAGATTCGCCATTGCCCGATGGAAAGAGACCTCACGTGTGCCTTCGTGTTGCGTAACCTTCATTGCGAACAGACCGTCTTTGTTAGCTCCCTAATAATGCCATCAGTACAAGTCCTTTCCGTAAGCTGGGGGATGACGTACACTTGAGAAGGAACGCTGATCAGGGTGTATCCAAATCTTGTAAACATCGCCAAAAGCCCCTTGACCAAGCAGCGAACTCTGGCTCTCATCCAACCTGAGAGGCTTAGCCATGTGATCGTTCCACTTTTGTTCCGAGTTCAGTTGGAAATATGCTGGGTTGAATCGTTTCTGCTTCTCGAGGAAGGATAACTTGAACCTCCGTTTGTTCTTTTGCGCAGGACAATCCTCCTCCCTGAATGGAAATTTCGCGTCACTGAGACCGTACTCGAACAAGGCCTTCACACAAGTCAAGGACAACTCGGCGTATACGCAGGTGGCGAACATCTTACGTCCTTCAGTAAGAATCTTTCGTACAAAATCCTCTTCTTCTTGTGGTCCAAGGTACAGGTCCTCATCTTTCGATACCAGAATTCGAATGACACTTTGGGCTGTGACGACATCGAAGTTCGGTCTTGGCAAGAAGATTTGCTCTTCGCCTCTGAACATAGTCTTCGCCATATGATTGTCCATGTATTCGAGCACTTGATCAAAGTCATCGAGTAGCGTCGCCATCTTGTTGAAGCTTTTGAGGGTGCAATTAGAAAGCGATACGAGTTGCTCTAGACGTGAGGCACGTGAGTGGCTCCACGCCAGTTGACATTTGGGGGCCGGAAGTTGCGATGAGACGTGAGAGTTGGCTCATCGAGTAAGCTAGACAGGTGGACGTTCTTACAATCTTTATCTTTGATCGACAAGAAGGCAACAAGGCAACTAAGCCACAATAATTGAGGTCGATGTGTGTGCCCTCTCCAGACTGCGAAATGATCTCATGCCATTCGACATCGTCAGCCATAGCACCTAAGCCCCAATTGCGTCCGGCCAACGTTCACATAGAGAACCTGTGGGGTGCCAGTCCGTGGATGTTAGCACTATCGCTCGAGTGGAAAGATAGCATCATTGGCTGCCCCATGGTAGAAGGTAAAGTGCAGGAAAACCGGTCAGGCATATTTGAGCAAAGACGGCTGTGTGAAGGGTGAGATGCCGAGAAGCTGAAGGCGGGGGTGCACACTAAATCGGGAGCAGACCAATCCGGGCAGCGGTTGTTCCTACCGACAGGGTGCGGGTGATGGAAGCGAGCTCAGCACGGGAGCGCTTGTGAGGCATAGAACAAGCCGAAATGAAAGGTGCTAAGCCGATACCGAAAAGGCGCACATCGAGTGCAGTTGCACGAGCTGCTCCCAACTTGTCAGCCTTGGTGGGCGCAGGAAGAACGAAACCTGGCTGCACGAGCATCAAGTACAGTGCTACGTAGTGTGCTGCAGCCACAAAAGCGGCAAGTGCACTTCTAATAGGCTAAGACTGCTCCCTGCGCCCCACAAGTTCGAGCCCTATGCATGATAGCGACATCTGATGCAAGTCATACTGGCGACTCAGCCTTCTTTCTTGCAGACAGTTGGGAAGCTACCAGTCTCCGCATGTACTCCATATGGATCCAAGAATACCAGACCAGGAATGTAAAGATGGTCAGAGGAATCGAGATGGCAAAGAATACCCAAGCGTTCTGTGCGTAGCCCATTTTTGTAGGACCACCATCGACTTCGGTCTGATTGACGAATTGTGTGGAGTAAAAATTGGACACAATGGTGCAGGGCAGGTATATCATGGTAATGATGGTAAGGACCCGCATGCTGGATGAATCTCTTCTGTTTTTCTCGGCGATTGTTTGCATGATCGTGTTCCCCTCTCGAAGTGCACTTATCTGGTGATTGATGTTGTAGCCGCTCTGTCTTTCGAGTAGAGATGAGATCTGGACACACACAATTAGCACAACATAGATAATGGCCGGCAAGCTAAAGTATTTCTTACTAGAGTTCTGGTGCTCTGAATTCTCGCAAGCAGCGCTTCCGCTTTGCGCCTAGTATACAGTATTTCTTTCACTTTTTCTTTCAGAGCAACGGCTACCGCATCAAGGGTATATGCTGATCTCGATTCATTTTGACAATGACAGAAGCGATCGTACATCTCTTCGAAAGTCGTTAAAGTGTCAGATGTCGAGTCAAGACATAGAATGAGATCAGCCACATCGTCTTCGATCTGTTTCAATTGCTGATGATCCTCGACCGAGATCGAGACGAAGTTTTCATCGTCGTCTTCGGTGCTAATGCACACACCAGTGGTTTTGTCAGACTATGCGCAGTCAGTATAGATGCCTGAGAAGAAGGAACGTAAGCTACCAAGTGAGACGCCAGTTGCGTTATGTAGACCAGATAGGGCCTCCAACTGGTAATGACAGTGTCGAGGAAAATGACATGCAATTCAAACGGATTTGCTGCAACAACGTCGTCCACACTTCTTGTGTATTGATCGAAACGTCCCTCCATTCGTTGCGATGCCCCGACAAGGATCCATGTAGAACATCGACTGCCTCCTGGCTTGAAGCGATGGTAAACACCAAATTGTCGCAGCGACCACGGATTCTTTCGACCACCCCGATTGGTGTTCTCGACGTATCGTAGGATGTAGGTACACTCTGCAGTCGAAGAGCATAAGCAGTCTTCAGCAATCAAGACTTTTCCTGGCAAACTTACCAAAACCGCGATACACGTTGTCGTGAGCTGTGTACAAGGGTCGAAACTTGAGCGGGGGAGGTCCAACCTCAGATTCACTGCTCTTCCGGCCAAATCCAATCACATATTCGTTGAAGCGAGGGAAAACATGGCACAATCGTAGTAGTGTCTCGAAATCTGCCTTCGTGATGTGCAAGCGGTTGAGTGAGTGCTTTTGTCGAAGGTAGAAGACTCGAAAGTCGTATTTCGTACGTTTAACGAAGTTCTCGATCTCGCTGGACCCAAGTTCACTGGACACTAACTTCGGAGGGCCAGGGTAAAGCGGTGGTCCGGAATCTGCTTGACGCTGGTCCATCGCAATCGACAAAGCTGTACTGGAGGCTTCGCTCAAGATTGAGCATTTGTCGGCCTCATCATCGCTGAGTTCACCGTTGGACTCAAACATGGACATCTTGCGACGACGTCTGACTGAAATATCCCTGCTCTTGTAATCGTGTGAGCTTGGTGTATCTTTAGCGTCGCTAGATTCGGCGGCATTGCTGCAAGTTTGAACACAGACTGCAATCCGGGTCTTCGAGGGGTCTGACTCGAATACCTGCTCTGCAGACCTTTCGTAGTGTTCATTTGCCGCGGGACTACGGTCGTGAAAGAGCGTGCGTTCGAAGTAAGGAGTAGCCTTCATGATTGGAGATGGGGCGCGAGCGGACACAAGGGGGATGTGCGCCTTCTCCACGTTCACCATGTATGTATATGTCCTTGGACAAGGCAGGGCTATTGAGTGCAGCCATCGAACATAGTTCGTTGCAGCGAGGCAACGAATTTCAATACTGCATAGGCATGTGTTGTGGGCGGAGAAGGCTGAGAGCCAACTGCAGATTAAGCTAACCCGTTTCGACTGCTAGCGTCCTTCCCAACATCGTCATTGCGGTAGCTGCGTCGGAATCACAAACACCCCACAAGTGTCAAAAGCACGTAGGAACCCGTCCCACTCGATTAGTACAGTATCCGGTCAATGTGACCGGAATCCGACTCACCACTTGCAATCGCTGCGTTTCAACGCTTGGAGGCATGCGCAACACCCTGCAGGTCTGGCAGGCTAACGACATGCTCATGCATCGCCAACACATCATCACTGCTTGATCGTTCTGCGAGAAGCCAATCCGCATTGTCAAACAGAGCTCAAGTGAGCTGAGATCTAGGTCCACTCGCCTCATATCGGAGCCCTGTCAACCCTCTGGTGACACTACCCAGTTCTGATAACGAATGTCATCCACGCAAGGTATGAAGGACACCTCTCGTCGAAATTTCATTCGCCCCATGAACACCTAAGCCCCGCCTCTTGTACTGCAGCTTGGAGGCGAACAACCTTGCTGTTTAAAGGCAGGCTTCGGAATTGAAGAAGGCAAAGTGCAGACTCGATCTGGTCCTCAGACAGACGTGCTGCGCCAGGTGAGCCCAAGAGACGTGGCAGCCCAATGCGCCTCATAGGCTCTCTATTAGGCTTTCTTCACACAGCCATCGGGCAGTGCCCCTCGGTACCCTTTGCGTGACTGACTGCAGTGGTCCGACCCGCGCCTTGCCGGGAAATCACCCCTCATCCCACTCACGCCTCATCCATTAAACTTCACCTCACAACTCTGCAGAAGCCTGAGACCCCCATAGCCGCTTTACAGGTGGCTGCAGCGGTCATGACAGCCAAAGTGTTGCCGCCATCTGTGTTTCCCACTGCGGCACCAATGCACTCTCCTCCACAAGTTATCGAGAATAGATACATCGACGACGACAAGCTTGTAGAAATCTGCAAGGAGAGATTTGGAGCGGGAAACTACAGATTGAAGGTAAATAGGCCCCTTGGCCAGGTGAATCTAGGACAACATTACTTATGCTGGACAGTTCAAGCTCCGCAAATGGTACCTCTCAGCACCCTGCTGGCTCGACGATGTATGTTTTGACCAAAAAGCTTTCAACAGAGGATTGAGCGCTCACTAATGTATCACAGGAGACGATCGAACAATGTGAGATGGAATATCTTTAGAACGCCATTTCGATTGCCTGTAGCGCCGGCCTCAGCTTCGACACTGTGAACAGGAATTTACCAAGAATGGTGATTGCATGTACAAGGGGACTACAGGAGTGAGCATTCACATCAGCGATTGAGTTTCGGTGTTATAGCTACGTTGCATCTGCCGGGATAGTCGATTTACACGTATCATTGCTTCACATCCATGCACTGTTTCCTGCTGATAGAATAGCATCATCCCAGTCATCATATATTCGCCTTCCAAATTAGCGTGCTCCATAACAATGAAAGATGACAAGCCATTGAGACCCATGTATAGTGCTACCACACAGAAAGACCACCCCAACGCCATGCAGAACGCACCGAACCAGAACGGGTATGAATGTGGCACAAGCAGGAAAGAGAACAGACTGTGTACAGAAAAGTGACAGATGCAAACGCCGTACATCCAAGTCCCGTTTCCATGGAAAGAAAGCGTAGAAAGAACAGACTGCTCGCTCACGAAGACGAACCTGAAGCAGCAGAGCCACCGCTCTCACTCCTCGTCAGCTCCTCCCCCTCGCCCTCAAGTGGCTCGTTCTCCATTTGCTCAGCGATCTCCTCATACCACTTGCCATGCGCCTTGCGGTCAACTTCTCCAACCTTGCTTAGTTGCTCGCATATATCAGCAACCTGAGGTACAAACTCTGCAAGACCGGTCGTTGCAAGCCCTTCAGTGGCTGTACTGGCGGCCTTGACACGTTCGCCTGAGCTGCTAGCTGACACGCGGTTGAAGATGTGCGTCTTGAGGCGCTGGAAGAGGACCTTGGTGACCGGATCGGAAAGCTTACCAGATTCGGCTTGAGTCAAGAGGCGAGTAACTGTGGAGGACAGCTGTGCGCGGGTGGAGGGCGGCATATTGTGGGAAGACTCAAGCAGAGAGGAGATCTTCAAAGGAGTGGTGGGATCCTTCATGTAGCCATCCTTCAGGACCTCCCACATACGAGTTGCTTGAGGCTTCCATTGCGAGCGGACGTCACGCTTGAGGAGGTTCTTGGCTGTAAGCAAAATGCCGCCAATGGTGGTGATACGCAGAGCATCTTCGCGAATACGGGAGATACGAGCTCGGTCTAGCGCAAGAGTCTCTGGGAGCTCAGAGTCTCGAAGTGGTGGAACAGAGATTGCGAGGTCAATGAGGCCGCGAGCGTAGATCTTGTGTGCTGTTGGTCGGTTCATGGGGTTATGCTGGGCCCAAGGGTCACGGCGATCTGCTTCGGTATGCATGTTGATAGCTGCACTACGCCACCAGCGCCGTGTACGTTCCAAAGTGATACTGCCCTCTTCCAGGTCCTGTGCGAACATGCGTTGCTCGTACCCAGTGGCTTCCTTGATCAGAGTTGGCGCAGCGTTCATAAGAAGGAAGTTCGAGTAGTCCAGCGATAGGAGGTCGATAACGTGCAGAAGTTTGAATAACTTCTCCACCATCTCAGCGAGCTCGCCCTCCTTCTGTAGCTCATCCGCCAACTCTTTGACCTGAGCGTCCCGGAAGGGAGCACAGAGCTTAGGCAGAATATTGGCGATGAAACCGAAGAACTTCTCATATGAGAACAACCCTTGACTGCACTGCTTGTTGATGTGATCTAGATCCAAGGTCTCTGAGATCAGAGTATGCATCGAGTTCCCTGCCTTCAACAGGCGCAACAGCTTCGCACGAATATTCTCTGCCATGGCGGCTGTCCATTGCGCACTGTCACCGTCCTCGAAGCCTTTGCACATGGCGTCGCACAACTCGCGGTTGAGAGCATCTCTCAGGTCAGCAGTTGGCGATGCATCGATGCGGTACTCTTTGTCGACGGACAGCTCGTGAACAAGCACACGATTGTCTGGCACGACAGTGAAGACTTTTGACAATGACTGAGCCTGGTGACCTTGTGTCGCAGATCCAACACGTGCCGCTTGACCAGAAGCAGCAAGCTCAGAGGCGGCCTCAGCTTGCATGGCGGCACTCTCGCCCTCAATAGGCAAGCCAGAAGACACATCGACAGCGACTCGCGGTCGGACCGTCTCTCCAGCAGGTCGCTTCTTGGGTCTTGATCTGCGACCTTCCCGAATAGCCTTGCGAATCAAGGTCAATGCCTTGTCTGGTCCTGCTAGCTTCTTGATCCTGCTGAGCAAGATGGCTTGGTTGTCTCGAATGCCTGTCCTGTACTCGTTCGCAACCTCTTCAACAGTTGCATCTTTGACGCTCTGCCAAATCTCATCGAGACTAACGAAAGACGCGACCATGGTCTCGACAAGAGCAGATGAATCGCGAGCTTTCCAGTCATTGAAGGCCGTCACAAAGGCGCTGTGAGCCAACAACACCGTCTCGGTCCTGGTAGGCGAAGGAGTATAGTAGTTGAAGGTTGTGAGTTTTCCAAAAGCTGATTCGAAGGAGAGCACCAAATCCTTAGCCTTGGTAATGAGATCCTGCTCCTGATCGCCGTCGCGGCTCAGCACGTTCGTAGGGTGCCCTAGAATAAGATACGAAGAGAGGAATGTTCGAACAGCTGTACTGCGGGCAGCTGGGTCTGGGTCTGGTAGCAGAACGAATAGTTCCATGACCTTCTCGGTCATCTTCAGGAGCTTCTCATCAGCAAGCATGGCAGTGATAGCCTCAAAACTTGTGCTGCTGATCTTCTCGATTGAAAGTCCAGTCTCCAGCCATACATCGACGATGTTCTTCCTAGTTCTCGCCCTCCATGCAGACTGAATGCGTTTTGCGGCGTCCTCAGAAGTTGGTGCGGGTGGTTGCTGGGTGGCTTTCTTCGCATCAGCGGGAGGCGAGCTCGCAGTTCTCGGCCTGCGAGGGCTGCGTTTGTACTCCAAGCGCCTCCTTTCTGCCTCGGCATGTTTTTCCTCCATTTCGAGGCGGTATCTGCGTTCTTCGGCGGCCTTGCGCTCTTTCATGTCCTCTGCTATCTTCTTGGCCCTGCGTACTTCCTCGGCGCATGATGCTGCCACCTGTGCGAGATGCCTTTCGCGGGCCTCTTTGGCAGCCAACGCTTTCTCTTCGCTGTTCGAAACACGTGGTGTCGCCTTGGCCGCTGCGGCGCGCAAACGAACCTGCTCAGCATGGGCCGCTCGGTCAGCCAATCGAGCTTTGCGGGTTTCAAGGATCGATACGCGGCGGAGATGCTGGGCAATGTGGTGGCTCTGGCAGCTGTTGCGTATGGTGGAGCGGTTCGAGGTGTGAGAGTGGGTCGAAGAGAGCGAGTTGCGGCGGGATGACGTCGCGGACGATTTTCGGCGGTTGTTCGAGTGTCTGTAGAAGCGTGCGGCGATTCGTGGTGGAGGAGCGCATGTCTGGCCGTCGCCAGCGTCGTCTGAGGGGAGCATGTCGGGTTCCTCAGGGATGTCGTCGTTGCCCAGCTCCAGCTGCGAGCTCACCAAATCGATTTCCGAGTCGCTGAAAGACATGGTAATATGTGTAGTTTCCCCTGATTAAGGAGTCGCGCGACTGTGTCGAGTCAGCCCGGAGAGGCAGGCGTAGCTGGTGCTGACCGAGATATGAAACAAGGCACGTCCTCGACGATGACGATGTCTGTGTGTAACGAAAGATGCAGCGAGGAGAGGAGCACATCCAGCAAGAATATAGCGAGTACACAGCAGAAGCGAAGGGACCCGGTGCCTTGGTCAGCCGGCCGTGTTTATTGATGGCTGCACGCAAGATTGCAGATTGATAAGCGGTGGGGTAAAGGCGGTGCCCGTTGCTCGCTCGAGGGCTGAACGAGCGTTGCGCAAGGATCACGTAAAGGAAGAAGCGCTCGACTGAACACAGCAGCCGTCGCAGCAAGGTGAAGAAGGTGGCTGGGATGGCGTGCCTTCCTTCGACATGACGGAAGTGCCCATCAGCCGCCTTGCACCAGCGGCAGCCAAAGAAAGAGGGATGACATCGCGCTAAAAGAACACCATCGAACGTGATCGACGTCTTCTCGACCTCCACTCATCAGCCTTACCAACCGCGTAGTCACATGCACCGGCCGCTAGTGTTAATGTCTAGTGTCTTCGGCCTTACCTTCAGACTCGCTGCTCTCCTCCCCAATGCACAATCTAAGTTGGCCGCACTCGACGAATACGCACGACGTATCTCGAAAGATGTCTGGATTGACTTCGACCGATCAGCATGGCCCATGTGCCTACAACAACCGCGGATCTCAAGTTTAAACCCCAAAAATGACCGTGTCGATGGTCGTTGCTTGAAGTCGATGCGTTGTGCCGCAGTGGCAGGGCGCCAAGACCAGTCCTAGAAAGCTCTGGAGAGTGGCGTTCAAGATGCGTGCCTTCCTAGAGCCACTGCCAGCTCAAGAACATTAAAGCTGGTCGTACGTCTTCGCCAAAATGCACAAATTGCAGTCCCGGACATATCTACACACGGACGTTTGTCAGCCTAATCGGGCAACTGCTGCGTCCTTCCATTATCAGATCTCCGCAGCTGCAGCCTCATGTTCACTCGACCCCTGTGCCCTTTGCAATGCGTGCAACATGAGCACTTGACCGTGCACCGATGATGGGCAACGATTGGCGTCCGGGGAAGGGGAAAGAGCAATGTATAGCTCTGCTGTCATGGCTAAGTTGCATCGGACGGCTACGTGCAGGATGCCGGTCACAGCTGATCCGTTCAGGAAAAGCAACTGCAAGTATTGCTGGTGAGTTCATATGGCTCGGTGTCCCTCTCAGATTCCCACATCCTTGTGTCAGGCCATTGCATCCCCTCAATCGAATCCCAACGACTCGCAGAATCTCTGCCTCGAAGACAAACTTTACCAGGTCATCATGACACTCCATACCAGCGTGGAGAAAGCCAGCGAGGGGCATCATGAGCATGCACCTTCGTTTTCGGACGTCAAAGGTACCCATGGTGCAGCAGCTCCTTCAACGAAGAGGGCTGTCGCAGCCTGGTTCAAGTAAATGATTTCCTGATCGCCATCACTATCGACGAGGCGACCATGCCACAGGCGTTCATGTTACAAACTCTCTGGTCACCAATACACACCATCACATCAACCCAACATCGACGCACACCTCTCCACGATCCGCTGTTACGATACCTCGCAGATCTCTATCACAAAGTTATCGATCAAGAAGAGGGCTGAGGCCACACCAAGCGAACTTATTGACAGCATCAACACCAAAGACATGGTTATAGAGTCATTGACACTACAACGAACCTATACGAAACTATGCCCTACGACAACTCCATACGTCTTGTTGCGGCGTGGGCCGCTGTAGAATACTGATAGCTACGGTAAACGATAACGTAGGACTATCGGGTTGATGGAATACTGCGCTGAATTGCTATCTAGCTGGGAGATGACGACTATATATCTGACCTCAGGCCAGTGACCGGTCACACACTAGACTAGGGTAGTCTGTCAGGGGTACAGTCAGACCTTGTACAGACCGACCGGTACCGCGACACGTCTTACTGCGCATCTACAAGGGTGCTCTGAGTGACCCAGTCGAGGTCAACCTGGAATCTGCCCGGCTGGACGACGCAATTCCCGGGTACGGAGCACTTTCATATGTATGGGGCTCGAGCGCTCTCGTGTCATGAGTCCTACACCGGACCACGCAAAACGTGATCCCAGTCACCCAAAACCTATACGATACGCTCAAAGGCGTACGAGAAGTTAAACGGGACCGCGTCATCTGGGTTGATGCATTGTGTATCATTCAGAGCGACGGGAAAGAGAAGGGGACTCAGGTTCGCAAGACGATTTCCATATATGCTCGTGCGGCGTGTTTTCGTGTGGCTAGGTGCCGATGATGCAGGCAACGCAGGTGGTGCATTCGGCGTGCTGTGCGCACTTGCCAACACCGAGCGCGTATCAGCTCACTATGAGACCAGGTCACTTCAACACGTACCCTTTGTTTCTGAGAAGTTCGGTGTCACGATGGAAGACTGCGATCTCTGGAGAGAAGTCATGGTGTTTTTCCGCCAAACATGGTACACACGGCTTTATTTTACAAGACATCGTTTTGGCTCAGGATGCCATTTTTATGTGGGGTAATTGCTCTATATCATGGAGATACGTGGGCTCGGTTATCAATAGCATCCGAAGAAAGCAACAACTGCAAAGCCTTCTCCAGACAAGGAATTTGCATAACGCGTTCTTCGTGTGGCATTCGAGCACCGTTCACCGAATTCCAGACCATTTCGAGTCCTGCAATAGCAGCCGACCGTCGACCCACTATAGAGCACTCCCGTTTCTCTACCTACTCGACCTAGACCGAAGCTTTGAGGTCACAGATCCGCGAGACGAAATCTACGGGCTTCTCGGATTCCCAACAAACGACAACAGCTTGAGCGCGAGCTCCATTGTACCAGATTATGCGCTCAGTGCAAGCAAAGTTTACACAGAGGTAACTATAGATTCTTTGAGAAAGAGCAAAATCTCAACGTTTCAGCTCTCGTCCTCTACACTCCACTAGGTTCTTCACAAGCCGAGGATCACGTTGATGACTTGCCACCGTGAGTACCGAACTTCAGTTCGAAAGTCAGTACCTTTTCCAATTCGAACATAAACACTGGACACCAGTACTCCGTCGGCCTCTGGCGACCTCTCTGCCTTTTACCTAGTGCCACTTCAGACCTACTTCGACTCAAAGGCATGGCGCTAGATACAATTCGTGGAACTGGATGCAGCATGGCCTTCGTGCACGTCCATAATCTCGCTGATGCAATGGTACATAGTCGCCGGTATCTCTGCGCGCGCACTCGCTGCAACATTGACAGCTGGTCGAACCAGGGAAGGACAACTTCTCTCTCCGCACCAAAAAGAAGACTGTATAGCGAACTTCTCAAGGCATATAAGAGATTGCGGTCTTGACACATCTGGTGTTCCCACCGAACGTTTAGGGCTTAAGGGTTCGAATGGAAAGAGACGATATGGCGCTTCATCACCTATCGGCAGCCTTTTGTCACGGAGCAGGGACGATTCGGACTTGGACCACGGGGTATGAAGGAGGGCGATGCGGTCGCAGTGCTCTGGGGCAGGCAATGTTCGTTCGTTACCAGCAATACCAGAGCTGGTCAGTGGGTTATGAAGGGCGAATGCTTTGTAGATGGGTGAATAATAGGGATGCGGTTGCTGGCCTGGCGTGTGAACAAGGGAAGGAGGATGTGATGTCTGAGTTTGTCTGAGATGGGATGTGATTGGCAGCAGGCATGCATCGCCACGGCTCGAGCGGAGTTCTCTCAACATGCCTCTCGCGCGGAGAGGAGCTGTCACGACCGACCAACCCAGCCGGCTGACATTCTTGTTGGATCAAGGCAGGTCAAGGACACACTCCCAGTCATTCGAGATCTTCTATTGTAAGGGGGCACACAAAAAGCTGAGGCCGAATAGATCTGGCAGGCGGGTGTGAAGCTCAACTTCGCTGAGTTCAATCCAGATGCGGGGCTTGTACGATTGCGGCTGAGGGCTCAACGACACCCTGATAGCATGAGTCATGATCAAGCCAACATGCAAGCCTATCTTGCAAGCTTGTCTTGCTCAGTGACCGTTGGATAGCTTCCGGAAAACCTCCCGCCAATTATACAACATACTACAGCTATAAGATCGCGTACTCTGATTCGAAGATATGGAGCCTGGAGACTTTCACTGGGTCAGTATCCGCAAAAGATCTAATCTAATCGTCCAAAGTAGAATCGCCTGCTAACAAGACTATAGCGAGCACACTGCATACCCTGCTACAGCCGTGTTCTGGGTCCTCCATGTTGTGACCATCGCGTGGCCTCCTTGCCAGGGTGTGCACTGTTCAAAGTTTATTGTTAGTCTGGTCGAGAGAAATCACCATTCTCCAAACTTTAATGGCAGTCAGGCGAAATGGCGACAGTTCATGGAAGAACGATATGTACTTCGATTTTGTACATTTCAAGACGTCGAATGGAACCTTACTTGCAACACCGGCAATCTAGAGGCCTCCGGGACTGCAATATCAAATTGTATGTGCCTGCAACAACAGCCAAAAGCACATCAGCCGAAGGCACTTCGAAGCCTACACTACGAAGCGAGTATTGACAACGGATGATCGTCAATCCACAAGATGACTAGCGGCTTCTTTGACCTTGCCTATTCTAGAAGTCATTCGACCGAATAGGAAAGCACCGAAAACCTTTATCTGGGGAAAGGCTAGTTTGCTGGCAGCCAAACAGCCACGGTGTAGCCTCGATGCAACCTTATTTGTGCTCTAGTACTAGATGCCGGGCTAAGCAGGGCTGAACAATGTTCCTGCCGGTGAATATTCCGCGAGTGCTTTCACACGTCTTCGTAACTGACGCTGCTTGCAGACCAATAAGGCCGTTGGCGAACACCACTCACTACGAACGAATTATCATTCGAACTCGTTGTGAATCCTATCAGCCATGGTATTTCAAGGCACACACTTCTTGCGTGCGTCGGGTCACGGGTCCTCCAGGCTTGCCTTGCCAGGTGCTCGTCTTTGACATGGACAAAATGTAACTCCTTCCTCAAAATACAGACAGGCTATCATCTGTCCGTAGTGTCGCTCTCAGCTCTGCGCTCTTGATAGAACTGATGGCTGATCTAGACGTTGCAGCTGTTTCTTCATCTGCCTTCATACTCACGGCTCCAGGGGGGTCGCCGACATCAGACTGCACCTCGACTTTCACCTTACAGCATGGCTTCTCCATGGCTTGAGTTGATGAGTTGAGTTCGAGAATGTGCAAGACATTCAGCCGAGAAACTGAACTTTCATCTATAAGTACATCCTAAGATTTGCATCTGTACTCGCAGAACATCTTAGGCAGACATTGCCCAGGTCTCACCCTGCTCCTCACCCTCATAACATTCTATCATGCGTTCCTCGGTCGTCTTGTCACTTCTGCTTCCAGCCATCGTATCTGCATCTCCAGTCGTAGATCAGAAAGCACTCAACGCTTTGTTCTGCAAGGTCAACAACTTTGTCATTCATCACTGCGCTTGCCAAAGAGCGGTAGCTACTACCTACTGCCCAAAATTTATTGGCATTGTTACATCGACCATGTATGTCGTCTCTTCGTCTTCATTTCCCTATGATCTTGCTAATCGTCACAGTTCGAAAACGACGACACAAATATTCGCCAGTGCTACGGTCACCGTCACCACAACTAGCACCGGCGGAGCGACCACCACGACCTTGACTAACAAGGAAACAATCACGACATACACTACTGTCACTGACACTACTACTTCAGTACGTTCTCATTCTGTAGTTAAAGCACCCTCTATATCCTGCTGATTTTGGTAGACCTGGCTCTCGGCAATGACACTGACGACTTCCACGGTCACTGCTACTTACCTGAACAGCGCCTACACTGCTGGAGGAGGCGTCGGACCCGTCAAGCGTGCTGTCAAAGCTACCAAGCCAACATGCACTCCCACTACCTGGTCAACAGCATACGTGTCTACGGTTTGCTCATGTCTCTCCATCCCAACACCATCGACCACAAGGACTGCCATAGTGACCCTTGCACAAGGCACAACTACCATTACAAATATCGCAGTAGTGACGCTCAGCAGTACAGCGTAAGTCTTCGCACCGCGCAAATCGGACAGTCATATCTAAATCCTACGCCAGAATTACGGTCGTCATCGTCACTTACACAAGTACTGACACGATATCGATAACGACAGTTGGCTCCAGTACAGTGATAGCGTACGCTACTGCAACTACCATTGCGTCGGACGGCCCGCAGTGCCGCAAGTACCCCCACTCTTATAACGCCAATCTACAAAATAGTGGTTTCATCTCAAATTACTTCAAGGGCGCAACTTCGGAATTGAACGGCTACCAGGAGTCGGTCAGCTTCCGCACTAGTGGCCTCCAATTGTATTTCCCAGACAAGCAGGCGTTTTACGGTGCTGAATAAACTAGTGTCCTCTTCTAAGGCTTCTTCGTCGCGAAGAAAACCGGCACTCACACATTCATATCGCCCGCCAATGCCGTGGATAACTAGAGCTACCTCTGGACCGGTGATGTCGCGTTCTCGGCCTGGAACGATGGTAACACAGCTTTCCAATCTAGTCGCACTGGCAGTGCTGGTGGCAGCGCCGTAAGTACAGTAACGGGTCTGACGACTGTGACCATGAATGCTGGAGATGTTATCCCCTTGGTCTATCTGTGGGTCAATGGCGGTGGAGGAGGTGTTAGTAAGACCCAGATCAGGATGCCGGATGAGACTGTTGTGGAGAATCATCAGGGCTACTTTGTTAAGCTTTGCAGCGGTGAAGTATTTGCTTGAGACAAGTAGGTGTTCGGCTGATACATGCTGCGATGATGTGGTGTGAATTTGCCCTAGACAGGTCGTTCATTAGAACCAGGAGTCACGATATCGACAAGACATATCTACTACTATTAGTCACCTGAGAGACAAAAGCATTGGAGTGAAAGTGAAGACGAACAAAGCTCGAAATAGAAAGCGGCAAACAGAGCTAAGCACACGCAAACATCTAAATCAAAACAACTGCATTCCACATTTTCTGCCCACAGTACCGACAAAGTATTACCTAGAGCATGATTGACAGCACCTCTACTCACCGTGAGTCGCGTTATATTGCTGATGTCCAGCACTAACTATGCAAAGCCTGCAACAGCCTCCATATAGCTGGTGACGCGCCCATCAAGCTCGCAGCCTCACCAAGGCAAGGCTGAGGCGCGTTCGCAACACGCAATATTCCTCGCAGCACGGTCATCCTCCGACAATCTGCACTTTTCACCATCCCTAAGCCACATTTCCTCATCGGCGAAGGCGACATCTGGGCTGCGATACGCGCCCTACAACCCAGCTCCCAACAGCAGTTTCTTTCTCTCCGCGACAACGGCAATGCAAAGTTTCGATGCTTTACAGACGCGTTCTCCGAAAACTCCTTTGCGGTGCCCAGCAGCTCGAACCCCGGATCCATGGGCTTTGGCTGCTATATCCCGCTTTCTCGCATCAATCATTCCTGCATGCCCAATGCGAAGGTATCAGACACCGGCATTGAGTGCAGTTCGGTTGCGTGTTTCACCGCAAGGGATGTTGCGGAAGGCGAGGAGATTACATTCTGCTACAATACGGATATCATGTGCAGGACTAGTCTGGACAGACGAGCCGAGGTGAGGTTCGTGTGTGAGCGTAAGGCTTGTCGACCGGGGACGTTGTTTCATCAGCTTAGTGAGATGCGCAGAAGAATGATTAAGGTATTGCATTATTTGCTGCATAGAAGGAACTTTGATGGGGAGCGAAAGTCTGGGGGAATGCAGGTAATTATTGGCTACGATTTGAGGAAGAGGGCAGACAGGCTTGATGTTGGTGTTGCGGATAGGTTGGTGTACAGTGTTTTGACCATAGTGTTGTTGGAGCAGGAGGGTTTGCTGGACAAGTTCATGCTTGAGAGAATGCAGCCGGGTATTTCGCACTTGGTGATGTCACTCAGAACGATGGACGACGTGACTGCAATCAGGCTATGGCGAGGACTACTTGGGAGGAGCGGCTGGGTGCCTGCTAGAAGCCATGAGGAAGAAGTACGCTGGCGATGGAGCGCTGAAGCTGCAGCTCGATTTGCTCAACAAACTCCGCATGTAAAGATAGCTTGTCTGGTACGCCTACTGGGTTATGAGGAAAGAAAAAAATATACGATATTAAAGATCAAATGCATACTTGCAGCACTGTATTCTGTGGTGGGAGACCAAAAGCAAAAGAACCGTCCATAGAGCATTTCTCGTGGGGCTGAAGCAGGAGCAACATTGCTCAGCGGTTCTGCCTGTGTTTGGGCAGAAGACATTCTCAATCAGCAGGTTCACCTAAATCGGCACTGACATCGTTGATATGAGATTTTGTCATTGTGGCACTCGTAGGGGCCAGGTCGTATTGTGGATGTTGAGGCAGTGAGTAAGCAACTGTCAACAGTACACGACCCTGGCGTGCTGCTTAGCGAGTGCACCTCCTGAAAATAGTTCAATTAGTCTGTTGAGCACGAGGTAAAGCGCATGGAATCAACAGCCAAATTTTGGATAGGGTTGACTGGTTTTATTGATTTCTGATGTGGATGAAAATACCCCTGGAATGGGCAATGCCTTACTTTGAACGGTGCCCGGTTCTTGAATGATTGTGCTTATGCTTGAAAGAAGTGCTCCACAGGAGTGAAGTCTGCACGATCGGGCGGTCCGAGATATGCGAGTCATTAGAGCCACTGATGGCAATGTGGTTTTCCGTTGGTACTTGGGGGCCATGCCGAGTGAACCAGCCCTCTTGTGGATTTTGATGTGCAAGGTCCTTTCGAAGGAGCCTGTCATGACCTCCAGAGCAGTCGCCATCATGCCTCCGAGACTTTCGAGGCGCATGATAGTAGACAAGGGTCAGATGTTACCTGACTTGGGACGATCATAGATTCTGTCGTCCTGCGTTTTGGTTTGGCAGAGGTGCCCCTGGTGCACCTGGTGGGCGACGGATGCCACTAACTCCACCCTTTCTTGCTTCATCGATTCGTCCCTTGGCAAGGCTGATCCCTGGTACCATCCAGTCTCCACAACTGCACTGCATCCCCTGCCAGGCATACTTGCCTACATTGGAGTGGCAGTTCGGACATTCGATCCGGCCTTCCAGCTTCCCCTGTTCGAGCTCAGGGCGCATCCATGATAAAGGATCCACAAAGTAGTGCGCACACTTGGTCTTCGATGTGTCTTGGCTGTGCGAGGTGAGATATTGGGATGTTGCAAGTGGTCGTCTGCTAGTGTGTAAGCGCTGAGCAAGACGAAGCATAGCCGGACGATGCAGGGTAGTATCAGAAAGTTCAGGAGGTTCCACTCACCTGCATTTTCGACATCTCATCTCAAAGCCTGACGTCTGCTCTGTGACGTGCTCATCTTCAAATCGAATCTTGTCAGCCTCAGGGGCCTGCGCACATGCACGACTCAGCTCGAGCTCCCGTTGATAGACCCAGCGTTGGTAGGCCGGAGTCTCTTCCACGTTCTCAGGCGTTTGCATTTCGGCGTACAACTCGAGCTGTCTCCAGAATCCTTCGTTTGGCTCGGCGATTGATCGGGCTTGCCGAACATGGGACAATGCTTCCGATGGAGTAATGTTGTGTTTCTGCATCAAATAGGCGATGACAACAGTGGCGGATCGCGATTTACCCATTGCGCAACTAGATGAAGGAGTGTGGTTGGCATATTGAAACGAGTGGCTGAGAATAAGAGTGGCAAACGAGCGGTGTGCATGACTTTTCAAAAGCAGCAAGGTAAGAAAAGATAGAAAAAACTCTGTGAAGGATGAATGCAGGACGCGCGGAAAGCAGGGAACGACTGTGCGCGATGCAACGAACAAGCTGTTGAAGCCCCTGCGTCGTGAAGATGGCAAAATTGCCAAGCAAGGCAGTCTGCAGTGAAGATCGAAGGTTGTTCATGCAGGTTTTCAGCTGAGCTGGAATTCTGACTTACTGCACCAAAACTCCGCCACCACCATCGAGTCCTTCCTGGATGAACTGATTGGTGGCGGGGAAGTGTTCTAACAGGTTTTCGTCTTCGACGTCGTCAACTTCCACAACATGATGCTTGAACGGCTCGAAGAGATCCTGATCTAGTGGCGTACGCAGCACGGAAAGGACATGTGTGATCTTTGCTTCCTGCAATGCTTCACGTCGTCGAAGAGTGAACATGCTACATTGCGTTAATCAGCCTCAAAACGATAGTCGCGGAGTGGGTGGCATCAAGCATCTCAACACGAGGCGGCCGAAAGTACGTACCCACCAATGTAGAGATCCAAATCCCCGGGAACTCTGTCAATGAGGGCCATAGCGCTCAGGAGACCAATGCAGGATTTGTCCGAGTATAGTCGGGGTCGGAGATGATGTCGTGGGTTTGAAACCGAGGATTGCGTACGATGTTGTGTTGCTTGTCTGGTTGAGGCTTCGAATTTCGCCCGAGGCCTCGTGTGGTGATCCCAAAATGGCTGAGTGTAAAAAGATTAGGTAAGCGGCGATGTGCCCGTTTGAAGGACAGCGCGACCCAACACAAAGGGTTCGTCCAATATTTGCAATTTGCAATAGGGCTGACGGAGCGTTTCTGAGGTTCAGGACTATTGTCCTTGAGCTGCGCCACACAGCCTTACGCAGGCAGGAAGATACGATGATCTGCGGTACGGCAAGACTTGCATCTTGCAGCAGCGGCCACGGGCAAAAGGGAGTTCCAAAGCGACGGTTCGACCTTGTACATTACGTCCTCGTTATTAGATAATGAAGGTAGTAAATAGCGCAGATGATCGATTCAGAGCGTGCATCACATTGAACTGGAACTGGAATTGGTGCCGTAAGGCTAAACAGTTGCCCGCGGTCCCCCTGCGACTGCCTCTCCGCGGCTCCAACGGAAGGTACCGTGCGTACTCAACCCGCATCAAACGCCAAACGCAAACGAGCCGCTATGGAGAGCTTTCTCATCAGTTCAGACCAGGTCTACTCCACCACCCAGCTTGTGGGACCTTAAAACAGCGGCTACCATCATCGGCACGTTGATATCTCCTGATCATCAAGGGTCTTCGAAGGGTCTGCCAACTGCTATCATCATGCATCTCCGTCCGACCAGGCGCACTGATGTGCGACGTACCAGAACAGGAAGTTAATGGATGTCGAGACTCGAGAATTGGGAACCCTGACCGCAATACGACAGAGACCCATAGGGCTGTTGCACGGCGAGCGCACCTTTCTAGCTTGGGAAGCGCACCCAGGAGGACAGACGCTGCCCCTAAGGCTTTAACTCCTGTTGTGTCGTATTCAGTGATCAAAGATACTGCACTGCAGCACATACATGAGCACAGCAGCACATGCCTGATCCCTCTGAGCAGCCGTGGTATTCTCCGAAAGCCAGATGCCATCTCTGCATCGCTATTGGCTTCGTCAATTTCAATTCAGGTCAACAGATCACCACCACCAGAAATTGTGCGATATTTAAAACTTCCATGTGTGAGTAAACATTGGTCACTGAGCTGCAAGCGAAGCGTGGGGACGGCGAGGTGCCAGCCAAGAGTTGCAAGGAGTTGGCTCGAGTGGTAAGGCTGAGAGGGGCTGACGTCTCGGACCTTTCCCGCTACACACCTTACCCGTGTTCGAGTCCAACCTTACACGTTTCTATCTGACGCATGCATCGTGTGCGGAGTGGTGCAGCACAGCATGCAGGATGACTCGTCAGTTCCCCGGCATGCATCCATCCAGCGAGCTCCCACGCCACCCGTCCACCTGGCCAACCTCACCGTTGAGTAGCTCGATGTCGATCGTTGCTTCGCATACAGGATTGTCAACAACGGGCACAAGAGCGGGCAGCGACCTTGCCAGCCATTGATCACTGCGGTCAAGCCTCCTCGTCTGAGTGAGCTCTTATCCACGCCGCCGGGAAGACCTGCTCCTGCTGTCATTCTGTCTGCTTTCTTGTGACAACCTGGGGAGCAGACAGCGTAAAGCAGCACGGCAGAGTGGGCCCGGAGCCAGTCTGCACAAGGCAGTATCGATGTGGAGCGGCCTCGGACTTACCAGCGCTGAAGCCTTCGGTAGACTTCTCGAAAAGCCCCAAAGGCATGGTGTCGAGTAAGGGCTGCAGATGAACACCATCCCTGTCAAGCTCCACAACGCCATGTCCGTGCTAGGTACGGCCAATCAGCGCGTTGGAGCACCGCAAAAGGGTCGTGGTTAATGCTGAGGGAGTCCCCGGTGTTCTGCTCTTCTGTTCGCTGCGATTGCTGTTGCTGCTGTTTTAACGAAACGGCCTCGGCCTTCTTCCAGTGTCTGTTTTTCTTGCCTGCATCGCCGATGTTCAGTGCAGGGACCTCTCTCTTCCTTTCGACTCCCCACTCGCCCTCCGCTCTTTCTGCGCAACGCTGAGCTGGAGCATTTTGCGTAAGGGCTGCGGTGGTACCATGATCACAACCTAAGACCCGAGAACAGTATTGATCATATGACCAGCTCCCTGCCTCGACCTACCTGAGCAGGAAAAGCATTCAGTTGCGGCGCCGGCCAGACGTTCCAGCTAAGTCGGAGCCTCACCGTTCAACTGAAGAGGGTTCAGCCCTACAGCTACGTTGCAAGGAAACGAGCGCTAGCCCGGACGCTTCTCGCCCTGCCAGCCTCGCCGCCACAGTCACGCTTTGCAACCTGCGCAGCGCCGCGACGCGTACGTCCTTACGGTGAGCCGCACTTTATTACGCACTGTTCAATAGACTTTTCAGCTGCTGCTGCACGCTCTCCCGGCATCGTCCCTACCTGTTTCGGCCATTCCGTGGTGTGCCCGGCTAACTGCCCACCTTTAGGCTCTGCTGTCCGTGCGCCTTCCGCGTCCACTATCCAGTAGCGAGCATCATCCTCACGCTCTGCACGCAGTGCTCGCCACAGTTGCGCCGCGCAGTCTGCTGCGAGGGCACGCTTCAGCTGCCCTTCAGTGGCGGCCCGTAGCGATAATCGTCCGCTAAGGAGCAGTAGTGCACACGACGATGTCTTCGACCCCAAGTATCCGGGTATATGAATCATCACGCTACCAGCGGCCTTCTTATCCAAGCCCTGCGGTTGCTATGGCCATTCCAAACGCACGCGAAGACGTGCCTCCGCCCTTGCCTCCTCCACGTCACATCGAGGACCTCAGGGCCGGGCGGTCTGATCCCGGCTGGCAATGGGGTAACACAAACAATCTCAAAGAAAACGGCTTTGGCGGAAATCGGCTCGCGACAGTCAGACCTGGCTCGAGCTTATACGGTGGATCTCGCAGCGGCCAGGTGCATCATCCGCGGGACCTGTCGGCCGACTATCTTTTCAATGGTCGTGAGCCCTCCATTTCACGGTCTCTCGACGACATGAGCTCTGAGGGCAGCAGGGACCACAATAGTGACGAGGATCGCAGCGGCAAGACTCGGCCGTCGCTCGGCAACCACAGGTAAGAAATCTTATGCCCCATACGTTCCCTGTACTTTCTGTGTTGTCTCCTGCTTGCCAATCAAAAGAGACACTTGCCTCGTTGGCACTCAATGGGTGGCATGGACCATCTCATCTGTCGCATACCTCTATGCTTAGCCCGCCCTATGTGCATGTGTACAATGTATACGCCACGTTATACGTCGACTGACCACAACAATGAACTACAGATTCACAAGTGAACGGCAGCTTGGTCAGAAGGCACTAGATCACTCCTCACAAGCCTACGACAAGCAACTCCTCTCCAAGATCGGTGGCCCGAACACCCCAACGAGAACTGCTGCGCCGCCACTATCGAGCAGCGCCCAAGACTCACCTGCCGACACTCACGCGCATAAGCTAAATGGACAGCAACTGAAGCCTCTGTCCGTACCCGATCGACTACATCCAGACTCGCCCGCCACCAAGTGGCCACAGTCTGGCGCAATATCTCCTGGATATACTGGCTTTCGCAGTCCTGTCTTCGACGGACCGGATGCACACAGGGGACGGTACGGTAGCATCTCTACGCCGGGCCCGTTGGACGAAAGCTTGCCCCTCCACCGCGGTAGTTACGACCACGGCATATTCCCAGAACACGAATTTGGCATGGAGGAGAATGGAATGCGCAATTTGAACATCGATGACCGCAGCCCTGCTGGGTCTGACGAATATCATATGTGCCAGAAAGGCGGCCTAAAACGGCGCGCCTCATCACCTCCTCCAGAGGCTGTGCGTGACGACCGGCCCACGGCTAGCGGCAACCCCGACTTATATCATCGGCGTTCAGCGCATATGCTTGTTAACCGCAATACTCCAACTTCGCGCTTTCAGATGCACCATGGATCACTGTCCTCAGTTTCATCCTCAGGCCCCCGTACTGGCTCGGTCGGCTCTTCGCTCGGTTTTTCCACAGCAGCAAGCAGCATGACAAGTTATGGCGGAGATCAACGCTTGTCACCCAGTGCGTTGTCGCCCTCGGAGCAGACGGAACTGGGCCCTGTTTCTCCGTATGCAGCTAGCAGGTCGCTAAATCGTAGCCCCCGCGGCTCTTTATCGAGACCACAGCACCAACGAGGCTACTCGGAAACCGAGCATCCTTCTCAGATCCGGAAGCTTTCGACAGAAAGCATCATCCACTCGCGACAGAATTCGATGGCCAACCGCATTCCAGGCGCATATATCTGCGAGTGCTGTCCCAAGAAGCCTAAGAAGTTTGACAGCGAAGATGAGTTGCGGTAAGTGACATCCATGCTTCCCACCGCTAGTCTGCCCGCCTTCTGCAAACATGCGCTGACTTACGAGCACAGATCACACGAGCTAGAAAAGCAGTACATTTGCCAATATTGCCCGAATCGGTTCAAGAACAAGAATGAGGCCGAGCGTCATCAGAATTCTCTGCATTTGCGGCGACATTCATGGTCGTGTGCTGCGCTTGCTGGTGTTCAGGCTGCGTTCCACCCCTCTCCTACTCGTCCAGCCGCGGCCGACGTGTGTGGATTTTGTGGTGAGGAGTTTCTTAACCCCGCGAACTGGGACGCTCGGGCAGAGCATCTGAACCATGCGCACAAGTTTGGCGAATGCAATCAAGCCAAGAAGTTTTTCCGTGCAGATCATTTTCGACAGCATCTGAAACACAGTCACGCCGGTACGAGTGGAAAGTGGACCAACATGCTGGAAAATGCGTGTATGAGGGACGAGCCACCACCACAGGAGCGAGTTGGCTCTGTGGGCTCAATCTCTGGTCCTTCTATATCCCCTCTTCCAGCGAAACCTGGGGTCATCAACGAAGCACACGACGAGTCTTGAGGCGTCGTTCTGACCTCCCTCGAGTGAAGCATTACAGCATTTTCAGTTCAGCAACGCATTGTCAGCATTGGTGTCTACGCAGCTTTACGGTCGAGCAGTATACCACAGTCGCAGCGACTATTCTTCCACGGTTGGCACGATGGCCAGTCCTATTTCCGAAGTTTGAACATTTTATATATCCTCGCATCTGGGCTAGCATCTAGAAACTTATTTTTTGTGGCGTTGAGGTTGATGGCTGCATTTGTCAACCATTTCACGAGATTCATGATGGCATCATGTCGTGCATAAAGTTAAGCTCTGGCTTGAGGCATTTCAGAGGCGTTCTCTCCGTCAAGAATCTTGGTCGGTTTCAGCATGAAGGATTATTACATATGTGTGTACAACGCCCAAGGATCTTCAACACATCCTCCGATTAGCATGACATCAACACGAACAACATCGAACATGCCAGACTACTTCATCAGCACAAATCTCACTACAGCATTTATGTCAATCGCATGTTACACCTATCAACCAGCAAGGCGGTCCTTGCTGCCCACGAGAAGCTGCATGACACGAACCTCCTTCACTACGATCCCGCGGCAGGCTATACTTTCCTGTGCGGATCATCGGTATAGATCACGGTAAGGGGTTCGTTCTGAACGCTTCTAATTAGGAGAGGTATACCAATGATCGCTAATCTCAGCATCAGCAACCCGTCCAAAGGTCGCGCAGAACAAGAGCTGCCAGAACACGACAGTACCGGTGAGGTTTTTGCTTGTGTAATACAGTGTCATCGCTGCACCTATATATAGCGAACTAACGGGTGATTTTATCGCAGCGCACAAAACAGTCATCACGTTGCTGTGCAATGGTGTTGCGAACGTTGTGGTGCGACCGGACACAGCAATATCGAAGAGGTTTTCAGGTCATATCATAGCATAGTACAAATGTATAGGTACTAGTTCCCAAACAGTGATGATGGTGCTTTAATAAAAATACTTTGTCTTGAGTAAGCTGTAGTAGTGGCCCGCTCAGGGCGCAGATGGTATCACTGCTGCTAATCATCGTCGACAAACCGAATCGTGGCCGCAGTTAGGCCGTGATATCGGCAGCGTCCATAGTATGCACAACGTACAATGATATTTCAGCGGGATTCCTCGTCGTCGTCAACTCCGAGATTTCATGCACCTTACAGAAATTTTCGTCCCCGAAGGAGCAAATACCCAGCTCCAAACATGCACTCTACGCATGTACACTGCGTTGCGCGGCCGGCAACAGCCGTCAGCACGTACATGTATGCACATGCCGCCAAGAAAATCTCCATGATCGATATCCTCCATGGGAGTTGCCGCCCAAAACCAAGATTTGTAGTACGGTCCTCTCTTCAGAGGGGTGGTGTTGTAGTAAGATTGAAATCCGGCAGGTGGGGGCTGACAGCATGAGGATACGCATTGGTATGTATGACTTCACGATAGCTGTGGTGCCAATATGCGATCTTTAGAACGTGGTGTGAGAGTGGAGCGCGTAGCGGGGAGAGGGAAGGTAGAGCGTCTTACCAAGACGTAATGACTCGTTGTAGGGACGCCTGAACTGCCTGAGTGCGATCCTTCAGGACAAGACACGGGTTGATATAATCCTGCGATTGCACGTGGGAACAAGCCAAGCGGGACAATTTAAGCTGCTCTTTCATTTGCTCAAAGTAAACGGCAAGGATTTCCGCCAACATGTTATCCAATGTATGGCCGAAGAGAAAAAGACTTGATTGGTCTACCGTCCAGCCCCTCAAACGGATTGCACAGATTCGAAATACCTCTCCCCCTCGTCCTCCAAGCTGACTGCAGCATTTCGATCAAACAAGATCTCGAGCATGATCTGCGCCTGTACCACCTGATACACGGCCAGATACCTCCCCGTTTTCTGTAACCAGTAGTACGAACACTAATTGCTGACTGCATCTCCAGCGGAGTGTAAGAAGCTAAAGCTGACTGCAGTAAGCAGTCTTCTAAACCACACGTATCGTTCTTAGTACGCCCAAGTCTACGCCCGAGTTCCGAATGCAAGCTGAAAATGACGATGGGAGGGTCAAGGAGGAGATCGTGTGACGAGACGGAGCGGACCTCCGAGATCTGGGACCGGGGGGGTTCAGGGAAGGTCCTTCGGGACGGAGGGGAAGTTTGCGGGGTTTTGGAGGCGTTCGCGGTTGCGTTTTGCGATTTCAGCGTTGCGAAGTTTGTCCAGGCGCATTTGGTAGAAGGATCTGTCGTGTTGTGGTAAGCATGTAGTCCTATAGCTGACTGTGAAGCTGTGGAGGTAAGATGCTTACTTGTTGAGATGGTATATTCGTGCGGCAGGTTCGGTTGAAGCTGCATCGCTTGACTTGGTAAGCTCTTTGATCTATAAGATAGTTAGCTACATCTACGTTGTATGGTACATGGAGACACACTTTGTCGTCCTTAGCTTGCTCGTCTTTCTTGTCTTCCTCTTCCTCGTTGCTTTTGGCTTCCTTATCTTTCTCCTTGTCTTTTCCTTTTCGCTTCTCTTTCTTGAGTCTCTGCTTCTCTTCGTACTCTTTCTTGACTTTCTCGATCTCTTGATCCATCTCTTCCTTCTTCATACGCTCAGCTGTCCTTGCGGCTTCTTCCGCATCGGGCTGGCAAAAACCTCGATCGGATAGATGACCAATGCATACATAGAAGAAGTCCTGGATTTGTGTGAATAAGGACAAGGTCAATGTTCAACTTTTCGTACCTTGTTATTTGGAGTAATGAGAACACTTGAGGTGGGCTTGAAGCAGATGTTGCAAGGCTTGGATGCGCTCCCTGCCACCTTTCTGTGGTACCAGGTGTTATCGAACGGTGCTTTCGACATGATGTGTGTCGTTTGCCTCTATGTCTGCGAGTTGATGTGTAAGCGCAAGGCCGCAAGTTGGTACGATCAAGCAAGGCTCCGATCTGGTCCGAAAGCCGGCGTGACGCGTGTTAATATCTTGTAGTCACAACAGCACCGCACTCGCAGAAGCCGCTTGCAAAGTAGCCAATCCAGCAACAGTGCTGTATGTTGATGTTGCAGGTCAAATATGGATGATCGATGCTGTCTGCAAGTGGTGTCCCGGAGAGGCTGAGTCTATGCTTCATTGAGCCTAGAGGCGATGCGCTTTCCACTTCAAACATGACGCAGTGACTTGATACAAATCTCCAACCAACACCTATGTTATCAAGAACTTTGCGAGCGCAAAGAGTCCACAATATTGCTACAAGATCAAATATCTGCCTTGTGGGAACATTGTCGCATCGATCACTGGCGTCATCAGAGAAGCCAGTTAACAACTTTTCAAGTACGACAAACCGCCCTTTCACCCTTCTGTACCCGTTGAGTATTGATACACGTTAGAACCGTTCTCACCCAGCACATCAACATACTCAGAACCGATCACCATGGCCGAAGAAACCAGCAAATTGAGATACATTGATGTTGGTCCGCAATACTTCCATTCCCATCCCATTCCATACTCACCAATACCAGATCGGCATCAATTTTACCGACCCAATCTTCCGCGGCATCTACCACGACAAGCAACGGCACGAAGATGATTTCGAAGACATCATCCAGCGCGCCCTAGACGCCGGATGCAAGAAGTTCATGGTCACAGGATCCGACCTCGCAGAGTCTAAACACGCCATTGAAATCTCTAAAGCCTACCCTGGACTGTGCTACGCGACAATAGGCGTCCACCCTTGCTCTGCTAAACAATTCGATGAGTATCCTGGTGGACCTGACAAGCTCCTCGAGGCGCTGAAAGAGCTTGCGGCGGAGGCGAAAGAGGCGGGCCATGCTGTTGCGTTCGGCGAGTTTGGACTCGATTATGATCGCTTGTTTCTGACGCCTAAGGAGCAGCAGCTCAAGTACTTCGAAGAGCAGCTCGAGATTGCTGTTGAGGTGCAGCTCCCCTTGTTCCTGCATTCGCGAGCTGCGAGCGAAGATTTTGAGAGGTTGTTGAAGGCGAAGTTGGAGCAGTTGCCGAAGAGAGGGTTGGTGCATAGTTTCACAGGGACAGTGGGGGAGATGCAGAGACTAATAGAACTGGGCTTCGACATTGGAGTTAATGGGTGTAGCATGAAGAGTGAGTTGCTTTTGGGTGTTTTGTGGGTGATTTAGCTGATTTGTTGTAGCGGACGAGAACATCGATGTCGTGAGGCAAATACCACTTGAGCGGTTGCAGATCGAGACAGATGGTCCCTGGGTAAGTACAATGTTCAGATGCTATGTTTCTCACGACTGATCTCGATACAGTGCGAAATGCGGCCCAGTCATGCGTCAGCAAAGTTCCTCAAGGATGCCCCGCCTTTACCCAAGGCTATCAAGAAGGAGAAGTTTGTCAAGGGTGCCATGGTCAAGGGGCGAAATGAGCCTGCTACCATTCCGCACGTGGCGTATGCTATTGCGCAGATCAAGGGCATCACCGTGGAAGAGGTGTGCGATGCGGCGTGGAACAACTCAATCAAGATGTTCGGCCTTGGAGTGTCAGCATAGAATGGTTCCTTTTGACGGCATATAGAGTGCATTTAGAGGTCTAGACACAATTGGCACCAGGTTAGCAAGGACTGCAATGTGCAATGTGTTGTACTGGATTTGATTTGTACAGACAAAAGAAAATGTGGGCTCCGGCCCGCATGCAAATGACTTCCTGATCCCCTCTTCAAGCACGTAACCACTCTACTTCCTGTACCACATCCTTGTGATCTTGGTATGCCTCATCTTCTTCTGCAGCTGGAAAATGCCGTACATGAGCGCCTCGGCGGTTGGCGGGCATCCAGGCACGTAGATATCGACCGGCACAATCCTGTCGCATCCTCTTGTGACCGAGTAGCTGTAGTGGTAGTATCCTCCTCCGTTCGCGCAGCTACCCATGGAAATGACCCATCGAGGGTCGGGCATCTGATCGTACACCTGTCGCAGAGCCGGAGCCATCTTGTTTGTGAGAGTTCCGGCAACAATCATGACATCGGACTGACGTGGCGAGGCACGGAAAATGATACCGAGGCGATCCTGGTCGTATCGTGGGGTGGACAAGTGCATCATTTCAACGGCGCAGCAGGCGAGACCGAAGGTCATGGGCCAGAGGGAGCTCTGACGTGCCCAGTTGGCGACTTGGTCGAGAGTGGTCCTGTTCCAGCGCGTTAGCCTTTGTTGCCACCACGATTTTGGCAGTACTCTCAGTCTCCCTGGGACAGCACGTACAGCGCATATTGCATGGCACCCTTCTTTCCCTCCTGGCTGGGCAATGGCACTTCGCGGCGCGCCTGCTTCATCGGGGGCGGTGTTCCAGGGTTGCCCACAATGGTGGCGGGGCTCTTCATTGTCGTCGCATTGTTGGAGGAGCTCGAGGAAAGGAAGGCAGTGCTTCCGGCGCGGAATGGCAACAGAGCTGTTGTGGGCTTGGCTGTCCAGAAATTAGCTCCGGAGCGACGGCAGCTTTCATGACGGCGGCGACTCACCTCGCAGAGCCATTGAGGCTCCGTACCGTGTTGTCGACAGCATGTTGGCGACGGGTATCAGGGAGCGTGTCCGGTGGAAGAGTGGAGAGGCGGGCGTGGGGTGGCGTACGGGGAGTGCAGTCGCGATGAAGTCAATGATCGTTCTTCGCCAAGCGTCGATTAGCTAGCCGCTTTTAGGTTCCATCTGATAGGCTGAACGCCGACATCGATCCTCACCATCGCCTTTTCGGTCTACCCCGGCGAGACTGCATCACCAAACCCGTGATATTCCCAGGGTCCAGTGACAACAGTCAAACTACCTCAGGTTCTCTGGACAATAGCAAGGATGGCGAGTAAAGTGCCTTCGATCTGCTGTATAGGTTACATTGGCAAACACGTAAGTAGAGCCTCTAGGGGTCACGGTGCAGCATCTTGACCTAGCGGGGTGAATGTGTGTACATTGTTTGTGTACTTGGTTAATCGATTCTTCAGAATAATCCGTTGCACATTTCGCTCTTCCCAGCAGAAGAGAGAGCGCCTCTGGAATTCCAGTTTCTGCTCTCGTCATGTCTGGACATCTTCGAAGCTCGCCTTCCTTACAAGATAGCAGACCAAGACTTTGGGCTTCTCCAAGCGGTTGATGAAAGACTGGCTATGTACGGATGGCTGACCAATACTGGTGTCAAGATTGTCATTGTGGTCGACATGGAGGGGAGGCCAGCTACCGCCTTGGATAGCAAAGCGGCAACAGCAGTGGGACTACGAGACGCAGACCTGAAGCCTGTAAGTTTGTCTGGATCTAGCGAATTTCCAGCACTGATATTTGTTAGGCGTTCAGGGCATTGCAAACAGCATACATCAAGCTGTTGCGGAATCCGTTTTACAACCCTGATGAGCATTCACCAGTCACAGCGAATGCCGAACAAAAGATAGGCTCGACACAAATTACAAGTCGCAGTTTCATCCAAGAAGTAAAGCGAATTGCAGAAGCATGGGTGCCCGGCGTTACCAACCTCTAAGCGCTCGTTGCCCGCCATCACAATACCAGGATACCAAAGCATAACACGGCGTTTGGCGTACACGAAGTCAAGTCCCATAGAGACATCAGCAATTGAACTTTGTACTTCCCCAGATTTGCTTAGCAAAAACCGTCCTGTTAGTTCTCGATTATCAGATCGAACGCGCTAATGTCCAAATCAGGACTAGATGGATCTGCCATCCTGCATCTCGGGCCTTGCAGACTTCAGCATCAAACATCTTCTTTTTCTTATGTCACCCAAATGCCTCCTAATGGGACGAGTGTCACGATTACGAACCCTCTGGTTCTCTACAGGAGTCTTATAGCAACACAACAAATTCGTCCCGATCCCGGACAACATCGCTTGGCCTGTATGACGTATACCATTCGGCAAATGCCAAGACAAAGTACATCGACTGACCGAAAGAACAGTACATCTACAGAAACTCTATGATCAACTCAAAGACTATGAACCCAGTGTAGAATACTCCAAACGCCTCAATCAATTGACTCGAGCTATCAAGGCCGGCCAAGATGTCTTGCCACCACCTTCCACTGCCACTGCCGAGCTGGGCAGCTTTGACCGAAGTTGGATATGGAAGACCCTCGTAAACCAGAAAGAGCAGCGCGACTCACGAGCATTGACGCGTGTACTGATTGATCATGACCAAGCCATGGCCCTTCAGAGCCCGAAGGGCCTTATGCTCCATGGCGAAGTTGGCACTGGCAAGTCCATGCTCATCGACCTATTCCAGGAATGTCTACCGAACCGCAAGAAGAAGCGCTGGCATTTTGATACTTTCATGTTGCACACTATTTCCCGCTTGGAACAGCTCCGCAAGTCTCGTACGCTTACAAGGACCGCTGATGGTCAGGATGAGTACTCGCTGCTGCTCGTAGCACGAGATCTCATTGAAACAAGCCCGATCTTGTTCCTTGATGAATTCCAATTCCCGGACCGTGTGGCGAGTAAGATCTTATCGAACCTGATGACGAGCTTCTTCCAGCTTGGCGGTGTGTTGATAGCGACCAGCAACCGCATGCCAGACGAGCTAGCTAAAGCTGCGGGTGTTGAGTTCGCTAGACCGGCCCCAGGTGGCGCGTTCAGCAAGCTGGGCTGGGCGAACCGCATGCCTGGGTTCCGTGCAAAGAACGATGGAGCCGGGCAGAAAGGCGAGTTCTTTCAGTTCCTTGAGGTGCTGAAGGCGAGATGTGAGGTTTGGGAGATGGAGGGTAAAAAGGATTACCGGAAACTCGAGATGGAAGAAGATGGAGGTGCTCGAACGTCAACGCCTGCATCGGACGCCGTCTCGATCGCGTCTGTAGGTCTGCCAGCTGGAACGGCGAACGAACTCGAGACGACAGATCCCACACCAGCCACCGAAGTCACACTCCCAAGGAACTACCTCATCCAACCAGCCACCGTCGAAGAAATGACCACATTCGCCGAATCCTTCAACTCTCTCATCGAACGTGCAGCTGTCCACGCCTACCCCATCCCCTGGGAACCCGCAACCCTCACCGTGTACGGCCGGCGCGTCGACATCCCCGCTCAACACAACGGCGTAGCTTTCTTCACCTTCGAAGAACTCTGTGGCGCCGTCCTCGGTCCCGCAGACTACGTCTCTCTCGCCTCCACCTACCACACCTTCATCCTCACCGATGTCCCCATCCTCACCTTCCTGCGCAAACACGAAGCCCGCCGGATGATCACGCTTCTCGATGCGCTCTATGAAGCGCGCTGCCGCCTGCTCATCACCGCCGCCGCGGATCCGGATGAGATCTTCTTCCCTGCCCCGAAGGGCGCGGTCAACGAAGCCGGCGAGGAGGTCCTGAGTGAAGACGCTGTTTATCCGGAAACGTACTCGGAAATCCACCAGGATCTTACCAGCCCGTTCAGACCCAATGTATCTTCGTACGGCACGAACACACGCGCAATGCCCGACGACGCGCTCGAAGACGACCCGCCGAACCGCGCGCGCCGGATGGCGGGCCTGAGCGAGTCTGACTACGGCGACGAAGAAGCGAGAACTCGCGAGTCAATGACAGCAGACAACAAGAAACCCGACTTCGCCAATCTTCGCGGCCTTACGGGTGAAGACGAGGTCTTCGCCGTCAAGCGCGCTCAGAGCCGGATCTGGGAGATGTGTTCGGCGCGGTGGTGGAGTAAGAGCGCTGTGAATGCGGACGAGGGGAGTGATGTGGCGAGTCAGGGGTGGTGGCGTCCGTTGTCGAAGGAGAGTAGGCATTGGGAACGTCCTGCAACGGCACAAAATCCCGCCGCTACACCGGCTTCTCTCTCCCCTCTGTCGTCGTCGTCGTCGTCGCCGTCGTCGTCGTCGAGTGTCCCGGCCAAGGCCGCCATGCTCGCAGACACCGATGTCAGACTCGTCGACGAATCGCTGCCTGTTGAGAGAGAAAAGCGTACCAGGCCAGCGACCCAGAGCAAGCCGGTTCCTGGTGTGCCAAAGGACAACGAAGTCTTCAGCGACGAGGAAATGGAGAACATGTTCCGCCACGGCGCGAGTCCGTTCAGAACGACGTCTGATCCGCCCCCGAAGTTCAGTGAGGCGCATGCCTGGGGCGTGACGACGTGGGGGAAGAAGGCGGGGGCGTGGGGGAAGGGGGTGGAGGGGTTGAAGGAGAGGAGGAAGGTTGTGGATGCGGAGGAAGGGGAGGGGAGAGTGAGTGGGAAGATGGAGAGGAAGTTCGAGGAGGAGGTCAAGGATGATGTGGCGGAGGGGAAGGGGGAGGGGAAGGGGAAGGGTGCGAAGACGAGCATGGGGGAGGGGGTGCCGTGGACGCCTTCATAGACTTGGGATATGTTGCTGGGATGTGTTGCTGGGATGTGTTGCTGGGATGTTTTGTTGTAGATATGCTTATACATTGCACGCTCAACTCCACGCTACCCGCAAGTGTACGACGCTACGCAAGTGTACGCCGCTACTCAAACCAAGGGTCTAGTCACTGGATCTTTCCCTTGTTGACCACAAACGCTTCGAGCACTGACAGCGCAGACCACAGCCTGTTCTCCGCTTCCCGGAACACGACAGACCGGGGCCCGTAGAAGACCTCATCGCTGACCTCCTCAGGGTGACGCGGCAGGCAGTGCATAAACTCCCACTTGTCCTTTGCGCCCGCACGCTTCGCCAACTCAGACGTGATCTGGAAACCCTCGAACGCCTTCAGGCGCTTTGCGGACTCTTCTTCCTGGCCCATGGACACCCATGTGTCCGTGACCAGGATGTCTGCATGCTGAGCCGCCTCCTCGGGCACAGTTGTCTCAACCAGCTTTCCCGCGCGGGGCGACGTCTGCGCAGCGTGGCCAATGACATCGCGCATGGCTTGCGGGATCTCGTAGCCCTTGGGTGTGGCGACGCTGATGTCGATGCCGAGCTTCACGCAGCCGATGGCGAGGTCGAAGAGGACGTTGTTTGCGTCGCCGATCCATGCGACCTTCAGGCCCTCGAGGCCGAGCGAGGTGGTGGATGTGGAGGGGTGGGATTCGGTGAGAGTGAGCAGGTCGGCGATGATCTGCATGGGGTGGTAGAGGTCGGAGAGGGCGTTGATGACGGGGACGGAGGAGTGCTTTGCGAGGTCGGCGACGTCGCTGTGGGGGCCGACGCGGGCGACGATGGCGGAGGTCATGGAGGAGAGGACGAGGGAGGTGTCGTAGAGGGACTCGTTGACCTGCGGGGCATTAGCAACAAACAGCCCATGCAGGCGGCGGGCGCATTGCATACGCCTAGCTGGATGTCGTCGCGGCCGAGGAACATGGGCGACGCGCCGAGTGCTGCAATCGCGCCTTCTGTCGAAACACGCGTGCGGGTGCTGCGCTTGCTGAAGGTCATGGCGACTGTGCGGCCGGCGAGCGACTGGCGCAGGCTGTGCGGGACCTCGCCCGTGGACTTGATGCTCTGCTTGTGGGCATCGGCATTGCGGACGAGCGTGGTGAGCTCGGCGGGTGCGAGGTCTGCAATCGAGAGCAGATGGCGGGGCGCAAAGGGCGAGGTTCGCGTGCTCGACGAGGGAATGTATGTGGACAAGCTGTAGCTGCGAGATCGGAGCTGCTGCAAGCTGCGCACAGCAGTCGACGCAGGCCGGAGGGCGTGCATGGCCGGCCAATGGGGGCGATGGAGCTTCGGAGGGGAGAATTGAGTCTTGGCGAGAGAAGCTGGGAGTCTTGACGAGAGAAGCTGGACGAGGCGCAGAGTCACAGCCAGCCGCGCTCTCTGTGTCACTCAGCCGGTAGTTTTTCTGGTGGGGCCCGTGGAATCCGGGGTCTCGCGCCCTGCTGCGTCAGGCACGAGCGATAAGCGCAAGGCGCCCGTCACTGATTGGCGTGGTGGCTGGTGGCTGGTGGCTGAGCGCTGAGCGCTGAGCCCGGGAGCCGCGAACGACATCATGACTGGCCAGGTCCGACGAACACTGCCAGCACTCATTCCCGCCTCGCACTGCATCCTGCGCGTGTTCGTGCCTCCGCCTGCCCGTGCCTACGCCTGCCCGTGCCTCCTCCTGCCCCCTCCTGCAGTCCCTCCTCCTGGCCGTCCCCAGCAAATGCACACCTAGAGCCCTGATCGCATCCCCCTCACCACCATGGAGACGCCCGACGGCCCGTGGGGCTCGACCCGCACGCCTAGCTCGCGCCCAACGTCCCAGAAGTCGACCCGCTCCTCGCAGTCGCGACACTCGCAAACCTCGAGCCGGACCACCGAGGAGACGCCACTGCTTGCGAACGAAGACCGCGGCGGCGAGGAGCGCACCCCCGCGCAGTCCCGCTTGCTGCGTTCGCTGAGCGCATCGTCCGGCTGTGGCAAGACGCCCGCCTGGCAGCGGAGATGGCCCAGCATACTCGCCCTCCTCCTGCTATGTCTCGTCGCAATAGGCATCATGCTCGGCTTCCTCGCCAGCGAAGGCATCGAGGAGTATGCCATGCAGGCCGCCGACTTCAAGCCCACCAAGCTGGCTCTCGACGGTCTCACCGACCACGGCGCCAGGGTCCAGATCGAGGGCGACTTCAAGATGGATGCCTCCAAGGTGGAGAAGCAGAGCGTGCGCAACATCGGCAGATTCGGTACATGGCTCGCCCGAGAAGCCGAGACTGGGCCAATGGACGCTGAAGTCTATCTGCCGGAGTATGGCGATGTCCTGGTTGGCACAGCCAGGATCCCCGGCATCAAGGTCAACATCAGGAACGGCCACACTACGCATGTCTCTCTGGTTGCAGTCGTAGAGCCAGGGTCGGCTGAAGGCATTCGTAGTGTTGCGCACGACTACATCGACGGACGACTACAGCAGATTCGCCTCAGAGGCAGGGCGGAAGTGCCCGTCAGGTCGGGCTTGATCAGGCTCGGCAAGCAGACTATCGAGCAGTCGATGGTCTTCCACAGCGGCCATGTCCCAGCGCTGCCCAAGTACAATATCACTAAGCTCAACCTCCGAGAAGCGAACCACGGACGCAAAGGACTGGGTGCCGACGCCTCGATCCTCGTCAAGAACACGTTCCCTCCTGTCTCGCTCGACATCCCTCCGGTCGCTGTGGACGTGCTGATCGACGGATGCTCACCTTCAGACAAACACCTCAAGGTTGGCACCGCTGAGACCCCCGAGCTGCACATCAGGCCCAAGACCGACGTCAAGCTCAACGTCACAGGCAATGTGGAGAAGCTCGCGGATCCCTTGACTGAGGTCTGCCCCAACTCGGCAAAGTCGCCTCTCGACGCCTTCATCGGTGACTACATGAAGGGAGAGGACGCCACCATCTACATCAACTGCTGCACATTTCCTGATCCGGCAACCCCCAACTGGGCCCGTGACCTGCTCAGGGACATCACAGTCCCCGTCCCTTTCGCTGGCAAGGAGATGGGAAACGTGATCAAGAACTTTTCCATGGCCAACATGCACTTCTCTCTGCCAAGCCCTTGGGCTGAACCGGGCACGCCTGAAGCTAACCCCTCCATCTCGGCAACTGTCAAGGTCGACATCGGACTTCCCAACGAGATGAATTTCCCCTTGGACGTTCATCAGATCAAGGCGGATGCTGACATCTTCTACAAGAAGAAGCTGCTCGGGAAGATGAAGCTTGACAAGTGGCAACACGCCAACTCGACAAGAATCAAAGGCCATGGTCAGGAAGGCCCCTCTCTGCTGGTCCAGTCCGAGATCGAGAAGGCTCCGATCGAGATTCAAGATGATGATCTGTTCACCGAGGTCGTCCAAGCTCTCCTCTTTGGCGGAAAGCCAATCAATATGGACATGAAGGCGAGTGTTGGCGTCGGCATAGACACGCCCATGGGCAAGCTTGCGATCCGAGGCATCCCCGCCAAGGGTACCGTGCCTGTCAAACGTTAGTGACCTAGTTCGTGATCCTTGCGTTTCGCTCGTCTGGTAATCGCTAACATCTGTGGTCCAGCAATTCGTGGCGGCAAAGATCACAACGGCACAGATGACGGCAAGTCGCCAATGGAGCGTCTGAATCTGAAGGTCGGCGATATGGCGATCGTGGATACGAGCCCTACTTCGATTACACTCCAGATGAAGTCTAATTTCACGAACCCAACGAACTACACTGCAACCATTCCCTACTTCAACATCAACGTCCTTGTGAACGGGACACTCGTCGGATCGGCAACTGTCGAGAATAGCACTGTCTACCCCGGCAACAACTCCGGCACCGTCGTCACCGTCCTCTGGGACCCCTATACCTACGGCGGCATCAAGGGCAAGGACGTTGGCCGAGAATGGCTGTCGCAGTTCATCTCAGGCATGCTTCATCAGCCCTGCTTCCCTCTTTCACCACTGACTTTGGCAACAGGCTTCAACACCTCTTTGACGATGCAAGCCCACAACGGCACCATCCCCTCCCAGCCCGCCCTCGGTCACCTCCTCTCCCAATTCCCCATCACTGTCCCCGCCCCGCACATGTCGACCGACGATCCTGACGATAGCGACCCTGCACCTCCAAGCGATGGAAAGAACACTCACTTCATCCGCAGTGCCACAATGCACATTCTCTCCTCCACCGCGCTCTTCACCCTCTTCTCCCCTTTTAAATCAACCACGATGTACCTCACTTCACTGAACGCAACCGCCTTCTACGAAGGGCACGAAGCTGGCAAGATCCTGTACCATCTTCCCTTTGCCGTTCCTCCTGGCTTGTCAGAAAGCCCGAGGTTGCCCGTGGATTGGAGTTTTGGCTCGCTTGGATACGAAGCGATTAAAAAGGCGCTTGGGGGTCAATTGAAGCTCAATGCCTTTGCAATTGTCGGCGTCAGGATAGGGGAATGGAGGGAGACTATCTGGTACAAGGGCGGTAAAATCGGTGCGAATGTGCGGCTATGAGACACGGCCAACAGACCACAGGGCGTTGGTTTGAACCGGGAGTGTACATACGGATGAAGCATTTCATGACTGTGTGGAGGATCTGGCGTTGGGCGCTAGCGGGTTCTAGCAGTTCTTCTTACGCGTAAAGTATTGTTGTCAGCTATTAGTTAGAATGCGTAAGCAATTAGTTGAGTTGGAACTGGGAACCGATCTACCCTGGAGACCAAGCTAGAAGAGGTGAAGGTCTCGTTGTTTTTGCGACAGAGATGGAGACGAGCAAATGTTCATCTTCTTCTTAACCAAGCGTTCGGGGTGGGGTTGGGTTTTGTTGTTGTATGGAGACTTGTCAATTCAGCGCTTCGTCTCTTCGTACGACTGTTTTCAGGCGTTGGGACGTTTTCCACGTCCTTGGTTGTGTGTTGGGGGATTCTGCGGTGCCGTGCTGGGTTTTGGGAGGCATTCAGCTTACTGCTGGGCGCGAGCAGATATCGCTTGGTGGAAGCAAATTTTCGGCAGATATGGTGTTGCTTTATGGTGAGTGCTGGGCGGTGTTGCGTCGGTGGGCGAAGATTTGCATCCTGCTATAAGGGCTTTGAAGCTTGACCGGAAGAAAGATGGATTTGGAGACCGTAGGCGGCTCGTGACTTCGTTGCCTTAGGGCTATTGTCGCATTTCAGGATTAGTGTCTGTTCTTATATGAGTGGTAGATTGTCCGTCTACTCTTTTCGGGTCAAGGCGTCCCATGCAGTGTGGCTTGGCTGCTCGGCAGGTGCATTAATGCCGTTTACTCATTTCCTCCATAACATTGCAATATTCCTTCTCGCGCCTGAGCTGGCAGTCGCAGTCTCGCCAGCAATGCTCGTTCTTGCTGCGGAATCACTACTCGTCCCCGATGCAGTAGTCGCGGAACTGATACTGCCACTGGACGAGCCTTCCGTATTCTCCCCAGCTCCGAACACACTTATGCGCTGCTTTCCTCCGCAGATTGTCTTCGCATCACCAGCACAGGGCATGTTACAGTCTTTCTGGTCTTCCGCTAACGTCCCGTTGTTAGCGTTGCCGCACCAGCACTCATCACCACCTTTTACACCGGCGATCTTATAACCGACATGGTAACATTTGTCCTTGCACTTGGACACCGTCTCTTCCGGATCCCGACCATAGCGCATATCGAGAATCCAACTCCGCACGCCGTTGTCAACCTCATCGTTCCAATTGTCGACATAGCACCCGATATCTTTCCATGAGCTAGGAGAAGGAATTGGGGAAGGTGTGCTGGTTGTCCTGGTCGTCGCGTCGCTCTTCGTGACAGGTACTCTCCAGCCTTCGCTATCTGTCGTCATACTTGCCAAGGGCAATCCATTCGAGAGCGTTGTGTAATATACCGAGTTCTCTAATGTTTCGTTCGTGATGACGCAGTAGCTCCAATTGAACCACGGTTGGCAGTCGAGACCGACGGAAGGGTTCCAGGCGTGGAATTGAGTGGGGTTGATACCAAAGTACCTGAGGGTGCTTTCGCACGTGTCTTTAGAGCTGTCTTCGACGTCAAACCATCCAACGCAATCTTTTGCGGTGCGGGGATCGTATTGGAGGTTTTGAGAAAGGACGTGGCGCGTGAGTGCCAAGATGGGGAGGATGATGGAGGTTCTCATGGCGGAAACCGATCGAAATTAGAGAGGTCAAGAGGTAGCTATGGGACTGCTCTAGGGACAATTGAGGTTGAGGGTGATTGTGGCGACAAGATGGTGATGTCGAGTCTCTCCGGGAAAGTTGGAGGAGAGTAGAGAGAGAAAAGTCGCGTATAAAAAGCTCCTGGAGACGCGCTCCTGATATCTTTCCTCTCCGCCATTCTCGGTAAATCTAATCTCGCGTATAATCGACGATAGCAAGGCGCAGCATTTGATCAGGAAGGTGGACCGTGGGGCGCCGTAGACTCATTAACCTGTCCCTAGCCTCTTATGGCCTACTGGGTCAAGGTGAATCGTAGCAGCCGCGGTCCACATGTTAGTACCTCGCCTTGACTCTGAACAGAGCCTTTATGTCGACGAGCGTGACGATGCTTAACCGAATATTTTGAACGAATCTCCTACCCACAACGGATTGAGCCCCAGAAAAAAGATGTCACTTTTTCGAAGCGTGAACTTCGTAGCGGGTCCCTTCCTTTGCCACTTTCGCATGTCCATGAGGTACAGCAAGATCACAACCACTGACAGTCAGTCAAAGATCTACAACAGGAATCGACCAGTAGCCAGCAAAATCGCCTCTATGTTCTACAAATCCTCCCTGCTCCCCTTCAAGCTTCGTGTCCAGATATGGGACAAGGCCGTTGTGCCGCGTACCGTCAAAGTCTAGATTCCTCAAGTTCCATACGGAGAAAAGACACGCTTGGCGTCAGGCAGGCACCTCCATTCAGGCCTATAGGCTATTCCAGAATAGGCCCTAGTGCCGACAGTACATGTAACTACGTGGCTTATGTCATATGATATCCTATTGTAGAAGGCACTGCCCGAGGGCAAGTGCACTTAGCTCTGAGCCAAGAGCTCCTGTAATACAAGATGTAGCGGTGTGAACCGCTGTAGAATACTGATAGCTACGGTAAACAATAACGTAGGACTGTCGGGTCGATGGAATACTGCGCTGGATTGCTATCTAGCTAGGAGGAGACGACTATATACCTGACCTGTAACACACTAGTCCAGGGTAGTGGTCAGGGGTATAGTCAGACACTGTACGGACCAACCGATACCGCAACACAAGAACATTACCGAATAACACAGATAGCAATATAATCATTGATCACAGCCTCCGACCGACACTGCTCACGCAGTAACAGTATATAAAGACCACGAAGAAGCCCATCAATTCATCACGATTCTGCTCACTTTCTCCCCATTGTCACTTAGTCTCATCCACACCGGCGCCAGGATCACTACAGACCTGTCAAGAGGCGCGCAACCGCGGCCTGTACCAACGGACATTCTCTGGAGTTGCAGAACGTCTCAGTGCTGAATCGCGTTATGTTTGGGTCAACTTGGACATCCTGAGGTCGACATGATCGACGTTGGAAGAACCTACTTTGACTATTTTTGTGGTGGCATGGGGCCGCTGATAGAATACGATGGAATACTGCGCTGAGTTGCTATCTAGCCAGGAGAAGACGACTATATACCTGACCTATAACACACTGGACTAGGTAGTCTGCTATGGGCATAGTCAGACCTTGTACGGACCGATTGATACCGCAACAATTTTACGCCGGTGCATCACCTCATCAAGCGGCTCAAGTTCGCGCGCACGAAGTCCATTGAGTATTCCTTTCATGACGAGGGTCAGGAGATTACGAATTTCGTGAATGTAGAGGAGATACATGTCGTTTGCCCCGACGGGCTGCTGGGATGGCAGAACGACATGTGTTGTTATGGCCGGCCATGCGGCTCCGAGAACATTTTCTTATGGAACCGTTTGACCCTGAAGTGAAGTTGCTAAGAAGTGACGAAAAAATTATCTGGCATATAGTGCAGTTGAGTCACTGTAAGCAATGTCGTTGTGCACCATCTCGCCACTGAGTTCTCGCTTCACAAAGACTAGAGCGGCAGCCCAAGCATTTGAAGATGCCTGATCGATTTCTCAGCTGCCGTCATAGAGAGCCTGTTGGACTTGTTGAACTGTACGCAAAGGGAAGAAGTTGAGGTTTGTACTGCAGTTGTATTGTATGAAGCTACGAACAGTATATGTAGGTGAGTAGCCGTAAACAACGATAGTGGGAAAAGGCAGCAACCTCTCACCATGGGGTGAGGTGCGACAGGGCGGAGGTGCAGGAGAGACCCCAAACTGTGACAGAGTCTGGTCCACATATCGAGGAAGGAGTCAAGGACATTCGTTTCGTACTACAACATGAAAAGGAAATCGCTGGGTATCTCGTATTTACAGTCCTAGGTTCTCCTCCACTCAAGGCCTCAACACAATCTTGCTTCGTGCCCAGCCGCCGTCGTATTGCTTCGTCCCATCCGCAAATTCTCTAGCCGTGGTCCTTCGTTGATCACAGCCCAATGCGCAGCCGTTCACTACGACTTCTGAAAACCGGGAATTGAAACACAAGGCTCCATATCATCCACTTCATGAGACGGTTCCGGTACGATGGTGTTGCTCGATACGCGGGAGGGAGCAGGACCAAAGCCTTCGTCGGCCTCCTTCTCCAAGTCTTGTGCAGTGCTGGTTGAGCGGATAAGAGCTTGAGCGTGCGGGACATTGTGGATGTTCGATGCGGCTGGGTCGCTTTGGCGCTCGTCGATGCGTGTCAAGGTAGGAGCATACGCTGTGGGCCCATGATGTTCGCAAACAATCGGGGCAGCTGGTGCTCCCGAGTACTTCACCTCCGCCAACAGCTCTACCGTAACAAATAAAGCACACGCGCCCAATTTTAGACTGTTGGTACACATAGCGACCTCCTCGAACTGTGCATCAAAACTATCCTCATCTCATGGCATAGCTCGCTCGTGGAGTGAGCCATCAATTCAGTCCCCGTCCAAATGCCAACTTGCAACCACTCCTCAACGACGATCATAATCGTCGCCCAAAGGAACGCAATGCAACAACCTTTGCGTCTCCGTTCTGGATGACTGGAAGAAGTATAAGGAACCTTGCTATCGATTCGGGAACAAATCGAACGCACTCAGACTACATTTCGGGAAGAGGAGTATAGGCAGAGTTACCCTCAATCCACAATTTGTCGACTTGTGCTGGGAGTAATTCGATCAACGAATGGTATATAGCGTAGTAGCGCTCGACATCTCTCAGCCTCGGAAGGTTCCACGTTCCCGTATGCGCAGTTGTCTACGGTTTGAAGCATTGAAGGCATGCAGCAACATGGTTCTGTGAGACAGGTCTTCTGGCAGAAGAGAGGAAGATGCGACAAAAAGTTTGGACAGCTCGCTTATCCGCAGGTCACAGGTGTTGAGGCTACACAGCTAGAAGGTCGCGTGCAAGGTTGTGAATAATGGACCTAGACCTAAATCGAAGCCTAGTCGGTCAAACGACAATGCGCATGTCTTCATCACAGTCAAGTTGGAGTGGATGCATTGGTGCATCCATGCGTCACTGGGAAGGCGCACTTTTGCAGCTACGCGTGGCTCAGCCCAGCTGGGAACGCCTAACAAGCAGCCTGTGAGGTATCTTGTAAAAAAAAAAGAGCAATCAAGACATTACATTTGAAGGTGCGTACCGGTGAGGTGCTCTTTCCCATACCTCGTCTTCCCTGAAGGGTCAGCCTTGCAAAGACTGTCCTACTCTATCCATCCTCAGCACCCTGTCCTTGATTTTAGTTAACACTACCCTTTTACAAGCTCATCACCTGTAATTTCAGACAAGAATGATCGCGTTCTTCGAATACATTTCGGAGTCTTTGGTGTGCTAGGCACATTGATCACGTTGGCAAGCCTCCACCATCGAGGCTCTTTAGGATGCATGCTGTTTCGTAGACTATTCATCTCGCGCGTGCGATGCCCATTGAGCCAGCCTCCAGCATGCCTTACATGTGTGCAGTCTCTGTGTTTCTAACAAGCGACCAGCTGCTGATCCTGAGACTATTCCCATCCATAGTAACTTAACATCCGTGATGCTGTTAATTTGAACCAAGCCTTCACTGCATACTCGAGAAGCTCACCCTGCCACCTGCCTACGGTGTATCAATTCGACCCTCATCCGCGGACGGTTCACTCGACGAAGCCAAGATCCCTGATGTTTTGGCCAACGTCGTTACTGAAGAAGCTCAGTTCACCCCAAAGTTAGCGCAGAAATCGGTTGCTCCATGAAGACGAACCACACCAATTCTAGGAGCACAACTCGACTTTGTAGGCAACCCAAGCAGCCATCGCGGTGGATGCATGTACTCGGCGGTGGGTTGAGCAGAAGGGTACCTGGAGAGGTGTATATATCGGTATGGTTTTCGAGAAGTATCAGGTGTTCGATGGAGGGGAGGGCTAATGTTTGGAAGGGGCGGGTATGAGTGCTCGGACAAAGCATTAGGAAAAGATATGTTATCCTGCAACTTGAGCGACAAGCGATGATCAGTTCCAGCAAACTTAGGAATATCAGACATATATTTCCTGACTTTGCTTCCATGTGAGCTTCGGAATCCAAGCCACCATATACCCCACTCTAGGGACATAAGATGTATCAGGCAGGGAGATGGAATTTTTCGACGGAGCGCGACACTTACAGAAGCACATTCTGAAGAAAAGGCAGATTTTCTTCCAGCTGCAGGCCGCTCTCCTGACGTACTCGTAGTCAGTGAGAGTATGCTGACAAGCCATATCTTCGATAACGAACCCGCCGCTGAGACCAGAAGTGACACTGTCTCCAAACGGATTACCGAATATGGCAACCAGGTCAGTGCTACAAGTAGGGTGGGGAGGATAGATGGGGAGGCATTCAGGTGCACCACCAGTCGTCGCCATTTCAAGGCTCGGGAATTGTGTACCATCTCGCCACAGACTACAACGAGATCAACATCATCGTAAGCCTGGTAAGGTCCAGTTCGGGTTGGCAACTTAATTCACAGGATACCAGACTCCAAATCGGTTCTTTGGGCCTCGAATCATACGTTACGTAGTGAGATCGACCTGGAACGTAGATATAGGGCACCATTTTGGATTAACCACGCATACAACATGCCAGACACGTAATCGTATCTAATACCACAGCAAGGAACAGCACGAAAGTCGAAGGGGAAGGTATGTAAATAGCTTCGTTCAGGACAGACGCACTCGTGATATGCGTCTTCGGTAAATAGCAAAAGAGTATGGAAAATGCATACAAAGATCATCCCAAACATATACATACTTTCATGTGGTCTTGCCGTGACTCCATCCATGCCAAGCCCTTCATTAACCCTCAAACACCTGGAACAATATGCAATCTAATATGCCATGCAAACGAGTGGAACCCGGACAGCGCCGTCGCTAATATGTGCAAACTGTGACAAAAACTAAGATCATGACAGGAGGGACTTCGTGCAAGTGCTGAAAGGATCGGAGATGCCGAAGCAAGGACAATGGGATGAACTGAGCACATGAAAATGTGCACCTACGCAGAGTAAAACTGTTCAGATGCGCCGTGACGTTTGGTTGAGTAACCTGTCCGCTCGCTCGAAGACATTGAGAGTATTGGAACCATGACCAGGAGCGAATTTGGGTGTATTTGGCACAGTAGCTTGTGCCGCAGCCCCAAGAGCAGCACTCAGTGGCGTCGCTGGCACTCCCGGAGTACCATAACCACTCGACCCCTGTGACAGTAGACTTGCGGTAGGGTAGGGCTGAGCCGAGAAGGTCGAGTTCGTCGTAGGCACCTGCGTGTTGATGGCACCAAGATAAGATGAATTGCCACTAGCGCCCATACCTGGTCGATTCAGGAACCTTGGGGGCTGCGTACGTGATGTGATTGACGATAGTGAAGGCGGACCCATTGAGCCAGAGGTGTTGGACGTCAGGTGTGACCACGGCGAGCTGTAGATGGCAGAACTAGCTTCCTTGACCGTCTTGTGAAGTGGCTTCATAAGCTGCTTCACATCAGGGCTCAAGAGCTTGTGATCCTTGCCCTGCTGCGTATATGCGGTGGCTAGTTCGCCCCAAGCCTGAAACAAACGTAAGTTGTGGTGCTTCAGATTGAAACATGAGATGGGGAAACAAACCTTGATGAAACCCATGCATTGCTGCCAGAACTCGGCCTGGCTGCGGGTGTAGCTATCCTTCAGTTGCATCTGTGATAAGCGACTCGCAAGAGGGATCGTCATCTGCTGTACCTCATTGCTCTTATCGATGAGGCCAGCAAGCGCTTTAACTCTGGGATGGTCGGAGTCCAGATCTCGTCGCAAGACGTCGAATTGTTCTCGTAACAGACGTGTGATCTGGGGTATAGATGTTCTACAGCTTTCGCTGGCGTTCCTCAACTTCTGGTAGACCCGGTCGAACTGAGCATCCTCGTCAGACTCGTCAAAGTTGCTCGTCATTGTATTTGTTCGGGTCATGTTCGTAGCCAACGTAGAGAAAGACTCTCCTGATCTGGGCGTCGCAGCGCTGAGACTTGTCATTGTATTCGTTCGGCTGTTATCGTTGCTGTGCAGTATCACAGGCGGAGGGATCTGGTATTGACCTCGCTGCGGTGGTGAAGTTGGGAATCGTCGAACTCTTGGTCGTGCGCGTATTGTTCCGGGTGCATCTACTGCACCAGGCCTGCGGGAGGTTGCAGAGGTGTCCTTGAATTGAGCGCCCAACACAGAGCAGGCATTCCTCATCTCGATCAGACTGCCTTGTTGGAGGAACAGAAACGTTCGTAAAACCTGTGGATTCGCATTCTGCGTGATCTCCGCACGGTTTTCTGCAATCGACAGAGTAATCGACATGAAAGACTCCAGGCATCGCAGGGCATACATGTATACGCTTCGGGAGAGCCTTTGTGCGTCTTCCTCGTCTTCTTCGACAAGTCTGCTAAACTTGTTGAGCACATCGTTCATCGCCTGTATGTTGAGATACGTGCTCGAAAAGCGACGATAGAAGTCTTCTTTCCGGCGAAGTGCTTCTTTCGGTCTTGTCATTAGTTTGATCGAACGAACCATGTGAGAAACGCAGTCGTGCAGCTGAGATATCGCGTAAAGGAAATTCCTGGCAGCTTCGACAACGATGTCAGGGGCACGAGACCCACGTCTATGCTCTCGCACATCAGACAACGGACGATTCGCCAGCGATCGAACAGTTCCTGTATCCCCATACCCTATAGCAGTGGCAGGTCCAGAGACACCATTGACAGCACCCAAGGGAACAACGATGCCCTGGCTAAATCCACGGAAGTGGCTAGTTCTTCGCAGCTCATCGACCGAGCCAAGCTGCTCAGATGCCTGGTGCTTGTTGGTGTATATGCCCATACGCTTCTGGCGCTGTGTTGAGGGACCCGCGCCTTCGCTCTGGCTTCGATTGCGCTCGTTCAGGCCGGTCGTCAAGACCAACGGCGAGATTGGGGGTCGTGGTTTCGTGCCGTTGTTGCTGGTTTGTGACGACACACGAAAGTGTGATCGAGTCGGTATAGGCGGAGCTGCTAACGATGGCGAGTCCGCTCTGCCCTCTGCAAAACCATCCAGCGTGCTGACACTGGGCCGTACAGGAAATCGTCCACCAGCAGCTCGTTTCGAGGGGCGGGGTGTCTCCGGGTTACTCTCTGTCCAACTCTCGTCGCTCGATGACTCGATTCGTATACGTTCCAACTCAGCTCGCTGTCGCTGCTTGGAGGCTTGCTGACGCATGAACTTCTTCACTTGCGTAGCAATGACGGCATCTCGTTCGTTTTCGTTGGATGGTGAAGGAGCGTTGTCTTTGATCGTACAGACTTCTGGAGGCGGGAACGTCAATGGATTGCCATCGAGCTTCATGACCTGCAGGCTGTTCAAGTCCCCCAAACACACAGGCAGCTCCTCAATCTTGTTCTTCGCAAGAGCCAAAACTTTGAGCGAGGTCAGGTTTGCGATTCTCTCCGGGATTGACCTGATCTTGTTCCTGCTCACGTCCAGAATCTCCAATGATGTCATCTCAAGTATCTGGAGCTGGAATCAGCATTGTGTCACATGTCGTACGATTGGAGCGGGCCAACGGACGACACTGGGGATCTCGCGCATCGCATTGTAGCGCACGTTGAGGTAGCGGAGACGCTTGCATTCCAGGAGGCGTGATGGGAGCGTCGACAGGAGGTTGTGCGAGAGGGCGAGCCTGGCGGTGTTAGCATCACAAGACAGTCCTGCACCTAGCGCATTTTCATTGACGCTTTTAGTCGAGCGTACCTCTCGATTTCCACCCGGATGACATCGATAACCTCACCGGGCAGGCGCGCTATGTTCTTGTGGCCGAGGTCGATGGTAATGCCGGCGTGCTGCTGCTGCAGTTCTCGGGGAGCATCTGGGCCACGCTGACTGATGTCCTGTCGGGAATGATTGAAGGCGGCCTTTGCGAGGGCGACCACCTGCTCGTCCGAGATGGGCACGGGCGCGTCGTTGCTCATGATGAGCGGCGGTCAGAAGGGCGGACGGCGGCGAAGAGGTGCGCAGACATGCTCACGCAGCCGTGAGGAACATATGCAGCGGCTGCGAAATGCAGCGATAGTCGACAAAGTAAGGAGCTGCGTTCCTGCGCTAGCCAAGGCAAGCGCCGCTTGTGTTCCTGACTGTTCCTGGGCGCCATCTAACACTCCCCCTCCCCCCTCCCCACCCTCCCCCGGAAACACCATCACCGCGCCCCGCCGTCACAGGATGCTCTGGCACACCGTGTCCTTCTGCAATATCTCGCGGCGCTCCCTTGATGTTTGCCTTTTCTGTTCCCTTGTGAAAACAAGTCGACATGCCAGCCTCACGTGACCCGGGCCGTTATGCTCAAGCTTCAGCCGGTAAAGCCAGCCGCGGAGGGGTCTACGAATCAACGTCCGCCGGAGTACTTTCCCAGATCTCAGCCCAGCCGTCTTTTCCTTCAGGACAAACCCCTTGTGCGCTGCCACCTCTGATTGGACCTGCGTTCGGACAATGTACCTCAAAGGCGTAATTACACTTCCACCAGGTCACTTGGATTTGCAGGAAGTCATGTTGAACAGGCTCCCCAACGGCACGTTTACCAAAGCAACGGCACGCTAGCAGGTGGGTCGTGGCAGTTTTGGCAGTTGATTTCGTCATGTCGATCGATCTTGGAAATCACAAGATGAACTCCAGTTCGTCGTTCAGCAGTTTCTCCACAGATTCGAGGCTGACAGTCAACCGACGCACCCGCAAACGTTGTCATGAACTATGACGATTACCCGCATCCCATACGTCGCTCCCCTCGAGCGGCGCATGAGCTCCAGCAAGTCTTCGAACAGCTCCAGCTCGAAAACAATAGATGCGATTACGACGAGGATGAGGAAGACGACTACAGCGATTCTGATCAGGAGACTCCACCACCTACTCCAAGAAGGCATCCGGACTCATATGACGAACCGTCAGCGACAAGTCCACGGGAACCACCACCTCGCTCTCCATTACGCGTGAACCCGTTACGGTCGCACCCGGTTGCAGCAGATAGGACTCCAGCAGAAACAACACCAGCACCGAGACCAGCACCTCGGTACCGCTTCTCTCATCCTTTCAGGGAGCAGCTGTATGCTCCGCGACAGCCTGATCCAGCACCTCGTCGACACCCAACAACCCTTGTGTCTTACAAGCCCGCCAACCAGCATCTTCATCCTCGTTTGCGCAAACGGACTTCCTTGGATACGATAGCCTCGGTGACAACGACTGCTTCTGTGCTCGAGCCTGACGATGTGGAAACTCCCTCTCCCTCCATGTTCACGCTCGAATCCGAATATCCCATAACACCAGATGTGGACCTCGGACCGCCGCCCATGAGCGAGCCACCGAAATCGGCTTCGTTGCCCGAGTCGTTGCGCACAGCAAGCGTTAGCTCCACACATTCAATGCACCCAACAACGCCTGTGAGCTCAGCAGAAACATATCCACCCAGAGGCATACTACGAAAGCTGAAGCCTGGGAAGAGAAAGGATTCAGTAGGGACGGATGGAGGAGCCGAACGGCTTGTCATAGAGCGAACAGTCTCGGTAGATCAGACATCGTACCACTCGAACTCGTCAAGCGCATCCAACACCATATCGTCAGGCGCTCCTTCACGATACCCACCCTCAGAGACAGGCAACTCTCGGTCGAGTAGTGCGTGGACAGCAAGCTCGCATGATATCAGTGGTTTGACACCAGAGGAACTGAAGAAGTGCAAGAAGAAGGGCATCAACCCAGCGCTGTTCGCTGAGATGAAGGCAGCTAGGAAGGGGAGGTGGACAAGTCCAATTGCAGGGAACACGTTCTTGTCTTGACACAATATAGGGACGGTGGATTTAACCGAGCGGATCTCTCCCTACGACGATCCCTTGGAGCCCTGCGCGACCAGCTCTTGTTTGACATCAACAAAGAGTCAAACATACGCTCTTGAAGACTCTGGGCCTCTGCCGAAAGATTCGTTGCTTGGAGCACAAGGGTGACAGGTCTTCAGAGCAGATCCATACTGTGAACATTGGCATACTACTGTTACTGCAGACTGAACTACAGCAACATACTTAGCAGTCGCAAAGTATCTCGACTGTCAACCTCGGTACCTGCACGATATCACGACGGCTCGGCTGCAAGCAAGCTATCTCACCACTAGACTCATGTCTAGCCCAGCTGGGTACACACGGCCTTCCATCCCCTGTCTGCAGGTGCATGGCGTCCGCTGTCATGCAATACCGCTTATCTATGACACAATGAGCACGAACCCAACTGTGCGCCCACGATCTCTGTCTCACGACCGATCGCAGTCTCGTGTCTCATTATGTCTCCGCATCTGACTGCCTGGGAACGACACTAGCCACCCGTATAGGGTGTGCTTCATCTGGATATTTCGCATATCGATATTCCCCATAGTGGCCAAGACCACCATGGCAGTAAATACCCAGCTTATCTCCAAGTCTGTATTTGGGATATATTGGAGATATCGTGCTAAGGATATGCCGAACGGCATATAAGCATGGTCTTGGGAGAGATCTACCAAGCGGCACTTCATTGCCGCTACCGCCATGTCGAAACCCGGAGGACTTGCGTAATGTGTAGCGAAAGGCACAATCAAGGGTCAGATGAGCTTAGTTGAGCCATATGTATTGTCTAAAGGAGGTGTCATAGCACGAGGTGCATAGCCTAGAGCGGCACAATAGTGGACAAAGCCAGGTCACAAATCTTCTGTGTAAACATCACGGCAAGCGTTTGAAGAAACTACACGCGTAAAGCAAAGTGGCGACCATCCCACTGGTCTCCAACCCCGGCAAGGCCTAACACCTTCACCTCTGCAATAACCACCACCACAAATACCGTGGCGAGACTCGTCAACTCCTATCCACCTGCCCATCACAGCAAGGACCAGCAGCAGCGGCAGTTTCCTCCCTTCCCCACACCACACGCACACGCACACGCACACCACTGACAGCACACTGACAGCACCACGCATCAACATTCCCGTCCTGCATCAACTTTCCGCATCCAAGGCGAGCTTATCGCATCGTCCCGCAAATACGCCCTGCAAGTCGTGAATTATGCGAGGTCGTCGATCGTGATGCTGCTTTTGCGTTCTAAATATGTGTGATTGTGTGACTGAGAAGGCAGTTAATGCAACAAGGTAAGCGTGTGGTAAGAGCTGCAGGCGGGGAAGATGGAAACGAGGGGGAAGCTTTCACCACCAGTGGCTTCGCTAGAACTTGTCCTGTCGGTGTGAACCCCGCTCACACAGGCATTAAGTAATCACGCATATAGTGGGGTTTTGTCCAACACACCCAAGAGCCAGCGTTGAGGCGGTGCTGGTAAGAGTGGAGCTGTGCTCGTGAGCGTCAGGAGATAAGAACGATCTGCACGGGTGTAAGTTTCTACCTCAGACCAACGATCAGGCAGTGGAGTCGGTTAGCTCACAGCTCAAACAAGGCTGGGTAGGTGGTTTTCGAGGCGCGGTATCGATGCAGATTGACGCAGATGAGGTGATGGTGGTGAGATTGCGATGTGCAGATCCACGCAGTCGGAGAGCTGAAGTCACACCTGATGATGGGGAACATGAGGGGTAAGACGTCACGACCTGTTGCGCGACTTTGTGGCTTGTGGAACGTTTCGAGAAACATTCTCGAACACTTCGAAAGTAAGTGGAGATCCCGCATTCTTTAACCCGTTGAGGCGATGTCGTAATGATTCGCTATGAAATGGTGAGATGCTCACTGAACTGCTTTGCGCAATTCGCACTCCCATTGCGCAACAACAACACGACCACCTGAGCTTTGAATCGGGGTCGTAGATCTGTCTGATACCAGATCACGACAGTGCGCGCCGGCCACGTCGCCGAGTTGAGGCTCTACTTTAGCTCTGGCGTCAATGTTGATGGAGATCGACGTGAACTCCACTTGGTGAGGGCTGAGTTGTATACCACGTGCTCTGCCTATCAGCGAGCTACTGACTCGAAAAAAGTAACACCAACTCTGCGAACAACCTCAGGTTCCGCGGAGAGGAATATCGTGATATGGGAGGTGGAAGCAAATGTAGATCTGCAACGAAGAACTCTGGGTCGCGAGACTTGCATGTTGTTCTTGCGGATCCATCAATAGTGGTTACCTAGGACTCAGCGTGTCCACGCCATTCCACTACCAACCCCCTCAGCACTGCCCACAACATCACTCATCACTGTAGACTCACGAAACTGTAGACCCACAGTCGTTTCTCCCACTCGGTCCTGTTCATCGGACCTCCCTCCGCCAGTGGACTAGTTCCCACCTCTTTCGTACGAGCCATTTTACACTGCCTGCCGGATGCGGACGGTTACGCGCTAACAGCTACGCTACCTCTACCAAGTTGCACATGATGGTACTCCAGCACATGTAGCAGGTTTGTGCGTAATGAGCCGTGGTAGGTACGGCGGCTACGGTCAAGATAGGCGGTATTGGCCGGACTACGACGTGGAATACTGCGGGCCTGCAGTCAGTTGACATCGTGTCGTAGGTGAATTTACCTCGTATGCAGAGCTGGGGAATGTGTAACGAGGATTGGAGATCAAAGCTTGGTGGGACATCGAGTGCAGGTACCAATATCACCGCTTGCGAATACGTGCGAGAACGAAATTGAAGACATGCGTACTCTTGAGGGGAGGGTCAACACAGGACATTGGCGAAACAAACGTCGTTGAAGACACACAGCACCGATATAAGAGCGCACATGGTAAAACATGTTGCGTTTGGAAACAACTGCCGTGGTATGCTGGACCCTGCGTGCTGGGGTTATCAAACGGGCCTACATCTCACCACATTCGTTCCCAAAGCTCAGGGCGATGTTGACAACTTGTGCAGAGCTCGTCTTTAGCCTCTACATGCCTCAGCATGTAGTCAAGCTCACATATTGCACAATGTGTCTTCACGACCTGATAGCAGAGCATCGGCCCTACAAACATGCTCGCTCTCGTCGACAAGCCCAGAGCCTCATATCGTACGTCGAGCTCAAGCATCGAGCATCGACATCCGGGGAAGCCGTTATCACACTCCCAGCTGCCAGTCGTGCCGGCCCGGCTCGGAACATTGTATGATAGACAGCGCATGCGTCTGTTGTGAAGGAGCCCAATGCCAATACCCTCCTGACCTGACAGCTTGGTAGCGTACGTGTCTTTCGCCGACGACACGGAAAGCTTCGTTGCAAGTTAACAGCGAGGCCGAGATCTGGGTGTCGTTATACGGGCAGTCGTTTTTGTTGAGTGTGGTCTGAGTGCAAACTCGTTCCATGAAGCGAACAACGTTTCAGGTACTCAAGTCCTTCCATCACGTTTTTCACGCCCATGTCAATATGCGTATCAATTCTCTCATCACACGCTCCTACCACCGTCTCCCCAAACCATGAATTGTGTATTTTGGCATTGCCAGGTGCTCCATTGCTTCGCGCTCTCTGCGCTGTGGTATCTACTCCAAGCCTCCTCCATCTTATCAACAGCTCCGTCTGGAGACTCCAGTAGAAATAGACAAGTATTGATACAGTCGCATCGCCCATTCGTGTCATCATATGCTAAGAACGATGAGTTCAAAAACGCCTTTCCAAGTTGTGACCTCTCGCCAGAGGTGTGATTTTGCAAACGCCAATAGTGTCTAAAAAGCCACGACTACGCCGGTCGTGGCTGTGGTATACGCCTTTTCGCCTTGCTGTAGGCTAATCGAAACGCCAAGTATATGCAGCCCAAATGCTGTTTGTATGCAGGTCGCTGAAATCGCATGTTCGTAACCGTGATCGCTTTTCAATGTAGAAAATTTGGTAAAGTGTTCGCACCCTCAGCAGGAGTTCTTGAGGTGCCGATTTAGATGAAGCCTCCGGGTGAGTCGACAACGGCGTGCTCGTCTTCTCGCAGCTGGCCACCGCTCTTCTTCTTGGGCCAGAGCTTGCTGCTGACGCGCTTCCAGCTGTCCCTAGTGGCAGCACCGATACCGTTGTGCTCCCCACGGCTTGTGCGGGGGCTGGGAGTGCCGCTGGCGGATCCGTTCTCGTAGTAGATGTGGGCGGAGTCGACCATTGGATAGTCGCTCATGGGCGGCGTTCCTGGAGGAGTAAGAGGATCGCTCATCGATGGGCTTGCACTGCCTGTGTCATCGGTCATTGCATCGCTGCCACTGGTGTAACCAGATGTAACGCGAGTAGCGGCAGAGCTAGATGAAGTGGGCTGAGAGTGGAAGCGGGAGTGAGAGAACGGACGGGAGTGCATGAAGCCAGCAGTCAGCGACGAGGGTGCCGATGCACGCTGATGAGCAGGGACGTGCGACGACTTGTGAGAGATCGTGCTGCGCTCGTCGTAGCTGCGTGTCGAAGACCGTGTGATGCTAGCGTTGTAGCTCTCATGGCTCATGATGCTGGGGTGTGCACTCTGAGGGCTGACAGAGTTCAGGAATGACAGAAGCACACCCTCCTCCATGAGCTCGTAGATCTTGGCGACAGCCTCGTCTAGGGTGGATGGGTGGGGTGGCACGTAGGACTCGGACAGAGCCAGAAGGTTATCGCGGACCTCAGCAGGAAGGTTGACCTGTGGCAATTAGTATGAGACACAGTGAGGTAAGAAGAATGTATAATACCTCACGAGGGCCAGACTCTCGGATATAGGCGTCTATTAAGCGGCGCCAAAGCATGAGAACGTATGCACACTCGTCTGACAGCGGAGAGATGGGTGTCCCAGGGTGACGGTTGACCATCTTGGAGTAATGCTTGCGGTACCTCGATGCGTCCATGGTGAACTCTAAGTTCTCCAGACAGTGGTTCTGCGACAGGAAGGCCATGAAGGAGGATAATGTGTATGGTGGTGGTGCATTGTTAGCGAGGATCTCGGCCAGGTTGGGTTTCCGGCTGTGAGGGCTGGGGATATTCTTCGGTATCGAGACGGTCAATGGTGCCTTCTGGCAGTCTGAGAGGGCCATCTTGAGTTCCTCGCCGTCGAACTCGTCGAGAGACGACGCAGGAGACGAGATGGTCGAGTTGGTTCGTATCGACAATGCTGTGGGTTCGGGTTTCCGGGATATCATTACGCCCCTCCAAAATTGCTTGTAGACACGGCGTGCCGTCTTTTTGCTCTGCTCTTCCAAACTCTCACAAGGACAAAATTGCGGTCGTAAAGATTGCGCCAGTTTGACGACAAAGGCACGAGGTTCGGGAAGAACCTAGTGGCAGCGAAAGAAACGTGATGATTTGGATTACTGCTCCGAAGGTGACAGCATCGAGGGCTGTGGATGGTGGTGCAGAGGCGAGAGAGCGCACAGCGGGATTCTTTGACCTATGGCCGGAGGGGGCAGCCGACAAGCGCAACGCTGGGGCCGGGTGCGGTGGACAGCGGCGTTTGCTAGTTTCTGCAGGTGCTTCTCGAAGGGCGACACAAGACTGCGAGTGCTGGAGTGTGCGGTGGTACAGGGCCTGGTTGCAGCGTATCGGACGGGTGCAGCGGGCTGAGTGGCCGGCGGGCGGGCGTGCAAGACCGAGACGGCGGGAAATTGGGTGCGGCGCTGGGGCTGGCTGCAGTGCGTGGGCAGAGCAGAAGAGAGACGGTGCGTGTGGTGATGATGGTGGTGACTGAGGTGACGCAGGCGGAGCGGACGTGAGACGTGGGTTCAGATACGCCGTCAGGATTCGAGACAAGAGGCCCTCCTGTGGTGCGGCTCAGCGGTGGTTATGAGGAGAGGGCGGAAGCAGTCTTAGCACGACTAGCACGCCCTGGGCAGGCGGGCTCGCAGGTCAGCACAAGCCAGGACCCACTCGGTGGAGAGTGTTCAGTGCGGTTGGCGAAGCTTGAGCAAAGGCGGATAGCCTCGATGTCAGAGGGCGATGGGTTGCGATGGCCGCTGCAGCCAGTGCGCGAGGCACGCTGGACCGGGGACCACTCACGGGCTTGCCTCCAGCGCAAAAGCGGCAGGCGCTGATGCTTCTAGCGGCGCCCTAGCGCCATTCGCTGCGCTGCCATTGGCTGCTGCGCTACCTTTTTGGAAGGAACCTTGTCGACCCTTCATTCTTTCGCCACCCTCAGCCAGACAGTGCCATTACAGTCGCTGTTACAGACAGCGCCCCCAATGTGCTCCATTGCTAGGTGCTCAGCCCGCCGTTTCGCTGCGACCTGGCATGAACGGTAACGGTCTGTCGTGATGCTTATAGACCACACTCTCTGCAATGAGGGCGCCCCGTGTCCAGTTGCTGTCGAAACCGCGGGCATGCGTCCATCCTCTGCTAGGGGCCGTCGCACCGCAGCCTGCGTGCTCAGCGCTCGGTCTTTTCTCCACCTCACTCACTCAGTCATTCGCAAGCATTTCACCACTCGCTCCGACCCCGGCTCTTACTCGGGCACTTTCGCAAAGATTACGCCTTGGCGCAGCGCTGTGCCCGGCCGCTGCTGTCTCTCCCTAATGAGCATACACCAGCTACCAGGACTACTACATCAGCGATTGCACCTCCATCTTAGTTGTATATAGCCTTTTTCACCCCACTGCATTGTTGCTCTTGACATTGCGGCCTCAGTCCCAGCAGGCCGGCTGACCCACGCGCTGACCCTTCTCTACGCCGCAAACGACCGTCCTTCAGTCCCAACACGCTGAGTCGCCTCGCTAATCCGCCCTATGACTCTCATTCCGCGACAATGGATACCCAGCCGATCCTTCTTTGAGCCTCCGTGTCAAGTTTTCTTTGCCCGCTGATGCAACGCACGACAATACCAGTCACCCCAACGGCCTCCTTTTGAATCATGAAAAATGCGCCACATCGGCAACGTGCTCATTCAAAGCGCTGAGGGCCGCCTCGCTCGGAATTGCTCCCTAGCAGCATGTCCCCCTCCAGGTGCTCGGACAAGGTGACGCCAGCGCTCGCTTTGGGTTGGCCTGAACCTGCTTCAGGCGCTGAGTGGTCAGTCACTGCATCCTTTGCCCACAGATGGGGATCGCACGGCCACAATCCTTGGCTTTGGCCCTATCGCTGGGGAGACTCAGCGCATCTTCCAATCTCTGCCCGAGGCTCGAGACATATGATTACTGTAATCTATTCCTGCCGCATCCTGCACTTCAGCATCACGCAGATCCACAGAGGATCCACCGCTGCCCGCGCCGTGGCATTCAAGCAAACACGGTCGACTCTCTGGGCCAAGTTTTAGCACCGGCTGCGTCAATTGTATTACTCACGCAAGACGCAGCAGCAAACAACACCGAGCGCGAAATGTTGCATGCCTCAGCGTCTCGCTGGTGAGTCGTGGCCGTGAAATAGCCGGCTTGGGCTGACGTTTCACCTACCCTGTTCATTTTCTCACTCTGATGGTCGTTTGTTCCTTGTCTTCCCATCAGTCATCGGCCGTGCACGCTGATATTTTCTGGAAGCATTCTAGATTTCTAGAAGGTTACCACAAACTGCTAGCACTACCACAAAGTGCGCCACTTGTCGATCTTTTCCGTCAAAATCTCCTGTTTCGCGCATGATGTTGGCGCAACGGTCTCCATTTCATTTCCGCCCTTCATACCGTGACAACGTGTTGAGAACCTCACAAAAACACCGCGGAGGCACTTCTGGTCGTATAGCCGGTGGAGCTGGGGAGGCTGCTTGCGAAGACCTTCTAGAAGCTGAGGCTACTCGTATCGTGGCCTGATCGATCGATACCCGTGTGTAAGCGCCTCGTTTCTGCACGCGCCCCATCAACATAATCGACAGTCAGAAAATTTTGATCACCAACACAGTGCCTCAGACATGACGCAGCCAGTGGAGCTCGCGAGCAAGCGCTGCAATTCACCCGCTCTCACCGCCCCTGGGGTCAGCCGCATCCCGCATTCACGATCTCGGACGAAGATGTAAAAAGATCGCTTGGCGTCTGGATAGATGTTCGAGGCAGCCTCATGATGCGCAGTCGAAAACATCGCAACATGATGCCCTTCTTGTTCAAAAGGAGTGACGAAACATCTCAGCTCATCACGCTGACACAGTGCCCTTGATTACACATTTCCTTGCACCGTAGTCATCGTATCTTTTTGCCGGTGGTTCCGTTCCAAGTAAAGCTTTGACATGATCCGCCCAGAAATGCCACCAAAAGTGACAGGTGGGCCTCCACTACCGTCTGACAGTCTGACGCGCGAACATGGCGGTTTCGGATGGTTACCGACCAAAGGATTCATCAGTTAGATGATAAAAGTGAGCACGTCCAGTGTGGGCAGGGTCTGTCGCTGTCACTGATCAGGCATGTTTGGCTCGCTAGAGCAGCGTTGACGTCGTGCCGTACGGTGCAGCGTCTGGTCAAAGACCACTTGACTATCTCCACAAGACGTGCTGTCTAATCGTCTGTTTGAACCCACCTCACACAACTCGGAAGTTTGCAAATCCATAACGACTAACATATTGACAGGCTACGGCAGCCTTAGGCACCCAAGCAGATGTCTCATCGATCATCCTTTGTTTCAACCACAGCTCACACACCAGCCCCTGACACCAGTGCAGCCACAGCCAAACCCCAGCACATTTCCCAAACACTTTTCGTGTCTCCCTATGGTGCGTCTGAGCTCCGTCAGCCGCCCAGACACAGACGCGTCAAAGCTGTCAGACCTATTTCCGCGCCGCTGAGCGAGCAATAGCGCGTGTGTGCAAGCTCTTCGTTGATCGACAGAAGCAAGGTCTTTCTTTGGCACAACTGTGCCTCGGAGGACGTCTCCGAGTACCAAAGATGAAGACTTCTGCGGCGTGGGTTTCCAGTAGTGAGGTCGGCGAGATCCTTCCCAGGTCCAAGCTGCTGGTTTGGCTGTGTGATGAGCCGATGTGACTTAGTAGACTTGTAAAACTGACGCATGTACACATTTCCTGATGTGGTTCTATTGACCAGTGTTGTCTTTCTTCCTCTCGAGTACTGCTCGTACACCCGCTCGTGTCTCTAATGCAGCGATGTCCAGGTCCCAACCTTTGCTCTTCAATGCTGCAGCGTACTTGTCGAACAGCTTTCTCCTCTGCTCTAAGGTGTGTCTGAGCTCGGCGAGTCTTGGTACGTCAAATCCCTCGTCCTCGTCTCTACGGAAGGACGACAGCAAATCATGACTTCGCAGCCGCACAAGCATCAAAGCATGTACCCATGCCTTGAGCTGATCTATGGCGGCACAGTCCTTCTTTAGAACAATCAAAACTTCTCTCGTTCGCATATCGTTGAGCCACAGAATGTAGCCTTCGCCAGCAAAGACTTCCACAAAGTCCGACAGCTTGACAGGTAAGTCTTTGAATGCTCCTGTCCTGGTGTGACCGATAAGGTTGATGCGGCCCAGCAGCGTCTGCAGACTGACACCGATCTTGCAGTACCCAATGACCCCGTGACAACATCTTAGCGCACCATCGGTTTCAAAGATGCGCTCTTGTTTCGAAACGTCTTTTGGGCTCAAGACTTGTGCCTTCGGATTGTCGAGAAGATGATTGAAGACGATGTTGGCGCGTTGTCTGTTCAAACTCGTCATACTGACAGCCTTCACCGCAGCATAGTTCGTCGCCAAATGCACCGACAGCAAAGCAATGAGCGTAGCCCACGTCGCCATCGGCGTCGTCACCCAGCTCACTACCACACTACCCGCCAGCATACCTAACAGGCTGATGACAGTCTCTTGACTTGAGTCTTTGGCATTCAACTCCCCTAGATTCCCTCTCTTGGCAAAATGCGCACTCAGACTCGCCTTCGCGGACCCAGCACATACTCCGCACAGAGCTCTCAGGCAGCTCGAGAAGCTCAGCACCATCACGCGTGCCGGCTTTGGGAAGGCGGGGGATAGGCAGTCGAGGATCATGGCAGTGTCGTTGAAGATGTCGGCTGCTAAGCGGTACATCTTGCATTCTGGCTCGAGGGAGGTGCCGAGACGGTGTGCGAAGAGGATCGTGGCGAGTCGGCCCATCGATTCTTGGAGGATGGATAGTAGGAGTGCGCTGGTGGGAGAGGCGGTTGAGTCGCCTACGCCGACGCCTTCGAGGACGGCGCGAGAGGCAAGAAGGCCGGCTATGGAGGAGGAGAAGGCTTGCAGTGAATCCTGAGAATGATGTTAGGTATATGGCGAGTGAGTCTGATGTTGTACGTACATAGATCTGATACCTGAGGATGAGTTAGCTTTAGGATGCACATGCATGCTCAGATTGATTTTACACACTGTATGTAGTCCTCCGTTACACTCTGCGGGTACCCTACTGGTAAAAACACATCAAGTATTTGATGAGCATAGCTCTTCGTGTCTTTGGGTAGCTGGCTGCATTAGCAACTTTGAAACTCAATCAAGCCCGCCAGCATAGCTCGTCTGAGCAAGGCTGAGAAGACACGTACAACGACATCGACACGTGACTCGCCCGATGCGATGTATGTGGAAGTTATGTTCCCTGCTTCGTCATGCTCGACTACCTCCAGGCGCTCAGAGGTGGACATGTTGCTGTGCTGTGATCTGGTTGTGGTGGTTGGCTAGCGCAAGAACATTGGGTGAGGCTGGTGTGGGGTCGTGAGTGCCTCCCCCAACCTTCGCACTTCGTCCACTCCATCCTAACACCCAACCGACACATCACTCGCCAATTCGCAGGCTGGCGCTTCCATACACGGGCCTCTACATACAATCCGGAGTTTCAGCGCCACGCTGGCTTCATTGGCCATGCCATCGCTATGCACGTTCGGCGCTTGCTGACCTTGGCGCAAGGCGCCTGCTGTGAGACATCCCCTTCAGCTTGCTCTGCAACCTAGACAACATTATGACCACGATGGACGTGGAACTAAGGCCTTCACTGACGAGCTAGTCCTGCGCACGGAAAGTATCGAGATTGCCAGCTGCGAGAACACATGCACGAAACGGACCTACAGTAACGACGATGATATCTGTAACGACTGCTTAGCTATGCCCTGGGAGTCATTCGGTGCATCGGACAATCCCGGTTCGTTCAGTGCGCAAGAGCCGTTCATGAGTTGGAAGTACACTGTGCCTGTGGGGCACATCTGGCTGGGAAGCTTGACTTGCCGAATTTGTCGCTTCATGCGAGAGCTGCTGGTTGATTATGGCTTCGAAAGCACAGCTTCCATATGAATACTACATGGCGGATGGGATGGGAAGAAGCCGTTCAGGATGACTTTTCTGGAGCTCGACGAGAATGAGGACGACAGTATAGATTCGGAACACAGCGATGACAAACGTGCTTCAAGCTGTTTGCAGTGTGACGGCGACCTCCAGGCCGATGGCAGTGGAAACCAGAATCAGGAGCAGGACAGTGAAGACGATGCCTACACAGTCGGGGAAGATAGCGAAGACGGATACCATACCTTTGCAACACCGAGCTTCTTTGCCACTTCTCCAGAAGTCGAAGCATTGCAATCCGCGATGCAAAGTTACAAGCCTACTCATGTCGAGTTCGGGATCATCGAAGGGTGGCTTAATGAATGCAATCGAATCACGGTCAAAGATGCGCTCAAGAGAATCGACAGTACGTACGCAACGTGAGAGTTATCAACTGCGTCAAGAGAGCCATAGTACCAGCACCGTCTGACCGCCCTTGTTGCATTTTCGTACCACGAGTCAAAGTGGGCCAGCCGTGCCTGGACTTTCCAGGAGTGTCATGACTCGCCCCGAAGGCTGTTCACGACTGAGCAAACCACCGCTGTCTGCAATTTTGCAGTATATCAGGAAACTACAGGTGTCAAGCCCTGTTCACGCTCGAGTCCGATCTAAGCAAATCTAAGGGGCTGGATCAAACAAGTCAATTCGGACTCAGTACCAGCTGCAGTACTAAGAGTGGTTCCCTATCCTCTAGCAAGTGTAATGGATATACTCAGCGTCTACAGCCATCGCCCGATGTCATATGCTCAGATGCACTGAACGCCATCGCGGGGACCTTGAACACGTTCTCTCGCCACTCTATCTTGCATCTGCGGGGCTTACCAACCTGGCTTTCTAATAGTAAGAGGATAGTACGAAGCCGGATAAAACACTGTCGTCCTCCGACGTCGCGAAAGAGCCTTTGCATACCCAGTGGGTTGACGCAGAGTTGGATGGGACGTCATCAACCGCCTTCCAGCCTAGGAGCCCAGGTACCTCACAGGGTGACGGTAGCATAGCGTTGCTATGGCACCACCATAGTCGTTGTCGATGCCACACTGGCTTTCCTTGCTGATCACTGCTCGGCTGACAGGAGGGCATTAGGTGGTATACGCAGCAAACTCCTCTGACTTCAGGTGGCGGCTTCATCACCATGCTCCAGCGGATGTCTTATGCCATTTTTGCACCTTTCTGGATTCAACAACGATAGGTCCTTGGCGGGTAGACGATATAGAAACAGTGTATTGACCACAACGGCCTTCACTGAGTTCGTCTGAGCTCAGAAAGCAAAAATAGACCGGCAACGCTTGGTATTCGCAAGCGTTGACTTCAAGTTTGTCAAGGGATACCTTGCCAGGCGCAAGACAAACACCAAGACCTTCACTGCCAGACTGGCTCACTGAAACAACTGGGAAATCACAAACTTATCGATTGACATCGTCGGATCGTGGTTGCTGCACCAGCAGACTGTCACTTCGTGGCCTGGTCGTATCTTTGGGGCTCACCATGCACGACAGGAAAGAAAAGACCTGTCGGCTTTCTGGTAGACCTACCACGGACCATCGAAGATAGTATCCGTGTGACACAGTCATTGAATTCAAGTACTTTTGGGTCGACAGATACGTATGTATCCCTTCCAACACTTCACCCGGAGTGGATTACATCACATCGACGTCGCAAGATCGTGTATAACAAGCTAACCAGTGACAATGCATAAGTCAAGAGAGCAGCTACGGCAGGCACGAGCAGATAATGCAGATGGCAGACATATGTGCAGCGGCGCAAATCACCGTTATTGCTGCCGCAGGAGAAGACCCAAACTACGGTCTGCCCAGAGTATGGGAAGCGTCTCGCGACCTATTGCAGACCAGAAAATCAGACTCCCTGCGCCTTTCCGTGTGCCCACTGCTTCCTATGACCCTAGTACTCAAGGATTCGACATGCATCTCACGTGCTTGGGCCTTCCAGGAATGCTACTTTTCTACACGCAGACTCTTTTTCACGGACCACCAGATCGTCTAAATTTGTGCTATGAAGCAGTGTCACGAAAGCGAACAATGGTTTCCCAAGGCTTTGATTCAAGTGATTGAAGTTTTCACCCCATTCAAAGGCCTCATACCAAGTCAGAATCAGCCAGGATCAATCTGTCCATGTGAAGCTATATCCCAGGCTGTTGGAGTCCTTGAAACCTATAGTGAAAGGGTTTTTATCCTACGACACCGATGCGCTGAGAGCTATCATTGGAACGCTAAACGCTTTTGCTCAGCATGATGTGTACCAAATTTGGGGTGTCCCTTTCAGACGGGTCATGGCGGCCGAAGCTGGGCTTGTGAACATTAGTGGACATCTCTCGGGCAAATCTAAATAACAGAGCGAGATTACTTTGCTCTGGAGACGTCAAGTAACAAGTAGTCGTCGCCGAGGATATCTTACTTGGTCGCCTCTCGCTCGGGCAGGGTATATTGATAGTTTCAGGCAGTACTGCTTCCAAGGGTGATTAATCAAGTGGGCTCTCCTGTTATGATACCATACGATGATGTTCAGGCCATCTTACCGTCTACATCTGAAGACACACACGATAGCAACATAGCAGGTAGCACCCGCTGCCTTACGATTGCGTCTAGAAACGGCCCCCTTACGAGTTGTCAGATCGGCTTTGGGAGACGAGCATCGACGGAACTGGAGCGTATTTTCAGACGCCGACGAAATATCCTCGGCTTCCATTGTCATCCAGATGGAAGATGATACGGAACCCTGTTTCACGCCTTTCTGGGATGAGTCGCCGACAGTGGGCCAGGCCCTCAAAGGCTTGCTCTTCGAAGTCGCAAATTCTGGAGTACCGCACCAGTTTGTAATGATCATAGACAAATGTGGACAATCATACCAGCGTTTAAGAATATTCAAACTTCCTTACAACCTCATCACGGCTACCGTACACTCGGGAAGCCCTCACATATGTACCTGACGTCAGGGATGATAATACACCCTGGTTTTACACTAAATCTACGTCAACTTAATCGCGGGTCGGACCTGGCTGGGAACTATCTTCCCAACTACACAAACCAGGAAGAAAACAGATGATGAGATCCGGAGAACCTCCGGTGAAGGAACCCCTCATTTAGGATACTTGGGCCGCTGTCCATTTAGACAACTGCGTCGACGTGTCAGAAACCTGGTGGGAACACTACTTCGAGGAAGAAACAATTGTGTTGACTTAACGCACGCCATCGAATCCGAAATTTGAAACTTGATTGTTGACTGGCTTCGCACAAGATTGGTTGTTAAAAATACCGGGATACAACGTCAAAGACTCTGACATCCGATCCGCTACAGGATGGTAACAACTTGAAAAGCTTCGAACAATGGTGGCTTAGGTGCCGCCACTCTGCTCCTTGTCGATGCACATGATCTTTGTTCAAAGCAATGAACATCGTCAAGCATACTTTGTCTCCATGCTTCTATGCTGTCACCTCATCGCAGGAAAGAATAGTTCACTTATCGCTTGCATTGGGGGGCGCAGGCTGCTTCCCCCCAGGTAAGAGGAGGTGAGGTGCCAACAAAGAGGCAGGTATCCGTGAAGGAGTTCTCAACTTACCTAGGATGGAAGGCCGGTCAGCTACATATCTTGTTGCGGTATCGGTTGGTCCGTACAGCGTCTGACTATACCCCTGACCGACCACCCTGGACTAGTGTGTTACAGGTCAGGTATATAGTCGTCTCCTCCTAGCTAGATAGCAATACAGCGCAGTATTCCATCGACCCGATAGTCCTACGTTATCGTTTACCGTAGCTATCAGTATTCTACAGCGGTCCACACCGCTTCATCTCTAAATACAACCAAAAATCAACCCAAACTCCAAATTCATACTAAAACAATGGAGCGTTGTGAGAGAGTCATGAGACCGTGGGACGGTGGGAGATTTGCGATGTGCAATAAGGTGACAATTTCGATGATGGATGGGAGACCATGGAGGAGCTCGTATTATAGGTAGGTTGTTGCTACATCTCACCGCCATGATGCAGGTTGACGGGTACGGGCAGCTCTTCACCAGCCATAGAACACCTCATAATGCAAACTCTAGAAAATGAATGAAATGAGAAATCTCCACAATGCCAACTGGCAAGAGGGACTCTGCCTGCTCCATCATGATTGAAATCGTTGAAATCGCAACAGCAAGAAGCATGACCCTGTCATGGTGTATTCAACGTTGCGTATCGGGTCATTCAGCAATACCTGAGGAAGCTTGGTACCAATCATTAAGGGAATCGCGAGCTTTATGAATTTCTAAAGTTGCGCCGATTCGATTGTCCAGGATGCATTGTTCTTGCCGTGACAAGTATTGCGGATCTGCGAGGCCTGTCCAACGCGTGCCTCGGCACGCTTCCCTTACAGTATGTAACGGAAACCTTTGTTGTCGATCTCAGTGACATCGTGCATCCCTGCTTCGACAGCTGCTTTTGTTTCCTCATCTGTGAGCTGGACACCGCTTGCAGACTCTCTGTCACGCTTCTTGTTTATTGACCACATGTAGGCAAAGAGCACAAGCACAGCGATAAGCTTGACAGAATATCCGATGAGCATACTGTAATTACACGTTAGCAGAAGCGTACAATTCAGGAAAATAGCAGCTCAACGCACGCAATGTATGCAGACTTGTACCCAGGCGCCTCGCTGCTCTTGAACGTCTGCGGCCCGATGATGTTGCCTACACAATAGCCCGTGAACAAAGCTGCACCAGTGAGCTGTTTTTTGGTGTACCCAGCGATGTTGCTTGAGACGATGGTCAAGCTCATGCTGAATCCAAGGCCTTGGAAGTAACACATCCACAACGCAACGAGTCGGCCCCATTTGTTGTTACTTGGTAGCGCGACCAGCAGACTTGCGCCAATGATACAGATGATATTGGCCACAGTCATGGTGAGACAACGGCTATTGGGCCAGTGTGTGCAGATATAGCTGCCAACAAGGAGAGAGACAAACTGTACGGCACCACCGGGGATCTGGAGGTATTGAGTTCCTAGTGTGTCGACACCGAAGGACTTGATGATCATTGAGCTGAACTATATCGTGTTAATTTCCATCACACTTGCTTTGGTGTGGAGCTACTCACTGTGGTCAGAGCCGAATTCGGTATCTGTGCGCCGGTGGCCATGACAAATAAGATCCAAGTCTTCGGATCATAAAGCGTCTGCCATGCTTGATAAACCTTGAAGTGCTTGTTCTTGACTCCCTGCCTGTTCCCAGAGACTCGATTAACAGCAATGCCGCGTTGTCTCTCAGTGAGAAACTTGGCTGTAGTTGGCAGATCGGGCAGAAAGAGTAGGATAACAATGCCCATCACGGTACTTGCAGATCCGAAGATCAGGAAGACGTACATCCAGCGAGGCAAGCCTGACTTGATGTGACCCACTGCGTAACCGATGAGTCCGCCAAACATAGTGGCAATTCCGTTGGTGCAGTAGTACGCTCCAAGTCGAAGGGGTTGTTCGGCTGAAGTGTACCACATGCTTATAATCAGGACAAAGCCAGGATTGACGGTAGCCTCGAATAGACCAAGTAGGAAGCGATTTGCAGCCATTCCAGCAAAATTATGGCATGCGGGTGTGGTCATAAGAATGACACCCCAACCTGACGAGGTCAGTGAATGATATCGTACGCAGAATGTAGTACTCACCAAGGGTGCAGAAACCGAGGAACTTGGCCATAGGGAGACGTTGCAGCAGGTAGCTCCCGGGATACTGCCCAGCGAGATATCCGAAGTAGAAGATGCTGCCTGGGTCTAATCAGCCTGGATGTTCTCATGATTCAGTCCAACACGTACCCAGCCAAGAGTAATCTTGTCCTTTCAGATTGGTGCCTTCTTGCAGGCCAAACGCCGAAGCATAGTTAATGCCATTCTTATCAAGATACTGCAGTAGATATGTGAAAAATAGTATTGGCAGTATGCGAAAATCGATCTTTCTGAGCGTTTTCTTTGCTTCAACTAGATCAACATCGGCTGTTTGGTTGTTCTTGTAGGCTTCGTATGTATCGTCGAGTTGCGACGATGTTTCAGACGAAAGCGCAGGTGAGTGTTGAATGGCATCGGTATCCTTGTTGTAAGACGTCATTGCGACGACTGGGCTTGACGATCAGCGAGCCTCATGAGCTTTAAAAATTTTTGTCTGAAAGCACGAGGTCTGCAATGACAACCGTGGAGGTGAACAACGCCGATCGAGCAATGACCCAGTTCTCAGTAGAAGCGAATCCGTTCTTTATGAGCAGTTCCGTTCCCGGGTGAACATGCACCGGCAACCACATGGAAATAACGATCGCCTCCACGTTGCAAGCCCAAGAATCACACCAAGATCTTGGGAAAAGCCATAAAGGCTTAGTGACGACACAATAAAGCGCCATCATTGGCGCGGAAGCTTTGTGTGGGGTTGATAAGTGTCGGGAGAACGTTGTGGTGTTTAAGCACGCCATCGGAAGCTGAGTTGACGACCATGCAACCCTGACAGCGTAAGCGCATGCGGTTAAAATCATCGTCAACTTCAACTGTCGCCGCACCTGCAATGCGCTTCAGTACTGAACAACAGTCATCGCGTCGACCTTGTGACGCTTGGAGTAATGCAGATGCACTTGCAACCGTAAACTATTCTGTAACGGGTACAAGACGAGTCAACGCAACCCACGTGCATGATCGTAACGGTGAACGTGGCGTTCAAATACCACCATATTTCCTTTGAGCAGCAGCTAACTTGTGCATGATGGGCGTGCCTCCGTCGTCAAAAGCATCCAAGTACGTGTCCTCTTCTTCGCTACTAAAAAGAAACTCTCTGTCTGCGCCTATTCTCGGCCACTCCGTGTTTGCGTCTCCTCCATAGTCTTTCTTATTACTTTCTTCATCGTCTTCAATGTCGTCTTCATCTGCCTTGTCCTTTTCCTCCCCTCCCCCATCCTCATTCGCGTCGACATTCTCGTCTGTATGCTCTTCCTCGCTTTACACTTCTACTGCGTCACAGCGCAGATCGAATATCACCTCTGCCAGTGTATCGAAAAGACAATGTCTCTCAGCAAGTCTGTCTAGCTCGTACATTTTGTCCAAGAATGAGGAGCGGCCGTCGTTGTCAGAGCATATCCGTGCACGTACCTCTTTGCTGAGCACCGCAATGATCTTAGCTATCGCCTTCTCCAATACCGTTTCATGTTGGAAGTGTTTTCATACTTCACGGCTGATGATATCTCTACTGAGACAAATGGCCTTTCCAGTCTTCGCAAAGTCTGGATACCGGAAGACTTTGTGCCGAACGAAGTTTGGGTGTGCCGGCTTTGTCACCAATCGATGTGATGGTGGACACGACATCGTCAATTGCTTCAAATTACTTCCCAAATTATCTAGCCTAGCCCAATCTGCTGTGCTTCCTATTGATCGAGTGCCAAACGCTGCTGGAGTAATGGTCGAAATTCTAGCACCAAGATGGTGTGCTTGCGGTGTAACGCTTCAGCTACATCTGGCTGGCGAGACACGAGTTTTGTTATGAGCAACTTCAGGAAACGACCGTTGTCGCCAGCATGGATTGCATCGATTTCTGTTGCAAGACCGTCTGGGTGCACCTGTAGGGGTTCTGGGAATGATTAACTCCAGTATTGGCGCGTTACCTCTTGCGCGACGCGTCCGTTCTGAAAGGAGGAAAAGTAGCAACTATGAACAACAGTAAGTCTAGAAGACTGAACGGGAATGCGACACAGATACGGTGAGGACGCGTCTTATAATTTGCGTGAACTGAAATTAACGCACTACTGTGTCCGTGCGTGTGACGACCGGATTTTACTAGGAAAAACAACAAAATATAAGTTTAACCTTGAATATTTTTACTAATAGTAGAGATAGTAAGACACTTTCTATTTAAAAAAAAAAGTATTTGATTTTTAATTATCTTGAACCCTGTGAAAAAAAATCTTTAATAATATAACGTGGTTCACCACCAAGCCACCAGGTATCACCAAGTCGCCACCCCACACCAACTTTGTGATTATTGCAACTACTATTACAATGCCACCACAATGCAACATGCAATTATTATACAACAAAGGCACACTATGTAAGAACCGTACCAACCGTTTCTTCCTCATACTACTCACACGATTGCTATCCGACTCCTAACCAATCCCTACCCTACTACCTACCGGTAGCACAAGAATACTTGCTTAAGTATTCTTTGTAAGGGGCGAGCCGCTGAGGGCAATATGCGATGTAGAACTTGATGGATTTGATAAGGGGCAAGTCCCAGAGCGGTACTTGCAGAATTCTAATACTCCCGCTTCGGAGGTTGCAGGCCCGCTCCGGAGATTGTACGTCCGCTTCGGAGGTACCGAGGCCTGTGCTGTTGCCGAGGCGCTAACAATGGGCCTAGCCCATTACATTCTTGTGCTTACCTTTTGGTATACCTTGGAGATGTCACGTAGTATTGATATCAAGGGCAGGGCGCTCATCCATTACAGACGCTTCTGAAGACTAGTTCTAGATTGCAATTGTATTTGTGCAGCGTTGTGGTTGGGTGTAATAGTCCTGTAATAGTTGGTGAGTCTTACAAAGTCTGTGAGGGGTGGCGACTTGGTGGTACCTGGCGGCTTGGTGGTGAACCACGTTAAATGTATACAAGAATATTTTATAGAAAATGCTTATAATAGCCTAAAACTAGTATTTTGGCAGAAGTAGAGTATATAAAGGGTGGAGTCCAAAAGACAATATGCACAACTATATGCACCAACCTATGCCAAAAGACATGTGCAAGCCCACACCCATAGGTGGGTCCACATGGGACTAGCCCATTACAGAGTATATATAAAGAAATCTCTAAAATTAAAGTCATAGCTGGTATATTAGTTCCAATACTAAAAAAAAATTATATAAAATTCTAACAACGTAAGAATATCTATAATCAGAGTAAAAGTCTTCTATAAGAGAACTTTTGATATTTTCTATTATAGATCCTTAGATCTTTTGATTATTTACTACTTTAATATTAGAAGTATTTTAATATCTTAATTAGTTCTATGGTGAGACTATTTCCAAATAGGCTACTTTGTTGTTTTTCTCAAGTTAAATCCGGTCGGCACGCGCACGGACACGTTAACATCTTAGCGCGCTGTAAGAACGCTGAACATCCTCAATTGAGCCGCGGAACGACCAAGACCTACCTTGCGCCGATCGGAACACTCCAGTCTCCTGTGTACTCATGTTTACTGGCGGACGGATACACGAGACTAGCTGCCTCCTGGATGGCTATCTCTACCATGGACAGGCAGACTCGGATGCTAGCGATTGGCTGGCAACTCGTGCGCGACTTCAGCATCCAGTTCATACGCGTATTTGTTTGAACGTGCGATCAACTCAGTGGCTGCGACTCCTGCGTCAGTCTCAGCAACAACACTACCACCTTCCTTCTCAAAACGACTGCCTGCGACACCGTCACCGATCTGGTGGATTTCAGATGTATGTGCCTGCTGTTGACGGCGTCTGCGTAAGAGAAAAAGAATCAGACCAAGCACGATAGCAAGTCCTGCAAGAGCCCCGACCACGGCACCAGCAATCGTCCCTTTCGAGGTTCCGTTCGATTGCGTCAGCAGAGTCGCTGATTTAGTCGGTGTTACCGCAATAGAAGAGGTTTCAATGGCAGAAGAGATCGTCTCAGACGACTTCGGAGCCGAGTTGGTGAGCAAGGATCCCGAAGATGCTACGGCGATGCATCCAACAGAGGCTTTGCTCTCAGCGAAGCCGTCGATAGGGTGTGCATAAGCTTGAGCACCAGATGTCTCAGCTGCCCATGGTTGCAAGCGTGTTGAGCCATCTGAGCCGTAGGCTGTTGCAGTCGCAGTAACACCAACTGAAAAGTCGCTGTAGCAAGTGCCACCATAGGCCGGCCGGCTCGCTATGACTGGATCTTCTGGCACAGCAAACTTGTACCCACTGTAAAGTTTAGCTGCACTTCTCTCACGAAATGACGACCAGAGGAGACATACGACGGACAGCACGCCATGTAGTTATCTACGGCGAATTGAACGCAAAAGTTTTGCGGACATACCAATGGGCTCATGAGCGGCACCACGCTCGACCCCACCGTTCCCGAAGAGACCGAAGTGTAACTTTGAAGAAACTCGCTGGGATAACAATCCGTCATTGTAGTACCTTTGAATGGCACAGGTTCATTGGCCCATATGAGGTAACCGGGCGGCGGCAGGATCGTCAGACTGTTTTGCATGCATGATGTTGGTGGTGTGAACGTCGTCAACAATGCTATTCTTGTTGTTGGTTGTTCTGGAGAGGATACTATCGCTGCGCCAGTTGTCGTTGCTGCGGCCTTTTGCGACATGGTTTGCTGTGGCTGCTGTTGTAAATTGCACAGTAGTCCGAGTTACGAGCACAGTGCTCAAACCGGCAAATAATCAAAAAGAGCTGAGACAACGGCCAAGTGTGATCATGGATGGTATCTACCTATAAACACCTTGGTCTGGATTGGCACCCTGCCTCGACCTTGCGTCAGTCGCACAAAAAAATGAACATGGGCGGATTCAATATCCGACTCCTGCAGATTGAGGTCCAGCGGGTAAGCACGATTATATTCGGAGCAACAGCCTCATTCATCATAAAGACCCGCTGATTCTTCCAATATCAAGCATGGGTAGTGATCCTCTTGGGGGCCAGATGCCACAGAAGATCTTGAGGTGGGACTAGCGCAACTAACCTTTCATCTGATTCGCTGGAAGACACCACCTTTCTCCACTCCAACTTGGGCCTCTACTGTATCGCTATCGTACGTTGAGCGGCTATTGCACGTACCCCTGGCGGCATCCTTCAGCATCGTTCTGCTTTCTGTTGTAAAAAGATGTCCAATGTTAATACCGCTATATACGTTGCGCCTGACTGGCAAGTATTTGAATACACCCGGAAGTTCTCACAAAGATGCACGGAAGATCTTGACAAGTTTCTAGGAGCAAGAAGCACAGTCACAGGTTGGACATTGCACAGACCTCGAACTAATTAGTCAGTAAGTCTTGGGTTTCGGTGTCACCTCCTCCATATCCTAGTACTACCGATACAGTTTCCCATATTGCAGAAAAGCTGTTACAACTTACAGAGATATTATAAACTCGGCCATATACTTTCCGGCCACATAGTTTCCGGCCACCCCAACCAAAGCAGCCACACAATACAGAGTTGCGATTTTTTTCAACAACGATGATTATATTTGCCACTCAGTACACATAGAATTAAGTCTAAGTGCCGATGCTGCTGCTGCCTTTTGAGCTTCTTTTTCTGGTGTAGTGCTTACTTGTTGAGCCTGTAAAGCTGCTGCGCAATCAATCGCTGCCTTGATACTCTCAGCGTTGCTGAAGCTGTGATGGGCCAGACCCTGGAGAGCTCGGTAGAATCTTGACATGGATGAGATCCATCTATTCCTTTCTTGTTTAGCGTATAAGCAAAAACTCGTCAGTGTTTCTCCATAGCTCCTTATCAATCCAATCACTGTTCTCAGGTACCAGCATACTTTGCGCAAACCCTCACAGATATTTGATTCAGGATCCATGACCCATTGGTTGATGGTTTAAATGTCAAGAGGTTATGACGGTTCAGGTGTATCTGGTAGCCTCAGAAGACGTGGAATGGTCAACGTCAGTGAGAGAGAGAGGCCAAAGAGATGGCCATTGAGTGAATGATCTTTGTTGCGGTATCAGTCGGTCCGTACGAGACCCAATTATCCTTGCTTAGACTGTTATGGACTAGCACGTTCCATGGCCAGTATATATCGTCTTCTTCTAGCTAGATAGCAACTCAGCGCAGTATTCCATCGACCCAATAGTCCTACGTTATCATTTACCGTAGCTATTAGTATACTACAGCGGCCCACACCGCCACAACCTACAACAACTGACTGGCACCTATAATCAAGATCAATAATTGATCATACTGTACGGAGCCACTAACACATCAATCAATCATGACTACCAAGTCAGGCCCTGCAGTCACCCAAGTGACTGTTATCCTTGATTGAGCTGATGACTGGCACAAGTGGCTATTTATACAAAAGGATACTGCCCAGAAGAACAAGATCTGGCAGTACGTTAGCCCTGCTACAAAGGTAGTGGACTTACCTATGTTAATGGCACCACCCACAACAAGCCTCTGCACAATCGATCGAAGCCCTCTACGCCTCTGTAACGGCTATCGCTAGGATACAACGGACGCCTGACGAAGGAGAGCAACCCATATTTTTTTGAGGTATCTTGGCCCCGATATGACGCATGCTCTGCCACGCGGTATAAGGCCACTAACCTCACCTTCGGGTGGTGGTGAAGGTCTTTTGCCAAGCTTTACTGTATATGTAAGCATCAGGGCTCCTCGCGTCAGGTCCGGAGTATCTCGACATCTTGGCGATATGCGGATGGCTGGGCATACCAGTGGCTGGTTAGGAGATTTGTGAGTAATATAGCCTATACAATCCTCTCTCTTCCCCTTCGGCCTTGCCTACATCAACTCGATCGCCGCCCAGCCATGAAGCAATACTTGACTAATACTCGCGTCTCCAAGAGTGCACCGGACAAAACACCTTCACTGATAACCCATGGCCCAAGCTCTCGCAGGCTTAGCAAGATGAGAGCTTCGGAGCACTCTCAAGCCTCTCAAGCCTCATCATCGTCGTCAACTTCTCGCTTTCGATTATCCCGAATTGGCTCTCAGGCCTCGTCAGCTATCCGTCTCAACTCAGCGGAGGCTTACCCACCGTCGCCACCATTGCCAATACCTCAAGCTATATCGAGCCATGATTACCCAACGCCTATTGATAAGGTCTATATGAAGGGCGTAACGTTTGACGTCAACTTCAACCACGTCTATACCAAGGGTGAATGTCTCCAGCCATCCCAATTATGTTACGCTGTTAGGCACAAGTCAACTCTGTCAGGAGGCCGAGCACTCTCAAGTATATGGGCTCATGGGCTTCAACTACACTATACTGAGCTTGATGGCAGTATTACAGAACTGTGATTGTGCAAGATTTGTCATCAAGAATGTCTGAAGTCTGACGCAAAAGCTATTATCAACGGCACATCTCACATACTCTCTCACATCCGCAAGAAGCACTCTATCGATCCATCCACCGGCAGCCATATACCCAGTACCCCTGTCAACCTCCCGCTGTCTTTCTTCACGGCCGCTGCGCACGTCCCTGGCTCATCAAAGTCGACGTCACATATGCCTTGGGAGGCAGATCAGTTTCAAAACTCCGTTGTGGATTGGACGATTATGAGAGACTTGAGCTTTGGAGATGTCACGTGCCCATCCACAAGAGGCTTGTTGACCTGGAACCGTATAAACTTACTCTACGCCTTGCCCGATTTGTCAACAACCCTCTCCAATTATACCAAAAAGCACTACATCAAACGCAAGTCTGAGATCTATAGGCTTATCCAACCTGCTCCTGGCTAGATTGCTATAAGCGTTGATATATGGACTTTGTCCAATCGTCTCAGCTTCATGGGTGTTGTTGCTCACTTTGTTGATGCCAATTACAACCAACAAGACCTCCTGATTGGTTTCCGTAACCTTCACGGTGACCACACGGCCAGTGCGCAGGCCTCAGTAATCCTTGACGTCATCCGAGAGTTCAACTTTGAGTCAAAGTTGAACTGTTTTGTAGGCGATAACACCACAAACAACAACAAACGACTCATCAATTACCTTAACAGGGAGTCTGCAATACTCAGCCTTGGTACTGAGCACCGAATCCGTTGTGCAGGTCATATTATCAACCTCATTTTCAAGGCTACTGTGGAAGGGTTGAGGGTATTGATTGGTGTATATTGCTATGGCGAGGATCGATCGGGACTATATAGTAGGAGGGAATAGCCGTAAACGGGTATGGAAGCAAACCCGAGCTACCCGAATGAGCTGGACAATCAGTGCAGCGGACCGTTAGCAAATACTGCAACGGACCGCTGGCGAACAGGTAGTACCTTCCTTTTCTCCCTCTTCTGAACTGACAGGAGGAACAGCCAGAGGTGTAGGCAACTGCACCCTTTTGGCCGGGTGAGAAGGCTCTGGTAACTGCCTTTTGGCTGGCAGGGAAGACTACCCCAGTGGAAGTAAGTCCTTGTCAGGACAGAACTTCTCATCAAAAACCACGTTTGTTGAACTGATGGTTTGATTATCATTTCTCAGAAGTAGGTAAATTTGAGCCCCCCGGTAGCCCAAAAGCCGACACTCAATGCTCTTGTTACTAACAAGCTTGCGCCTAGGTGCAGTGTCTTTGGCAAAACAGCGAGTGCCAAGTTTGCGAATATGAGCTAGGTCTGGCTTACCACCATACCAGCTTTATAGGGAGTACAATTGTGGCGGCTATGAGGCCTTCGATTTCGTAGGTAGGCAATGGATTCGGCAATGAATGGCCAGGTCTGATGGAGAAGTTTGGCATCTGCCATGGTAGAGGAAACACGTTCAAGGATAATTCGATTTGTTGCTTCTGCAATTCCGTTCTGCTGGTGCTGATCTGTGGCTGTGTATTCAAGGATAATGCCATTGCTTGCACACCCCTCCGTGAACTCTCTTGAGCTATTCTCACCAGCTTGGTCTAGCCGAACACAGTGGCAGTGGCGCTCAGGGCGCTCCCAGATCTCCAGCCATCTGAAGAAAGCCTGAGGCAACTCAGACTTAGCCCGAAGTGGAGTGAGACCTGTCCAGTCAGTGTAATCATCGACGAAAATAGCCCAGTAGCGAGCGCCCTTATGGCCTTTAACTGGGAAGGGGCCAGCAATGTCAACATGTACAAACTCCAAGGGCTAAGTCCTTCTTGCGCATTCTGGGTGAGCAATGGCCCAGCAAGTATGTCTGCTTCACATTGATCACGATGATGTGCTTCTTGTGTTTACAACAGAGCAATGCGTGCCAAACACCGGCAGCTGGGTTTCCTGTTACTTCCAGAATGACATCGATTCCCGGAGTTGCGATCAGCTGAGCGGAGTCAGTGGTGATGGCTGTCTTGCCTTGCTCCAAGCCTTCCTCGAGTGACAGAGATGCAGTTCCATCATACCACTATTGTGGGAAGCCTGTTTTCTTGAGTGCATTCAAGGCACGCTCAGTGGCCAGGTCCGCAATGGTCGCTAGTCGAACATCTTTCGTACGATGCGATTGTGAGACGCTACGTACTCTTTCAGCAAGAACATGGAGTAAGTTAACAACATGTCAGAGAGATACTCACTACGTGGAGCCAAATTGTGGAAGAGTTGAGATTATTGATTGATGTAAGAGAGCTATTGGCTGGAATCGATCGAGACTATATAGTAGAAGGGGATAGCAGTGAAGGGTTGGGGAAGCAAACTGAACTAACCGAATGAGCTGGACAATCAGTGCAGTGGACCGCTGGCGAACACAAATATACTGGGCTCCGATGATGCCAACCTGTATCGGCTTAGCAGCCGCCTCCAGAGCTGCTAGCTTGGTGGCTAGGTTCGTTGTCTTGAGCTTGATCCTGTTCTACCCATCTGACTGAATTGTGATAAGGCCCTTCGTAATTTCAAGTTGCTTTTCGAGTAGGCACACTGATGTCATTTCCAGATTTCTGAAGTTGTTCCCAGTAGCTCGTCTCGAGCTTAGGAATTGTTACCGGACCGGTCTCCGGGTCCCCGACCCATTATCGCCATCTTTTACTTTTGACGGCGAGGTACCGTAGTTAGTCAGCACATGCGCGCCATCACCAGATGCGCCGAAGCCCCCCAAGCAGCTTATACAGAATTGAGGCTGTAGAGCCATGTACAATAGCTATTATCAC